CCGCCTCGTTTTACGGAAACGAGTTGGGCGACCGGGAGAAGGTATGGAGGGGCCCAGGAGCAGGGGAAAAAATGACAGATGGGCAGACAGATTGCATTGCATTGTGTCTTTGTGAAGAAATGATGAACTACCGTTGGAAGCCTTGGCGGGAGAAATGCAGCACCATGGAAAGTATCGTGTGGCGTACGGGAGAACCCCTGAAGGAGGCCAAAGCCCTTAACCGAAGAAGTCAAAGCTTTGCCATGGAGATTGTAGTGCCGAAGCCGCCTTGTCGGTGAGAGCTGTCGTCCAGTGTAGCCCTTTGGGGGCGCTCGTCTGGAATCGTGATAAAGCACTCATTGTTTTCAAGCCGCGGGCTTACTGCGGACAAGACGAGTCGAGCCATGCGAGCCACCCCAGCCATGAGCGGCCATGTCAAATGATATCTGGCATGACAGGCTCTTTCTATCCAGGACCGACTGGTGGACTGGATCAAATACCGTGCGTGCCCCCCGATCGGGTGTCGTTACCGCAGCGGTTGACCATGGCTCGCATCATCGGCAGCACCCCAGGACCCCAGATTCTGGTTCTATTACAGTGGTAAAAGGGAGGCCTTGGCAAGGTTTGACTGAACGATGATACTGTTGCTGATTGATGAGCTGCCGGCCTGATGACGCTAAAATGCTCAAGTAGGCGTACTGGAGGGCACGAACATTTGAAAGGGGCCGAGAGGGGCCTCTTCCTCAAGCGCGTCGTTGTCTGTGGTTTAGGTGGGCAGGCGTGGGTGGGTGTCGTGTGGGTGATTTCCGTGTTGATCAACACAGAAATAGAACGGGTTTAGTGGATGTATGGACGGATGGACGGACAGGTGCATTGGGTCGTGGTCTTCATGCTCTGGCAAAAGTGTTCCATATTGTCGGTATCGTAAATTTGGCCATAAGAAGTAATGGAAGCATGTTCGATGTTGCTGCGAGAGGGTCATAGCGAGAACGAGAGAATGGCAGGCCAAGAGACGGTAATGTGATGGGTAGAGGGCGAGCCAGGAGCAGCGATCCAGGCTCTTGCTAGAGTTCAACCCCTGAAAACGGCCATACGTGCTGTACTTCAGGGCAAGGTGTAGACGGTACCGGCATTCTGCGAGGCACATACGCATTATTTTGATTAGCGTTTTTTTTTCTGGGTTCTTCATGGCGAAGTCATTTCGAGACTGTTGTCGACCCCGTTAGGGAGTGAGGGGGACATGTATGTGCTTGGTCGTGCTGTCCACTGCCTTCTACCGATACATACATGATGTTCGAGAACATGGTATCTAGATCAGAAGCCCCTCGTTCGGGGGGCGCCAGCGCGGATTGCCATGAGGTGGTATGGAATGCAGAGGCGGTTGTGGTTATGTCTTGGGTTCTTGGACGTATCTGTGTGAGGCGAGATCGTGTTAGCTTCCTTTGACGTATGGAGTAGTGGCATTGCACTTGCACTGATGCAGAAGCAGTGCACACAGGCACAGCACACAGGCGGCGCATTAGTAGCAGCAGATTTGAGGGTAGTGCGGTGTGGGTAGTCAGTTACAGCTTGGGTGTTCAGGTGATGGGCGGATGAGGAGGAGAGACACAGAGAAAGTGTGTATGGGTGAGACGCAGGAGAAGGGTACGAAGGTACGTAGCGATTAGAAAGAGGTACATGGCGCTACCTACATACATTGGAAGGAGAGAATTTGCCTTCCTCCTCGAGTCACGTCTAAGTGCCCCACGTTGATTGGTCGATGGTACTCCAAGCAATCACACTGACTAGCTGCATTAAGGATCAGTAGTGCGAACTTGGGCATTGATTGATGAGCAACACCACTAAAGCATCAGGAGTCACAGCTGGGGTTGACCAGTCAGGAGCTAGCTTTGCACCTCCTGAGTTGCTCATTTCTCCGTCAGGAAGCACACGAGAGTTACTCCCTCATCTGGTACGTGAGGCCTTGGCAACTTCTGTCTTTTCTTCTTTCCGCTCCCTACTACTAGAGCACACAAACTTTTGTAAGGAGAGAGGACAACGATGATGAGTGTTTTACATGGTCGAGGGCAGGAGACTGGGGAGGGGAGCGGGGGAACAATGAACAGTAGGGAACTACATTACTACCATAGCATTAGCAGGTGAGCTTTTTGGGACGAGATCGCTGGTGACCGTCATCCGCTCATCCCTGAAATACCTCCCGTGGAACCATACTCCATGATTGGTTACAGGTGGGCCAATTCGTCGCCGCAAATGCCGGGCTACTGGGCTTATCTCTTTTTTGCCTTTTCAACTTTGATTTTTATTTGATTTTATTTCTGAATTTTGATTGAATTTTTGCATTTCCAGGTTTCGGCAGGTGCCCTCATGCCCATCTGCGCGGGCAAAGTGGGCTCCTAAAGTGGGCTCTTGTCGCTCTTACCAACGTACCAGAACCCATGTTTCTCTCTCTCTCCGCCCGTTCATTCTGTCTTCACCAAATATGGGTACGTTCTTTTTTTTTTTTGGCGGTGCTACTGTTGCTAGTGCAGGGCACACTGGAAAGACGTAGGTACAGGGGTACATCTGATGGTGCCAGAGTGGGTCTCTTTGGAGGACCCCTGGTTTGCCAGCTCTCTTTTTCTCTCCTCACTCTCCTATTGGCTTAGCTTGTCGCCTCTGGCTCGATGACCACTGGTCAGGCTCGCTTCGGGTTGGCAAGTTGGGTGCACCTGGCAGGTCCTGGGCCCTGTCTGGCCCTTCTGGCCTGTCCGGTCTCCACTTCTCTTTGGGACTCTTCTCACCTGGGATGGTGGTGCCTGTCCTTTCCTGGTCCTGGTCCCTTCTTCCTTCCTTACCACCCCCCTGGTCTGCCCTGGCTGTCCTGGCTCCTGCGTGAGTGCTTGCTGCCACCCGCCCGCACTTACCCTCCACCATCACACACACCCGCCTGTTGTTGCTCCTGTTTCCTGCTTCTGGCTTGCTTGTCTGGGCTGCACCTGCACTCTTTGCTCCTGGCGCCCAGCGCCCCTTCCCGACCATCCATCTTTCGTCCACTCACTCCATCTCCATATCTGTCGTCCACTCGCTGCTTGCCCCCCTCTCCTGCTTCTTCTTTTGCTCTTTCCTTTCTTTAGCACACACCGCCCTTCTTTTTTCTTCCCTCCTTCCAACCATTTCTCCCCCTCCTCTTTCCTCCCCGCCGCTCTGGTCTGCGATTTGTTCGTCATAGTCGTCTTTTTAGAAGGGAAAAAAATCCAAGGAAAAAAAAAAAGAAAAGCAAAAAGATTTCACCATCTCGCATTCTCTTGAGATCCGTCTCGCATCGTTTTTTCAAATCCAGCAAAAAATTCTTTTGGGGTTCTGGAAAGCTTCGCTCACAAACAATCACCTTGACCGCACTACTTTCGCAAACAAACCCAACAACACCACAAACCGTCCGAAAGGGCCATTCACCAGCAGCATCTGCACCTCCATCGCAAATCCAACAAAACAACCTTTTAATCGACTGTACTCTACTTCGTTTTTCATCCGGCTTCATTTTATTTTTTCTCCATACTACAGAAAAGACTTTCGTAATCTTCACACTCACACTCGCGCTCCACCGGAAGCAAGCTTAGAGCTGCCAAGCACCTTCTTTTCCACTCCAAGAAGTCGCTCTATTTTTCTTGTGTGGCAATCATCTGACGGCTCCCGCCTCTGCTCCGCCTGACTTCGTTCTCGATATCGACTCCCAGGTCTGCGCCTTCGACTTCGACTCATCAAAGAAACGCTTCTTTGTGGTCCGGCCTTCCCTTGACCACCACCGCTTCCGTTGCCAAGTATTCAAGTCGATACTCTCAGCGCCGTTTACTCTTTCCATCGACAGCAGTTGTCGCCCACTCTTTCATCACTACAATCATTTTTCCCCCTGCCCTCGACGCTCGATACGCGACTATCTAATTCCGAACACACTCAGCACGTCACCGTAAATCCATCCAGAATCCCACCGGTTTTTGGATTCTGATTTTTTTTGGGCCACACACCATCTCCGCCGATTTCCATTTGCTGCCCCTTCCTAGACGAGCTTCGGACTCCGCCTTGGATCGGTCGGATACATCACTGTGAACACTTCCGCACAACTTGAGTACCGTAATTATCTCTCGACGCCCAGCGCTGCGCATTCCACCTACTATCCTTCTTGTAATTCGACCCGGTTGCCCCAGCCGTTTGCAAGGCCACCATACATTCTTTCACACCATTTCGAGTTTGAGAACTCGTTTATATCCGGCACCTCCGGCACTTCCGCCCGCTCACTTCCGCGCTCGACGCAGATATCCATCTGAGCAATGGACGCAGGCGGTCTCGCTCAAATGAACAACAACTTCTCTCAGGCCAACGGCCTGGCAATGCCCAGCGGCGGTCTGGCTTCGCGTCGTGGAGGCCCCATCAAGCCTCTTTCCCTGTCGAACGCCACCCCTGCCAGCAACGTTGCCGACAACGGTGCTCCCACCCCTCGCACCAGTAGATCTCACCTGCTTGCGGGTCTCAGGACCGCTCCCAAGTCCTCGACTGCCACCAACTTCCCCGCTGGTGCCAACAACGTCGCCTCTCCTACCGCTCAGTCCTTCGCTAGGAATGCGGCCCCCAACATGTATGCTCAAACTCAGAACAATGTCTACAATGGACCTAAGACTGCCCTTCCCCGGTACGGACAGCAGCAGCAGCAAGCCCAGCAGGCTCAGCAACAGGCTCAGCAGCAGGCCCAACAGCAGCTGCAGCAGCAACAATTTCAACAGCAACAGGCCCAGCAGCAGCAGCAAGCCTACATGAACCAGCAGCAATACACGACTGAGCAGGTTCTTGCCCCTCCTGAGATCGTCATTGACGACCAAGACCAGATGGACCCCAACCTGTACGCCCAGCTTGTTGCTACCAACATGTATCTTGCTCAGCAGCAGCAGCGCCTCCAGCAACAGCTTCTCAGCGTTCAGGCCGCTGCCCAGCAGTTCCAGGGTCTTAACCTACAGGGTGCTCAGCAGCAGATCCAGCAGCAGCAGCTCGCCATGTACCAGCAGCAGCAGCAGCTTCAAAGCCTCCAGCAGTCCATGTTGGGTGGCATGGCCCAGCAGCAGCAGCAGCAGCAGATCTACACATACTACGACCCCGTCACTCGTCAGCAGGGCTACTATATCGACCAGGGCCAGAACGATCAGCAGGCCCAGCTGGCTCAGCTCTACGCTGCTCTGCAGCAACAACAGATGCAGCAGCAGCAAGCCCCTCGTGTCCAGGTTTCGCCTCCTCCCGAGACCCATGCTACCCCGTTCCGCACTGCGACTCCTCCCAAGCGCTATGAATCTCCGACCGAGGTCACCCCTCTCCCCCCTCCTTCGGCAAACGCTTTCCGTCGTGGCCATAAGAAGGTCATGTCTCTTGCCCTGAACGCTAACAATCAGACCGCCGCGCTCTCTCCTCTGGAACCGCCCAAGTCTGCTGGTCCCAAGACGGCCTCCTTCCCTCTTACCCCTCTGTCTGGAGGCTACGGACCCGGTCAGGGACGTGCAGGCGAACACCCTGTTCGCCAGCCTCGTGGACCTCCGTCTATTGAGGAGCTCAAGGCCAAACCCACTGCTAAGCATGAGGGAAGCAAAAATTTTGCCACCCGAACCCGTCGTTCCGCCGTCCACAACCTGGTCCGCGCCGGGCGTGAGCGCAGAAAGGGAACCGGTAGTTCCAGCGGAAGCATGAGCCCTGTTTCGGAGAGCGCCGAGGAGGATTCGAGCACTCCCATCACCGACAACGAGTCTGACTCTGGCCATAGTGGATCCGGAAGCCTGGCAGGAGATGTTGACTGCTCTCTGCCCAGCTCAAGAACCTCTACCAACGGCAGCTGGGGTGCTATCGGCTCCGACCGTCCAAGCTCCCGCCAGAGAGCTCGCAAGAGCCTGGACAGCGTTAGCAGCGCCGAGAGCGGCGAGAACAGCTTCGCCAATGTCTTCAAGAACTCGGCTCAGCGTGTTGGTGTTGAAGTGACGGACGGACAGCGCAAGGCGCCTATGCTGGTCTTGACCAGCGCCGAAAAGAGAAAGAGCGGCATTTTGGCGTAGACTTGTTGGTATCTGGACGTTACGACGACTACGCGCCACACTTGTGTCTTTCCTTTTGACGACTTGCACAAGGGACGGGTTGATCCTTAAACCCTTGTATTGCAAGATTGAACGATGGGTTGGACGATTAGGCGCGTTTTCTCATGAATCATATGTTGTTCTATTCAAAGGGGTTCGGCGGCTCTTTCATTCCAGCATTCAAGGCTTGGTTGATTACAAATTCATTTTCACTTCTTTTACATTCTTATAACGAGATCATCGAGGTATCGAGAGAGTCTATTGTTGATCATCCTCGCTTGGCTTTCGACGAGCAACACCTTAGAGGCTCATGCAGTCTTTGGCTTTGATGATGGTGAGAAAGATATACCATAGGGAAAGGGGAGTAAGGAAAGATTTGGCCTGGCTTGGGTTTCTTCCTTTCTCGGCTGGACATGGGAACTTTGGTTTCTGCGCGACGGGACTTGACCAGTATTCCTGAGACGGAAAGCAATCAAGCCCGGATGATGAGAGACACTTGCTTTTCATTTTCTCTTTACAGTCCTCGTGCAAGTCCTTTTTAAGATAGCAAAACAAAAACAAGCTACGACCTTGCAGTCGTTTCGTTGCCTCGGGCTGGAAAGCCTGCACAACGATGATGGTGGCGGCTGACAGGCCGGGATTGTAGTTAGCATAGTATTTTTTGGCACAATACAGATTGAATGCCACATTATGACCTGATTACAAGTGATGTGTTGTTCCCGTATGAATCTTTGGGCTCAAGCTGTGTTGCCATTTTTAAACATCTCAGCAAGCTTCTCAAACGCTTTCCTCTTCTCCGCCTCAATCGGAGCAAAACGCTTCCCAGTGCCGACAATAATCTCATCCAACTCGCCCTTCTCCAGCTCAGCCCACGTCTCTTCAGTGAATTCGTCCAACGGCATCCCGAAGTTGCCCTGTCCCGCGGCGACGAGATCCGGCTGCTGGGAGTGCAGCTCGGTCTGTACGGCGGGGGGGAGGACCTCGATGACGCGGATGTGGGACGAGGCGTCGTGGTCGGCGAGCTGGCTGCGGAGGGTCCACGCGAGGGAGTGCAAGGCGGACTTGGTGGCGCAGTAGTTCGGGCAGCGGGGGATGGGAACCAGCGCCAGGCCCGAGGTGACGAGGATGATGTGGCCCTGAGGCTTGGACGACGACGAGGAGGAGCCCGACGTGTTTTGCGCGAGGGACTGGAGATGGGGGAGGAAGTGGGTTGTCAGGTGCAGGGGCGCGAGGTAGTTTGTGGTCAGCTCCGAAGAGACATTGGGCAGGGAGATGGATTGCGGGTTGGTGAAGTCTACGGTGCGTTGGATCCCCGCGTTTAGGATCACGGTGTCTAGGGTTGGGTAGGTTGACGTTATTCTTGGCGTCGTCAGCTCGGTGTCTTTGATGCTTTTGTTTCGAAAAGTCTTGCAGGTGAGTGGACATTCGTCCGGGTACGCCGGGATCTATATGTTTGTTTGATGTGGGGGGTGGGGGAGAGAGAGAGAGAGAGACTCACTTCTTGACCCATTCGGCCATGTTATCGAGGTCCGTCATGTCGTACGGTTCTGCGGCGATTTTGTCGGCCCCGTGAGTGGCTACGAGGTCGGCGAGACGGTCTTGGCGGCGGCCGACGGCGATTACGAAGGTGCCGTTGGCGATGAGACGCTCAGCCAGGGCGAGGCCTATGCCGGAAGTTGCGCCTGTTACGAGAGCTGTCTTGGAAGGGAAAGGCATTGTGTCTGGGCTGTGCTTTTTGTTCTTTTGGGTTTTGGACTTGTTTGTTTAAGAGACGTCGAGGTTATTCTGCGCGAAATATTTTGTTTCTGCTGGCTTATAGAAGACGAGGTGAAGTTGAGAATGGTGTTGTAACGATGACGAATGGCGGATGGGATGAAGAGGGGACAAGTTGAGGTCTGGTATGGGCGGTGTACGGATGCTATCCTTTTTTTGAGGGGGTTCTTTGCTGGCTATCCTTGCGCTATCCTTGCTGCTACGCTCGGGCAGACGGGGAGCGGCGGGGAGCAAGCGGGATAGTCGGGACGAGACGATGTTACCTGGGCGGGGGGTTCGGTGTGTTGTGGAGTTAGGTTGGACCGGAGCTCGGCATGTGGGACTGTCCGTCTGATGTTTTGGGTTCCTGGTGGAAATTGGACGTCTGTATAACGAAGGATATATGAGGCTCGGTCTCGTTGTGTTAGTGATGCACGAGATTGTCAGGTATTGACACTTGGCGCTCTTCGGTGTAGTTTTAGAACAGCAAATGACGGAGTTGGTTGTGATGGTAGTACGGGAATGGGATGGATGCGTTTACAATACTGGATGTCTCCTATTGGCTAGGTGACTGAGGTTAATTACTTTGGTGCCCATTACAACTAGCTTAAGGACATGACGGAGTGGTGACATGGGTTTCGTAGCCATGACGCTTCAGGACGTGAATGATAGAGGCTTGCCATTTGCAGAAACTGCACTAGTAAACTTTTGTTAGTAGGTTATAGTTACAAGCAACGACCGCTGCTGAATTCTAAGTATTAGTTCACAGCTTGTATGTTTGTCGAAGCTACGGTGGGCTGGACCTTTGCTATGAAGTCACTTACTTTCTGTGGTACTATTCCGACGCTCTCGGTGAGTTTCACTGAACCTCAGACTCCCGCAGAATGCAAGCATGCTCGCCCTCTAGCTTACCAGGGGGGCGACGAATTGAAAACCGCTAATCGTTACAACAAGCTGTGTTGAGAAGAAGCTGTTCAAACTTTATCGTCTTCGGCACTGCAGAAGAAGGGCTCAAGTTAGACATAACTTCAACATGCCTTGAAATAATTACAGCCATATCGAGTAATCACGCAGAGAAGCTGAGATTTGGATAGCAAAGATGATGGTGGGTTGCAAGAAGTCCAGATGGCCTGCATGTTTCCTCCGACATGAGCGCTCTTATTCATGATTAGACGAGGTCCAGCTTACTAAAGGTTTGGTTAGAGCAAGGGAACTACGTGAAAGACTCCAACGCTCGCAGCTGACCAACGTGTTATTCGTTTATCATCTCGTTTGATTTAAACATATCATTGGTGGTACTTATCGTTTTCCATCCGTATGGACTTTCAATGGGTCTTATGATGCATAATAGTTGTTTTCTAAGGAGTTCCAAATTGATACCTAAATGTCTATATTGCAAACACATATATCTTTCTCTATCCTGACATTACGGTTACAACTTAAACACTTTGCTATCGTCAATTTTTTAACTGGACTTTATTGCACCTTTAGTGGTAATATGATCTCCTTCTGCTCGTTGAATAGTTTTAGTCATATCCTTGCAAGACTTGACCATATGAGCATTGTCCTTATACCTAAGCGATTATCATGTTGACTGCCGTCTCTTGATATCATCTATTTGTGTCTGTAGACTTTGTAAGCTTATTGATGAAGATTATTGCGGTGCTTTGTGAGCATACTTCTACATTGGAAGAGATATTTTGCATGGTATGGAACACACATACAAGTAATGATTAGCAACAGATGTCTCCTAAGCACATCTGCTGGCGGCAAATCAAACTCAAGTGAGAATCATTCTGTAAAAGCTGGCTGCTGACATGAAGACCTCCTACCACTTTGAACATCATGTACAGTTCCAGGTATGACACTTGTAATGTTAAAAGTGACCATAGTGCTTTTTTTTTTGAATAAGTGTATGAGATATACATGACTTGGTAAATATACACCCTGAATAGTCGTGGCTACTTGATTGGTATAACTAAGGTAGCCCAACAACAAAGAGTTGTAGTATTGACGATTATAAAGCTTTCAAATTGTCATTTTGCCTCCATTCATACTATCGCAGTTCATTAGCATGATCGTTTTCTTCACTAGGGTCTCAATAAGAATTATTCTCGAATCGTTCCTCCTTCCTCATGCAGAGAATCCCACTCGTTGAGGGAAAGAGTTACCGGCACAGCTATTTCCCGCCGCGCTCTTGTTATCTTACTCATAGCAGACATATAACGAAAGAGTTTGAGTTCTGGTTTATTAGCTGTTGGTTAAATTCCACCCTTCAAATGTCTGACTTCCATGCCTGCGTTCATGGTGAGTTTTGTCTGGCAAAGAGGCATCAGGCTATCATTCGATGTGTCTTTGCTGCTAGAGGTGGCCGTTTACAGTGCGTTTAACGCGGTAAATTAATCACTTTACTGTTAGTTCTTTGTTCAAGGCAGTGGAGTGTTGAAGGCAGAGGCATGTCATGTTTCCTATTACAGGGGCGTATTAGCTCTGTGAGGGAAAACTGTAGAGTGTCAGCTTCTGGTGTCCAGGCCGGCCAGCCAAGATGTAATCTAGCGAAGAGCCTAAAATGTTTTCTCCATCTTGGGTATTCTCAGGTAGGTACTTACCATAGGGTCATTTATTGACTATTGTGACATGTCAGGTTACCCCAGGCAATGGGAACATGCGATCGGTGGCAAGCATGTCAATGTTTTGTTAAGCGCGGTAGTACAATATGAATATGAACGTGAAAGAGAAAGTCCACTTAAGTGCCAGCAGAGGCGCTTTATAGTTGAGTAAAAAGTACGGACTGCTGATAATTCTATTTTTATTATTGCGATACTAGCAGACGCATCTACCTAGCCTATAAATAGCCAATACAGACTACTTGTAGCCCTCTAGAGATACAGAACACTACATCTTAAATACCAAGTATGAGGGCGTAACAAACAGTCGAAATGTCCGCGGCCAGTACCTGTTCCTTTGCTGCTCCTGAGGAGTTAGTCCACGCCCTCCATCGACGTTGCACAATTCTCAGTTTCAGTATATATTCCCTACAGAAAGGTCTCCTTGGTAGGAGAAGGAGATCATGGGTCAACATGGGACAAGTGTGTGTTGATTAGTTATGGCGAGGACTTACAGAGAAACACATAATTTTCTAAAGAGTATTGCAGATTGCTTTTCTAGCAGTTCTAACAAGTAATAAAGGTCTATTGTTCATCCACATCGTGACTGCAAACATTGGGCCTTAAAACTTCCTTAGCAGAGGCTTTTGCAAGTGTTGTTACTTTTGGCTTGCCTCTGGTTGCTTCTACCTCTGTTGCATCCTTGACTTTATTCTTCACACCTCTGACCAGGTGTTCCATGGTGGTATCAATAGAATCAATGACATAATATTTAACAGATATATGCGATGTACAATTTCTTTGTTGGCGTCACGCAAGATAAGCGTGGCATAAATGGCGAAATGGATTCACAACATAGATAAATAATTTGCTCCATCGAAAGCATCTGAGATGCGAAGGAGGAAGGCTAAATTGTATAAGCATAGAAATACCTTTCCAGACAACACTCAAACAAAATCTAGGACCCTATAATACGAGGATTGAATACATTGTTTGTTCTGGAAAACATCATGATGACTAACCCATGTTGCTGGTATTCACACTTCGCCATTGAAAGGAGAAGGCCCGACCTTGTTCTACTATCTTAGAGTTTAGGAAGTTTCGAGTAACTTGTGGACAGGATGAGCAAGATTTAGTTGCAGTACCTAGGTATGTCAAGATAAGAGTATATGGGCCGGCCTGCTCGTGATGAGTGCCTGGAAAAACGATGACGGCCATCGCGTATACATCTTCATCATAGGGCATTATAATGAGAGATAGCGAAATATATGTTTGTCTAAGGGAAGCTGCGACGCCATGAAAGACCAGGTAAGAGGCACGGTGGACAGACTGAGACAGACCCAAATTATCAAGAAACACAGTCGCCAATGGCTGCTCTTGACGAGATACGTTGAAATTGCTGCGGAACAGCCACCTTGAAGACTCATCGTCTTAAGCCAAGCCGTCATTGTCGAGTAATTTGAGCGATGAACAAATGACGTCTCCCTTTTGAAACAAACTATGCCAGTGCGACTACTTTGGAAGTGGCTAGAACAGAAGGTGCGTGTCGACGGTGGCTTACGTACGTGCCACTATTTACTGCTTAACAAACTCAAATCCACGGAAAACCATGTCGGGAGATTGCATTCTGTATCTTGGCTGTGGCTTCCCCAACAACCCAATCATTCAGCAACATTTTCCCGAAGTCTCCCAAAAGGGGAAGTTACGCTTCGTCGTTCCCCCAAATAACCAAATAAAGGGAGGAACCAACAGTAGAAGACGCACGTGCCTACCGGCGGTGTGGGTTAGTTCAATTGCCCGCCCAGGTTAAGCGCGATAGGTGTGCAATTTCCCCCAACTGTTGTTTCCCTGAAACCCTTTAGTAATAGATCGCCCCCCTTTGCAAATATCCCATTTCCCGCCGCTATCGACGGCGCCACACCTTTTGCATCGCTAGATTACGCTGTTGATCGAGTATCTGTATCGCCAATTTCACTACGAAGAAGGATGATGCAGCGATCTCCTTGTTAGCGGCATTCCAAAATAGAGGCGCGCTAGACCCCGGAAACTGGAAACTGTTGAAGGAACAAGCCGAATCCCAAAATGCGGAGTGAGGTGCTGCTATCTTTGATGGCGACGCCAAGGGAGCGATTGTGGCTGATGGAGCCTGCAGGAGAATCTAAGACGTCTCAGAATGTGGGCGTAGAGAGAAGGAAGACTATCAATGGAATCCGATGGTACTGATGCCAAATCTCTCTCTCGACTTCTGCGTCGCGCCATCGCCACTCGCTTCTGCACTCCATGCCTGTGCATCTATCTTATTCGACGGGGTATCGCATCTAACAAGCACCCGAAGATGAGTGTGCTAAAGATATGGTCCTGCAGCAAGTCTGATCTGACGTGGCTCCGAGTGGCTGGTTGCAAGGCTGCAACTTCTGGTGAATGCAGCCTGGCGGCTGGCGGGGGGGTGTCAAAGCTGTATCTGTTCTGATTGAACAGACAAAGCGCCGAAGCTTTCACGCTGCATCTCATGATGGCTTTCACTTACCAGCCCCTGCAGAATACCAGACGGGATATCCGCCTCCTCGAAATCGACTTCCATGACGCAGCGGCTGATCGTATCAAATGCTCCATCATCCATGATACTTTGGACGACGATCCGCAGTTCACGGCCCTCTCTTACGTCTGGGGCGATGCTGCCCAACCTCGCTCCATCTTACTCGAGGGCCAAGAGGTCAGCGTCACGCAGAACCTCTTTCGCGCTCTCCAAAGGCTCGCGAAATTCAGCAAGCCTCAGGTTTCTAAGCTCTGGATCGACGCGCTGTGTATCAACCAAGCCGATGACGAAGAAAAGGCACATCAAGTCCAGCTCATGGGAAGGATCTACAGTAGCGCCTCTCAAGTACTCATTTGGCTGGGCCCTGAAGATGACGCCAGTGTTGACGCCCTACATCAGCTCAGTCTACTAGGAAGTACCTTTGAGGATCTGAAAGCCCGTCCCGATTACGGTCCTGTAGTTTGCCAAGCCTTTGTCAAAACCGTTCTTGAGTTTTCCGGCACTAGCCTCAATTTCGCTCATATTCAGACTCTGTTCCGACGCCCTTGGTGGACACGGGTTTGGGTTATTCAGGAGGCTCTTCTTGCTAAACAAGCCTATGTCCTCATCGGAGACCATGCAAAAGACTGGAAAGAGATTCGTGGTGCTTGGAGTGCCTTTGAGTGGATGATACTCTACGTCAATACTGATCCAAAATACCGACCGGTCTACGAGATATTGAATGAAGTATACTTCAAGATCGCACACTTTACCCAAGGCGAGACCGCTGAGGACGGCACCCGGAAGCTTGCGTCGCTTTTTGATACCGTCTTCTTCTCAGCTGCCGGTGGTGCCATCCAGTCAACTGACCCTCGAGACAGAATCTATGGACTATTTGGTCTATTGACCGAGAGAGACAAGGCCAAGATACCCGTTGACTATTCATGCCATATGACTCTGGAAAGGTTGCTGTTTTTTACCACAAAAGCTTTAATCGAAGATCATGGTCCGGATATTCTTTGCTATCGCCGCCCGACGTTGCTTTCTGTCGGCGGTCCCAGTTGGACGGTAGACTGGACTTCCAAAATGATAGCCACCATTGGTGGCTTCAATCATGGCTCCAATAACTATGACGCATCCAAAGGAACGGTTTGGTCACCCAAAACCTTTGATGCTACCTTCGAAGACCCTGCAATTCGTCTGTGGGGTGTCGTAGTTGGTCATGTGAAAGATGTTGGTGGCGTCCTAGAATCCACTGTTGACTCGCCTTCCTATATCGACGACTGTAGAAGCTGGCTCTTGGAGCTTGAGAATCTCGTCTACTCGAACTCTAAAGATGATCCAGAACGGCTGGAAATCATTCAAAACTTGTGGCGGGTACCGATCGCTGATATGGGCTTGGTGGAACGCGCAAAGCCCGAAGACGGGTATCCACAAGCATATGAAGTTCTCACTGGGGTTACAAAGCCGCCGCACGGCGATGATGAGAGCGGCTGGGTCACTTCCTCTTCTTGGCCATATCGGCGCGTTTGGAAAGTTTATGGTCATCGTGCTTGCATTTTTGAGAGCGCTAATGGAAGAGCTCCTGGGCTCGGACCAAGTGGCATGTGTCCCGGGGATATGGTAGTCATCTTCTCTGGCAGCCATGTGCCCTTCGTGGTCCGCGAATCATCGCAAGGATACAGCCTTATCGGCTCTGCCTACGCATACGGATACATGGACGGCAATGCTTTCGAAACGATTACTTCAGCTCGTGGTCTGAAGGAATTCCAGCTTCACTAGTCATGCATGTGGCGCTAGCTGCAAAGCGGCTAGAACACCAACGCCCTAGCCGCCGAGGGACCGACTTCTATCAGTGCGCTTCGCTTGAGCAACAGTCAACCTGTATCTTCACCTGCAACTCTCGGCGATCATTCGGGCGGATGCTCGTAGGCGATATTCCCAACCACGCCTTCCGACAGGATGTTAGGATTGCTGATGGACCTGCCAAGAGAGCTCGTGCCCGCTCCATGTAGCTGTGCTTGCTTTCGGTGGCAGGGAGCACGTGTTATGAAAGGCACCGTGGGTTCTTGGCTCACGGATTGGCAGCCACAAAGGGTCGTCCACTGTACGCTAGGCAATGAACATGGCAAAGCGAGGATATCTCATATACTGGACGCGTGAATAGAGGCAACTCCTCAACCCATCAAAACCTGCTCCGCTAATCGATGACGGCTCCGCTCTTGACTCACGGTCTTTCCAAGGCAGTCAACGCTTATTCACTCCAGCGTTTTCAAGTTAGTCAAGGCTTGTGACACGGAACAACTTCTTCTCTGACCTTCTAGCCTTGGCTGTGCCATGAATTTGGTCGGAGCACAAACTGTTGCTCTGGGAATCAAGGGAAACGTCAGGTGCCAAGCGTGACTACATCAAATGAAGAAGGTCTGGTTTGCGCGCCACATCCCGAGATTCTGTGCAGATCCCGTGTGACCACTGGTTGCACTTGGTTGGAGGCAGAGCGTGAAGGCCCCTTCTTAGCATATTCACTTGTCGAGAGGCTGTCAAAGGATAACTGGGGACGTTATGTAGCTGAGAAGCTCACTGGAGGAGAAAGGGCGCGCCCACAGATCATCACTGGGGTCTCGGGTGTGAGCCAGCAAGAACGTCAAACGAGTGATTTCGGCGTCGGAATCTTTCAGGCCGTTTGTAAGCATTTGCGGAGCTGTAATGCACACTATCTGGTGGCAACATTTGTGTGCGGCAGCGTCGCAGGACTGGGACTGGAAGATCTTCGACACCAAACCTTTACACAAAATCGGCCATAACCGATGACACCCAAACAGCCTGGAGGGCTCTATGTAACTACGACTTAAGTACTCTCAGGTTGCCAGGCACCTAGATTGCGAATACTATATGACAAGAGACACGCCTCGTGGATATCAAACATTCGTAGTATCTCTGGCGTATTGTTGCGTATGGAACGCGTCATCTCAAGACAGCCAGAAACGGATGGCTTGTTCATGATCGGATAAGCCCGACCTAGACGGCGTGCTCTGAAGGAAACTGGACTGCTCGTGCAGCCAAGATCGTATGCCCTGCCGAGAGCAACATGTCCGACATGAGGCCACGACAGCTTCGTCCGGATTTCACAGGAAGAAGAATGGTACCGGCCGCATCATGTACAAGGCCTGCAGTCAGAGCAAAGCATGTTACCCCACCCAACCCATGTACTGCGTGGGAACTTCACTGCGCAACTAATTCAAGGTCTGGGCACGCGGAGACAGGTTCATCGTCAAGGCACCTAAACCCCATAGCCGGCAGTTTAGAGAGGCAACAAATGTTTTCCATATATGGAAACATCAGGCCATCAAACCTTACACAACCATATCGGGAAGTTTGTGGCAACTGGGTCGCTTGCAGTCGAGACCCAGATTGTCTTTAATTGTGCTTTTAGTGGCACAGAGCGAGGCGCTTCTACCAAGACCACTCCTCGCTTGCTACCCGCGTCCTATCAGCGATATTTTAACCCCTATGCAAAATGTCTAGAAAATCTACAAAAGGCGCAAGCCTGTGTTACGGTGCAGAGCCGGCGAGTCATCTGGGTGGCTGTGGCTTACAGCCGGTGCCCGCTACGGGGGAAGAAAGGTGATTCTGGTAGTGAGAATCGAGCATTGTGCGCCTGGGCCACTTTAAGATCAAGGAATCTTCAACGTCGCCAGCCTTGACATTATGGACGCAAATAGCGAAGGCGGAACACCGGTGCATTTTACACTGAGCGCATGGACTTTTGAAGGCTAGCGTAAATTCCAGGAGGAACGTTATGGTGTGGCGCCTGAGCTTCTCGGCATGAACTATTTTGATGGGTGCGAAGGCGAAAAGGAGAGCTGCACTGCGCATTACTGTCAGCCTCCTTTTGTGCAATAATCCACTGCGGTACAAGGGCGGTCCGCGCACCCGATCATTTCAACGACAGCTAGTCAGTGGAAGCCACTTGTCTGACCATTGCGATTTCCGGGGCTCCTGAAATTGCAACCGGCATGGCGGCCGAACGGGCTGCATTGGCCCTGCGCTAATCTCGAACTGGCCTACATCCAGAGTGCAAGCCGGACGCCGCCTGATCTTGGGTGTGTTCAAACCCCTGCTTGGCATCCGATGCCTTTGGTCGCCTTTGTGTGTTTGGTACTGTGTACCCCTGGCCGAGCTTTGGGTTTTGTGGCCGTTGTGGACTCACTCACACACACATTCCGTACTTGGGGGTGAGATCCAATATCGAAATGATCGACGCCCAGGATGCTGATGTCCTGGGCTCTCGAAGGCGAATCTGTGTTTGGCCTGCGACCGCGTCTAATAGTTTCTGCCTCTGTTGTTGCTTTTTCTCTTTGATCACAGTTTGTTCTTCTGTAATTGTGCTGACATCATCCACTTCAGCCGCTGCATCCTCGCTTCCACCATGTCTCTCAGAATCGCTCGACGGGCTGCCCTGCATCTGCATCTGCAGGAACTCACGGACCCTCGGCCAGCTGGCTAACCTGCCACAATTCCAAAGAAATTGGGGAGCAAAGACAGGAGCAAACTAGAGTGAACATGCGCCGCATCATGAAGGCACCGGATGGATTACAACGTGGCTAAGATTGAGTATGCGTTCATGGCTTTGACCCAAAATACATCCATCCCGCGATTAGGAGCTAAAACCGTGCCATATGATTGGTCGTTCGGCTCGGGTCTGTGACCTTTGGAGCGACGGCGGTTGGATTGGCACCCTCTCTCTCTCTCTACGCCTGCTCTGCCCGTCACGGCTGGAGGGGGGGGGGGGGCCTCGACCTTCTCGGATTTCTCCTAGGTACGAAGCACCGCGCCACTGGACGGCAAATGGCCCACCCTTGGCTTGTGCTGCCGACGGACTCAATGGAGGCGAGGGCCTTGTGTCTCTCTTACCTATATATCATGATCGTCCTCGCCTGCCCAAGAGAGGTTGTTTGGAAGAACACCAGCACATTATCCTTCTAGGATCTCAGCCTTCGATCCTATCCATTCACTCGTTCAGTTCCTTTCGTTTTATAACTGCCAAAATGTCAGTTTTACGCTATATTCTTCCGACCCTGTCTATGGCGCTGGGTGCCATCGCCGAGTCACGCAATTTCGACCTGAACCTTACGTGGGAAACGGCCTCCCCTGATGGATTTGCAAGGCAGATGATTCTGGTCAACGGACAGTCTAGTGCACCTAGGCTCGAGCTTAACGAGGGTGACGATGTCGTGGTCAAGGTCAACAACGCCCTGCCCTACCCGGTTACCATTCACTACCATGGTAAGCTACATTCTATCTGATGTCTTGCCATTCCCTAACTGACCACAATCAAGGTATCGAGATGTTGAACACTCCCTGGTCCGATGGTGTTCCGGGACTTACCCAGCGTCCCATTCAGCCTGGCAAGTCGTTCGAATATAAGTGGAAGGCTACACAATACGGTGCCTACTGGTACCACGCTCATTATGAAGGTCTCATCGAGGATGGTCTCTTTGGTGGCATCACCATCCACCCGTCCGCCTCTCACCAGAAGCCTTTCAGCTTGATCTCCAGCGACGGTGCCGCGGTTCACGCCATGGAACAGGCCGAAAAGAAGGTTGTCCCTCTCCTGCTCGCCGATCACCGACACATGATCTCTGAAGAGGTTCACGACAAGTCTGCCGCTGCCAACATTCAGTTCTCTTGCTACGACTCTTTCCTCTTCAACGGAAAGGGCAAAGTTACTTGCCGCACTCCCGAAGAGATTGACGCGCTTCTCACCCCTGAGCGCCGCGATGTTCTGGCCAATGTTCAGGGTGCTCGCATGACAGACAAGGCGTGAGTCGAACAGTGAAAGATTTCCTACCAATATCGCTGACATTTCAATAGTTGTATTCCCGCTGCCGTCATTGCCCGTGGCCAGGGTGACCTGAGCAAGGTTCCGGCCGGCGTTTTCGAGGGATGCCAACCCAGCGATGGTGGCGTTGAGACCTTCAAGGTTGAGAAGAGCAACTGCGATACTGAGAAGTGGGTTGCTTTCGACCTCGTCGGCGCTTACCACCTGCACACTGCCCTGTTCTCTGTCGACAACCACAGCATGTGGGTTTACGCCGTGGATGGTTCCTACGTCACCCCCCAAGAGGTTGAGGCCATTCCCGTGTCTAACGGCGACCGCTATTCCGTTCTCATCAAGTACAAGGAGCAAGGTGACTTCACGATCCGTGCCGCCAGTGTCATTGCTACCCAGATGCTCAGCGGTGTTGCCAAGCTTCAATGGCGCGAGAAGGGCAAGGCTGAGCCCGAGATTGTTGCCTCCACTCCCTGGGTCGCTCACAACGGAAAGCCCACCTCCCAGAATGTTCGCGTTTTCCGCCAGGCCAACGCCAAGCCCTACCCGCCTATCACCATTCCTCGCGAGGCCCAGGCTCTGCACAAGTTTGAGATGCGCACTGAGGGCGGCTCCTACTACTGGGCCCTGAACAACACCCTCCTTCTCCCCGCTGACTTCGAGAACGACCAGCCCGTCCTCTTCAACGTCCAGGCCAACGAGAACGACCCGACTGTCCTTTCTACTCGCAACAACACCTGGGTTGACATGGTCTTCCAGGCTGCTGCCCCCCCTCAGCCCCCTCACCCTATCCATAAGCACGGCAACAAGATGTTCTTGCTGGCTTCCGGAAACGGTACCTTCAACTGGAACACCATCGAGGAGGCCGCTGCCGCTAACCCTCAGGCTTGGAACTTCGTCGACCCTCCCCGGAGGGACGCCTTTGCCACTCCCAACGCCATCAGCGAGCCTACGTGGATGGCCGTTCGCTACCTGGTCGACAACCCGGGTGCCTGGCTCCTTCATTGCCACATCCAGAACCATATGATGGGTGGCATGTCCGTCATTATCCAGGACGGTATTGACGCCTGGCCCGTTACCCCTCAGGAGTACGTCAACTACGCTTAAAAACAAGTACATACACACACTCGAAAAAAACGTTTATGGCGCATAAATAAAGGTGTTGTAATGTTACACGCAGGGGCTTAGAAGAGGGCAAGGCGCGGGCGGCATTGTGCGTGCAATTGTGTTTAATGACAACCCCATGCACGTCTCACTTTTTTTTTGCTGATATGCAAAGTTCTTTGTTGGATAAAATATTTTATCCTTTCTGACTGTCATATATTCTCAAAGATGCAGTAATCATTCAATCAATAATGGAAGTTTTTCCACCCATCTCTCTCTGTCCCCTTCCGTGCTCGTGTTATTGCTCACCGACTTTCCTGTGTGTTATGTTTTCATGCTTGCTCGCCTGTAAGTCATCATTTGTCTTGCAGTACTTGGCAGACCGAGTAATCAATTTGAGAAATGCCGCATTCTCAAAAACACTTGTTCTTTCTAATATTAAAATTTCCGAGTCATTTGAGTCTGTCAAACATCCAACGGCTGTCGGCAGACTTGGCTTTTTCCTACACCCCTATCACTCCGAGACGCGGGCGTTGCCGTCGTCGTCCCCTTACATCTCTAATCTAGCAACATCCATCAGCAGGTAATGCATGTCCCGTGTTTATTGTGCCTGCTGTGAAAACACGGGAAGATGCGCGCGGCATGACGTTTGTCGTACAGGGCTCAGCAGCAGCGCAGCGCAGTTGTACCCGTCGAACTCGCGCAAATTCCTGGCAGTCAGTGACTCTGAACTTTTGGTTACTTTGCCACAGAGCACACAGCATCACCTCCCCCTTCTGCCCCTCACACGTGCCCGAGGGGGGGAAGAGGGCAATACGGAAAGGTTGCTCCTTGCTTTGCCCGCGCCGAGCACATACAATTTCTTCTTCTCGGCACCAGCGGGGGAGGGCCATTCCCAGGTGATGGGAGCGTTAGCGTGTCTCGGCTTTTTGGCCTGGATATCCTTCTACTGTTGGTTCGCCTGAGGTTTTGTTTTTGGGGAGACGTAAGGTACGGCGGTTTTTTTGGAGTTGCGTGGCGTATTTGCTTTATTTCCTCGAGACCTTTTTTTTCTTAGATCCGTTCACACGGAGGTAAGAAATTGTAGTCGAGTCAGGCTTGGGTGAGGCCCAGAGACACTCGACGAGGGGGGGGGGGGTGTATAAAAGGGGGAGGAAAGGAAAAGAAAGTGCGGGGGTGGCTGTCTTAGACACTTATTTTTCTGAGAAGGACGCGATGGAAATGGCGAATTAGCAAGTCGATAGGGGTACGCTAGTTCTGCATTGTGCCTTTGAGCATCGGGCTTGCATAATCTACGATGCATGTGGTTATGTTATGTTATGCCTTTTTTACTTCGGGAAGAAAAAGAAACCATGGACTCAGATGTTTATCAAATTTTGTTGCTCAGGGGGGGCGCTGTTTTTGTTGTTGCTGTGGGTAGTCTGTCTGTCTGTGGAGATGGTCAGACTTTGACGCCTGTTTCTGTCTGCAGTATGTGATTGGCAGGCCGATTTAAATGTGAGTTAGGTCGTATCTGGGAGGTTTGAGAGGCGTTCAAGCCCAGCCGTAGTGCTAAATTAGCCGCCTTTTTTCTGCTGGTTTTCGATGGGCGAGCTGACCACGTAAGGGGCGGATGGGTGTCATTTACTTAGAATGAGGTCTGGCTAAGGGGTTAGGATTTCGTATGGATGCTATCATTTGGTCAATGCAGGATGCATGCGATGCTATGCTTACTCCCGCGTAATCGGTGAAGATGATCGGAGGGACGGGAGGCGATGCCCGGGGCTTGGCGGCCGAGGAGACGTGTGAAGAACGGCGATCGACGGAGGTTGTGGCGCGGTTTGCATGTGGCTTGCGTACACGGAATGAAGAAGTCCCGGGTTTCTGGTGAGACACGTGTAGATAAGCAAGAAGAGCGACTGTGTATCTTTGGGTTTTTCCAGTGGATACGGTTCTCAATGGGTTCTTTTTCTGTTAGCGATTCTGGCGGTTTGTGAGAGAGTGTGGATATGGTGTTGGTGGTGGCTGTATCTGTGTCGGCTTCTGGGACGCGAGAGCGGCGAAGACATATTTCACTGCGATTCGCGGCCTGGGCGGTGCTTAAGGACGTAAGCGACGTCTCTTCCTGGTACATCGGTCGATCTAGCCATCCACGACTGTCATCCGATTATGAACATGTAGATGAACTTTAATAAAAATTGGATGCCATGTGTGTTCTACGTGCTTACATGATCTCTTGCTAATATTGGATGACAGTTTTGTAGGAAGAATTGGATTGCGACAGCGTTTCCAAGATAGCGAATCAGAACAGTTAGAGCCATATCCAAGTGTGGCGGTCGAACAAAGTGTAATACACAGAGTACCAAGAGACTCATTTAACCCTAAAACTCTTCATAAATAAGCAACTTCCTAGTCTTCCTCCATTTTCACTGGCCACCGACAAAGTCTGCAGGCGACGAGGCAAGCGGACGAGATAGAGCCACCAGATAGCGACTCCCTTGTTACGTTCGTCAGCGCATGATGTTTTACCGTGTGAAAACAATTGCACAAAACTTATCGTGTTTTCATCAGGCCACTGCTACGAAGATGGCGCTGCTGGTCTAATTCAGTTACTCAAGTCTACCATGTTGCAGAAGTCATGGTATAGCATGCCGGAGGTTATTCAAGCGCCTAGCCATTTCTATTTCCTGTCATTGAAACCAGTACAAAAGGTAACATCAATTTCCTGATCTTATCAGCGGATTGCCAAGTTTGCCAAGCCGCAAGATGCTCCGATTCAACGGCCCGGGTGGGCCTCCTTTTTTACGGCAGTCCGGTTACAATCGGACCCGGAGGCACAGCCGGAGACACATCCGTGCTTTGCAACGATGCCAAATAGAAGCTTTCACTCCAGCGGCAAAATCCGAACCTCATCAGCACATCACCCACCCTCATCCTGTGAACAAGCACACGTCTCAGTGCTGCCCAACCAGCGAATCGGAGCTGACAAATAGAATGGTCAGCTCCCCAGTTGTTGCTGATTCGTAGTTCCCTAAGGATGGGTTGCGCCAAAGCCAGGTTTTCACTGCTGACCACCTTATCGTGGCTGCCTTCCCGAAAAAAAAAAACAGGGGTTAATATTGGACCAAAGTCGGTGCCTGTCAGATATTCCTCCTCATTCCCGATGCGTAATTTCCTGAAAGGGACTTTGGGTGAGAAAATAGGACGGTGCCACCATTTGACTGGAACCGTAAGCTCCGAGCTTAGGGGGTTTGGACGACAAAATATATAGGACGCGACAGCGCTAAACTCAAATCCATTTCATCTGATCTGGTCCTTGGTCCCTGATCTGATTCTGCGGGTAGCTAGTCGTGCTTGATCAACTCAAAAGATGTCGTCGCCTACTAAACGCATCGCCATCGTCGGCGCAGGTAAGGTCCACCACGTCAGCGACGGCACCATAAACTGACCCACGTTGCAGGCCCCAGTGGCCTCTCTGCCATCAAAGAATTCACCGCGGCTGGCTTCGAGGTGCAGTGCTTCGAGCGCGCCCACGCCATCGGAGGCCAATGGCTCTATGACCCAAACCCGACAGCGGACACGCATTCCTCCATTTACAACGGCGTCATTCTCAATTCATGCCGTGAGCCCTCCGCCTTTGGCGATTTCCCGCTTGATCCGGCGCGGTATCCGATTTTTTACCATCACTCGCTTCATTTACGGTATCTCAACGAGTTCGCGGCGCATTTCGGCTTGCTGAAGCACATCCAGTTCCGGACGACGGTCGTAGGCTGCTCGCCGACGAGTGAGGGCGGCTGGGAGCTTCGCATTCGCAGTGAAAACGAAAACGGCACTGAAGATGAGGCTGTTCTGACTTTTGATGCTGTCGTGTGCGGGACCGGCCTCGGCAACAGACCGAAGATCCCTGAATTCCCGGGGAGGGCCAAGTTCAAGGGGGAGGTTTTTCATAGTCACTACTATCGTAAACCGACCCCCCTCGAGGGAAAGAAGGTGGTGATTGTCGGCCTCGGGCCCACGGCCATTGATCTTGCGTGCGAAATCGGGCCCCTCGCAAAGGACCTCAGGATCGTGAACAAGCGCGGCGCGTGGGTTCTGCCCCGGTTCATCCTAGGAAAGCCGACAGAAGCATTGAACAGTAAGTCGTTCTGGGTCTGCTGCTGGGATAACGACCTTCTAACAAATCAAACCCCAGGCCGAGCCAGCGCAACATGGCTTCCTTTCAGCGTACAGGCATTCCTCTTCAAGCAGGTCTTCAACAATCTCGTTGGCAAGCAGCCGGCGGTATTGCAGCCGTCACATCACATCATGGCGCAGAACGCAGCTGTGCGGAGCGACTTCACCGAGAAGCTGAAGTCGGGTGTTTTCAACCTCCACCGCTCCGACATTACCTCGTTCACCGAGAGCGGCGTCCTCCTCGACGACGGCACCACCCTCGAAGCCGACGTCGTCATCCTCAGCACCGGCTACCACCACGCGGACTACCCATTCTTACCCCCCGGGACCATCGAGAGCAAAGACGCCCCGGCACCGCACATCGACTTGTACAAACACATCGTCCCGCCTCGGGCAAAGAACTTGTTCATCATGGGTAATGTAGAGGTGGTGGGACCCGCATCGGCAATTATCGAGGGGCAGGCCCGGTGGATCACGGCGGTCCTGCAAGGAACGATACAGCTGCCGAACGAAGAAGACATGATGAAGGACATCCGCGCGTTCCGGGCGTGGCAAGCGAAGCACTTTATCAACTCCGCCAGGCACATAATATCCGTCGAGTTGAACTCGTACGTCGACGGGCTGTTGGCGCCTCTGGGTGCTGTCCCGTCGGCGTGGAAGCTGCTGGGGAGGGTGTTTACGACTGGGAAGCCGTTGAGGGCGCTCAAGGTATACCTGGCGGTATTCTTTGAGATCCAGGTGAGCGCGCAGTGGAGATTGTTCGGGGCGGGAAGTAAGACGGAGCTTGCGGAGGAGACGCTGTTGAGGGTTGCTGCTGGCAAAGAGGCTTTGAGCGATGGCGAGAAGGCATGGCTCAAGACTTGAATAGTGTTTAGGCGATGTGTGGTTTTATCAGTATCTCTCTCATCAGGATACTGCCCCAAGATGTTTTCTTTACAAGCGAAGAAAGTAATTACTCCGTATGAGACAGGACGTATCCTACTCATTATCTATTTCAGAGGCAACAGGTCAGGGGTACAATGTCTGCCATGTCCTTCCAAATCGCATCTTCCCGGCTTCAGCACGGGCAGGCATGTTCCCATAGCATCAGCATTTTTCATCATGTTTAAGATCCAATCAGACCATGCACACGATGATCTCACTATTAAGCAGCCTTGAAAACATTTTGGAACAATAAAAAAAGTTGATAGAGCATCGGGAATCATCCAGGAGTACGTCCTGGTAGTCTATGAACCTATCTACAGACATCAAGAAATGGGGTCTCATCCACTCATCACTCATTAACAGCCCTTCCTTTTTCGGGGGCACCAATCCTTTCTGTCCTTTTTTAGTGAAGCGCCTGAGCAAGCTTCTGCACCAACTGGCGGGTCTCCGGCTCCAACTGCTCCTCAGGCGGGCTGAGGACGGCCTGCAGGATGGGCAGGATCTTGGGGGTGAGCTGCTGGACCGTGGGGTTCTGCTGGTCGTACAGCTTGTAAATGGCCTGGTAGATGGGGGCGTTCTCCTCGTAGTCCTCCTTGAGGGGCAGGACGTTGACGATGGCAGGGAGGACGCGCTCGACGAACTCGGGGTTGGGGTTAACGATGATCATGCGGGAGATGCAGCCAGAGACGTTATCAACCATGCGGGACTCCTGGATCTGCAGGAGAGGCTCAAGCTTCTGCAGGATGGCGGGGTACTGGGGAATGGTCTTGTCGGTCTGGGTGGAGTTGAAGATGAGCTGACCGGTGGCGTAGGCGGCGTTAGACTTGGCGAGAGAGTCCTCGTCGGTCAGACGGTGGGTCAGGACAGGCAGAAGACCATCAGTGAAGGGGGTAACGGCGTTGCCCATGTACTTGATGGCCTCAGCGATGACACCGACGGAGGTGGAGCGCTCAAGAGCCTCCTGGGAGCTGGCGAACTTGAGGATGGGCTTCTCGAAGACCTTCCACATCTCGGCAAAGTCACCGCCGAGAGCGGTGGCGAGGCCGAGGATGACATCCATGGCGGTGTCAATAACAAGCCAGTCGAACTCGGAAGAGCCCTCGGCCTCCTGCTCCTCTTCCTCGTCTCCAAGGTCCTGCTGGCAGGGGTGGGAGCGGGTAATGAGGCAGCCGAGGACGGTCATGCTCTCCTTGAGCATGTCCTCGTGGGTGAGAACAGCGGGTCCGCAAGCCTTGAGGGTGGCGGCAATGTTGCGGTTGATCTCGGTAATGACACCACTGTATACTAGTTAGCGACCACGATCATTATAGTAATCGCAAATTAAGTATGGAATTGCCCAATGAATCAGACGTGATCAAACGTGTTCTCAGCACCCGCACTTTGTGCGTCTGAGTGAGCTGGGTATAACGCGAGTTACTCATCCTTTTAAGGGCGGGGGAAATAAAAACAGGAAACTGGAGAATTATAAGGTACATACCGCTCGGTGTCCTCAGCCCAGACGCTGAGGGTGGCCTTGACGACCATCTGGCCGAGACCGACAAGGACGGAGTCGGGCTGGTGCTTCAGAGGAATACCAGCCTCCCACTTGGCGCCGGTCTGCTCCTCAATGAGCTGCCAGACACGGGCGTAGGAGCGCCAGAGAGTAGAGATGGCAGCCTTGCGGGCACCATCGTAGGGGTGCTCGGCGAGGGGAGTAACGCGCTCCATGGCCTGGTCAAGGTACTGCTTGATGGCATCAACACCGCAAGAGTGGGTGATGACGTCGCCGAGAACCTCAAGAGCAATCTCCTGCTCGAGAGCGACGGCGGTGACACCAGTGAAGTCATCGATGTCATCCCAGTCAGCATCATCATCGTCCATCTCGTCCTCGTCATCGACGGACTTGACGCGAAGCTTCTTGCCGCCAGTGAGGAGCAGACCCTCGGGAAGGTCCTCCTCCTTGAGGCCAGGGATGGAGATCTCCTCCTCCTCAAGCTCAAGGCAGTCGAAGAGACCCTTGAAAACACCGGGAAGGAAGTGGGTGAACTCGCTGCCGTAAACCTTGGACAGGGAAGCCCAGAGGATGAAGCTGGTCTCCTTGAGACGAGCGTTGTCGAGGGCAAGAGCCTCCTCGCTGGCCTTCATGAGGTCCATGACGTAGGGCTGGAACTCCTGAGCGCCAACAGCGTCGGCAATGCGACCCATGGAGTCGCAGACGGAAGAACGGAGAGCAAGAGCCTCCTCGCTGTCCTTGATGTTGACGTACTGGCCAAGGGCACCCATGACCTCCTTGAAGTAAGGCTTGAACTCCTCGCCACCCAGAGCGGAGGCGATGGCACCGATGGCGCCAGCAGCGGCAGACTTGACGCTGAAGTCCTCGTGAGCAAGAAGCTTGCCCATGGGGACAATGAGCTTGGGGCCGAAGGTCTTGATCAACTGCTCGTCGAGACCCTCGCCGATAAGGGAGTCAAGGGCACCGCAAGCAGCACGGATGATGCTGATGTTCTGCTTGTCAGAGGAGCCAGCGGCAGCCTCGAGGTTGCTGAGCAGAGCACCAATGAGGGCCTCGTGCTGGGGGGAAAGCTCATCGGCCATCTCGTCAGCAAGGTGAATGACACCAACGAGGGCGGCGTGGCGGACAGAGCTATCCGGGTCGTTCAGCAGCTGGAGGACCATGGGCATCAGAGGCTGGAGCTGAGTGGCAATGAAGTCAGGAGCTCCCTCGGCGGCAGTACCGAGAGAGAGGATAGCAGACTTGCGGAAGCCAGGGTTGGCGTTCTGAGCAAAGTTGGGGAACTGCTCGAGAAGAGGGACAATAACCTGACGAGGGGGCAGGTCGCTGGCCAGCTGGTCGATAAGGCTGAGGGCAGTTCTGGCAGGAGAGTTGTCGTCCTCGTCGGCATCGTTGTCAATCTCAGTGACAATCTGCATGCTCTTGACCATGAGCAGAGCACCCATGTCCTTCATGGCCTGGATCTTCATACGGCGGTAGCGAGCGCACTGGCTGAGGAAGGCCAGGGCCTGGGAACGGGCATCCTCCTCAACCTCGGTGTTGACAGCGAGGTCGATCATGAAGTGAATGAGGTCCTTGAGGTGGGCAGCCAGGAGGGCAGAGTCATAGGCCAGGAAAGACTGGAAAACCTCGAAGATGTCCCTGTACTGGTCATCGTTGCCGTTCTCAATGGCGCTCTTGAGGATCTCAACCATGGGCTGAACGAGAGACTGAAGGATGTTCAAGCTCTCGGCATCCTCCTCGGGGTCGATAAGCATCAGCAGAGCACCGACAGCCTTGGCAGAGTTGAGACGAACGTCGGCGCTGGCAGGGTCGACGATGGTCTTCTGGATCAGACCAAGCAGCTGGCTGGTCTGCTCGGCGAAGTGTGTGGGGTCATTCTCCAGCAGAGCGAAGAGAATGTAGGAGCCAACCTCGCGGTGGGCGACGTTGTCGGAGGTGTTCAGGGAGAGAAGCTCACGGACGAAGTCCTGGCCCTCGCCATCCTCGAGATCGAGGCCGACAGCGCCAGCAAGGAGACGCGACTTGGAGTGGCGGGAAGAGGCAGACTGGTCGTTCAGAATGCTCTCGGAGAGGTGCTTCTTGGCAAGATCCCGCTTGTCAGCAGGGAGCTTAGCCCAGTGCCTGGGAGTCAGGCGCAGAGCCTGCACAGAGGCAAGCTGTCGGATTCCGGCATCTTCGTGGGAGATGGTGACCTCAATCAAGAGGAGAAGAGACTCGGGCTTGGAGTAGTAGTTCTTCTGCAGCTCGGCCGTGACGGCCTTGACCTTCTCGGTGTCGGCTGAAGAGGAAAACAACAAGTCAGCAAAAAGAAGCTCGATGAAAAGTTGCAAGTGAAGAAAAGAGAGAGAAAAAAAAAAGCAATCAAATTTTAAATAGACGAGAGACACGAAGCGAGAGAAGCGAGGGCGCGGAAAAATAAAGGAGGCTGGCTTGACTGGGTTTGGTGCCGGGGTGGCACAGGGCGATGACGGGGTAGAGAGGGAGAGTATAGAGAGACTTACGAATCTGGCTCGCTTGGAGCAGCTGGACCAAGTTTCCTTTATCCATCTTGAAGCTGTTGATGTCTCGTCGTCCTCACGACTTGCGCGCAAAAAAAGGAAGACGAGAGGGGAGAAGGAGGGGGACGAGGAAAAAAAAGAGAAAAAAAAGAAAAGGCCAGGCGCGTAGAATTTTATCCAAAGAAGAATGGACGGGGTGCTGGCCAGTTGTTTTTGTTGATGCCCGAACCACCTATGACACGGCGTAACCAAGCGGGAAAAAAAAAAAAAAAAATAGGTGCCAGCTAGGTCGACCACACAAAATTTTAGGGGACCAGCGTGAAAATTTCGAGATTAGCCCCGCCACTATTGATAAGATAACGAATGGAAGCCGCCTGGAAGGGAAGAAAAATCAAAAAAATTTCCTGCAAGGCGGGGTTAGGTCCAGGTACCCCTCACCGCGCCTGCAGAAGTCATCAGGGGTACGTACTGTTGTGTTGCCTCTGCCCCTCCATTCACGTGCATCCTATTTTTTTCACTGCATTTGCTGCATTATTGACTGGGCCAAAGTTCTTCATGCTGCCAGAAGTTTGTGGCTACTAGTAGGTAAATGAACACCACCTTCTAGACTGTATTAGTGTGATTCTGTAGAAGGGACTAGGAGAGACAAGCGTCTCTCAGCCATCTCATCATTGGTTTTCTCTTCACCCAGAATGATGCTTAACCGCCTCCGCAGCGTATCCCACCCCCATCCAGTTCCCCCCTCTTCCCGCTCTTCGGTGTGAATTCTGCCAGTGGAACATCCTTGAAAATATGACCTGCAATATGTCCAGGGCTGGTCTCTCGAGCAATGCTTAAAACCCACAACCGTGAGGGAAAAGGGGTTGCTTTCGATGACTTTCGCCCATCGTTGATGGAGGCCTCTACGGCAAAGTTGCCCTGCCCCTCACCATGAAGCAATTGCAGATTCTGCAAGCCCGCGCGAGTCGCGGCATGAATTGTGGGCTCGGACTCGTTTCGAGTTCAGCATTATGCCGAGTCTCTTCACCGACATTCCACTCGACCGGTCCTGGGACCCACCCGGGTCCGTCTCGGTATCGGCATATCGTCCAGTACCATGGCCCACATCGGCTTCAGTCCTGCGCCGGCAGAAGACATGAACATGCCGTCACGTTACCGCGGGAAAATGCTAGACGTGATTTATATTGGTTGGACCTACGAATTTGCGCTGGTACTGGACTGCGGTCATCATTCTGTAACCCTTTTTCAGTCCAATGAGCCTCTTCAACAACTCATTCTCATGACTTTGATTCGAATAGGTCTATTTCAACGAGACAACATTTTCTCACCCTTTACGTGCTTTCCATTCAGGCCTCAAGCTGGGCAGCCACCGTCTGCTAGCTATGAGCAGTGCCTTTCGAAAACAGGCTGAGTTCAGGTCCGTCCTGATTAATGTTGAATGAGACACCCAGTTATCCCTCGCCTATTGGGCAATAATGGTCATCGGTATGAGACGAATGGTAGGTTCTAGCGCCGCTTTGCTCATTTCAATTGTCTTTTCTCAATGGATTCTACGTATGGTGCCATGTTGCCTGAAGATCAATTTCAGGATCCAGGTAGTCCTTATGCTACAGAACCCCCAATGAAAGTAGACGCTATGCACGCCATGTTATCTTATTGGAATTCCACGCCAATTCAGCTTTAATATGAGATCTCTAGTCGGCCAAGTAGAGCCGTTTCTCTTTCCTGTCCTAAGAGAACTTTATTCGAGTTACTCACCATCTCGTTCCTTCCATTTCTGATTCATAACGGCACAAGGGAAAGAGACTTCCGGCCAGGAGTAAGTATCTAAACTCAAAATTGTATAACATGCCCGTCTTCTGTATTAATGGCATCTCAAGAAAGCCAGTCATCAGCGAAGCTTTTGATGACACTACCTATCTCTGCTTCTAATACCGTAATACGGGACTCTGGCCCTCATGTTCGCAATGGGTTCTTCACAAACAGGTTGAGTTCGACCAACACCCGCGTCCATCAAGCCCTGAGACCCAGTGAGGGTCGCACAGCCTTGGGGAGTGAGCATCCCATCAGCTCAGGTAAACCAGTTTCAGCAGGGTAACTGTGACCGTAAACTGTTAATTGGGCATAAGCTGCGTTAGTGTGAAACACGGATGGCTTGGAAGGCTTTTTTCTTTCGGCTACATTTACACTGAACTTGAAGCGACCAAGTTCGGGACCCAGTGAGTGGCTTCTAAGCAGTCATGTCTAACAATCGCGAGGTGTTCCCATATAAGCTTGAGTCTCATTTCGTGTGAACACCTATATGAAAACTCAGGCAAAGGCATTAGAAGTCAGGTCCAAGGCTAAGGGACAAGTACAAATTTGATCAGTGCTGATGCTACACCCAAAGACATAAAAAGCACATGTGGAATGACATCACGATCAAGTACTGCTCATAGCTTTTAAGGCAAATAGCCATGCTCCATTATATTTTAAGTGTCCTAAGGAATGTATCGTGATATGCCTATGCTGCCGAATGAATGAATAGCGCCGAATCCATGCAATATTTGTGATCATGCTTCGTCCCGCCCCCCGTATTGATTACCACCGATTAATGCCAAATAATGCTCATATCGTAAAAACACACACGTTTTTTTGTTTTCCACGTTTCAAATCGTTTACAGACCGCAGGCGCTGAGAGCGACCTGGGTAGCCTGGGCCTCGACGCGGCCGAGCTGGTTGGCCTGGCCGTTGGTGAGGTCGTTCATGGCGCCGAGGGCGATGTTGAAGCCGGAGCCGGCGTGGTCGATGGCGAGAACGTTGATGCTCTTGCCGTTGTAGGTAAGCTGCCAGCAGGTGCCGCACTGTTTTTCCGTGTTAGTCATCGTCACGGAATAGAAAGAGGCTATTTCATTGTGAGAGGAGCGGGCTTACGTTGGGGGAGTTCCAGCCGGCAACGGCATCAGCACCGCCGATGTAGGGGAATCTGGCGACCTGGCCCTGGTTCTGCCAGCCGTACTTGGTCTTCAGGCCGTTGGCGCCGTCGGAGCAGGAGACGACATCCAGGGAGCGAGCACCGTCGTCATAGCCGGTGTCGAAGGAGACGGAGACAGCCGCGGCGGAAGCGACGGCGGAGAGGATGGTGACGAGGCCGGAGAGCTGCATTTTGGCTGTGGTGTGTTGGGTTTTTGGGGGTGGTGAAGTATATGGAGCTCGAGGGCTGAGTGGTGAAGATGAGTGTAAGTTGGAAGAGGCTTGATGAGGATGAGGAATAAGAGAAACGAAAATGTCGTGATTCTTCATCCTCTCTTTATAGAATCCGAACGAACTGTAAGACCCCTACATCCACCCCGACCTCCTGCTCATCAGCGTCTCCTCCCTTTTCCTTCACAGCCCCATAGCAACGGAATCTACCGCTCCATCACCAGATTCTCGCCGAGGCGGCCATCCCTAACTGGTGAGGCATGACGTTGTAGTCTCTCGGGCAATAGCGTCATGTCGTGACATGGGAACAGGCGGAGGACCCTTGCGACCAGAGCTTGGCGACGGGTTTACGCCGGTTGTCACATCCACATCGCATGGGACGACTGCCGGAGTAGGCAAAGCACCTTGGCTTCCCCAGGGTTCCGTCAATTCGTATTGAGGGTGGGATGCTACGCTGGCACAGGCGAGCTAAGGCAAGGTAAGGTGAGGAAAAGTGCCGATCACAGATCTTTGGCGGCCGTTGGTCGTGGGGAAACATCATCCAACAAACAAAATAGAGTGGGCCCCATGCCATGGGCTGGGGGAGGCAGAGAGAAGAGCGGCGAGCCGAGGATTCCCATCCTCGTATTCACTGTCCACGCGCATTGTTCGAGTGGCTACGGCGCTGCGGGCAGGGCTGTCAGTGTCATCCTGCTGTTTTTAGCACTCTCCATCTCCCCCTAAGGCCTGTTGGGGATAGTGCTTTCTTTGTGGGTTGCACCCCAATGGATTCGCCCCAGTTTGCCAGCCTCCCTTTCGCAGTTGAGTTGTGGAACAAACACGAACAGTAACCGATATTCTAACATCAGCTGCGCAGATATCCCTATTTACAAAGTATCGAGTCAGGGACTTAGAAGACCGTCGATCATTTGGTTGATGCATACTTTCGGGCTATTTTTTGTTGCCGCCTTGGCCGTCGGGTCAGCGGCGTCGGAAGACATTTTTTCCTTAACTTAAACATTCGATATAGTATGCGTTGCTCCACAGCAGCATCCATAGAATGGGGCCGAAGGTAACGTCAGGTGGTCACTGTTTGCCTCGTGTTTTCCAGAAGCAGTTTCTTCGCCAACGCATGCGCCCATGCGAACCCATCGGATTTTGACCAAGGCCCGCTCTCGCTTTCGGGTGAGGCGAAGACGATTTACTCTGCTGTCTGCTGTATGAGAGAGAGAGAGAGAGAGAGAAGGAGAGAGGAGTAATGCGAGCTCTCGTGGGCTTACGACAGACATTAGCAGACGTTGTTCAACCAGTACCAACGGCAGGCTAAAACTGAGCCCCAGGAATCCTGCCGGGCATCATCGCCACATGGAAAGGACGCCAATCAGACGCCATTGCAGAGGCTAGGAGTAGCTCCCCTGTGATGGCGGAGGGGCTTCGATGCTTTCGCTGACGGACTGCACTATACTATGCTGACTATCCGTCGAGCAACGTTACAAGCGCGCAAGCGCGGATCGCAGCGCCAGTCTCACTTGTCTGCTAGTTATGGAAATAGTGGCCGATCAGGCGCTGCGTACATCCCTGAATAGATTCCCTCCGCGGTGCACCCGAGACGAGGGAACCTAGTCCGGCGTCGAAAGTGATGATGTTAGTAGTGCAGCCCTGGAGCCGAGAATAGATGCTCGGGCGACTTCGGCCGCAAAGGTGGTGACGGGCAATATCAGCACTCGCAGTTTCCATAACCTTCCCCATTATAGGGACCGCTAGTTAATTGATGGGCCGGTGGAGCTCGCGGTTGGCTCGGCAGAAACACGAGGTCTTGTCTCGCCTCTCCGCTTGCTTTTCGCTGTTTCCAGTAGATCGAGGGAGGCGGTGAATCAGCGTCGCTCGGGAAACCCGTCAGCACCCGACGGAAGTAGATCTGATTATCGTCTTGGGATGGTTGGGGTGAGGCTCCGCTTCGAGACGAGGATATCGAGTGCCGATCGGTGGGCACAGGCATGATGGAGAGCGGTACTGGTCATCGTATCAATAGCTCCGGGGAAAGTCAACAGATGAAGTGCAAATACGAGCTCTCCCAACGACAAAAGTAATATAAAAAGGCGGAGATGTGAGTTGACATATGGTTAAGCGGTCTCACGTCGATCGCTTGTTGAACGTGGAGTCTTAGACAATCAAAAAGATGGGCAGATGTTGATTTTTCCAGTCCAAGAGATGCCCACATGATGATTCATGATGCTGGAGGATAGTGTCAGATGGGAACCAAAGATATGTTTAGCTGCATGTTGGAATCCTTCATTTGATTCATTCAACATGAGAACTTACTGATAGGCAAAGTCAAGACTGGTTTGTACAGTGTCGCAAATGGATGCCCTCACATCGTGTTTGACATCTTGTTTCGCACCTCTGTCAACAGTAATGCATCCCGCGATATAGATACCGTCACCCTCAAGAGATGAAGTCGAAAAAAGGGGTTGTCATTGGCAAAGACACCATCGCCAAGTTTAGACTTTCAACATCTGAGGGAATATGGCGCGATAAGGCAAACCCGCCCACAGGCGGGAACGATAAGAAAGCAGCCCCCCTAAACCGCGACGCATTGGCCAATGGGCAGTCGTCAGAAGCACCCCGCACTCGACGTAGGGCTTTCACCCCGCCAAAACAGTCCGGCTGAGGGGGGGTTGCGCCGCAGCGGTGCCTCCGTCATCGGGCAGCCGCTCAAATTTTTTTGAGTCACTGTATACGGAAACATCAATCAGTTGGTAGGAACGAAGCGATCTACGCTCATTTCACACTCATTGTAAGGAAGAAAAAAAAAGCCGGAGGTATCCTTTCACCGAGGATTCACCTTGTTCAATAAGTCGATTATTTTTTTTTTTTCGAGAAATCCTTACAGCCCCTTGCAATTGAACATTGCCCGTTCCAATCAGGCCAGATTCACCTGAACCCCCCTCATCTCACTTACTATTACTACCCTCTCACACATAACTTACACCGCTTGGCCCGTCATGACCAAGGAAACCTTTGTGATCAAGACGCCCTCGTCGTCCGCCAATATCGGCCCGGGCTTCGACGTCATCGGTCTCGCCCTCTCCATCTACCTCGAGCTGCACGTCACCATCGACCGCTCCGTCCAGACCTCTTCCGAGCCCCTCAACTGCCGCCTCACCTATGAGGGCCAGGGCGAGGGCACCTCCGATATCAGCCTCGACCCCTCGGTGAACCTCATCACCCGTGTTGCCCTCTACGTCCTGCGCTGCCACGGCCAGCGCATGTTCCCCGTCGAGACCCATGTGCACATCAAGAACCCCATCCCGCTGGGCCGCGGTCTCGGCAGCTCCGGTTCCGCTGTCGTCGCCGGTGTCATGCTCGGCAAGGAGGTCGGCCGCCTCGACCACCTCAGCCTCGACAGGTTATTTGACTTTATTCTCATGATTGGTAAGTATTTTTCTTCCATCCAGTCTGTGACGGAGACTTTTGTTCCTTGCTCACACAAAGAACAGAGAGACACCCCGACAACGTCGGCGCATCTCTGTACGGCGGCTTCGTCGGCACCTACCTCCGCCCCCTGAAGCCCGAGGACGTCCAGCGCATCGAGATCCCGCTTAGCGAGGTCCTCCCGACCCCGGCCGGCGGCGTCGACACCGGCGAGACCCCGCCCGAGCCGCCCCACGGCATCGGCCACCACATCAAGTTCCCCTGGGCCAAGGAGATCAAGGCCATCGCCATCATTCCCGAATTCCAGGTCCCTACCCACCTTGCTCGTGAGGTCTTGCCACCCCACTATACCCGTCCTGATGTTGTATGTATTCCTGCGTCTCTTTTACACACACTCTCTCTCTCTGTCTCCCTCTCACTCTCACTCTTGACTTGAACTTCGAGTGCCTTTGTTGATGACCCCAAACTAACCCGGCCCAGACCTTCAACATGCAGAGAATAGCCCTGCTCCCCGTCGCCCTCGGCACCTCCCCGCCGGACCCCGAACTCATCCACCTCGCAATGCAGGACAAGATCCACCAGCCGTACCGACAGACGCTGATCCCCGGCCTGAGCCAGATCGTCGAGAGCATGTCGCCGAGCACGCAGGAGGGCTTCCTGGGCGTGTGTCTCTCGGGCGCCGGTCCCACCATCCTTGCGCTGGCCACGAGCAACTTTGAGGAGATTGCCAACCGCATCATCAAGATCCTCAAGGAGAACAACTCCAACAAGGACGTCGAGTGCCGGTGGAAGGTCCTTGAGCCCGCTGAGGGTACGCAGGTTATCCGGTAATGTTCGGGTGCGAGGTAACGAAAACCGGCGGGCGGGTGATTTTATAGACGGGGGTGGGGATATCTACTCAACGTAGCAGAAAATGCATGCTCAATGTAGCAGGATATGGATGAGGAGAAAAAAGAACAAACAAAGCAAAAAAAATGATTAAAGAAATAGACGAGTCTTGATACCCATCCAGTGTTCCCCTTCCCTATCCAAACAACACTCCCCATCGTCCACGCCACTCCGGGTTCCTCTTGAACAAATCTCGACTTTCCACCCTTGTATCCCACGACGCAAGCTTGTCTTTATACCCGCTCAACCTCGCCTCGAACTCCTCCCCGTTCCAAACCTCCCGTCCATCAACCACCTCCCTCCCAGGCGGTCCGACCTGCTCAATCACAAAACTAGCCGCGACAGCACCGTACGCCGAAGCGAGCACCTCGTCGCCCATCTTCTCAAACGCAACGGCAAACGCACCCAGGAAAGCGTTCCCCGCGCCCGTCGCGTCGACGACCTTCTCAGACCCGATATCGTGATACGGCGGCAGCCACAGGGGGTCGGCGCACCGCGGGATGACGAGGCACCCGTGCTCGCCGCATCTCACGACCGTAACCCAGCGCCTCTCGAGCATCTCATCCGTGTCCCAGTCGCCCGAGATCATCGACGCGGCGGCCTCGACCCGCGACCTGCTATACGGTGTGCCTAACCCGGTGCCCTGCATCGCCGTTACTTCGTTGTCGTTTGGAGATACCACGCCAACGCGGCCTGCGACGTCCAGGTGGTCTTTCCATGCACCCTTGCAATGGAGAGGCGAGGGTTCCCACGCGATCAGCGGCTGGGTTGTCGTCGACATGCCACGTAGCGTTTTCAAGGTATCAGTTTGCGACGCGAGATCCTCTGGTGAAGCCAATGTATGAATGGCGGACGAGCGGAGGAGAGCTTCAGGCAGCTTGGAGAGATCCGGACGGAGGGGCGGTGATGTATATCGGAATGTCTTGTCTGTAGAGATATCATTAATACCCTGTCTGAGGTCACGGTGAGAAGACCGGGGAAGGGTAACCTCCAAAAACATCATCTTTGTAGCATAGCAATCCCCGCGTGGACGGGCTTCCCGCAATCTTCTGCAGCTTCACCTCAACCCCCCAGTCTTGGATCTGGCTTATCGCAGAGGAGGGAAAGTCGTCGCCGGCAGGGATGAGGCAGCAAATGGTCTTGCTCTCACTCTGTGGGACAGCAAGACGGGCGCCCAACGTGCCTGCAACACACCATCAACACATATTCTAACGGTCCAAACCAGCAAAGAGGAAGAGGGGGCCTGTGACTGACTGTAAAATCCGGAACCGCCGGGCACGTCACGTAGGACTCGACCGCCGTGGAAGTGGATCTCATCGATTACGACCATCCCGAGCGATACAAACGCCGGAGCCCGCTCCCGCTCCCGCTCCTGCTCCGGGGCCGCATCCGGGGGCGGGGTAGTCATGATTGGTCGGGAACTATCTGTGTATCTGCAAGCAGATCAGATCGCGATGGAGCTCTCGATTTACACCAACACTCACAGAGGAGAAATGTCTCAAACAAATTCAGCAAATACCCCACTTTGCTTTTTTCCATCTTTCTTTTTTTCCAACATTTTAATTAGGCCCGCGTGGGCCAGGAAACGGTGTTGATTGGGGCATCACTTCACGTGTCTCCCGCCCCCCCATGAGGCGTTCCCAGAGAAATGAAAGGGAGGAATCTCGTCCGTTCTTTTCGTGTTACGCAGCCATCAACAATCGCCAGGGACGGCCCGTCTCGTTGCGATTCCCCGGAAACTAACACGTAGCACGTGAATGTAAACTCCAATAGATTGGACCGTGATGCAGATTACAAACCATGACGGGCAATCGGCATGCCTCCTTGCGTTCACCACTCCTGCAAGTAAACAGGCCGCAACGCCCTCCTCATTCAATGTTTCCCAGAGAGATGCGAGGGTCCAGTCACCTGAGGTTGGAATGAGCGGTGAGACAGCATAAACGGCCACCTCTCATTCGCCCTGTGTTCGAGATCCGCGACTGAGGATGCCAGTTGAGCGTCTACCCAAACAGGCCCAGCCGACGTGGTTTCTTCATTCTGGGCTCCTTATCTCCATCTCGCATGCACATGCCTCTTCAGAGACATACATAACTTTGCATGTAGTATGCATGCATTTAGAGTCAAATGAGACCTACAAGCGCGCACTTTGATCGCCAACCGCCACAATAAGGTACTCACGTATCGGGAAACCGGGACCTGCGCCGGGCGCAGACGAGGCGCCGCCATATCAGCCATTCCTCCGGCTTCAGGCTCTGTTATCAAAGATGTCCCGATAAACCTCACAGCCACTATTCGTGATTCGGATGGCCATGCAGACTAACAGTCGTGAGTTCTTCACTGATAGGGCTGCCTACGCTTCCAGTTAGAAGATGGCACGGCATACCATGGTCGCCTAGACACGGGAAAAACCCGAATGTCGAGGCACGGCCTTGCTCCGGCAACAAAGTTTGCTAAAAATATGGCACACACACGGTGTTCCTCCGTTGAGGCTTCTCCCAGGTTCTCTCTGTCTCCCCGCACAGACTCGCTTTGGTGTCTCCCAGGAGCATGGGAATGGTCCGAGGCAACCCCCACGGCCACGGACGGTTTGAACTTCGGCGACGTCCTGTCTCCTGCGTCCCGCGGGTATCAGAATGTCGGGTTTTGGGGGTTCCTCGGCGTTGCTTCATCTCTTCATCATCACCGGTGCCATGGTTCTTCAATGTTTCGCACCTGTAATGGGCATTATTAGGCGGAGAACCGCCGAGTTTCGAACAACGGGACAGCAAACCGAGACGCCGTCCGAAGTGTAAACTGCACGAGTCTCGGTGCGATGGCCGAGACGGAGACAGCCCGCAGGCGAAGTATGATGAATTGCGGCTTACTACGTAATACTTCGAATTCGAGAGCAAAGGGGCATGTTTGCAACTGTTCCGGGTGCTCGTCGGGGCTATCCGAAGTGTCGCGACGATACCATCGATGACTCAAGGCGTCATCGGAAGGTGTTCCGACATTTGTCCTGTAGCATTCGGGGCGAGTTCGGTGGAGAGTGGTGGAGAGCATCAGGAGAGACGCAGAGGGTTCATGTTTCCCAACGATCTGGCTACACAGTGATCGCCGTCTTTCTGGCCAATCAAGCCAGGTTTAATTCCTTGAACAATTCGACGAACGAGAGTGAGCCCTGCATGCAAGGCCCCAAGCGGTGAGAGAGGTTCAGCTCGAGATGCCATGTTCCTCGCCCTGGAGCCCTGTCAGGCGGGCTTTTACCAGCCAGTCAATTCAATTATGCTTTTAATGGTTCCAACGGGGAACTGGGAACCTTGTTGTTGAATTTGGTAGAAGCACAGCGATCATCGGGGGTCGGTTCCGTCTTTTTCTCCTTTCTAGAACACGTCACTGTCACTGTCGAGGTCAGTGTACAGTACCTCAGGTACATGGGCTGTTGGGGTAGCAGGTGGTGCAGGTCAAGCCAGACAGGCAGATGGAGCGACAGGAACGGGAACCCCATCCAGGCATGCCCAGCCGACGGGGGGCGATCATGGGGTCGTAGGTGCGGCGCAAGGAGCTTGAACGCTAGCTCGAGCATGTCTTGGAACTGGGGCAGGGGAGAGCATCCGGTGCCAAACCAGACCATTTTTGGAGTCGTTCATGAGCGAAAGGGGGCTTTGAACAGACGAGGTTCTAGTTTTTTGAGGTATGAGTTGACTATTTTCACAATGGTTGATAGGAACTGTTCCATGTCGATGTTGGAAGTGGAAAAGAGAAACGATGGTGACGGAAGGCGGGGACAAAAGGCAGAAGACGGCAGACGCCAATGCGCGTCTCGGTCAACAATCTTCAAGTGGCAGACCAGGCGTGCGTTAGGAAGCGACAGTATTGATCGGTGAGGACGAAGAGTGGTGTACTAGGTTAGTGGTTAGTAATGGTAACGGTGAGAACTACCTTACTCTGGTACGGAGTACGGATACAGGCAAAAAGGTGTGGTGTGGTGGAGACGGGAGGAAGTGTGCATGTACCGGGGTAAAGACCCATAAATGGCCCAAGCTCCTCAACGTCTCGAAGCTTGGGGTTTGCTCTGGCTTTTTTGTTTTTATTTATTTTTATTTATTCCTTTTTGGTGCACTATGTATTGCACCAGCACCAGAAACGGACACTGACAAAGACAGACAGAAACAGTGGGATTGGCTGGTTGTTGACTGTTGGCAGGTACCAAAGACAGGGCCACATTACAGGGCATCTCCTTCCCTCTCCCCCTGTCAGATGCCCTGATCCTCCTTATTCCTACTCGCCTCGAGTTCCCCCAACGTACAATGTTACACCCAGGTTTGTGGATGCTGGAGTCAACAATCAGAACAGACAGAAGGGATCTGGCCGTGCACAGCCCTCTAACAGTCATTTCAACAGCTCAACTTAGCTCAGCTCAGCTCAGCTCAACAGGCATAGCATGAAGAGGAGCAAATATCCCTGGATCACTGCGGCGAAAAACACCCAGGACAGGAGACCAAGAATAGTAAAAAAAAGATGATGGAAAGCGCAGAGACCACAAACCAGACACGTAACGTCCATACTACGTACGTGTACGTGGTACCTACGCTTGTACACCAACACCACATCGGACTCGTCATGCCGATCTGCCAGCACGCTGTTGTTCAGGGTAGAGCATGTCTCTCTAATTTTCTGTTGAGAGTGTCTAAAATCCCAGCCCGTTTTCTTATCGGCATCACCGGGTTGGCTGCTTGGCCACAGGACCCTAGAGCATGAGCATTCAGTGACGCTGGAACGTGTCTGTCTAGTGTTTGCTCTTCTGTCTTGGTAGTCTGGTGGTAGTGGCAGTAGTGGCTGATCAACTCACTCGACTGGGCGCAATCCTCCCTCCCGAGAAGCCTCCCGCCATTCCCTCCTTCACGATCTGTGTCCGCCTGCGCGCCAGCAGGTTTCCGCCTCGCACTTTTTTCGGCCTGCACGATTGAAAATCTGACATGGGGGGACAATCTGACACCCGAAAGCCAGTTCGCAGGTGGCACTAATTTAGGCTCAACACCATTTTGCACTGGCACTCGTTCAGGTGGTTGTTTGTTTCTGCGTCCCACTAACACCAACTAGTCGTCTGTGTTTCTCTCGTCTTCCCCTTCTCTCGCTCTCTCTCTCTCACTCACACACACACTCATACTCGCGCTATGGCAAACGTAGACCTTCCATCCCGTCCGTTGCCCGCCTTGGCAGGGTCACGAAGATGCTTCAACATAGGCCGAGTGCGCCGTGTGCCTGGCTGGCCTGACCTGATCTGACCTGACCTTGATCGGACCGCTCCAGTGAATACCGAGTTTCGGTCACCAAACAAGCCCAGAATGGAATCCCACTTTCTGGGACTAACTGCTGGGCCCCCCACATTCATCGCAGCTCTGCAAACGGAAAATGTTCCATAATTTCGTCCATGTGTGTGTGCGTATTATCTGTCAGTCCACGATCTGGAGCCGCTCGAATCCAGATTCAGCATCACAGATGCAGCGGTCGCGGTAGTTCCTATGCATAGAAAGTGGGAAGAGAAAGAGATAGAGGGATCCATCCATCTCGAACCGCACCATTCCCCTCCCGTCGTCAGCTCACGCGCCCGCACCCATGGGGTGTTTTTGCCTCCGGCCTTAGCTGTGGCTACCAACATTCCATTGTATAATAGTGCCATTTTTACGGCAAGTTTTCAACATACTCGACGTACCACTCACTATACGAGCAGTAGTTGGTTCCCTGCTGCTGAACAGCAAAGTCTCCGAATCTATTTCCATACCCGCAGCGTCTAGACTTCTTCTGCAGCCTGCTAGACACTAGACCACCACCAAAATAAGCCTACCCGTTGAGAACGGACAGACGAACGAACAACTAATTCTCACCTCATGTGCTTGCACCATTATGCAGCAGCAGTGGAGAGTAAAACAAATAAAAATTAAAAGGGCATAACAACATGGCGTGCATTGAGACCATGAAAAATGTACATCACCACCGACACGTACTGGCCCCTCCCATCCCCACCCACCAACCAAGTAAACTACCCTGCTGATCTGATTGGATCCCTCCCCAACAATACAGGGCAGCTAGGGGGTGGGCTGGAGGTACCTACAGTACCGTTACCTGCTCGCTGACAGGGGGCCGGGGGGGATTATGGGGTCTCGCCTCACCCTCTACCGGCACTCGACCGCCGTCCATCGGACCTCCGTGTACATGCTCATCCTGCCTCTCGACCACGGACACCCAAGTATCTTTTCTCCAAAAACGGTCGGTCACTTACACCAGAGACTCAGGTACTGTACCTAGACTTTTTTTTTTTTTAATCTGCTTCCACCTAGTGCTGCTGCTGCTGCTGCTACTCTTGCTACTCCCCGTTCCCATCTCATCCCATCCTGAACCTAGACCGGCAAGCCAAATCCATCCATCCATACACCACCCATCCCAACCCGTCCCATCCCATCCAACCACAATCCATCCAAGGTTCCAAGCCAGGGGTGTGTCTATGTGTGAGTAGAGTTGAGCAAGTGTGTGAGGGAGACAACCCAGGTGTGAGTTGTGTCCCGTCTGTTGCGTGCGTGTGAGTGTGTGTGTGTGTGTGTGTGTGTGTGTGTGTGTGTGTGTGTGTTTGTGCGCCAGTGTATGAAGCTCAGTCTGTCTCTGCCTCCCTCCCCCTCCTCCTCCTCCTCCTACTCCTCCGCATGTGTATATCTGCCGTGCGACTCCCCTCCCTCTCGTTCCCTCTTCCCGTCGTCCATCTGTCCCCCGTCCGTCCGTGTTTCTACATATCCCAAATACCACACCCACCTCAGCTCTGTCTGTACTCTTAGACCAACCTACATCCCCTCAGGAAGGTCCCCAAAAACTATCTCCTCCATAATATCAATCCACCACCTGTACTCTCTCGTCTGTAATTACACCAAACAAAACAGCAGATTCCGGCAATCAGCTATTCTTCCATCCTTATCCACAATGTCGCGCATTACCGCCCCCGTTTCCAAGCTCACCCGCTCCATCAACTCGGCCGCCACGGCCAGCCGCTCCAGCGGTCTCCTCGAGTCTCACTACAACGTCAACCAGGGCGCCGTCCTGATGCCAAAGTACGCAGAGCTCCTCAAGAACCGGAGCACCCGCGAGCACGACGTACGTTTTCCCCTCCCCTCTCTGTTTCCCTTCTCCTCTCTACCCCCAAAAATACCAACCAAATCCCGAGTCTCCCCCGACTAACACCCACCGAAATAGTCCGCACGCACCCTCACAACAACCCACCGCCCGACCCCCCAACCGACGCGCAGCTCCATGTCGCACCGCCAAATGCAGACCTTCTCCTCCTCGACGCCCTACGCGTCCCCCATCGCCTCAATGGACTTCACCGTGCTCCCCGCGGCCTTTGACGCCGCGCCCAAGAACGAGTTCGCCGGCATGCGCATGCCGCTGCTCCCCGACTCCTTCACCACGAAGCACCAGTCCCTCTACGAGCAGGTCGCCGCGGAGGACCTCCCGCTCTCCAAGCCCGAGATCTCCGTCGTCGCAGCGCACCCGGAGAACGTCACGACCGCCGCGGCGCTCACCGAGGTCGAGGCGTTCGGCGTCGACGGCGTCGAGCTGAAGTGGGCTCACGAGAGCGAGGCCGCCGCGGAGGACTCTCACCAGCCTGGTCTGAGAGATTTGTGGAAGGGTCTGGTTGAGGATGTTGTCGGTAGGAAACCTGCCTTTTAAGACGACCAACTTTTAAAAAAAAAAAAAAAACACAAACACACAAACAAACATCAAGAAAAGACAGACTCATAGATTCAGAGGAAAAGGCTGAAGTAGTCGGCGGGGGGAAAGGGAGAATGCCGCCTTTCAAGAAAGAGGGCAGGCGACGATTGTCATGATTGTGAAACTAAACACAAAGCAAAGCGGTTGAAATTTATTTAACCTTTACTCATTAGGAGGGGGGGAGGTCGGGTTTGCTTGGATAGCGGTTGCAAATGGCATTTTTTTCTTTCCTTTTTTTCGGGGTTTCCCTCCATTATGGGTATAATAGCAAACTGGTAGGCAGACACTTGGTGGTGGGAATGTGGGAACAGACCGAGATGCAGACGGACCATTTAGTCAACTGGGTACGAGAAAGCTTTAATGAATTCTACGGCTCAATTGGATCTCACACAGATCCAAAACTACTACTTCGTTCAGATACAAAACTACCATTTCGTTCACCCGTGACAACTCTTCATTGGCTTGAACAATTGCATCCCGATTAATTGTGAATGTGGCGACTGGTTGTGAATATCTGTAAACTTTTATTGCCAATTTTGTGTGGTATCGCCCTTGCCTTACACTCCTTTTCGCGAGTCTAATCCGCGATTCCATCATGTTGTGTACTACCGGTTCTCTTTGGCAGCGCTGGATTCTTAAGAATCCTCAAAAGTCTTTCGTACAAGGCGCAGAATCCCAGCGCGCAAGCAATAGCTTGCCCCCACCCCCCCCTCAGCATACCCATCTACTGGCGCTTCTTTACGAGTCCACCACCTCCCGTCATATCTTGATCCCAAATCGCTTCCGCATTAAATCATCCATTCTCCACTCATCGCTTCTTCAGGGCCGGGCGAGGCTTGCACTCGTCCGCTTGAACAGGGTGCAGCATGACCTTGTTGGGGTACTGCTGCGTGTTGTGCTGGAATCCCTTGCTCCAGTCGTAGCTGATGGCGTAAGCAAAGATGGAGCCCGTCTTGTTGAACGTCGTTGCCGTGATGCTGCCGCCCACGTTCGGGTAGCCCTTGAGTCTGTGCTTGGCGTCCTTGTCCCAGAAGTGGAAGGTTCCGTCCGAGCCGGCAGTGCTGAAGGTGCCGTGGACGGGGTGGAAGGAGATATCGTTGACGGCGTAGACGTTGGTGACGTTGTTCGCGGGAGGGTCGCGGTGGCACTTGAAAGAGAAGTTCGAGCTGTCAAACCGTTAGTTTCCGTTCCTTTCACAATCCCAGCCATGTTTAAATCCACGTCCAAATGACGACCAAAACTTACCTATGATCCTTGTCTTCAACATATTGAATGGCGCAGCGGCCCTCGATACTGCCAATAGCAAAGCCGGCGGCGTCGGTGAAGCAGCTGACAACCCTGGTCTGCCACTTGAGGGGGCTCTGCAGCGTCTTGTAGAATTTGGTCGGGTTCTTGAGGTCGACAACGTTGATGTAACGGTCGGCAGTGCCGATGACGAGAAGGTCATTGCGGACGTCCATCGAGTAGACACGCTCCTGACACTCCAGCGTCGCAGCGGGCGTTGGCGAGCGCATGTCCCAGTACTTGACTGTCTTGTCCCACGATCCCGACACAGCCATGGTGCCGTTGGCCGAATCGAAGAAACGGACGCATCTTACGGGCTGACCGTGCTCGCCGATCTTGATGGTCTGCTGGCTGGCCAAATCACAGGCCTTCACGGCCTTGTCGGCGCCGCCCGAGAGGACTTTCGTACCGTCCTATTGATGTGTTAGCTGCCATGCGACAATACCTAAAGGGGAAAAGTAGCAGATAGCATTACCTTGGAGAAATCGCAGCTGAGAACAGGGCCATCGTGCTCGTAGGCGTGTCTTCCCTCGCTCTGGCCAGTTGGTGAAATTTCGTATATCCTAACCTTCTTGTCCCAACTCGCGACCGCCAGGAAATCGCTTGATTGGTTCTGGGCATGAGAAAAGGCAAGATCCGAGATGCTGTCCTCGGGAGGGTTGCTCAAAGCAACGTCCCCCTTAAGATCGCCGACGGTGTTGCTCGGAGTCGAGGCCGCCGCGCTGCCAAAGAGACCAGACATGATGTGTGTTGTTGAGGTTGGCAGTCGGGGCCAATCGAGAGAAGCTTGACGAGAAAGAGCTTTCCAAAAAGCCGTTCAATCGAACGCAAGCGAACAATATCCGAGATCGTAAGACGAGAAAATTAGAGCTGAGAGTTTGTGTATGTGTGTTGTGTGGAAGGGGTGGTTCGGCCACAGCTTGATATAGCTGTTTTGCGCGCGTCGAGGTCCTTTTGGGAAGAACGAGAGAAAGCTTGCCAGTTCCCAGGCAAGTAGGCAGTTGCGATGCGAAAAGTGAAGTCGCCCGCCCATTGGCTGTAAAGCCACAAGGCTGGGTGCCTGCGTTACGTGCCTGGCCTGGGTAGCTGCAACGTTAAAGCCACACATTCCCCGCTGAAAAGCCACATCAGCCCCACCCTTTTTTCCCAAGCAACTTTTTTTTTTCCTTCTTTGATCCATTTAAATATCGATCTCGAGCTTTTGCTCTTTCATTTTTTCTTTCTCTTCCTTCTACAACCCTCCTCGTCCGACAAATCGCCATCGAAGCTTACAAACAGAGACGCCCTCGGGCGTCTCGGCTCTTTCGAGTCACACAATCAAGCTTTGGGAGAAAGTCCCCGGACACACGTTACTTTCCTTTTGGAAAGAAAAAACGCCGCGGAAACGCGCCGCCATAGAAGCACAGCGGCTGACCTCCAAGACCTGCGTCCGGACATAATGGACCTCCCCCTCCGCCCTGCCCCGTCGCTACATCGCTGTTGGTCTTGTGCACCCTTTTTTCCGAAACCCTGTTTCCTTGATCTCGGGACCCTATGGATGAAGATATGAGTCCGCGCTCGGGGTTCGAGGGATGGTGTGTTTCGGGTTGGGACGAGAGGGCTCTTCGATGACGGGGTGGCCGCGTGGGGAGGTCGCTTGCCGGGCGAATTCAAGGGTCGGTCGGAGGAGTCTTTCGTCGAGATCGATAGGTATGCGATTGCTCGTCTCCTCACGGAGACGGGATTACTCGATGGGGCTTATTCTCGGCGCGAGGAGGGCTCAAAAACTTTGTACAAGGATTTCTTGTCTGGTCCGCCAAGGGTTAGACACCTACACTCTGGACTTCGTGGGAAGTCTCCCCGTCTATCATGCCCTGGACCGGCGAGAGTCCTGTCTTTGCAGTTCGATGATGATTACCAAAATAGAGTCAAGCACTGAGGTGAGAGTCCTTAGGGGCCGCCATTGTGACGACAAAACATGCGTTATGGTATCTGATGAACATCTTTTTTTTTTTTTTAATAAATCTTTTTATAATATCAATGGTTGGATTAGCTAGTTCATGCATATCTCTCTGGTCCAAGTCATAGGTATATATATAGGTAGCAATATCAACATCAAACAAATGTGGTATATCTGAAGTCCCGACGTTGAGTTCCCCTGCGCCGACCTCTACCATGTCGTAAACCCATCCCAACTCCGTATAAATGCAGTTTCATACCAGACATGATTCCATATGTAAATATATCATTCCCACATCACATTAACCCACCAAGAACGACTTTACCAATATTCGCAACTTCCGTCTTGATGTGCGATCTGCTGCTGTCTTCGAACTCCTTGACGACACCCTGTACGATGATCTTGCGCACTTTGGCATCGGCCTTTGAGAAGAGCTCCGCTACAGGCGCTGTTGTCTCTCTTGGCGTGGGTACCAGGGTCAGCACCCTTGTATAGACGTCAATGAGCACCTCGCACAGCGTTGCAAATGTCTCAAAAAAGTCTGGCTCGAACGGCAGTGACGGCGTCAGCAGATGCGTGTAGACCTCGCCAGGGAGCAGATCGTTGTCGCTCGAGGCAAATGACATTACGCTGGCGCTCGCGCTGGACGAGGAGCCGATGCCGCCGTAGCTGCCACCGCCCGATCCGTCATCCCCAGGGTAGCCGATATCATTCGCACCGCTCGTGCTGCGCCGCGACTTACCGCCCTGACGGCGGAACATCTGCGGTAGCCGCGCGCGGGATAACGAGCTCGTGGTGCCGCCGCCCTCGCCGTGGAGGTTTTGGAAAGACTCAAACTCTTGGAGCAGGTTGTTCAGGGCGCGGAGGAACTCAATGGGTGTATTGGCGTAGAGGTCGACGATAGTGGGGAGGGAGAGGCCGAGGAGGAGGTAGTTCGTAGCACGGCGGGCAAGCTTTCTCTGGTCAAATGAGGGCATGCGTTGGAGGTCGGGCTTGTCAAAGAGGATAGTGTTGAACCAGTAAACGCGGCCTTCATGTCTGTTTGCGGTCAAGTTAGCATTTGCCGAACCAGAATCGTACGGTGAAGTGGAGGGGAGGGTGAAGAACGTACGCCTTGCGGATGTAGTCCAGGGTGGATATCCTCTTGTTCGCAATTTCCTGCATCTGCATGTGCAACACGACAGACTCGCTCGACTGCCACATATTGGGATGGGTGGCGGAAGGCAGGGGCGGCTGAAGACGGTCGGCGGCCAGGCTCGTCGAGCCGGTATGGGAGCGGCTGAGCATCTTGGAAAAGCTGTCGCCGGAGGCGGGGCTCTGGATGTTATCGGTGTCGCGGGTGATTTTGGCAGCGGCAGCGAGGGCGAAGTCTGGGAGGGCGGGGGGTACGTTGCGGTCGGTGACTACGACATTGCCTCCTCCACCAGAGCTGGAGCTATTTGCGCGGCGCTTCGAGGACTTGGAGGGGGAGCTGAAGGATGGCTTGCGTCCGAAGGAGCTCTTGCGGTCTTTGGTCAGGACGTTGGGACCGGAAGGATATTGTAGTGGCGGTGGGAAGAAGGGCGAAGGTTGCGGAGGGGGTTGCGACTGGGACTGCTGAGGCGGCTGCTGGTCGCCAGACGATGTGCCAGGACGGGACTTGGAGGAGGAGGAGAAGAAGGAAGTCGAGAAGAAGGGTGCATTGGCAGTCGTTGGTGTCGCGCCGGATCGCTGCATGTCTTTGAAATGGATGGGGGGCCTGGAGGGCCTCTATCTGGAGGGAGGGACGGGGGGTGACGGGGTTCGTCAGGGAGAGAGGAGTAGAGGAGAGGGCCTTCAGAGGGCCAGACCAGGTTCAGGAGTCCGGCGAAGGATGGCGGGCGAGGGGCCGATTCGATCGGCGAGAGGGTTTGCGAGGACAGGGACGATGCGGTATTGGTCCGGAGGTTTGATGAGGTGGTGCCCGGGTGAGATGGGTTATGTCCAAGGAAGCAAACCTTGTACTAGCCTGATTTCCCACTGGATGCAGTGTAATGAAGAGCTGCTGGTCTCTGTTGTGCTTTCGCTTGTGGCAGCCCCCCTTGCTTAGGCAGGCCACTACGGGAGGTATGACTTGCTTCGATTGACTTGCTTTTGCCTTTTGGACTCGCTTGTCCTCCGGTTGGTTGCCAAGGTGTTTGACGCCACTTTTCTTACCAGGTTTTTGGTGTCTTTTTTTTTTTTTTTTCTTGGTTGTATCTTTATTTTTTATTTTAGTTTTACACCTTGCTGCTGGCGAGGGAACACTCCGAATGGGGCCCTTCAGCGTTGCGTCGATGTAAGGTGGATTGGCAAATGGAACTGAGTTTGCTCAATGCCGATGAGCAGTCTGCGGCGGATATTGTTTGTAAGATTAGCGCGAGGCCCCTTACTTCCCAAGTTGATGCAGGTTGCGGTTCAAACAAATTGGAGCTAATGATAGCCCTGCAGGTTGAGTTTAATGAAGAATGGACCTGGGCGAACCAGACGAATGACGCTTTCTTGCGGGGTCTGTGATGGAGGGTGATGCAGGTGGACAAGTCGCAGAATCGCCAGGGCCGGTTTCTGTCAGGTGGCTTATTTTTAGTGTTGGTTTTGCTGCGATGGAGACGGGAGAAGTGCTGTGTAGAACGTGGTGGGTTTGACTGGGGGTGGTTGCTGGTTGTTATCTATATCAGACGATGGCAGATGTCTGAGAGATGGATAAAGAAAGAAAAATGAGGGAGAGAGAGAGGGAGAGAGGGAGATAAAGAGATTGTGTGGTGAGTATATTTGTGTCTAGGTACGGATGAGAGAGACCCCCTCCCTTGTTGTTATTGTTGTGGTGGGTTGGGTGTGAATTGTCTTTGGCAGGGCCTTTATAGCTTATTATGTATAATCCGGCAGCTGGGCCGGATGAGGGGCGTACGAAAAGAAATAAAGATTAAAAAAAAACCACCCCGAATTGTCCGTTCGCGTCGATATGCGAGAGGCGATCTGCTAAAAAGACGAATTGTCGATGGCTTGACAATGTAATGCATTGGGAAGGCAAATGCCGTTCTATTGCATTGATTCTTACTTTTTTTTTTCTCTTTTTTTTCTTCTCATTTCTCATGTTGATCTTTTAGCTCCCCTTTGTTATTGCTATCTTTTTTAGCCTTTTATTTCAAGAGATGCAGTATCCGTCTGTACCTTGCCTTAGCTTCTGTACCGGACGGGGCTACAGAGATGGGAGGTAAAGGCAACCAATTGGCTTCAAACAAGACGGAAACAAAATATCGCCAATTTCGCACTGGGAAGATGGTGGTCCAAGCCCGCCCATCGATATCATTTTCCATGTCCAATCGACTCAGTTCCTAGCAACAACATCATCATCTCAGCCTATCCCTGCGATCTTTTTTTTTTTTTCTTTTTTTCTTTCGTCTCTCTTCTGCGATAAAGCGTAAGAAAGTGCAAAATTCAGAGCGATTGTTTTGGCGGAATTTCCCCAAAAGCCAGGGATACCCCCATTCCGGAGGTCTAAAAATCCAAAATGAGACCCCCGATGCACCGTGACTTTGGGTCATGAATGGTCGGTTTAAACGGCCCAGTCTCGTTCCAGTAGCAGATGCCGACACACACATTACACATTACACATACAGCAGCTGCCGGACTCGCTGCGAGGAATTCGCCGCGAACGGGACTTGGAGGTGCCGCGTGCCAGCCCACGTCTTGGGGGGCGTTTTCGATACTTTGGGCTTTGTGTGAATCTGCATACAATCATCGAGTATCTCTCGCTTACAAGGCCAGACCTCACATACTGCTATGAACAACGAAAACAGTTTGCGGCGAGGTCACCAGTGAGCAGAAGGATTTGCTACAGTTGCAGTGGCTCGGCATGCCAAGGCATTCCTCCCATTGTGTTAAGCTTTTCTTTTGCTGCCCCCCTCTTCCTCAGTCCCGATGTTCCCTCTATCCTACGTCTAGTAGTAATGGAGGAGGAGGAGGAGGAGGAAGAAGAAGAGGGGGACTACTAATTAAGTCTGAATCTATCGTGAAACTTAACCCTCCTCTAAAGCACATTGACCACTGCATCCGAGAGTGCGGAATAAACCCAACCACCCCCAACAGACCAACCAACGACCCCATTCGAAGCGTCCAAGCACGGCCATGCGCAAAAAAAGTGCTGTTGCATTTACAGCTTACTCGATTGCACCAATAAATCTGCGAGATGAACTTCCCGGCGCCCTCCCCCTTCACCCGTAAGGCGTCCGCGCAGCGCCCATGGCGCAACCCCCAAGCTACTTACTGCGTAGAACTAGCACGGTAGTATAGTCCGGACGGATACTACAGCACGTCCTCATCCTCCCCCCTCCCCGCCCCGTCTGGGCGTCCCTGCTGCCTTCTTCCATGCAAGATCCTGAAACATTCCAGAATCCTGGGTTACCACGTGGAATGTGCGCCGTTCAAGCCCTGGAATCTGGAATCTGCCTTTCTCCCTCCCCCCCCCCTCGAATGTCGCCTCTTCTTCCCACGCGACACGCACAAAGTACGACCGCCTTCACTGCCAATGTTGTGAGAATGCCAGTGTCGTCAAGTACCGCCACCAAGTTCCCCACTTGGCTTGCTTGGTGGGGGGGTTGTAAATGAAAGCCATGGCCGCCCAGGGAGGGCGTCAGCATCTGTTCGCCAGGCCCCGAAGGATGAGACGGAGGTGAGCTCGAACTGGGCCGTGTTTCCCCCGTGACGATCAACCGACCCTAGATCTTCATTACGGCGAATTTACCGCTTGGAGCGATCTTGGGAGTGGGTTCTGTAGGATCGTTCTACGGTCTCGGCCAGCTGCTTCACCAGGCACTTGGTGGCGGTTCATTCACGGCTGACACATTTCCGCGGATCCTGTTGTTGTTGTTCGGATAATGAATCATTACATTAACACTATCGGGTTCTATACTAGTTTCTCCCCCATCACGCCTCTTACGTATTTACTCACGCAGCCATGAACGTGGCGGCCGGGAGGAGCGCCGACGTAGCCGTCGAGCACACACAGCCCTGAGCGGCGTTGCTGGTGATTGGCGGGCTTGCGCAGGTAGAGTAGGGCTCGTGCGCCTCAAACGTCGGCTCCGGCTGCGGCTCGATGACCTCGGCCTTGACGAAGACGGGGATGATCTGACCGGTCGACAGGCGGAAAGCGCGGTGGTTGAGAGCCTTGAGCAGGCGAGTGATCTGGCCCGAGTGGCTGGTGATACTGAGCCAGGTCTTGTCGTCGCTGCGGAAGACGTCGTCAAGGACGGCCTTTGAGCGGGCGTCTTGTGCATCGCCCGTCTCGCTCTCGTTGTGCCGCCAAAGCTGGTCATACTCAGTGAAACCCTCCTCGAACTCGAACCAAGGGAAAGTCTCCTGGATGTAAGTCTTGTTGGAGCGCCAGTTGCACGTGTGAACCGTCATGCCCTCGCGGAAACCCTCCTTGACCAGCGGCACAAAAGGCTTGTCCTCGGGCAGGGCGATGTCGCCAAAGGTGAGGTTGGCGGTGATACCGCAGCGAATGAGGGGACTCGTGTAGTACGACTCGAAGTATGGCATCTTCTGTGTCTCGTATCGGTCCTTGAAGTAGGCGTTGGCCTTGTACGCCTCTGCCGCGCCGGCTGGGGTGAGAAGGGGGTCAGCCCAGCGAGCGGTGGCGTTGCCTTCCTGCTCGGCCCAGTAGCACTGCAATTGTTGTTAGTCACGATCGACGGACGGACCGGTCTGCGGGGAGAAGGTGTGCACGACTCACGTTCCAAGCAGGGGTGCCGTAAAAGCTCTCGGCGGCGTTGTGCCAGCCCTCACCGTGACGGCCCATGAAGAGCAGCTTGTACTGGACACTGTCGCTCTTGCGGCAGCCTGAGTTCAGGTACTGAACCCAGTGGTCGAAACGCTGCCATTGGGTCTTGACACCCTCGGGATCGAAGTGCTTGTCCGTCGGGTACGTCCTGTTGAGCAGACCAAAGTTGACAGAGGCCTGTCGAGGGCGGTCAGCAAAGCCATAGGTAACCGGAGAAGCGCGGTACAACCCACATAATCAAAGCCTGTCGGGTTAGTGGCGTTGTCGTCCTGCAGAAAGTAACCAGGAACCGACGTGTACTTGATCGACTTGCCCTCAGCCTCGGGCCATGCGGCGAGAGCAGCAGGCGCAAGAGCGAGGACGGTAGAAAGCGCGAAACCCTTCATCTTGTCGGAGGAGGTTGTCGAGGAATGAACAAGAACAATGGCAGCTGAGGGAGGAAAGCTGGAGAGCTACATTGCAGCGTTGCATGCGGGGAGAGAGCTCTGGATAAATAGGACCGAGGTGCCAATCCCCCAGTTCATCGATGACATCCCCGCTCACAAACCCCAGTTGTTTTTCATGAACCATTGATGCGCCATGCCGGGGCAATTTGCCTAGAACATCTGCCGGCGAGGCTCAAAGTCGAGATGTCGTCCGAACTTGGGCGAAAATCCTAGTAGCCGGGGAGTTGGAAAAATCGTAGGTGGGAATGTTGGTGAAGATGTTGATCCCTGACAGCGGCCAATCGAGTAGCAACGTGGTGCACGTGGGCTTATCGACAAGCCGGGTTCCTGGCTGCGGATGGTACCCGAACACGTTTTCCCATCGTTCGTTCCTGAGTGATGCATGGAATGCCCATATTAATTCGATAGGAACCAAGAAGTGATATATGAGGCTCATCCAGAAAAACAACGAGTATAATGCTGGATGCTCCGCTTGAAGTTGGGGCCCTCTCTCGGCGAAGATGCCTTTAGGAGCACATGCTCAGCTCTGGGCGCGGGCGCTCAATGCGCCATTTCGTACTGAATAGTACGGGATCGCCGATGGAAAAGAAAAACGATATCCATAACTATGGATTGGAGTTAAGCAGTTGTCGAAAAGTAAAAAGAGCCTCCTGCGCCAGTCAGCTGACCAGTATGTGCGGTAGATGCGCTTACCAAGAACAAAGGTCGATGCTCGTCAGGAACATGTGCAAATCCATCTGATGTTGCTGCTGCTGGGAGGTACATGGTAAGAAAAACCGTTGGGACGGCCCCAGGGGGGGCGGGGGCATGGGCCACCCTCTGGCAAAAGTGACCTTTTAGGGTGACAAGACATGTGAATGGCCGCTGATGGGAACCGCTGGAAAAGGCCCCGTGAGCGCCGTAAGTTTGCGCCGGCCGGCCGCTGGAAGCTCCTGTGGATCTCGGCTATCTTTGGTGGCGCTGGAACCTCGCCAATCACGCGGCACCGCTACGGAAGGCGGGACACCCCGGAACCACTCAAGCTCAACTCAACCCAACTGAACCTGAACTGAACTCTCTCAACCGTCGGCGCAGTTGTGTGTGTGCGTGTGTGTGTGTCTATTCGGTTCCACCACCAAAACCTCTTGTGAAATCCCCAGTCGGTGAAACTGTCTCTTCAGCAAACGCAACAACAGCCAACGTTGCTTTTATCAGAAGACAATCCCCCACAACCTCTTCGCTCTCGACGATCTACGTTTGATATTTGAACATTAAAAAAATTAACTTTGTTCAAACTCACCATCGAAGAAAGCCCATCATGGTCAACTCCGACCCTCAGTACCCGCCTGGCGAACCTGCCCCTGAGATTCTGGAGGAGCGCATCTGGATCGACGGCTGCTTCGACTTCTTCCACCACGGTAAGCACTTGGCGCGATTGACAAGGTCTCTTGCGTCTCGGAAATGCTAATGTCTCGACAAGGCCATGCCGGAGCAATCGTCCAGGCCCGCCAGCTGGGCAGCGAGTTGTACATCGGCGTCCACTCGGACGAGGCCATCCTCGAGAACAAGGGGCCGACGGTCATGACCCTGCAAGAGCGGTAGGTCTCACAGCCATTCGACTCACACATACACACACTCTCTCTCACACACACATGTTGCATCTTACATCTTACTGACACGCCCCACCCTCAAGTCTCGCTGCCGTTGACGCCTGTCGTTGGGTGACCAAGTCTGTCGGCCGGGCCCCCTATGTGACGCAGCTGGATTGGATTAGCCACTACGGCTGCAAGTACGTCGTGCACGGCGACGACATCACCTCGGACGGTGATGGCGAGGATTGCTACCGCTTCGTCAAGGCCGCGGGCCGCTTCAAGGTTGTCAAGCGCACCCCGAGCATCTCGACGACTGACCTCGTCGGCCGCATGTTGCTGTGCACAAAGACTCACTTCATCAAGTCCCTTGAGAAGCGTCTGGCCGGCCAGGAGGGTCAGGGCACCAGCCAGGCCGAGATTGAGGCCGAAGGGCGCGCCATGTCGGATCGCATGAAGCTTTACGCGACCGACGAGACGGGCAAGAACCCTGGCGTCGACGTGTGGTTCTGGTCGGCGTCTGACGAGGCGCGGTCGGGGTCCACACTCGAGGAGAAGGGTGAGTTCAGGAAGTACTTGGAGGGCAAGGGTCCGAGACCGGGCCAGCGTGTCGTGTACGTCGATGGTGGCTTCGACCTCTTCTCGAGCGGTCACATCGAGTTCCTCCGCCGTGTGGTCGAGGCCGAGGAGGAGTTGGCCCGCCAGGAGGGATGGTACTCGGAGCAAGCCGTCAACGAGCGCGTCGGCAAGGGGGGTGACTACCCGCCTGCTTACGTTGTTGCGGGAATCCACGACGATGAGGTGATTAACCAGTGGAAGGGCATCAACTACCCAATCATGAACATTTATGAGCGTGGTCTCTGCGTGCTGCAATGCAGGGTAAGTATATCGTGTTTTTCTTTTTAAGGTTCTCCCTCCTCTTCTGTGGCGGGTCAAGCTAACATCTGCAGCACGTCAACGCCGTCGTCTTTGGGGCTCCCTTCTCGCCAACCAAGGCATACCTGACGTCTCTGCCGTGGGGCACACCGGATGCCGTGTACCATGGCCCTACGGCGTTCATGCCGCTCACGTACGACCCATACACGGGGCCCAAGGAGATGGGCATCATGCGGCAGGTGGGCGAGCACGAGTTCTCGGGAGTTAACGCCGGGACTATTGTGCAGCGCATCATGAAGAGCAGAGACATGTACGAGGAGCGGCAGCGGAAGAAGGGCGTCAAGGCGGAAGGCGAGGCGGCGGCGCGGCAGCGGGAGATTATGGAGGAGGAGCAGGCCAAGCGGGAGGCGGAGAGGGCTGGCAATTAAGGGACGATATCGGCGACGTCGAGTTCCCCTTTTTTTTTTCACTTCCTTTTCTTTCTCTCTTGATCATTCGCGTGCGGGCCATAGGGAGTGTCATCAGCTTTTTCTTTGAGGCGACAGCATGTTTAATTGGAATATTTCTTAACGAATACCCCAAGGGGGTAGAGGTGGCCTTCAACAGGTCTGGGAGGCCACGAACAGGGCAAAAACCCCCAAAAACAAAAAACCATTCTAGGTCAACAAGAAGATACTAAAGTACAAGACATACTTATCAGCTTGAGACACATTCCTAAAGAGATGTTATCTGTCTTGGTTCTCCGACCGCTTGCGCCAGAAAGAAGAATTGGCAGCAGCTCTGCTTTGTCATCGTCTCACAGACCGTCTTAGAGAACACGGGGGATACATTAAAATGCAATCCAGCGATAGTGATCATGATGTACTAGTGGTAAGTGCCAGAAAACGGCCGGTTTCAAGCCACACATGGCATTAAAGTCGGGCCCTAAAGTACCCCTCATTTTGGCGGTCAAGTGACTTGAACGCAACGCCCCCCTAACGATCCGTTCCCCCCTTACCTTTCCGTTTTGGTGGCATCCAGGATGGTATGGTGTTATGATGCAGGGCTGAGACTCTCCCCAGTAGTATCCGTTCATGAGAGACACTCGAAGGACGCCGGGCTGAGGTGGGAAAGAAAAGGTAACTCTGTAACGAAAAGTGAAGGGTAAGCCCCAGTGATAATTCTCATCGTATCCATCGCGTCATATGTGCCTCGATTTGGCAAGATGAACCAAAAGCAAGTGAGATGCAGTTGCAAAACGAGATAATGCCAAAGTGCGCAGAGGGCAAAAGGGGGGGGCAAGGGGCTGCCGTGGAACAGAGATCCGGGCCCCCGAGCAGCCGCAGACGCAACCAACAGCAAGAGAGGGTTGCATACAGTTCGCATATCTTCTTACCAATAAAGTACGTACTGTTTGTAGGTGGCATGGCACCTGCCTTAATGGTTACACTCGGCACCTAGATTAACGCTGTTAGAACCGATCCAATGTTCGAGAAGGAAGTCATGGAGGGTGGGAAGGAGGGATGCGATTTGCATGGCAGGCGGTATCTCGTACTTTCTTCCTCGTTGTCCTTGTAGTACTAATGCCGTAGGGAGCGCATGGAAGGTGCGACCTGACCATTGGGAACACGCTAAGACGTATTTCCCCACGTCATCGCCTAGGCTCGGTTATCAACGGGCGGAAGGAGGGGAGATTTTCCCAATAGATGGGAAGGAGGGAGAAGAAGAAGAGAAAAAATAGAGATAGCGATAACACCGATACCCGTCAGCGTCATAATTCCGCTCTCTCTTCTTTTTTTGTGGAGTCTCGTGCTGGCTGATGCTTGCTTTACTACTACAGTAATAGGGTACAACGTAGTCAACGAGCTACGTTTAAGCATCTTGGCAACCTTTTCGATATTTCCGCACTCACCTGGGGCCCATGTCTTCAAAAACTACACCATTGACGCGGGCGTCGGTTCCATCATGTCAATTGAGACTCTATAAACCCTGCTCAATATGTCAAATGTCGACGGAAGGGCGAAAAGGCGCATCTGGACTCTGCGATATCGGACTTTCTCTACGTTGACTCTGAAGTTTTGAAGAGCTTGGCTTCGGGTGACGACAGAGAATATCGCCATGACATGGAGTGAACTCCAACAAACTGTGACTCCTTTACTAACCCTGACCAATTACAGGCCTGAAATCCTCCCCCGTTGGCTTCGGCCGCGCGCACCAAAGCCGCAATGGGGCACCAGAACGACGACCGACTGGAGCCGTGGCCGGCCGTCGGCTTGTGGTGGGACAAAACTGGACGGCGTAACTGTTCCAGCCCCCAGGGTCTAGAGAGGTACCTTCAGCCGGTGCAGACGAATGAGCGGCTGCGGCTTGACCTCTCGTTTCGTCACAGAATTCGTTTTTTTATTTTTATTTCTTTTTTTCCTGCGTTGGTCGCATTCAGACGGTGGTGAACCGGCTCAAGTGTGGGATGGTCCCGGTTCCGGCTCACACGGGAAGCGGTGGACTCGTTTTTTTTTTCCTTCGATCGCCATCATGATCAATCGGGATCGGCTATTCTTATCTAAGGACTCTACTGAAGTGGGGTTCTAACAGGAAAAGAGAGAGAAAAAAAAATATTACATCAAAACTGGGCTGGGCTTGAAGGATGCATGGCGTTGTAGCAACCGATGGCCAAACAAAAGGTCCGGCAAAGGGGAAGGTGACAAGATGAGATGAGATGTGAGAGAATTCCCATCCCAGCATCCCAGGAATGATGGCCGCTTCATCACTGCTCACGCGCGACTTGGTGGGGAAACCGCACGGCCGGGGTATTCGGGCTCGGCATTGGCATTCCACGGTCCTCGTTGGAATCGTGGAACACGTTGTAGGACGAGAAACGAAGAGAGGGAGTATCCATGAGTTTCTGTCTTGCTCTCTGCTATGTGTTGTGTGTGTACCCTGGAGTCATCTCTCGCTCCATCTCTTTCTCTTTCTTTTTCCTTCCTTTTTTTTTTTCTTCCGTCTCAATTTGTTAGTTTTATTTTGCTGATTTTTTTGATTTTTTTTCTCATTTTCGCCTGTGTGGATCCTGGGGGGGCAAGCGACAAACACACTACATTAAACCTTGCAGCATATCGGCCGGCTTGGCTCATGAATACAACATGTCGGTCGTCTAGCTACTATTACATACTGGCTTACTTTTTAGTCCCGTTCCGATTCAACCCAGCCCAGCAACGGGACGCGGTCCCGCCATCTTCACCTCGGAGGCGTCCCACCCCATCCATCCACATCCATATCCACATACCCAAGCTCTATGCCACGCCGCCGCCCGCCCTGCACCACCGAATTCTCCATGATGTTCCCTGTTATCTGAAGACGCCCTTTCTGGGATGGTATCCGCTGCCCCTTTGCATTGGCGCTTGAGTCACCTGCTCCATCTGTCACTAGAACCTTGACCCAAGTGTGACACCCTTTGTACTTAAGCTTCGGCTTCATCCTTGTGCTTTGTCCCCCTTCCTCTTTTCATCTTAAGCCGATATAGACCACCATCCTCCCCCCCTCCTTTCTGTCTGACACATTCCTTCTCGTGTGTTCTTCACTACCTGTCACTTTCTTAGTTGACACCTCCAGCGATCTCCTCCGTCCAAGATATCCAAGACATATCACAGATCTACCTGACGCCAGTCAGTCGTTTTAGTTTTTCTCAAAATTGCAGGAAAAAAAACCTACGCATACTCCGCAATGGCTCCCGGCATCATCTCCCCCGGCCTCCATCATGGCAACCAGGACATTGACCTGACCTCCTCAGCCATCGAGCACAAGCTCGACGCCCTCCCCAAGAAGAACGGCACCAACGGCCACAGCAATGGCTCCGCCCCCGCCTACCAGGAGCTCGACGCCTCCAAGCTCACCTTCACCCGCACCAAGAACCCTCGTCCCGTCCCCGACCTGGCCACCGCCAACTCCGGGCCCGAGACCATCTGCACCGACCACATGATCGCCGCGACCTGGAAGGCCGGCTCCGGCTGGTCTGCCCCGGAACTCAAGCCCTACGGTCCCATCTCCCTCATGCCCACCGCCTCCGTCTTGCACTACGCCACCGAGTGTTTCGAGGGTCTCAAGGCCTACCGCGGCTTCGACGGCGCCCTTCGCCTCTTCCGTCCCGACCGCAACTGCGAGCGTATGCTCATGTCCTCCACCCGCATCGCCCTCCCCTCCTTCCCTCCCGCCGAGCTTGAGAAGCTCCTCATCACCCTCATGGCCGTCGACGGCCCCAAGTGGCTCCCCCGCGACCGCCCCGGCTCCTTCCTCTACCTCCGCCCCACCATGATCGGCACCCAGTCCGCCCTCGGCGTCCAGGCGCCCTCCGAGGCCATGCTGTACATCATCTGCAGCTTCATGCCCGTCATGGACAGCCCCGCCGGCGGCATGAAGCTGCACACGAGCCCCGAGGACATGGTCCGCGCCTGGGTCGGCGGTTTCGGCTACGCAAAGGTCGGCGCCAACTACGGCCCCTCGCTGCTCGCCACCGCCGAGGCCCGCAAGCGCGGCTTCGGCCAGATCCTCTGGCTCTACGGCCAGGAGCAGTACTGCACCGAGGCCGGCGCCAGCAACTTCTTCGTCGTCTGGAAGAACAAGGACACCGGCAAGACCGAGCTCATCACCGCCCCGCTCGACGACCGTCTCATCCTCGACGGCGTCACCAGACGCAGCGTCCTGCAGCTCGTGCGCGAGCGCCTCGCCGGCGACGTCGAGATCGTCGAGAGGAGATACACCATTGACGAGGTCATTGAGGCCGACCAGGACGGTCGTCTCATTGAGTCTTTTGCCGCTGGCACCGCTGTAAGTTTTACCCCTTCTTTACTGGTCATCTTTCTATTTGCCCTGTTTTGTGTGTGCACCGGTTTTTGCTGACTTTGCAATTACAAGTTCTTCGTCTGCCCCATTTCCCTGATCCACCACCGCGGCAAGGACGTTGCGATCGGCATGGGCAGCGACGGCGAGGGCGGCGAGTACACTCTCAAGATCAAGAAGTGGATGAAGGACATCATGTACGGCGGCGAGCAGCACGAGTGGGGCGTCGTCGTGCAGGAGGAGCAGTAATCTAGACGCTTGCTTGCGACTGCGACTGAATAGGAGCATTGGGTCAAAGATTTATAAAGAAGAGATGAAAAGGGCAAAAGAGGAAAGACATTGGAGGACGGAAAGAAGTGTTTTTTTTTTTCCTTTGGTTTTGTTTTGTTTTCCTTTGCATCGGTTACGAAGCCAAAAATGGTCATGGCTGGGCGTTGGGAAGGCATTTTCTGCGCGAAAACAAGAAAAAGAAAAGAAAGGAAGAACACTACGGCGTTGTCCCTTTTCTTTGTATGTTGCGTCGGGGCATCAAGAGTGGTGCATGCATGGTCAGCTACCTAGAGCAATACTATCCGAAATTTCTACGTTAAAAAAAAAAAGCTGCGGGTTTGGCCAATGAGTGAGGTGTGTTAGGTGGTGCTGTTGGTGTATGTTCGTCTCTGCTGTTGGTGTCATCGGCTTGGTATTTGAGGCTAGAGGCTGCTTCTGATGTAACTCCAGCACTTGGATATTTTCGTTGAAGAACTGTTGTCTTGATTCGTCAATGGTCTGGTTTTGTCTTTCATCTTGTGACTGCTGTCGTGTGTTCACGTTAGAATTATGCGTTGCTTATGCTTTACCGTGATCTGAAGGATTCCTATCGTGGCCAGTAGCATAGAAGCAGTCGGTCTATTGTCAAAATGATGGTATGTTGAGTTATTCTCTACCTTTTACCTGTTCCCATCTCTGTTGTAACTCCTTATTAACTTTATCTGATATCTTCAACTTTAAGATGAGCAGATTGCCCTAGATCATAAATTAGGTTCGGAAGACAAGGGCCATCGGTGAAAGTGTGCGTTTGACGAGCTGCTCGGGTACCATGCGAAAACAACCTTCTCCAAACTCTCATTCATCCAACGTGAGCGTATATCATCAGGCCACTGCTAACAGGTGCTGCATGAGAACGGGCCATATATTTAGCGATGTAGGCGATTCAGCGTTTTCGAGACCGACCGAATGCGGCCCGACTCATGATACAGTTTTTTTGGTGTTGCGTGTTTCTGAATTACTTTTTCGTACATTGGTCCTATGAGCACATGTAATCCGAGTCAGGCCAAAGCTTGGTTTAGATTAAGAGCTTTTCTGTGCTGGTTGTCAGTTATCTTATTGGGCGAAGTCAAACGCATGGAAATATGTTAAACGCTATGTGAAGACCAGGGCGATAGTTTGTGATTTACTAATGAATTATCTAAGTTAATATTGTGCTTGGACTAAGCAACGTAATGTAAAGACTCGTGAAGCTGCCAGTGGCTTTTTTGGACAGGTTATAGAATGACTTCGCACTAGAAATCCTTTTCAGTGAGCAAAGTGGCAAGTTTCTGATATTATGATCGTTGAAGTATACTGGTTTTGTTCCTAACATTTATCTTGTGTTGTCGTATTGGTCTTCCAACAACCACTTACTGTGTACTTAAACGTTGGCTTTCTATTTAGACCAGTTCAGGACAAACCAGATATACCTCGCAACTGTTTAGTTGATAAGATTTGCTTGATTGACGCTCCTGCTCACATAGCCTTCATTGTCAATTCGTAATATTAGTGGCGGCAAGCAAGTTGTCTGAATTGCACACCATGGAGCTGGTGACTGCTTCTTTTCGATAAGTTCAAGGAGTTAGAGAAGCAACTAACAGAGGAGCTTCTTATAATATATTCCAGGTGACTTTTAATTATGAAACTGTACTTTTATATTTAGAAACTTTGCTGCTTTTTCTCATGACAGAAGATGATGAAATGTTTTTGAATTTATTTCCATAGAGACACTTTCGCGTTTTGCTGCAACTTCCAAACCGAAGGCAACAAGGACTTCAAAGCATTAGTCATCCAAAAATACTGCGTAATAAAACACATTATAGGTTTGTGCAGTAATGAAACTTATATCGCCTCACCCTGACCTGCGGAGTTTAGAGAACACTAGAATCACGAATATTTGAAAGCCCAGATACGCTCCGCAGCTGTAGAACTAAGTTCGATAGAAACCAATAGCCCTTAGTGGTCTATAATATTGACTAATTTATAAAGAAACAGCCTTTCGTAGATGCGCAGATGCGCTTGCAAGCATCCTAGTTAATCAGAAACAGCGTTGAATAATATTTGCATTGCTGATGACACATTTGCTCAACTATACGTCGCCAACCAAACAGTATCCTAATCTATTATATACTCAAACATATGAAATGCCGCGATTGGCAACGTTTGCAGCTGGGAGAGGAACACCATAGTGTATGACACCGTGTACTACAACCACTTCCCTTGCTCTTCTCAATCCTAGCACCACAGCATATCCGACAAGTACAGCAACATTCTCAACCTCAGAAAGCTTTGTTCAAGGAACTGGCATCATGCGGTTAGCAAAAGAGCTAGCTGTGGTGTATTTCGCAGACCTACATAGCTTCTAGGCAATCTTCCCATGTTTAATGAGAGCCGCCCTTCGCCTCAGGGCCCAACTCAAGTTCAACATCTAGGCCGCGTTCGTGTTCACTGCGTCTCACAGCCTCACTGCCGCCAGGAGGACCAATGACGCCCACTTCAACATCTACGCCGCCGATGGATAGGCTCAAGGGAAGAGCATAGACGCTCACGGCGACGCTGACGAGGATCAATGAAATACGCATTATTTCGTCGAGAGGTATATCTGGCCGTGGGAGTAATGAAAGCCAAGTGACGGTGTTCAAAGTGAAAGATGGTATGAAGAATTCAGTGAAGACCGCTGTGACGACTGATCGCGGAGAGCCGAGATGCCAGTCGATACCCTTCAGTCCCTTACTTATACGTGAGCATGATCAAAGACATGCCGATCATGTTGTGTTCGTTGAGGACGCCATCGTCTCTCAATAATTTCGGGCTGTATTATTCGAAACGCCTCAAATCAAACCCACAACCGATTCCAATTGCCGACTGGGCATGTCTCTCGTAATGACACACACATGGCCCTGTAAGTGGTTTCGCCGGTCCGCGCGCGGTGTCGGGTCCCACAAACTCGCCGATTGCCGCTTACCACTCAATCCAGCAGACTTCCTATTCGTTCTGAGCGCCTCGCCCATGTGATAATCAGGTGAATGGAGGTTGTTAGTCTTTGCGCTGGAACACTAGGTAAGAATTGATGATATATACTTTTTCAATTAGGATTCACTACTTCTCTCGATTTCAAATCCTCTTTCGGATTTCTCTTTCTCTACCAGCAACCGCCCTGCTCTTCATCATGGCCATGGCAAAAAAACCCTATAAGTGGATCAGCAAGGAGATCGACTCCCTGGATGCACACAAAGATTATACAGAAATTTTTCGGCTGTCCATGAGTTATGGTGGTAACGACTTTATGAATACCTTGATTTATGCATTGGTATTCCCCAACTTCATCGTCACCGAATGGGGTGCCCGTGCCGTATGGCGTCAAGACGGCGGAAAAGTCCTGAAGAAGGCAGGGCATAGGGAGGAGAATACGGAAAACAAGAACATGGTTTGGTGGTGGTATGGCCCACACGACCCGAGAACGAAGCAGTCTGTCGACAGTATCAACAATCTCCACACGTACTGGGCGAAGCACTTCAAGGGCGACTTCTCGCACAACGATGACTACATCTACACCCTCGCCTTCTCCGCCATTCTCATGCATAGGCTCCGGCTCAAGCTGGGTCTCTCAGACGTCTCTGACAAAGTCAAGACTGCTTCTTACCTGGTCATGACCGATATGGTGCCCCTCTTTTATTCCGAAGGAGGCGTGCCCCTTCACTCCTGGCCCAAAGATTTCGACGGCTTGGTTAAATTCTGCGAGGATTTCGAAAACCAGCCTCATCCTGGGTCGGAGCGAGGCAACCTCTGCGCCAATGCTTTGTACGACTTCTTCGCTTTTCGGTACTTCCCCAAGCCTCTGCGATGGCTGGGACGTTCAATCGTCCTCTCGCTGAGTTTGCCGACCACGTTGAAAGCTCACAGGATCGACCCGCCCAACCCAATCTTGTCTGCTATCATCCTCTGGGTCTTCGGCTGGTTGTTCTGGATTCAAGACAACGTCCTACCTGATCCCCAAATGTCGTTTTACGAGGAATTCAGCAGCATGTCAACAGAAGAGCAAAACAAGCGCAACCAGGATATCCGGAAAATTGACAAAGAGTATGCTCCGCACTTTGCTGCTCGTTACTCCAAAGCTCCGCAATGGGGTGGTTGCCCTTACCATGAAGCTCTGAAGACGGTAGAGGCGGGCACAGTCCCAGAGAACGAGTACAAACATGACTGAGATTGTTACATTCGTTGGCCAGCCGGTAGGTCTTCTTGTATATTTTACTGTCAATTATATTTCTTTGCTCTCGTAAATCATGGCCCAGATGCTCTACGTTTCAAGTTGTCTCCTTGGTCAATGCTAGAGCTTGCAACTTGCGAACTGTAAAGCCGTCTGATGCCATGAGCAGAAAATTCTTCAACAGAGGAATGTGGATGTGCGGAGGAAGAGGTTTGCTTTGACCAACGGTTTAGGGGCAACCTCGCGCACTTCGTCTGTGGTCGGATATGATGACCCAGGTGTACTATTTACCATCATGGCATTGAAGTTGGTGGGCTTCGATGGGTAAAAGCGACATGGGGTCCAATCGGCGTTGTGTACTATCACCAACGCCTGCTCCTGGGCTTTCGATCCAGGAGCAGAGCTCTGGAATTACAATAGAAAAACCACGCACAACTGTTTTATTTTTCAATATCTCTTTTTCTTTCCCTTTTCACCCCTGGTTTCTTTCCCCCCCCGGTTACATGGTGGCCGAAATCCTGTTTGGAACTGGCTTGTAGTTAATTATAGTTGAAATATAGTTTTGCATATAGGCTGCTATTTTCAGTTGTGAAGTGGGGCCCTCCTACAGATTCGCTGCAAGTTCTCACTGATAGGGTACACTATGTGTATTTCAACTTCCAAATTGCCTTGCAACTAATATTTTAGGATTGCCATATAATCTTAACAAGCAAGAGATGAGGCAAGAGATAAGCAACAGGACATGACAAACTAGCCAGCTAGGTCATCGGCTGGCTCATTCGTTGTCTTATCATCACCGGTAGCTCTCTCGCTACCCCATCGACTGCCACAAGGCAACAGGTGCATACCGATCCATTTTGAAGCCCATATTACTCCAAACACTATCCGGCTAATGCTTATCATTTGGCCAAAATCGCACTATCAGAGTATGACTGGCCAGGACTCCATATGCCACGTACCTCATACCTTATGGCAGTCCATGGGATAAACGACAAGAAACATTGTGCTGGCTTGACCTGTATGTATCATCTGATGAGTTTCTATGAGTACGTAGTTGAGGATCGCATCGCTCCAGGAGGGTAAAATGAAGCATAATACTCAGAAAATGACGAGGACCTCTCCAAGTAACAGAGAGTTCTGCTTGTCAGGGTTCGTACTTGTGTGCAGATTTAGTTGTGGCCCTCCCTTGATCAGGTGTTGCTTGAGCCGAGGCACGCGAATGTCATAAACGGTTTCCCCTACTTGGGCTGGTATTCCAGACTTGGATAATGTAGTAGGTCACAGGAAACTGGACGTCCAGCTAAGCCGGCATATCGGATGTACCAGGTGCCAGGATATATCAGTCTGGATCATAGCAACTTGTCGATGGCATTGGCAGCGCACATCGTCATTCTGATAAACCCATTTTCAAACAAAAGACTATTGCCAATCTGCCTGAACATTCTCGCATCTCGATGCTACTCGAGGATAGCAACACCAAAAAACCAAACCGGAAAAGCGTGCACACAATTCCGCTTGAGAGGAGAACCTCGCAAAGCTCTCCCCTGTCCCCCGCATGATCAACCTTTACCTTTACCAGCCAGAAGGAGTTTTTCCCGCCGACCCAATTGCAACCTTGGACAGAAAGTCAGGACTTGGCTCCTAGCGCTGAAGTTCGTCATTCCGGAGACCGTCTCCGGTTTACCAAAAGGCCCTTGAGAAACGAGAAGGAATGTTACTGGCCTGATTTCAGCGGGCCGTATGAGAGATTTTGACAACTGCATTGGTTCCCCCCCCCCCCCCCCCCCCCCCCCCCCCACCTCAAAAGTCGTTCACGTTAGCCGGCACGCCGAGAATGTGTAGCATGCCTGCATGCCAGTTGGGAAGCGTCAACGCCTTCGGAGTAGGCGGATCAACACAGGCTCCGACACTGGCGGGTGGCGCTAATGCAGGGCGCCTGGCCTTGGCGGACGTTAGCGACCTGCTTTGACGGGTACAGCGCATGCGACCGCCCCCCCCCCCCGCGTCGTCCACTACAGAGAGCCACTGCGTGGCTGCGGGTGCCGTGGATCCCCCCAACGAGGAGCCAGGCTAAAAACAGCCGGGCTTCGTTATGCTTCCTTCTCACCTGATTTCAACCTCGGACGGAAAAACCTCAAACCCTCTCAAGCCGGCAAACCAAAGACACAATCCACCCCCTCAAACCCGGTGAGAGAATTCATGCCGGGATGCGTGCGGGTATACTATTACTGAGCGGGGAGAACCGCCGATATTAATACAATGATATCATGACGCAAGGTTGACTGAACCGCACCACCACCATTCAATGGTCAAACAGGTAGTATTCGGATGCCAGGCCAGTCAGCAATAAGATACTCCAGTCCAAGTCATGTTTTCGGCTGCTACGTGCCGGCGAAGTTACACGTATTCTGATATGAAGGGATCTGAATCAACGCCGTACGGCTTATGGCTGGTATGGGCGAGAGACAAGGTGTATTGAGTGTGCACCATCCGCAAGCTGACAGCATGGTCATGCCCATCCGAAGTACCGGATTTTAAACACCTGCCATCGGAGGCTTGTCCCACAACACACATCCTTGCAGCTGTTTACCCTTTTCACTGCGGATAACTTGGAGTGGCGGTGTTCTGCACCAAGGGAGTCTAAAAAAGTAAACGGAGAAGAATTGCCGTGGGCTACACGAAAGGGTCTGGATATTGTATCAACTGTCGACAGCAACTTTGGGGGTGAGGAAGGGCATTCTCTCGCCAACCAAATCTAAGTCTAGGAATGTCAGCCCCCTTTTCATAATCACGCCAGGGGCACATCGCCTCCATGACATTCCAATCAGCATCGAATTCTTCAGACTCGAATCCCAATGTCCCCGTGGTAGGCCTCACTGGAGTACAGAAGCGCATCATTCGTCCACGTCGTCCACCAATGCCGTCGTCCACGTCGGCATTTACACCCACAGCCACTGAAGCCAGCCAACCCCCTCTCGGTAATCGATCGATGGGCATCCTTGCTCGTCCCCCTCTTCCGGCCCCCTCATTGAGTCCACAACCAACGCCACGGCACGGCAAAGTCAAGACAGGCTTGATGGGGGACCCAGACACCCAGAACAGGCCAAGGCCAGGAACCGCCTTCAGTGCCGGCCAACCGCAGGCCCCGTGTCCCCGCTGCCCCAAGCACTACACACACCACTATTGTGGTAGTGTATGGAACTGACCGGCTCACCGCTGCTGCACACTAAGGAGCTCTTTCTTGGGCCACCATGCCATCTTCACTACGGTGACAATAACCCACACAACCCAAGCATCTCTCTCAAGGTCAAAATCGCTCCAAGATCAACATCTCACCCACTTAACTCCTCCATAACAATCATTGGTCTTGATGATCGTAGTACCTGATCGGCAGTAGCCACACACACATTGTTTTTCAAGACACAAACACACCAATTCCTTCCGGTTCAGGCCTTGTTTTTGCAGCGGTTGGCTGCGCAAGCGTCTTGTCTCAACACAAGACAGACCGGTGGTCGCATACAATCCAGCACTCTATCCTCGGTTTTTCATTCATCAATGGGACTCTAGACCATCTGCGACGTCTGACAGGCCGGGTTCCCTCGTTACGTCTCGCAACAGCCGCGGCCTGGGGCCAACCGGAGCACTGAATAAAGTGGTTTACTTTCAAAAATAGCAAGCAAGCAGCATCCCCCCATTCCCTCAAGACACCCGGTTCGTCCGAATGGCTACTGGCGGATGCGAGCGCACCCCTCACCATGACTCGAAGGGGAAAAGCATTGCTCTAACTCTGACATCACAGAGCCGTCTGAGGTATTCATTGACTTCGGATTTAGATTGAATAGCAGCTCTGTATCCGTAGCACTGCACTTGGATGATCCTGGTCGAGCTGTGTCTCTGCAGCCCAGCCCTGCTGCTGGAGGCAACCTCCCAACCACCTGATCGACCTCCTTGTCCATCAACCATCAGTCATCCACACACCACACCACACCAGGCCCAGATAACCCGGCAGACTGAAGGGTAAACAAGCAATCAAACGAGGTGTAGTATTGGTATGAGTGTGGTATAACGAGCTGCAAGTACATGCAGCTTTGCTTTGTCAAGGTACTGTTTGCAAGTAGCCTGCATACTTCTATACAAAGCAAGGGTTATGTTGCAAAGACATGACTTCATGCTATACAAACAATACGGCTACTCACACCCCATAACACTATTGCAATTCTTTTTTAGCTTATTTGATGATCCATCCATCAAACCCACATTCTGGCTCCCGAAAGACGCGCAATACCCATGACTGAAGCTTATCTTCTACCCTAGCCCAGAGCTGGCCTTACTCCGCGGCTCCCCTCCCTCACTCTGTATATGAACTACAGCTTCCCAGCCCTCCCATCAGCCTATCTCCCTCTTCACTCCAGCATTTACCTTTCCCACCCTTGTCTTTACTCTCGCTCACAGGGCCGACTTAAATTGGGTTGCCCGCCGCATTTTGTTCTCTCTTTCAACCCCTCGAAGCACTTTCTGCCACGTTGAACTCTCACCATCGTGTGGTGTGGCTGGTTAAGGACAAAGCTCTAGGAGTACTGGCGGACGAACAAGGACGTAACTCAACTCACGACCTCGCCATCCCACGAGGCAGCGACACAAGGAGCAGGAGGCCCAGGACAGCACCTACGTCGTGTCGTTTGTGAAAAGGGTCATTGTCGGGTCGACGAGTCAGAAGGTCTCTGGGATACCATTCACCACCTGGACCTTTAAAAAAGATCTTGGCTGTGGAAGCACCTTTCCTACAAAACAACCTCTGACCAAACATATTCCACTCTCTTGTCACCTCAACATATCACCATCCTCTTACAAAGAAACCACACCGCCACTCTTGATACCACAAGCTCAGGTATGTTTACTGATTTATTTTGGCTGCTGCGTCTATATTACAGATGGATTGGCAGAGATAGCCTTGGCGTCGATTCTTCTGTCACCACACCTCTATGATCCCCTTCCCCCAATTACCTTCACTATAGCTGGATTTTGGCTGCTGTTACCCTTCTGGGGCACGGTGGTCTTAAGCTCACAGTTTTCTTCGTCTTGACCGTTTGTTGTTTGGCCTCTGCCAGGTTTTCCTTCGAGTCTAATTTCCCCGAGTGGCTATAAAAGTTTGGTCGTTTTCGACGTTCTGAAAGAATCATTCTCTGACAAGCAAAACACATAGATACTCAAAATGAAGTTCTCAGTTGCTACTATCATTTCTCTGGCCACCTCGGTCTTGGCCATGCCGCAGGCTTCGCCTAGCGGTGGTGCCCTGGCTCCCAAGGACGGTCCTCCTCCTTCTTGCCAGACCTCGTATGAGGGTAACTTTGGCATCACGGTCGTTGAACTCGGCAAGCGCAGCCTGGAAGTGAGTGAAGCCGCCTCCGATATTCAGAGCCATCGCTAACATTTCAAGCAGACCCGCACCAACTGCGGCCAGAAGGGATCTCTGGACCTCACTCTCAAGAACGGCGTCCTCACTGATTCTCAGGGCCGTATTGGTTCCATCGTCGCCAACTACCAGTTCCAGTTCGACGGTCCTCCTCAGGTTGATGCGATTTACACCTCTGGATTCTCGGTCTGCTCCAACGGTTCTCTTGCTCTCGGTGGCTCGACCACTTTCTACCGCTGCCTGTCGGGTAACTTTTACAACCTCTACGACCGCCACTGGGCTGAGCAATGCTCTCCCATCCACCTTTCCGTCCTCCCCTGCGGCGAGAACGCTCCCATCCCGTCTGGCGGCAACGTCGTCGGCACCACCATGGTCGCCACGGCGCTCGTTACTGTCATCGAGGATGGCCAGCCCCAGGTCATTCCCACCACCATTCCCATTCCCATCTGCCAGATTGGCGACGGCCAGATCCAGGGTCACACCACTCCTTGTGGCGAGATCCCTCCAGTCACCAAGACTCGCCCCCCTGCCCCTCCCGCCAGCCAGCCTCCCTATACCCCTCCTGTCACGGTCGTCCCTCCTCCTGTCACCACGCCGGCTGTCCCTCCGCCTGTTCAGACCCCGCCGGTTCAGACGCCGTCTCGGCCTCCCACCCCGCCTGCCAACACGTCTGTGCCGATCAGACCGCCCGCCAGCACGACTCCTGTGGCGCCGCCGGTCGCAGCCGGTCAGCAGATGGTTCCCGCGACCTTCATGGCGGTCGTTGCAGGGCTGATGGCCGTTCTGTACATGATCTAATGTAAAGAGCCAATGTACCTTACCTTTGGGTAAACGGGGGAAGACTTAATTGGTCTTTTGGAGGGAGGTAATGCACACACTTCTTACGACTTTTCAAACTTGCCCGATTGGCATTTTAATGGATGATGAATACGAACAAATGGGCTTTCGGACTTGGAGATGAGATAGATTTGCAACGATGCAAATTAATAGGGACGAACATGATCCCTTCGGGTAATTAGTACCTATAGATGAAATCCAGAATTTCACCTGTAAACATCCGCTGTCTTTTGTGTGAATTTTATGGTTTCTCAGTGAGCGTTCGGACCATCTTGCAAACTTTGTGAAGACCAGACTGGGAGGACTGAAAAGTAAATCGTGTCACCATTGCTCAAGTCACATACCACATGAGACCCTCGTGGACAGTTGTCAGTCGACTCGACACCCGCATGGCATCTGAGAGAGATACAGCGACGGATCCGGACGTTTCTGTGCTGGCCTCGGCGACGATGACAGGGGCACCGAGCACGGCGGTAAGAAATATTCTTCCGCTGGTTTTGGGTTTATTGAACCAACTTAACCTCGACCTTAGCGCCCGTCTCAAACTTGTAGAAGAATGGCTGACGAATCCAGTAAATTCCCCTCCGCTGACTCGGGTGTTTGCAAAGGGACCATCCCCATGTCTAACATGACAACAACTTGGTACTAGTAGTAATGTACAGCTTGGTTTGAACAGAAGTGGTTCTTGTTCTACAAGGACTTCACTACCCGACTTCAGCCCTGCGGAACTAGGTTATCTCCTGAAAACTTGCCACCGTGTCGTGTTGCAGGACAAAAAAAACCCTGCCCATGCCATGACTCTAATTGTGTGTATGACTTTGGGCCCGTTCAAGTTCGATCAAGGACAGGTGGTGTTGGTTGCGCATCCATGACCCATGTACAGCTTCCAGACCTTTTGCAATTTTCGGGAATTTTACCGGGACTTCGATGCTGTGCACGGACCACCTTCAAACATGGGCACCTGGAAATTCTAGTACGCGCAGGTAAAGTGACGTCTTGGCTAGTCACTCTTTTCACCTCGCAACAATCAAACTACCGATACCCCCCTCCACCACCACCATGTCGGAATACTGGAAGTCGACGCCGAAATACTGGTGCAAGCATTGCAGCATCTTCGTCCGCGACACAAAACTCGAACGTCAGAATCACGAGGCGACAGGCAAACATCAGGGCGCGCTCAAGCGGTTCCTGCGGGACCTCCACCGCGGCCATGAGCAGGAAGAACGCGACAAGGATCGCGCGCGGCGCGAGATAGAGCGGTTAAAGGGCGTCGCATCCGGTTCCTCTTCGAGCTCGTCGTTCACGAGACCTGCGCCTGGCGCGCCTTCTTCGTCATCTTCGTCCGCCGGCGGGACAGAAGCGTCAAGGAAGAAGCAGATGGAGCAGCTCGCCGAGATGGGCGTGTCCATACCCACGGCGTTCAGAGGCGACATGGCAATGCCGGGAGAATGGACGGTCACGGCTACAAAGGTCGTCGACGAGGATGCGCAAAGGGAGAAGCCGGCGGAAGCCAAGGCTGTGGGGGTCAGGAAGCGCGAGCAAACCGAGGAGCAGAAGGAAGAAGAGGAAGCCGTTCGCGGGCTTTTCAAGAAACCTAGGAAATGGGGGGGCATGAAGTCGATGCCGGAGGACGACAAGGAGCTCGATGCGCTGCTCAGTGGTAACCCGCTTCTTCGGCCCGTCAAGAAGGAGGAACCCGCGGAGCCGGAGGTCAAGACGGAGAACCCAGAGGATGCGGCCGTCGTCAAGAGTGAGGACCTGGATGAAGCTACGACTACGACTACGGAGGCAAAGGGCGATGTGCCGGCTGTAAAGAGGGAGCCTAGCGACGGCGAGGCTGGCGTCAAGATTGAGGCGCCGGAACTAGGCGACGAGGCTGTGAAGAAGGAGGAGGATAGCGCGGATGCCGGAGAAGCCGCGGCACCGGCCGTCGTTTTTAAGAAGCGCAAACCGAAGAACATTCGTCAAAAATGATTTTGTTATTATTATAGCTATTTTTATGAGGGGGGTGGAGTATAGCATAATCTGGGGTTGGTTAGTGCGATGACAGCACATTATTAGCATAGCGATGGGCGTTTTAAGGGTCACAATGTATTCAAGACTGATTCATAACCGCCGCTCGGATGTGGTGGCTTTCATTCTTTTGCCTTTTTTTTTTTTCTCTCCCCCAATATGACACTAATACAGTAAACCGCTAGGTTCAAATATATAATCGAACTCCCAATTGTGGCTACACGTGCTTGGCGATACTTTCTTCTTATGAATTAAATAATCATTTTTTAAAGCGGCAATATAAGAAGACGTGCCCAACGGGGTAATTAGCGGGGTTGCAGCCAAATCCCACGTGACACCGCCAAAAAGGCAAAGCCAGCGCAAACCCAGCCCGTTCCATATGCCAACGACTCGATTCAATGTCCCTCTCCTTTGGCTTCGGCTCAGCTGGGGTTTGACTCCAACCAATTTTCTCTACTCTACTTCACAGCACACAGCGCGCACACACACCAGTTTCACCATTTACGGTTTCTTCACTCTCTCTGCCCTCACAACTCGTCTCTTCACCAAGGTCAAAAAACCTCAACAATGAGGCTTCTCGATGCAAAAGACCATGGTGTCCCCCCCAGCAGCTAGTCCCTCCTCAATATCACCGGCCAGCAGCTCTCATCTCGGCAAGCGCCATGAGCTCAGTGAGGATGCCGCGGACAACAACGGCAGCAATAACCACAACAATGGCAAGCCGACTTCGCGCCCCAAGAGGGCCCAGGTCTCCCGCGCCTGCGCGCGCTGTAAGAATCTCCGCCGCGCCTGTAACGAGTATCGCCCTTGCAAGCGCTGCGTCGACGCCGGCCTCGGCGATCAGTGCCTCGGATTGCCCGGCCCAGTGTCCCTCGCCTGGGTGTCGGACGGCAGCCAGGCCTTCGGCCAGGTGTCTCACGAGGCCGTCCAGCGCATGGCCGACCTGCTGCCGGCGAGGGTCTTGGACTACTGCGTCGACCGCTTCTTCGCCCGCATGCACCCCACCATCCCCATCCTGACCCCCGAGTACGTCGCCCACCTCAAGGTCGTCGCGGGGCCGTCCGAGGCCGGCATCGAGGGCTACTGCCTTCTCACCGCCGTATGCGCCCTGGTGCTCCTGCAGGTCGAGGAGCCCGAGAGCCTGTTCCTCCAGGGCCTGATCCCGGAGAAGAACGCCCTCCACGGCCGCATGCTGTTCGAGGAGGCCCTCGCCGCGCACCGCAACTTCGCGAGGCGCTCGAACCCCAGCTTCGAGCAGTGCCTGCTCACCTTCTTCCTGTACGCCTGCCACTCGGCCCTCTTCCACCACAGCCAGGCGTTTTTGTTCCTGCGCGAGGCCACGACGCTGTTCCTGCTCCTGCGCCTCAACACCGACTCCTCGCCCCGCGCGCTGGCCGACCGCCTGTTCTGGGTGCTGCTCGTGTCCGAGAGGTCGCACGGCATCCGCTACCGCAGGCCCGTGACGCTGCAGATCACGGCCGAGTCGCCCGTCATGGACAACGACCCGACGCTCTCCGGGTTCTGGAGCCTCGCAGCCCTCTTCAGCCCGCTGGACACGTCCTTCATCGCCCTGCTGAACCAGGAGAAGGTCGCCACGCCCCCTTCCAACGCCGCGCTCACCTATATCGAGACGGCAGTCAACTCGGCCCTGCGGTCGACGTCCGATCTCAAGGACACGCAAAAGGCCAACCTGCGCGTGACGCAACTGTGGCTGAGGATCATTCTGTGGCAGCTGCGCCTGCGCTTCGGCTACCTCGCCGAGGAGTCGGTCCAGCCGAGCATGACGTACCAGTACCCGCTCGACGTGGCCAAGGACCTGGTGCTGTCGACGAGGGATCTGCCCGTCGACAGCATCAAGGTGCACGGCGTGGGCCTGACGGAGAAGCTGTTCGACATCGCGTCGGCCGCCGTGGACGTCCTGGCGAGGGTGCCCATTACGCCGTCGAGCCCGCACAGTGTGGGCGCCGGGCCGGAGGACGATTTGAACTACATGCGCCGGCTCATCACGCGGCTGCCCGGTGGGAACAGCATATACGACGAGTTGCTGGATAAGCACATACAACAGGCCGTGCCGAGCATGGTGGTGGTGGTGTCAAGCGGGGACGCCTAGCCATCCAACGTGACGTGGCGTTGAGCACGAATGTTTTTTTTTTTTTTTTTTTTTTCACTCTTGGTTTCATCTTTTTTATCTTTTTATACGAATTCTTTTTTTATCATGGCAATGGATGATGATGAGGTTTGGATTTGTTCATTATGCATGAGGATTACGCTATGGCTATATATGAATATATATATATGTATGTCTAGTGGTACAATAACTTTAACTTAACTTGGAGGGGGTATTTAAAAAAAAAAAAAAACCACCAAATCTAATTCATTCCTCGGGTGACAAAGATCATTATATATATTTGTGTTTTTTCTTGTTCTTTTTCTCTTTTTTATAAGTCGGACTACTGGCGTGCCTTTCTCAGTGCTCCTCGACCAACTTCTTCTCGCTGTTGAGCTCCTGCGAGTAAGGGTCGATCTTGGTCTGCGCGAACTTCCTGGCCGAAACGCCGTGCTCGAACAACAGGTCCAGTTCGGCGTAGGTGCGGCCCTTTGGCTCCGGCACGCGGAAGTACACCCAGACGGAAGACAGCAGACACGTGCCGGCCCAGAAGAAGGCGGTGCGGGCGCCCCAGTTCCAGGCCGTCGAGGAGAGCTGGTAGTTGGTCATGACGTTGACGAAGATGTTGCTGGCGTTGTAGGCGGCGCGGGCCATGACGATGGTCTTGGCCTTGAGGCGGGTCGAGGAGAGCTCAGAGATGAGCGAGTACGTCACGGGCCCGACGGTGAAGTCGTAGACGAAGGTGAAGATGATGAGCATGGCGCCGATGGCCCAGATGGACGAGTTGGACTTGGCGAAGGACAGACAGCCGACGATGAGCAGCAGGATGAACTGCGTGCATAGGCCGGAGAAGTGGATCGTGCGACGGCCGATCTTGTGCATCAGGTACCAGGACCCCGCGGTGCCGACCATGCCGAGGGCGTACTGGCCCATGGACAGCGAGAAGGAGTTGTTGGCGTCCATGCCGGCCTGCACCATGAAGTAGGAGAAGTAGCCCATGAGGTTCTGGCCGCCGAGGGTCTGGACGAGCCAGATGCCGATGACGATCTCGGTGCGGCGGAGGTCGGTGCCCTTGAAACAGTCGCGGTAGGTGACGCCTTCCTTGACGCGTTTCTCCATCTCGTTTGTGTGCTCGATCATGGCGATCGTCTCGTCCGGGTTGAAATTCGGCTGGTTGCGCGACGTGAGCCGGAGCAGGGACCGCTTTGCGGCGGCCTTGTCGTTGTGCCGGACGTACCACCAGGGTGACCTGCGCCCCCTGCGTGTTAGTTATTTGGAACTATGTAGTATTTGTGTGTGTGTGTTTCACGCCGAGACGGTCATATAAAACCCCGAGAGGATGTAAGTGGCCACCGGAAGGTCTGGGGAAGTGGTATTGCAGGCAGGGGAGAAGAGAAAAAAAAAAACCTTACTCAGGGGCAAAGCAGACGCCGATGAGGATGGGAACGGGCCAAACCCATTGGACTGCAAAGGGAATTCTGTATGCCCATTCGTTGGCGTGCTGGAACGAGCCCTTGTTGACTGCGACGGCGAAGAATTGGCCAATAACCTGAACCGGGCGTTGTTAGTTTCGGTGTCTGGAGGGGAAAAGCTTAAATTTTCCAAGAGGGGTTGAAGAGGCTTACCCAGCACATGTTGATGAAGGTCGTGAGGTACGGTCTGAGGACGACAGGAGCCACCTCGGAGGCGTAGGCTGGCGTGACGCTCTGGAACGCGCCCCATGGAATTCCTGTATTTTGATTAGAAATTGGGTAGTTGGAATACTCAAAAGGGGAAACTCACCGCAGAGAACCTCTCCGAGAACCAGGATCTTCACGTTTGGCGCAAAGAAGAGCACGAAAATGAAGGCAATCATCATAATCAGAAAGCCAATGGTGGTCATCTTGTAACCGTACCTATCGGCGGTCCAGCCAGCGAGGATGAGACCGATGATCTCTCCGCCGCGGGCACCGTTGGACAAGCCGGACTGCCAGGCAGCGGAGAGCACGTACTTGCCCTGGGCCTCGCTGTAAGCTCCGTACTTTTGGTTAAAGTACTTTGAAGAGTAGAGGTTGCCGAGCAGAGCGAGGTCGTAGCCCTCCATGATGAGAGTGGAGGAGAGCAATATGGACCAGCCGATGGCTTTGGGGTAGGTCCTGATGGCCTCGCGGAGGGTCATCTGGTGCTCTGCGTCAGCAGCCTGCTTTGCCTCTGCGGCGAGGTCTTCCGGGTGTTGAGGAGCAGCCGCGGGAGAGTCGGCATGCTGGTGAACGCCCATATCTTTATCTTCCGCAGAGGAGATGGTGGGCTTAGGGTCGGCCATGTTATCGATGATGCCTCGGAGTCGTCCAATGTGTAAAATATTGCTAGTTCAAGGAGGAACGGCTTGCCGTCTTATAGGAGGCAAAAGTAGGAGAGACAAGAAGGGGGAGTGGGCGGAGAGTGTAAAAGACAGTCGCCTGAGGAGCGAGGTTTATCGAATGGGGGAGGGCATTCGCGCCTTTATTTATTCTTGTAGAGAACACCGGCAGAGGAGGTGTTTAGGAGCGGGTGACCGGACCAGAGAGGTGGTGGTGGTGGTAGTCAAAGTAGCATGGGATGAAGAGAGAGAAAAAAAAAAAAAAAAAAAAAAAAAAAAAAAACTAATTGAGTAACAGATGCCAAGCAATTTGAACCGTGCTTTTCCTATGGGGGAGGCCTAATTGAGTCGACGTTGGGCTGCCGGCTTGGACAGGATAGGATTGGTGTGTGGTGTTTGTATCCCCAGGTTGTCGGTCAACGTTCGCTAGTTCGTACCGGTATTCGTGTGTGTGCGTGAGTGTTTGTGTTTGTGTGCAAGGGATGTTGATCTAGACATGGGGGTTGGCGTTGAATCGCCTGACGAGAGGCGTAAAAGCCGAAGCGGATTTGCATGCATGACTGGGGGGGGGGGGGGCCATGCTGCGAATACGCTGTAAGAATAGTGTAGAGAGATAATCTGTGGAGAGAGGGAGGGGGGAAATGGTACTGTAACTGGGTTGGCTGCTGAAGAAGGACCTCTGTGGGGGGTGGATGAGGCAGACATGAGATTGGATGAGGTTGAATGAATGTTGACGAAATGCATTGTATGAGTCTGTCTGTCATGTCTGCAATATGGCAACCCTCACTCAATACGGAGTCGATACCGAAGGATTTTGAGACTTTACTTTCACCAGGTTCAAGGCATGATGATCTTGGTTCTTGATTCGTGCCGAGCGGCGCCCGAGATCCATTTCGGGAATGGTTAAACATATTCAGGGCCTTAACACACGAGGGAGCAACAGGAGACTCCGCAAGTGACAGGTGCCGGTCGTGTAAGCCCATGACGCTATTCGCATCTTACATAGGATGATGACCAGGCTAGGTTGGCTTCCCGAGCCGAGACAATGGAGATGGGAGGGGGGAGGATGGGTTCATGGGTTCATGTGCTTTGAGGGTTTCCGACTTTTTCCTCCAAGACAATTTCCCCAGATTCAGGAATCAACTAAGCAACGCTAGGGTAAAGCCAATGCAAGACCATCCCACTCTTTTTTTTTTCTTTTTTTTTTTTTCCTCCTTTCTGGTGGTGGTTCATGGTCCCCTACCAAAACTTGGTCCAGACTTTGTTCATCACCACCACCAACCATCACCGCTAGCCTCTCAGAAAGCTCCCCGCATTTCAACTTTCTAGGCAAATACCTACCACCACCTTCTTCTCTCATTGGTTTGCAGCTCTGACGTGAGTGGCTCCCGGCAGACTGGGGCCCATCGGAGAAAGAGGCGGAGTCTAGCGGAGGTTCTCCGTCCCCCAAATCCTCCCACTTTCAACCCCAACAAGGGTGGCGGAGTCTCCGCACATTTCGTCCATCTTTTTTTATTTGTTTTTTGGTCTTTCACCTACCACAGAAACATTTGCAGCTTCTCGACCTGTTCCATGATCGTCCGATGCCCGTCATGGGGCGGGAATGCGGAGTCAAATTTTGAACAGACCCAAAGCCTCGGATAGGATCATGTGCGCAAGGTGCCAATTCCAATGTACGCCCGCATCTTAGCCTCCGCGTCTCCGCCTTTTCTCCAGCCCTCCAACATCCCACCCACATTTGTCTTTGTCTCTGTCCCTTCTCGCATTGAGCATGGATGGAGGAGGGTCCGAAGGGGGTGGAGGAGTTTGCGGGCGGCCACGGCGGCGCAACAGGAGTGAGGCGGGGAAAAAGGTCACCGCCTGGTTGATTCCGAATCCCCACTGAGATTGGATAACATTTTACTAACTCCTCCGGACTCAACCGACGCATCTCCTTCTCACTTTCACGGCCCTTTTGCGGAGCGATTCCCACGAGGGGTAACCTGCTTCATGCAACCGGAATCGCGCAAACGCTCTTCTCCCCACGCCTCGTTTGATCTCTTGGGGCTATTTTCCCACTTTCTGCTGCATAACCCGCCATGCTGTCACGCTATTATTTTCGCTGTTGCCGCTGATCGCGGGACTTGCTATTCCGCCTGCCGCTTTGTCTTTCCGAGGTAGTCTGGTCAAAATGCCATTCTCTCCCAGCGCGTCTGATCTTTGACGTCGGATCTCATCTTCCCACACCTTTCCCTCGCCACTCTCTTTCAACCCATCCCATCTTTTCTCTTCCCCCCTCTCCTTCTCCCATCTCTCTGTAACAGTCTACCACATTACAGCGTGGCTTGACAGAGGCAAAGGATAGACCGACACAATATGGGATCTCTCGTCTGGGATGACGAGAACCGCTGGGTAGGCAAGCAGCCCTGGTGGAAGGATGCGACCTTCTACCAAGTCTACCCGGCCAGCTTCAAGGACTCGGACGGTGACGGTTGGGGCGATCTGCCCGGCCTCATCTCTGAGGTCGACTATCTCCATGACCTCGGCGTCGATGTGGTCTGGGTGTCCCCCATCTTCGAGAGCCCCCAGGCCGACATGGGATATGACGTCTCCGACTACCAAAAGATCTATGCCCCCTACGGTACCGTTGAAGATGTCGACACCCTCCTCCAAGAATGCCACAAGCGCGGCATGAAGGTCATCCTCGACCTTGTGGTCAACCATACATCCGTCGAGCACGACTGGTTCAAGCAGTCGCGGTCGTCAAAGGACAACCCGAAGCGAGACTGGTACATCTGGAAGCCCGCCCGCTACGACGCCGACGGCGTGAGGCATCCGCCGACCAATTGGCGCGGTTACTTTGCCGGTCCGACCTGGACCTGGGACGAGCACACGCAGGAGTACTACCTGCACCTGTACGCCCCCGACCAGCCCGACCTGAACTGGGAAAACGACGAGTGCCGCGAGGCCATTTACGAGGACACCATGCGCTTCTGGCTCGAGCGCGGCGTTGACGGGTTCCGCATCGACACCGTGAACAAGTACTCCAAGCGGACCGACTACGTCGACGCACCAATCACCGACCCCAGCTCGCCGCACCAGCCCGCGCCCGAGATGTGGTGCAACGGCCCGCGCATCCACGAGTTCATCCGCGAGATGAACCGCAAGGCCCTGGCGCCCTACAACGCCGTCTCCGTGGGCGAGCTTTCCCTGACGCCGCACCCGTCGCAGGTGATCCCTTACGTCTCGGCGGCAGCCAAGGAGCTCGACATGGTGTTTGAGTTCTCCGTCATCCGCCTCGGCAACGGCAACGGGTTCGGCGGCAAGTACCTGTACCAGCCGTTCCCGCTGTCCACGCTCAAGAGCTACACGGCGACCTGGCAGTCCTTCATCGAGGGGACGGACGCGTGGGCGACGGCCTTTTGCGAGAACCACGACAACGGGCGCGCCGTGTCGCGGTTCGGCGACGACTCGACGCCGGAGCTCTGGCGCGCCTCCGCCAAGACCATCGCCGTCTGGCAGGCCACCATGTCCGGCACGCTGTTCCTGTACCAGGGCCAGGAGATCGGCATGACCAACATGCCCGCCGGCTGGGGCATCGAGGAGTACAAGGACATCGAGAGCGGCAACTTCTACGCCGAGGCCGTCGAGTCGGGAGACCGGGAGCGCATCGAGAAGACCATGGCCGGCCTGCGGATCCTCGCCAGAGACCACTCGCGGATACCCTTCCAGTGGGACGACAGCCCCAACGCCGGGTTCACGAGGGAGGGCGCGAAGCCGTGGATGAGGGTGCACGACGACTACAAGGCCATCAACGCCGCCAAGCAGCGCGGCGACCCGGATTCGATCCTCGAGTTTTACAAGTCGGTGCTCAAGATGAGGAGAGCGCACCGCGACATTTTTGTGTTCGGCTCGCATAAGCTGTTGGACCCGGAGAACGAGCGGACGTGGATCATCCTGAAGGAGAGCGCCGCGCCGGTTAATGGACGGGACGGGGTTAGACGCCGGGCGCTGGTTGTGATGAACTTTTCCAAGGAGGAGGAGGAGACGGCGGGAGATGTGCCGGCGATGCTCGGCTGCGACGCCGGCGAGGTGAGGTTGCTCGTCGGCACGCGGGAGGGCGGGGAGGTCGTCAAGGGGGTTGCGCCCGCGCTGAGAGGGTGGGAGGCGAGAGTGTATACCAATTTCGAGATTTAGATATGATACCCTGATGGCCTATAGAAAGGTTGGGGTACAGAGATACGGGTCTTCTAATGACATTGTACGTTTGATGGTATGATACTACTGTTTGGAGCTTTATGGTGTGGCCTAAGTAATATAGTTCATAAAACAAATGGCGTTCCATATAAGTTGTGGTCAAGTTCACTCATCGAGTTGTTCTGGCCAGTTTTGCATTGGGGCATGGAAAATAATGTCTTCTCAGATGTAGCGGGGTCTTGGGATGCAGAATGGGGTGGTCATTCCGTTGTATCCGAGATTGTCTGTAATAGCTCTCACCCTAGCCACCCGTTTCAGGAATGGAAGTATGGATGTTGTGAGAGACAACCTAAGAAGGCGTAAAACAATTCCATCCCACATTTTCTAATTGGCTGTTTCTGATGGTGCTGGTCATTAGTCTTGAACAACATGTAATGCTCACAAAGGATCAGCTTTACTGTTCCCGATTATGCTCCTGCAAGAACCACGTCAAATCGGCATTCCACATGGTTTTTCGCCAGACCTTGTGGTATTAATGAGTTTGAATGCCCAGATTTCTTTGGATATTTAAACGCTGTCTAGGGCCGTAAACGTGGCAGGACATTCAAGTATGGCTCATGATTTACATATTGCTGGGTTCTGAAAACATGATTGACCTCAGGATTCTCACGTCGAGAACGTGAGGCGACAAAGAGAAACCACAAAAAAAGGATAAGGTCTTTGGAAGTGGCAAGTGTATCAAAGAGCCAGACGTGGTCGGGAAGATCTACGGAAGACATATAAGGGGTTTAGATATCTGCTATGTGTGCTCACTCTGCTCTCTAGATGCTGGTAACTGGTGATCTTTCAATCTTCACGCAACTCACCCAAAAAAATAATAAAGAAGAAAAACAGATATTGTTCACTTCCTCTCTGTTATTTGATGCATAGTTACTTGTAGCCTCGATAAGGTGCTGACCAACCATTCCTCGGCCACGTGATTCCTTGACCGTTGCACACCGGAATGTGTGTCACGGCAAGACAAGCCAGGCTAAGACAGCTTTCGCAGAGAATCTAAATCACATATTTCAAAACACTAGACACTGATTCACGTTTGTTGTAGGAAAAATATTGGCATAATCAACCCCATCTGGGTATTCTCTTTCACCACTAGTCTTGATTTTCTGTCTCAAAGAATCTGATTTTGCTGAATTCGATTGCTTTTTGTTACCAAAGACGCATGCATATATGAAGAATGGAGTTCTATCCGACCCCAGTGCAATTCTCTTCATCATTACGTCGTCCCGTCTCCCCGGCGCACCCAACATATCCCCAAAGACCTGGCTTACATGATGACCTCGTTCGCAACGTCCTGCGTAATCATTAGTAACTCGTCCAAACCCAAACTTGAAACTTGTACTCACCCGCTTCAACTCCTTGAACGGCAAGCAGACGCAGTTCTGCACGCGAACCTCATCGCCGACGCCGCAGTCCTTGCCCAGGATGGTGATACTCTGGACCTTGACGCCGTTCTTGATGATGCTAGTGGTGTGGCTGCCGACGGGTGTGGGGGTACCCTCAACACGAGCCCAGGCGCCGACGCGGCTGCCCCAGCCGATGATGGAGTACAAGACACAGGCGTCGTGCTTGATCTCCGAGTCCTCGAGGACGATAGACTCCTTGATACGGGCACCGGGGCCGACGTGGACACGGGGTCCGATGGACACGTTGGGGCCCAGCTTGGCAGTGGGATCGACGTGGGCAGTAGGGTGGATGAAGACGGGAGCAATAATGTTGGCGCTGGGCTCAGCGAGCTCCTTGGAGCCACTCTGCCAGGCCTTTTGCAGGTAAAGCGCATTGGCGGGAACAGCGGAGCCGGCAGTCTTGATCTGGCGCCAGAAATCCTTGGTCTCGTATACGAAGAAGTGCTTCGTGTCGGCGAGGTCACCAAGAATGTCTTGCTCAAGGCGAATGACCTCGTTCTTGCGCTCTTCGTCGTCATCATTCAGGATGAAGCTGTTCTCGAGGTTCTCGGAGCTGGGATAGGAGACCAGACGGGAGGGGCGGTCGGTGCGGCGCTTGATGGCGGTTCTAATAGAGGGGAAGATGGCATCGGTGGAGAAGAGGTAGACACCACAGTTGATGAGGTTGCTGATTTGCGACTCGGGCTTCTCGACGTAGTGAAGAACACGGCGGGTGTGGGCGTCACTGACGATGCAACCAAAGTTGGAAGCGGCGTCGTTGGAGACACGGGTGCCGAGAATGATGGCCTCGGCGCTCTTGTCATAATAGAGCTGCAGCATCTCGTGCAGGGGGAAGGAGCAGCAGACATCGGCATTCAGGACGAAAAGGCGCTCAGGGCGACCCTTGAGAATGGCATCGCGGAAATGGTAGAGACCTCCGGCAGTGCCCAAGGCCTCGTACTCGCGCAGGTACTTGATGGAGAGGTTGGGGAACTCATTGGTGGCATCCTTGATGAAGTCACGGAAGACGGACTCCTCGTAGTAACCGATGATGAGGACCTCGGTGATCTCCTTGCCGGGGACACGCTCGATCGCTGTAAGGCAGTGCCAGATGATGGGGTGGCCGGCGACTTCGAAGAGGGGCTTGGGAACGTCGAGGGAAAGAGGACGGAATCGAGTGCCTCTGGAAGGACCACCGACCTGGAAGTTTAGAAAGCCATGGTTAGCTTGCGACAGTTCCGTTTGCAGAAGGTGATGGTGGTTAGGAGGAAACGAGGGGGGAGGAGGGAAGCGAGCCTGGGCCGAGGGCGGGGGGAATTGGAGATGATTCCGCCGCAAACTGAATGGATGCGAAAGGTGCTCATACCAGGATAACGGCCTTGGTGGCGCCCTCTTGAGAGGTCTTTGCTCGGTAGGGGACCTGCAGCGACATGTTTGCGCGGGACGAGATTCGGGTGGTGGTGGTGAGGTTGAAAGTGAAAGAGCAAAGTCGCCAATTTGCAACGTCACCGCCTCGTGGATTTCGAGGACCCCCCTGAGAAGTTCACCTTGACGAGCAGCTCAGCTGGTCTGGCAGGTCTGCTGGTCCAGACTAGGAATAATTTACAGTGTAGGCGATGCTTGTATGCAGGGGTCTATGTGGCTCGTGTCGGTTCGGCTTGTGGCGGCGGGGACCCTCGTACTGTTAGCGGGGGACTATTGGGCAATAATGATAAGCCATTGGAAACGTAGCTGATAAGAGGTATTCCCTAACTGCAAAAGGCCCCGGTGCGGGGAGGAAGGACCCCTTAAGATGACAGACACGAGCCTCAGCAACTGCACAAGTTTGCATAGGCACCACATGTGATGAGCTCAGCACCTCATTCGTGTCCCTACCAAGACTCATAATCGTAGTACCTTTTTTCTTTTTCAGCGTCTTGCGGTTGTTTGGCTCCATCCAGAAGTTGATGTATGTGTCCTATACCTGTTTACGGAGTATTTATGAAACTACCTACGTATGCATAACCCCACTGTTCATATTCTGATCTCATCCCCAAACCCAGTCGCGCGTCGAGTCGACAAAGCATTCTGATGTGTAAGTCTGACGACAATCCTCCAATACCCTTCAAAAAGGCACCGGAGATCTATGCACTTTACGCGTAGCACAGGTATGCAACCGTGTCGGAGCGTGTCTACCAGTCAAAGACGCGACAGGGGATGCCTGAAAAGCAATATCTGTGACTTTTCTGACTAGGTGATACTTCACGCCTTGCCCGCAAATTTTGGTAGGCTGATGTGCAACCTGGGGAGTTTTGCCAGGTACCAAACCGCGTCTCTCAGGGGATCGCCACGGCCAAAGCTCCACTGCCAACCACTCCAGTCCATCCCTGAGCTCTTTAAGAATCCTTGCTCGCTAAACTCCAACGATGCACCTCGTTTGCTCCATTTCGCAATAATGCCTGCTACGCAGTACAAGTGCCACTTATATGTATCACCAAAACATCGTACATTGCATCGATAGAATCTTTTAAAAACTTCTCAATGTCTTCTAAGTGACTCTGAAAGACCGGTGCAAAGTTTAAAACAGCTCTTTGAAGCTGTTTGTAGCCAAAACTAGAACAGGCAGCAACACCTTCAAAGTCCTGCCTAACACTTACAACCAGTTCAAAGAGTGTCCCTGGAGCGTGGGACCGCAGGTTGCTATGGTCAACGTAAACGAGGAAAGAGCTCTTAAAGCTTTGCTCCCCAAGCTCCTTCCTCCGTCGCCTTGGACTTGAGCTTCAGTTTCTGTCACCACCTCTCACCTCACCTTTTATTCATCTTCGTTGCCTAATTGGGTCGTTACGATCACCGTCCGACCCTTTTGTCACTCTTTAAATCCCTTCAACCGCCCAATTGATCTTTCTCTCTACTCTCTTACTCTCTCTCTCTCTCTCTGACCCACATCCCCAAAGCCTCACTTGCAACATCTTGCCCAACATGACCAAGGCAAGAGCTCAGCGAGGTATCAAGGCAGAGCCAGGAGCTCATCAAATGGAGAAACCATCTCCAACTCCTACTCTCACAAACACCTACAACGAAAGTCCTGTTCAGCAGCAACAGCCCAGCTCTGTTGCTTCCGCCGAAGCTAATCAGCCCTTTCCCCGATCTGATGCTCGTATGTTTTACCTTCTCGGGTTCCCTTTTCAGATATCTAACGCTTAAAAGCTCCTCCTTCTTATAGAGGACCAACAACCCTTCCTGCCCGCTCAGTTCGGACAGCCATGACCAACCCGACTGTTGATGACAGTGAAGCCCCTGTCCTTATGCAGCTTAGGAACCGCGAAATGGATACACCTGTTGATCCCGTCGGAAACGACTCATCCTTCTTCGATGGCTCTTTCCGCGACATCGGTGCCAAGGTCAAGGTTTTCAACGACACCCTCGGTGAGCTCCAGCAACTGGGCGTCTCTCATGACGTCCCTCTTCCCCAGTTGGTCTTGGTTGGCGATCAGTCTGCTGGCAAGTCCAGTCTCATGTCTGGCCTCGCTGGCCTCAATCTTCCTCGCAGCGAAGGTGTCTGCACTCGTTGTCCTATTCATATTCGCGTTTCCCGCAGCGCCGCGAGAGATCGAGGTGGCCCTGAATGGTCTTGCCGCGTCTCGCTCCAGCAAGATTACACCTTCCGGCCACCTGGTGATCACGAAATTACTAAGGCAGATGTCACCGCAGAGAACCGTTTCCCTCCCTGGGTAAAGCAGCCGCGTGTGGTCAAGGAATTCATGACTATCTACGATCAGCAAGACATCGACACTGTCCTGAGATGGGCTCAGGTCGCCATATTGAATCATGACCAGAACCATGAGCTCTATGTTCCCGGCCACGGAGCCATCGCGAAGACTTGTCTGCTAGACCAACAGGCCGAGCATACGGCAGCAAAGTTTAGTCCTAATACTGTTGCCCTGGAAATCAAGGGGCCTGACTTGCCCGACCTGTCTTTCTATGACATGCCTGGCATTTTCAGGAACTCGGCCCGAGAGGAGGATGAGTATCTAGTTTCTGTCGTTGAGAATTTGGCCCGCGAATACATCTCCCACGCAGGCGCCCTCATTATCTGGGCCGTTCCAATGAACGTCGATCCGGAGACTTCTTCGACATTGTCCATCATTCGCGACCTAAAGGCTCAGAATCGGACCATCGGAGTCATGACCAAGGCAGATCTTTTGCCTGAAGGAAACCATGCTCAATGGCTCTCCATGTTGCGCGGTGAGCGCCACCGGATTGGGCACGAATTCTTCATCACTTCACGCCCTGCTGGTAAAGATCTTCAAGAACAGCAGCGATGGGAGGAAGCTTTCCTTCACCAGGATGCTAGTGAACGGTGGCCGGAAGTCTTCCATCCCTTCCGCGAGAGATGTGGTGTCGAGAAGCTCAAAACGGCACTTTCTGAGAAGCTAGGCAAGGAGTTCGCCAAGAAGTAAGTGACCTCTTCCAAGCTTTGCTCTTAACTTATACTAACTCTTGGCAGCTTGCCTTCCATCAAGCAGAAGGTTCTGACGCGACTTCGTGAAGTTGAACACCAACTAGGTACCCTTCCAGAGCTGCCCGACAATGTGGAGTTGGAGGTCAGAAAGAGCTTGATGGCTTTTTCCACTATTGTCAAAGAAACGCTTCGTGGAAGAGGCTTTTCCGCTAACTACGGAAGCCTCTCGGATGCTTTCTGTGACTGCATCTTGCAGATGAAGCCCAAGTTTGTCCTGAAGGACAAATCTGACATTCCTGTCCTGGAGATTTCTGACGACGAGGACGATTCGGCCAGTGCTACTAGTATGACGCCTGGTAATAGGAAGCGTGGTGCCAACGGACTAGGCATTTCTAGTGCGAAAAGACCTCGACCTTCCGTCAATGGTGGATCGTTTTCGGCTTCAGTTAAGACAGAAGATGGTGGTTCCGCACCTTCGACGCCATCTCGTCGAAGGCCGATGCAGCCGTCGCCCCTGGCTCGTCCGTTCCAGCAATACGCTAACTACGGAGCTGGCTTCAGGACGCTGCGCCAGATCAGCGACAACATCAAGTCGAAGACCAAGGCTGGAATGCCTAATATCGTGCCTGATGAGGTTTATGAGGATTTGTGCAAGCAGTCTGTGAAGGCTTGGAATCAACCAATGGGAACATTTCTCCAGGAAACCATGACACGTTTGCAGAACATCATTGACTATGCTTTGGACCAAGCTTTTGAATCTTTGAAGAGGCGTTTGGTTTACAAGGAGTCCAAGAATCACATGAACCGGTTCTTGGCGGAACGTCGTGAAGAGGCGTTGAAATTCCTCGAGGATATCTACGAGATGGAAACCTTTCAACTTTTCACAGTCAGCAAAAAAGCCTTTGAGGAATACGAGCGTTCCGAGAGCAGAGTGCTAACGCGCTACCGCCATGTTATGCGCTGGCGGGCGTTCTCCGGAGAAGTGTCCGAATTCCATGACTGGGATAAAATGACACTGGACCAGCGCATGTCAGAAGAGAAGAAGCATAACAATGAGCTGGCAAAGATGGGACCGGACTCCTTCGACAAGGAGCTGAAGGTTGCCGCCTATGTTCGTGGATATTACATGCTTTCTGCTCTACGCTTTTCCGATTCAGTCTGCCTCTCGATAACCTCGCGTATGATGCCAAAGATCGTGCAGGACCTTGACTTCTTTCTTGAAAAGCAACTTGGGCTGGTGGGCCCGAATGATGGCACTATCTTCTCTCGTCTGATGGAGGAAGACGATGAGACCGCTCAGAAGAGGGAGCGACTCAAGGGCGAACTTCAGAAGTTTAAGAAGGCTTTGGACTCCATCACGATCAATGATTTGGACGCCGTCTCTGGATCGTCCTCGCAGGACACCACTCCTTATGAGTCGTACGAGGACTCGATTGCCGAAGACATGGACCTCGATTCATCCGTCTAGAGCGTCAATGTCTGACAAACGGCTGGTTTTCTTTTGTTTATGTGTATTGGTTTTTTTTTATGGACTGAGCAGCATGGCCCACCTCGGCTTAGGTGGTTCGAAAGTCTCGTTTGGGATGGTATAGGCACTTAAGATTGTTGAGTGTGACAGTTTTGCCTATGGAATCGTTACGGAAAGGAACTGGAAGAGGTTATCAGCTGTTGTGGGCGAAACCAGCACAGAACGCTCAGAATGGGAAAAGTGGTGTTGTTGGTTGGAAGAACTAACTAACTGGCTAGAGGGCTGTGGAGGCTGGCTAAGACCAGTGGTGGCGGCCGTCAGCCCACGTGACGGGCCGGCGAGGCCTGCCACCCACACCCCCTCTCAGACTCCTCAGCGAAAAAGCAGTAGAATAATAGGAAATGCAGGAAAAGTCCCAAATCCTCCAAATCCGAGGAGTTCTCAACTATTAGAAAACTCGGTCAATTACCGGTTAAACCTGGCCAATAGGAGGCCGTGAAATCCTCCGAATCCCGAAGTCTCAATATCAATAGTCCCACAGTCTCAAAATCCCCCTCTCAATCCAATCCCTCCGCCATGCCCAACAAACGAACGAATTCCTTGTGTTTGACCGCAACCAGTGGCTTCGTGAGTCCATCGGCGGCCATATCAGCGCCCTTGATGAGTCGGAGTTCGATGCTTTTCGCAGTGTGAACCTCCTGTATGATCCATTTGTATCGGACATCGATGTGGCGGGTTCGTGCCTCGTTGAGTGGGTTCATGACGTTGTCGTAGCCGTTGGCACTGTCAGTGAACATGATAGTAGGCGTGGTGATGGGTTTGCCGAGCAGTTGGGAGAGGCAACGTCTGATCCACTTCACAGCAATTGCCGTAGGTGTGAGATTGATGAATTCAGCCTCCGTGGTGCTCAAAGTCACGAAAGTCTGTTTCTTTGACTTCCAAGCAATCGGCGCACCAGCGAGGAAGACGACGTAACCACCTGTCGAGACTCGTGATGGCTTGTTGTCAGCGAAAGAGGCATCTGCAGCAGCGTAGAGCCCCAACTCGTTGATCGTGGGGATGCCTCCAAGTACAATACCGAGATAAACGGTGCCCTTGAGGTATCGGAATAAGTGCTTAATAGCACGAAGATGGGCCTTAGAAGGCCCTGAATTCGCCTGTGACAATTTACTGACGGTGTAGGCCATGTCAACGCGAGTTCCAGCCACCAGGAAGTTAAGGCAGCCGGTTTGTTCGATGTAAAGTTGTTGTTCGTCAAGCGAGCACTCGTTCTTGTCCCAGGTGACGGGCAGATCGTCAGTGGTCGCCATAGGCGTCTTGACAGCACTCAAACCATCAAAGTCGAATCGTTGAAGCACTGCTTTTGCGTACTTGGCTTGGGAAACGAAAATCTTACCGGCAGCTCTGTCGCGTTCAATCTGGAAACCGAGAAAATCGGTAGCCTCGCCGAGGTCTTTAAGAGAACAGACCTTCTCGAGGAGACGACGAACTTCCATCATGACTTGCTTGTTGGGAGCGGCGATGGCGTTGTCGTCGACGTACATAAGAACGTACGCTTTAATCTTGTGATTGACGAAGAGACAAACCTCCCCATCAACAGCAGTGAAGCCAATTCGTTCCATTTCACCCTTGATAAGTCGAAACCACCAAAGTGGTGATTTTCTCAATCCATAGAGTGCCTTGTGGAGCAGCCAAACCTTGTTGTCTGCAGTGGCGTAGCCAGCGGGGGGCCGGACGTACACCTTAACCCCCTCTGGAATCGAGGCGGCTAGGAAAGCAGTGTCGAAATCATATACTTCGTATTCAAGATCGAGAAGTGCGACAACTGCGAAGAAAAGGCGGGTTGCGGTGGCAGAGGCAACTGCAGCGTAAACCTCTTGCGATGACCAGTCACCTTTCTCGTGGTTTCCACAAACCACATATCGGGCCTTGTAGCGCACGATTTCGTTGTTTTTGTTGGTTTTGATGTCACATACCCACTTGCCGGGCAGGACTTTAGCGTCACGTGGTGGGTAAACGACTTCGTAAACCCCCTTTTCCGTGAATTGAGTCATCTCTCGTTCGAAGGCTTGTTCCCACTGGGGCCACTGTGGGCTCTTCTGCGCCTCACGGTAGGACTTCGGGATCACCACGCCGTCGGGTAGGACTTTCGAAAGGGCAGTAGCAGAAAGCACGCTGGGAGAGAATTGACGAGAAGTTAGTGAAGCTGGAATGTCAGCAGATAGAAAAGTCTTTTTAGCATAGGAGCGTACGCCACTGGCGGCTCGGTAGTGACCAGGTGGTCGCTGGGCTGAGGCGCGGCGAGGTCGAGAGGACTCTGCCGGTTGACTCGTTGCTTCCTCAACAATCGTGGAGAGGGAATCAGGGTCCTGGTGATCAGTTTCCATTGTTTCCACGGAAGCGACGAATTCGTCATCATTCAATTCGTTAGTAATGCTGTCACGAGGTGTAGCAGTGGTCTCCAACAGGTTCTCTGGTGGCGGAGACATGAGATGTGTATCAGTGGGTGCCATCGCTTTTTCAACGATGGTCTCATCTGGTTTGGGATCACCAGTCACGGGTTTTTCACCTTCAATAGGCTTCTGACGGATGGTGTACTGGATGATGATATCTGGTTCGACAAACGCAGCATCATGTTCAATTTCATCAATGTTGGGTGTGCCAGTAGTTGGAGGCAACACTGTCTTGTGCGGTTCCTCACGAAATCGAACATCTCTGCAGCGAATAACCTCCTTTCGATCAGGCAGGTAAACGTAGTAAATGTGGCCACGAAGAGAACCGTAACCGACGAGGAATCCCTTGATTGCTCGTGGTTCCATCTTGGCAGAGCGCATAGGGCGTCGAGGGCCCTTCTTGTGTACGTAGGCAGCACAGCCAAACGTTCGGAGATGTTCAATGTGGGGGGCCTCACGTTCAGCAGCCAAGTTCAGCTCTCTCGCCATGATCTCGTGAGGGCTCAAGTTACCCTTGGAGGGTGTGGGCAAGAGGTTGAGAATCTGAGTCACCGAATCGATGCTGTAATCCCACAGTTCCTCTGGAAGGGACATGTCAATCAGCTGTGTCCGGGCGCCTTCGACGATGGTACGACCAGCACGCTCAATAGTACCGTTCATGGAAGGCGTGTAGGCAATAGTCGTGTTGTGGCGAGTACCCTCGAAGTAGGGGTCGTTGAAAACCTTGATTAGCTCGGGAGCATTGTCAGAAACCCAAACCTTGGGCTTGAGGCCGGTGAGACTGTAGAATTCAGTATCCCATTTCTTGATAGCTGCCAGGATGGTGGCAAACTTGTGGTTGGGCAGAAAAACAACCCAGTGGTAACCACTATACTTATCCATGAGGTGTAGAACCTGACGGTTCCCTTTTGTTGATAGGGGAAGAACACCAACGAGATCAAGGTGAATTTCATCGCCAATACTCGTAAGTGGAAGTGGGTGGTCTCGACTAATCCGTTCAGTGGATTTGCTGAGATGGCAAGACTCACAGAAGAAAGCGTCAATTTCTGACGTTGTGAACCGAATGCCAACACGGCGGCAAGCCTCCACAACACGTGATGGGTGGGCGTGAACCAGCCGGCGGTGCATCAGTTCAAGAGACGGTCGCTGGGTAGCCCGGAAGGCGGCGAGGCTGATAGCAATATCTCGAGGCACGTGATTTCCAGTATCATGAGTCTCAACGACGCAGACGTCAGAAACCCAATGAACTTTGGCAAGGGAAGTGCGCTGTGTCACGTGTATGAGGCTTGAGGTCTGCCAATCATATTCCACGTGATCACGACGAAGTTTTCCAGGGCTCAGTAAGTTGGCTGGGCTGGAAGGGTTGTACTCAACGTTGTGAAGTGTCCAATCGTGAATAACGTCAGGGTTGGTGGGGTCTTGGGTCTGGAAGAAGACGGTGCCCACGCCAAGTGACCGGACTGGGGCGCCGGAGGCAGAAGTGGAAGGTGTCAAATCGCTCTTTTCAGCGTACTTGACGAAATATCGCAAGTTGTTGAAGGTTGAAGTAGTACAACCAGAATCGAGAACGATATCGTCTCGGGTGATGAGGTCATCGCGGGCAGCAGTGAAAACTGCTGGGCTGGCGATGGAGGCAAGGGCAGACTGACCCAAGATGGCAGGTGACGCTCTGACAACAGTCTGGCGGGTGCCATCAACAGAAGTAGGCTGATCCCAGCGGCAGCGATCGCCACACACGTGCTTTCTCGCTTTTTCAATCAACTTATCCCGGTTGACGTAGTGTAGAGGGATGAGATTGGGGTGGGCGACATAGCACTTTGTGGTCTCGTGATCACAGTTGCAGTGGTCGCACTTCTTCTTTTCCTTGGAGGCAGTGACAGTGGAGGTGACGGTGGTGGTGACGGCTGGAGAGGCAGGACCCCCACTGCCAGCAGACTTGCCTCCAGGTGTGTTGCGAATAGTGGCATAACTGCGCTTTTGATCCTCGTCTTGGGCAAGCGTGTAAATCGTATCAGCCACCTCATTCCACGTGGGATGGGTGGCGCCCTTCGATGTGAAATGCTTGTACGTATCGGGAAGTCGGTCCTTAAAGAAGTTAAGGAGGAAAACAGCGAGGAAGGAGTCTGGCAGACGACCGTGAATGGTCTCAATACGCTTTCTGAGGTGGTGACAGCGATTGAGGGCATCGTGAAGAGTCTTGTGATCGTTGGCGGTGGTCTTGGCAAACTCGTCAACAAGGGCAGCTGTGGCGTCTTGTGAGATTCTCGGAATGTGCTTCTCGAGCGCCTGCCACAATTCGTAAGGGTTTCCATCGTCAACCCAACCCGCTGTGCAGAGTCTGTCAAGAACCGATTCGCTGGCGTTCATGAGGAGACCATTCGTGACGTTACGGTTCTTTCTCCATTCCTCTGCAGCGATAGGGTCAGCAGGGCGAGGGACGTCAGTCTCGAGGAATATCTCGAAGTCGTATCCTCGCAGGGTCGCTGTAACAAGCATGCGCCATGTGTTCCAGTTGGATTCACCTTTCAGGCGAGGAAGAGGCGTGAAGACGGTCTTGAAGTCGTTTTGAGACATCTTGAAGTGAAAGTGAGGGTATCACAACAGTGCGGGACAGACTTATAGTCGCACCTCGATCACAGGCGTTTCTCCGAGGCCGCAGCTTTGGAGGCGTGTCTGTACGTTAGATGGCTTACTTTCGCTGCCACCTACGCGTGCTGTTGGATTGTGTAGGAGGGAGAATCTTGCGTAAGAACACGAGAAATGGGTGGAATTGTGAGATCCGACCGTAGAAATACGGTGAATCGAAGGGAAGAATGAATACTCGTAGAAGATACGAGAAACTGATGGGCTGGTTCGAAAAACCGAAGCTGAAATGGTTGAATTCTCGTGAAAAACGAGGAATCGAAGTAAAAGTTGTAGTTGTGACTGAAAAGTCTGTTGTTGACCGTGGTGTTCGTGAAAACCAGTGGGTTGTGGTGGTCGGTCGCGTGCCACGTGATATTCGTGCGCGCCAGGCAGCCAATGTCGCGTCAGAAAGTGAAATTCGTCAGCGAAGAGGAAGGAAAGAAAGCGAGAAAATCGCACAGAAGGGTAAATAAAGCGAATAAAATCGCAAAAATTCGTGAATCAATAGAAAATTGACAGACGAGTAGAATAATGGGTAAAACGACGTTATTCCGAAAGAATAACGCTGGGCTCATAACCTGTGGGCGAAACCAGCACAGAACGCTCAGAATGGGAAAAGTGGTGTTGTTGGTTGGAAGAACTAACTAACTGGCTAGAGGGCTGTGGAGGCTGGCTAAGACCAGTGGTGGCGGCCGTCAGCCCACGTGACGGGCCGGCGAGGCCTGCCACCCACAGCTGTTGATAATGTCACGGAAGATGTCAAGCCAGTTGGCGTAATGGAGTTACAGGCCATCGGGAGGATATGGTTTTGCTAGGTCCACTTATCAGAAGGCACCGGAAGTTTTGGGTGTGGCCAAGATACCAGGATTGCAAGTAGATAGCTAAGACAATAGACGCAAAGATGCGTGTCAATCAAGTCAGAATCATAAGAAGAAGCTGTACGTGATTTGATGAGATGTAAAGGTGACAACATCGGGGAGATAGAATGCTGAGGACCAAGCTTCTGACACGGAGCTTTGAGTCCAGACGACTATCGCTCTATGATGGAAGGAGGAAGACAGAGGAAGGAAAGCGTGCGGCGCTGCTTGCCGTGCTACAAGCATGCCTGCTTCATTTCGGACTTTCCCATATGGCGCAGAGTAAATGGGACAAAGAAGGAAGGACTGCTTTGCCACTCCTTGCCTGTTCGTGCTTGCTCGTTCATACAGGAATTTCCTTTTCTACTGCAACATCATTACCCATCCTCGAATTTTCCTCCCCTCACTCACTTTCTGCCCGCCTCGCGACCTCATTTGCAATCCCCCAGAATCCTCCCGCATGGTCAAATCTGCCTTCATCTGCATCGTGTCGTATTGCCCCTTTTCCTCGTCCTGACATGCTCAAGGGCTCCGGTGTTTGGTCGTACCACACCTCGACTTCAGCCGGCTCTGCGGCGCTTCCACAGATCTGGGACCGCTTGAAGGGATGCCATGCTGTATGTCAAGTGTCGCCCTAAGCTAACGATGCTACTGTCATCGGCTAATCTACCTGGCCGCGACCTGACTACACATGACTAGCCGATACGTGCAGCGGGTATTTACAAAAGGAGGGTGCGGTGAGGCAGGTTAAAATCAAGAGGCCAAACACCCTTTGGCATAAAGTGGGATCCCCAGTTGCCGGGATGGCTCTAATACCCAAAAGGTGTTATGGGCTCGCGGGCGTGGGTTGCGTCTAAACTAATGTGGATGGTCCAGAAACACGTTGCTCCCGGGTCTCCGTTCACCTCAATTTAGCGGGCCTGAGGGGTCCACGTCTGTTCCCCGGATTTGGACGCGTCTGTTCATGCTTCCAAAATATCATTATTGGTGGGTCAGGAGACTCTGTCGATCCTGGGGTGGCAAGCTGGAACTGATAGTGATTCGATGTAGAGGCGTATCGAGACGAGATCCCTAGGCTTCCTAATAGGACTGCATTATACAACCCCAACCTAATAGGGCTTATGTTCGTCAAGCATTCAATGCCAATCATTGCAACTCTGCAAGCAACACCAAATAAAATCCAGATCGACATGCTCAGCGAATCGTGGTGAAAAGGAATCGACGGTACGAAAGAGGTTGCCAGACCGACAGACATAGCTGCGGCAATGTCATGGGCTGTCTAAATTGGAAGAAGGATGATCGAGCATCAAGATGGCCTCTTTTCAGCCTAAGTCGCAATTGAGTAACCCCAAGGCCCTCTAGGTATCCATGAATTCTTCTGCCATACACAGCAGGATAACTCGACGTCCCCCCCTTAATGTTTGTACGAAGTAAGCCTCGCAAAATAGGCGTTAACACGAGCGCCTCGCAAGCAGGCGGCAGTAAGATCATCCGAAACGAGCTTGAATCCGATCGCTCTCCAATAAACTAAACCGAGACACGTTCACTGCACATTAGATATACACAAGAATCCCTAGAGTCTGTCACACCTCACGCCGCTGCAACTCTTCAGGCTGTCAGAAGACTAGCTTAATTGGTGCCTGCTCTCACGCGCGACTTGAGCTTGGTTTTTGGGTCCAAATTTCGGTAGACCAGCTCCTAGAGCCGAAGGAACAGACACAGGATCAGAGACGTCTCAGTGCCATAATGCCCTGGAAAAACTATACCTCATTTGTGCTAGACCTAATGTCAGACACAACGATCAGCCCGGGCCTGCATTCCGAGGGGGGCGCTTCCCTAACCACTCTGCGTCGCCGTTGGCGTTCTTTCGGCCAATGCCAAATCTATGCCTGCATGATCACGCGTGGGTGAACGGCACTGGGCCGGTATCTGTCTTGGCTTCTTCTCTGTCGACACGCCTCCCAGATGAGGAGTCTGCTTTTGCCATTTGTAGGCACCACAAGCCCCGGCAAATTGGCATTCAACCGTACATCCTTCAAGCTGGCAATTGTTGGAATGAAGGAGATGAAGCGCACGATTTGCTTACGACCGCCCTTGACATCTTTCGTTTGAAGCTGCGTTTACCATGGATCCATGATTCATCAAGCATTGTCGACCTGGACTAATATGAAGAGGAGGGTACGGCATGCTGCCTATTGGCGACAAACACTGTCAATGACTGCCTTGGTGGTGATCTCTCGGGCAGCACCGCTGCTCTTGGGATTCGGAGGGTGGATCACTGCAAAATCGGGTGGCCGTTCGGGGGCGACATGACAGCAGTTGGTCACGTTCGCCTTTAACAGACGGCATCTATGCCCGATATGGACGACCTGAGAAGAGTCATATTGCAACGCGGAAAACCCGCAAATGACGGTTGCTGATACTTACCGCGATGCATTTCTTGGGTTGCAGAGCATCGCTGTCTTGTCAGCTTCTCTGTTCCAATTCTTTGGGGCGCGCTTCTAATCATGGATCGTACCATGAGTGGTGGCCAGACATGGTACCGAATATTACAAAAACGACGCATCCCAAAATGGCTTCATTAATGACCCAGCCACTGCAGCTCGAATCGGACTACCCATAACAATAAATGGGAACAACCATTGTCGAAGTCACCGACCGCTCAAGGGTCCTGATTCTAGGTGGCTTCGCTTAAGACGCAATGCGCCTCCCACCCGCATGGCCGGACCCAGGCGAGTCCAGTTGTTAAGCTTAGCCCACCACCATCATCAAGTTCATTTGCTCAATAGCCTGGCCAGTTCCTCATAGCCGAAGTCCACCAACGAACGAATTGCAGTCTGCAGGAGCCTCCCCTAAGGCCCCACGTTTCGAATGCTCACACACTCCGGCGCCATCCTCAGCACATCCCATCTCTCTCTCGATCAGCCTTTCCCTTTTACGCATCTCCTCAGTTGTCTGGCCAATGGATGTTCGATGGTTAAATGGAATGGCCTTTTGCCGGCCTTTTTTTCCAGACGGCCCTTCTAGCGAAGCCACTTGTATCCCGGATTAGGTTCACACCTGAACCGCATGCTCGCCAGGGCTAGACAGGGCTGTTGGACCGTCTTTTGGTACGCTAATTCCTTGTAGTTCTCATGCGTGGGCTCTCTTGGTTCTCGATCACACAAGCCTTGGTTGAAGCTTACTCATGTTAAGTCTCTGGGCACATGGAGCGCCTGCCCTTCATTCGTTGCCACTCTGCCTCATACCAAGTCCAGTAGGGCATCTCGTGCGCTCGAATGCCGAGAACAACTTTGGATCTAGCTGTTGCTAGGTCTATGTGCACAAAAACGAGTACTTACGAACAATGTTCTTGATATACAGGCTTTGGTCTCTAGTGTTGTGTCGGCATTGGCAGACTGTGTGGTAACAGGCAGGGGCGTATGCTACGGCAGACTCTTATTTCAAATCACCATAGCAGAAACGTCGTTTGGCTTTGCATTACTAAATGCCTGGCTTCCAAGGATGAACCGGCGGACCGGAGATGCCTGTTCACGGCACCAACACCCGATACTTGCGCTGAAGGTTGGATTCGATTAGGGCTGCAAAAGTCAAGAAGTCATTGTGACTGCAGAATCGTTTTGGGTATTCTTCGATCGAACAAGCGCAGCTGGCAATGCATTGGCTTTTGCAGAACAGCCCCGTTGGAAAATCCTCCCGGGATCCTTGTATCTGGTGCTCCAATATCATGCTGTCACGTAAACGGCACGGAGACGAAATCTCTCAACTGACACTCTCGCAAGCTGGAAAGCAATCCACCAGCTTCCGTGCCACATGAATGGCAGCATTTCTGCTCCATTACAGCCGGACTTAGCCCACGAATCACAGAAAGAAAGAGCGGCCACCCCTTGTCATTGTTCGTTCCGGACCTGGGTGGTATGCCTAGGTCCCGCACCCGTAACCTGCTGACGGCCTGCCTGGACCTATCTTATGAAAGATCTGCCAATTTGCATGGCCTCTCCCGAGAGGCTAGACGAACATGGGGAGAAACGCCCGCCCACCGCAGACTAGACTAGGTCAAACCAAACCTGGTAACGTCTGGGGAAAGAGACTTCCCATCCATCTTTACCCGCATGCCGCCAGTTCGTGTTGTCGCCGCCGCACACCCCGGTTCTGGCCACACCCCACGCCCCCTCCCCCATATTCTCTTTTCACGGGGCGTGCATGTCCCAATGGGGTGAGAAAGGCAGCTCCGGGGTCAATGGCACAGATCAAAAGCACAAAAAAAAAAAAAAAAGTGCTTCCATACTGCTACCAGAGGCTCAGGGGCGACAGGCGGAAAAAAAGACATATAAGTCTTCGACGATCACCTCGTCCTGCTGGCCCGTCCTCTTGTCTCTCTTCACCCGCGAGTCGGTCAATCAACTTCAATACCCTCTCTACACCAAGTTCTTCCCTGGTTTTTTAGGAAGCAACACTCCAATACCGTCACAATGGTGAAGAAGCCTGTTGCCTCTCAGACGGTTGCCGACAATGTCGAGATCGCGAGAGCTGAGGCTCCGCGATTCGAGAAAGTCTACTGGACTAAGGAGCCCCATCTCCGCAACCTCTATTTCTCGACCATCTTCCTTATGGTTGCTTCGGCCACCACCGGTTACGATGGTATGCTCGTCAACACATCCCAGCAGATGAAGCGATGGAAGGACTACTTCGGCGATGGCGTTTCCGACAACAACAAGCTCGGAATTCTCATCAACATGTTCAACATCGGTTCGATTTGCTCCTTCTTCATCACTCCCTACGTGGCCGACAAATACGGACGTAAGGTCGCCATTATCAGCGGCTGCATCTTCATGATCATTGGCGGTTGCATTACTGCTTTCTGCAACGGCTGGGGAAGTAAGTAAACACCCGCTTACCTTGCTCACAATGCACAAAAGTCTAACAATCATTCAGTGTACGTTGGCGGCAGATACATCCTCGGTTTCGGCAACTCTTTGGCTCAGATGTCCTCTCCTCTGCTGCTTACCGAGATCTGCCATCCTCAACACCGTGGCCCCGTCACTGCCATCTACAACTGCTTGTGGAACTTGGGTGCTTTGATCGTTGCCAGCATTGGCTGGGGAACCTCGTACATCAACAACGACTGGTGCTGGCGCTCCATCACCTTCATCCAGATTGTCCCCTCCGTCATCCAGCTTGTCGGTATTTGGTGGGTGCCTGAGTCTCCTCGTTACCTTGTTAACAAGGACCGCTCCGAGGAGGCCCTGGCTGTCCTGGCCAAGCACCATGCTGGCGGTGACTACAACAACGCCACTGTTCAGTTCGAGTACCGCGAGATCAAGGAGACCATCTTGATGGAGAGGAACGCCGACAAGACCACTAGCTACATCGACTTCCTCAAGACCAAGGGTAACCGATGGCGCCTGGCTATCATCATCTCTCTTGGTATCATCTCTCAGTACTCTGGTAACGCCCTCTTCTCCAACTACATGGACGCCATCTACGACGGTGCTGGCATTAAGGAACAGAACCAGAAGCTTGCCATCTCTACCGGCAAGTCGATTCTCGATCTTTCATGCTCCATCGGTGCCGCCTTGACCGTCGACTACTTTGGTCGTCGCCCTCTGTTCCTGACGGCCATCAGCGGTATGGTCGCCTCCTTCGTCTGCTGGACCATCACTGGTGCCGTTTACGAGAACTCTGGATCCACGAACCAGGGTTCTGGTTACGCTCAGCTGGTATTCATCTGGGTCTTTGGTATCTTCTACGACATTGGTTTCTCCGGTCTGCTGGTCGCCTATGCCCTTGAGGTTCTGCCCTTCCATCTTCGTGCCAAGGGTATGATGATCATGAACATCACCGTCCAGGCCATTCTGGCCATTGGCAAGTACGTTTTAAAACCCCCATATATCTCAAGCACTCAAAACTGACATCATCTACAGCCAAACCAACAAGGTCGCCTGGGACAACCTTCCCAACCACTGGAACTTCATGTTGTTCTACACCCTCTGGGACTTCTGCGAGCTTGTCTTCGTCTACTTCTTCTACGTCGAGACCAAGGGCCCCACCCTCGAGGAGATTTCCAAGATCTTTGACGGAGATTCCGCTGTCGCGCACATTGACATGCACCAAGTCGAGAAGGAGATCCACGCTAACGACCCCGAGGAGGACATCAACACCCGCGCCGCACATAGCGAGAAGACGGCTGTCTAAGGTTTCGGCTACGACCAATCATTTAAAAAGCAAGAAAACCAGTTTTTTTATGTCAAATTTGTAATGCCGTTTGGATTCTCTAGCCTGGTGGTGGATGTAATACGAGCTCGGCACAGGCCGGGTTCAGGCTTTGGGGTTGACCATGATACCAGAGACATCGCGATGTGGGCTTCTCATACTCCTCATTGGGGGAAGATTGGCCTTGCGGACTGATGCCTTACCACTTACTCTCGTTTCAAGTAGCTGTTCAATGCTCCGTGGCAGCTCCTAGCAAGGAGTTTCTGTAGTAATTGATCTGTTACTCCTCCCAAAACACTTTGTTTTCTTGGTTTTTTCACCGCATGTGAGTCTGTCTGCCTGCTTGCCTGCCAATGTTCCGCCAATATCTGCCGCGAGAAAGCCAATCTAATCAAAGCTTTCTTGGAAATTTCTTGGACGGAATCCCTCATATTACTCCCCGAAAAAAAAGAAAAGAAAAGTGACTGAACCCCGGATTTGTCTGGAGAAGGAGAGGGAAGGGGGGGGGGGGGGGGGGTAATGCACTAGTGCCGGCATCCAAGCACGAGGACACACGTACTAGTAGAGTAAAGAGGATGGCGCGAGTTGATGGGCTATTTTCGGGTGGCTTATGTGAGTCTGATGGTGTGTCGAGCGCTCAACTCCATCCGTTCCCTCACTGGAGGATTTTGATTTGGGGGCTGGAAAAGCCGGGGGGGGGATGAAAAGTATGGGTTGCGGGCCGCCACACCGGTGGGATTCCGCTTCCTCGAGGAGTGCCTCCGAGGGACGGGCTTTAGGGAGATACGGCACGTTGAGGAGGGGAGGGGAGGGAAGGGAAGAAATGTTTTGGGGTAAGGGTGATTGATGATGGATGGGGGGTGGGTTGCATGTTGATGGAGGATGCGGGGGTTGTGGTGTGGTAGAGGTGCGTGTGTGTGTGTGAGTGTGGGTGATCTGATTTGATTTGTGTATATTGTTCTTTTGAGGTGTTGGTTTTGCGTCTTCTGACACGTTTTTTTCTTCCCCGTGTCTCATTCATAATGCCATGGCTGTTAGTAAGGGTCTCTTTTTTTCATTTATTGAAGGTACCGAATATGGACAAGTTGGCTGCTGTTTCTGGTCTTTGCATGTATGTGTTTGTGAGGGTGGTGGTGTGTATATTTGTTTGTCTGCACGTAAAGTGAGTGAGTTGAGGCCCTCCCCCCCATGATGAAGGTTTGTTGGCCTTGTAAGGTAAGCTCGGAGGGCGGATATTAGGCATGCGGGCGGGATCCAGCTCCGTATGCACACATGCGGATTGCTTATTCGAGACCAGGGAGGGGTGATGAGTTTGATGAGTTTGGCCGTATGCATTGGTAAGGGGGTGACGGTGACGGTGACGGTGCGTCGCGCGACGCGTTTGGGGGTGTTCTTTTTTTTTTTTTTTTAATTTTTTTTTTTTTTTACCTTAATTCTACGCCACAGGGTAACGAAGTCTGAAGGCATGGGTTGATAGAGGATCTAAGAGCATGAAGTGGATGGACTTGGGAACATGCCATGGATGAGTTACCAGACGAACGAGGTCTTGAGGTGCGTCTTAAGCTGTTGATCATTTAGTGATCGCAACCGAGATGTGACAGAAAAAAAAAGAATATGATCCCATTTTATTAGCCTTTCGGCATACCGATTTACAACGAAAAACTGGCTGGCGTCATCGATCTAGTCATCTATGTGATTGTACACGGAAAACACGGCGGGCTTTGAAAAATAAAATAAAAAACAGCTTTTCTAATACTCTAGTGGCCTATAGCCCCAACTCACCACCGACGACTTCGAGAGCCTCGATGCACAGGTTCTGCACAGCTTCATCGCCGGAGCCGCCCGCTACCTTCACAGCGCTGACGAGGAGAGGATATAGGCGAAGCAAGTGCTTGCGTCCTTCGCTCTCAACGTTGGGCGTGTCGGGGATGGCGTCCGATGCGGAGGTGAGATCGACTAGCTGCCGCAGAATGCGGAGGAGCTCCTTGCGCTGTGAAAGAGGCTGCGGCATGCGGCCTCGTAGGGGCTGATCGGCGATGTAGGCGCGAATGGTCAGCGCGGCGCGAAGGATGAGGAAGGGCGCCGCGGTACGTGCGATGCGGATGTGCAGTGCCTGAGGGGCCTCAGAGAGAACGGAGCGAGGCGGAGGGAACGCGGGCGTAGGCGGCTGTACCACGATGCGCAGCGAGCCCTCGTCGTAAGACGAGACGAGGGAGAAGAGCTCGTCCACGCAGACATAGCTCATGCGGGCGCGGCGGGTGGGAAGGGGATCTACGGTGTGGCCGATGCGTTTCTGGTACAACGCCGCGAGGCCCGTTGCATCGCCGCCGGAGAGGAGGGAGGCCTCGGCCGGCGATGGGGCGTGGATGATGGATGTACGGAACAGAGATTCCGCGTAGGCTTTGCGGGTCTTGTCGGGGATCGCCTCGGCTCCCAGTGAAGGGATGATGAGCTCGCGGAGCTTGTGGAAAGCGGTGATGTCGAAGGACTCGTCGTCAGAGAGATCGGCAGCGGCGGGAGCTGCGTTGCAATTTGCGCTAACGATGCCGTCTGCGATTTCGACAATCATCTGCCAGATGCTCTGGAGCGTTTGCCGCGGGACCTCCAGGGACCGGATCTGGGGGAGCGTGGCTTCCAGGATGGCTAGGATAGAGGTTGTTGCAAGGCGCCAGGGTTGAACTGATTTGGTGACGATGGGGAAGCCGTATTTCAAGACCACAGGCTTGGAGAGGGCCGAGAGCGCGGCGGAGAAGGCTTCGCTGGAGTATATGTCTGCATCTGAAGCATTCTTGAGGATGAGAGTCTGTAGAATTGCCATGCTTGCCTTGGACATTGCGACATAAGTCCTTCGCTGAGTCGAACGCTCGGAATTGAGTGCTTCGTCGTTGAATGCCAGGCGGACGAACTCTGCTACCTGCGAGATCATCGCTGACGGTACGCCGGTGAGGTCTGTTCTCACCATTTTAATGGCTTCGAGGACTTGGTTCTGAAGTGGCGTGACGTACTCAACGTCGTTGACGTAGGCTCCAACTGTGGCCTGCTGAAGAGCTTCACGGAAAAGCGTCAAAAGCTGGCGCACACGGTCCACGGTCAAGTCCTGCTGAATGAGCTGGTACACATCGTGGAAGGCGGCAACGTAAGCTATAAGACAATTCTGGTTGTCCATTTTCTTTCCTTCTTCCTCGTCCAAAGCCACCGGTATTCCTCGAGACCACAGCTCCCATACGGCGTTGACGGTACTAGTATCAAAGACTGGCCTGCCAGGTTCGTCTTCAAACTTAATGACTTTGCCGAGAGCCTTGTAAGTGGCTGTGTTGATATTCAAGACCTTGAAATCAAGAAGTGTCGTGAAGTGGCCGAGAAGCTCCTGCCAAAGTTTGTTGAATGACGAATCTGTAGAAAGTGGTTCCATGTACGTGGCTAGAAGCTCCGAGATGCCGTTCAAAACCACGACCGCGGTCTCATGCCATTCCTTCCGATCACGATGTGCCGACGTATCTTCAGCAGCGGCTTGAAGTTCCACCTCGATCGATGAGAGGAGTTTGAACACAACTGCCTTGACACAGATGGACCAGGCTTCCGGGCTTAGTTTGTCGCCATATGCGTCAAAAATTCTCAGTAATGTTTGAATCGCGCTGTTTCGCAGTTCTAATCTTTCATCGGCGGTCACAGTAGTAAGTCTGAGAAGCAATAGCATCCACAGTGCAGCATCCGATGCATTATGGTCTGAGTTAGCGGCTAGAGCAGCCAGCTCTGAGATGCTCGAGCCTTGCATCAGGTCGGCCGTGATGGGTAGTGACTCCGTCTTGTTAGACAGGAAGTCGGACAGAACCCAGAAGAACGTTACGGTCTATGATTATTAGTCACACTCCCATGAAGCCATTTAGTCTCTGTACTCACCGTTAAAGCAATGTTGAGATCATCATCTTGTGAGCAGAATTTGTATAGGGTATCAACAAGTATGAGAAAGCAGGAATTGGGTAGAGACGCTAGGAAGTCGGAACAGATTAGTTGAAGTGAATTAAAAGAAGACCTGACAAGCTTCGCTGATCGTGTCATGAGAACGACCGTCAGGGAACCCCGACGCTCTCCGGGGGCGAACTTCTTGTCGACAAAGATGGAGCCGATAATTTCGAAAGCAATCTCCCAGCCGCTGACGAGAGTCTCGCCGCAGTTTTCGATCAAGTTTTTAAGGCCGTCGAGAATCACCTTATGGATTTCGACATCCGTGCTGTGACTAGCCACAGTTACCTCTCGGTCTTCTTGTTGCAAGGGCAGAATGGCATCTCGGAGTGCCTCGAGAAGGAGCAACTGAACTCTGCCGCATTGCTCGCGCTCCATCGTGGCAGCTACATTGGCTGACTCGAGAGCCAGTCTAACAAGGATCTCTGCAGCACGAAGCCGCACGGAAGCATTTATCGAAGATGCGTTCAGGATATGGATGAGTTCGGATGTCAATGGTGCCCAGCCAGAAATGTCTGGCGGGTATGACAACAAGCGATCGATGTTGATAGTGGCAATGTCGCCTAGCTTGGCGAGAGCGAAATGGTCTTCTTGGTTTGGCCCTGCGGCTGCTGCGGCTGAGATGCTGAGTACCCGACGATGCTGTCCTGCTGGCACCGGCTTCATACCACCCGACTGCGGAGATTGCGGCTCACTCGCACTCTCTGCCTTCTGCTTATCTTCTTTTGCTCTCTCAAGGAGGTTGCATATCGCGGTAACCACCTCTCCAAAGGCGTCGTTTGGAAAGTCGATGGTGCTTTCTATGAGCCTCGAAGCTGCCGTCTCAACTGCCCTGACCTCGCTGCTGAAGTTGGACAGGAGAGCAGTGGCTTCGCCTTCCGCCTGATGATCTACTCCCTTGGTAGCTAGAGGCGTCCGCCCAGGAGTCTTACTCGTGGAAAAAAGTACGAAGTCGGCTTGTTGCAAGGTCTCAAGAATGATACGCCAAGATGGGCCAAGTGTTGGGCCGAGAGCAATACCCAGGTTCAGAAGTGCTCTCAAGCAAAGGAGGTTACGGGTGTTAAGCGTCAATTGACTTCCATCAACACTTTGCTGTCTTCCCTTTTCGGCAACTGGCGTGGATTGGTTCGCCAAACTGTCAACACTGAGCAGCCCTCTTGCGTTGCTAAAAATGCCACTTGGTGCTTCGGTGGTCGGCGTGGGGGTAGAAGGCCTAGCTGGTCCTGCATTCAGGCACGCCGTAAAGACGTTGGGCGGGACAGCTGCCTTTCCAAGAGTTGTCAAGAACGCATCTCTTGGTGTCGATAATTGAAGTAATCCGGCAACATGAGCAAACTTTTGGAATGCTCTTACCAGGCTATGATAGTACTCAGAGTCCATGGCAGCATACAAGAACGTCGAGCAAGTGGCAAGAATAGCCGGCCAGCATTCTTCGATGATAGCCGCGCAAATCTTGACTTCGTTGTGTAAGGGATGATCCTCTAGGAGGAGCGGGTTAAGAGGGACAGGGTTCTTTTTAAAAGAAGCTGATCTGTCCAACGCACTACGCTGGCCATCGGCATCATCTTGAGGCGGAGCAGGAGAATCTCGGCCTGGTTCCTGCTTCGCACCCCGCTTGCGGCTACGGCTCTCTCCAGGCACTGTGAGAGGGAGAATGAATTTTGCGAGGCCTTCGGACAATGATGATATACATGACAGCGTCAAGCTATAAATGTAAGACTCTGGAACTGACGGAGCCTCGGTCTTGTCCAGCTGATCGATGCATGGAACCCTCACATTGCTCCATTGTGTGCTGATTCCAATGTTGGAGCCATCCGAGCTAACCGTGCCGCTGATGATGCCAGTTACACCGCTGGCCTCAAGCATTGCTTGATCAGTTGACGATGCGATGCTTGCATAAGGGTTTGCGACAGGAATGGTCGATTGATGCCCTAGCCCAATGACTGACGGCTTCTCGGTGCTCAGCCTCACAAAAGTTGCTGTCAAGCGCTTGACGATGTCCTTCTCGCCCTCCTTCGCATCATAATTGACGAAAATCCGTCTGATCAGGGCATGCTCAGCGAAAATACCCCTGAACACTTCAAGACACAACGCTCGCCTCCATACTGCCGTGTCTTGGTCGAGCAAATGCGTCAAGATATCAAGAGCGTCACCACTTTCCGCCGGAAGAATGCTGATGTGTCGTCGCAGGAGTGTATACAGGATACGAACAAGTCTTACTGATGTGGCAAAGTTGGGCTTGCCTTTCAGGGCGCTGATGATGAAAGGCATGACTCGGATCTGAAGGATGTGTGCCTGCTCCTTATGGGTGGAGAATACGGCGGCGTGGTTGGTTAAGACTGATTCTATCAACTCCAGACCAAAGGTTTGTGGTAGTCCGGAGAATCTCAAATACTCGGGGCGTTGATTTTCTGTCATGAGACAAAGATCATTGAATATCTAGAAGCGGTCAGCAAGGAAAAAACAAGACCACTGCCATGGGAGGCTGATCACCAACCCTATACGCATCCAGAGCGGCAGCGCGCAGCTCAACGGTGCCATCACCGGTTGGCGCCTCGCCCGCAGGAGACCCTGCAGTTCCGGATTTGTCTTCAGCTACCACCTTGTCAAATACCGAGACCACAAGCTGCTGGAGAGTCGCAGCTGAGGTGTTGTTGACAATGGCATTTTTACTGGTCTGCAAGATGAAGCAGATGTTCAAGGCAGTAATTAGGAGGTCTCCCTTGAGATCTGTCGCAAAGTTTTGTAATAGTGATGGCAGAGCCTGGAGAATTTTGAGTTGAACATCGAGTCCAGCAGAAGTCGCCTCTCTCAGGGCTTCGAGGACCTGGTTCAACTTGCCCCTAGGCAGGGCACGGGCAACAATGAGGCGCTGAAGACAGACGATGGCGATACCTGTGAACTTTGCATTCTTGGTTCCACATGCAATAATAAAAGGGTTGACAAAATTTGGACGTTGAGCCAACTCTAGGGACGAGGATCAGACATCAATCATGAGCTATGGGAGACAAAAGGAGACGTACCATTGGCGGCTTGGGCTTCGTTGGCCCCTCTGAGGCTTTTCAGCTCTTCAAGAGATTTTTCGGCTGCCTGAACACATCACGTTATTCTTTTAGAGTTCTCAACACACGAGAAGTGAGTGCACATACTTGACGGAGATCATTGTGCTTCCGCTTGCTTTCTTGGATGAGATTCGTTAGCTCGGTAGCTAGGAGCTGGGTCGTCATTCTGTCACGAGTGGCCCCAGGGGCAGCCCATCATCAGATTGATGCACCAAAATGAAAACCTGTGACCCGCAGCGTCAGAATGAGCCAGAAATTTGTTGGTAGGCTTTGCGCTGAGAAAAGAGAACCGATAGTATCGACGGAACTGGTCAAGGGAGCTACCAGCAACGGTGTTCGGTGTCCCATCCAGAGCTCCCGATTGAGGTGAGCTGTCCACCTTGAAAGATGACTAAGCAACGGTTGACCCGCATAAACGTATCCACACTTCTAAAGCAGTCCGTTCGGCAGAAACGAGCTCACCGCCCACTGTTACAATGCCCCGCGTTGGCTCGTGCGTTTTTACTGAGGTTGGTGCCTTCCAGGTACTCCCATACAGGCAGTTTCTCTCACTGAGTGGGACCCTATGCATCAGCGTACTCACCCACTGAGCCCGATCGAAGGTCATCGCTGTCGCCTGCCCACCAGCCGCTTGCGGGGCGGGGACGTTTAGGTAAGGCCGGGCCGCATTGCTCACACTCCATTGTTACGTCTCCCTCCCATTTGGTAACCCCTCCACTACGAACAAACGTTGCAACTTTCTCTACATCCCACAACAAGCCTCCCTCAAAGCATCCGCACACCAGCAATCATGGGCGCAAAGGTCCCGCGCAACTTTAGACTTCTCGAGGAGCTCGAGAAGGGCGAGAAGGGTCTTGGAGCAGGTATTGGGAACTCTTGTGACGCATGCTCAGTTGCCCCGCGTATTTTTAACTGACTTTACTCTCCTCCAGAGGCTTGCTCCTACGGTCTGAACGATACTGAAGATCTTTTGATGTCTGATTGGAACGGCACTATTTTGGGACCCCCTCACGTGAGTCAAAGTTGCTGCTGCTCTTTGGTGATTATATTCCTGACAAGTTGCTGGCAGAGTGTCCACGAGAACCGAATCTACTCCCTTAAGATGCACTGTGGCCCTAACTATCCCGACGAGCCCCCCACGATACAGTTTGTTAGCCAGGTCAACCTGCCCTGCGTTAACAGCCGTAACGGTGTTGTCGACCCCAAGCAGCTCCCGTGCCTCGCCAACTGGAAGAGAGAGAACACCATGGAGACTATCCTGATTGAGCTCAGAAGGTGCGCTTGGGAGATGCTGCAGGTTGTTTCAAGGACGGTCGACTAACGTGTTTTTCAGATACATGGCAGCCCCTGCCAACAAGAAGATTCCCCAACCTCCTGAGGGCTCTGTGTACCAGTAGCCAAATTTCATGATTCCCCGGATACGCGACAGAGGGTATGGATAGGCGGATGGGCTGGACTGGCTGATTCTTGGTAGACACGGCGTGGTAGTATGGCTCAATGATTACGACTTTTCTCCAATACCAAATCTCTTTTAAAATGAGTTATTTCAAGGGAGAACTTTCTAGCTGTGGCAAGTGCGGCGTAAAGACCAAACATATCCATGCTCATGGAGATACCCTTACGAGGAACTAGGAACCAGGAACTGGGGACTAGTGGCTGTGCCATGTTGCATTGTCTAACATGCCTTTTCATCCTAAGCCGAGCTGCCTTGTTTCCCGCAGGGCGATGTGGTTTGTGCCAATGTTGTTGGACATTGACCTTTGCCGCACACCTAGCGTTTGACAACGGCTAGTAATGCTATTCAACGCTGCCATGTTAGCACGGTCAAGCAAAAAGAGATTCCCTTTGCTTCTAATGAGACGCAGATATGGACGCCAACGTTTGAAGTAGTGGATTGGGTGAGACACATGTTTGGAACACTAGGCATTTATGCTTGTATTCCCCTCTCCCATATATCCTGTCCTTTGATGCTTGTCTCGGTTAGCTGGCAGCAGGGACTCATGGTTCAGGGCAGGAGAAATTAGAAAGTCTGGAAGGCTAGAAGCTGGACCAGAACCATCTCTCAGCCGGTGGGCCTCGGCCCATTCCGCCGGCTAAATTTCGGCAGGCAGCTGCTGCTTCCGTCATCCCAGGTAATTTTTTTCCACAGTGACGACCCACGGGTGCTTAGCTGATGAGAGCTGTCCCCCGGAGCTTGTAACCTCCATTTGTGATCCACGCACTCCAAACCCGACTTAGGCCAATGCAGCAGCAAATATGGCTTCGGCGGTAACCAAGGCGGTCCTCTCCCCGCCTCTGCGGCGGGCAATCGCGCAATCGCGCGGATTCCAGACGAGCTCCAAGAGCCTTCTCCCATCAAGCTTCGGCATCGGCTCCAGCATTCCTCCCTCCTACTTCCAGAAGCCTTCCCTCCCCGCCAATACCGTCGTCCGCTTCGTCCCTCAGCAGACAGCATGGATCGTTGAGCGCATGGGCAAGTTCAACCGCATCCTTGACCCCGGTCTGGCTATTCTCGTCCCCTTTATCGACCGCATTGCCTACGTCAAGTCGTTGAAGGAAGTCGCCATTGAAATTCCCAGCCAGAGCGCCATTACCGCCGACAACGTGACGCTTGAGCTGGATGGCGTCCTCTACACGCGCGTCTTTGACGCCTACAAAGCCAGGTGCGTCACTTGATGATGGTCGTTTGCTTTTAAGCTGAAGCAGTCATGCTAATACCTCGCAGCTACGGAGTTGAAGACGCCGAATATGCCATCTCCCAGCTGGCCCAGACTACGATGCGCTCCGAGATCGGTCAGCTGACCCTCGACCACGTTCTCAAGGAGCGCGCAGCTCTGAACACCAACATTACCGCCGCCATCAACGAGGCCGCCCAAGCCTGGGGTGTTACCTGCCTGCGATACGAGATCCGCGATATCCACGCTCCCGATGGCGTGGTCGAAGCCATGCACCGACAGGTCACTGCCGAGCGATCGAAGCGAGCCGAGATTTTGGACTCCGAGGGTCAGCGACAGTCAGCCATCAACATTGCCGAGGGTAAGAAGCAGAGTGTCATTCTTGCTTCCGAGGCCATGCGCGCCGAGCAGATCAACAGAGCATCCGGTGAAGCGGAGGCCATTCTCATGAAGGCTAAGGCAACGGCAGCTGGTATCGATGCCATCGCGAAAAGCATTGCTGAAGGCGAAGATGCGGCCAAGGGCGCCGTCAGTTTGTCCGTGGCCGAGAAGTATGTGGACGCGTTTGCCAAGCTGGCCAAGGAGAGCACGGCTGTTGTTGTTCCCGGCAATGTCGGTGACATCGGTGGCATGATCGCCACTGGTCTGAGTGTCTATGGCAAGGTCGGCGAGGCCCAGGCCAAGACCATGGCGAAGCAGATTGTCAACCGCGACTCGGCCCAGGAGGCGGAGGAAGGCGAGAATGATAAGCCCAAGCAGCTCAAGGACTCTGTGTTGGAGAGCTTCGACCAGGCAGCAGGAAAGAGCTGATTAAAGAGGGTGTAGCCGGCGTTGATGGATCACTATACGGGGAAACAGCCGGATGTGACATTATGTACTAGTACTTCATCTCACTCAATTCAGAGATGGGCGGGAAATGCCCTTGCATAGGTTGAAATGGCTTAACTGATGACATTGTTTAATGTGTTGTCACTCTCCATGGTAGTCGAGGCCAATCGACATATTATACAGGCGTGTACAAGGCACAAGCACTTAAATGTGTATGTGTATGTATGTAAATACGTATATATGTACGTGCGTGCAATCACATTCAGCAGGGAAAGAATGGGTCATTTGTTAAGAGTTTCATAAGGCATTTGGATAGCATTTATAGGAGGTGGTAAGTGGCCGGATTGGATTCCACTCAGTTTGTTGTTTCCTTCCCCCTCTTCCGACATTATCCTCTCCACCCCTCCAGCTTTAACCCCGTCATTTCTTCCAGAAACATTATGCTACCATCAAGCATTTCTTGTAATAATATTACAGTGTGAGTCAATGAAACGATTTGGATGTTAGTGCCGCTGGCTCCATTCTTTGGAGTGCAAAACAAAAAGGGGAAAAAAAAGTAAGTACGCAAAAAAAGAACAAAAACAAAACGATGGCTCATGAATATGGGCTTGCACTCCCGCTTCGTTCCCTTGAAAGATTATCCCCTCGCTGCTCAAATTCAAAAAACACCGCGCCTCCTGTATCCAATCCGTCCAAGATTTGTACAAGATCGATTATTGACAAAGAAAAATTTAGGGCATGTGCAGGGTATCAAGAAGAAATAGCTCGAACCATGTGCGGTAAAACTTCTGTTTCCTCGATTCAACCGTCGTGTCCCCACCACGAAGATCCGACTCCGGAATTGCCGACTGCACTCAATCTGACTGCCTTCTTCTTCGACAGACCATGGGTGGGTGGCAGCGGTAGTGTTCCCACGGGCGAGACGGGGGAATCCGGTCGCGGGATCCCCTCCATTGGGTCGATTACACTCTCTGACTCTACGACATGAATTTGCTCTGCAAGTTCAGTCTTGGTGCGAGGCCTCAAAGGCGAAGAGTCATGGCGTCCTCTCTCGCTCCCTCTAAGCATACGTCCCCTACCCTTGCTGGGCATAGCGAATCCTCGAAGCTGAGGCCTGTAAAACGACGGATCGCTTGAGAGCTCATCTTCCTCGTCGCTGCCATTGTCAAAGTCCATAAAGTCGCTCAGATCGGGGCTTGGTTCGGCAAAGTCCATTGAACTGACGTTATTCACAGGGCGATCCAAGTAGAGCAATATCCGCTCATGTTTGGGCTCCATCGATGGCGCCTCTTGGGCAGGCATTTCTCTCCTCACACTGCTCGTTCTTGACGACGTTTTGGATTCTGATCGTGAGGAAGCTGGGATATCTAGGCGACGAGAGTTACTCCGAGTATGCTTCGGCCCTTTCGCCAACGATGCTGGACGGCTTTCTGACGAACGTGAGCCCGCTCTGACGGTGCTGCTAGACGTTGCCGATGTTTGATGACGGAGTGTCTGAGGCGGCTCAGGCCACTCCATCTCTTTAATGGTGGCTTGCGACGAATTCCGCTGATGATGGGATGTACCGTAGTGAACCTCCTCTTCACATTCTGCGAGAACAGACTCACGCATACGAGCCCGCTTCATGCGAAGGGCTGCAAGCAACATCTCCTCCTGCCGAGTGACAGCCATGAAGCGCGAGTCGGATTCGGCATGGATCTCGATGGATTCCGTGGATGTAGTGAAAGACTCTACCGACGTAGGACTCAGAGGCGGTGTTGGCTGGTCAATCGAATGGGTCGAAGACTTGGTCGATAGCATGCGCTGTGGCGTCTCAACTACCCGCTCAGGTGACGGACGAGATGGTTGCGTAGGCAATGGGGGAACATTACGCATGTCCTGAACGCTATACCCAGACCGGGCTTGACGGTCGCTCCCAGAATTCGTTGTGGACGTGGACTTGTTTGAGTACATCGATGAGCGGTTCGACTGAGTAGGTGGCTGGTATCGTGTAGAGGGAAGTGAGCTCGTCCGAGAGTTTGGAGTGGGCGCTTTAGTTGGGGGAGACTTGCTCGGTATCGTAAGGTACGTGTTAGTCGGTGCAAAACTGGCATGCTTCACGGATTTCCTGGAGCTATGAGCAACCGAAGGGGCATCGCGCGACCGGCTCGACCTCAGCGATGATGGTGCCTGGCTACCGGCATCACTGTTCTGGTATTCGCTCGTCGATTTGGAGACAGTGTCGGGAAAGAAATCTTCTTCGGAATCAGATGACAGAGAGAGCACGCTCTTTTCCATCAAATCAGATCCGCTTATACTATGGCTTGTCCGCTTAGACGCCCGGGAAGTCTTGGTGTGCCTGCTTGAGACGCTAGATGCACAGTCTCGATCTGCGGACGGTGCTTGCTGGGCTATCGGATTCGGTACATCCGACATCCCTGCATGGGAAGTCTGCGATTTCGATACTGCTGCTTGATGAGGGCGAATCCCAGGTCTTAGCACGCTTCTCCTTGGATCTGTCGAGGATGGCGATCTCAGTGGTGTGGGAACAGAGTTAGCCAAGGCTTGGTCCGATTTTGCCAGAGGACCGTCGTGCCCCAGCACCTGGTCGAATGTCATCTGCTCGTAATGTTCGTATAAATTGGGAAGATGGCTGATATCGCTAGCTCCCCTTCGACTGCTTGAGCCGGTCCTAGGACGGCCTGAAGATAAGTTGTCGACCATGCGATCGTATGTGCTACGCCTTGCTAGCTTCTTCTCCGTCCGCTGCTGAATAGGGGGCGGTGTCGACTTGGGCGACGTGAGGGAAGCGAGCGAGGGCGACCTGGTGACGTAGCCTGCGTCAAGCACCGGGCTGCCATTATCTCCGTGAGTGTTGTTATGTTTGTGCCTGGACAAAAGAGGCCCAAAATCCAGTCTACTCGGTTTCTTCTTAGGTTTTGGGGTTGGCGCTGATTGGGCGACGTGATTCGCATGACCTTCAATATCAAGCAGCTCATTTGCTTTTTGTGGCAACCCTTTCGCCATGGCGGATGAGGATGTTTGTTGCGATATTGACAGGGGCATCTTCGATTTGTCGTACCATGAAGTAATTGTCGAATTGGAACCACGGCGGGTGAGACTCGATGTCTCGGTGAAGTCTCTCGGGCCGGCGTCCGTATTCAATTGCGAAAATCGATTCGTCAGGTATGCCGGGACAATATCCGATTCTTGCTCCCATTGTGTGTTTCTCCGATTATTCCCAGCGGCTACGTGCTCTTCACCACGCTGGGTTCGACCTCTTTCAGTTGGATTATACGTCGTGGTACTCTCGGTCACGGAAACGCTGATGCCAGAAACTGAGGCGCCGTCCCATTGTCGCGGGGCGTCGATGTTGATCTCGGCGGTGCCCAGGATTTTCTGCGCCTTCGACATTGGCCCCGACACAATCGGTCCAAAGGGTGGTTTTTGCTTCCTTCCGGGGACAGGAAACGTAAATTTGGATCGACCCATCTTGACGAGAGGAACGGGTCAAGGGGAGCTCTGTCAAAGTCAGTCAGCCAGTCAGTCCAGTATGGGAAGCATGAATGCGCATGGACGAAGAGTTCATTTCATGCGTGGATGGCCCAGCGACTTCACGTGGGAGAACTCGTGGCTACAAGAGGGAACTACCTTGTCGGAACAGGTTGGACAACCCGTGGTTATCGATGCATGCGGTTCTGAAAGTCCAGCAGACCGCAAAGCTCCATCCGTTATTCGTCGCTAAAAGGTTTCGAGCTGTGAACTGAACTTCGATTTTTCGAACGACGCCGTCAGTAGCGAAATATTATCGGCTGCACGGTTGGACAAATTCTCCCCAGTAAGTCTTCCTCCGAGGTCGACTGAAAGAAATGAGACGACGGCCGTCATACGAAGCACCAAAGGGGGGGCAGTTTGCTAAACTCCCGTTTGCGTCTCCACTCGTTCAATTTCCAGGTCGGTCCAGTCCAGACAGACTCTTTCTGTTATCCGTTCAGTCCGTTCCTCCACGTGCCGAACATGAGCATCAACCTTGAAGCAATAAGAGAGGAAGGATTCAGAAGCAGGGCTCTCGCCTAGGAACATGCGCGAAGGGAGGGGGACAGCGACAATGATATGGGAGTGACTGGAAAAGTGGTCTACTAGCACTTTGATGTGTGCCGGCCGTGATGGCCACCTGAACCTTACATACTACACCCTTTACTCTAATGTCATCCACCTTTGGCCTGTTCACACCTCCCCTCCTTGGCTGGGGACTGCCTGACTTGCAGCTGATTAGAGTGGGAAGCCGTCCAGATTCTGCAAGGATCTTAGCCGTCCACCGCACCCAATCCCTGCAAGCCACACGAGACGGTGGGAATGCAAAAGAGCAAGTCGGACAGCCCGCGAACACCTAAACAGCATAGTCTGTCCTTCAAACGTCGCTTCAATGGTCGGCCCTCGGCCTGGCACTCGCTTTCTTGGTTCCTCCCGCGGCGCACAACGACACCCGGGACTAAGGCAGGGGTCATTAATGGACAGACACACCCCTGAATTTGGTCTTGACTTATCAAAGAAAAGAATACACGGGGTGCAATCTTGAGTCGTGGGACGGATAACAAAGCCATATGGGACGGACTTGAAAGCCACATGGACGGACTTAGGACACTGAACGGAAACATCCAGAGGGCCACCAAACGAACGATTCAGGATGATGGAGACTCGCGACTCTTGGAGAGTGAGCACGACGACGACACTTGCATGCCCTGCCCATTTTTCTTTAATCAATTTGACAGCAGCGGGCAAGCAGGGGCGGAGGTGCGAAACCTCACCCTGGTCATCAACTAAAGCTCGTGAATACTGTGCAAGGTTGCCAGTGAATGATCTCTGCAGGCAATCGCTAGGGCCCCTGAAGAAGTGTGGAGGAGTCTTTGCCTCTTGCGGAAGAGGGCACACACACCCACCGTCTCATCGAGGATGATCAGCGACGCCATACACTACAGCCCTGGCCTCACAAGCATAACACATCAGTGTCGGCCCCTAACAGAAAGGCGCTTTGTACTTTGACTTTCCATGTGCCAGGCGGAATTCAACGTCAAGCTCAGCTTGGATTTGCAGACTTTTCTATGCCAGTCGCCATAGTCATGGCACTTGCTGGCAATAGCTTCATCAACGGGCGTCTGTTGGCCGCACCCGTGGCTGGTACCCATTAGTCTTCTTCGCGCAACAATTTAACCCCGGCATACGTACACACGCCAGGGCCTTTAGCCGTTAACGCAATGCTCCGACCGGCGAAGAATTGTCTCGGCCATCCGCTTCTGTTCTGGTACTGTCTCAGGATTCCCCAGTAGAGAGAGCAACCTGTCAGCCTATTCTCACCCTGCATCGGACATAGTGGATGATTTGTATTTTGAAACGGCCTGATGCGGGACAGGCTACAGCCAACCTTGGGATGTCCACCGTTTAAGAGGACGCCGATGTTGAGTTAAGCTGAGGTGTCAGTGGCAGCACAGCGTGGTGGCATATGCCTCGCAAACGCTGTATTCTGCTAGGGAAGCCACAGTTCGCTGGCTTGGTTATGTGCAAAAGTGACCCACCAAACTCATCTTCTTGCCAGCTCAGCTCAGCTCAGCTCATTGCTTGGCCTTGGCTCTCTCAATGGAGGGACCTGGGTATGGTATTTCTGTCCTCATTCTGTGATCCCGCCCTTTCCGAACCTAGCAACTTGCGCAAGAGATGGGGCAATCCGTCGTAGGTGGCCATCACCGTCCCTGTACCTAGTCGATGACCTGGGCCTTACGACAGCTCCACGTATTCTGGAATGTCTCTCCGAACGTGGGGCTAGCCCATTGGACTACTTGCGTGCCCACAACCCACTTGGGGACGCCAAAGGACTTTTTTACAGCTGCCAAAAGTCTTCAGGAGACGATGGTGTGGCTGAGATGCTTGTTCAGGACCTCGGGAGTAATTACAGCTGATCACAGACCAGAGGAAACGACAGGATTGACCAGTGTCCACCATAACCAATTTCTTTCTCTTTTTGGATTTGGACAGACACTATCCGTACTCACCAATGTTGTTATTTTTCAGAGGGCTGCTGATCAGTTTGTGCTAAGCATTCTGGGGGCGGAAAGGCAATTCCCGGTTGACATTTTGTGCTGGCACCGCGCCATAGGCGATGGAGGAAATCCATCGACGCAGCCACCCATGACTCGTAGGATGCCATTTCATCGATGGCGCTCTGTTTGGAGTTGAGTGAAGAGGGGGGGCCAGAAAAACGACAAAAAAGAAAGACGATGCGCGCTGCTTGACGATGTTCAGGCCTAAAGGCTTGCAGTTGCTTCTGTGTTGACCGCCAATTGACTTCATCCAGACCTTCTCTCAGGGGCACGGTCCGTATCGTCGGGTCTTCGCGAATAACGCTGTTTTGGGACAAAAGAAAGACTCCATTTGGACCAGGTCTTGTTATTCCAAGCTTGCCTTTGGATGGGCACGGACAGCACGGCAGTGCGTCCCACAGCTCACGAACCTCCTGGGGTTGCATTTCATCCGTCATCGCAGCTGGGTCGGCGAATGTAAGACAGTCCGCTGCATAGTGTATCACGGGAAAAAAAAAAATCTGCCATCAAGATTTTGATATTGAAATCCTTGACAACAAGGCCAATGACCTCTAGGCCTTGCTCCAGTTAGCAGCGCTGAAGGAAGGCCAGTTCGGGTGGATCGCCTCAACTGGGACAGCACAACGCGATGGCAGCTTGGCTTCACCCACTTTGGAAAAAGAAATTCAGAGGTTAGAGTGGGATTGACCTTGTACCGACATGGCGCTGGGACTCAGCGCTGCACGCATGCGGCGAAGCCAACCTCCACCCTCCAAAGCTGGCCACTCCATGCTTAATGATGTATTGAGTCGGACTTGGCGTCCGTGTACACACACCACCATCACGAGCTCTACGGATACTGCCAGTGCTGTCGAGGGGGATCCTGGATTGCCAAAATGGTAGCAGGGAGCAAGCTACTGACAAACGTAAACCCCCCTCCCAAAGAGAGAAAGAAGAAGAAGGACAAAAAAAAAAAAAAATACAACCAAATTGGACGCACAGTTCAACCAGAGGGTATGCCTTGCCCCAAGTTATGGCTCCTCAGCCAGCAAGCAAATTAGAACAGGGGACGTGCGGAAGCACCATCTGAGTCCAAGTCAATAGTTCGCGGCTGTCAAATTGTGCCACTACGAACAAAGGAGTACAGTTTTGAGCTGTCACCGGATCGGGCCCAGATGGCTCACAAATCGGTAAACAGGGTCATCATCTTCTTTGGTCGATATAGTAGTGCTCTCTCTTTGGGAAGTCGGGATTCCAATGGTTTGGCATGGGGTCCTTGGGGAATCGATGGGCCGCATTTCGCTTCCCTCGATTGCCCATCACCCCCTGAGATTAACGACCAGAAGGGGCCAAAATTACCGACCAGGATACTTTGGCCACATGATTAAGAATCGGCCCTGTCAATAGCAGCTCCTGATGATACCCACAAAGCCCCCCCAGAGGATTCTTAACATGGCGACGTACGATGACCAGGCGTTGTACAGAGGAGTAAATGTTGGGCGAATTAAACAGACGTCCTGAACGCTGACGCTCCCCCCTCTAGATGGCCCGTCCGATTTGTCTTACGTGTAGGTTGTCAATCAATGGCATGTGGCAGTCAGTGCGTCCAAACGCGGATTGGATTGATACGGTACTTGGCGCTTCGACGGTCAGAGCGGCCAGCAAACAGGGCACCTGTCAGTGTCAGGGGCAACAATACTAAACACAAAAGCATGCTTCTACCTTGATGTACGATTCTCGGCCGAAAAGACGAGGAATAAGAAAGGAAAGGAACAAAAGAAAATCGAAGTCCAGCCTCCCGCAATATGAGACACAAAGCGCCCTGATGCTGCAAACAAGCGTGGCGAATGCCTTGAAACGACGGTACGCAACGTGCCGCTGTTGTAAAGTCTAAATCGACCAGCTGCTCAATTAAGTTATTGGCGGACCAGGATTTACAGCAGGGCCAACAACAATGTTGGACGAGGAGGTAAAGGCGACGGTGAGCATTTCCAGTCCACATTTCAACATGGCTGGTTGTCCGTGTGACCGGCAGCGATCGTCGTTGCGCCGAACATGCGGCTGGAGTTCGGACAGCCGTCCTGACAGCTCATTGTTCAGATGGTCACCCGTCAAGGTTCAATTGAGGAAAAAGTTCAACAGAGCTTTGGCCTTTGTGCGTCATGGCAGCACGGATACCCTCTTCTCCATATTGAACTACATCCTCTCCCTGTACTCCGTACCTAAGCAGGAATTACCACCCACCACCCGGCGCTGCGACACTTTCGAAGAGGAAGAGTCGACGTTGATCCAGATCCAAGCCCCGCTAACCAAGATCTATAGTGGACGATGTGAGCATCAGCCCCATCGTGACGCTGTTTCGCTACCCTGCTGCTCGCCTTCTTTTCAATATTGATGCTACACTATCTGTTCGGATACCGCACCATGGCTGGCAGCATGTGGATTTTTCGCGATCAGAGCTCGAAAGAGACGAGCCCGGCATAAAACAGCGGGTCCTGGAGCCGATCCTGCAGACCTAGAACTACACTGCATGGAGCTGCGAGATAACTGTGCCGCTCGAGGGGCTAAGACTGCTTCAATGTTTGCTTTTTACATCCAGACTTCACACTCGTCATTTCAACGTCGGCCGGTTGACTGAATGGGAGATCAGACATATTGCGCCACAACGTTCTACGTATTGGGCTTGGTGAGCCGGGTCCATCATCTTGACAACCGCCCCCAACACTTGGTCCACCCCTAAAAATGCATATTCGCATCGTTGCAAAAGCAACGAAGATTAAGATAAACGCCCCCTTGTGCCCTTATGCCCTTGTGCAGCCAAGCCCTGGGATGATCATCAGAGCTCGGTTCACATCTTGCGCAAGTCGCTTGACCGCATCTCTTCGGTCTTGTCAGACCCCTCTGCTGCTGCAACCAAATGGGTCTCTCTATATGCCTGTTGTAACAGAAGACGAGCCTGCCCTGTCAGCCTAAGCCGCTTCACCAATGCGCTCCCTGGACAGTCCGCTTCCATCGGTCGACATCCCGTCTGGAAACTCCACCCGCGAAAGCCTCAGTTCCGCGGCCATTGCCAATCGTGTATTTACACGTCCGTCCCCGGCTTCTGGCGGTGTCGGCCAGAGTCGTTTTTTTGAGGCTTTTAGCGGGCATCGCCAAGCCTACCCTGATTTCTTGAACACGATATCTGATCCCCGGGCAAAATGCCCGGTGGATTCTCATGCGAAGCTGACATTCTGAAACAACAACAAAGGTCCCGATGCTGTGCCGCACAAGCTTGCAGACAAAACTGACCGCACGCCGGCGGCGCGTCTGTTGGTTGTAGTTGCTCAGGTCGCATAATGGCCACCCCCCACCGCGAACACTACCTGCGCAAGATCTCGACGTAACTATGTATGCGATGCTGACAACATGGCGTTCCGCCAGCTTGTCGGTACCCCCGGCCTCGCCAACCTTGAGCACGTTAGGCGAGTCGAGTAGGCCCCGCTCGCTCGCTTCTTGATGCAAGCACGAACGCCCTTGAATGGACTGGTTGCAAACTCTGAACGTCGGCTCGAGAGTTCCCCCGCTCTCTGTGTTCCAGTTGGCGGGGTATACATCGCGAGAAGGATTATCGCGGGGTAAGAAATCGTACGAGTATCATGATTTCCCAAGTTGCGGCCTTCTGGCATTGAGTGTCGTTTCTGCGGTTTAATCTTGATCGGTTTATCGTTGTTTGTTTCGACTGGCCAGTACCGAGTCCGGGCGTCAGCAAGGTATGTCTTGCATAGAGATGGGTGTAGACCAATGCGTCCTACACTCCATAGCTTTCGACATCGTGGGTGGGTGTCCTTTTTGTCCTCGCTCTGTCACATTTAGCTTGTCGTGTGCGTCGTATTCTTGGGTTCTTTAAGCGCAGGAGTGGGTGGACGAAGCGTCAGCCCTTCTCCAGCCTGGAGTATGGCAAAAAAATGGACGTGGTAGACTACCCTCGGCCTGATTGGTACCATTGCGTTGGGTGAGATCCTGAAGCAGGTTTGCTGCTCCTTCTCCATGCGGTTAGGCACTTGGTTTATAGCCTGCTGTTGGGAAGGTGTCTTTGACCTGTTCCTGCGGCGAGTCATGGCTTCCGCTTACCATTGATGAAGCTCAAAAGTGACCGTGGTCGGGAGCTGCGATGAGTTTTGGACTGTCCGTCCAGGTATGCTCTCGGGCTTGGAGACTGACATGCGCCACCGCGGTTCGTTTTGATGTGTCAGAAGCTGGCTGGGTTCTGGTTTGGATACACTGAAGGGGCTTGCTGCAGCCACCTCACTTTAGAGGGTTATTTGTCATTATGTGTGTGCTACGCCGCAATGGACATTTGTAAACAATATGTATTAACGTGACTGTGCTATACTGATGCTACCCCCCTTCAATATCCAGAGTTCACTGAAAGCTGGTCTCGTACTCGGCTACGGGCTTAGTACCGATTCAGTGTGACATATAGACGGGATTTCGATGCTGCTAGCTTTCAGGAGTGAGACTGCAGCTCGGTAAGGTGCCGTTATGGGGGAAAGTGACCTGTTGGTTTTATAGTGGTCTATCGTTGAATCATACTGGTCCTTTTAAACGGCCGTTATACTATTTCGAGAAAGTTACCGCCGAGAGTGATGCCGTCGATGATGGGGATGAGAGATATGTCAGATTCAGGTCGCTTTTGTGGCTGCGGGTGTCATGATGGGTTGTTCTAGACTGGTTGGACTAAAGAGAGTAGGCAGAACTCGAATAATCTATAAAATACATAAATCTAAGTGGTAATTTCGCGTCGTCGCCATTCAGAACTCGGCGTGGTAATATGTTTGGAGTGATGTTTCGAGTATGTAGTCGAGTTTTAAGGCGTCGTATCACTCGAACTATCGAGATCCTGAGCTCAATGTTTTTATTGGGCCTAAAACTGTTGCTATAAGACACTTACCAGAAATTCATACAAGAACTACCTTCAACACGTTGTTAAATTTCATAAATAACATTTACAGCTCAGGTACTCGTGAAACGGTTGAAGAAATGGGCCACGGCTGAACTCGGCGCTATCACGACTGTGTAAGCCATTTGCCTATTTGAACTGATAATATCTGCAAAACTGGAGGGTCCTCATGTGAATCAGGAATTAGCCCGACTTGGATTTTTTTAGAGTCCGGTGAAGTGCAGATTTCCCACGGAAGAGAGTCCTGGCAAACATCCACGAGTCCTGATGTTATGTACGGCATAAATGCAAGGGGCCGGCCAACCAACCGGGCCGGCATGCCCCGCACCGGGGGGGCGCGGGGTAGTGACACGAGACCGGTGTTGGTTGGCAGCGAGACAACAAAAGAATATTTCGCACCTCACATTAGTTTGCAGCGTCGCAACACATTTTATTTCTACTCACGGTCGCTATGAAACTCAACACCATTGGCAAACTAACTGTTATCCTTCAAGGCAGCCTGCTGGTGGCTGCGACGTACCAGTACGATGCGCAGGTCCCGCTTACAACGCGGACATGTCTTCCAGCTCTGACGTACGCGCCGGAAATCAATAGCCGAAGATGTTTTGACGACTTCCCGTCATGTAGAGCTTTGGTCGGTGGAATGGATTCGTCAAAACACAACACAGTGGACTCGTGCGCTGGTTTCTGCGGCCATGCTGGGTACTCACTGGCCGGGATCAAGTATGGCAGGTACAGTCAACTCTCTACTAAGTCATGCAAAGCGCGGTTTTGCTGAGGAGGAGCAGAAATAGCCTATGTGTCTGTGGAAATGAAGTCAATCCAGACGCAATGCAGACTGTCGACACCGAGAGTGTATGCGACGAAACCGAATCCGCATGTGTGGAGTTGAAGATTCCCTGCTACGGAGATAACTTGTGAGTATCTTACTTTCATGAACGACTGGGCAAGGGAAGTCTCACATGGCATAGGATCGAAGTCTATGAGATCAGCAACCCTCTGAATGATTTGAAGGCTTCAAATAACTTCCCAGATTGCAACCGAGAACCGCTTTGCTCCAATGATGTGTGCAACGAGTCTCTTTCCGATAAGGAACGAGCAACAGCCTTGGTTTCTGAGCTCACAATCTGGGAGAAGTTGGACAACCTAGTCAATGAAGCACCCGGTATTCCCAGGCTCGGAGTGCCTCCATATGAGTGGTGGTCAGAAGGTCTCCACGGAGTCGCCTCGTCGCCGGGGACGAAGTTTGCTTCGCGAGGGAACTTCAGCTACGCGACCTCATTTCCGCAACCCATCGTCCTTGGCTCGGCTTTCGATGATGAGCTGGTTCGAAGAGTAGGGGAGATTGTGAGCAAGGAAACGAGAGCTTTTAGCAACGCTGGCAGGTCCGGGTTGGATCTCTACGTAAGTACACTTTTTGCATGCGGCACTCTAGGAAAACGGTATTGACATGGAAGGAAAAGTCTCCTAATATCAACGCCTTTAAAGACCCCCGGTGGGGAAGAGGTCAAGAAACACCCGGCGAAGATCCCTTCCACCTACAAAACTACGTCTCGGCCATGCTCACAGGCCTCGAAGGAGATGGCACTTCCAAGAAAGTGATCGCGACGTGTAAGCACTACGCGGCCAACGATTTCGAGAACTACAACGGAGTCGACCGGTCTGGCTTCGATGCGAACATCACAGCCCAAGACTTGTCGGAGTACTACCTCCCGCCATTCAAAACTTGCGCCGTGGAGAAGAACGTTGGGTCGTTCATGTGCAGTTATAACGGCATCAATGGCACGCCTCTTTGCGCCAATGCCTATCTTCTGGAGGAGATCCTACGGAAGCACTGGGAGTGGAACGGAGATGGCCAATATGTGTCCACAGATTGCGATTGCGTGGCACTTATGGTGTCCTATCATCACTATGCGCCTGATTTGGGCCATGCCGCGGCGTGGGCGATGAAGGCAGGGACAGATTTGGAGTGTAACGCGCTCCCTGGCTCCGAAGCCCTGCAGTTGGCATGGAACCAGTCGCTTATCACTGAGAAAGAAGTCGACAAAGCTCTCACCCGAATGTACACGGCATTAGTATCGGTTGGATTGTTCGACTCGGAGAAAGAGGACCCGCTGCGCTCGCTGAGCTGGGCCGATGTAAACACCAAAGAAGCTCAAGAGCTTGCATATAAAGCGGCCATTGAAGGAGCTGTGCTGTTGAAAAACGACGGAATTTTACCTCTGTCGACCGAGTCTACCAAGAAGTATGCCCTTGTCGGCCCTTGGGTCAGTGCCACTAAGCAGATGCAAGGCAATTACTTCGGTCCAGCTCCGTACCTGATATCCCCTCACCAAGCTGCGGAGCAATTGGGCATAGACTTCACTTATTTTTTGGGATCTAGGATCAATAGCTCTGATGCGTCATCTGCGCAAGCTATCAAGTCTGCCAAAGCTGCGGATGTTATCATCTTTATGGGTGGGGTTGACAATACACTGGAAGCCGAGACTCTTGATCGCAAAACTCTGGCGTGGCCTGCACCACAGTTGCAGCTACTTCGGACTCTGTCATCTCTTGGAAAACCGCTTGTCGTTCTTCAGTTTGGCGGTGGACAACTCGATGACACTGAGCTTCTCGTGAATAACTCTGTGAACGCCATCCTCTGGGGAGGTTATCCTGGTCAATCTGGCGGCAAAGCCATATTCGACATTGTATTTGGTCGGGCAGCGCCAGCTGGTAGACTGTCAGTTACGCAGTACCCAGAATCTTACAATGAGGCCGTTCCATCTACCGATATGAATCTACGCCCCGGACCAGGGAACTCAGGTCTCGGCCGAACTTACAGGTGGTATACAGGAGAGACACCAGTACCATATGGATTCGGACTTCATTACACGACTTTCGATATCGATATAGCTATCAAAGGCCCTCAAAAGATCTCTACAACTGAGCAGGTTGCAGCAACAAAAGACACTGCTGCCCTCGGAACTCCAGTTTGGCAGCAAAATCTTGAGCAGCCAGTCATTGAGATAACTGTGTCCGCTGAAAACACAGGCAATGTCACATCGGACTACGTGGCGTTAGTTTTCATGCGGTCAGATGTTGGACCGGAGCCTCGGCCTCGCAAAACACTGGTGGGATATACGCGTCTTCGCGGCATTGAACCTGGCAAGGTAAAGAGTCATGACATCGTGATCACAGTTGAACGGCTCGTTCGAGTTGATGAAGACGGAAACAGAATATTTTACCCCGGTGTATATGAATTGTTCCTAGATATTGACGACGAGAAGTCGTTCAAGTTTGCGCTTGAAGGTTCTCCAGAGGTGATTGAGGAGTTTCCGCAACCGAAAGATCAGAAGCGATGAGTTAAAATCAATCAACAGTGGAATGAGCGTATGTAATTAGTGACTATTTATTCATTTACGTCACTTCAATAATGGCCTAGTTTCGGCTAAAACTGACATCTACTTTGAACGAGTGACAAGTAAACCCGAAATGCAGAGACTGCCTCCAAGTATGCTGTGTGCAGAGCCAACGCCTCCTGAATTTTGACAGACATGTTTAATAAGGCGCGGAGGACTTGAGAGGAGCTACGACCTTCTGGGCCAACCCGATCACGAAGGATTAGACGAGTAACGTATATGGCAGAGATTCCCGCCATGATATTGATGATAACTTTGCCGTGAATGGCTTTCTGGTATCATAAAACGCGAGGACAGCATCCCTCTTAACAGACCTGGTATTTAAAATAACCACATCTGCACCCAACGCGGCAAGTTTTACGGAATGTTCAACAGGCTGTTGTTTTCTTTCTGTATGGGATGATCGGTTCCAATGATAGCAGTAACTCAGCTGCATGTGATGCTCTGTTTGTTCAGGAGGCCGATAATAATTGGAGCGTGGCCAGTCTCGGAATAGTTGTTTACACCAAAGCCGGGCGCCACCTTCAAAGCATACAGTGGTGTCATCTTACCACCGATAGGATAGATGTCACGCATGAGGTCGGCGGTGGTAGGGTTTCGTCGATCCGATGATGCTATTACCGTTGCCAAAAGCGCTTGATTAATCATCTCAAGCAGCAGTAAATCTTAAATTGGGGTCGTAATTGGATAAGCTTTCTCGGATCGCCACAACTCGAACTGAAACATTGAGAAGATGACTTACCAAGATCAACCTCTGTCACCCTCAACTTCAAACAAATTGTAATTAATGATTGTGCTATAGGAAACCATGCGCTTAAAAGAAGTTTCTTTCAGTAGACCTTGATGGTGCATCCCAGAAGAAACTTGTGTCAATCAAATTGGCCAAACGCTGCACGTGCAATGCTTGTTCCGACTCGCTCAAACCAAGAAGCTTGGAGTCTCTATCCACACTATGATTAAAACCGTCCATCCCTTCAGCCAAAACGTGGGTTGCTTGATTTCGGTCCCTTGGGAAAGTATCTGGTCTCCGTCAAGACTCAACTGGTGCACTTTCGATGTCAATCTCATTGCTTCAGGTAGATTTTGTGAATACTGCGGAGTCGCTGGAGTGAGTGAGTGTACCAGTGTGTCAAGATAAGCCGCATGCGAGTTTGTTATGTTACAAGCACAAAACAAAGCTGAATTTTGGCCAACGAGAGTGATGGAATCTAGCGCTAGTTTTCAGTCGTTGGCGGGTAATTGAGGAAGTTAACACAAAGTTCCCAACGCGCTGCTGATATGGTGGTACGAATCCAATGACAGGGAATCCCGGGCTCAAGTGAGTGAAAGTTGACGCTGTTCACAAGAGTGAATCCTTGGCATTACATGCTTGTCGAGGGATGGATAATGTGATTTTGAGTCCCGCACCAGCTCTCAGAGTCTAATGAGGACACTGAAATATTCCATTTCTGGGTAGAGTGACCTTTGGTTAAGAGGAAGACCGCTCTGATGACCCCAGTCCTCAATGTGATCTTGCCAGGTAGACTCCCACCTGCTCAACTGCGATCCCAATGGTTTCTAGATACATTAGAGCATATGCTGTTGAGGTCTTTGGAACCATCACGTCTCAATCTGCCGCACTGCCGCAATCTATTGGCAAGACAGTTCATCTTTGTTCTAAAGTGGGACCGGGATTTGAAAATTGAGAGACCATGCCACCCCGGTAGAAGCAGATCATTGTACTTGGAGTCTCCCGGCAGGAAGATAGCTAATATGGAGATCAACGTGGACAGTTGGGTCTGGCCACCCAAAATCGGGCGGTGGTGGAAATACTGATGATCAGTATTTATTATGTTGCTCCACGGACACTCGACCAGTGATAATAGGCTGTCAACACGGGCACACATTAGAGGCGACTTCCTGAAGGGGATTGACTTACACAGCATTCTCCAAAGTTGTACGTTCAACAGAGATTCAAGTTCAGATGTAGATAGGCTTGATGTCATATTTGCCATATCTTTGCCTACCTTAGTTATGTAAAGCGTGATTAGCTGGCCCAAGACGACGAAGCAGAATAGACAGCTTCCGGTGGATGCTTTACTCGGGCTAGAAACTCATATTTCAGACCATTGTCATTCAACTTTGCAATCCTTCTCACAGCGAGACGAGCCGCCTCCCATGGATGATTCGCTGCTTAGCCCACATTGTCAGGTTTGGAAGCCGCAAGTAATGGACATCCACCAATTTCTCAGGAGAGAAAAAAACTGAGAAACAACTAGAGACTGCATTCCCAATATCAAGCTTACGCCAAGAAAGTATCCACACTTTCCTAGGCTACAAGATTCAATTAGGACCAGCAAAGACCTCAACTTCATCCTCGCCCAGAAGCAGCACGTCCTCGAGCCCATCGAGACCCAGAGCCAAATCGTCAAGGAACTTTGCCCGGGCACGCCCGTGGCTGACGGTGACAACCGCTGCTGGGCCAAGACCAAGCCTACGGGGTCTGCCGCCACATCCCGTCGTGACGTACCGCGCCTCACAGGCGATTTCGGTAGCGAGAAATGAAAGGGGTGGCTGGGCGGCGAATGTGAGCTTTGACTACTGCGACTGCGTTAATGAGACGCTTTCTACTATTATGGAATAAATGTGCGAGATAGGAGTCCCGAGAATCGGCGCGGTGCTTGCTACCACCATTCAAGACCTTCAATTGTTGGAGCATGGATTGGCCCGGAGAGATGGAATGGTGGTATTGTTGGTTTCGAGGGTTGCCGCTGGCAGCGTCGCTTTTGCGCAGCTATGAGTTGAGAAATGGCACGCCATACACAGTGGGACTGACGTGTTTTCAAGCATGAAAGACAACCTTGCTAAAAAAAAAAAAAACATTACTGGGTTTGCCCTTGTCGTCAAAGTGTTGCCTTTGCAACGTCATGCGGAAGTGTTCACTAATGTTATATTCAGTCAATATGGGCATCTACATAAGCATCTATGGTAATTAGCCAGACACACGAAAGAGAACTAAGCTACCATCGAAAGACGGATTAGTGTTACTCGAGATTTCGATAATGCTTGAAAATCCGCAGGCGGTTATCGCCTCGACATCACACTGGAGAACCCATGTGGAAGACTGTTCTCTAGAATTGACAAAACATCACATCACAGCAGATAGGAACAGAATATGCGTTGAAACCGGCAACTTTATCTACAGAACCAGCGACCTTGGGGCCGCTGGCGCCTTGAAAGTATTTACATGAATTGTGTACTTCTCAGTACCCAGCCGCGGCCGGAGCCAACGGCCGAACAGCAAAAGCGCTCTTTTCGTTTCCACTGCAGGGAGGACAGGCACACACAAAAACCCCACTTTAGAACTTGAGGGTCTGGCCAGCGGTGCCGACGACGGCGGCCTTGACCTTGGAGGAGCCGAGGAGGGTGTACTTGTAGTCGGGCTTGGTGAAGGTGCCCTTGGGGGCGTCGTTGGTGGAGCCGCCGAGGTCGACGTCGTTGACGACGGCGTAGCCGGTCTGCTTGGAGTCGAGGAAGGTGATGGCGCGCTTGGCGTCGACGAAGACGGAGGACTCGACGAGGACCTGGGCGCCCATGCGGGTGTTGATGCCGGAGGTCTCGAGCTTCTCGGCGTAGTTGTTGAAGATGTGGACGTTGCCGAAGCGGATGGAGGGGTTGCGGGAGCCGACGTTGGACCAGTGGTTGTTGGCGTAGGTGACGTAGAGCTTGCCCTTGTCCTCGGAGGCGTTGGAGTCGGAGTGGCCGACGAGGGAGCCCTTGTAGTGGTCGTGGATGTAGGTGTTGGAGACGGTCACGGCCATGGAGGCGTGGGTGATGTCGAGCAGGCCGTCGTAGTAGTCCTTGCCGTTGTTCTTGTCAGAGGACAGGTCGCAGTGGTCGACCCAGACCTTGGAGGAGGCCTGGATGCCGATGGCGTCGCCGGCGGAGGCCTTGACCTTGGAGATCTTCATGTTGCGGATGATGACGTTCTCCTGCTTGTTGATGTACAGACCGACACCGGTCAGGGAGGATCCGGCGGCGCCGATGATGGACTTGTTGGAGCCGACGCGGACCTTGACGTCGCCGGTGATGGCGCCCTTGACGACAACGACGGTCTTGTCCTTGGAGCTGGCGGCAGCGGTGAACTGGGCCAGGGTGGAGACGGTGGTGGTGGCACCACCGGCACCACCGGAGGTGCCGGCACCGTAGCCGACGTCGCAAGCGTCGGTGATGGTGGCGCGCTTCTCAACGGCACGGGGGTCGACGGCGGAGCCGTCAACGACGGTGGGGGTGGGGGTGGCGCTGGCAATAGAAGCCAGGAGGGCCAGGGAAGAGGCGATACCGGTGAACTTCATCTTGACTTTCAAAGTTTTTCAAGTTGGTAAAGTTTGGCTGGTTGTGGTAGTTTGGTTTTGTGTGAAGGAATGTGTTGACGATCTACGTCTAACGAAGGTATGCAGTGAGAGAGAGATTGTAGGGAACGAATGCAAAGAGCGCAAGAGCTGAAAAACTGAAGAAGTGAAGCGGGATGAAGAGCAAGAGTAGAAAAACTGCCAGGAGGAATGGGGAGAAGAGGCTCTTAAGTATTTTGCATCGCCAACGAGAGAGAGAGAGGGATCTCTTGGCTAAGCTTCTGCTGCCAAGCGCCAAGGCCTTCTCTGTCGAAGCTTGGGCACACGCGCACACCACCACTCTCCTCTTCCTAGGGGGGTCCTCTCCTTGAGGTTGGGTCGTTTGCCCACGCAGCACGGAAGTTCCCCCTGGGAACTGGGCCCTTGGATCACGGGCGATATCAAGCGGAGTCATGCCGAAGAGGCTCTTTCGCCATTGCAACGCTGGCTTGGCACTTGCGTACGTGCCAAGATGGGCAATATCATGGTGATCCTTGGCGGGGGGGGAAGGGATGAAAGGTACGTCTGGGTACTTTCAACTTGACTGTAACTCTCCTCATCGTGGTGGTAGGTACAGTGCTGTGCGTTGCGTTAACGCTGGGGGGGAAAGTGGTTCTACATGACGCTTGAAGCAGGGTCTGGCAAAGAGACAAAAAGGGATGTGGTTGGCTAATGGCCCGGTGGGAACGTAGCGGTGCCCGCGGACGTGGGATCTAGCTCGAATCGCACGAATGAGACTGCCTACACAGCACGAAGGGATGGGCATGGTGGTACGAGAGAATGGTGGCTCGTTTGTTTAGGGGAAACGAGGCCAGGAGACGTTTGTCGATATTGATCAAGCACACTAAGCCAGTAAGAGCGGGTTGACGTTTGGAAACGGACCAGGGGGCAGGGAAGTGGGTGGGAACCGGCGACGAAATGAAGTCAGGGGGGGGATGAATGGCGGGATGGAATGGCAGACAGGGGGTAGCCTTCGGACGGTGATTAACATGGATTCGAAATGGTCTGAGCTGGGGGGTTTTTTGTCTTTGAAGGAAATGGGGTCCTTTTTTTCATCTCTTCGCTTTTTTTTTTTTTTTTTTGCTTACATCAAAGTGGTACATGGTAATAGGGGCCAGCCCAGTACCATGGGTGGAGATATCGTGATCAAAGGGGAGCCTCATCAACAAGAAAAATCAGACGAAAGGACGAAATGGTTGCCTGCCCGGAAAGGCCTCTCGGAAGTGATGGGAAATCCTGTCGTAAAAATTCATCAGGGCCAGTCCGTCAATAGCGCAAGTCGGTTACGGGTTGAGCAACTTGGAAAAGGAAACGCATCCCCGCGGATAGCCAATTCCAATATTCCACTTGGATTCTTTTCCCCATAGCGTCTCCCTCTCCCACTTACCGCCAAAGGGGGGAGGGGGAGGGGGGGTCTTTTACGGAAATAGATGTCGGGCACCCAATATCGAGTGCTACGCCGTAGGTTGAGCTGGTTTTTGGCACTTGGCCTAGCAGAATCGGGAAGTTGGGTTGCCTGGTGGTAGCCATTTCGGTTGCTGAGCGTCCACGTTCGGAGGAGGACCCGGACGCTGGGCCGGGTTCGAGAAGTCAAGGGGCCCGGGGTCAGGGGACCGATCGGGAATGGGTGAGCGGGGCGCATGGTCCCGGCGTAAATTAGATGCAAAATCAGGTAGAGTTGCGGGGGCCACACTCTGTCTCAGATAAGGTATTTTCTCCGTTAGTTAGTGTACAACCGTGGCAAAGCTCGTTATCGTTATTCCTTCCCTTGAGGCTTACAGGCTGCTTCAGCGAATAGGGGGCCTGTCTCTGGCGCATTGTTAGGCGGCGCCTCACCTGTTTGTGTGCTGCACATATACTATGTGTGTACTGGAATTTGTGGAATCACCTAGTGCTTTTTTTTTTTCTTTTTTTCTTTCTTTTAGTTCTCCAGAGCTTCAGGTTCAGGATGTCGCACCATTATGCGCCTTGATGCTGCAGGCTCAATGCCACATGTCACTCTGCCGCCAGACGTCAGTCACCACGGCGGCTACGGTACACTACATATGACTGTCTGTACGTCTTGCGTCACTGCAGCAGCCAACAGGTCCATGAAATCGTGGAGTTGAGGTGGGTACGACAGCATTACAGGCGATGTCCCTTACCCGCTAGGCTTGTTGAATTGCTTAACGAGAACCAACGGCTGCCGGAGATTCCGTTCAAGGCTGGATTGGCTCACCAAGAGCTCGAACAAGACTCTTAGACGACGGTAGCTACACATTTAGAGCTGGGGGACCAATCCCGACCCCGACCCTGGTTCGCGGCCCCCCCCTCCCCCTGTTCGATTAATACCTCTGAGGAGAAGAGGCCCTTTCAATCTGGCAATCGAGTTCGGGTCCCGCGTACAACCATTGATCGTTCCCTGGTCGTCGAGCTCGTGACTTCGTATTTCGTACGTACCGTAAGTAACAGTGCCTTTTGGGGGCCTGGAGTGTGACCGACTCGGACTGTGCTCTCAGCCGTGGAGAGCACACACTTATTACTATATTGCTCGTCGGATGTTTCGCACGAATCGCGGCAACCCTTGACCAGAGCGGGAAATTGAGGCAGGCCGACGGCATACTGCACAAAACGGCCACCTCGAAACCGGCCGAATTTGACACTTGGAGATGGAGGGGGTGCTTGGCGGCTGGGCAGTACTATGTATGCGCCAACAAAAAAACAAAAACCCGCCCCCAGCGGTTAATGGAAGTTCGGCACAGTAAAGCCTTGTATTTTCGCTCTTGTCCCTGCTTCATGTTTCTGGGGAAAGGAACGGTTGTCATCCCATTGCCGGCGCTTAGTTGAGCTTATCTTCGTAGCGCTCAACCTTGAACATCTTAACAATTGCCTGTTAATCCCGTGCGTTAACCGTTCAACAAGCCAAAAAAAAAAAGAACGTCGGTACACATCCGAATGCTCTGGCTTCCCTGGCAAGATTTCCCTTAAGACGGGAGAGCACCTATACTATGCATAATTATGAACATCACCTACTGGGTAGTATGTATCTCCCCCCCCCCCCCTCCTTATGTACATCGTTTCGGTCGGGTTTGCCCCGTCTCTAGTTTTGGTGGCTGACTTCGACTCCACTATCCAGGGGGAGGAACTTTGGGCTCTCGCATTCAGATGGTAAAATGACGTTCGGGATTGTCTACAGAATCAAACTTGCATGGTGTCCCAGGTGCTGTCGGTGAACGAGGTACCTTGTTCTCCCAACAGTAACTAGCACTACGTGTATGTAGCCAAAGGTCGATCACCAAGGAGTAAAGATCATGTAATGAATCATGAAACTTGGAAATTAAAGATTTGTCGATTAAGGTGATGGAGCATCCGCCCCCCTCTTTCCTCCTTTATTGAGACCCAAACAATTATTTGCGATTCTATGCGTGACCCTGCACCATCTGTTGTGATCACTAATTTCGCCGTACTGCAACCGGCGGAAAAACCGCCGTCCGCCATTAACCTCACGCTGCTGCTGTTGTTGTCTTTAACCAGCCTCGGCTCCACAATTCCGCGCCATCATTTTCCTCTTGTGACGTGTATGTGAATCTTGCTTCGTCTGCAATGATACTCTCACTCACCAACAGTGCCCTGCGTCTTCAGATCCCATCAATATTCCATCTTTTTCACCACTTGTCGTTGTAAATCGATGTGCCAAGCCCTGTCGCCAAGACGGATATCTCGGAAAGCTGGAGGTTTTATCCCCTGGAGTCCCAAGACTGGAGAGCTGATGGCCTTGGCCATCTCGAACAATCTAATGCCAATCCTTCGGACAACTGTGGTGCATGAGGCCCGCCAAGTACCCTCCCGTATGTCAATTTGGATTGGCTGGGCGCCAAGGAAGAGCAACGTCGACAGCTTCTGTCCGAGACTTGTGGAAATTTGACCAAAAGAAATAAAAATAAAAAATAAAAAATAAAACTCCAACGCGCCCCATATGCTCCATTCCAGGGTCGCCGCTCGAACGTCTCCACTAAAGCAGTTTACAAGTTTATGACAAGGAGGCGTTGGCCTCCTACGCGCTGACGACGCTCAAAGGTATCCTCGGAGGCTCATCGTGGTATCTCTTTTGTTTTCGATCATTGGTGGCACAATTTCGACGGTTGTTATCCGAAATGCTGCTTCCCACCATCTCCCCGCTGCTACGCAAGCCGTCGTCCTCGTGATGGCTCATCACCATCTTAGTGGCATGCGGCCTGCGTAGAGTTCCAATTACCGATCCTCGTTATAGACTGTAGCCGAAAAGCGTGGTCGAAATTGTTCCAAGGTCGTAAGTAAATTAATCGTATAATTCGCATGATGCTATCCACACATACAGCTGAACACCCGTTGTAACGCTCACCTCGCCGGAGTGGTTGCCTCCGGCAGAGACGGCTTCGATTTCTCCGCGTCAGTATCGGTCATCGTCCCTGAAGTCTCCTGGCCAGCAGTAGTGTCTGCGGTGATACTTTCCGCACCCTGAGCGCTTCGAGCTTCTGCCTCGAGCTGCGCGCGTTCTTCCATGGTCAGGTCGCTCTTCGCCTGCCCGATCTGAACAAAGGCATATAGCACCAGCGCAACGCCAGCTACACCCACCGCCATCCAGAATGCTGTCTTGTAGCTTTGCTTCTGGCCTAGATGGCTCGTCTGACCCACGGCCACATCGCCCATGCCCAGGAAGAAGCTTATGCCCAGAAACAGCAGACTGTTGATGAGTGCTCCGGCGAGACCTTGCCTGTGCGCGGGAAGATTGGTTGTGATGAAGACGTTGCTGACAGTGTAGGTGATGTCGATGCCGATTGTCGCGCACACCATGGACGGGAAGATATACGCCCAGTAGTTGGGGTTATCCGGGATGATGGCAAACAGTAGAACGGACATCAAGTTACCGATTCCTGAAATGGCGAGCAGGACGCGACCTGGGAGAAGGTGCAGTGTGAAGCCACCGACCGTACCGATGATGAGACCGCCAATGATCATGGGCAGGTACCAGACTGCCGTTAGTAGCGGCGACATGTGCAGCACCGTCTCGATGTAAAAGCTGGAGTAGAAGAGGAACAAGCCAAAGGTACCGTATGCAAAGAAGAGAGCGACCGTAAGCGTCTTCATGGACTTGGGCGCGAACAAATCACCGGGCAACAGAGGGTTCGAGGCTACCTTGGCCTCGACATACCACGCCCCAACGAGGAACGCGGCGCCCAATATCAGAGTGACGATGATCTGAGGACTCGCCCATCCGTTGGGCGCCTGCGAACTGTCGGTGATGGCATACACTACTAGCAGCAAGCCCGGAACGATGGTCGCGACTCCCCACCAGTCCATACTGATCTGCTGACGCTTTTCACGGAAGTCGTTGGGAATGGTTAGAAACGAAACGGCGGCAACAATGCCCAGGACAATGCTGCCAAGCCAAAAGTACCAGCGCCAAGTTAGGAACTGGCCGGAGACGCCGCCGATGAGGATACCGAAGAAAAAGCCGATGGGGGCAAAGGCTCCATACAGCGCAAAGACAAGATTTTTGCGCGGGCCGGGTCGGTAGATCTTGCCAAGGAGCATGATACCCGCCGGCAAATACGCAGCCGAACCAAGTCCCTGGAGGGCTCGGCAGAAAATCAACATCAAGTAGTTGTTACTGAAGCCGGCAATGAGGCACCAGACAAAGAACCAGGCAAGGCCGATGTTGAAGACGTAGTAGCCGCCGTACATGTCGCCTAATCTGCCAAGCGGCAGCAGGAAGGCACCGGTAACCAGAGAGAAGACACTCGATGGCCATGTTTGCGAAGCCTTGGGGATATCCAGCTCCTCGGCGAGTGGGGGGAGGATAATGTGGAAACCACTAACGAAGTATTCCTGCGGCGGATGTTAGTTTTCTAGCCGAGCGGCTATTTTTTTTTTCCCTTTCTTTCCGTTTTTGAGGGGTGACAAGATGAGCATACCGCCATCAACATGGATCCCAAAAGAGAGAAACAAAAGCCAAGTTCGGACCATTGCGATTTGAAAATCGCTGGCCGTTGGCGACCGAGAAACTCGACATCGTATTCGATGCCGCGGCCTTCAGAGCCGCCATTGCGTTCGGTGTCTTCTTGTGACATCGATGGTCTTTCGAGCGTGGGTGGGTGATGCGTGTGATGGCAATCAAGTGATTATTGCCTAATGCAAGGAAAAAAGATTGTTGATCAATAGGTCATGAGAATCCTATCGCTTGACAGCATGTAAAGGGTCTATGTCATATCCCAACTGAAAGGGTCGTTGCGGGTCGCTCCGATGGCTAAATACAAGCAGGACAGCCATCGAGGTTTGAGTAATTGATGTCAAGAATTTCTAATCGTTGCCAGCCATGTGGAGATCAAAGGGCGTCAGGATGTGCACGGCTAGAACCCGCCAACAAATAGGACCGGCATGGGACCACCGTTTGCCATTTTGACCGGCCGTCCATCTCGGTGGTGGGTGGACATGCTTTGCGTCTTGGCTGCCATTCTTGGCAAAGTGGATTTTGTCAGGTAGCGGCACATGGCAACCATAGCACGACTATCCGTACTTAGTGGTAGACTTTTTGGAGAAGCTGTATTGGCTTTTTGCAGAAACGCCAACAACCTGGTCTGGCTGCAAGCTGCGACGTTGAGCCTCCTCAGCATGGTAGGGAGTCATGGACAAATTTGCGCACTTACCGACAAAGGCCGGCCTCGGCTTCGGCCGGAAAAAAATTAACAATACGAAAAAAGCTTACGAAATATGGCGAGTTTCATCGCATATTTTAACCCGTTTGGGCACCCATGCTGCCATGAAGCTCAGTGACTCAGGATCTGGAATGACGCCCTTGATGACATAATTCTAGGCGATCTAGGCATTTGGGCTGTGTCGGCAGGATGCTTATTCGTGCCTTCCAGATTATTCCCCAAAGAGACACCATTTGGCAAGTGCTGCTCTTTTTCCTCATGTCTTTTTAGAAGGGCGTGGGGCATGAGGAATACCGAAAGTGGATTAGCGCAGTTACGTCAACCATCTTGAGGCTTGATGTGGCGTACCAGAAGAGGCGAGAGAAAAAACGTGACTTTGATGAATCGAGGCAAGAACCAAGACATGGACCGAGCGTCAGCTCTTTTCCTCTTCAAAAGAACAGACAGTGGGGTAAATATGCACGTCGTGTCTCTTGGCTTCTGAATTGGGTTTAGCGTTGTTAACCCCGGGCCGCAAAACGCCCCCACCCGTACCATCATTCTTTCCACGCGGGCGGCGGCATCGGCCACCGAATTGTCTCTGTCGTTCAACTGCATCTCATATCTGGTTCTCTTCGGAAATAACATCCCTCCCCGTACCACACAGCCTGACGAGACGTCCAGAGACGCAACCCAATCTAATCAAGCTTCCCTATGGTCCTCTGACAAACGTCTATTCTGGCTCGTTTCCACACACCACTCACACGTACGAGCAGGACAAACCAAGTCTACCCCCAGAGCCCCCTTCTCGCGCACACCTCCATTACCAATCAAGCCTGGGACTTGGGGCCTTATCTGTCATGCATGCCTTGACGGTTCTTTCCTCGATCGAGACAGTATCTGCGCGAACCGAATTACCACCTGGTCGTCACTACGTCTATCCATAGGTCCTTTTTCCCGTCTCTGTTCTATCCCAAAGCCTCCTGTTCTGGCCCTGCCGCTTTGTTACGTTATCATTACCACCACAATACCTATCTTAATTTCACCCCATAGGCTGTCAACCTGCAGCTGAAACCTTGTTTGACGTTGCCCAAGCCTTCGCTCTCGGGGCCCTATTGACCCTTTCGGAGCCTATCTCTAGCTCCCACACAACCCTGATAGCCCACCTTTGTAATGGCATGCATCGACGTACTCAATGCTCCAACGAAGCCCTGTCACAACTGCCGCCGCCGCCGCCTCCGCTGTGATCGCTCATATCCTCACTGTCACAAGTGCACTGCGGCCGGTCAGGAGTGTCTGGGTTACGGCAAGCTCTTCCGCTGGACAGAGGGCGTCGCCAGCCGTGGCAAGCTAGCGGGAAAGACATCCATCACCTTCTCATCTTCGGCCCCGGAACCTCTGCCATCCCGCATCTCTACCCTAGAGCCCGCCGCCGCCGCCCCGGAAACTCGGACCCAGGACACTCCGGCATCCTCTTCCGAAGACAACGCCCTCGTAGTTTCCGCCCTCCGCTCCGGGACCCAGTCCGCCCCATGGACCCTCGTCGATCCTCTCTTTCAGGGTGTGGAGCATCACTACCGCCACTACCTCTCTTACTGTACGTCTACCCCCTCTCCCCTTTCCCATCTCCCAACCTCTTGGGAACGTGTCTGGAGAGTAGACAGGCTAACCACATCTTGAGATAGTCACAACACGCGTCTGCAGGGATCTCGTCTCTTGGGACGTGCCCGACCGTAACCCCTTCCGCTCCCTTGTCCCGCTGACCAGAGCCCACCCCCTACTGCAGCACATCCTCGTCGCTGCCTCCGCAGCCCACATGTCTAACCTGTCCCGCGCCGTCTCCTCCGACCCGGTGGCCGACCTCAACGCCCGTCAGGCTCTCACCGACGCCTTGGTTGCCAAGCACAAGGCCCTCCGCCTGCTCTCCGCTGCCATCCAGAACATCGGCAGCAGCGGCGGTGTCGGCGGCGACGTCGTGCTTGCCGCTGTGCTCTTTTTCGTCAACGTAGAACTAATCGAGAGCGGTAAGCACGGCTGGAAGCCACATCTCGAGGGTGCCGGGCGGATCATGGCATTCCTACCTCCCTTGGGCTCGTCAGACGAGGCATTAAGGAACTATGTCATGTCTGATTGCTTCATGTGAGTGCCTCATATTCTGTCATGTTCTCGCTGTCACGGAAGTCCGCTTTGTCCGATGTTGGCTAATTCTCCTATTCAAGCTATTACATCTTGGCCTCGGCTTTCAATACATCACCGCCAACGGCCGCCAAGTCGTACTATCAAACCGTGCAGGCGTCTTCCATTTTGGGCAGGGCAGCTGCGAACAGTTACTTGTGCTGTCCGCCTGACATTCTGCAGATCTTACTCACCGCATCACAATTGTCGAGCAACGGCACACATGATACTTACTCTGAAGCCTCCGTAGCCCAGACTGGGGCGCAGCTCTTGGAGCAAGCCTTGGCATTTGATGTTGAGAATTGGGCATATGAGCAACGTAACATTTCCTATTTTAAGCAAATCCCTGTCGAAAGCCGCATTCACGCCGGCTCGGCACATCGTCTCGCTGCATCCTTGTACATCCTACACGCTATCCCCGACGTTTCCAATTTCGTATCCGTCAGCCGCGAGGAGCTAGATACGCAGTTGTATCACCAACTCTCATCTATATCCGACGAAGATCCTAATTTCAAGGCCACTTGTTGGCCATCATTCATAGCCGGCGCGGGTACATCCGATCCCGAAAGACGGGCCTGGATTCTAGACCGTATGAAGAGACTCATGATTGCGACGCCGTGGGGCTTCATTACGACTGCTATGGATACGCTGCAGACTATTTGGAATCTAGAAGAGTCGTTTGATCCGGAGACGCAGAGGGAGCGAAGTTGGGTGCAGAAACTCAAGTCATCCGACCTCAACTTCCTCATTGTGTGAAGAGGGGCTGAACAAATCTTCTATGACCTGTGACTTGTTGTGACCGCGAACTGGCCTCCCGCGTCAACAAAGTTGAGCTTCCTCTCGCCCAATTGTTTGCTTCGCAACAGGGTCGGCACTCTAACAGTGTCGGTGGTGCCCAGGCCAGTGTTGCAGCTAGCCGAGAAACCCCAGGCATGCATATCTCCTTTTTTCGAGATGGCGTAGCAGTTATCGATGCCTGCTGCGACGAAGACAGCTTCGAGGTCTGTCCAAGTGGTCAGTACAATTGTTGCCATTACGCGGCTGGGACCACTTACTGGGAACTACCGTCGGTACGTTCAGCACGCGAGGTCGATCTCTAGAGTCGAAGATGATTTGGTTTTTGGGCACATCATCCAAGGGCATTCCCATTTGGCCGTCATCACATCGGCCCCAAACCAACACGTCGCCTTCTTCCGTACAGGCAATCGAATGGTGTAGACCGCATGCGATATGGCGAACTTTATACCCCTCGAGACTCTTTACTATTGTCGGCGAGATAACAGTCGTAAAGCCGGTGTCCTCCCGCGTCGAAATGCCACACTGGCCAAAGTTATTCAATCCAAAGGCCCAGACCTTGCCGGCTATGTCAATAGCGAAGCTATGATGCGACCCGGCAAAGATCTTTGCCGTCTTGTTCTTGGGCATCCCCACGCGCTGGGGGACGAGCGTCTCGAAGCGCCGACGTGCTAGGATTCGTCGGCCGAGCTCATTCTGCTCACCGGAGCCCCAGGCGAGTACATTACCATCGTGGGTAAGGGCGAGGATGTGGTTTGAACCGCCCACCAGTTCTTTGATGTTGTTGAGCCCGGGGATTAGTACGGGCAGGCGTTCCGTCGTCTTTGGTGGCTTTTCGTGAAGAAAGCCAAAGTTACCGTCTCCACCCTTAACAAAATCAGCACAAGTGTCACAGGAAAAGGGACTGGCGACTCACAGCAAAGCTTCCCCAACCGTACACATTTCCTTCCACTGTCAATGCGAAGCAGGCGCTATTCGTTGCGGCAACCTGGATTACATCTATGTTTTCTCCAAAAACTACAGCGCCAGGTGTGCTCTCGAACGCATCCAGAAAAGCTTCTTCGTCTTCCTCGTCCTGCTCCTCTTCAGACGCCGAAGGTGGCTTCAAGCGCCCCAACGCACCGTCGTCATTTACCCCCCACGTCAACACCTTGCCGTCATGAGTGAGGACGACACTGTGCATACCCCCGACGGCGACCTGTACAACGCCCACAGAATCTGCATCGAGAAGGCTGTTCAGGCGCGGTCTCGGGGCTTCGGTGCGGTGCGGCCCAAGACCCAGTTCACAGTTCTCGCCACTTCCAAAAACAAACACGTCAAGCCTTTTCGTAGGTCTCGATGGGTGTTCGTCGGTATTGGCGTCGCTTCGTTCATCTGGTTTGGCGGCAGGGTTATGCTTGGTGCTCGTCGTTTGCGCCTATTGGATGGTGTAAGTCGGCCTTCAGGCAGGGAAGAAGATGTGTATGGTTGACGTAATTGGGGCTCAACTAACCTTTGAACGGGACGGGAGCGAGGTCTCCATGTTCATATTCTCTTTTTTCTTTTTTAGAATTTCGCAATATGACCTTTTTAGTTGTTTTTAGGTTCTTTAATGAAATGAATAGAAATCTTCATTCGACAAAGTCTTGTCAGCTTCTTATAACCTTTGGACTGAACACCCCGCTGATTTGTATGGTATCCAAAGACATGGTACTGGATCCACTTACATCAGCACAAAGCTTAGTCACCATCTTGAAGTCCTTACCCCCTGCCCCTGGTCTCTCTGGTCTAGGCGCAGCTGCTGCCTGGTGATGCCTGGCCAAACGACCAATCACGTATTAAAGTATTAAACGCCAGCTGAAGAAATCGGACTGCTGCAGAACTGCAACAGTGCTGAATTAGTCATCTTGTCGCGCGAGAACTTTGCATGAGAGCCGATTGATGCCGGGGAGATTTTATATGTAATCATCTAGATGTTTTAAGACGAAGCCATTTCATTAGCCGTGTTCTGGATTGATCCATTTGCCTCTCTCATTACGAAAAAAAAGTACCAGACGAGATCTTGTTCCCAAGTGCTGCTAGTTGTGTTTAAAAAATCTTCCTGCAGGTTCCTTTCCAGAGCTTGGGATTTCCTACATGAGGTGTGTTGCGGTGAGATTACGTCGTTTGAAACTTGGGTTCTCCCAGCTGTTGACTTGTTGACTACAATGCTATGCCGACTGCCTTGAAGAAGTTTGACATCATCGACTAACACGGAAAGGCTTCATCTCTCCGAAGTATCCACGACTGCTATTGTTCACGATTCTCAGGTCCACTATTGGGCATTGTTCCGAGGTGTAAATCAAGAGTTATTCGAGGCATCATCCTCACATCCTTCCAAATGCTCTTGTGATGGTTTTGACACTATCAATTTGGGAGAGCGATAACTTAGGGTCCTAGGCTATGGATTCCTCCAGTAACGGCTACATCGGCTTACAGTCCCGGGGTAACTTGGGTTCCTAGTTGCCCTTCCTAGTCACTCCAACCTCGTTCCAGGCATCTCGGACAATCTTGCCAGCCTCGTCGCCGTAGAGTTCCTCTGCCACCTCGACGGTAACATCGGCAAACTGAATAAACGTGCAACGAGCGGGAATGCGACCCGAGTTCATCGTCTTCCACCAAATAGGCCCCGCCTTCTCGTACGAGAAGCCACCAAAGGCCTTGGCAACCAGGTAGAATGCCTTGTTGGGGATTCCCGAGTATATGTGAACGCCTCCGTTGTCCTCAAAGGTCGGGACGTAGTCTTTGAAGTGGTTGGGCTGTGGGTCTTTTCCCTAAGAAACAGTTAGCCCATATCTCAGCAGGAACAGGGCTCAAGGAGAGACTCACGAAACGAGGGTCATTGTATGCTGTGCCAGGCTCCTTCATACTCCGGAGAGCAACGCCCTTGACCCCAGGCATGATACAACCTTCGCCGATCAGCCAGTCGGCCTCGTCTGTTAAGGTCAGTCACAACTCGTCAAGAGGTAGAAACGGTTGAAGCTTACCAGCTTTCTCGTTCTCGACAATCTGCTTGACCATGATGCCGAACACATCCGAAACGTGCTCGTTGAGAGCGCCACTCATGCCCTGGTAGGTCAACGGACTGGTATTCTCCGTGACGGCATGGGTCAGTTCGTGGCCAATAACATCAATCGTGCCGGTAAAGTTGTTGAGGAACTCGCCGCCATCTCCAAAGACCATCTGGAGACGCTCAGGGTCCCAAACTGCGATTGTTAGCGCCGGCATTATCTGACTAAAGAGAGATTTGATACCACATGATGCGGCAGGGGTGGAATGTGAAAGAATCGGACAGAGACCACCTACATGCGTTCTCGTATTTCTTGCCAAAATGAACGGAGCTGATGACATTCATGTTCTTGTTGTCGATAGACACCCAATCGAACTTCTCCTTGTACATCTTGAGAACCTCTCCTACGTTGTCGTATGCGTCATTGACGGCCTTATCCTTGACCTTAGCCTGCCCCTCCACGCGTGCCTTGGTGCCAGGAAGCTTTTCCTCGTTATCATTGTTCTTGGCATCGTAAATTGCCCGGTAGGTCTTGGAAGTATCGCGGTCTGTGGTGCCGGATTTGGCGGCGGTAGCTAGGGTCTTTTGGCCCCCTGCATCGACTTCTCCTTGCTGAACTTGTTGGAAGCGTTGCTGGACACCCTGAATGTGCTCGAGATCACGGCGGGCACAGGCTCTGGTGTCCTCGTCAACGTCTTCGCTCTCAGCGATATGACGAAGTAGTACATCAGGCACGATAGAAGGACGAGAGTGAATCGCGGATCTCTGGGCACGGGGGCCAGAGAGAATAGCGAGACGTTCGGCGCGGCGGGTGGTGAAGTGGTCTCGGAGGCTGAGGGCTTGACGGGCAGCAGAGCGTGTGTCTTCACTATTGCACTCTGCGTCTGCAATACTGCGAAGAAGATACGGAGGAACAACAAAACAGACGTGATCCATGATGGGCAATGTCTGGTTTGGTTTAAGGAGATATGATTGATGAGTACGTTAGTTAGTAAGAAGATAGAAAGAGAAGATTATTGGAGAGTGTGATAGCGAAAGGGTAGAGAAATGGTAGCCTGTCAAGGAGCGTCTTTATAGAGATAAAGCCTCAGAATTACGCCGGGCTCCCAGCTGCAAGAGCCAGGCGGCATTGTTACCTGCTGTCGCAGTCTGCAACACCACCCTCCCCGAGCAGATCTTGCCTGCTGTTGACCAATCTGAGTCTCATGATCTTGCAATAGCTGCAGAGAGCTCTCAGCCTCGGAAGGCAGCCACAGGATTGGATAAAAGCTAGGGGGCCTAGACCAATGTCACATCGGCTTGGGCGAATGATGTTTCGGGCCACAGATGCATCGTGTGCCGGGGTCTTAGTTTATCAGCCACAGGGGTTGCACTCCCAGTCTTGGCGGCCTCTGATGATGTGTGTCCAGGGAAGATGGCGATCGGAGGACATGGGGTCACGATAGCTGTGAGTTGATAAACCGAGAAAGGCCCAGTTCCGAGGCCCTGCAGACACCATTTCAAGCTGACACGGTATTGTGGCTAAACGGCTGAGGCACACCAAGAGAGAGAGGAACTCGGTGGCCTAGCATATCAGTGGGTGGTGGCGGCAACGTCAACGTATGGGTTGCTGATTGTCCAATGCAACCATCACGTCCCCTGCCTGCTGAGGCTGTCAAAGTCGGCTTCCGACGTCATACAACCCTCTCTCACAGCGGCCCTCATCAACTGAAAATGGAGGAGGAGGAGGAGGTGGAGGTCATACCATGACGCACATTAGCCAGAGAATCCCAGAAGAAAGGAACATGTCTCGGAAGTTGCCAACGAAATGCAAGACTGCTAAGTTGCTGACCCAGAGAGAAGGCGTCAAGTAAGTCATTTGCTCCAGTTGGGTCTTGTCAGGCACAGGCACGGGAGCTACGAACAGCAGGACCCACTGTTGCGTCACGCCAATCAGTGACATGCCACCGGCCTTCTGGGGGCACCGGGGGGCCAAGTACCGGACAAGCCCCAGCCAGTCTCCACTGGAGCTGTCTGATTGACAGGGGTGAAAGAGCCGAAACACCAAGTTTCGTGTTTGGTGATCATCACGATCGTTGAACATGAAAAGAACTCTTCTTCGTCTCAGTGTAATGTAGAAGTTGAGTAACAATGTTGGTCGGGTCATTGGTTCTGGTGTTCACTCAACCGAATAGTGAAGGTTGGGATCACTGAGTATGCATCTCCTGCTTTGCTCTGTGACTGCTTCTACCACCTACCTCGTCCCTTTCTTCACTCGATTGTGTATCATGTCTCCTTTGTAAATATAATTCTACCTGTTATGCCATCAATAATCATCAAAAGCATCTCGTTCTAATTCTTTCTATGCATTAAAAAAAGGGATTTTTTTCAAATGCCTTGCGTCTTAGATTAATTGTAACCTACATTCGAGACTCTTCTCAGGTAGCTTGCAGATGCGGCCCCGTCTCTGTACACCGAGACTAAAAAACTGCGGGAGGCCACTAAAAAGCGTATATACACAAATGAATTCATGCCAAAGCCTCAAAATCTGCCTGTATCGACTTGCATATTTCATCCACGACACGTTCCTCCTCTTCTTCCGCGACGCCCAGGGCGGCCGTCGGCCACGTCACGGTGTATACCATATCCCCGTCCTTGACACTTGAGAAGTTGAAGCAAACCGGCGCGCTGAGCACGTGTCCAGGCTGGCCAAAGATGACCTGGTTGATCTTCACAATGGACGCATCCTCGGGGTGCTCGTCCACAAACGCTCCGATATTGCTCATCTCGTACGAGCAGTCACGCTGCTGGCCCAGTTTACCCTCGAGCCATTTTCTTATGCTGGGGGCGTAGCGAAGGAGTCCTATCGGCGAATTTCTTCGTGGCCAAACTCGCCTTCTCCCATTCGTCGTCTGAGAGTGGGCCGGTAGAGCTCGTGATTGGATGGACGAGATAGGTTGCCGAAACGAATTCGCCCATCTCATCACTCGGTACTCCGAGCGACTTGCGCATGTTGACGGCCGTCTGAGAGGCCAAATTGGTGTGTTCCTTGTTCGCCAGAGTCTTGCTCAATGCCCTTGCGAGGAATTGATGGAGCAATCCAGTCAATTTGGCGTTGTGCTTCCTCGACTCTTGGATGGCCTTCTCGATGAGATCTGCCTCAACGACGCGAACGACGACCTTGCTCTGGGAGGCTTCTGGATGACTGGGATCGAAAGCAACAGGCAGGCCGGTCCAGGTGCTTTCGTCAACATCCGAGACTTGAGCCTTGAACCCTAGCCACTTGGCAACGAACTGCGGAACGAGTACTGCGATCAACGGCATCAGGAGAAACGACCAAGATATGGGGAGTCTCTCAGGAGTGTCAAAAGGTACAGGGAGTGGCTGAGGCGATGGCTGGATGATTGAGGGTGCCGAGGGACCCTTCGATGAGGGTTTCCTGAGAGCCTCGAGGAAGGAGCGGTGGAATGACACACCACTCGGACCATCTCCAAGGACATGCGAGAAGGCGAAGGCGATGAAGTACTGTGTCTTGTCGAAAGGCAAGACGATGACCCTCCAAGGGGGGATGGTGTGTGAGAAAGGACGATCGAGATTGGACTTCAAAACGCCTTCAACGGCACTCCAATGGTCGGTATCATCACCCAATGCAAAAGCTGGTTTCTGAACTTCAATGTGATCTTCAAGATTGATGCCGGATGCTCGATGATAGTACGCTTTATCGGTGTGTCTGTCGCCCACAAGGACATTGAGGAATGGATGTTGTTCGATACAGTGCGCCACTGGTCCGAAAAGGACAGACGGCGAATCAATGGAGAATTCGCGCCCAAACTCATAGACTGCGCCGATGATGACGGCGTGGTAGCAGCCTAGATCTTCGCGACTGATGGTTCGGCGCTCATTCGGGCCTGTCGGAATGTAAGTATCACGCCGAGAAAAGCGAGGTTACCCCTCGAGGGGGGCCAGGGGGTTACCCACTGGCGTACCTCAGGAAGTCTTGGTTGGGCGACAGCATGATCAATCACAATGAGGTCTAACGGGTTGAAGAGGTATGGTTTGCAGAATGGCCTCCGCTGTAGCTCGCTGAGTGATTTGTAGTTAGAACCGGGAAGAAAACAACATAGGTCGACAGGCTCCGGCTTCCGCGTTGATAAGACTGTGTGATGAACGGATGTTCGGCCACATATTCGCGCCGGTGGCCGGCCCCAACCACTTTCTTCGGGGCTTGCGGGAAGTGTCCGCCGTTTGCCCCACTATTTCAGACGTGCATCCCTTGAAATTGCAGGATCCATGCGAGCTTTTATGTCGAGATTTCTGCTCCCTGTGTGATACCCCTGGCAAATGCCTGAATTTGTCGAGTAAAAACGACTGTCGTAGAGAAGAGCTTCTTAAAATAGTTGCGATGATGTTGGGATTCTGTGCGCGTGCGCGCTGAATCAGGTTTTGATGACGAGTTTGGTCCGTCTATAATAGTTAAGATGCGTAAGAGAACCAGAGCTGATGAGAAAGTCCTGAATTACTTTTCAAGATAAAAGCGAGTTTTTTTATTACATTATACTTTGTGATGGTCGGTGGAGGCATCCAAACATGGCTATACTATCGGGTATCGGCATCATCTTTAAACTCTGGGGATTCCAAATCATGATTAGCTAGACTTAGACGCTTTGCTGACTGGGTTGGAGTAGACCCGACCTGAAAGGAAGAATAGGGAGCGACTTAGCCGTGTGGTTTTACTGGGGCGCCCGCGAAGTAAGTACGGCAATGATTGTGGGTAACCTCTCTTTATGTATGCCTATCGTACGAACCTGTTGGTGCTTCTTCTTCCCCGAAATAGTGGTGCTATGGGTAAAAGCCGTCCGTTTACGGGTCTTCGGGACGTGTTGTTCATTACTGTTGGCTCCTTCTTATTGTCGCTCTTTCTGTTATCATGGAAGATGGACAGCTGGCGGGGGAAGGAGCAACCGCTCTGGCTGGTTGGGAAGGAGAGTACAGCACTGACCTCAACCCAGAGAATGCAGGAACCACCGTTGAATAAACCAAGGTATACTTTCTAAACAGACCAAACTTCAACCTGAATTCTAACAATCACGCTTTCTCCAGCACTACATAACGCCGACTGAGCACTCTCAATCTTCCAAGTTGCCTAGTCATGCCTGCACCTTCAAAGCTTACACAAGCACAAGATGCCCCTCCTTCACGCACTCAAGCCCGTTCCAAGGCTGCTGCCCAATTGTCACCAGAATACCACAACATAATGCTTCGACACTCCCTCTCACCCATCACAATCAGAGCCCTCACCAGTCTCCCCAGAGCCGCTGAACCCCAAGAAATCCTACGCTGCGCTTCTTCTGCAACCGAGCTCCGCTCCTTCCTCTTCCATCCCTTCGAAAAGGGCGCCTTCTCCGGCATCAACAACGACCCCTCCACGCGCTGGCCTATCAAAGAGACGCTCGGCCAACCGTGGCACAAGGCATTTCTTGTCGCTCAGTGCGAGGCAGCCGGCGGTGACTATGGAGAAAGACTGTCTCTCACCGCCCGCAAGGACCTTCTTTCCACCAAACCAAAGATCGTCAAGACTCTAGGCCATGTTCTTCGTGCCTGTGCAGATATCATGGGCGTCCGAAAAGACGCTGTCGGTTTGAGACGCACCCTTGAGACCTGGCGCGCCATCGTTTCCAGAAGCTAGGAAGGGAAGACGACTGAGCTGCTCCAAGTACCTGATATCGGCCCCAAAAAAGTAAAGACGCTGGTGGAGAGTGGTATACTGACCGTCCGCCATCTTGCTCAGCTGGAGTTCTTCCACATTGAGAGACTGCTCTCCCGAAACCCGCCGTTTGGGCATAAGATTGTTCAAACCCTGGCGCACTTTCCTCGTCTCGTGCTCGCGGTAGATATTCCCAAGCGGAATAGCAGTGACCAGGGCTTGGTAGTCAGGGCAGTGCTGGGCTGTTCAAACGTTGAAGTTCCTGTCTGGAAGGAGTCGGTGCCTTGGGTCAACCTGGCTGCCGAAATCAATGATGGCCGGCTGGTTTTCTTTTGGAGGGGACGGGCCAAAAGTTTGATGGAGGGGAAGGAGCTCGTGTTTCCTGTCGAAGCGACACCGAGCCAGACGGTGTTTGTATGGGTTAGCTGCGAGGAGATCGCCGGGACCGTGGTGACGGCAGAGGTTACCGTCTAAGTCGGAGTCTGTCAGTATCGTGGCACATGGGCGACTGGAGTCCGAGAGGATCTCTACTCATCAATTACTCTCAGATCAACACCATCAACGCCCAAAAACAAAACAGACTACAACGTCAGTTATGAGGAACAACATCATGTAATGTAAGGTGGCGTAGAAAATCAAATGTTTATTTGTTGAGCGACTAGCGCTGTATAAACCACACATCAGCATCAGCCACCACACTCATTCGCAAATATGAACAAACTCTCAAAATGCTGGCGCCAATTCCGTAGAAAGGGGCCGCCCTCCAAATGTACAATGCACCTTCGCCTCCGCCTTGCGGCGCGGCCGGGTATCGCTTCTGTTGATGATACTGTGGTGTGTGGTTGTGTGCGAGTGCAAGCCGGACTCTATTTCCAGGACCCCAACCAAAACATAATATGCCCAAATATTTCCCGAGCATGCCCATTCTCCCGAGAAACGCAGGAGAAACAGAAACCAAGCCCACCCCCCCTTTCCTAATCCCTTTTTATTATCCAACCCAATTTTTTTTTCGTTGCTGCTCCCGCCCATCCTTCTCCCCTGCTCCTTTTCCAAGCCTCGACTCCGACACCACCTTTGCTTGGTTCGTAAACAGAGCTGTAGAAGAAAAAGAAGAAGAATTCAAAAGACAATGTATTCGAGGGCGACGATCGACATAGACACACACATATTAGTCGTCGCGGTTCTTGCCCCTGGCTGAGGGGACGCGGTGGTGGTGCAGCATAGGCGACGATGGCCTAGACGTCGACAGGCCCATGTTGCGGACGGAGTCCAGGGGGTCGAGGTTCAGCTTGGTCTCGTCTGTGACCTGCGGCGTGTAGGCCGGGTCGACCATGGCCTTCTCGTAGCTTGCGATGGTGATTGGCGGCGGGCGGCCCTTGCGGTCGGGGATGCTGTAGAGGTAGGTCGAAGCCAGGACCAGGGCAGTACCGACGATGAACTGCAAAATGAATTAGTATAGGTCATGGAATGCGGGAAGATAAGAAGGTGGGGGGGCTTACGGTGAAGTTGACCCGGAAGTCAAAGAACCAGACGCTAAAGAGGACGCTGATGACGATACTGATGCTCGCAGCAAAGTTCTTGGCGATGTTGTCCGCATAGTTGATGCACAACGAAGCAAGTACGCCGCCGACTGCCTGGAAGACGATGGCGGTCCAGACGACCCAGTTGTAGCCCTCAAAGAAGCCGTGCCGAGCAATGTCCTCGCCATCTTTGAAGATGACGCCAACGAGAGCAGGGAAGAGCGAGTAGAAGGACAGTTGAATGTTGCGGGTCCAGACGGAGGCCGGGGTAGCGGAGTCCTTCAGCATCTTCTCAAAGTAAACACCCGCCAGACCAGATGCGACTGCAGCGACAAGGACGGCGGAGAGACCAATTGAATAGTTCATCAGCGGGGCGAGGTCCTGATCTTCCTGAATACCCTGGTATGAGGCAGAGCGCTTCGCGATGACGCTGCCGACAACGTTCTCGCCGACGCCAGCGAGACCATCTGCGGCGCGCTTTGTCAATTCGCGGGCGACTTCGGCAGCACCCTCGGCGGCTTGGCCAAGCTCGTGGACGGAACGGGGGAAGAAGTGATCAGAAGTATCGTGGAGGAGGATGTTGCTGCCGATGGCGGGGTCGGCGTGGCCTCCGGAGGAAGGCTGTGGGAGGGAGACGATGGAGACGCCGAGAGTAAGAATTATGAGGGAGATCCAGCGCTTCAGACCGAGGGAGCGACGGAGCATCGTCACGGAGAAGATTGCTGTTGTGAGGATCTGTGGACCAAGGTGGTTAGCGAGAGTCATGACATATTGGGGGCCAGAAAGATTTCTGAAAGGGGCGGCATACCTTGAGCTGATAGAGCACCTGGAAGTGCACAGGGTCTAGGTTGCCGACGGCGACATATTGCAGAGTGTTCTGCAGGGTATATAGGGTCGCAGGTATGGCAAGCTTCCAGCCATCGCCAGAGAAGACTTGGTTGTAGATCTGCTCGAAGATGACGGTGGCGGGGGTTGAGGGCGCCAGGGTGCGCGAGACTTCGGCGATGGAGCAGGTCAAGCAGATGGATAGCTTAATGACCTCATTGAGGAAGACGGCGGTAGAGGTGAAGTATCGGTGGTCGCTCACGGGGGGCATGATACGGGAGTAATGCATGATCTGTCAAGCTGTCAGTTTTTGTGACGTCCTTGGGATAGAGGATTTGGAGATTTGGGGGGGGGCACATACCAGGATCAATGCCGAGTTTTGAAAGGTTAGCTGGGGGAAGCTGTTGTCAGCATCACAGCATCACGAGAAGTCATTCTTGGCGGCGTATAGACAGAGAGGGCGGGCGTACCGTGATGAGGGAGACCTGCTTCATGGAGAGGCCAAAGAGCGTAGGGCCCCCCGGCGGCGGCGACGCAGCGTCGAGGAGAGCCATTGTGGCTATCGAGTGGGGAAAATGGAGGGAGTCAAAATGTGAGGAATTGCCAATTGGCAATGGACGGATCGTAAAAAACGAATACCGGTGTTATATTTTCGGGCAAGAGTTGTGTGCGTTGTGTTTCTTGGTCAAACCGGGGTTCTTTCGTTTCGTCGGGAGGTCTTGTCTCGTCGAATTCGGTCGCGTGAAAGGGGATTCAGGTACTAAGTAGTAGCTAGAGCGGGTGCGGAAGCGGAAGCGGATCGTAGTGGATGGACGAAAGTGGATGATGATGGGGTGATATGGAGGGAAGCTAAGCTGAGCTCTTCTCAGCTTCTGCTTGACCTCTGTTCTTTTTTCTTTCTTTTCGTTCTTTTGTCTGCAGTTTTTTATTTTTTGTTTTATTTTTTGGGTCTTCTCCTTTCCCCCTTCCGTCTTCGATTTGCTGTGCCAAAATATCGGGCGCAATTCAGGCGGGGTCCTGGTTGCCGGGTATTAAGTTAGAAACGATCTATAGCCGGCAATGGCAATGTTGTCGGGGTAGACAAACTTGCAATATGTGAAAGCTGCAGGAGCGACAGGCAAGTAAAGGGATAACAAGTGGAGGATTAAAAAAAAAATGTAAGAAAAGGAAAAGGGAAAGGTTGCATTGAAGCATGCGAAGAGGGTTCAAAAGTGTGTCGCGTTTCTCATGCCCCCCCGGGATGGGACGTTTCCAGCCCCAGTCCAAGTGTGTTTCCTCTGGGCACTGATGTGTCGCTGTGACGCAGGTCCCCTTATTCCCTGACTGGGTGACTCGGCCCCTGACGTAAGGACTCTTTTCTTCCCTCCCTACGGAGGATTGATTGCCTGTAAAATAGGGAACCACAGAAAATAACAATAATAATAAAAAATACGTACCGTCCGGATTGTGAGGTAGACCTGCAGCTGCAGCTGCACCTTGTCTTCCTCTAGTTCTTCCTTATTCCTTTTCCTTGGCTTGGACCAACTAAAATTATTCCCTGCCCTGCTGAATGATGATGATATAGCAGTATGCTTTGCTACCTATGTACGAGCACTTTATGCAACAAAATGGTGTGTGAACTGGGCAGCACTACTGCAAGCGCGAGGATGTTTGCTGTGTTGTCCGTTGTCGACTGGTTGCTGAGGTGGTGCAATGCTCTCTGCCTGTGCCAGTGTCTGTGCCAAAGATTCCAGACCTCCAGAAGCAGAGACAGACTTTTTTTCTTCTTCTTCTTCTTTTTTTGGTTGCCCTACCCGTACCGTTGTCCGGTGTTCCGGTGTCCGTCCGTTGTTTTCCACGAGATGCAATTTGTGTCTGAGTGTCCAGAGACAAAGTCGGAGAATACTTTTTGACAATGAGAGAGAGAGTCCAAGGTTAAAAAGGGGAGCCTTAGTAGCCTGATACCAAACTGTCCGTAGTGACGACGCTGCACCTTCAAGTATCCGTGACTTGTTTGAAACTTGGCTGACTCCTCGGTTAGCATTGACAGAGCTTCAGCTTCCTCCTTCTCCCATTCGCCAGTTGCTTCCTCGCCTCGCCTCATCTCATCTTTCGTCTTCACCCCTCCACACCACCACCACCACCACCACTACTACCACCATCACCTCCACCGAGCTTTCGTCCTCCAGCCAGACATCCTTTAGAATTGGAAACACGTACCTCAAGCTCGTCCCCGTCGAGGCATTCACCCTGCTCGTCTGTTGGAGGCCTGGTGCGAGCAGAAACACTCACGCCCACCAAATGTTTTCCCTCTTTGTCGTCGTCAATTGCTCTTCCGGCGGCCTTGTCCCGGTTCAACCTGCAGAAGAAGAAGAAACAGCCCACGAACTAGACACACGCACTGTCACTGTTGTCCTGCAGAGCCGCCGCCGAGAAAGACGTTCGGTCCAATGATTTCAGTCTGATCAAGAGCCGCCTCGACCGCCCGAGCCTGCCGCCGTGCCGTCCAAGCCCGGTGCCGTGCCCTACGTGCCCTATTTTGCTCTGCCAACCCGCTTTCCGCCCAGTGATGCCGCAGGTGTGTGTCAGCGGTCGCCTAGCGGTGCCGAGATGCCCAGACTGCGGGAGCGGTCGATTGCTGCAATGCTGCTGGAGTCTTTTGCCCGGCCTGCAGGTCGCCCAAGGGCCACGTTCAGAAATGGATGGATACAAGCAAGTTGGCGCCGTTGAAGTGGGTAACTTAGAATGAGGGCGGCCCGGATTACCCAAATCCAAACCTGATTGCTCGAGGTGCTGGCGGAAGATGCACCAAGGCACCACAGACGGCCGATCAGAGATCCGTCGACAGGGATCCCTCTGTTGTCGGCCCCCTTTTTTTCCCTGGTTCCTGTCTCTTTTTTTTCCCTCCTGTGCTAGTTAGCCCGCCCGTCAGTGAAGATCCGGGGAAGCTGTTGGTTGGAAAGCTTTTGGGCTGGGATTGAAGGCGACCAAGAGGTAAGAAAAATTGGAGAGAACAAGGCACACGGGAAACAGATTCTTTCACAAGCGTACATCCTGCGATAATCAGCCGTCTTTAATCCTTTGCTCAACCTTACCACCATGCCTCACCGACCACCACCACCACCACCAACCTACCTGACACCAGCAGCTCGGCAAGCAAGCTCCAGGCCTGCTACTAGGCTATTCGCTAAGGGCGGGGAAGCTCCCCCCAATGGTCTCTGCGCCTCCATGCACAATGAACTGTCCTAGCTAGGTTTGGGGCCGGCATGGCGTCACCTGGTACTTGGCAGAATCATCATCACCTCAACCTTTTAGCTCAGAAGACCAGACTTAATCCCAGAGAACCCATCACCACCCGCGAGACATCGTCTTGAGCTTGTCGACAAGCCCAATCTTCTCCGCCCATTCCGCCCATTCCACCGCTTCCACCGCTGCCAATCGGTGCTTAGAGCCCTCTCCTCCTCCCATCCCTCCCGCACCCAGTGCAGCCACACCCAGCCATTCTTGGCCCCGTGACCCGCCCAACCTGACCGCCTACATGGCCTGGAATGGTGGTGAGGTGGTAACAGAGGTTGGGTTGAGGCGCATCACGCGCCGCTTTAGTCGCCGGTCACTAACCGTAGCAAATAGTGCTATACCCTAATTTCGCGATCCGAACCTACGCGATCTGACAGCTGCCGCTCACTAGGGACGGTGCAACATCGAGCCTTGCACCGGACGGTTGCCACGAGTGGATCTTTCTAGTCTTCCTGCCACCCCAAGCTCAATTTCTTCTCTGGAATTTCGTCGCCTAGCTACTGATTGATCGAGTCGTCCCGAGAAGGGGGCTTCTAGATGTTGGCAGCCAGTGGGGAATGTCTGTTCTGCCTCGGTCCTCTGATGTTCGGCCCGGCCAGTAGATGGCATGCTGTTGTCTTGGTTCAGACTTGCGATGAATGGTTGTACTTGGGTCTGTTGACGTCACGACCTGGTTATATCTATTGCTAGTAACGTTCTTAAAATTAGTCTATAACTACTCTGCGCTTAGCGCCTTGAAACTATTAGAGTTGTAGTGGATCAAGCGAGACTTGTACGGCAAAGATTATCGCTATTCATTAACGTACATGATAAGCGAGTGAGACAGACAAGCGAGTGAGACAGTAAACCAGACCTTCGCGACAATAATATCGAAATCTATAACAAGAAATCTTAGATTGATTAATACTACTCGGATTCCTGTTCTTCGGATGTTTCCTCAATAAATTGACATGTTCTCGCGTTGTGGCCTGTATTCCCGCATACGCCACACCGACGATGAGTCGTCTCAGACCTCACTTTGCGACCACTACTCCGTCGCGTTTCCTCTTGTAGTTGCGTGTCTGCCTCTCTTTGCGACTGTATATCCTCTCCAGTAGATATAGTAAGACTTCCTCCTTTCTGTAGACGTGTTTTCTTAGCCCTTCGACGCCGACTTAATATTGCATTCTCCTCTCGAAGGATTTGAACCTCTGACTCTAGTAATGCTACCCGATGCCCTAGTCCTTCTGTCCCTCTGGCTAGCTTACTCACAGCACTATAAATTGATGCTGGAGAGCTGCTTCGGTGGCGTGAGATTCGACTCTTAATAAAAGTAGACTGTGATCTTGCTTCGCTTGGGTTGCTCGGCGTCCTAGAGATCCAAGGGTCTGGTGTCTGAGGGACCCCCTCCTCAGGCGTTGGCGTTCGGAACTTTACATCCAGCTTTGAGAGAACACTTTCTGCATTCAAAGGGACAAGTCCAGCTCCTCGGAAACCTCCCTGGATATTTTTCCTCGTAAAAGACTGCTTAAAAGCTTCGTGAAATGCTGCAAAGAAATCTTCCTTCGAGATATGGGTTGTGCCTCGCCGCATCTTATTCTCAATTTGCCGACCGTAGGCATTCTTTAACGGCTGAAAACAACCAACATCTAAGGGTTGAAGTAGATGAGACGAGTGAGCCGGCATGCACAGTGTAATAATGTTGTTTTCTTGACAAAAGAGCTCGAAGGCTGCGGAGTGGTGACTTTCATGACCATCAACAACGAGGAGGCGATATTTCCCAGACGTACGTGGTTTTGTATAAATGTCGAAGTGTCTGATCCAGTCAATACCTCTCTCGTTTGTTGTCCATCCATTTTCAGACGTTGCAATAGCCTAATCGCCCGGAAGAGAGGTTTCTGTATACCAGCTTGAGAGGTGATACTGGCCTGCAACGATGATGTATGGCGGGATGCTCTCCCCTTGGGAATTAATAGCCTGGATAACTGTAACCCATTCCCTATTGCCAGGCTGTGTCATCTTCGTATTTGAACGCCTTTCAGCACTTGTAACAACCATTCCAGAAGCAATAACGCCCATCATAAAGCCGGTCTCATCAAAGTTGTAGATATCAGCATCAGCAATACCATACTTCGCAATTGTATTCTTCACAAGCGAAAACCAGCCACGAATCACCTCTGGATCTTCGCATTGAGCTCTCTTATAGTCATACTTGCGAAAGAAACGCGTCCTAAGCTGTGGTTGTCGCTTGACGAAATTAGAAGCCCAGCGCTTCCCAACTGGAGGCGCGTCGCGCTCTGCGAGAAGTCGATTGGCCATTTCTTCCACACCACTCAGCCGGGGAGGAAATGATCGCGCATCTAGGTCGAGAATATACTCAACTATTGTCTTCTCTTCTAAATCTGATAAATTCCGTGAATTAGGCATGCTGTCGCGTCGTGAGACTATTCCCTTTAGTCGCCGGCTTAATGTTGCGTGACTGACTGTATAGAGTGCACCTGCGGCCCGAGCACTAAGTTTTGGGTCATTTCTCATTGCTTGAAGGGCAATTTGTAACCTTCTTTCAATACTAGCTGATTCCATGATTTATTGTAGAGGAAAAGGTGCCGGTCGCGTCAAGGTGCGACGGTCGCGGTTTACTGTCTCACTCGCTTGTCTGTCTCACTCGCTTATCATGTACGTTACTTCATGCACAAGTTGTATAGCTGAACAACATGCGATTCCCAGTGCGGATGGATTATTGAGCTATAATACTATGTAGCATAAGTTGCCAATCCCACTTACACCTGCGAAATCCTCTGTCCATGAGGCCTCGGGCGTACGTAGGATTCGCCCGTCGAGAGGTATTCATGCGCGTTTGACGTCGGCTGCACGACATAGGACGTCCGCCCACCGTAGAGAAAGCACAACATCATCCGACTCCATACAAGACGGTCCAACTGAAGGATTCCGTTCCCCGGTTTTGTAGTGCCCATAAAGAACCAAAGGCGGGATTGCTGGACCCAATGTACACACTGCTTGATGGCCTCCAATGATATCGAGAGACTCCTTTTCTCTTTATAACGAAGAGGGATTTCAAGCTAAACTCTGAGGACCTCTGTCATTGGGCCCAATATGAAATTGGTTGCTGGGCTGACGGAGTTGAGCAGGCGTTCTGAGCAAGTGTGATGACATTGATACCCCATTCTCGACCAGGGGCTTCTCACGAAACAACCTGTCGTGTATATCTCCGATGAAATCATCTACAAGCGAACGGGGCCCCATGCGCGGTAACCTTTTGGGACTAAGTTTTGACCTGCTATCAAAGTCGAAACAACGGCGTGGCCCAAGAGGTGCTGGAAACACAATAATGTTTGAACAGTTGCCTCGTTCGCCACTACCGCATTGAAGGAGTCGAGTGTTGCGGTGAAGTAATCCCCCCAACCCGAGAACTTGACTGCCTCTAACTTTCACTGAATATAATCGCAAACCTCGTACAGCTAAAATTTTCCTGTTGGATGTTGTCCCTCGCAAGAGTTTGGTGTCTCGGTGCAGCGAATACGTGGCCGCTCAAGGAATACTGGAAAAGCAACTATACTCCTTCAGAGATTCACTATCGTGACACCCATAGAGGACAGCCCGTCGTAACCGGATCAGTGACGCGGATGTCACTCAAGATTTCAAGATTTTCTGACGCTGAAACTTTCTGCGAATGCAAATCGGCAAACACATCGTCGCTTTTGAGAGGTCTGCAGAAATGCCGTAACCGTTGCGAATATGCAACGTTTGCTCCGGTATATCAAACGAAACAAGTCCTCTACATGAGGTCCCTTGGCATATATTGTTGAGGTTCCGGGACACGGGGCGATGCGTTTAACAAATGGTAATGATAGCTGGTACGTTGATTCGTTGATCTAGTATATGGAGGCGCAACATCCATCCAACTTCGTGACGAGTCTGGAAATCCATGCCCCAAAATGACCGGACGATCATGGAGTTAAAACTTCTTTTATATCACCATCTATTGAGGAAGCTAAACTCTGAGAAACACGGAGGCCTGCGAATAATATTCAATACTGGCGAAACAGGAGAATCTCGTAGGGGAAGAGCAGCCATCTCGGATACTTCATTTCTGACCAGTGGGGTGGGTAGATAGATGAGGCTACCTCGTACAGAGCTGAAACCCTCCTACTAGTCCTTGATAAACTGTAATAGTCCAGACTGGCCTGCATTTGACTCCCCGCTCTCTGGGCTTTTGCAACCCGAGGTCCGGATCGATGGCAGTGGCAGTTACGCGAGGGGAGTCGTTCAAGACCACTTTTGATCTAGATAGTCTTCTCGATCGCTCTGGATGTTCGATTTTAAGAATTCTTGAAGTGGATACCCAGGACGACCCTAGGATGAGCCTTGAATCCGCTCACCTCAAATTTGGATAACGATATCAACACCGAAAGAAACCTATACTTGCGTTGTCCTCGTCTTTTCTAGGTAGATTGCATGATTGGGAAGACAATCACTGGAAATTGCTCTAGGCAGGAATAGTAAAGCCAATTTTTGAATGAGTTCAACTTTGCTCTAGGTAGTACTGTAAAGGGAGCTTTAGAGACAACGGGGTTTTGTCAATGATCAACGTCAGCTAATCTCGCTCCAGGGCGCGCGAATAATGCCTTTCCAACCACCGAAGAGAAGGCTCCCGTACTTCTTTAATTCTGCAGTCTCTGGTAGTCTCTAATAGTACGAGATTTAAGTGTAAAACATGTACGGATTCCGTCTTTGTCAGCTATAGCCCAGTTATAATATACTACGTAATATTAATAAGGCTATAGCAAGATCTACTCATTAGGTGCCCGTTAGAACAAACTGTTACGTTACACACTAGATTCACTTTTATAGTGGCTGTCTCTTTCGAGTCTCCCAACAATGGCCACGATCACACCCTCCCCCTTCGCTCTGATAGACATATGGCCTTCCCACGAACCCGCAGATATTTAACTCTCTGTTTGGAGCATCATTTGCCTCCAGGATGCACCAATCAGTAACGTTCACACGCAAATACAGGAACAGAAGGAGAAAGAAACTCAAGAAGGCGTCATCAACAGTGGCCAGTAGATTCTACACGGGGACTATCAATTAAGTGATGAAGACGAAACTGGTAGAGACGAGGCCAACGATGACATACTCGTAGAAAGTTTCTCAAACACCGTCTTGAAGGTTGCTTGTAATCTGTGTACAGTCAGGTAGGCCATAGGTAGCGTGGGTTCGTTGCAGGTGTCTTACGGAGGCTTGTTGGTATGGTACGATCAGCTGTCTGCACTATGCGTTCACTGCGCTTTCGAATCCATTCATCTTTGTATTACGTAAAATTCGATAGGGAGGTCAGTATACAAAAAATACACATCAAGATACACTCTGCCTGTAGGATACTTATGTTAAAGCCGATCTTGAGTAGTGTCAGTGCGGTACTGTAAGAGATAGACTGATGTGACTTGAGATGGACGAGAAGATGAAAAATTTTGGAAAGTACTCCCAACGTACCTTATAAGGCTGAGAACCTATTGTAAGCGCTTGGGAATAGCGAGGAGGCCACCCTTTATACTTGCATACAGCTGTCTCACAAAGTCCTCGCGGCTTTATTATGAGTATCTCTAAAAAGTTACACAATCAGTGATACCTATGTAAAATACTGTTCTATAGGTAGGCAGGATGTAGAAACAGAATCTCCTACTGCTTTAGACTTAAATACAGAAACTTATTCAAGCAAATAACATTAGAGCTACTGTATTGGAAGCTTTCTGAAAAGAACCATAGCTCAAAGTATTTCCAAAGAGCCCATCCGTTATGGTCATCTAAATACAGAAAGAAAGCAAGCGAGCCAATGAGACTGCGACAACGGTGATCTTTCACTCCTCTCGTCTGCTTATGCATAAGGGATCAAGCCGCATTTGGTGACGAAACAAGCTTCGGCGCTGTAGTCTCCCGGGCGGAATTGCTTTTGTGGCACAGTATGGACTTAACGTCAGCCAAGTATAGTGATAATTCTGGGCCTTCAACACCCTGGAGCTGGGCTGAGACAATCAGTCCTTGCCAGCAACTAAACCCTAGCTTGATCCTGCTGTACCGCATGCCTTGGTTCAACATAAAAAGAGGGGTCTTCGACTTCGCATGAAGAGGACTCTTTAAATCGCTCTGTTTACTTTGAAACTGCAACAGCTTGTATCGTGTCCTAGCTTAAGACAACCTGCTCGCTGAGTTTTTTCGTTTTTCAAACCTGTGGGCTGCCACCTCGTGTACCCGAGCCGTTATTGCCAAGACAAATACTTGAAAGGATGCCAGCACCGAAGCCCATCCTCATGGCCATCTTGGCCGCCGGTCATTTCATGACCGCCTTTTCCCGGCAGTCGACCCTCTTTGCTCCTGTGTTCGAGCAGTCCGACTTCGATGTCACCAAGGCGCTTGTGGACCTAGGTGTTGACGTCGCAAAGATCCCTGATTTGAGCGACTCCAATAAAAGGCTTGAATCGGGGTGTTCCATCGCTGTGAGTTATTTTAGCATCGCGTCGATTGTGGTCGGTCTAACCTCTCTATGTTCTAGTGCAGCTCGCTGAAGCACATATTTGGCGACGAAGCCGTCGAGACTAGAGACGAGGAGGCATTCAGTAACTTTACCCGGTCGTACTGGTCGTCTAACCAGGCTGAGGTCAACCCATACTGCGTCTTCAAGCCTTCAAAGCCGTCACACGTCTCGGTAGTAGTGTTGCTGTCTCGCTTGACACAATGCCCCTTCGCAGCCAAGAGTGGTGGACACGCTGCTATGGCCGGAGCTTCTAATGTAGAAGACGGCATCACCATCTCATTAACGAACATGAAGGAGATCTCGCTCTCTGCGGACAAGAAGGTGGTGTCAGTGCAGCCCGGAAACGTCTGGGGCGACGTGTTTGCAGAGCTCGCCAAGTTTGATGTGTCTGTTATTGGAGGTCGATTGAGTAACATTGGTGTTGGGGGACTGACAACAGGAGGTGAGCAAGTTTGTAGTCTTCATTATTTGAGTGGATGATGACTTTTGATTCAGGCGGTATCTCGTTTTTTTCTAACCTCTACGGCTGGGCTTGCGACAACGTTGAAAGTTTTGATGTGAGTTCACAATTTATCTCTACAGGAAGTAATCACATGGCTGATGAGGGTACAGGTTGTCATTGCAAACGGCGCAATTGTCCGCGCTAGCCCTACACACTTCTCTGACCTCTACTGGGCCCTCCGAGGGGGTGGTAACAATTTCGGTCTTGTCGTCAGCTTCAATCTGTTAACGATCCCACTTCCTGGTGGCAAGATGTGGGGAGGTCTTCGCGTATATACAGAAGACAAGTTTCCCGAGGTCTCGAAGGCTATTGCCAATCTTGTAGAAAACTCCGCCGATGACCCCAAGGCTGGCTTTTGGGGCGTATGGGCCTTTTTTGATGGCATCAAGATCGCGAACCCTGCCCTGTACTATTCAGAGCCGGATAGCGGTAACGCTACCATTTGGTCAGAATTGAACGCCATTGATGCTGTCGATGACACGACGAAGAACCGCCTCATTCACGAGTGGACCCACGAGTTAATGCTTAGCAGTCCGTTGGGCTTGCGAGAGGTATACTATGCAATCACGACCAAGGCTGATCAGGAGATTCTTGACTTTGCGCAAAAGCTATTCTACGAGAATCTGCACAAGGTTTTGGATATTCCTGGCATACTACCTGCCCTTATCGCTCAGGGAATCACAGTTCCTCAGATGCAAAACATGAAGAAGAACGGAGGCAACGTTTTGGGCCTCAATGCAGAGGACGGGCCCGTCTACTTGATCCATATCTGCGCTATGTGGGAAAACGAAGAGGACGATGCTACAGTTTATCAGTTCATGTCAGATATTTTGAAGCAGATTGCAGCCGAAGCAAAGGCTCGTGGGGTCAACAACGATTACGCCTACATGAACTACGCCAGTCAGTACCAGGATGTTATCAGCAGCTATGGTGCCACGAAGAAGGAGAAGTTGAAAAATATCTCTCAGAAGTATGACCCGCAACAAGTTTTCCAAAAACTGCAGCCGGGATATTTTAAGCTGGATCGAGCACCTATTCCGGACACCGACTACTTCTCTACTAGTTTCTAGATATGGCATTCCTTGTGTTCATATGTTTGATCGGCAAGTGCACTAATAGGAGGCAAAGGGAAAGAATTAACGGATTCATATTATGTGAGGTGGATAGTCGGTTAGTTGACAACACGAAGCTTCCTGCCTGGTAAAGGTTGGCATATTATAATAGGAGTATTTTCAACTGTCAGCTGGTAGATTCAACTAGACTCAATGACACTATAACTACTTAGTAGGATCGTGAAAATGCTCACATACAACACCTTAGTGATCCTAGTCCCGAGAACCCAGAGCTGCGAAAAAGAGACTATCCGGCTGAGTTTCCGGCCATGGAAAATGTATGCTACTTTATTTCTTTTGAAACTTATAATGCGCCAGATCAAATGTAGAAGTGGTTACATAATGTGGTGATTTGATATTACCCTGCAAGAGGGAATCGTCCATGGCTATCCTAGGTACCTACTATCCTGAGCCGCTGATAATTCTAATGATACATGATTTTCGTCAGCAATGATGCTAGCTACCTGACATTACGCATTTCACGTGCAAGGCGCTAGCTGGCCTTGACGTAGCTACTTCTAGAGTCCTATTACGTGGACGGAGTTCCGCGGGCTACCTCGCATAACAGCCGCGGAGGCCGACACAGCCACAATTCGGCCGGTTGCCCTTGGAAAACCTGCGCAATACAGCCTCGAATGAGAGTCCCGATAATAATTTCTCTACTCAGGAAGACTGAGTCACACCGATGTATAGCACTACCAGAAAATCTGAGATAACAATAACTTTGCCAGTACTGAGACACTGACCTGTTTCCGTTGGCTAGATAGGAACCTGAGACCATGAAATTGTAGTGATGAGCTTTGGGCAACAAAGCCCGATGAAGACTGAAACATAATTTGATAAGCATAATTCTCTAATTCCTTCAGCGTATGAATATGTAGACGTAGAAATACAGGCAGTACCTATTTGGAAACTAGATGAGCTGCGGTTTTGATCTTACACGATGAACCACAAAATAACAAAAATGATACAACTAGGAGCTAAATGATGTCCCTCACATTCTTTGAGGTCTGGGTACGGGCCATCAGTGCCTAGATAGGTAGATAGGCCTGTAAGCAAGGGCGTAAGCACTATTTTAGAACCTGCTTAGAACTCACAGAGCTCAGAAAATGTGGGTATTCGGCGTCATTGGAGCCCGACTCAGGACAAATCATTCTCCACTCATCATCTACATGGGCCGTTGTCGTGAAACTTCATGTTGATTTAAACCTCTGATTCTTAGTGCCTCAGAATGAACTCTGTGTCACCCCAGGCCAATATCTGCGATGAAGCTCGCCAGGACGCAAACCAATGTGCTCTGACAACCGACGCAACCACAGAACGGCACCAGAAGACCACTGGCAGCAAGCGACAGAAGACGTTCACGGGTTGCTGGACGTGTCGCGAGCGGCATGTCAAGTGTGACGAGGAGCGACCGAGGTGCAGACGCTGCACTACTGGAAGCTTCGTTTGTCAAGGCTATGGCACTCGGTTAACTTGGTTGACGCCAAAAAGCCAGAAAGCACAGAAAAGTGGCGACCGGAGCCGGTCGCAGGCGGCTGAGGCAATCTCCTTATCCAGTGTTTCTGGGCACTCGTCGAAACGTGGAACCAGTTTTACTACTGATCATCCCTTACGCGGCTCTTTTTCAGTGTTCAAAGCTTCCGAACCACACCTCACCCTAAAGAGATGTAGAGTTTCCGGTCAACGTGCCAGGGCTGCGGCGGAAAAGGCGCAGGACGACATAATCGCAAACTTGGAGAACGAAACACCCTTATTTCAAGGAGTTATATGTTCTTCTACCATTCCTTCAGGTAGCACTGAAGCGATTTGGCAGGACCAAGGTATCCAAGAACTCAACCTCTGGCCAGGGGAAACCTCAAGGGGTTCTCTGGAGGAGGCCCAGCATCAATCGAACTGGCACACACATCTTCATCGAGGTTCATTGAGCTTTGATAGCCTATGGTTTCCTCAGATGGGTAGTAATCTGAAGGCTTTCAATATGCCATCGGCTCCTGCTCGAGAAACAGAGCTCATCAATCACTGGGCTACCAACCTTGCCCATAAGTTGATTCCAATCCGCAGCCCGGCGAACCCTTTTCTGACTGTCGTTTCGCCCATGACACTCGAGGGAAGTCGGTTGGCCAGCACCAAGTCCACCTGCACGGTCGCTTTGTTTCACGCTGTTTGCGCCATCTCTGCAGCTCATCAAGCAAACCTGAGGAGCTTACCGATCGAAGATAAGCTCGTACTTTACCACAAGGAGATGAGTTTCCATCATCTAATGCAGAACATCAACTGCGGCGAACACGATGAACGGATGGCAGCTCTGTCTACTCTATGCCTATGGACCCTTATACACTTCATTACCGGAACGCCCGGAGCCTGGCGCGAAGTCGTCAAGGTAACCCGGAACCTCCTTGAAGAGACGAGCACGAAGATCTGGAACCATTCAACTACTGCTGCGCTTACATATCAGTCATTTGCCTCCTCATTTACCTTGATTCAAGCGCAATACCTCGGACGACTGGAATTCCTGACCCCTTTCAAGACTAGTCTGCCGAATGTAGAGACGCCCAAGAACCAAATCATGCCATTACGTTCTCTCGAGCTGATCTCTCTGTTTAACACGAAACTACAGAGAACACATTTGTTAGCATCAGAAGAGCTCGACCAGCTCGAGATGGAGTTCGTTCTAACTACACCTGAGCCGTCAACAAGCTTCGATGCTGCCAACGTAGACTCGGCATTAGTGCACCACCACCGCTCACTGTTCTATCACGCCTGCCTTCTCTACTTCAGGACAAATTCAGGCCGACGTGGCTCGGAGGAAGATATTCAGGGTCTGGTTTCCAGGTGCTTGGACCATATGGAGCAACTTGATTCATTACAGCCGAATAGCAACTCCACAACGTGGATTTTCGCAACAGTTGCTTTTGAGGCTGCAATACCAGAACTACAGGACAGGATCAGATATTTGTTTTCTCAGCGAAAGTCATTAGGGTTCGCTACCTGGGATACTTTGCTTCTTGCAGTTGAAGAGGCTTGGGTGCGCCGTGATGCTTCACCGTTCACATTAGCACCGGAGCCTTGGACTCGATTTCTCGCACAAAGGCCACAGTTCGATGTAGTTTTGTATTGATTATGACTAGCTTCAAACTCAAACCATTCAAGCAGCCACTTTAGACGATAACCTTCGGGTCCCTCTCAGCCTCTTCAAGCAAATCTCTGGATGTTCTGAATTTGATCCCGGAAAAATATTTCTCTCGATGAGCGGCCACCTTTTCTGCAGGCAGAGACCCGGCGTGGCTTGCAGAGAAGATGCCGTACTCTGCTATGATTCGTTTTTCACCTTCGGGGTTGGCAACAATATCCTCAATGAGTTGATTTAGGCTGTGGTGTTCGACCTTCATCTGGGGGTATTTCTCTCTCAGCAACGCTGCTAGAGTATTCCAAGTAGTCTTCTCTCCAGAAATGTAGGTATGTCGCTCCCATTCAGGCGCATGTAGTAGTTTGGCAACTGCCCGGGCCATGTCTCTCACAGGTGTGACATCAAGAGGCTCGTTGCCGGTGCCAGGGATCGTCACTGTTTTGCCCTCAATATCGATAGGGATCCCTTCGCCCGCGAATGGAAGCATTCGATTGCGACTCGGTACGATATAGTCCGCGAACCAACCAGTAGACAGCAGAGTCCACTCTAGTTTGTTCTGTTCGGCCAATTCCTTGCGAATTACGCCTTGAAGACGGGAATAGAAGGCTGGTTGGTCCGGAAACTCCTCCAAATTGCCACCATATTCGGCGGGAATGAAACGCTTGCAGCTGGTGCTTTTTATCGCTGCCTCAATCAGGCGTCGGTGAGTGTCGATGAAGGTGGGCGCGTAATCGAGTATGGCCGAAATGAGGGTGCTAGAACCCTCGATGCCCTCCAAGATAGATGGGACAGAGTAGTCGGTAACGAACTGCCGAACGCCAGGAAGACCCTCGAAATGAGGCTTGATGGATCGGGTCAAGATGACGATGTCGATGCCCGCAGCTGGTAGTTCTTCAGCAAAGTAGCGAACAACGCTTCCGGATCCAGCGATAGCAACACGCATGTTGAATAGTTTAGGATTGAGAATGAGGTAGACAGCTGACAATAGAAAGTCTTGATCAAGGTTTAGAGCGAACAGTAAACTGAAGCTTGCTGATTCAATGTCTAATTTGATTTTCAAGTGTGCCAAAAGGCAGCCATTATATACTTTTCCTGTCCTTCATTCCAGCCTGCAATTATCTGTTGACTGCCTGAAAACATGACCTCTGAAGGCCTTCCATACAAGTGTTATTAAGCATGATATCAAATCAAGAGGCATTGGCACCAATTGTGGACAATGAAGCCGATCCAGTAGCTGTGGGAGAGAGTAAGCAAGTCGACCATTTCCTCATTAGGCAACTCACTGCGAGCTTGGCACTAGCGTTCAAGGTCGGTGGCGCCCGGACCTTGGGTTTCCCCACTCTAACGAGCTATGCCAAGCCAGTCTGATTATGACGGTGCAGAGGCAGTCATCCTAATGTCTCTTCCCTTGACGTCCAAGTATGGCTAGAGGTGACCAGGCCGATCAATATGATGAAGTCGATGCTGCCTCAGTGTATAGTCAAGTGGTTGGTGATGACCAACAGGTCGCTTTACCCTGGAAGCTTACTTCAGGGGGTGATTCTGGATATATCATGTATATAATGAGCAAGAAACGGCCATATGACTGTATTGGTTCTACTAACCCTTTGGTTCTGCCCCCCTAGAGATATAGTAGAAGGCACTTTCTAGCGTATAAGTCATTACTCATAGCAATGCATTATTTTTTAGGTGCTGGTAAACCCATTTCTATAGTAACACATGATGTACCGATGCGATGCAGTGTATGTAATGTCAAATATTATGTCAATTCGACCTTTTGCGCAGAACCTTCAACATCCACGGCGGAGCCCTGTCACGAATACTGCCACCTCTGACTCTTTGCTCGAGAAGCCACTGAACCGTCATCGTGGCCATGGCGCAATTCCACACAAAGGAAACTATCATGCCCAAAGAGAATATTAATGAGGTTGATACAGTATTGGTACCGCATAATGTCATAATACCGAAGTCGTCAATGCCGTCCGGGAGAGCAAAACCTGAAATTATCAAGATGGCTTGGCAGATGGTGAAGTCTAAGGCATTGATAAATTTAAGTCTTCGAAACATGTTGAACGACAATTCTGGCCGGAAGCTGAGGTATCGTTGGTAGAGGTATAAGGGCACAGAAATCGCTGCCAAGGCTATGGTAACAAAGCCAATGATCTAGAGGTTAAGGCGTAAGTCTAATGAATGCCTGATTTTGTATAGGAAAAGTCTTACACCGTGCTGTGTTCTGGCATGTTCAGACTCCCCCATGGCAATGATGCCAGTTACCAATCCTGCAATAACCAGAGGGGCAAATACGAAAGATTGAAATATCATCTGCCATCGCTCAACCTTCGCTTTCGTGAGCTCGTCAAGAGGTCTGTCAATCATAACGCACAGACTAGGGGTTGATGCTAGAACGAGAATAACTGGATAGGCGAGAAAGAACGCCGCAGTCATTGAAACAACTAGAACCATCAGTACGTCAGAATTGCAGACTCGGAACTGAGGGACATACGATGGACATATGTCAGGATGACGAAGACGTCCTCGTGTACCCCATTTACTTTGTATGAGTGTGCCGAAAGGTTAATCGAAAACGTGTTGCCGCCGCTGGTAATGTTCAGAGGCACACAGGTTGGTATTGTGACGTTGTTTAGAGGATTCGCCGTAATATTTCGGTGCAACAACTCCTTCAATCCACCGACACCCTTGATAATCCAACAGTGGTCGGTGGTTGACAAGGCGTCTAGTTGTTCTTGAAGGAAATCGATGATGTAAATCTCGTCCCACGCTCTAAATTGGCAGTCTCCTATCTGTATCAGAGCCGCCGTTGTATCGTTTTGTTGGCCACGATGAATGCTCATAATCTGTTTCCGTAATGATTTCTTCTCCGTTCTCAAGACGCCGACTTGTGCAGCTGGGTCGGAGACTAGACCACTTATGGTACCTTTCGCGGGTGCCGCATCCTGGGCTGAACCCAAGTTTGCAGCAGTCGCCGAGAAGATGAGTAAAGCAAAAATCAACATCGAAAATTGTGGGTGGCAGGCCTCGCCGGCCCGTCACGTGGGCTGACGGCCGCCACCACTGGTCTTAGCCAGCCTCCACAGCCCTCTAGCCAGTTAGTTAGTTCTTCCAACCAACAACACCACTTTTCCCATTCTGAGCGTTCTGTGCTGGTTTCGCCCACAGGTTATGAGCCCAGCGTTATTCTTTCGGAATAACGTCGTTTTACCCATTATTCTACTCGTCTGTCAATTTTCTATTGATTCACGAATTTTTGCGATTTTATTCGCTTTATTTACCCTTCTGTGCGATTTTCTCGCTTTCTTTCCTTCCTCTTCGCTGACGAATTTCACTTTCTGACGCGACATTGGCTGCCTGGCGCGCACGAATATCACGTGGCACGCGACCGACCACCACAACCCACTGGTTTTCACGAACACCACGGAATTCCACCACAACAACAGACTTTTCAGTCACAACTACAACTTTTACTTCGATTCCTCGTTTTTCACGAGAATTCAACCATTTCAGCTTCGGTTTTTCGAACCAGCCCATCAGTTTCTCGTATCTTCTACGAGTATTCATTCTTCCCTTCGATTCACCGTATTTCTACGGTCGGATCTCACAATTCCACCCATTTCTCGTGTTCTTACGCAAGATTCTCCCTCCTACACAACATTCATACTTCTTCAGTACCATTTACTCATCAATACCTTCCCTTCAATACCTTCCCTTTCCAACAGCAAGCGTAACGAACCCGCCACATCGACGTCCGATACAAATGGATCATACAGGAGGTTCACACTGCGAAAAGCATCGAACTCCGACTCATCAAGGGCGCTGATATGGCCGCCGATGGACTCACGAAGCCACTGGTTGCGGTCAAACACAAGGAATTCGTTCGTTTGTTGGGCATGGCGGAGGGATTGGATTGAGAGGGGGATTTTGAGACTGTGGGACTATTGATATTGAGACTTCGGGATTCGGAGGATTTCACGGCCTCCTATTGGCCAGGTTTAACCGGTAATTGACCGAGTTTTCTAATAGTTGAGAACTCCTCGGATTTGGAGGATTTGGGACTTTTCCTGTATTTCCTATTATTCTACTGCTTTTTCGCTGAGGAGTCTGAGAGGGGGTGTGGGTGGCAGGCCTCGCCGGCCCGTCACGTGGGCTGACGGCCGCCACCACTGGTCTTAGCCAGCCTCCACAGCCCTCTAGCCAGTTAGTTAGTTCTTCCAACCAACAACACCACTTTTCCCATTCTGAGCGTTCTGTGCTGGTTTCGCCCACAAAAATTGTGGATACATAGCTCTGAAAGTGAGTCGATAATGAAGACAGGAGGTGATGATTTGTAGAATACCTCGGGGAGATGGACACATATGGTCAGCGCAATCGCTAGACAATGTGTAAGCGGCGATTTCTTCTTCTCGACAGCCCTTGTTGAATGGTGACGAAGCCGCAAATGTTGCCAAGGGGGCTTAGCAAGACAGCCTGACAATACGGTGTTGCATGAATTTAGAGTTAGTTACACGATCCGATTAAAACGGATTTGCTCGGGTTTAGTGGGGACGCGGAAGCCCGCGGAAGGCCGCAAAGCTCCAGCCGCCAGCTAACCATGTCAGTACCACTGACGTACGCAATCAATTTCGTACTGTCATTAGTTATTGGTTTCAAACTGAAATAGATTAGGTCCTCTCATTATGAAAAGTCTTGGGCCGGAATTGTTTTATTGGACTCCAGATTAGAGGACTTGCAAGTTTCTGTACTGATAACACTTTTTGTTATGTTACTCTAAATCCAATAGTAAAGAAATATGTGATGAGATATATTGCAGGGCTATTACTCAAAGTTCTTCTTCCCAGGGTAAACACGTACTTCTCTTAATGCAGAAGAACAGGGCAACGATTATCATTTCCTGCTGTGGAAACCACATTGAAACGTCAGATTTACGATCAAAAAAGTGCTGTTGATGGATAGAGTGTGGTTGTTGGTTCCAAACTAAATTCAAATCCAGTACCTCAATAAGCAAGGGTTGCTTCGACCAACTGGAAATGCCGATCGTATGACGGAGACAATGATTATCAAAACAAGGAAAGCCATCAATTATTGAAATGATAAAGAGTTGAACCCCTTGTGTTCGCCTTTCCACGTGACGAGAAGCAAGACGGGCTTGAGTTCTGCAACCACTTCAGCCAGCACTTCGACTCGAACTTTTCTTGCATGATCCAATAACACACATCAGCTCTCTTTCTTTGAAAGAATGTTTTATCTTACGGTGACCCCGTGATCCCGACAAGAAAAATTGAGACTGGAGCTTAGGTTCTTGAGACTATTAACTGATCTCATACAACATAAAAGTTTTAGAAAAACGACTTGAACCGATTCGCAGGATCATAGCGCTTTCGCAAGGCAACAAGCTTGTCGTAATGTTCGCGATAGACCTTTGATACTCTCATGTTAGCAGTTTCCACATTCTTGTAGACTTTGGGTGCTTACTGCTCGTGCACTATGGTAGTCGGGCTCAAGACCAGCAGGATTGACTTCAACTTCCTTATACTTTTCTTGGAGAACTTCCTTCGGTGCATCAATCGAAATCTGACGGAGTAATTCTTCCTGCTCCTTTGATCCATCGCCAGGGCAGCTTGAAATAAGCAAGAGAAGATGATTCAGTTTCGGAGATCGCGGCCAAGCAACCTCACTTGCACCACCAATTGGTGGCCTCTGCAACCTATGTCAGACCATCTGCTAGCAGCATGTACATTGGGGGTAACCTACAAGCAAGAGAAACTCGAAAATAATAGAGGATATGTCTTGAATTGACTTATCTAGTGAGCCTAGCTTATCGTAGAACGCGACTGCTCTGGTGAGAATATCTCGATCGACGTCGACAAGTGCCATGGGAGCGTAAAGCGTTTTCATTTTGCCTCGGAGAACGGCAGCGTTCCCTAAAAATAAAAATAAGTGAGATCATCCAGCGAATTTTCTTTAATGAAACTTACTTTGCATATCCACCACGCCCTTCATGTTCGTTACTCTAGTTCGGTCAATGGCACCAGGCTTCTCTAGCACCCATCGGAACAAGGATCGGCCATGCTCCTCACCGAGGGCATCATATACGTGGAAAATGACCGAGTCCTCAGCGTCAGGCTCGTCTTGTTCAAGCACTGTGTGAAGCAGCCTCTTGGGCATGAAGTACACGAAATAAGTGACCTTAGGGTGGGGCTTCGAGTTGTTGAACTCAATCATCTCATCAATGAGCTGTGTGAGCCACTTGCGCGGTACCAGAACAAGACCAGACCAAATGTTGGTTGGATAGTGGTGCGCTCGCAGAAGAACCTTCGTTATGACTAGTTTTTGGGTTATTTGCCCGTCTCTGTAAGCCATGTTTACCTTGTAGGGTCAACCTACCTCCGAAGCCACCGCCGCTGCCACGAAGTGCCCACAATAGCTCGGGCTCCTGAGACGCCATCACCACCGTGCCATCGTACTTGACAACCTCTGCATCGAGGAAGTTGATGGGATCGCAGATGCATCCATATTCTGTTGACATCCAAGAAAGCCCGCCGTTCAGTATGGCCCCAGCGACGCCAATTGCGGGTGTCCGAGCAGCAGGTACTTTGTGGAATCAGTGGACAGTGCTTAACAAAGACAATTCCGACCGGTTTGCTTACCCGAGTATTCAGGGTCGACCTTTTCCATATACGTAACCACCTCCGACCAAGTAGCACTGGCGCCAATTGTTGCGATCTTCTTGGTTGGGTCGTAGTCCAAACCATTGAATTTCATCATGCTGACCACCACATGCTTCGCAGACGGGGACTTGAACCCATGGCCTCGAATTGCAAAGTCCAGGTTAGACTCATATAGAAATCTTACGATTTCAGCAAGCTCATCTACTGAAGATGGAATGAGAACAACCAGGGGGTTTAACTGTTTCTGAATAGCAAACGGCTCAGAATGAAGTGTGTAAGCTGCATCCTTAGGTGTCGCCACCGAGTCGGGACTCAAGGCTTGAATCAGCGGCTTTAAGGTAGCAAAGGTTTCTTGATGGGCATCCGAAGACATCTTGCTGTTACGCAAGGAGAATGAGGGACGATGCGGGAAAGACTCTACGATTCGGTAGAGAAAGTGATGGATAATCAAAGGGATGCACACGTATGAACTTGCCTAAAGTGAGGTGAAATTATACTAAATTCTTGCCCGAGTCTTCGCTGCTCGCCATGAAACATTGAGAGCGAAACTGGTCCCATTTAATAATCGCTGGAGATGGGCTAATGTTCCATAGCATGTTATGTCAATCATGCCCCCGATGCCGATTTCTAGATTGGCTGCTGAGCGCAATATGATGTAGCTCATTGGTGTGGAATGTCCGAACCGGACTCTAGAGGTCTTCCGGCCGGCCTGGAGATAATTATAATACCGAGACCGCCGACTGCTCCGACTACTCCGACGACAGCATGAACCATGAGGATTCTTGGCGATGTAGCCTGGGGCATTTCCAGTAAATCATCATCAACGTCATGATAATGATAAGTGCCTTTGCTTCGGACCAATTCGAGGCTTCAAGTCCGTAAAAATCCGGTTCGCCTGTTAGTCTGAATTTCAGAGGCCGGACGAACTTTATGACTCGCATCACCCCTGTTACTTTGCTGGGGTAAGCTGACACTTTCGGGTCGAAATGCGGAGTTTAAACTAAAGCCCTGCGTTTAATTTGACATGTTTCGTCTCCTCGCTGTCAATGCTAATGGCGAGCCAACGATTGCATTTTCCAAAGCGCGTTGTGGATTGCTAGATTTCTAATCAGAAGTTGTTCTCATCTGTCAACCTTAGAAGTGTACAATAGTCGTTATTTTGTCATGAATATTAAACATGCGGCTGCTCCCCTTAGTGCGGCTCTTGATCTCAATCTTGGATCACTTCTCCAATTATTAACCAATAGTCACTAAAAATGGCAGACCCTGCGAGTAGAAAGTCAACTTTGGCGGTAGTTGCCGTCAATCAAGATCTTCGAGGAAGGATAGCCCTTGTTACGTGAGTAATTTGCAATTAAGCCCCTGCTCGCCCGACTGCTAGACCAAACCTTTTCTTTGCCATACACTCTGCACCAGTCTCGAAGAATCGAATAGCTTCTCGCTATAAAAGTAAACTTGTTGAACAGTGTACTAAGGAACGTTATAGTGGAGCATCTCGTGGTATTGGCCGCGCTATCGCCTTGAACCTGGCGACTCGCGGTGCATCTATCCTTGCGACATGTTCCTCGGCCACATCCATGCATCATATCGATTCGCTTGGGGAGCATATTGAAGAATTATACAGTTCCAGTCCGTACGAAGCACCCAAGATTGTCGGACTGGCCGCAGATGTGCTTTCTGCGGACTTTCACGATCAGGTTGCCAACAAAGTCCGAGACGCCTTCGGTGGCAAGGTAAACATCATCGTCAATAATGCAGCGTATTGCGACTTTCGTCCCGTTGGCGAGCTCGACGCCGAATACGTTCAAAAGATTCTGCAAGGAAACATTCAATGCCTGGTAATGTTGATGGATACCCTCTTCAAGAGGGATTACATTCAGCGTGAGTCGAGGGTCATCAACATTTCCAGTGATGTTACGAGATGTCCAATCCCCTTCTCGTGAGTCCCATCACTCCTCAGGATAGGTATCTGCTAACCGAGAGAAGTGGCATGGCTGTATTTGCATCCACAAAGGCGGCCATGGACTGTCTTACTCGCTGCTGGGCAGATATTCTAAGCCTTGACCAAAAGACCTTTGGAACCACTGTGAACTCTCTCTCGGTCGGTGGTACAGCAACGGATGCTTTCATTGACCATAATACACCGGAGCTCAAAGCCGCTGCGTTAGGTGTTTTAGGAGAGAGAAAGCCGCCACACAAAGGACTGGGGCGTCCGGAGGATGTTGCCGGTGTTGCTGGATTGATTGCAAGCGAGGAGTCGCATTGGATCAATGGCAGTGTTGTATCGGCTAGTGGAGGAGCAGCTAAGATACTCTAATACAGGCCAATTATCGCATCTCCTGTTGGTCTTACATGTACGCTTGGATATGTTGACTTCTGCCCGTCTCTTGGCAATCCATCTACTTTAGATAACCACTACATCCCTAGCAATTTACAACATCAAACTTTTCCATGCAGCTGATTTATAGTACATTACACTCAAAAGTCAACATTTATCAAATCATAGCCTCAAGTCGTCGGGCAGGACAGGGACGCGTTCAAGCTCTCTACCACCGAAGTCCTCGGGTCTCTTTTCATCCCAAAAATGTCAACTCGGAAGAATACTGTGCGGGCGTCATCCCTGGACATAGAATTTGGCTAACAGGAGCGGTTTTGTGCACACCATCCGTGCGTTCCAGCAGGATCTTCAAACTAGGCTCCGACCTGATGACGTCTAGTTGGGCTGCAGAATTTGTCTTACAGAGACTTTATTCAACGTTGAGTCCTGTGGAGACGAAAACGGTCGACTATAAGACACAGTCAGCGGTACGGGAAGATGAAAATTTGGCTGTAACGAAAGCAGGGAGAGAATTTATGCCTTGTTGTGCAATGATCTGCAGGTGAAATCGACCAATTAGACTGTATGCTTTCTGAACAACAGTGGCTGATAAAGAACCGACCAGAGCATTAGCTATGGCTTGAATTCTCACGGCTAAATAGTCTAGACCGCCTAATTTGAATGCTATCAAGGAATCATAAGGCGCCTTCTGTAGCTTAATTACCTAGGTGAGATATTCAGAGATCTGCTACTTGAAAATTGAGCACAACTTATCTGAAATAAACCTTCCAAGACTATCTCTAAAGACTAAGATAAGTACCAAGTTAGATGTTCAGAGAGTGGGCATGTACTCAATCTTTACGAGTGGTATATCAACGCAACGGATACTGGCAGCTTCCAATAATGAAGGCCAAAGCCAAGTGAGATTTTCGCCTTACTGTTTCTCTAGGAAAACTAAAAGTCATTCTTGACATCTTGAGTATGGTCACAAGTGTTTTTGAAGGTGCCAGGGTGCTGGTACAGGTTGGAAAAAGTCAGAAAGGGAGTCGTCGATCAGTGCTTGGGCACATTTCTGGCACAATCAACCCGACTGAGCTTTAAGACCCCTGGTTCGGACTGACTACAATCTAACAGTTGGGAGTGGTGTCTCAGATGCATTCCAATTCAGGTAGCATTCTTTGCGTTGCCATCTGCGCCGTGTCTACTCAAGCTGGAAGTGATTACAGAGGTCCCAGATTGTGTACTGACCGGATTGAGCGTCTTCTTCATGAAGAAGGGTTCATCAAAATTCTTTCAGCGAATTCGGTTATCTGCTTACGGGCCAATATTGCAATGTGGGCATGTCAGATATGAACATCCTGTAATGCATGTATTGAGAGTGTAACTATTCCTTGGATGTTTCGGCTACTCAAACACTTCACAAGATGCGTGGACTCCACTGGCGAGTTCCTTGCCTTGTCAGATGTTGAAGATGGGGTAAAATGAACCCCAATGTGACCTTTAGTCGCCCCAAAAGACGTTTAAGGCAAAACAACTTCGTCTTGCCATGGCAGCCACTCAGGGGCACCAAGTTCCTCCCCAACACAGCTCGCGACAAGGGACGGTTCAGTTTCTTCCTCAGGCGAGTCGGCATTATGAACGACCTTTATCGCAAAATTTCCAGGTCCGACTGCGTTACCGTAGAAGATCCGGTAAGCGACGTGAAAGCTTGGGCCTACGAAAGGTGGTATGGTAAAGTTGTAAATCAACGAGTCCTCAAAATCGCAACATCGGCCCCAGACATCGCTGTTACCGGCGCGGAACTCGCCGGAATTGGCAACCGGGCCGACCCAGGCGAGGATAACGTCGTCAGGCACATTGGATAAGAGGCTGTACTCGCCAGGCGCAGTAAACTCGATGTAGCCGCGGTGGGCGATGATGTTGCACACAGAGGTCGAGCCCGCTGGGCCCTGGACGCCGTTGTACTCGATGGGGCTAGATGCCTGCTCACCGCTGAGGCTGAAACTAATAGAGCTGGATCCCGACGTGAGGCCCGTGCCGTCAGGGATACGGCCTTCAAGGAGTTGCTGGAGATTCAAGGTACGAGACTGGGTCGAGATCAGCGCCTCGGTGCAGAGAGTGGAGTCTGGGTCTATGGAGTAGATGGCAAATTCAAGGCCTTGGGTGCAGACAGGCAGGGTATCCGTAGTCGAGGAGCTTGTGCTCGACGTCTCGGTGGTAGTGGGGGAAGGCTCAGGTGTGATGGTGCTCAAGATCTCCGTCGTGGTTTGAGAGCTCGGAGCAGCAGTGGTAGCCGTGATGCCGTCAATACACTGGCAAGCAGACCAGTAGGCCGTAGCGTCAGGGCAAGAGCTCGCGTAGGCGGGCTTGGTTCCCGTGATTACGGGCTCCGGCGCATCTTGACGGCGGAAGAAGGCATTCCACCTGAGCCCGCGTGCATTGACAGACGGCTCAGGTCTAGAGTGAAGTGTTAGTTAGTGGCTTCCGCTTGTAGGTCGTGGTAAATTTGGGAATGAGAACTCACTGAGGGGCTTCTACGCCGTTAGCCGTCACAAAGGCTGAGCACAAGGAGGATCTGGAGGCAAAAGGAGGGCTCTGCCTGGCTGTGCCAGCGACTTGACGACCGCAGTTGTTGTTACAAATGTCGGCTAGGGCCAGCTGAGGCAGAAGCAAAACAAGCTTCAAAAGAGCGAGAGACTTCATGATGAGAACCAAAGAAGAGAAACGTAACGGTGATTTGCTTTGCTGTGAGCTTGAACGATGATAGCTGCAAGTAGTAATCGGTGTTGGGAAACCCTCTCTTATAATTCAATCCGAGTAACCGTCGTCTTCATGTTTGGTGCTATTGATTCGCATAGAGATCTTTCATTCAAGCTCAATCGGCAAGAGACAGGGTCTCATCAATACGGGGTTGAAAATACCTCTGAAAATACCTGTGAAAATACTTGCCGCGTGTTCCTGGAATGGAGGACGTGGAATGTAGAACGAAACACTGAGGGGTAAGCAGCCAAGCGAAGCTGAGTTCATGCGGAATTGGAGAGTCTCGGAGCGCCCATGACGATCATTATACTATTTGATGTCTATTGCTATAAATGCCTCCCTGCATTAGCCACTTCGCGGGGTGGATTACCCCTTAACACGGAGACGCATTTCGTAGGCAAATGGACTAAAGCACGAGAATACTAGAAGGAAAGACAGATGAATCCTTTTTTGGGGCAACTCAGGAATCTTGTATAAGTCAATGCATCTTTTTCCCCGGATGACTGACTAGGTGTCTTGCAGTTTTGGTAGAGTGGTCGGGCAAAGACCCGAGAGGTCCCTTGGCCAACAAGGGATGTGTGTGTGAGTCTAATGTTTGACATTTATCGAAATATAAGGTGGATTTAATCCAAAACACTCAAGTTGTCGCACGTTATACGAGTTTACAGGTTCCTTAGGGCCTCTTGCTAAGAAGCCTCACAACATGATGCGTCCATGTGAGAATGATGTGTGCTGTTAGCTTTTGCGCTGGCACTTGCCCAGCACTGAACTAGGGCATAAGATTCCGCCATATGCGAGCCTTCATATGCTCATTGGCCCTTGTACTCAATCACCAGCTTTTAACCAAGATTTTTGAGTCGATTTCCAAGGATTCATGGTGCCGTCTAAGGTTAGACGAGACTGAACCATCTTAATGTGTACTCCGGACTGAGTCTGTTTCTTCCCAGTCTCATACGATGTATTTCACCTGCGGGATTTCTCATTGGATAAGGGAAAATGTTTAAAGCTTATGCCACGATTTCCATTTTTTGCTTTCATTCCGGGCAGTGCCTCTGTCGCTTGGCCCATCTGCTCCATATGTTGTTCATCGCTTTATACCTCTGATGTGGCGATCTGCCTTACAGATCCTGTGTGTACTACGCATTCCTCTGGATCTAGCTGATTGCTTATTGTAAATGGTTATTTGTCGACGATGGTTTAGGAATTTAGTGAACTCTAGCTCGGATCGCGGGTCGCGATTGGGAAGTTCCACGGATTTAGCGAGATGCCCTCTGATATGATGATGACCTTTGGCCTCGATAAACGAGAAACAGACACATGTATTTTTCTAAAAATGTATGAATCATATTTGAAACGACGTGGAAATAAGGCTAGGCTAGCGGGTAAGGCAACCTCTATTGCTTCAGCAATCGTCAGGAATGGCCGTTGACGTGCTAATGGAACGGAGATAAGATTAGATAAACAAATGATAAGATAGGGCGTTTTGGCCTGAGCGCGTGTCGATCCTCCGATGGCATCCACTAGAGCTTCTTCACTACGTACATCTCCCAAAAAAAACCCAAGATGCACGGCCACGCTGCCACGACACGCGATGCCGCAGTCCCAATTTGTACCTGCCCGAAACTCACGGCACCGTGTTGCAGTCATAGCCCTATTCCGCGCTCTCATACGTGAGGGTCGCGGCATAACACTACCCCAAGATGTGTGCAGAAAAGGCAAGAGCCCCGTCTCCGAGCTCATCAAGAGGGGCTTCAAGCGCAACAAGTCGGAGGTGAGCCCGCGGCTGGTCTTTGCTGCGTTGTCGGCGGGGTACAAGGTAAGATTCTCCTTCGAACAAGATCCTCGTAGTTATCTGCAATGACAAGTTGCTAACCTTGCATGTCGGCGTGACAGTTCCTCACCTTCTTCAAAAATGCCCAAACCCAGGGCTCGAATGAGCATGACGAGATTATAACCTACCTCCGCGAGAAGAACGAAATGATTGCACGGGCCGAAGCGAACCGGCGACCCCAATGGAAACCACGCGAGCTCAAACCCGACCATAAACCCCTTCTCAAAAAGATCTCGAAGCCCAACGAGCCGCCGGTGTACGTTTCGCCCATATTCCCGCGGCCAAGAGACAGTTTCGAGGGTCGCAGAAAGATCCCGCACATTGTCGCCTCGGCTTCGGGACACATTTTCCTCCGGCACAAAGGCCCACAGCCGTACGCTGTTAGCAATCTTCTTCGCAGGAAGCAGGCGCGGAAGGTGCGATTTACGGCGCATCTTCTCGACATCGAGAACGAGAATTGGGAATTTGCGACCGAAGAGGACAATTGGGAAAAGCTTGTGAATCAAGCGTTGGGGAAGAAGCCTAGCAGGAAGCCACGGATGGACCCATGGGCTGCGAGCTATGCCGAAAGTGTAAACGAGTCGTATCGGAACTTGGTTATCAGTATGAACAGATTCCGAGAGGATGAGGTAGCGAAGGGAAGAGCGCTGATCGAGGCTGTGAAGGGGGAGGAGAAGCTACTAGAGCAAGAAGTGCTGGAAGCGAAGCAGTACGGCGTAAGGATTGTACCCACCGACTCGGAGAAGATTCAGCCGTATATTGCATATCGGAAGGTCAGAAAGACGAGGAGGCATGTCGGCTTTAGGAGACGCAAAGTAAAGCGGTGGCAGTCAAGATTTATCGGGTTGGAGCCTACTCCTATCCGGGTGTGAGAAGATGAGCAGGGACTCTGTCTACGGACGCCCTTGTACTACTACTGTATTGGCGAAGCCTCTCATGATACCACGACAAAAAACAGCTTTGATAGAATTTCTCAAAGATAGCAGATGCATTTGTGATAATGACGATGATGGCACCAAAAGATACATAGTCACCCGAGAGCAACCGATTATGTGAATACTATACGATACATCAAAACCTGCTCCAGTCATTCCCTGGGCTATGTTTATGCCTCCTGCCCGTATTTCAGTTGATGGGTGCTTTGTCCCTTCGCTTTGAGGGGTTGTCACTAGGCTACCTCACAGAAGGTATTGCGGGGCTTCAGGTGCTTCCCCAAGTGTTCCCCACGGACCGCTACCTTAAAGACACCGCATCAACAGTTATCTTCCGTCCTCTGTCCTATCCCGCACAATTCCCCCCGCACCCCAAGGTTAACCAGTACGTAGATCCGTAACTTGCCTTTGGCGACGTGAAATTTCTCCAACATTGCAAGTTCTAGCATGGGCTTGATAAATCTACACATCATCGCCCAGTAGCGTCTATGCTATTATTATATACCACTTACACCCAACACGAACTGCGCTGATGCTTTTCATGACCAGGACCAATACATCACCGCAGTTCTAATCTGCTTGACAGCCTGCTTATTAGCTAAGCTTAACAGGTGACAATTTTGTCGATATCAAGGGCTTGATCTACTGCCCTCGGACCAGTTTGAGATGTCGCACTGATCCCACAGGATTTACCATGGCACTACATCGAGGCTCTGTGAGCAGACCTCAAGAGGAATGCGTTCAGGACGCTGCCCCCCCGTCACCGTGTCAAGCCACCCAGTCTATACATCATTACGGCGGTGATTGTAGACTTTTGGAGCGAGGCGAGGCGGGTGGCTGCAGTTTTGTCAGGCCACCTTGCAACAACAGATACGATCTCCCTGCTGCTTGACAAAATATAGATCGAGCTTCTGGTGTGGCACCCTGCTGGGTTGGCCATAAGTCGAGTGCTCAACCTACCCTACCTTATACAAAGAAGGACTATGACTATCACGACCAAAGTATAGAAACAAATACGTCAACTTTAGGCACTCCTTCATTTCACCCGTCATCATCTCTTTTCAAAAATGATAGGTTACTTGTGCGGCAAAAAAGTCATCGACTTGGCTAGTGAGATGTTTCTCCATGTCACTGTGTTGATGGATGGCTCCCAGGACCAAGCCGCTGGGACCGTTCGTCAAGGACATTTGCTTGGACGATCCCACAGAGACCCTGACCCAAGTCGAGATCTTGAGGCTTTTGCAGATGCAAGATTGTCCAATTGTTTTCAATGTAAGGCATGCTGCCGCCACTGCATGGTCCGCCTGCCGCGGGTCCCGGTCCAAGTTTTGGGTTTCCCGAGACCAGAACTGCAACGGGCCGGGGTGCATCTCAAGTACCGACCCAGGCGGGGGCTGGACGGCCGCCCGCGCTCCGCGGGCACTGGTTGAAACGTCATCTCGTGGTCTTTTCAGTGCTCTGTCGTCCAGTTCTTCGAAAGTTTCAGTGTCACTTGGATAGCCTCCCGGACCAGCTTTCAGGCGCACTTTACAAGGAACGCTCAGTCTTTGCGTGTCATTTGCAGGTGTGCGTTCGCGGCGATCTTTGCTCTGTCGGGAGTGACCATCCCAAAAGTGAGGCTGGCTGGGCGAGTAACGATCCTAGGTGGTTGTAAGCGGCGAATAATCTCGGACGGATCCTTCGCCGTAGTCCGCAGCGAATCACCAGCTTTTAAAGCTGGGTTTGATCATCAGCACTTGCGATGTCACACACAGGACCAGCCGGCCGGAAACGCATGGGATGCATGACACTGCACAAAATAGCTAAATTGACGATACATCCCCAGGAGAAGTTACTGCACCTCATGCAGTAACCATGTTCGCCAGTGATCTGCGAAGAAAACGAGGCTCGCCCAACGGTTCTTGAGGCGCCTCTGGACTGGTTAACGAACCAATCTCTATTGCCGGGTCATCTTGTTCCCTGCCTTGTGGCTTTTTTTTGTCGTTTTCTCTTTTTAACAATATTCCGAGTTGCCAACACATTGTAACGGGCTCCCCTTGCTTCACTTAAGATACTGGGTTGGCCACAGCAGATCTTCTCTGCTAGCATTGTCACCCACGTCTTCAGATTGGAAAGAAGGGCATGTGCTTGTTATGCCGGGGTATTCACACATGCAAATCAAGTGCGGCAGTGCAACTTGACTCCTAGTCATTGACTCCTAGTCATTGCTTTTTCCCGCCATGCGATTTCGTCAGTCATCACAGCCATAGTCCCGAATCGTCTTCCATAAATCGGCTGCGACCCTTCATTTGATACCCGCTTGTCGATATGCCACGAAGATCGAAGCTCCATTTTGTTTACGGCCTGAGCTGGATTCCAGCAAAAAAGAAAAAGAAGACAGGCCCAACAAATACTCCCATCTCCACAGAAAACAATATGCTCGGTGTTTAACGTTGATTTCGATACACTGCCACAACATTATACCTTCTGTAACACTAGAGTTTGTACCTCATCGTTCTTCCCATACTTTTGAACATCAGCCAATCCGCTTGTTCTCTACGTCGTGTCTGGAGCTAGTTGCAGGGCTTAGTCCTGTTCTGTGCCCACCGTACTGATCAAGCTTATTGGGTCTTAACGCTCTCTATCAATTTTCATGCGGGTTTCACATACAAACTTGGACGTCACAGTTAAGGAGTGTTAGTCGGCATTTTTTAAGGTTTACAGGTCAAATCAACATACCGTCGGCCGAGATGAGTAATCATCGCCGTTCTAGTCGTGTGGATACTCCGATAGAGCAAGCCGATGATGTGGACGAACCACCTCCTTCTCATCAGACCCATTTCACTTATGGGTCTGCCGAACGAGGTGGACACGGCACTTTCACTCTTCCTCGACGGCCTTCTCAACGATCTCCAACGCGTCGGCACCAACAGTTTATTAAGCACGAAGAAGATCTTTCTGGAGGCATAAGCGTCTATGACCTTTCCGGTTTAGCGCCGTCTAACACTCAAAGAGAAAGTGACTTGGCGGTTGTACATGATTCTTACCCACCTCCTCACTCTCATCATCCCTCACCAATAACCCATGTGCGCCCACCCTTGGAGCGATACCGTCAACATTCAGAGGAGGAGGACGACCACGGCGAACGACAACGTGGCCAGGAAGCACTAGCTGCTTACGAATCTCAAAATTATCGTCAACATCGTAATTATCCTCATCAGCATCCCTCACTGCAACACCTATCCTTACCCTACACACCGTTTCCCGAATCGCACCAGTCTGTTTCTTTGACACCTTCACACCCGGGCGAGTCGCCTCTGTTTCTTCGCCATCCCCACGACCCTAGATTAGCCCAGAGCCACGCTGCTGCGACTAGTTACGGAGCATCTCCAGACCCCAACTTGCCCCCTACTGTTGGTGATCTAGGCCTGATCCAGCTCCAAGGCTTAGCGTCTCTTACCCCCCCTCTGCAGCCCCTTGTTGGTTTCTCTCCGTCGGGCCCTATTGGATCCGCCCTTCCGTTTACCCATATCAACCCCAACATCTCATATAACCACCAGCAGCCCGGTGGACTTAGGTTCCCCGGTGACCACCCAGTATCATTCATGCAGAACCCACAACTGTCAATACTTAACGCCGAGTCATTTGACGATGGCAGTCCTGCTTTTCGTGCGTCAAGGAGTTTAACTGCTGGAAGGACGCGGGCCACAGCGGGCGATGCAGCAAGGACGGCGAAAAAGCGATCCAAAGCCCAGTCCTCTGATGGCTGCGAGCCAGAGGAAGAGGAGAAGAGGCGATCGCGAGGTAGACCACGCCTAGACGCGAACGACGAAACTGCAAAAGACGTAAGTAACGATGTTGTTTGAAGCGCTCATCGCCAAATACTAGCCTTGCAAATAATTGTTAGTGCTTGATCTGAATTACATCAAACTAACGCGGCCGCACCCCCCAGCGTCGTCGGACCCAGATTCGCCTTGCGCAAAGGGCGTATCGCAACCGCAAGGAAACCGCCATTCAGTCCCTCGAGAAGAAGGTCGACCAGCTCAAGAGCAACAATGAGGAGATGAGCAAGGCCTTCATGAAGCTGTACGACTTCGCTGTCAGCAAAGGCATGCTTGAAAGTGCGCCCGAGTTTGGCCGCCAACTTCAAGCAACGACTGAGAAATTCGTCACGTTGGCGCGCAGGACCAGCGAGGACGGATGCGTAGAAGACGAGCTTCCTGCGGACCAAGAAAACGTGTCTGACGGCCACAAGTCTCCCCAGAACAGCGGACCCGACAAGGCCAACGAAAAGTCAACCACTCCAGACACCGTCCAGCAGCCCGATCAGGTCTTGTACGGAGGCTACATTGTCGGAACGGATCACTTCGCCCTGCAGCCCACTCCCCAAATACAGACGCTGACCGCCGTACACACCACGTCGTGGGCCCAGGACAGCCAGGCTCTCGAGGCGCGATCGATAGCGGCGCAGGCCCCGCTGGGGTACGAAATCATCACGGAGCCGACGCCAGACAATGCAAGCTTTCCATTCGGTATGTCCTTCGAGAGCGGCCTGGGCACCGCGGGCCTCTTTAACTCGCCGGGCCAGCTCTTCCCCGAGTCTCCCTACTCTCTACTTTCCGTGCCGAGCTCGTACGCGTACCAGGAGCGCACGTTCGGGCGGCGGCTTCAGCGAAGCACGTTGGAGCGTGCGTACGCCCTGATACGCATGCCCAACCCGCCTCCGCACTGGATCGCCTCCGCCTTTGGCTTTTGCCTGCTCTTTGAGTCCCGCGAAAAGATCACGGAGCGACTGGCTAACCGGCTCAGTGTGACCCAAAACGAGACTCTCTTCAACTGGCGGTTTCCCTTCCTGCATCTCGGCGGAGGCGGGACCTTCTTCGACGACATGCACAAGGAAACACACGCGGCCGGGTCACCTCGTAGCGACAAGACCCGGCGGCCGGTCGGAAACCAGGAATTGCAGGCGCCGGATCGGCACAAAATGGACTCGTTATACGGGATTGGGCCCTGGAACGCAGAGACGGAAGAAGTGAGGGATGTGAGGGTCGACCGGAAACTCCGCATGTCCGTGCCGGGCTTCGAAGGCGACTTTTACGACGCGGACGAGGTCGAGTGGGTATTGCAGCAGAGGGGCGTGGTCATCCCGCCCGCGGCCGACTTTGTCACCGCCGAGATCGACCCCAACGATTTTACGGGCGAGGTCACCATCGGCAGCCGGGCGTTTGAGTCCGTCATGGACAGCTACATCGCGAACAACCTCGCCGACGAGAGGAACGCCGGAATGGACGCCGGCGGTGGCGACAAGGGCCAGTCGTCGAACCACAGGATGCCACCGCAAATGACCGTGGCGCAGCCGCCGCTGGAGCTTGTTGGTTCCACAACGGCGAGCGCCGCATCGAGCGATACTTTGACGTCTCCCTTGAATTTGGATCCCAATCTCGGGGACGACTTGTTCGGGCTTGGAGGTACTGTTCCCAACCAGTCGTCGCACACGGAACCCTCGAGAAGGACGGTGACGGTTAATGTCGAAACGCTGGTTCATGGTAAGAAGCACTTACTGCTCCGCTTATTCGAATATCCACTGATGTTTTTTTTTTTTTTTTTGCAGAGCTTGGTCTACGGTCTGTTTGTTTAGGGAGGACACCGGGGATCCGGCCCAAGGATATCAACGCTGCTTTCTGGAAATCCCTGGCATGAGCGGCTTCGGGTGTTTGGTTAAAAAATGTATTTTGGTGTAGTACTTGGGATATAGACCTACCTGGATGGGACGGTTACTATGGGCCACTTAGCAATGAATGTAATGTCAAGCTCGCCGACGACTATATCCTTTTGGAGCGATGTAGTTGGATCATGAGCACTCCAATCTTTCTCCTCTTTATTCGGCTGCCTCTATGAACTGTGTGCTCCAAATAGGCTTTGTTCTGTCCGAATTTGTTGACCACCTATCTTTATCTCTGACGGCTCCAGATTGGAGTCAGACAGTAGGACCTTTGAAGCCACGGTTGAAATTTATACATCGTTCTATCTTTTCTGCCCTGAAGTTGGTCGCCCGCTATTATTCACTGGTACAATTAACCAATTAGCCACGAAACCGTAAAAGTCAGTATCATCATATGTTTAAGCGTATTAGGGTTTTCTCATAATGTCTTCAGTCGCAGGTAATAATTTTAATACTGCGTAAGAGTGCCCTATAATGCTCTAGACTTTTCTAATTAGGTATTCAAATATCTAATCCACATTATGCCATTATCATTACTATCCCAAGACATGCAAAATCACACCTCTACATCATTTTCCCCATTCCGTCGTGCATTTTAGTTGCGAACATACTCTACCGGCTCGAGGGCCGCATCCCGGCAGCCCTCGCCGGCAGTGACGGGGTTGCACCGGGCAGCAGCACCGCCAGGGAGACGGACAGCGTAGTCGACATCCCAGCGGGTGCTCATGCCGTAAGCCTGGAAGTCGGTGGAGACGATCTGCGCGCCGCTGGAGAAGGCGGCCTCGCGCATGGCCGTCACGTCGTCGGCGAACAAGGTATCGAGGGGCACGTCGGCGCGGGTTCGGACCCAGTATCCCGCCTTGACCTGGGCCTGGATGTTGGCCTGCTCGGTGCCGGTGGGGTCGTTGAGCTGGGTAACCCCGTCAGTTACTGCTAAGGTAGGCTATGGAAAAAAAAAAAAAAAAAAAAAGGAAAAACATAAAAACTCACCTTTTGGAATGCGCAGTCGGATTCGCCGGGGGCGGAGTTGGTGAAGAGGACGCGGCCTTCGAGGTTGGGTCTGCCCTCGGTGTAGGCGTCGCGGACGGGGTGGACGGGGCCGTTGTCCATGAGGAACAGGACGCGTCCGCGGGCGCTCTCGAGATCGGGCCAGCCGTGCTGGAGGACAGACTGCTCCAGGGTCAAGTTGCCCCTGCGGATGTCGTCGGGGGTGACGAGGTCCTCGGGGGCGAAGACGCTGCGGATCTCGTCGTCCAGGCCCTGGAGCAGCTTGGTGTCGTTCCAGGGGATCTGCGACGCGCCGCCCGCCGCGGCTATAGCTGCCTCGGTGGTCTTGAACTCGATCATGAAGGGGATGGGGACATGGTCGGGGTGCGCCTTGCTCCACGCCTTGACAATGTTCAGGCAGCCGATGAAGGTCTTGCAGGTGGTGTGGTAGTCCGCGTCGGCGACGTGGAGTACCTTGATCCCGGGCTGCTGCAGGTCCGGGTCCGGGGTTGTGGACAGGTTCGCCAGCTGGCGGATAAGGTGGGAAGCATAGTGCCCGCCTTCGGGGTCTGCGAAGATGTCGAGCTCAAAGTTTCGGATGGACTGGTACGTCGCCTGAACGTCCAGGGCCGGGTGCGAGTAGTAGTAGTTTTGCACGTTGGGGAGGATGGTGGCCTGCGTGGGGTGCTCTTCGAGTGGCGCCTCGCGGTGATAGGAGTTATGGGTGCCGACGACCTGAATCTGGTTCATGCGGAGCCCGCGGGACCAGGTAAGGCCGTTACGGGTGTAAGAGCAGTTGGTGGCCGCGGAGGCAAAGGGGAGAAGGACTGCGAAGTGTTAGGTTTGGATTCCAGTCCGGAGGTGTGTGGAGGTGAGCCGGGGCTTACGGAGGGCGGCCTTGACGGCCATGGAGGTCACGGGAGCCATTGTGAATTGGAATTGGCCGGGTTTAGGAAGCAATTGGAGGGGAGAAAGACCAGCAAAGTTTCTAGGATAGTTCGGGAGAGTCCATGTTTATGTACAAACATAGGGTTGCAACGGGAGCTCTACAGGTCCCCGTGTCTCCGTGCTCCAAAATCTCTCCATGACGGAGGAATCGACATGGTTAGGGTGCGATTGTGGCTAGGTTGAACCAGGATGTGGATGTGCCAGCCAACCGGGCCGAGCTGGAACACGTGGGATCGAAATGACGATGCTACGGTAAACAAGGGTACAAACAGTGTCTATGGGAACAAAGATGGCAAACTCTGTTGATTTGTTCCTGGCTAAGGATCAGTGGGAAAAGATTTGGAAGACACGGGATACGCTCCGGAGACAACGGAAAGTTAGAAGCGAGATAGACTCGCGCGCTCGATAAAAACGCCCCCACTGCCGATGTCCGTTTGCCCCGCACATTGAGCTTCCCGACTTGGCAAATTCAGAGATGGGTCGGCCAATGGGGAGCTTAGGGGCGCACATGTGCCTGGAGGAGCTGCATTTTGCCTGTAGGATGGGTGCTTGTTCATCGTCCCTGAACCTGCATCGGTCGGCATTGGGTGCTGAAGAGCGTCTTGGCCAAGCACGTGGGCAATATTGCGCAGAGAATGAGACCAGCGAAGGGGATCAACTTCTAGATTTGGGATAATGCCCGGCTTGATTGCGCAATTATGAAGTAGACCCAGCAGAGGGGCGAAGGAGATGGCTAGGTGGTTTTGCGTACAGAGCTGTTCCTGTTTCTAGTGAATAATCATCTTGGTCGGACGCAATTCGTCGCATTTATGACCGTCACTATACGACTTGCCATTCTGACTTGGTGAGAAACTGTCTACAACAAGAAATGTCTATATTAGGGAATAACATTTAAAATTTATGACGTCCCATAAGGCATATGCATTTTTTTTGGCATATAGTAGTTAAAGAGCTTCATTATATTCAACTGGAAGAGTAGGATAAGCGGAGAGCCTGTTCATACTCTGCTTAGTATTTCATAGTTTATATACAATTCTAAAGATGTATAGACATACTGCATTCCATAAACTAGAATCACCATAGTCCAACTTGCAGCGCAGGAATGAGAGCCACTGCATTCCTTCAAGGCAGCAAAATTAATGAGTATACAAGCAAAGCGCCACACCCGTTGTTCACCAGCCAAAGGAAGCTCTAGCGCTGTCCTTTCAATCACCGCTCACCCCGCTACCAAGCCCGGCTGTTTGACGGTGCCGTAGCGAAGCCGCCGGCGTTCTGGGTCTGACCTCCGAACCTCCGTGTGGCTCCGGCCTACCTCACCATCAGATCTTCAATCCATCGCCCCCTTTCTACCTTGACGTTGGGAATTTGACAAGCCAGGACAATTTGCTATTCGTCGTTAGGCTCAACATCGTTGCACTACTTATAATCAACACTATTTCAATCTTCAATTATGCGTCCCCAAGCCCAACGCTCGCGCAACATCGCCCTTTTCGTTGATTTGTTCAGTCTTTACCTTCTTCCGGAGATTTGACCACTTTATACGCAACTCTTGACACTCCTTCATAGATTGAAGTGGTTCTGAAATCGTCTCGTTGACCGACACACCGAGAACCCATTTCTAACCCATGCCTCACCAGCAATCACGTTACATTCGTTCAAGCCGAGGTTGCAACCCAAAGGATCAAGATCGCCGTCGCCCGCCATGCTTCCCCACACGGCACGCATCCTATCCCTCGCCGCCGCGCTCCTAGCCGGAACCAACACTCTCACAAGTGCAAACCCCGTCTTCCGCAGGATGGATAATACGCAAGCAGTCGGGACAAACCCCATCACGAACCCCAAAGTGGAGTACTTAGGCTTTCAAAAGGCCGACAATAGCTGCTCGCACCGCGACCTTGGCTTTACGGGGGCCATTGCTGGCAAGTACTATGCCGTCTGGGGTGACGTGCTCTGGTGCGATGCAGGCGTAACGGATCCGGAGAGGGATACGCCTGGGTTCCATGGCATGGTTCGCGATGCCGTATCCGCGATGACGAACGACCCGCTGGTTGTGCATGATTTGAATTTGGGAAGCAACGGGCGTCAGAACCAGTTTATCCCATTCAACGCATCCTGGGGGGAGAAGTTTGATACCGGGTTCGGCGGGACCAGCTTGGTCGAGATCGATGCTTCCACCGGCACTGGCGCCGTTTTCTTTCTTGTCGTGAGTCATTTTGCTACCTTAATTCTCTAAATTCCGTCACCAAACACTAATTTTTTTCTTTCTGTGACATGTCAGAACCAAAACGCCGATGGGCTTGTCGGCGCCGGTATTGCCAAAGTTAATGTCATCGACGGCACCCCGACCGTAACCAAGCGCTTCGGGGAGCGGGGTTACTGGTGGCCTGCTAACAGCAACCCGCGCTATGGTGACATTGCTGCTTTCCGTGACCCGCGATCGGAATTCATCTATGCCTGGGGTGGCCCGCCGACCACTGCCTCCGGCTGGGTTGACGGTAACTACGTTTACATGGTGCGCGTGAAGGCCAAAGAGGCTTTTGATCTTTCCAAATACCAATACTGGTGGGGTCGCCAGCAGGGATGGAAGTCGGATCGATTAACTACCTTTACCCCTGAGACGGCCGTTACGTGGGGGACTGGCCAGGGGCAAGTCGTATGGAACGAGTTTTACCGCTGCTATATTTTTGTTCATCTTGGTAAGGATAACGCAAATATTTTATAGCCATGCGCTAATTGTCATCAGGCATCGGTGGAGGTTCCGTCTTTTTGAGGACTGCATCTAGCCCAGAGGGTCCATGGACCCCTGACATCAAAATATTCCAGGCCGAGCCCATTGATGGCGGTCTCGTTTATGCTGGAGTTGCTCACCCGTATTTTGATGAGTCGGGAAGGACTCTGGTTATTTCTTTCACTAATAATAACAGAATTCAGGTAATTAAGGCGACTTTCTCTAAGTGAGGGCGAGCACTTTAGGATTTGCTATACAGGTGGAAAGCGAATACATTCTTTGCCCTCGGTCCTCCATGTACATTTGTCGTCCCGTGTAAGGTACATAAAACTATGAATATGCTTCTACGCTTGGAATTACGTAGTACGGTTTACATCACTTGCGGAAATGTCCGAAACCGGTGGCCTAACACCATCGAACTAACTGCTGTCTTATTTCAAATGGTTTGAATGACAAATATGCCACGCGATATGAGCTTCTTTTTGGGTTGCGTATGCCTGCACTTGCTGCTCATGAATCGCGACTTGTCAGTTCTGACACAGGGTACGAGAAACTATTTGCACGTGTTGCATCGCCATGAGATACCCCGAATCCCGGCCAAGTTACCCCGGGAGCTCCTCGCCCGATGAGGAGATCGTGCACATGTTAATAGTGTCTCTTCCTCGCAACCAGAGATATTTCCAACACCAGTTGATGTATCAATTGAGTATTGTAAACTGAGGTACATAATCGCAGTCTCCACTTCAGACATTGTTCCCACCAATATGCCCTCGTTGCCCGGCTTCTCGGACAACCCATTTCGCACCCGCGCCGACCTCGTGCAAGCGGCAGCGGCGCTGCTCCGGCCATTGGAGCAGTACAAATCTCCTGCCAACGCGAGGATTAAGCTCGCATCCCATACGGCGGCCGGTTTTGATGAAGTCTCGGCGCAGCTGGAAGGCTTTGCGCGGCCGCTCTGGGCTGTAGCCGAACTGCTTGGACACAGCGACGAGGCTGCTTCTGCTGGCCTGGACCTCGGTTCATGGACGAATGGCGTTCAATCCGGCACGAACCCAGAGTCTGACGAGTACTGGGGAGATGTTGGAGACATTGACCAGAGAATGGTGGAAATGGAATCTATTGCGTTTACCCTCCTCACTTCGCCGGAATCTTTCGTAAAATCGTCCGACCAAGATACAAGGTACAGATTGAAGATCTGGCTGAGTCAGATCAACAAAAGGCAAATGCCGCAGAACAATTGGCGTTGGTTTCGAATTTTCGTGAACCTCGCTCTAGTCAAAACGTTCAATGTCCCTATGGAGGACGTGCACGAAATCATGGAAGACGACTTTAAGTTATTAGATTCGTTTTATCTCGGCGAGGGGTGGTCTAGCGACGGAGCATGGGGTGACGACCGGAAACAGGCCGACTATTACTCGGGAAGCTTTGCCATTCAGTTTGCTCAACTGTTATACGTCAAGTTCGCGGTCGGTGACCAGGGGAGGGTCGAGAAGTACAAGCAACAGGCGCGAGAGTTTGCCTCGAACTATTGGAGATACTTTAACCCTAACGGTTCGTCCCTGTGCCTGTGCATGTGCGGCTATTTGTCAAAGCCGTCTAATGTTTGTCGACAGGTGCTGCAATACCGTTCGGAAGAAGCCTTACCTACCGATTTGCATTCGCCGCATTCTGGGCGGCAGCCGCAAGCGCCGGCGTCCATCTTTTGCCTCCGCTCGACGATATCGGCACAGTAAAGGGCCTTTTGCTCAGGCATCTTCGATGGTGGTCAAAGTGCCCAGACATGTTTAACACGGACGGCACGCTGAACATTGGCTTCGTGTACCCCAACATGTACCTCAGCGAAGACTACAACTCGCCCCAGTCAGTATACTGGTGCTTGAAGAGCCTCATCGTCCTGGGACTGCAAGAAAATCACCCCTTTTGGACAAGCAAGGAGCTGCCCCATCCCCTTGATGATTCGACGCCGGCCAATGAGGAGGCGCGGCGGGAAAAGGAACTTTTGGATCGCGTTGCGGTAGTCTGGCCTCCGAGACAGATACTATGCAACGGCCCTGAGCACCATTTCCTCTTGTCTTCCGGCCAAATGACGACGAAAAACTTTAAAGCAAGGGAGGCCAAGTATGGAAAGTTCGCGTATTCGTCCGCCTTCGCGTTCAGCGTGCCTTCGGGAAATCTGCTTGCGCAGCTAGCACCCGACAGCACATTATGCGCCAGCCACGACGGCGGCGAGAGTTGGAAGGTTCGGTGGGAGCCGACTGACGTTCAAGTGGTTCAAATATCGATAGTCAGGGCTGGTTCTACCTACAGGGTGCCATCTCTGGTTAGCGTTTGGAAGCCTTGGAGGTACCTCGACTTACGCATCGAGACCACATTGGTACCTTTTGTGAATCATATCCCCGGGTGGCACCTTCGTTTTCACAAGATTTTCTTGGGATCAATGACAGAGATACCTTCTTGGATTGAAGATCTCCAGCTAGTCGATGGAGGCTTCTCCATAAACTCCCAGACTTCGAAAGGTAACTTCATTTCAGGAGATGATGTTGTCCAGCAAAACAGCAGTGTTATCGCTTTCTCGACGGTGGGCGCCAGTGGTGTAGTTGACTTGGAGACCACGGCTAATGGACGACCGGGGGTCATTAGCGAGTGCCTCGTTCTAAGAGCCGATCCTAACACGAATCTGATGTCCCAGAGGACTTTTATTCCGGCTGTAAAGCACCATATCAGTCTAAGGCAAGACCATGACTCTTTCTCGGACAAGGAACCGCTTTGTCTTGCTTCCGGTATCTTCGCAGTCAGTTCTGGGGATGGTTCGAACAGAGACGCTGTTAATAGGAATTGGCAAGCTCGGTCACAAATACGGATCGCACACGAGGCAGATCTGAGAGTCGAGATTCTGTGAAGTTCGCTTACATGTTGTAAGTCAAGCAATAATTATTGAAAATAATGGAGAAACGGTATTGCATGATTGATCCTGCTGGCTGGCTGTTAGAAACCACACAAGATCCAGGTAGTTACTTACAGGAGAGGCAGCAATCAGGCTACACCACAGACGCGGGATTCACGGTCCGATTGAATATTAAGTTTGTGGGTATTCTTCCTATTGAGAATAGCGACAGGGATGTCATTCCATGAACCGTAAGGTTCTTTTGTACCGTAAGCCGTTCAAAGTTTTACCATTTCCGTGCCATGACCGATTCCGCAGAATCTTTCAAACTCCAAAAAGCCTTGACCAGTCCGTCCCAGCCCAACGACCTTTATTGTGTATTTGGAAAACCCCTGTGACTCCATTTCCGCACACCCCATGAAGGCGCTGTGGCCTGATTCTGTAATGTGCACCTGTATTCCGCGATATGTCGATCCGACTCGCCGCGATTCGCTCCTAAATTGTGAAGCGAGGATTAATCAATCCAAGACACTGGTAAACTCAGAGGATAATAGGCATGGTAGAATGACCAATATGGTCTAATTGCAACTCGTAGCTGCCAACTCCAATGACCTCTCTAGGCCATACCAGGAGCTCCCCCCACGGCGTGCCTATCAGCTGCTCCGAGATTACGGAGATCAAGGCCCTTGCCCAGCCATTGAGGAACCAGCAGAACGGCTCGGCCGCGTTGATGATGATGCAGTAGTGTGCTAGCACGACCAGTGCCGCGGGATGGCGTCTGCGAAGCAAATCCAAGTATTCAGTCGACATTCGGACGGGCCAGGAAAACACGGCGCGGAACTCGGCTGAAGCGGATAGGGCGTTGATGGAAGAAACTTTGGCAATGCTTTCGGTCAGAGCCATCACGGCCTCGTTTATTGTGTATTTCCCCTCGGCTTCGACAAGTCCTATCTCCGCAAGCCGGCTGCTGACCCGCGGAAGTCGCTCGAACAGGGGCTGCAGTGATGCCTCCACCGTGGTTTGCCCTTCGCTAGGGTTGCGGAGGAAAAGGTCGCGCAACGGACCCTTGTGTAGATCGTCATCTGAGGCACGGAGAATGACGCTCATGCCATCCGACAGCGTAAAAATATCGAGCATGCTATCGATTGGGGAGAATGATGGATTGTACTTCTCATAGCTGGGGTAGGTTGCAAAGGCGCTCAGTGTCAAGAACACAGAAGAGGCAAACAGAGCGTGGCAGTTTGTAGACGAGATTTTGCCGAGCAATGTACCTCTCATTCCGTTGATGGCGTCATTTTGATGTTGGGCAGCTTGCATCAGGTAGGCATGCCGGCATTCTGGTTGAAGATATGCGAGGTGGTAGGCAGAGAAGGCGAGGAGTTGATGGAGGAGGAATGGGTATGATAGAGCTTCTCTCGGCACATCATACTGGAGCGTTCTCTGGGCATGTGAAGAATGAGAAAATGTCCGGTACGAGACAGAAGTGTAGTGGTGCATAAGCTCAAGATCTGATATCCAGCCGCTGGCGGTCTCAGTCTTGTTTAAGTCGGTGAGGAACCGTGAAAAGTAAGGAAATGGGTCTGACTGTGAGGACGGTGACGTCTGTCCACCCGGACTTGATGTGCTTTGATGTCCGCCGAGAGAACCGGCTGCCGAGAGTGGCGAAAGAGACGCGGGCGATTGAGCGCTTGGCCGTCGCCTAACCACCGCCGACCCCTATTCAGCCCCGCGTTTGTTAGAACCGAAAACGAGCCGCCTCAACTTTGAAGACTTTTTGGATTAGTGAAAGAAGAGAAACTTACCCGCGAGCCCGATCGCTTGGCTCTAGGACCTAAACTCCCTGCCGGTGGTTGTGTCGGCACTTGAGAAGAGCCACCAAGCGGCGCTCCCGCGTTCTCTAGACTGCACGGCAACCCGTGGCGTACACAAGCGCTGCAAGGTTTGTTTTCGTCACACTACGGGGGTGAGAGAGAATTGCTCGTTAGTTTGATTCAAGACGTCAAGTTTTCGGCTGCCTAGGGGGCCATGAGAGGGTCCCAAACATGTCGGATGGTAACATTGACCTACTTTGACTCTTCTCTCTTTGCATCTTAAACACCCATTACGGGATTTTCTGTACCCCAGACGCTTCATGGTAGGTAAGATAGTGTCTTGCGCTAAAATGTCACGGCCGATTAGGCGTAGTCAAGGAAAAAAAAAAAGCAATCCCCGAAAACGACAACGACGACGAGGTTGAAGGGCAAGGTCCAGTAAATAAGGATGAGCTGGTGGGGATGGTCAAGTTTCTTTTTCGGAGTTGTGTGCCCTGTATATACTACTGACCACCTCTCCAGATGTGATGAGAGCTGTGGCCAAGATGTGGGTGTTGTTATGTTGAGCCTTGTCGAACGTTGTTGCTCGCTGACTGAACAAAGCTAGGACGGATAGGGAAGTCAACGGGACGCCCAGACTTCGTCCGATTCCTAGGGACACAGTCAGGCACAAATCCCGCAGTACTGACGCATCTACTGATAAATAAGAGGGCAATACTCTTTAGATACGGCTTGGAAACCTGCGGGAATGCCAAGCCTCGAGTCTGCCATTCGCACAACTTAACGTCAACATTTTCTGAACCCCGCCAGACCGGGACCCGAGGGTAGTCAAAGCATGAAGGGACGAGGGTTGTAGATGGGAAGGAAAATTGGGGAAGTGAAGCTTACTAGGTTGCTTGGTATTCCCAGCCGGTGTTTAGGGGTGACAGTGGCAGCGACGCGGAGTCTGAGTCGCGCCAAGACCGTCCCCTCCTCGTCGTATGAAGCGGAGATGGCTGCACCCCTACTTACGGCCGGCGTATGTATCTACGCTGACATGCCCTTAAGGGGGTGACAATCTCCACAGCAAGGGCGGCCAGGAGAGGCAAAGAGTCGTCTGGCTAAGCCTTGTGTGCGTGCGTCATGTGGGGGGACAACTTGACCACCGCAAGAGTACTCTGTGGCGTCTTCGGGGACGCATTGACAGCCTTGCATGGGTAGGCCGATTATAGAACGAGTGAAACGTCTTCTGGTGGACGTTGGACTAGTAGACGCGGCAAATGGGATGAAAAAAAAAAGAGACAGATAATAGGGTTGAGACCGAAAGGGAAATGAAATGCGCGGACCGCCAAGCCATTTCGTCAGAGACTGTGTGTCTGGTAGAAAGCTTTTATGAATCTTGCTCACAATTTTTCAAATCAAACTTGTATCGTGAATTCCACCTCCTTCGCCAAGACCCTGTTCAGCCTGACAGGTAGCATCTAAGCCTCACATTGCGTCGTCGTGCCCAGATTGTCCGCCGATGCTCCCGCTACTTAACTCTCATCATTAGAGTTTCGAGGCATGGGACCTCTAAGTTAAGTCTCGATTCGGCCAGCGACCAGCCAATTTGAAATAGCAAGGGAACACCGGCTTACGGCAAGGCCTTGGCAACCCAACGTAGGTGCAATTGCGCAGACACACACACACACACACACATACCAGCCACGCCCGTGGATTCCGTGGGCGCGGCCCTCCGGATGCTCCGCGACCCCTTCTCCAGCCAGTTCCCGGTCAATCACCGGCCGAGAAGATTTTGATTCCGAAGTCGGATTTTGACCAATCAAGAGGTGTCCCGAAAACGACATAACTCCACGCCTTTAACCAGGGAGTATCTGTATGTCGCTGACACGGCAAGGGTTATACTTGCCGCAATGTCCAATCATACACAGCGTCAGTCAGATCAATCCAATTAGAGGGGCTACGTATCTAGTCCAAACCCTGCCTAGCACTGCTGGGATCGATGGTGTAATATGAACATCGTCCCTCGCGCACGGACAGCTGTCATTCTACTCAACGCTAGTAGCACAACAATTAAAGTGTGGTTTCCGTAGAAGCTATGCAACTCGTACGATGATAAAGCAGTAAAACTTATGAAAATGTGGGGTCTGGTTACATTCTCAACTGAGAGGACAATGTCTAGTAGTCAACTACCATAACTCACCTCGTGTTCGATTTCTCTTTCGTACATCGTAAAAACTCCAGTACGTTCTTACGTTGGTTTGCAGAGGCTGAGCAGAGATGGCTTCATTTCGCTGGTCAGGAAATGTTTGCTAGCAGAACAGGTGCTCTCCGGGAATCCGTACTGCCCAAAGGCCAGGCTTCTCATACGTAGTGAATTAGTATTAACACGTTAAAAGTTGATATAAAATAGACCATTACAATTGCTCATTTTTCAGACTCAGTTCAGTATCTACTCTGTGTTTCAAGAAGCCATCTTTCAGGCTCAATATTGACACGCTTTTACCAGAAATTTTCTTTTCAAGACTTCGGAATTCAGCGCCAAAGAAATTAAAATGGCCAACGACTATTACCGCTATGAACCTTCTCTACCTGCGGCCATTATCTTTGCAGTTTGCTTTTCTCTTTCTGCGGTTGCTCATGTAGTTCAGCTCTTGAAAGCGAGAACCTGGTACTTCATACCATTTCTCATCGGTTGTATCGGTAAGGGTCAAAGTCCAAACCTCAGACTCTTACATGAGTTGGGCATAGTTGACGAAACAATCAACAGTTGAGATTGTAGGCTTCCTTGGGCGAGCCATTGGCGCAGTAGAGAGTCCCGACTGGACTAAAGCGCCATATAGACTCCAGGCTTTGCTTTTGCTGCTTGGGCCCCCATTCTTTGCTGCATCGATATACATGGTATTTGGGCGACTGGTCAAACTTCTTGATGCCGAAAAGCATTCGCTCATTAGGACTAAATGGGTCACAAAATTCTTTTTGTTTGGTGACATTGCGTCAATCTTTTGCCAGGCAATTGGTAAGGTTGTGTTCTCAAAGAGTTCATATGTGGACGCTTACATCATACAGGTGGTGGCAAACTCGCAGGCGCCGAAACTCAAAGTGATAGAAACACGGGTCAGACCATCATAATCGTCGGGCTTGCAGTCCAGATTGCATTTTTCGGATTCTTCATGGCTGTTACAGTTCTCTTCCACAGCCGTATTAATCGCGAGCCTACCGCTATCAGCCGCGTTCTAGCTACTCCATGGCGCTGGCTACTTCAAGTCCTCTACGGAGCCAGCCTGCTCATCATGATTCGCTCAATCTTTCGAGTTATCGAGTATGTTATGGGCGAAGAAGGAGCGCTTCAGTCGAACGAGGTATACATATACGTCTTCGACGCATTGCCTATGCTTGCTGTTGCTGTCGCTTTCAACTTTTTCCATCCTTCTCGAATCACCAATCATACTGGGTCTAACATGTCCGCCAAATCCGATCAGGAGAATCAGCTGATGATGTTATGATGGATTCAGGGGATAGTATGGGAAATACCGATGGATTGGAATTGATAAAGTTTATTTGCTTCTTGCGCACACAGATGAGACGTCGATGCTTGCTTATGCATGGAGCGTTACCAAATCATGCGATAACTTAGACGGCATCTTGGCAGAATATGTCTGGAGTAGTAGTAGTATAGATTTTATATTTAGATTAAGTTTACATGTATCAAATCCACTTCACTGGTAGCAGACGTGATTTCAAGTATATGTTCTCCCCCACTTGGATTTCATCAAAGTTGTTATTATAGGTTGTTATCCATGTTTCATTCTTCAACAACGCACACGATATAGACTACTTGAGCATATAGTATGCCTCTGTAAAGCCTTATGCGTCCCGTCATTTACATGACCTTAAATTCTCTCCTTATGCATATCTAGTAGGTATACACCCTCTACGTCAGTCAGCTCCCCGCACGTATGTTGGTTGGGGCTGTGTAAACATGAGATGGCGGATTGAAACCTTTTACTACCTTGACCCAACTCGCTCACTAAAATTGACCAATCAAGACCATGGCGTTTCATTCATCCATCAATCGTTTTGGCTTAGGCCTTGGTTGACCATGGCATACCTTGAGAATGACAACCGCCGAGCCTATGTCTCGAAACATTTTCCTCGGCTCGCTAAGAATCGGTGCTGGCGCGGGAGATTGTAAGTGACGCGGGGTTTGCCTCACGTGGATCACCAGCTGACCATGCGTCGACGAACAAGAATACATTGTGCTCAAAGCTTTCTAGAGTTCGAGCTGGGAGGATGAGCTTGATTTCGGGGGCAGAGTATTGACGTGCCGTAATGCTTCGTGTCGAAGTTCTCAGACCACTCTTTGTGCCCAAGCTCTAGATGTGCGTTCTTGGTACCAGGGTTGAGCCTGGCATCAACGTATCTAACAACAGGCACTAATGCCTCCGATATGTGTTTGACAAAACGCCAAGGTCTCATAGTATCTACTTCGTGGCATTCTCATGCAAACTTCATTCTATTTGGACAAAAAGTTATTTATAGTGCCGGATTTGAGGGCATTCGGAACGGCCCGTTAAGCTTTCAACATGAAACTGCCCAACTGGGTGGGCCCCCGGAATGATGCCGCACGCTTTAACGGCCAATTCCTGAGAACAACCAAACCCTCTGAATGATGCTCACTAGCTCATGTGGCCAGGCACTTTCACCCAGTAGATGAACCGTCGTGGTGGGATGCAACACAGGTCTCTAGGATTTCCGACCCGTCGGAACCGATGATGACGGAGCTTTGGCTTTGCATGCGATCGACGACACCCCCTCTCTCTTTTCCCTAGCTTACCATCCCTTTGTGTCCTCCCAAAGCTAGGATGGCGACCCAAAAACGTGGCGCAGGGCTTGTAGCTTTAAAACCCCTTGCTCCTCTACAATCAGCCTTGAGCCGGCGTAGTGGGCGGAGAGCCCAACGCCAAGACCCTTACCTGTCTAATTTTAATCAAAACGTTTGACTTCCCCGCAACTGACCGAGTAAGAATAAGAAAGCTCTTTGCCTTTTCATCACATGGATTTATCTACCGCTCAAATGTAACATCGCAAGGTCTTGGCATTTTTTTACTGTCTCTTGGCTCTTGCGCCGACACAACCGATTTAAAGAGGTGACTTTTTCTATCTTTTCTTGGCACCGGCCATCTTTCAAAACTCTGGCTTCTTGAGTCAAATTAAGAGGGCCACGATCAGTCTTTCTAGGCATGTTTCGATGGTCGCGTAGAATTGATGCCAAGCCTATCTAGACTTGGCGACAACGCCACTTTTATCTCTAGCAACCTGGCAACTCATCATATGCTCTCAAAGAGGATGCATCTCCATTACAGACGGCTTGGCAAATGATCACGAGACAATTATTTTCACTTCAAGAGAAGTTTGGTAACTCGAAGCGCTGATCGATACCTTCCGGTGGCGGGGTACTATGCTACCTAGGGTGGACTTCACATGTGAACGGTGCAACCATGCTACTAACTTAGTTCACCTAGGCTGACAACAGGCAATTGAAACACACGCACAACTTCGGACTAGGCACCAATCTGAATGCATAGATCATAAGCTGTGGCCTTAGGCGTATGCACGAGACGTACTCTTGGAGATTTACGGAGGCCAAGAAAAGAAAGAAACAACGACGGCCAGTTTTGTAATGAGCTTTGATTGACGAATCCATAGTGTATGGTGAATAGTATAGCTCTCGATATTATAGTCGCTTGCGGCCATTTGCCTTGATATCATCGGCCGGTGTAAGCCTTTTCATACCGCGCATTTACTTCTCAGCGCTGATTGCAGCAGCTCGGAATAAGTATCCTCAATCAGCCAAACACAACTGTGCCATCTTCCAAAATCTTTACTTGAAAGAATAGAAGACTAAGTTGGTCAGTTTCAGTTGCAGTTCAAAGAGTTGTCGTTCTCGTTATCGCACTCGTGGCCAACACATTTAGTACGGCTCATTGCGCATTAGGCTAGGAGAAGTGTTCTTTTCTCAGTAAGCAGTTCAGATGGCCTGGAGAGAGGGAGAGACGATAGAGAAGAAATCGGACTAGAGAGAAAAGACAGAATACAAGAACCCTAACGATTTTCATTTCGTCCAAGAAAATTAAAGCCACTGTTATGACGAATTTCTAGTATATCGATTTTTTTTTTTACTCACTGTAGCTAGGTAGGAGATACAAAAGAAAATGCACGACGATTTATGCAGCAATTGACATTTGTAAAAGCCCATCTTAGGACTGGGATTTATAGTTGCTGTTTTATCGCCATCTCGTCTCTTTGCTAGCCTTTTATTCAAAGTAGTCGTTCTCCCCATCATATTCTCCATCATCCTCCCTCCACAAACCAGCGTGGGCTTGGCTTATGTGGTTGTAAATCTCAGCGTAACCCACGTCCTCGCCACACACGAAACACCAATGGGCACCACAGCCATTGACAGTGCAAGTGATGTGGTCACAACCCCCCATCTTCTCCGTTGGGGTATCACAGCCAGGGCAATTCTTTATGCGGAGCCTCGTTCGCTGCCTTTCATCGAGATCATCATTCTGGCACTCGTCGCAACGCCAGTTCGATACCTCAGGAGGTGCACCCGCCGCGCAGACCCGCTCGATGAAGCGGTGCGCGAAACCGCAGTCCTGGCACCATGCGTAGATCCAGGAACCAGACTCCTCAACTGCAGTTGCTAGATTGCCGAGCCGGCACAAACCAAAGGCAGACACTGCCCTAGCTGTTGGCTGCCGACGACAGAATGGACACGAAAGTGCCGCAATGTTGATGATCTTGCCTCGCGCGTTGAGACCATACCAGTCTTTCATGCATCCGCCACAAACTGTCTGATGACAACCTGATCGGCCACATGCCCTTCGGAGGTCTGTTTTTCGGACGTTGGAGAAGCACAAACTGCAGACACCGGCTTCCGTTCGTCGGGATGATACCCATTGGCGGAGCGACTCTGAAATCTGGTCCTGATTGTGGACGGGTTTTCCACGTATAGTAAGCTTGGTAGAATGCTGCATTGGAATGACCTCAATATCAGTGGCGAGAGATTGAGGGTTAGAGACGGCGGATATGGTGTGGAAAAGGGATCGCCCATTGAAGGGTTGCTCAATCGCAGATTTCTCATTGCGAAGTAGCCACGATATCCCGTTCTCCTTGCTCAGCTCCTTAGCTGAGATTTCATAGTCTATGAGTGTGACCTTATTGGTCGCACAGCCAGGACACTTGAAGCTGGACGACCTGAAGCCCGATGGGCGATAAGCCTCGGGCCAAATAACGCGATTCAAGCACTGCGAACACTCGACCCAAGGAGCATCACCGTAATCATCTGCCTTGTCCACACCTTTGTGTCGGCAATAGAAACACTTGGGGCGGACTTTCAAGGCTTCTACGTTGTACACAACATATTGAGCCCGACACGTTGGAGTGAAGCATTCAACCCATGTAGCCTCTGTCCTTTTGTTGTCATTAGCGGATACGTTCGTCGAAACTCGAACGCCAAAGTCTGCTGGTATTTCGCACATTGAGCATTTGCACTGGCGGCTCTGGGGACAGAGGCCGCAAATGCCATCGCGCCCCATGCTTGTGACTGAACGGGGGAATTTGCAGCTTTTGCAGATCACGACAGGCCCGAGAGCAACTTTCGACTTTTCTGGACGCCAGCCGATTTTGGCGTGGAGTGTAGTGTTGAGATTAAGTTCCAGCAGCTTGTAGTCGACGAGTGTCTTGAAAAGTGGACGGTCTTCATTCTGCAAGACGCAGGCGTCAGGTGCTGGACGCAGTGTGATTCCTTCGGTAACTCGTCTTTCAAAGTCCTTGTCGGCATCAAGGAGCAGTGTCAGACAGTTTGCATTCCAAGTTTCAGGTATATCCAAAGTGTTCCACTTTTGACTGAAAGATAGGAGCTCTTGATCAGCAGCCTCTCTCAGGGGCTGCATGCCCATACGAAGCGAGAGCGCGGCGAGGAGGGCTGCTGGGCGAGCAGCCAACATCGTTCCAGGAAGTACAAGATGGAGAAGGATCTTCCAAAACCTGCGCTGATATTTCTCTGTTGCAAGTGCCATTGGAATCCGGGCAACTTTGTCATCGTCTTTGATATGAGCGGGTAGTGCATCAGGGGATTGAACGTAAGTCAGGCAAGTCAAAACTCGGCCAAGCCGACGCAAAATTCGGTAGTCACAGGATCGACCAATCTCGAGGAGCTCATCACGAGTGAAGCCTGAAGTGTTGGGTTTGTCTTCCACTTGGTCGTCAGTGTCGTGGGTCTCATCCGTATCACCTCCAAAGGTTTCAGTTGGGTCCAAGAACACGCAGGGGTATTTTTCTTGCTCGGGAACTTTGTTGACAATGTCGAGAATTTCAGCAGCGTAGTCATAGGAATCCTCTAGCCAGGTTTTCAGTCGTGCTTTCTTTCCCGACTCAGGAATACGATCGACTGCATAACCAAAGGCCTGGATAAGCTCATCTCTGGCTGGGTTTTCTCGATCGGTGCAAATTGTGCGCCACAAAGTACCAAAGACAGGGTTCACCGCAATAGCAGCAACGTCTGCCTCAATAAGAGATCTGAGCTGATCGACAACAAACTCCCGATAGCCTTTATCAGTAAGGTACCTTTTGGACAGGTCGGTAAGCGGGACCTTTCTGGAATCGATTACAGTGTGCAGCTCATCAAGGCAAGGGTAAAGACTAGTGATGTTCTGCTTCACCGCTCGCTCTGCAAGTAGCGTGTTTTTCGCAGGGAAGTATTGACCCGCAGCTTTCTCGTCTTCTTCGTTCGCGATGTTCTGTATCGTTGATGTATCCAAATACTGCAATACCTGCGCCAGCCGACGTTGTCCCGAGGAAGAACTTCCTTGCTTTCTGACACCCATCCAGGTGAGGAGGATTCCCGCTGTCAACTGAGATATAGCGTCGGCTGTACTGATTCCTGCGTCTCCAATGTCTAGTTTGAAGCAAACACCACCTGTCACTTGGGATAGGTACAGGAATGGAGAAACGGTATCGACAACGGCTCCTTGGATGACAGAGAAGACCTTGGCCTTTTTCTCTCCCTGCAGCGCCTTGGCTCCGGAAATCCAGTCGGTGAACAGTTTACCCTCGCCATTGAATGTTTTTGCCTTGGAAAGATGCTGAATCTCTTTCTCCCTATTTTTGGAGCGTGTACCAGCGGTATGAGGAGGTGCATCGGCATAGAGGAGGATAATAGTAGTGGCCTCCGACCGCATGACACTGTATGCATGCGCCAGGCCAGTCTTTGCAGCTTCGGGCCAGTCGACGTTCATATATCCGGAGTCAGTTCGAATGCTCTTTGACATGGACAGAAGTTGAGCCTGTGTGATTGCTTCTTTGCCGTCGCCACCGTACCAACCGGACCACTCTGTCAGGTTGTTGGTCGAGTAGTCACGGTATGCCATAACACCTATTCGAGAAAAGCAATCAGTAAGGGCTGATATCCTAATGATCTCTGGAAGTGACTGATTGAGTGCTGTGAGGTAGCTGCTCATGGAAGCCGTGGCGTCTGTCAAGACCAGCAGGTCAAATTGCTCTTTGGAAGCCATATTGAGCGGCTAGAAGTTGTTTTCGTCGACAGTCACTTTTCTCGACCCAAAACCTGGGTAGCGCAAATGGGTCTCGGGGTGTTAATCTGGGTTATGATAATAAACAAGACAGAAAGAAATCTGGAATTGGCAAGACAAAATGTCTTTATTTATAAGCCTCCTGGAAGGGAGGCGCATGCGGAGAGAAGTGAGGCCAACTTGAGGGTTGACTCACCGGCGTTCAGCCATCCTTCAGCCCCTGGATATCCGTGCCACCCGCCGGCACTTACCGAGGACCGATGAAGGCCTTATGCTTCCTGGGTTTGGTGAGTCAATGTTGACAGAAATTGTTTTGCTAGTAAATACTGTAGTTGATGAATGAAGCGTTGCTTCTCGCCCAGGTCGCATCTGAGTAGCGTTATTTATTGATGTTGACCCGCTGCTGTGAAGTGGGAACCTACTGAGGAACTGTAGTTGTGTTAGGGTGTTGATACTTAGCACTGCGCTGTACTGTGGGGGAGACTGCTGAGCAGACGTACTAGAGACGCCTGTTGGTCCATCAAGCCACCAGTTGATTGCACAGACCAGAGTAATATGAGCAGACGCCACCATCGTAGGAAAACGATTGTGACGTTAGACTTTCTATCGGCCATTTGGTTTGAAAACTCTAGATCTTCTACTTGACTGAGGTCGCTCAAAGCCTTTGAAAATTGAAGCCCAGCAGGCAAGTACAAGTCGTTATGGTGCTTAGGCATTTGAGTCATCAGATTCACACCATTGTCTAGTCGCCGCAAGCGGTAGTTGACACAAAGGCAACCAAAACAAATACTCACAGCCTCCAAAATACTTCCTTCTTACTATCTCAAGAGGAAAAGGTATTTTGTTAGTGTCTTCCAAAGGATGAATATTCCATGAAATACGATGGATAAGATAGTAAATTAGATCAAAAAAGAAGGAAATCTTCTACCTTATCCCGACGTCGAGAAGAAAAGTCGGCTTTGGTACATGGACTGCATCATATTGATCTACGAATTGCTGTAATGGTCGCTATAAACTACTATAAGCTTTTGCTTTCGAGCAGCAGCCCTGACTCTCTCACAACTTCGATGCAACTTGTTGGCAGTTCTGACCATTTGAATCGTTCGTTGATTTTCCTTGTCTTAGTTGTGGAACTTTTAGTATGAGAGCATTGTATATCTACATTCAAGGCAGTTTCCACTGTGTTAGACCTGTGCGACAACACAGGCGACCATGCGAACCCATCTCCAAGGTTGTGTCGCCAAGAACGTCACCTGTTGGGCTATGGTGTACAGCATCTGTGGTCATAGATGCCTGCGCCCTAGGTATAGCTGTAAAGATATCGCAACAGTTTCTGTTTTATCAGTAAGCTTACATTTCGCCAATATCTTGTGTAAATGAGTGTTATAACCGTCTATTTCATGTGACGATCTTGATTACTCCTCGTATTTCTAGTTTCCCCAAACTTCGAAGCGAGGTTGTTAAGTCCACAAGAGTTCCGATGAGGGAGAAAACAAGGGGCAAATACACAGTAAAACGACAAGTATTGGCGATATTTTGATTACTTCATGAAGTTAAAGCGAGGTTCCATGTGAAGAGGGTATATATAAATCTCCCACGCTGGCCGTTTCGTTTGGGAGGAAGACTGTCAATCTCGGCCCCACGTGACGGCGTTAGGCCGGTTGGCCGGCCGGTGGTCACACAAGCCCGGATTCTGACTATTGCAACACCGCGACTTAGTCAACTCACAAAGAGAAAGTAATCCCAAGTCTTCTAGGGCAATATTTAGTGGCACAGGAGGTCTAGTAGCTGACGATATCAAACATATGGAATCACTTAATTGACTTGCTCCAAGTCCCAACTAGCATGACGAACAGAGAATAAAATTCCTAAGGAGACCAACTGAGCAGGACTATGGTAAACAAAATCTCAATTGGGCTTCGATATTTCGCATCGCTACCACTATCATGTCATAGAGGGTGCCTTATTTCTCCTGAACCTGGCTCATGACTGACCCATGTTGCACTATGGAGGACGGATTGGGACCAAGGATTCCAACTCAGTAATTGCTCGGTATGCCATCCATACCACAAAGCGGCCGAAGAGTCCCGCCAACTTTGCCAGGCTCGCCAACTTTGGACCAAGTCACATCCAGCTGACACTGAACAGGAACAAGGGTTCGACAGCTGAGCATGCAAGTGACGAGGTCCGCCAATGGCATCGGTCTTCTTGCCAGGGTTGTGGATTGGTGCCTAGGCCTAATCAGCACTAATATGCAGCCTGACTTTTAGCTTGCATTTCGCTTACTATTCTAAACCATCGTCTATGGTCGAATTTCGGCTTGCAGTCCCTTAAAGAGGGGGTATCCAACAATCATCAACTGATTGACATTTCAACTCTCAACCATCATCATGACGGTGGCCGTCTCAAAACCCACGGTAGTCGCCGTTGCGGCGACGACTGTAACTCCAGTCGATGAGATAGCAGTAATTTGGCAGGAAGTACAGAGGATGGTTATCCGCATGGCGGGAGGAGACGCCTCGAAGATCAACAAACAACTCGACATTGACGGGGTAATGCAGTACCTAGAACAAGTGCAAGTATCGGATCAGAAAGCCGCCGAAAAGCACGGCACCGTTAAAAAGGTTTTCAACAGAACCCTACAGTGCATTTCGAAGGTTGGAGGAATTATTGCTGATGGAGCTTCCAACGTAAGATATCTATGCCGAGGCATGACAATGGACGTTCCATTTAAACTCTTTCATAGGTTTTCGGTCCTGCCAACACATGTTTCAATGCCCTGACCTTTGTCATTGGAGCCTGGCAGTCTTACTCGGCCGCTTTCGAGAGTCTTGCAGCGCTGCTTGAGAAATGTGCCGAGTTCTTTGAGCGCCTCCCTTATTACGATATAATGGATGCATCTCTCAAAAAGGTTGCCTGTTGTCAACTAAAACTTTTCGTGGATGTGTGCGACAAGGCACTTCAACTGAAGCGTAAGAGGCGCAAGTTCGAGATGTTTCTTCGTCACATGTTCCTGGAAGATGACGATATCAAAGACTTGTTAGGCCAGATGGAGAAATTGACTGCGAGGGAACACGGACTTGTATCTGCCCAGACGTACAAAATCAGCCAGGACGCTGCGCAAGCTAGTCAAGAGGCAGCGAAAACATCAAAGGAGAGCGCAGTTAAGCTAGACACGCTGGTTGAGCAGACCACTGCCCATAAGAAGGAGAAAACGGAGCAGAAGTTCAAGGACAAAGTTCAAGAGGCCTTTTTCGGCAAAAATGCCAAGGATGCTGTAGACAAGTGGGAGGCTCCTCTTCGGAAGTACAAGTCGGACCTGATTGACGGAACTGGTGAATGGCTGGACGACGAGCAGCTCTTCATTTCGTGGATGACTGGCGATGACACGACTGATCCGATCTTGGGTATCGAGGGCAACGAGGGATCAGGAAAAACGCGAGTGGCTGCTCATATTATTTCCCGCCTCCAGAAGCAAAAGACCGTAGGTGGCTCTAACACAAGATGTGCTGTCGCATACTATTTCCTCGAGACAGACTCCAAGGAGGATACCACAGCAGCCTTCAGAAAGAAGCAAGTCGCAGGACGCATCTCAAAGAGCCTTCTTTGGCAGCTCACGCAAGCGGAACAGCCTTTTCTGAAGTCCGTTGCCGGCCTATGCGATAAAGTAAAGACGGATGATCCAGCTGATATTTGGCAACAACTCCTGCTTGAAAACGAAGACCGAGTCAATATTGAAAGCACATTCTTCATTGTCCTCGATGGTCTTGGAGAAAATCTAGACGGTCTCATTAGTTTGTTCAAGAAGTTATCAGAAGACCCGGCAAGAATACGCACTAGAGTCTTAGTGACAGGAAATGAGAGCGCCTTTGAACAGCTTGAGAAAGAAGAGGGTATCAGAATGAAGAAAATGACACTCGGTACGCGCAACTCTAAGGATGTTGAGCTCTACATAGAGGCCCGGATGAATGACATGGAAATCTTGAGAGATACAAGCAGACCGGGTGTTCTCGATACCAAGAAGATGGTCCTGGAAAAGCTTCTCAGTTCAACAAATGGTGATTATTATATTACCAGCGCAGCACTTGACAACATTGACCGTGTCGATTCCCTCGAAGAAGTTGAGGATTGTCTCGAAAAGGCCAGCGGGGCCAGGTCCAACCAAATTCTTGAGGATATCAAGAGGCTCAACTTCACCATGAAGCCAAAGGAAATCGAGGAAATCAACGAGATCATCCTCTGGATCAAATGGGGTATTCGGTGGGTGACGCCAGCTCATGTTGAAACATCGCTGGAGATGAAAGCGGATCCTGAATCGGCCAGTCGGCAGACGTCCCTTCGATCACTGGAGTCAAAGATCAAGTCGAAGTATTCATCGCTATTCAGACTTGACGGGGAAACTATTGACTTCAAAATTGACGAAATGAGAGATAACATTCCAACTCACAACAACGCCGATCCGATTCTACCCGAGGAGCTCAACATAGTCAAGCACTATCTCTCGACTGTTTGTCCAAGGGATGTTTACGAAAAGTTTGGTTTCAACGACTTCTTTGAGCAGAAGATGGAACGCAAGAAAAACTACATTTGCCAAGACCCGAACAATGCCGAAATAACACTCGCCATTAGGTGCCTCCGCTGCCTCGTAGACGAACAGCAAACGGCCAAGAACAGACAGTTTCGTACTTACGCATCGGAATACGTCTATCAGCACCTCGAGAACGCTGACATCTCGCTTGCCGATCGTGAACTTAAAGCCCAGGCCGGGTCTTTATTGGTCCGTTTGTTTACTGAGGAGGCTGCAATTGAAGCTCTACTAACGCGAGATTACGGCTTGGATTGGGAGCATATGAGTGCCGAGAGTGACAAGGCCTTGCCTTCTAATTGGGCCCCCTGGGTATTCTCGGACTCTGGGAAGGACCTCTTCCGAAAGTGGTCACAGGACTCGTCAGTTCTGGAGTACCTCGAGGATAAGAACGCGCTCAAAGTTCTAGCAAGCAATGACGACTATTCAAACAGCTGGTTCGAGACGGCTGCAAACCTGACCGCCAAGAGACTCCTCAAGCCGGTGGATCGCGGGAGGGAATTGGAGGATGCATTTACATTGCTTTTAGGGCTCATTAAGCGAGTAAGTGGTGATTAAGTAAACCAGAGGAGAGGAAGACCATTGCAGTCACTAACTATGCTACCTTTTGCAGCTGAGCCAAACAGATGAAGAAAGAAAACAAGAGTTCAAGATCGATGAAGAACGCCTTTGGCTGCCTACGATGGAGGATTTCAGTACTGTGGAAACCTGGGCATTGAAGAGCCTTGGTTTGGAAGCAGACGACGCCGTATGGCAGACTACAATGGTAAAACTTCTCAACTTCTTGGAGAACGACGTAACAATCACACCAAAGGACACTGAGACTAGGGCGAGGAGGACTCTCGAGACTTACCCAGACGACTGGGTCACGTTGTTCCTCTTGGCGCGGGGCTTGGAATCCAACTCTGAAAGCATTGAAATGCTGGAACGACTCATTGAACAGCTGAAGGACATCAAGGATGACCCCGTCTGGCGGTCCGACAAAGAGAACCTTGCGATTTATTCCGATGTTATAGAGTCCTTGGGTGACCGCTACTGGAACTTGCCCGGCGATGAAAGTGCACAAAAGGCGGCCCAACTATACCTGTCGGCTCTAGACGAGTCGCACACGTGGGTTGTAAACTATGCCGGAATCATCGCGGTCAGCTTCTCGAGGCGACAGCTATCTCGTCAGACCATTGAATATTGCGAAAAGCTTCTCAGCCTCTACGAAGACGGCATGACCGTGGCTGCTAAGGTGGTCTACCAGGGAAGCAAAATCTACATGAAGATCTTTTGGGACGCTATCAAGAATGCCTGTCTTGAGACGGACCGCTGGGACATCCTCACCGAGCTTTGGAAGGAAGGCGTCAAGAAGTCCGAAAGCCCGCCCCGGGATCCTTATTGGACGGCTCAAATCAACAAATGGTATCAGATCTGCATGGCGCACCGGCCAGGCTACGATAACGCTGGCATTGGAGTGATTGAGGCGTCGTTGAGAGAGGACTGGGTCAAGGACGGGGGCGGAATGAACCTCAACGACTTTGCTTGTTTCATCCTGCCAGTCTACACCAAACGAGCATTTAGGGAAGAGTCCAGCCCGGAGACCAGGGGCATCTATGTTGAAAAGGCCATGGCTCTGAACGAGCTCTTCAAAGGTGATGTGATACGGTACACCGAGACGGCGTTGAGATTCGCACGGTTCTTCCATCTCAAAGGGGACCACAAGACTGCCAAATCACTCTTACGAGATGAGGTCTCCCAGATGCTCGAAATGCTATCCGACGACGACGTGGAGAACGACAGGGACTCTTTCCGGGTTCTATCTGAAATCTTTGTGGCCACAAATGACATTGCCAACATGATAGCGTGCTGGGAAATGATGTCCGTCTCGAAGATGGCGGAAATGGCTGAATATGAGCGGAAACTGGCTGAATGGGAAAAAGCTACTGGAGAAGCGGTGGAGGGCGACGCCGACCACGATGATATTTCCAACACGGATGGAACTCTCGCCGAGCAGACGGCATCCCCAGAGGAGCCTATTTCTGAACAGCAAGAGCCTACCAGTGAAGATAAGGAAGAGCCGGTGGCTCGGGAGGGAAGCTCTCACCCTGAGGACGAATCTTCTTCCGATCCAGCAAATATTGCTGAGAATGAAACATCGGTGCCAGATGTCTCACCCCAGGAGACTGACAATGCGATCCTCATCAAGCCTCAGATGCCCGATACCTCGCTCGGAATCTGCTTCACGTACTGCGACACTGTTCTACAGTTTCCAAACAAAATATGGGTATGCCTGGACTGCGTTGGTCAGATCTGGCTTGATGAAGACTGCTTTGCGAAATTTGGTCCAAAGGGGGTGAAGAACATCAGTTGCGGTGCGGACCACACATTCATCCAACTACCACCTTGCGACGAGGCGTCTATCAAGGCAATTCCTAGCGGCTCAATCAGGGTGGACGGGAAGATAATCACCATGGAAGATTGGAAGGCAAGCGTGAAGGCCACTTATGTGGATGATGTCGAGATCGCTACCGTGTAGCTGCTAGGTGGTTGAGTGATAGGTTTCGATGAAGGTGGTTTGTGTGCGTTTGGTTGGGGGGGGGAGAGAGAGGGGTGTTGGGTGTTGGGTGTTGGGTGTTTAGGGTGGTGCTGTACGGATACCTATCTACTGTCCTATAATTTCAAGTCTCCTAACTCATTCAACTGTATCTACTCACACTGAGTTCAAGTAAGTCGACTTAAACTAAGCAAGCATCCTCGACCTAGGTAGGCAACATATGCGGTGCTAGAAAAGCCTTGGTTGTGAAAAGCCTGAATTGCTATTAACGACTTGGTACCAAATTGAAAGCAACAGAAATACACCACGACAAGGCAGAGCAGTGTTAACAATAAGATACTACCATATGCACAAAATGAGCAAAATTCCAATAGAGACTCATCGTTACACATTATGTATTCATCAATCACGCTCAGAATGGTATCTTCACTACAAAAAACAACAACTCCTCTCCCCGCCCAACATTTAGCAGACACCAGTAGGAATAGTGAAGCCGTTGCGGCGGCTAGAAGAGCTGTAGACGGCGTTGGAGCCGAGACCACGCTTGGCAAAGGCGGTCCAGAGCTCGCACTGGTTGTCACCGCCGGTGAGAGCCTTGTCGGCGTCGAGGATGGCATCACGGGCCTGGATGAAGTTGGGGGAGCAGGGTTGGCTGTGGCTTGATGTTAGTTCAATTTGCTCAATAAACAGATTAGGGGTTACAAAGAAACATACAGAGCCATGCCGTCGATGACGAGCTTGAGAGTGAGGTACTTTCCGTCGGTGGGAACACCGTCACGGAAGGTCGGGCGAGGGCCGTCGTTCTTGCCGTGCTTGTCAATCAGGTTCCAGAGGACTTCGTACAGCTGGATTGCGTGTTAGAACATTTTCCCAGTTACTTGAGGGGGAAGAAGAAGAGCAAGAAGAGGAGCAACTTACGATGGTGGCCCAGGTCTCTCCGATACGGTGGACGGAAGTGAGGCCGTTGATGGTCTGGTAGGTGTTGGGGGTGGTGGTCAAGGAGGTCGAGTAGAGGACGGTACGGATACCGGCAGGGTTGTTGTAGACCCAGGCGCCCATGGGGTAGTTGGTGGCGCGGGTGTCGGTGGGCTTGAGGCGGATGGCGGTGGCCATGAAGTCACCCCAGCCCTCACCCATACCGCCGGACTCGAGAGCGTTGAGGCAGTTGGAGTTGGCGGGGCCACCGGTCAGACGGTTAGACAGACCGTGGGTGTACTCGTGGATGACGACGCCGGCCTCGAAGCTGCAGTCGCGGCGAGGGGTCGAGGAAGTCCACAGGTACATTCTCATGCGTCCGGGAGAGCCATCGGGGGGGGTGGCGAAGTTGGCGTTGTTGGTGCCGGAGCCATCCTGAGCGTTGAGAATGACAAAGTCGTTACCAGCGCCGCCCTGGCCGTTGTTGTTGACCTCGAAGTTACCGGCGCGCTCGTTGAAGCCGAGCTGGTACAGAAGGTCGTGGTAGTGGTTGGCGGTGTAGTACAGCTGCGCGATGGAAGCGTCGACTATCGGGCGAGTTAGCGAGACCGTGACCAAGATGTCACATGGTAATCAAGAATCAACTTACTGTAGCTGGAGGGCGTGCTCAGGCTGGTAGTGTACTCGTAGTCAAAGTTGAGCGAGGGGCTGTTGGGGCGGTAGTTGTTCAGGTACGCACTGCCGCCGCTGGGGTTGGACTGGGCGATGGCGTTGTTGCCACGGGTGGTAGTGTAGTTGGTACCGGGGCCGTCGCTGTGCCAGGTGAACTCGGACGAGGCAATGTCCCAAGGGTCGGTGACAGTGATGCGCTCTCCCTCAGTAGGGTCGTTAACACCCCAAGGGTAGACCTTGTAGCTGGCCAGGTCGGAGACGTAGTCAACAACACCGTGGACCTCGCCGCTGGTCTCAGCATCGACATAGGTCAGCAGCCAGTTGTCGACAATGTCGGTCTCAACACGCCAAGTGAGGGCAAGCTTGCCGTCGCCCTTGACGAGGTAGACGAGCTTGGCCTCGGGGTCAGAGACGGCACCGGAAGTTCCCTTGATGGCCTAAACCTCCTTGCCCTCCTTAGCCTCGGCAGAAGCATCGGCCGACTCAACGGGCAGCTGGAGAACGTCCTTGGCGCCGTTCAGAGCGGTAACGGGGTCCTTGAAGTCCCGCTTGTCCAGGGGGCTGGCCTCAGGGATGGCGCCGGAGAAGAAGTTGTTTCCGTAGGAGAAGACCTTTCCATCCTTGCCGATCTGTCCCGATTTTGTTAGTTGACTGGTTTGCCAAGCATTTGAACTTGAGCTTAAACTTACGTTAACGTTAAAGTCAGCGTTGTCAATGTCAAGACCGTGAGCGGTCTGCTTGAAGTTGACGTGGGCAATGCCGTTGGTGCCGACGTAGTGGTCATCGACGACGCGGAACTCGGAGTTGGGCGCGAGCTTCTTGACGAGCTCGGTGGCCGTGTCAACGTAGCTCTCGCGCTTGAGTAAGACGATGGGCGGGTCCGCCTCGGTCACGGTGGCGTTGGTATAAGAACCAAGCTGGGGCAGACGGAACGCCTCAATGTCAACTCCGCGACGAGCGAGAGCAGACTTGTGGCCGCTGGCAGGGTGGGAGTAGGCCGGGGCCAGGAGGCCGAGCAGGGCCAAGGACTTCATGGATCGATACATGATGGCGGCGGGGAAGAGAACGAGCGGGGAGGAAAGGAGGGAACTGGTTGCCGGAGACTTGAGAGTGCCTGCTGAGCTCCTAGGAAACGGGAACCTAGGAGGATCATGGCGGACTTTAAATATGTCATGATGTTGAGGTTCTTGGCAATTTGACACATTCAAAGCTGAGCTCTGGAGTCATTGAGCTTCCTTTTCGGACTTACATCCAACTGCGCCCTGCTGACAGAAGCCCAAGTTGCAATCAACAACAAGTTTGGCCAGGGATGATAGGGAGTTTCCACATCTGCCTTGGCTCTGCGGACAAACCCGTCGTCTCTCTCAAGGCTGGATCCCCCATCAGGGAAGCTATTGTCGATAACGGGGGGTCACGACGCATGGCGAGCGCGGTAAAATGCGCTTGCGTGATTTGCCCACGGTGCATTGCACACCACAATTCACGGTTATCGACTCCGACACGAGAGAGAAGAGGGAAGGTAGTTTGCTTTCATCCTGGAGATTAGGCGGTGGGAGGGTTGCATTGATGCTTTCGTTTGCGCTGTTGGCGGCTTGGCGACAGCTCCTTGGCGACAGTGTCTTGGCAATATGGGGGACGTCGGTAGTCTCCAGGACGCTTGTCGGATTTAACCAGGTTCGGGAGGGGGGGAGTTCAGGGTCATTGATTGCGTGATGCGTGCGTTTGGTCAATGTGGCAAGGGTTGATGGAAATCAAACGAGCCTGGTGAGTTAAAAAGAGCTTGAATAGTAAGCTTATTTAGACACTCAAAGTCTTTTGATACAATAGCCTCAGTTGGGGACAACGAGTTGAGCAAGACTATAACCATGGGGATAAGCTAAAATCATGTTGCGCAAAACAAACAACGGTCAGACTTTGTCGCGTGCCTGGGAGAGTCCCAACAAGGAATAAAGGGGGACATCACGTAATAACTACCATGCAAATCCCTAATCATCTCGGGATGCAGAGTGTAAGAAACCCCACTGCCCGCAGAGCCCACAGCGGGTTGGATACCTTAAAACTGCAGTTCGCCATCGCCACTGGCACGTTCTCCAGAATCTTGTCATTTCGACGAGTCATTGCCCCGTCCCAGGGAACCGCGTATTTGCGCAAACATGTGAGTCTAATCTGTAATCTTGACCATTAAGACTAAAATAAACCCAGCACACTTTGTCTTATTCTGTGGATTTTCTTATTTGTTTTTCTGAACTTTTGCAAGCGTGTGAACTGGGTCTCTGAGTGGGGGGGTTTGAGTTTGAAGAGTACCTACCTAATATTACGTAGCTAAGCTCAGCTCCGAGTACGGATGGCGGAGGAAACGGTTCTGTCATGGCACATCTATCCAACATTGTTGTAATTAACTCAACTGCCCTCTCTGGCCAATGCAAGGTCGCAATGCAGGCGTTCGGTAACAAGGCAAGTCATCACGCAATAATGCAGGAACGCATTCGCCAAAGGACACAAATGGAGGAGGTAGTACGTCCATCTTTTCTACTTGCCAGATATGGACATGCATGATGAGATTGTGAAGCTCCAATAGGTCTTTAACTGGATGAAGCCCGCATGCGTCTTCGTGATGGGAGGGACGGGAAGGAAGGGGCAAGGAATTGAAAGAAATGCCGCGCGCCTACCGCTCACTCTAATTCCCCTTTTTTATTTCGCCCATTGCTCACAGTCAAATCTCTGGTGCCCAAGGACTAGAACTGAGCGCTCGCCTCCTTGCGGAGTAGATACGGGTCAACCCCCCCTTGTCCGCGTGATAGTCTCGGCAGATGATGCCTGTGCACGGCGAGCCGCAGACCTGCCTGATTCGGGATCGCCCGCCGGCGCGATGGGACGACTTTATCGATCCGGGTTAGATATCCGACCGCGTCGTTCGTGTCCACAATCTAAATACCCATTCGGCGCACCCTCCCTCAGTTAGAATATTATGGTGAGCCTCGGCTACCAATCACGCCTGAGTAATGTGTCAACGAAAAGTCGGGGGACGAGGCGCAGTAGAATACAGTCCATGGGACTTTCCACAAACGGAATCTCCTTTTGGTGATTCATGAGCCAGACTTGTTGAATGTTGGATGGAGGAGGTTGCTTGTGATGATCCATGTGTAACCCCAACCCTTTTTAAGAAGGCAGTTCATTAGGCCTGGCTTCAAAACTGGCCACTCAGACGGAGGACTCGGTCCGTTCCGAATTGCGAATGTCAACGTCGATAACATTTGATTATATAAGCACCCGCTATGATAGAGCATCCGCAGTAAAAAAACCAGGAAAAAAAAAAAAGAGAAAGAAAAAAGGAATAGATAACAGGCAAAAGATACATGCGAATAAGAACAAAGACGATTTACGTCTTTCTAAGAAATCCCATATTGCCTCACTCAATCGCTATGATAGTGCTGAGAAGGTTAATCAGTTCATCAGCAGATTGTGCAGAGACCTTAGTCGCAGACCCAAACACTCCAATATCCATTGTATCCTCACTGATTGAGGCTTCAATGTCCAAAGCATCCTGCCGCTATGTTAGTTCGTTCAGTAATATTGGTACAATGTGAGGGGCAACATACTGGGAATGCATCGCGTACTGGATTGTCCTCCAGCCACCTTGCCGAAACGGCTGATGTGGTGTTTTCGCTGTTTCCAGTACCAGAGAGCTTTTCAATCTCGCTGGCATCGGAAACCGGCTCGATTGAAAATTCCGCTGCTTTCAATGTCTCGTTGTTCTCATCGCCAAGATGGAGGAAATTCACAAAACAATCAATCTCAACCCCAGTCCAGTCTTTGATCTCCCACAATCCCACGGTTGAGTGCGATGAAATGAGATGCAAGTCTTCCTGCACCTGTTTGGCAACGGAGATTATACTAGAGTCCTCGTCAAGCTGGACCTTGAGGGGCACCAAGTTGAGTGTTGGGAATGTGGGCTCCAACTCATCCGCCAGTGATCGGTTCGCGTAGTATATTCCGAAAACGACCTGGTTTGTGCGCGAAGAAGATGAGGAAAGCTTGAATGTTTGTAGCGCCTTTGCGGCCGCTGCGAAGAAGTATGCGGGCAAACCTACGCCTGCTTGTGAGCAAGAGGCCTGGATTTGGGTAACTTGTGCCACTGCAGAACGTTTGAGGACCGAGACTCGCTCCAACGACCTTGGCACGTTGGATGTCTGTGAATTAACTGGCGTCAAGCCCTGTAGGTACTTGGTCCAGAATTCCTTGTTATCCTTCTTCACTTCTTCGGCTTGCTGTGTAGCTAAGAAGGATCTCCAAGGGCCTAATTCTAGAGCGTTGGCAGACTTTTGTGACTCAATGACCGATAGAAATTTCTGCATGATGGCTGGAAGACTAAAGCCGTCGTAGAGTGAATGTTGAAGCGTCAATTTGAGAAGCCACGAGTCGTCGCCGCCATGTGTGGCATTTAGTTGTACTTGAGGCCAACAATGTTCCGACTGTGTGCTTGTGGCAGAACGTTCTCCGTCTTGGACAATGATACTTTTGTGTGGTCCATCAATGTCAGCCTCGACGATGATTTGGATAAACGGGAGTGATCGTGCCCCCGTTGAGACCAAACAAGTCCGGAGAATAGGCTCTGAAGCGACAACGGCCGCCCATGCTGACTGCAGCTGATGAATTGTAACAGATCCACGCAGGCGATAGAAAAAGTCTGGGTAGAAAACGCGGCCTGCAGAGTTTTGCCAGGCCGAAACCATGTACACTTGCATTGGCAGGGGAGGAAGAATTTCCTGCACTTCAGATTTGGCGATACCAGCTTTAGCCAAGAGTGAGTTTACGTCAATTGATCCCGGTAACTCATAAGCGGTCGATAAGCTCTTGGAAACCTGGGTTGGCTCATCGCTAGCGACTGCCGGACACTGCCTTGCCATGTCTCGGATGGAAGTTGAAGTAAGCAGTGCCCGGACACCGAGATTTATGCCCTCTTTTCGAAGAAGAGCTGATACTTTGATGGCGCTAATCGAGTCCAGCCCTAGGTTATACAAAGTATGCCCCTTATTAATAGATTGAACCTCGACGCCTGCTGTTTGCGAAAGTACCCGTCGAATAGTGCTCTCTGTATCCGTCCACTCAGTTTCCTCTTCAGGGGCGGTATTCTTCTTCGAGAATTGTGTTTGAGAGTTGTACCTCGATTGAAAAGACGTCAAATGGCAAATGGCAACATTGTCGCCATCGAATTGCAGAAGATTGTCGTTTGGTGTTCTGACAATGTAATCCAAGGCTCGGTCAAGTTCATGGAGTAGCTGATGTGTCATCTTCTCCGACACATACGCATCTTGTCCAGCGATACGCCATATGAGGTTCTTGTCGGTGACTTCAAGCTCTGCGCAAACCGCAAATTCGGTGGCAGCTGAACCTTGAACTGACTTCACTAAAGGATTCTCTGCCCCAGAGTCAGGGTTCTTCTGGAGAATGAAGAGTGTGTTAAAGAGTCGCCCTCCGGCAACAGCCTGTGCTTTTCTCAACGGATAGTTCTGGAACTCGACAATATCGCCCATTGTCTCCTGGAGGTAGCGCAAAAAGTTGGTTGTAGAACCGTGGAGCACGCAGCGCACGGCCACGGTGTTCATCGTAGGGAACATGAGAGCTTGCGCTTGCTCCGAGTCGCGACCCGCCAGAACGACGCCGAAGGTGACTTCAAGAGTCTGAAGGAGAGTTGCCAGGACTGACGCCCAGCAAGCTTGTCCGAGAACTTGCAGACTGATGGCATGGCGCTTGCAAAACTCTGTGACTTGCTCGAGCTGGGTACTCGATACAGCTTCCGTACGATAGGTCTTTTCGGCTGATAGTTGATCTGAGGACTGCCTGCTAGACAACAGCGAAGGTTGCACGTTTGAAAGATACTGAGACCAGAATTTTCTTGACCTTTCAGTCGGGGTTTTGACCAAGTTTTGAAGGAATGGTTCAACTGGTGGCCGATCGCCAAGTTGTTCTTGGTAAGCAGCAGCAACATCCTGATGTAGCAATGCCAAGGACCACCCATCATAGAGAGCGTGTGAGATTGAAAACACAAGCAATGACTTAGCCTCAGCAGAAACGAGGGTGAGTTGAAGCAAATTGGAACGGCCTTGAGCAGCCCGTGCGCTCTGTTTGTGCCCGTTAATGACGTCTTGGACTTGAGCTACGCCCCCTGTAGGAAGTTCGTTGATCGCAGGAGGGTTAGACTTGAGCACAATTTGGGCAAATGTTTGTTCCAAAGTTGGATCCTCAATCTGGATGAAGACCGTTCGAAGAATCTGTGACCGCTCAACCACCTGCTGCCAAGCTCTTTTGAATTTGTTAATGTCCACGCCTTCTGTCAACTCCAGCACGTCATGGTTGAAATACTGCTGAAAGTCAGATTGCAACATATCGGCGATCATAGACTCCTGCAGGGGTGTTGGCGGTAGGACCACTTCTGCTTGCTGGAGGTCAAACCCAGTTGAGTCTACAGCCCTCCAAAGTTTCTCTTTGAGGTCCTGGAAGTTCGACTGCTTGCTGGAGTCATCCAGAGCCGACTCACTTTGATTAAGAATCTTTGACATGGCAGCAATGGTTTGAGATCGCATGAGTTGAGATAAAGTGAGCGGGTGACCACAATGCTTGAGGCGTGCAGAGAGTTTCACAAGGTCAATGCTATCAAGACCCAACTCCAGTAGCGCCATATTTTCGTTGATACTGTCTTCGGAAGCACCAGAAAGAGCAGCGATCTCTTTCCTCAACACCAAAGCTGCAGGCGTCCATTCAAAGTCGGAGACATTGAGGTCGAGTTCTTGACCCTTGAAATCACCATCGATAGACTCGGGTCTAGAAGTCAGTGGCGTTCTAGGAGACGCAGCGGTTGATGCTTCACGAGAAGGATTCTCGGTGACAGGTATAGAGTAAGTTCCCCTTGAGGTGACGTCGACCATAGCCTCATCAATTTCTTCGAACAAAGCATTCATCATTTCTTCGTCGGCAATATCCCCGTGAGCTACTATCTGAACACGGAGCTGACCATCGGGCGTCGCAGATGCTTCAAATGCAATGGGGTAGTCGGAGACACTGTAGTCATCTACGATAGACCACATGCCAGAGGGCTCCGCTGGTCGAGTAGATTCGATTTGGAAAACAAAGAGATTCTCAAAAATTGGGCGACCCCGAGACTTAGCGCACCATTTCTGAATATTTCGCTGTGGCACGTGTTGGAACTGTAGGACGGCAGTGTTAAATTCATGACACTTCTGAATCAACGACAGCCAGGTGTCTCCTTCCTTAAGACCGGCGTAGAAGAGGAGAGTATTGAAAAGGGGGCCGATTGTGTTTTCGATTTGCTCCATATCAATAGAACGGCCGGAGACAATTACACCAGTGGCAGCGTTGACAGGGAAATGCTTCTTGAATACAGATGTCCAGAGAGCTAGGACCACAGACTGTAGCGTAACGTTAAGCGACCTTCGCAGTGTCTCGAGATTGCGGGCTGAATATTTCTTGGTCCTGGTGAGAACCTTTGTCGGGTCGCCGGATTGAAGCCTTGGGATCGTGTCAAACAAGCAGTTGTTGAGGTGCTCAACCCAGAACTGGCGGCTAAAGTCATAGTTCGCGAGCGGGCCATGTGCAAGAGTTTCAAAGAACGACGGGGCCGGTTCATGCTCTTTGTGCAAATACTCATCAGAAACCCAGCGGAGCAGCGTCTCAAATGTCACACCATCATATAGTGCGTGGAAGATGTGGACGGTAAGGATTGTATCCTCACCCAGATAAGAGACAATCAACTCTAGGGGATCGGACACGCATCTGCTGTTTTTGTGTATCAGAGCCGACATGGAATTTGACAGTTGAGATTCAACCTCGACAGGCTCCAAGTCCCGTATATCTCGCCATGAAAGCCGGACAGACTTAAGTGCAACCTGGGCAAAGCCAGCTGGTGTCTGAATAAAACTGGTTCTCAAGATGGCGTGAGATTCTACAAGCTTTTCGCAGGCGACCTTGAGTTTTTCAATGGATATCGACGGCGCAAGCTTCAGTCGGAATGCTGTAAAATAGGCGCCTTCGTCCTGGTCTGACATGAATCTGGACAGCATGCCTTCTTGTAGCGGCGTGCATGGAGCTACATATTCGATGTCCCCGTCGTCTGAAAGAGAGAGTTCCTGAGCTGCCAGAGACCTATACCGGTGGCCAAACGCTTGGATTAGTTGTCGTGCTTCATTAACGCTGCTTCCCTCCTTTGTGGAGCCGCTCTGTTGCAGTGCTTCTGCTAAATCTCCAATATCCGGATTTCTCAATATCACCCTGGGTGCGGCGCCTGAAAGGCCCTTTTTGCGCATTAACCTCGACAGTCTGAGAACCGAGATCGAATCAACGCCGAGATCAAAGATGTTGCTCGACATGTTGACCTTGGCGTCCTCGCCAACAAACTCTTGCACGGTTGCAATGACTTGACGTTGAAGTTCATTGGTTGGCTCAGAAGTTGCTCTGGAAGATGGCGAAAGTTGAACCAATTTTTCCGGCGTGAGAGTTCGGAATAGCTGGTTCAACTGCTTGATGTCTGCCTTGTTGTTCGGAGAGAGCGGGATGCGTGGGACCTGGAAGATGTAGGATGGTACCATGTAGCCAGGCAACGTATCTCGACAGGCCTTTTGGACAGAACGAACGAGAGCTGCTGTGTTTGGCTCGTTGAGGACTTGAAGTTCCGCCTTGGAAGTGGCCGTCGACTTGCAGCTAACAAAAGACACTAGAAGGTCCTTGTCCAAACTTCCATGCTTAGTCACAAGAGTCGCAACGTCGCTGAGTTCAGGAACTCGGGTAAGGATGGAGTGATTGATCTCGCCGATTTCCAGCCGTTGCCCTCGCAGCTTCACCTGGTCGTCGGCACGTCCGAGGAAGTCGAAACAGCCGTCATGTAACAGTCTCACCAGGTCTCCAGTGCGGTAAACACGCTCGCCGAACGACTCAAGGATTGGAAATCTCTCCTGGGTCAGTTCCGGGCGATTGAGGTATCCTTTTCCAACCAGCTTTCCGGAGACGCAGAGCTCGCCGACAGCGCCTTTCATGACCGGTATATCAGTTCCGGGCCGCAGAACGTAGGATCCCACGTTGTCAAATTGTTTTCCAATGTTGGAAGCTCGGCCGTTATGGGGAACTCGCTGGTACATGGTAACACCAATAGTAGCCTCGGTAGGGCCGTACGCGTTGTAGATGACGCCGACAGGACCCCAGACATCGAGGATCTCCTGCTTTAAGGCCTCTCCACCAGTAATGAAGACTCCACGTGAGAGACTGGGGACATCTGACGGATCTAAGAGACGCGCTAAGCTAGGTGTCAAGTCGATGTGAGTAATTTCAAGCCGTCGGATGGTGCCGGCAAGATCGTCCAAAATGAGATCTCTTGGTGCGCCCACCAGAGTCATTCCCACTGACCAACTCCAGTATTGTTCCAGGACTGAAACGTCGAAGTGGAAGGAAGCAAACTGGAGCCACTTGGAGCTTTGATCCCAATGGCCTTCAAAAAGCCTTTGGAATGCCTTCATAGCTTGTACGGCATTCTCATGAGTAATCTCACATCCCTTTGGCGTTCCCGTGGTTCCAGAAGTGTACAAACAGTAAGAGTTATCCTGAATGCTGAGAGATTGAGGGCTACAATATTCCTTGGAGGCTGTCTCGAGTAAAGTTTCCTCGATGCGGAGAGTTGGCTGCTCTACATGAAAATCAATCTCATTGTTGGTCAGCAGCGCAAGAGCACCAGAATCCTTCAGAATGAACTCCTTTCTTGCTTTGGGGGCTGTTGGATCCAGGGCCAAGAAAGCACACCCAGCCTTGAGGATACCAAGAATTGAGAAGCAGGCTTCCGGGCACTTGTCAAAGTGAATGGCGATGACATGCCCAACTTGCGCGTGCGGAGCGAGAAGATTGGCGACCTGGTTACCCTTCTCGTTGAGTTCTTTGAAAGTCCATTTCCTGGAAGTCGTATTTTCTCCATCGAATCCGGTGACAAACTCCAGAGCAATCTTGTCAGGATGAGTCTGGGCCTTGGCTTCAACAAAGTTGTGTAGGAACTGTTCCTCTGATGCAATTGTCGAATCCAGAGGAGGCGCGATTGAAAAAACGGAAGTGTTGCTAGGCCACAAGTTATCCTCATTTCCGGTGGGATACTCTGCAAGATGTTGCAGTACAGCGTCAAACTGGTCCAAGAGGAGTTTTGCCTGAGCGTCTGGAAGGACGTCAGTGCGATGAGAGACGCGAATTTGAATTTTGCCGCTTGAAACTGGTTCAACTTCCAAAGAAACAGGGTAATCAAGGTTGCCTTCGTCGCTGACCGTCTGCCATGGGAAGTCCGAAGTGTTGTCATTGGGCATTCGCTGGTACACAAGCAGCGTATCGAAAACCTGAGTGTTTGAATGTCCGAGCCAACGCTGTATTTGAGCGAGAGGGGCGTTCTGGTGCTTCAATAGCTGGTTGTGATAATTTAGCATTTGGTTCAGAAGCTCAGCGTTTGAATGTCTGTTGTGTGCAACCACGGGGACAGTGTTGATGCACGGGAATACGGCGCTCTCAGTTTCGTCGTCGATACGACCTGACAGAACAACTCCAAAGACAACGTCTTCCTCGCCAAGATATGCAGATAGTACTCGAGTCCATGTCGCCTCGAGCAGAGCTTGGATCGGAACATTAGCTTGCTTTGCCCTCTCGGCGAGACCATCAAAACTTATGCTGGCCAGTTTTGTTCTCGAAGCAAGTTCTGGATATTTCTCGGATAAAGGAGTCAACGTTGGGAAACGGTTAACTACTACTTCCGCCGATTTTTGCTTCCAGAACTCCTGTGAATCGGCATTGTTGAGAGAAGCTTGGAGGATCTTGGAAAGTGCCTTCTCGACAGGGGGATGCTGGTTGACTTTCTTGCCTGCAAGATGAGAAGCCAAATCTTGCAGTATGAGATGCAGAGAATAAGCATCGTATAGGGCATGATGCATGATAACATGCATTTCAATACCCGACTCAATATCCTCCAAAGCCACAGCCCACGGTGGAAGCTGTAATGAATGGAGAACACGTTGCGCAGTGTCCAACTTCCACTTTGTGACGTTAAACGAGCCTGGCGTCCCGTGATGAACGGCAAGCGGCAAGGACAAGTCAGCAGCCGAATACTGAACCATTGCAAACGATGCGTCCCGATGTTGCGTTGGTAGGAACCCCGTTCTCAACATCTCATGGTCAGAGAAAAGAGTATCCCACGCCTCTTGGATCTGCTTTACAGAGATTCCGTCGTTGAGGGTAAAAGACATGTAGTTCAGATAATCTTTACCTCCTGACTGGATAAAATCACTGAGCATTGCACATTGTAGCGGAGTGCAGGGTAGAATCTTTCGGCCTTTGTTATCAGACGCAAGACCGACCTCTCGCCCAAACTTTGCCAGGTCGTATTGTTCAACGTTCTTTGTTTCTGAGCTTCCGAGTCGGGTAGCCATCTTAGCGCAGGTGGGGAACTCAATTACATCCAATGCAGAAACCTGCAAGCCCTGGCCCCGCATCATGGCAGCGAGTTGAACAGCATTGATACTATCCAGACCAAGCTGGAAGATTGTTGTGTTCCTGCCGATATTGTCTTTTGGAGTTTTCGATAGTTCGGCAACAATCGACCGTATTTTCTCCTCGGTATCGCTCCATTTGTCATTGTCAAGGGAGTTTGCACTCTGCTCGTTTTCCTCCTGGCTGTTATCAACAATCTTTTCGACAACGATGGTGTTCACGATTTCTCTCAATCTCGAGGGAAGATTCTCTCGAGTCGGGATGCTTGATGCAGGATGTATTACCGTTTCCACTGCAAGATGCAAGAAAATGCGAAGTAGTCCTTGCAGGCTTTCGGGCGTAAGGGACTGGTTGCTTGAGTGGAGTTTGACGCTGATGGAGTCGCTCAGGGTATCCGGAGTAACTTCGCATACAAGAGGCACGTCCATAGCTCCATTGTCTTCAACCAATTCCCATAATGAAGGTAAACGTGCGTTCTGAGGCTGCTGAAGAAGAAGAAGGGAGTCAAAAAGTTGCATTCCATTCTTTGAGACATGACTTTGAATAGAGCGCAGGGGTGTAAATTGTCGATCCAAAAGGTGGGGATTAAGTGTTTGGAATTTCTTCAACAACGCTATGAGTTGAGTCGATGAAAGTAATTCGACTCGTATCGGCAAAGTGTTGAAACAGGGCGCAACCAAACGGTCAATGCCCTCAATATTCAAAGCTCTTCCACTCATGACGTTGCCAAAGCAAATGTCCTTCTCGTCATAGACGAGTGCCAGGAAAACTGACCAGACTGCTTGGAAGAACGATAATCTAGAAACACCTGCAGCCTTGCAGCATGATTGAAGTTGGCTGAGAGAGATACTGAGTGATTCTGCGACAACTAATGGCCCTTCTCTTGTGAAGTCCTCTGAGGATTCGACGGAGAGGTTATGCTGTGTAGGTCTGAAGCCATCGAATTGACGCTTCCAAAAGTTATCTGTGCCATCAGGTGCGCTGGAAATCTCACGGAGGATTGGAAGGTAGTCCACCGGAGGCGGCAAAGTCTTGCCATTCGCTAGCTGCTCAATCTCAGCCAGAACATTTTCGATTGCAACGCCGTCGTAGAGCGCATGATGGCAAGTGAAAGAGAGGTAAACTTCGCCTTCTGTCTTAATCACAGCAAGTGAGAAAGGCGGTGTCTTGGAATCGAGCGAATCAGGAAGTTCTTTTGCGTGCATTTCAGCTGCCTCTCGCAGATTACCTGCTTCGACAGTTTTCCACGGCATCTCCCAGGATTCAAGTACGACTTGCGCAACTGCTCGTCTTGATTCTCTAGTAGTGATGAAACATGTCCGAAGAATTTCGTGCCGACGACACATTTCTTCCCAGTAGCCCTTCATCTCTGATTCAGTGGCGTGTAACTTGAAAACCAACTGATTGGAATAAGATGAGCCAGATGTTGAAGAAAGCATTGCTTCCTGGAGTGGCGTACAGGGTAAAACAGCTCTGACGGTTTTCCCTTCCTTGGAGAATTCTTTCGCGACAGTGTCCACATACCCAGAAGAAAACCAAGAGCTTTTGTCATTCGTCTTTATGGTAGTTTCCCCTGAAGTTTGAGCTGTAATCTCCTGCGCTAGCCGAGCCACGCTACCAGACTGCAAAATTAGGGAAACGGGCACTTTGCGTTCGAAAGTGTTCTGTAGAGCTCTCGCCAAAGATATAGCTGAGATAGAGTCCAATCCCACAGCAGCAAGCGGCTGCCATCGCGTGATCTCTTCCAACGGGACTCCGAGAACCTGGGAAAGAGCAGATGCAATGGTCTTCTCGTCTTTTGACCAGACGCTTTCGTCTTCATGCGCGGACGAACCGGCAGCAAGATCCAGATAATCCCTTGCGAAGTCGCGGAAAGACGTCTGCAATCTGGCTCTGTCGACTTTTCCGCTTGAAGTAAGCGGGACAGAACTGATGGGAAATAGGTAGGTCGGAACCATGTAAGTAGGGAGTCGAGATCGCAACAGTCCAAAAACTGAATTATGGGCTTCCGCCACTCTGTCATCGATTGGCAATGTATTGAACTCAGCGGGGCTGCAATCCGCAGGAACGTAGAAAACAGCCAGCTGCGTAGTTGGGGAATTGTTGCGACTGACAATAACAGCCGCACTCGACGAAGCGAGGCCAGAGACTGTAAGGATGCTGCTGATTTCACCGGTATCGATACGTTGGCCGCGTAGTTTGAGCTGGTCATCCATGCGACCCAGAACCATCAAAGACCCATCTGGGAGCATGCGGCCCATATCTCCAGACCGATATATTCTTCCAAGTTGGGGATGATCCAGGAACTTTGAACTAGTAAGTTCCGGCATGCCCAAATAACCTGCAGCGACTTGGTCGCCTCCGAAGCAAAGTTCGCCAGCGAATCCAACGGGAAGGGGTGTTAGACTTCCAGGACCAACAACAATCGTTGAAGTATTCTCAAAGGAAAAGCCAAGATGGTCGATGAAGTCCCCAGGCTTCATCTTTTTTACAGTGCAGATATTTGTCGTTTCCGCGGGGCCATATCCTGTGGTGTGTTAGTCATTAACTCTAGCAATTTCTGCAAACTGCACGCTCATCTTACCCTGGTAGAGGAATCCGGTCCATTTCTTCGCGACAACCGCGGTCATCGGCTCGCCCGCCGTGACGAGGAATTCGACATTAGGGACGTTGCAAGGATCAACCAGAGAAGCAACGGTAGGTGTCATACTGAGGTGGGTACACTCAAAGAAACGGATAGCGCGCTCCAAATCTTCGAAAAGGGTATCATTGGTTCCGGAGCACAAACAAGCGCCAACTTTCCAAGTAAAGAAAATTTCAAAAACCGAGACATCAAACGCCTGAGAACATGCTTGTAGGAAATGGGAATGGTTGTTTATGGGGTAGATCCGGGATAGGACGTCCAGATTACCCGCAATGTTTTTCTGAGTAACAACGACGCCCTTCGGCTTTCCGGTTGTGCCGGACGTATAGATAACGTAGGCCGGCCGAGACGGGTTGGGAGTGATATCCATGTTATCCTCCATAATGTCTGACATGTGAATTGAAGTGATGTCGACGAATCGGCAGCTTGATAAATCTGTCAAGGCCGTTGAGACAGCATTGTCAGCAACGCAGAGACCAACCTCTGCTTGAGTCAAAATGGACCTCATCCTTTCGGTTGGTATTGTTGGAAGAAGGGGTAGGTATGCGCAACCAGCCTTCAAGATGCCAAGCATTGCCGCGTAAAGTTCAATAGACTTTTCCATAATCAGACCTACGACATCACCCTCTTTTGCCCCTCTATCTTGCAAATAGCGCGCAATAGTATTGGCCATGACATTGAGATCGTTGTAAGAGATAGTCTCAACCGACCTATTGTCGAGTGAAGTGGCAAAGCGAATTGCAGTCGCATCCGGGGTGAGCTTTGCTGTCTGCTCAAAAATAGCAGCCAGATCGGGCACCGTAGTGAGAGTTGCAGGGGTGCTATTGAATACAGACGTGAGTTTCGGAGGCAGACTCTCTCCAACAGCGTTTACATGAGCCTCGGGGTGGTGCAGTAAGTAAGACACCACAGATTCGAGTTGATGTGCCAACATTTCTGCGTGTTCCTGAGAAACTGCATTTGTGTGGTGAGTTATACGGCAATTTGGCCCTTCCGAAGAAGGCTCTATTTCAACGAGGAGGCTAGTCTCGAGAAAGTCTTGGTGAGCGACCTCCTTCACTCTGTTCGTGCTTCGATTCCGGCTGTACAGAGACTCCTGATAAACGAACAGAACATCAAAAATCGAATCTCCAGGGCCAAGTCCAGACAGCTTTTTGATTTCGTTCAGCGGCAGAATACCGTGCTGCAAGACCTGGCGGTTGGTAGAATGTATAGCGCGGATGAGGTCAGTGATTGAAGTAAGCCCGTTCAGATTGATTCTGAGCGGCGTTGATGAAATGCAAGGACCCATGATTCGTTCAACACTTGTGACCGGGATTGTCCTGCCAGAAGACACAGAACCAATGACAACATCGTTTTGCCCCTGAAGGCCAGCCCAGAGCCATAACAAGGCTGCTTGGTAAAACACCTGTGGGTGGCATTGAAATCTTTTGGCCACTTCGTCCAGTTCGACTTGAGAAATCCCCAACTTCTTCGTAATGGTGTGCACGTCTGGTTTTTCAGGTGGACGTCCCATAAGTCGCGGCATGCCGTGTCTTTGCCAGCCAAGCAAATTCTCAGCCCAGAAGCTGCGTGCTTCATCCATTTGTCTTGTGGTGGCAGGGTCACTGAAAAATGTAGAAATGTCCTGAAACTGAGGTCTTGGTTTGAGTGACTGTCCTGCTGTCAAAGATGAGAGATCTTCAAGTAGCAAGTCAGCGGACCATCCATCGTACAGTGCATGATGCAGTTGTAACAAGATTAGAGGACCATTTTTAGACTCCCGAATCTGAACTCTGAGAGGGTTCAGGAAATCCTGATCTGATTGAAGTCTGAATTGATAGTCAAAGTGCTCGACGTGGTGAATCGAAGACCGGGGTAGTTCGTGAAAGACGACTTGTGCAAACCCTCGGTCAAAGGAAACAAACCCTGATCGCAAGATATTGTTGCTCTTGGTGATCTCGCGCATGTAAGTCTCAACATCCCGGGGATCGCATCCCGCTGGGAATTCAAGCTGAATCCAGTTGCAGTATGCTTGAGAATTAACAGATGTCTCAGCGAGCATTGCACTCTGCAGCGGTGTACACCGATAAATTTCCTCAATCCGATCCTTTGCCTGCACAAGATCTTGCCGTTTTTCCATAACTTGGGTTATGGATATTTCAGAATGCCGTACAATGCCCAAGCCTTCAACTTGAATCTTTGGATCCGAGGCTGCCTGAAGCCGGAAGCACAAAGCAGACAAATTCTTGGCCTCCAGAACATCTGTTGCGGAAACACTAAAACCCTTTTCTCTCAATGCTGATGCAATTCTAATTGTCATTAGGGAATCAACGCCTGAAGATCCGAGCTGTGTTGTCGGTGAAACCTGGAATCCAAGGAGGTCTGATACAACTTCTGCAACCTCTTGTTCCACTGGGTTGGTCGATGGCGTAGAGTCTGTTGACTGGGGCTGCTTTGTCGTCTCATAGTTGCTCTTGAGTTGTTTCCGATCAACCTTTCCTGAAGGTAGCCTTGGGAAACTCTTCATGAGAACAATATCTCCGGGAACCATGAATGAAGGCAGCCATTTCCGGCAAGTGTTCGTAATATCCTCCATTATGTTTTCCGCGTTTGATCGGCCATCATCGATCGCACAAAAAGCAACCAGTATTCCGCCCAACACCATGGCAACTGCGCTGTGACACCCAGGTGTCCGCATCACAGCTTGCTCCACTTCGCCCAGTTCAATTCTTTGGCCACGAAGCTTGACCTGGCCATCGGATATACGTCCGAGGCAATCCAATGTTCCATCCGCGTTCATCTTGGCTTTATCGCCTGTACGATAAACACGGCCGAAGGGGGTATCAAAAAATGCTGCACTGGTTTGCTCTGGTCTGTTAAGGTAGCCATTTGCAAGTTGATGTCCTCCAACGACGAGCTCTCCAATTTCGCCCAGTGGCAGGATCTTGAATTCGTAGGGCCTCCCCTCATCCGGAATCGCAGTTACAAAACACGATACAGACTCGAGTGGGAAGCCGATATTTGATGAAGGGCAATTTGCAGGATACTGTGGTCGAAGGGTACTGCACCGTGTCAAAATCTTTCTTGGCCTACATGTTACGGAGCGACGACTTACCAATGAATTGCCGCTTCTGTCGGTCCATACATGCCCCATAGTATGCTCTCGGCCTCCTCGCTCCCGCCAAACTCTTTGACGACAGATTCTGTCAACATTTCGCCAATTGTGAGGAGTAGCTTTAAACAAGGGGCATTTTTTCGTGACCGGAGTAGACTACCAGCAACTGTTGGCGTCAACTCGCAAGCATCGACTTGCAAAGTCCTTATGACAGCAGGCAAATCGTTGAGCATACGCCCGCGGTCACAAGTGACTAGGGTGCAACCGCGAAACAGGGGAAAGAAAATTTCGAAGACAGAGACATCAAATGTCGGCGATGCAAACTGAAGAAAGCGTCTGAATTTCGGAATATGTTGATTATGAGCCAGTAGACTTTGAGTTGCAGCATCATGCGAGACTCCAACACCTTTCGGGGTGCCAGTGGATCCAGATGTGTACATGACATATGCTAGACGTTCAGGTGAAGTCCCTGGTTCTGAAGCCGTAGTTTTAGGCAATTCCTCAACCTTGTCTTCATCCACTATCAAGACGACCCTCTCTTGACCATCTTGAGGAATCTTGGAAACTAAGTCATGGCTGACAATAACAACCTTTGCGCCAACGTCCTCAAGGATGAATCTCACTCTTTCAGGAGGAGCATCAAGATGCAAGGGGCAGAAGGCTCCACCTGCCTTGAGGATGGCCAGCATCGATATGTAGAGTTGTGGACACTGAGGTACCAACAGAGGCACGACAAACTCCTCCTCCTCCATCAAGCGGTTTCCGACGGCGGCGGAGATTCGCGTCGCCAGAGCGTCAGCGGCCCGGTGAAGCTCAGCATAGGACCATGTTGATTCTTGACCCTTGCTGTCTAGAGAATGAATCGCAGGCAACGACTCGTCTGACGTGAGGCGCACGAGCTCATGAAGGAAACGCGGTCCGGGGATCCTTTGTGAGGAGGGGTTCAGTATTGAGAGCTTAAGCTCGGGCTCAGCCTCGGTGTCGTCCATGATGGCGGAGGCGTCGGAGTGAAGATGCTATTCCACAGCTCGTGAGGTGATTCAGGAAAAGCTCCTGAGGAGCTCGCGGAGGGTGGTTCGACGTGTGCTGCTCTACATTAGTCTCCAGGCACAACCAAAGAGGACTCGCGTATTAGTCGGATCCTCTTTTCAACGGAAACGGGTACAAGCACAACGGTCAATGCGCCCGGATCCAGATTAAGACTGCCCTGCAGAAGAGGTCAAGAGAAGGACGAGCCAGGGATCACGCCAACCAATAAAACGAATGATGATTCACAGATCTGGTGGCTGCAACGGCTTGTTTGCTATTTGGGGCGCTGGGCAACATGCCACGGGGCAGGCGAGGGGGTCGACACGGGGTCGGCTGTGGGCTGCCGGGCCTGTAAGATTGCAGCAATTACTCAGCTGGGCGGGCAGCGTACAGCAATTCTGCAACGGCGTGCAGAAATCGCCAGAGCTTCGAATGTCGATGATGAAATATGAGATCGTTCATTCGTGGATGATGACGGCGTGTTGGTAGAAGGCAGCTAGTTCCAAGACGGCCCAACCCTGTGCGTGGCGCTCCAGCGACCTGTGCGTAAGAACGATAGGCCTTCAAGATTGCTGAAGGTTTCTGGGGGGCGTGGAAACGGAGCAAATAGGGAAAAGGCGCCGTGGTTCAAAGATGTGAACTCTATTGATTTGCTGCAGATGTTCCCATCAGAAGGTTTAGTAGAAGGGAGAGTGACCGTGACTGGGCGCTGCGCTTGCAACGTACAAAAAGACCGAGAAGAGCTCGGCGAAAGTAAGGCGGCTTGCTAGTGAAGGGGGGGCGGCGTCAGCTGTTTTGGTAGTTTGAGCGACTAGGCAAGCCTAGAGTGCCTTATTACTAGATCTTAGTCACTTAGGTCTGCATAAATGTCCCCTAGTAATGGTTGTGACTTTGTCTTGTGGGATTCATTCATCCCACACGCAATTGGATGCAAGTTTAGGGGCCGGTGAAGGACGGAGGCCCTCCAAAACTGAAAGCTCCCTGAGGACCCAGGGTATGAGGGGCAGTTCCGGCGCTTATGGCGTCATGATTAGAGAAATTCGCCGCGGTCAGTGTGGAAAGGACGGCGTGGTGGGATAAGCTTCGGCGGGCCGTTCAGAGCACTTTTAGCATCTCAAGTTGGACAAGATTTCCCAGACTTGCTAAACATGTGTCCGTGCCTGTCCCTGTGCATGTCCTACTAGAACGTGCAAGTTATTGGTGAGGTCCATTGCAGTGGCGAGCCTGCATGGCATAAGGTAAGGCAAGACATGCCGACAGCCGATAGCCTTATCCGATCTTGCGGCCGACCGGGAGGAGCTTTGACAGTTGCTGTGCGCGACACCACGACCGTCCATGAGTCGTTGCTAAACCACTTGGAGCTACGTCTTCAATAGGTATTTATATCGAAGCCGATCAAGATAGTTTGACGTTCCCGTGTCCAAACTGATGGTTTCTGAGACTTTAGATTTTTTCTTCTTCTTCTTTTCTTTTTCGAGTCTTCCCACACAACGGCAATCTCCGGCGGGCACCACGCGATTACACAAGCTCAATTCAGTATTTCCATGGGTGTTGACTCCATCTCCAACGTCGGAAGGAGGCACAAAGGGTTCAGCTTGAACCTTATGCTAGGGTTCTACACCATGGCGAAATCTGATGGCGCATCCAGAACAGGCCATTTTTCTCCAGACGCCATGCCATGATCGACATTGTACTCATATAGGTTCCCAGTAGGTGGCCGACCTCGTCTGACTGCCGGACAACGGTTGCTGGAATCGGTAAACCGCCCGAGCACTTGCCTCTAGAGGACTTCTGAGATGCGGTACCGCGACGCGCGGGGCTCTTTTTTGGGTACACTCACCAACCATATCAGGAAACTGACGGCAACCCAAAGAGCAGAGGTGGTGGTGGGCAAGACGCATCTCGCCTGCCTGTGCAGACGTTGCAGAACGCCTATGATGCGGAATCTTCCGCAAGTAAGCCTGCGCCGGCGGGATGCTTTGGGTGTTTTGTATGACAGAAAGTGTGGACTGGAACTTTGGAATCTGGCCTGGACAGTTACATGTGGGCATGTGGGCATGTCGGCAAGGTCGGCGATACTACGCCGTAGTGACTAGACGCCGCTCGCCGCATGGAGAAGTCTTGCTGTGCAACGGGCGACGCTGGAAACCATGCATCGCACGGCAGGTAGGGAGCGATACGGGCGTGGGGTCTTGTCACAGGAGTCACCCAGGCTTGCGCTACATTTTGGGACCCCGTCAGTCTGAGTCTAAGGGTGGGCGAGCGCGCGAGGTGAGGTATCACCAATACACCCAGATGGCGTGGAGTGTGGCCCAGATGTGGGGGTAGACTGAGTCGAAAGCAGTACGTAATTCCGCGTGGTTCTGCGTTTATAGCGTCTAGACGTTACTGGCAATGTATGCCGTCTGCCCGTCTTGCTTTTAGTTGCTCATGAGTCGCCCTACAGTGAGTACGCGTCCAATTCCTAGCTAGGCAAAGTTGAGGGAATCAAGTCAAGGTATTCCGGTCAGTCGCTGTCAAATGATTGGGATGCCGTCCTGCGAGAAGCTTGGTCCATCGACCAGGAGCTCCCCGTCATGGCCCCAAAGCTGCTCCGGTGCTCCTCTACCCCCAGTACTGTATTCCGTTCCCGTTCAACGGAGGCACAGCAGACGGCGTGGCACAGTGCTCCGTATTAGTGAATGGATAGCATGGCAAGGGATGGGCGCTTGGGTGCTGTCGGTGGACGGCGCCAATGTGCCATGATGAATGGATCAACTGGATCATCAACTGAACAGGATGGACCAGGGCCGTGGGGCGGTAGCGAAACGAACGTGCTGCAGGCTTGAAGGCTTGGCCATTGCTGGATATGGCTGAGCAGAGCAGACTGCAGACTCGAGACCCAGTTCTGCGTGAGTCGAGGACTCGAGGTATTCAAAAGTGTGTGTATGGCGGACGGGGTTGACTGACGAAGAGGGGGGAGAGGGTATCAAAATTCATGGATGATGACAAGGGGTCAGCTTTTGGAGGAGGGGAACAGGGAAGGAGGGGGAGGGGGTGGATATGGTGGGAAGGAAGTGAAGAAATTTTCCACCTTCCCTGTCACAGTGTACTAGTGTAGCTAAGCACCTAAGGTGCTAAGGTATGTAAGGCAGGCGAGGTAGGTTAGCTTGCTGTTTCCTGCTCTGTTTGTGTGCCTGGCCTTGTCTCGGTTAATTACCTGGAGCCGGTACCAAGTAAGACTGAGGGAAGAAGGAGTGAGGTCAGACAGAACTGCCTGTAGTTTGCCTATTACATGGTGCTTTGTTATAATGTATTGTCACTAGTTGCAGAACATGTAGTTGGGGGTTGTATTCTCTCTTTTTCTTTCGTTTTTTTTTTTTTTTTTTAAAAAAACTTTTCTTTTTCTTTTTTCCCTCCCGTTTTTTCTCTTTTCTTCTCTCCCCCTTCTTCATGCACATGGCCGCTGCCACTCACACAACGCATACCATGTACCTCCTGGTAGTGGATGATCGTCAGTGGATGTCGGTGGGTTTTCGACGCTAAGAGCACGCACATTTAGCAGGGTTATGGCGCCTCAGCAGGGGCGTTTTGCTAGGGCCACAGTGGCATCGTCACTGGGTCTAATTGAGCAGGTACGTAGGCCTTACCTAATTAGACCCGGATCTTATCAGATTTAGATAATCAGATCATCAGATAACTCGTCCAAAAATGATGCCAATGCCACTGAAATTCCCGCAAAGGTGTCCACCGCCGCAAACTCCGACGAAAACCATCGGCCAAACACTTGCCATTTTCGGGGCTTCCCAGCCATCGGGGATCCAGCCATGCTGCAATTTCTTTCATCCGAGTGACCTTTGGAGCCTTGACCTTGTGTATCCGTAGCTATGGAGAAAGCATACATACATAGTACATTTACAAAGTAGTACGATGGAACGAACCTGAGGCCATTTTGACTCTTCTCGGCCCAGACACGCGGAGCCGGGACCTACTCAACAGCTTTGGTGCCGTCCGGTCTCCGATCGGCTCTGGACGGAACACAGGCTGTGGGAGTACCGAGCTACATAGTGTTTGCAAGGTGATGGTGACATCTCTACGAACCCAGGTAATTTGATGGGGTTCGGTCCTGTTATCTGATCCATCTTGTCTGATTAGATCCATCACCACATTTAGCGGAGACACACAGAGAGTACTAAATACGTGGAACAGCCCACTTAAGATCCCTCCCAGTACCACAAACAATGGCTATGATGTGCGGCGAACCTGTTTCCCGCAAAGGGTAATAAAATAGAATAAAAAATAAATAAATAAAGACACAGGCATACTACGTATACTAGAGGCGAGCTCGTTTATTTCCTTACAGCGAGTGACTAGCCGCCGCAGGAATGATGGCACAAATGTCACCCAACCCCTGGAATCCCAATCCCGAGGTCTCTTCGTGGCTGCCCCCTCCCCTCCTCCTGGACCCCCCTTCGCCCGCTCTCGGAGCAAGCTTTGCACATCTCGACTCATGTTTCTTAGTGATCCTGCCGCCTCCACATTGCACAGGATCGCAATAGCCCCGGTTCTTTCCACTGGGCGCCCATCAAGCCTAACAGTGATCTGGCTGGGTGCTGTTTCTCAATGTCCCTGCGAGCCTGAGACGCTACCTGCATTCTTGGCTTTTGCGCACCCATCTTTTCTTTGGGTCTCTTATGGCTAGAGGTAATAGTACTACTCACTTACAGTACTACGTAGTGAGTAAGTAAGTTGGGTACCCGGTCACCGTCGGCACCTTTCGTTACCGTAGCTTCAAGCCCCCCATGCTCTTATACCTTCACGCTCTCTTTTGTCGAACCTGGTTGATTTAGTGTACGAATACGTACATGGTACCTGTACATAAGGCATCATTGAATGGAGGACCTACCTAACCCACAATGTATCTACTTTTTCTTAGCGTATGGTACCCTTGCGGTTTATTTGGTTGAGTTCTGCGCTGTCAGGCAATTAGGCTCGTTTCGGTTTCATACCTTTGACTTGGTTTGCCGGTCCAAGATTGGATCTTATCAGATCCGAAGATAACCCCGAAATCGCATCATGACCCCCTGTCGTGCAGAATTGTTCATCATAGACTATTTTTTTTTATTTTTTTCCCTCTCTCTGTCTCTGTTCTTTCTCCTTCCCTTCTGTTTCTTTTTTGTCTCACACCCCCCCTCTCCCCCTGTACTTTCTGCTGGTCTTCCCACATCGTCGTCGTCCTGCATCTAGTCCCGTCCGATTTCTGCATCGTAACTAATCCAGAGTGGGTCGGCTAGCACTCATTGATCTGCATCTTCGAAATGTCGGCGAGGAGTCCTCGTAAACCGACGGCACGCTCCCAATGCGGACAGCCAACATAGCCGAGCCATCTTCTGCCGCCCGGCTTTCATGTGGTTTGTGTGTTTGTGTGGTTTATCATGAAGTTAACATCATAATCATGAACAACGAGAACATCATATTTGATAGAAAATATTTACGGGGTAGACTTGAGGCTCATATTAACTTTTATGGAAACTTCGCCTCTACCGCCTTAATACAACACCAGACTGTCTTTCACATAGGCTATTTTGCTGTGTCTCAGCACCTAAATCGAACATGACCTTTCAGGGTCCAGTTCTCAACCCTCCCCGCGTTGGGAAAACTGTTCGCCGGCCCATCTGCCCTTGACTCTATTAATTTTTTTTTTTTTTTTCGCCCTTCTTTTTTGTCTTCTGTGCCTCCGGTCCATCCCTCCCGTCCGCTCCACTCCTGTGGCCCGGCACATGCAAACGAGATGCCAAGTCCTGCGACCGCCGCCCGCCTCTGATGCCCAGACACCACCTTTTTTTTATGTGTTTTATTTCTCATGTCAATCATTCACTCTATAGATACTTTATTTGCCTCACTGCTACCTCTGTAGCTCCTGGGCTCGCCTTTTCTCCGTCAACCGAGGGCTGGGTTTGTCCACTCATGTCTGTGTGTACGCATGTACATAGCTAGGTATAGTACTAAGTACACCACACACACACACACGTATATACACGCACACATACGCACCCACACCCACCCAGACACATGAAAAAAAAAAAAAAAAAAACATGGCCTTAGTATGGTCCCAGTCTTCCAGTCCCCATTCCCCGTTCCCAGTCCTGGACCCAGACCCAACCCTTTGCAGGGCGTCCCCTACTAGCTAACCCATCTCTGGAGTCAGCCCGTTGCGACTCTGTCCCTGGCCCCGACCCCTGAATAAGGCAAAGCGTCCGTTGTGGATGGGCTTCTTGCTTTAAGCCGAGATGGCGTTGCGCGGGTACAAAGTGGTAACAAAACTCTGTGAGAGAGGGACAAAAGAGAGTGAGAGAGAGAGAGAGAGTCACTCTGCACTAGGCCAGGCCTACTTTGCAAGGGTTCGAAAGCAGCAGGGCCGCAGGCGTTTTCCGGCAGAATGACAGGATCGCGGCATCGACATTGCCCCATTTGAGCGAAGAACCGAATGTTGCAATTTGAGTAGACTCCTCCAGATGCGCGTAGCTCCCAGTCGCAGTCCCCAGTTCTTCACTTTCCGGGATTTCATTGATCGGGGCGGAGGGCGTGGGCATCATGGGCGTGTGTATTGCTACAACACCACCACCACATGTACCGGTTTCCCCATCAAGAGAGGGATCGGGTGGTCGTGGATGAAGCTCCGAGGGACGAGGGGTCCAGCAGTTAGCCGTTCGTCTCTTTTTTTTTTTTTCGTATCTTTTTTTTCCCGCCCTGGGTCGGACGATCACGTCTGTGTTTTGAGATGCCAGCCTTCCATCGACCCTCCATCCGTCGTCCTACATATTAGCCCCTCGATGCCCCTCCTCTGAGATCTGCTTCCTGTTCCTGTCCGACTCTTGATTCTCCAGCAACTCACACTTTCTCTCTCCTCCCTCTACCCTTCCTCCTATATTCCGCATCTTCAACAACTTGCGGTAGAATTCCACTCTCCCCATCCTCACCTCCTACAACAACTTTGACCAAAGATTCAACCTCAGGGCGCCACTCATTGCGAGTCTATGACGAACAGTGTGGCTTGAAACCTTACCCGTGGAGACAGCTCTCAATCACAAGCGATTATAACGCAGTGACGACAGACCGGATTTAAACGTAATAAAGCGAGGGACAGAACAGAAAAAAAAAAGTATACCCCTGCAGTTTCGCACCCGCATCCCGCATTTACACCGGGCATCATCTCTTTTTCGACCGTCTCAAAAGAATAAACGGAATCAAAGGTCAGTTGATGCTCCCACTCCCTCCCCATGGACCGGAATAAGGGAAAAAAAAAAGCGAGAAATGAATATTTGAAGCGTCATGAAGCTGACAGTTCTTAAAGCGCCCCGATCTGCCCTCCCAGCTGCTTCAGCATTGGCACATAATCTCCTCGATTCGCCCGTCTAGAATCCTCTCATTTTCCCTCCCCAAATCAACCGCCGTACCCGCTTCATTTTGCGACCACGACGCTCTTACACACACGCACACGCACTCATCATACCCACCCATACATTTTTATTTACCCCTCCATAAATACCACCCCCCACCATGTCTCCTCACTGCGACTCGCCGACCAACGGCTCCGACTCCGGTAACGGCTTCTCCCACTTCAACGGCAACGGCAATGCCAATGGCTTTACCAACGGAAACGGCGCCGTCTACCAGAACGGTAACGGCGTCAACGGCCACCACAGCACCAAATCCAGCATCCAACAGTCCCCCTACCTTCTTCCCACCGACCCCAGCGAGATCCATGATCTCATCTGCGTGGGCTTCGGCCCCGCCAGCTTGGCCGTCGCCGTCTCCATGAACGACGCCCAGGAGGCAGGCCGCCAGCTCACCGGCCAGGCCTCCCCCAAGGTCCGCTTCCTCGAGAGGCAGCCGGCCTTCGCCTGGCACCCGGGCATGCTGCTCTCCGGAGCCAAGATGCAGATCTCCTTCATCAAGGACATGGCGTCGCTGCGCAACCCTCGCTCCCAGTTCACCTTCCTCAACTACCTCCACAGCAACGACCGCCTCGTCGAGTTCACCAACCTCGACACCTTCCTGCCCGCTCGCGCCGAGTACGAGGACTACCTGCGCTGGTGCGCCTCCCACTTCAACGACGTCGTCGACTACGGCCGCGAGGTCGTCTCCGTGTCCCCCGACCCCCAGACCTCCTCCTCGGGCGGCGTCAAGACGTGGACCGTCAAGTCCCGCGACATCAAGACGGGCCAGGTCAGCTCCTACCAGACCCGCAACGTGCTGATCGCCAACGGCGGCCAGCCCAACATCCCCAAGGTGCTGCCCGCCAAGCACCCCAAGATCATCCACTCGTCGCAGTACGCCCAGCTCGTGCCGCAGCTCCTCCGGGACAACTCGAGGCCGTACCGCGTCGCCGTCATCGGCGCGGGGCAGAGCGCCGCCGAGATCTACCGCGACATCCACCGCGCGTACCCCAACTCCAAGACGTGGATGATTATGCGCTCCAACTTCCTCAAGCCCGCCGACGACTCGCCCTTTGTCAACTCCATCTTCAACCCCAGCTACGTAGACGAGCTGCACCCCAAGTCGCAGGGCTACCGCCGCGCCCTCATCAAGGAGGCCAAGGCCACCAACTACGGCGTCGTCCGCCTCCAGCTCATCGAGCACCTCTACGAGATGCTCTACCACCAGAAGCGCCTCCTCGGCCTCGACGAGCGCAAGTGGCCCCACCGCATGCTCTTCGGCCGCAACATCGTCCACGTCGGCGAGAGCAAGGAGACGGAGCGCCTCCAGATCCACGTCCGCAGCGTCGAGCACGGCCTCGACCTCGACGACGGCTTCGCCGACCAGCAGCTCCCCGGCGACGAGGTCCTCGACGTCGACCTCATCGTCGCCGCCACCGGCTACCAGCGCAGCGCCCACATCGACATGCTCCGCGACAGCTGGTCCCTGCTGCCCGAGGTCGCCCCGCCCGCCAACGCCGCCGACCGCGAGATCGTCGACGGCTGGGAGATCACCGAGGACGGCGCCGACGCCACCTCCGGCTCCAGGAAGCTCGAGGTCGGCCGCGATTACCGCGTCCGCTACGCTCCCGGTTCCGTCGCCCCCGGTTCTGGTGTTTACCTGCAGGGATGCTGCGAAGCGACCCACGGAGTAAGTCCCCCCACTTACACCCATTCCCAAAAAAAAAAAAAAAAAAAAAAAGGTTTGCTGACGTCAATCCCAATTATAGCTGAGTGATACCCTTTTGTCTATTCTTGCCGTGAGATCGGCCGAGGTTGTCGACTCCATTTTTCCCTCGACCCCTAGGGCCAAGGCCGTTTCCAACTAGAGAGAGAGAGAGAGAAGAGCATTGTTTGTTTCCATCTTGTTAGAGAAGAATTCACGTGTGGCGTGTGCGAGTGTTGCATGGTGATAGAAAAGAGACGGGCTTGTTCATGGGATTCATTGTTTAAGGGACATGGAATGATGTGCTGACGACATCTCTTTGTGTGTTGATTGGTCTTTTATTTTTTTTCGGTGGTTTCTCTTTTTTTTTTTTTTTTTTTTTTTTTTTTCGACTATTTCGAGTCGGGTTGAAAAGACATGGCGCGGAGTTAAAATTCATTTCGTCTCTTTAATACTCCAGAAAAATTGAAGAAAAATATTTCTGATGTTCAAATTATAGCAGAGGGATCTTTCTACACTTTTTGAGAGAGTTCTTGCTGTCTGTTCTTGATGAGACCTGTTTTATCTTCTTTTTCATCCTCTCGCTATATGAGATAGTTATTACTGTATACTTGCAAATCATTGTTGTCTACCCAGGTCACGAGCTCCTGATAGAGCGCGTCGCCTTCGTTCACCTGATGATGTAGACCAGGTCCCGCTGGAAATGTCGGCTGCTGATGTTGTTGGTCGTGGTGAAGATGAAGTTGGTGATAATCCCGAGGGCCCGTCGTCGTAGGCGTGCTGCTGCTGCTACTGGCACCCAGTGCCATCTCCTCCGGCGCGAAACCAGGCGTAGGTGGTCCCCCAGCACCCACGATTCGCACAGTTGGCACGGGTTGCGGGGCCAAACGCAGGCGCTGAATGAGCGACCTGAGATCCTCCAGCACCGTGGCGCAATCGCGGGCGTAGTTGCTCCCTGTCTTGGCCTCCTCCTCGAATACACCAATGGCGAAGCCGACGTCTTGGAACTCGGTGGACGGAGATGGCGGCAGTCGTTGCTGCTGCTGTGGGGGAAGGAGCTCCTCCAGCATCAAGATGATGGCGGCGTTAAAGACGTAGTGCAGGCCTGCCTGCAGGAGCTTCCGAGTGCCGCCGTTGAGGGCGAGCAGCCAGTGGGCTAGATGAAGGTTACGACGGGCGGCATCAGAGCAGGCGCGGATTCGGGAGGCGTGGTGCTCAATGTTCCATCGCCGGTCGGTGGTGATGTAGCGCTCGGCGAAGGCTTTCTTGACCGCCACGAAGAATATGGGGCGTAGGAGGAGGATTATGTGCTGTTGGTACCCCGGTCAATGAGCAAGGGGACTCTTTCGTTGCTTTTCGTGTTCCCTTTTGGGGAGGGGGGTAGAAGATGGGAATCGGAGGGGGAGGGAACGTAGCATGTGTCAAACCCGGCGGGAAGGAAGCGAGAAGAGGGGGTCCCGAGCCGAGGACAGACAAGCTTACCTGATTGTATCCCATGTGCAGTAGACAGCATGCGGGATCGGTACTTCTGAGGTCGGCTGGCATCTGCAAGGTAGGGGGTAGCGAGGCGAGCCAGCTCTCGAGCATCTGCAGAGCTTGGTCGACATGCCGTGCCGCTCCGCCAGGATGGTGGTCGAAAGGGGCGACTCTATACGTGTTGCACACAATGTGGCTCGAAATGCGGGCCAGCTCGACGTGGGCTCGGAGGCCGGCTGCAGGGGGTAGGGAACTGCATGGGCGAGGCGCGCGTTGGCGATCATGTCAGACGAGGTTGCTTGTTGGTTGATAGCTCGGCCGTCATCGGAGGCGCACCATCGGTGAAGGACAGCAAGGGGCAGGGGTTGACTTGACTTACGGGGCATCGTTTGGTAAGGGGAGACGGACTGCGTCGTCCGAGATGGTCGGCGGACGGCCCATGAGACAGCTCAGCCAGCGGTCGAGGATGTACAGCGTCCAAAAGACGCGCTTTCCTCGCTCGTCCACCCAACCTCTGTGGGCACCATGCATCATAGAGATGTGCATGGCGTTGCTGACATACATGTAGGCGGCATCGCGGCGGTTCATTTCTATAAGGTAAAAGCCCATGAGGGCAAGCACAGCAACGTCGCTGATGGTCCAACTGGTTATGTCGAGAGGGTTGCCGAGGAGGAGACGCGCGCGGGCGAAGAAGACCTGGCTCATGTCCGAGGGGTCAGGCATGCGAGCGGCCGTCGTGTTGGCCTGGCAGGCGACGGCGAAGGCGGTGTGATAGAAGGCGAGATGACGATATTTGTCCAAGATGTCCTGACGAGACATCTCGGATGGAAAGGAGACCGGATTCGGGTCAACGGGGACGGAGCCGAGGTCGCCCCACCAGTAGATGCCGCCACAGGGAAAGGCACCGTTCCCATCTTGTATGAAGTAGCGGAGGTCATTAAGCATGGCCGACATGTCGACTCGGGACGGCAGCACAAGCGGATCGATATTCGCCTCTTCATAAATGGGCCGGGAGTCGTACGTCTGGTATCGCCCGAGGGACGCAAGAAAAGTTGAGCCATTGTTGGGTGTCGGCGACAGCCACGGTCTGTTGAAGGCTAGCGGGAATATAGTGGACATGAACTCCTTGAGATAGTCAAGGAAAGTGGCGCCGGAGGTCTCGCCGAGAAAACGGGACTTTCCGTCCGGGTCCGATAACATGCGACCGGCGGTCTCGGTCTCATCCACAGTTGCGGCGGCGTCGCCGGGGCCGTCCCTGCGCGGCTGTGGCGGCTGTTGGGTGTGTTGCAGCGGAGGAGTAAATGACGAGCTGGACTGGGCACGGAAGGCGGCGGGATCAGCCTCTTGCTCCAGCAGTTGTTGTCTCTCGGCAGCATCAGGGACCTTGGCTTGCAGGGCCCGTTCGGCAGCCTCGCATCGCCTCCGTAGGTCATCCAGCTCGCTGCGGGAGATGGAGACTTTCTCGACAGGCGCAGGATAAACGCAGTCTCGGGAGGAGCCTCGACACTGACGACAAGGCCTTTCGCCGGAGCATTTGATGCGACGGATGTTACAGCTATTGCATCTGCAAAAAGATTGTAAATGAGAATCAAGGTGAGTGAGAGCGGATGAGTGAGAAGGAGTGAGACATCAAAGCCCGTGTGAAGCTAGCCTCAGGCCAATGAGACGTGAGGAAGTAGCGAATGAAACGGGATGAGTGAGAGTCACAGAGAGGTATAGAAAGAGGAAGATGAGAAGAAACAGAAGCAACAGATGAGGAGAAGGGGGGAAAAAATAAGAGAAAAAAAAAAGAAAAAAAAAAAGGTCGGGGCAATGACAACTCACGCTGTGGCGACGCGCTTTCTCTGCTCAGGTGCTACCTTGTGTCGTCGAGGGTTGACAGGTAAACGGGATCCACGACTTGGGTTTTCTGTCTCTTGTTGCTGGTGCTGCTGCATCCTGGTGCTGCGGGCGAGTGAGACCGCATGTCACCGTCGGCGAGTCTCGTGTTTGGAAAAAGGACGTGACTGGGACTGAATGAGTTGGTGAGTGAGAGATTTGAGCGACGTTAATGTCGGAACTGGAGTGTTGGTGCGTGCGTGAGCGTCGGTTGCGCGAACCGAAGGCGTCGCCAGCAGAATTGGTGTGCGTTCGGTGTACCTCGCTAGGTGAGAGAGAGTTCCGGTGGTGGACACCGAGATGGGATAGCTATGTAGGTAGCTCAGCCTTCAAAAGGGCCCAGATTATGGATAATTGATGGCCAATCGCGAAGGTGGCTCTGGGTTCGGGTGTTCTTGTCGAAGGGTTGATGTTTAAGGATAACGTTTTTCTTCTTTCTGTTACCCAAAGTCCTCAGCGAAGGCTGACTGTGTGGGACGTCGGATTCAGATTCAGATTCGTTCGCTTGCAAAGGGCTACCCCGGAGGAAAGACTGCTGCTGGTGGACATTCCGTGGAGAATGGAGATTTTGAAAGCCCGTTTCGCTGAGCAGCCGGGTAGGGAGATGGGCGCAGTATACACACTAGGTAGGGGGTGTGGGAAGGGCGACGCAATGAGATTTGGGGGTCGGGGGCTCCATGTTAGGTGGTGCTTACTTTTGTGGGCGGAAACACTAACAGAAGACATAGAGGGAGGTTTACTTACTAGCCACAGCAATGCCACTGCAACAACTTTCGCTGTCATTTTCCCTCCCCTCCCCTGTTCTTCCTTTCTGCACGCTGCGAGCTGCAAGTTTCTCTCGGTGAATCACACTCGAAGCACCAGGTTCCCCCCTCCCTCCCCTCCCTCGCCATTGCAAATTCGGATTTGGGGGTCGGAGGGCTGTTGATCGTTGATTCAAACCCCTGTGCTGATTGGGGCTGGGGGCTGTATGCCTAAAGTATTCGGGGCCTGGATTCTCAACCTTGGTAATGGTACCGTATACCAACCAATCCATACTTAGAAGCAATCCAGAAAATCAAGACTAAAGAAAAATAGAAAATACCAAAGGGCCAAGCCATCAATCAATCAGACCCATGGCCAGGGAAAAGGAATGGAAGCTTCTCCAAAAGGCTCGGAACTAGGTTAAAACCTTCGCCACCAGGACCTTCCCCAACCTCAGGTACTCAATGTATGGCTATCCAGCGAGCTACCTTGCTCCTCCCCTCCTTAATTGCTTCCCCAGGGTGCCAGGCTACCATGTGAGGCTAACCGGCGTATCTGCCTTCCACAACCTGGTTGGTTTAGATACTACGTAAAAACAGATAGGCAAAGGGCACAGACACTTTCAGATAGGTACGGACGACAGGCATAGATGTCACCCATACTACGTGTAGTGTGGCATAATGGCTACATGTTCACCTCATGTCCCACTATTCCTGGCAGTTCCGGGTGTCATAGCTTGCCGCAGGTGCCAGCAATTGGACGTAACACCCCTTCCTTCCAGCGGCTACGGCTACGCTACCCAGGCAGGCACACTCGCTTAGGCGGGAAGAAGCAGCTAACCCACTCCCCTATTTTGCCTCAGGCCACCTCCTGCCAATTGCTCTCACCAGGTTACTCCTGCCATCTGCACTTGCTGCACACACGCAACAACTGCACTCTTGCCCTTCGGCCGATTCTTTACGGGCCGGTGGAGAAGTCGCCCCCTCTTCTGCTTCGTAACCTCGCCTGCTGTTATTTGTCCATTCCCTTCTAGCCCGTTGTTGCCGTTTGCCGTCGCCAGCCTTCACACGTGCTTCGCATGACTACCCAGCAATACGTACAAGTACCTGGTACGGAGTATCTTCCGAGAGTCAAAAAAGAAAAGCAAAGAAACTGAGACATATCACCATCACCTCGATCAACGCCCGCCGCACATACCCCAGAGCGGCGCCTCTTGACGCTTATTTCTTTCTGGCTTGCCGTCGTTCTCCTCACTCCGTTGTACTGGACACCGAATACCAACTCCTTGTTCCCCAAAAACGAAAAGCCTCACCAAGTAACCACCGATGGCTCCATCACACGCGGAAACGTCGCATGAAATGCCCTCATAAACTTGAAGAGAAGATCCTCTCTACCCTTCGCCGCTACTGCGAAGAATCCAAAGGGCTGACCGTTGGTCTGCAAGTTGCCCAACGGGACCGTTGCAATTGGCCATCCCGCGGCCCCCGCAAACCCGACTATTAGAGAATCTGACGCCGACAGGATGATGTCTACTTCTGCATCCCTCATTATCTTGCCTAGGCCGTCTCCGCCTGCAAGCCTTCGAATCTCGGTTACCGCTCCTTGTCGCTCAGCTTCCGTCATGGCCTTCCCCGCGAGCACCGCTGCCTCCAGCTCCGTCTGCGTCGTGTAAGCTGTCACATTCTGTCAGCACTGCAGATGACCCCTGGTTCTTGCCCGCATCTTATCAGGCACGCCTGTAGCAACCCACGTTCAGGCAGGGCTTGTGCCGCATGCTCCTTGTTCCAGACAATCACGTCCTCAAGCGTTTTGATGTCCCCTGTTGTCGTGTCAAAGTAGTTGGCAAACTTTGCTACTTGTGACGGGAATTCGTGGTCTACTAAGCTGTCAGAAAAGGTAGGGCCACTACTACGACCGGGGTGCTTCGGAATCTCTTACAGGCTACCGTATGAAGCGTTTGCTTGTTGTAAACAACCGTGTTGTACCCTGGCAGCTCAACCGGGTACACCACGCGAGCTCCGGACGCTTTCATCCTAGCGATTGCCTCCTGCCAAGTCAATTGCTACGGATATAATCAGAACAGTGCTTCATTGGCTCAATGATGCCTGTTTCACAAGCTACTCACCACGTGGGAATGTCCCCATTTGTCCTTTGCCGTTTCATGAATACCCCAGAGCACGTCAGTGACACCAAGTGAAAGGCCTTCCCAGCTACTACTCCTATTGAGTTCACAGATCTTCGGCACGCTATTTGAAGCTTGGTCGCCGGCCAATATATCAGCCAATGCCACCAAGTCGTTGGGGTCCCTAGCCATAATCCCAATGCCATCGAAACTGGCACTCAACTTGAAGACGCCATCAGTCGAAATCAAGCTCGGCGTGGGTTTCATGGCGTACAACCCTGAAAGGCTTGATGGGTAGACCGTCGAGCCGCTCGTCTCGGTGCCTAAAGCTAGTGGGCAGAAACCAGAAGCAATAGAAACTGCCGACCCTGACGAAGAACCTCCCGCTACCTGTTGAAACGTCACTCGTTGTCCGATTCTGAAAGAATGTAACTCACGGGCTGCTCAGCCTCGGGTAAATCATTACGGCGATAGGGAGACTTCGTCTGGCCACCGTATGCGCTCCATCCCACCGGCGTGTTGTTGGATCTGGGCTTGTCAGCGGCCAGTTGGTTATTGGATTGTAGGAAGGGGCATACTAACTTGAGGCCGCAAAACTCCTGTAATCTGTCAGTGCAATTGTTAACCAAAGGCGGCCTAGGTTTAGCTCACTGTCATGTTGCTCTTCCCCAGAATGAGTAGCCCCGCATCGATGAGCTTGTCAATTACAGGCGCATTTCGAAGTGCCGTCCTCGAAGCGAAAGCAAATGATCCCGCCGTCGTGGGCATACCCAAGTCCTTACTCGTAACTATAACGTCCTGGGCGCGGCTTAGTATTTATTGCCGCAGCGGCCTCCGAGCCGAACCTTACCTTGACTATAATAGGGATTCCGTGCAGCTTGCTACGGACATGACCTGCCTGCCTTTCCCTGTCGAGCTCATCCGCCTTGGCCAGGACAATCTCCTCGGGACAAATGCTTATCACGGCATTGAGTGACTTGTTATGCTTCTTGATCTGCCGAAGGAATAGCTGGGTAAGCTCCACGCTGGTTAGAGAGCCAGTCTCGAGCCTCCGTTGGAGCTCCAGTGCCGTCGCGGTGAGTGGGTTTGTTGATCGTGTCATTATGAGTTTCTATTCCCTCGAAATTCTGTTAAGTTTCTGGTTCATCTCAACAACACGGTAGTAAACAGCGAGACGCTCGTAAAAGCTGATACATGGCTTTGCGTGATGCGGGGTCCCAAGGGACCTTTTGTCATCCACGCCCCTCACTTTAGGACCATGGAAGCTCTCATGGAGTGGGTCTGAATGCCGCTTCCGGTTTCTACGGTATCTGCCTAACCTATTGATAAAAGAGATGCTTATTCACACGCAAACCCATTACGTGGAAGATATGAATTCGCGCTATTTGGAGGGGTTGGACCACATAAGCTTCTCAACATGAGTACTCCCAGCACACCGATTGCGTGACCGGGTAAGGCCAGTTGGCTGCCACCTGCTGCCACCTGCGCTGCCAGTATCACCTGGCCCGGACGAGTCCCGGCCGAGAGTTTCATGATGACCTCATAATCAATCACTCCTCGGCCGGGAAACTACCCAGCGAGACAGCAACATCCCATGCTTCAATCACGCTAAACTGGGAGTCGCAGAGTCCAACGACGGGCATTTGTGAGACATCAGGACTCATTCGGTTGTAATGGATTCAGGAAAGAAGCCAATGACTCGTCGCATCGTCGTCTCGTCCTTCATCTTCAAGTTTCCTCCCGACAGCGGGCCCCAGGTTGCGCTGTTCCGACGGAGCGACAAGGTCCGGACATACCAGTAAGCCTGTTCAACCTTTTTCATCCCATTTCCTGTTTCGGCCCCGACTAAGGAACTTCAGGCACCGTCTTGCTCCGGTCTCGGGCAGCGTAGATAAGGACGACCCGTCCCCTTTGGACGCTGCATGGCGTGAAATCAACGAGGAAACGGGGTTGACGCCGGCCACGCTCACGCTTTTACGCAAAGGCAAAGATTACCGCTTCGCTGATGAAAGTATCGGTCGCGAGTGGGTGATTCATCCCTTCGCCTTCCGCCTCAAGTCCCATGAGGACGAGGCCCGGATCAAGATTGACTGGGAGCATACGGGGTTTCAATGGTTCGACCCACGGGAGGTCCGTGATGTGGATGAGTTCGGTGGCGTGCCGAAGCTTGCTGAGAGCCTTCGTCGGGTCTGGTTCGAGATTGAGCTGGGCGAGAAGAGAGGCGAGATTCTCAATGACGGGCTCGTTGCGCTGCAGAGGGATCATGAAAGCGGAGCCAGGCAGTTGGCGGGGAAGGCTCTCGACGTGTTGGTGGATGTCATGGCAGAGGGAGATGAGTCGCTGACGAAGTGGTGGCGGAATACAAGGCTGGCGGCGTGGCATCTATGGAAGAATGTACGGGAGAGTATGGGCGCCGCCATCTTGAACGTGATTGTGAGATCATTGGCCATCATCGAGCAAGAGGTGAGGAGCGTTGATGGCGATGAAGTGTCGGGAGAGTTTCTGGATACGGTTAAACAGAGGCTGAGGGAGTATGCTGCATCCAGAGATGGCTCGGTGGACGGTATATGGAGGTCGTTTGAGGGTTTCTTGCGAGGGCGCCATCAACCCGACCGACCCGTTCGGGTCCTCACGCTCTCTTCAAGCTCGACTATCCTGGAATGCCTCCAAAGAGCGATTGCAGGGTTCGACTCCGAGTTCGACGTCAGGATCCTGGAGTCACGGCCGCTATTCGAAGGTGTGTCAATGGCCTCGAGACTGGTCAGTCGTCTTCGGGAGTCGGGCGTCGAAAGGGAAAAGAAAGTTAACGTTTCGATTTACACCGATGCGGCGGCCGCCATTGCCAGTGAGGGCGTCGATCTCGTCCTCATTGGTGCGGATTTAATAGACAAGGACGGGTCTACGAGCAATAAGACGGGCTCATTACCAGCTGTTCTCTCGGCAAGACATTGTGCCCCCGACGCCAAGGTCCTGGTCCTCGCAGAAAACGAAAAGATCCTTCCATACGAGCCCCCAGGGCATGAAGAGAATGATATTGAAGAGGTTGTCGCGTCCTGGAGGCGGGAGGACTCCCTGCAAGAGGCCGCTTCGACGGTGCTGAGTTACTCTCGGGAGACCCCCGACAAAGGCCTCAAGGCAAGCGTGAGGAACGTCTACTTTGAATGGGTTCCCGAGCGCCTCATTGACGGCTACATGTTCGAGGACGGACAGAAAAGTGCAAAGGATATATCTGAACTTGCGGGTCGCATTCGCTGCGAGGCAGATGCCTTCTTCGCCGACGTCTAACTGAGTAAATGACCACCTTCATTAATAATTACATAGATTTTTCCACCCCTTTCATTAAAGACCGTAGATGAAGGTCCATTTCTTGTCGGCGTAGCGCGTGCTATCGACCCGCTCCCTCTCGATGTCCTCCTGCGTCTTGTTTCGCATGACTTCCAGCTTTCTTCGGTTGACCGCCGCCAGTGTGAACCTGTACGCCAAGTATCCCACAAGCGCGGCCGCCACGAAGCCCAATGTCGCGTAGAAGGGTATCCGGTAGCCAGGCTTGTACCGGTCGCGGTAGAGCTGCGAGCCGATGACGCCGGCGAGGTTGCCGAAGCCGTTGACGCCGAGAACGAGCGACCTCTTTCCTGGTTCTGTTTTCACAAGTGGGTATAATCAGCAACTCCATCTTCCAAGCAAGGTATTAATGTTTTCCGCAGCTCTTTCTTACCTGGTGTGTTTCCGCTTAGCCATGCAACGGTCAGCGGTGCTGCGACGTAGCTGCCGAAAAGGAGGACACAAAGTGACGCGTATTTTCCGGCGTGCGACTCCACGGTTACCGTCGCGATCAGGCCGACGAGAGCGATGAGGATTCCACACACGATGTGGTAGCCGCGCTCCTTGCTGCTAGCTATTAGACATGGATGCAGTCTCAGGGGTTCTGGGGAAGAACGTACTGGTAGTCCGAACTCAGGGCAAACAGGTATAGCCCGAGGGCACCGCAGACGTACGGAGGAACGGACATCTAAAGGGGACGGCTTTGTTAGGACCTTGTTATCGAAAGGCATGCCAGAACTTGTCACGTACCAGATTCGCGTGGATTGACGAGTACCCAAGACCCTGAACTACCAGCGGTAGGAACACGGAAAATGCCTGTCCCGGGACGCTGGCGCAGATGTTGAACACCAGAATGTACCACAGCTTCCAGTCCGTGAGGGTTTCGACAACGTCCCTCTTCTTCAGACGTTCGTTCTCGATGCCGTTCTCGCCGTATGTGTGCTCGACGAAGAGGGCGCTGTCCTGCTTCATCCGCTCCGCCGCGAACCGGCGCTCCTCCGGTGTCAGAAACCACGCGGATCCGGGGCCGGACGGGAGGAGGAACCATGCGACGAGGCCGAAGAAGACGGTCAAGGCGCCCTCGATGATGAAGAGGTATTGCCAGTTCTTGAGGGGTCCGCCGCGCAGGTGGAAGACTCCGTAGGCTGTTTTTGTGCAGTTAGCAAGTTTCCATCCCATATTAACAAGTACAGAAGTGTAGTTGGCACAAACGCACCGATAGCCCCTGAAAAGGCACCCGCAACCGCATATTGTCCGTAAAACAGGCCAACTCGGACGGCGAGGTCGTATCTGCAGTAAAAGAACGAGAGGTAGGCGACGGCAGTCGGGTAGAAACCGGCTTCGAAGGCGCCGATCAACAGACGGGTGGCGATGAGAGCACCTGTCCAAGAAACAATTAGAAGATTTCGCGGAAAACAGTTAGGCGTCACGACTAACCTCGGCCGTTAATGAATGCCTGAATCAAGGTTATAAACCCCCAACCCACCTGTGTGTATGTTAGCACAGCGTCAAACTTTTTTTTTTTTTCCTATGGCGTTTTGCTGTTGTCACTTGTGTAACCTACCATCATGATGGGGATCCAATGCTTCGCTCCGAGCCATCGGCCAATGGCCGCCGAGGGAGGCTGAAACAGAACAAAAGTAATGAAAAATAGAGACACGGCGAGATTCAAATCATCCGGGACGGCTCCAATGTCAGCGGTGAAGCCTACGGTGGTCCAAGGTCAGTTGGTTTCGAAAATGACTCGGCCTAGTGTCGGTCGTCTTGGAAAGGGGGGAAGGGGGGGAACTGTTTTTGTTCACAAACGCACCTTGGGTCTGGGCGTTTCCCACGTTTCCTCTATCAAGACCGTTGAATAGATAGAGAAGAGAGAGGAGAGGAAGAAGGGCAATGTCCATCTTCCTGTTGATTCGGCGGTTCATGGCGGACTCGTTCATCGGTTCCGAGCCATTGTCCTCCTGGTTCCGGAGAGACTTCCCCTCCGAAAATGAGGAGACAGTCTCCTGGGTTTCGGCGCTGTTGGAAAGTCGACTCATTTTTCCCCCCTTTTTTTTTTCGGTTGATCACTTTCTTTTTTTGTTTTTTTTTTAAACGCCAGCTCCGTTGATTAATATCAGTCTGGAAACTGGTTTCTCCTGGGAACACACTGACTGATATGTTCTGCCCTGCCTAAGAGCGGTTCCTTTATAGTAACTAACCTCATGGGCGAATTCTCTACTTAATACAGCTTCCCGTATCGGTGGAAATACCTTGGATACCCGGAAACGGATTTTGAGCCTCAACTGCCTGCATCGGCCGTCATGCCATTACTTGATGTCATGCCAATATCAGTCATAAGGCAGCAGCTGCAGTCATGATGCACTGTTCTCAGCCCTAAGAGGCTGACCGGCAGGGGGGGGTTTGAAGAGCGGATGCCGAAAGGCGAGAGGTGAGTGGTGAGTGGTTAAATGGAGAGAAATTGAGATGCCTACAGAGTAAGCAAACCAGAGACGGGCATCAACCAGTCCGCGTTGACGCTATCTTATTTTTTTTCATTTTTATTTTTTTTTATTTTTCTTTGGTCGGCCGCACTCCTTTCCCCTCTCAAGAGTGGAGTGCAGAGTAAGAGTGAGAATTCGGTGAAGCGGAATGGAGCATGAGTCCTGTCGAGATCCCCCTCATCCCCATGCATCACGTCAGTTGACCTTTCGGCTTTCCACCTTTTCCTGGGTTATTCGGTCCTCCTCTCTCTCGGCAGTGCTAACTACTGCAGAGTACTTCTCGTCTGACTTGACTGGAAATTCTACGGGTCCCTTGGTATTGTTTTTTTTTTTTTTAGCCCCCAACGGCATTTCGTCCGTGGTTCCACACGGACGGCCATAGTCACCCCCCTTGTGTGTGCACCATTGACCCTCCCTCGAGCTCCGAAGGGGGGCATTAGCTTCTTACGCCGTTGAAGATTGTTAGTCTTTATTCATGTTTAGTCAGACCGTTCCAGGGCTAGTGAAACGGGGGGGAACGAGGAGAACCTTGACGAAAAGGCAAAAGATTGAGTGGAGGCGAGAACTGTCTGAATGACATTTGACACACATGGATCAGGGGAGAAGAAGCATTCGTCCAATGTAAAGGCTGCGTTTGCGGGTTGATAAGTATTGGATGGGGGTATGTATACTACGCATTGGCGTACTAGTAGTTTGTGAGTCGTCTGCCTTGCGTGAGTGGCGGACTTGATGGACACTTGATTGACTGATGAACGGGAAAACTTCGTCCATGTACAAACAGGGGGTCAAAGACTAGAACTCTCTTGTCTGGTGGAAAGTTTTGTTCCCCTTTTTTTTTTTTGTGTGTGTGTGTGTGTGTTCGTTCTCTTTCCCCGTGACTCTCTACTTATTTTTCTGCAGCTTAAACGAACGACTCGATTTGCACATTCAATGGCGAAAAGGCAAACTGTGTCAGGCGGGCTTTTCATCTGTCAGCCTAGCCTGGTCTAGCTCAGCCCAGATCTTGAATTGGGCAAAGTACCATGCAGAGTAAGATCTGATGGACGGTGCCGGGGGCCTGGGACGTGGACCTTGGCGGCAGTTGGAGGCAGTTGGGAGGCAACTATCAGCCCTGTTTTTTTTTTTTTTCATCGTTCCAGAATCTAGGTTGTCGATTGGGTGTGCTTCCGTCGGTGCATGTCTCACTTATCTCCCGGGCGCTCGGTGCCGATCCCCTTGCGTCTACGTGGTACTCGATACGGTAAGACGAGGTGGGACTTTGTCTGATAGGCTGACTGTGGAAGAATTTCCCCTTTGAGAGAGATGTGAGATGTAATCATCACCGAGGACAGAACCTCGCAAATGCGAAAGAAGGGTCTGTGAGTGAAATACGCTTTTTTTTTTTTTTTTCCCTCCCAAAATCTTGCCTACCAGAGGTGAACCCCCTCTTTCTGTTGTCGCACGAACACGAGAAGGGTTCGGGTGTGATTCAACCAAAAACTCTCACTTGTTCTGCTGACATCTTTGTGGTTTTGCCGCGATTTCCTGGGAGGGGGAACATGTCCGCTTCTCCAATGCTTCTCCAATAGGCGTGGAAGACAGTTGCCAAAACCGGCGAGAGACATCACCCATGAGCCGGGTACATCCGTCATAATGACCGAAGGAGGGAGATATGTTCATTTGGGCCTCTAATGTCGCAGTGTGCGGTGTTCGCGATAAACCTTCATTTTAATATTTGACATCTTTAATGTCCTCATTCTCTTTTCATATAGAATGGTACGATGTTTTAACCAACTCGTCTTTAACTGAGCCGACACAAACGTGCTAAGGGAGGTCTGGCCCCGTCCAACGGTTCCCGCTGTTATGGAACCCCCTATCTTTTCAATCGGGGGGTTAAGTCGGTTCATTGTCACCCGTTGTGGGCATCTTCCCTTGGTCCAGTGTGGGTTTCTGTGTTGGACCGTTGCCTGTCAGTTGAGCTTGTGTAACCTCACCCACCTCGGGACAACTGAATGTTGCGTAGGCCGATCGCACCCACATGATGTCGGGGCCACTCCAATACCCACTTCTGTCTGATCTGGATTCTTAAGACGTAAAACGCTTTTTTGGTTTGACAGCTAACGAATGGAACCTAATCTCCTCCCCCTCCCCCCCTGTTCTCAGCAAAGAACAACAGTCTCCCATCTAGGGTTACAGTCTTTCCACATGCTGGTTTGTATCATGCCTACTTCAACTCGTCGCGCAACAAATGGCTCACAGGGCAGCCGTTCTACCATCATAACACACAGCTGCCACGTTTTGTCCCATTGGCGCATGAAAGCGAGCCATTTTCTGATGCTGTACGATTCCAATGCCCCGCAGATGACGATAAAGTCAAAGAGCCGTTTGTTGCCGTTGGCATCCTCTCGCGGTTCGATCCATTCGCGGCTCACCCGATTCAGTATGCCCACCCTCTCCCCATTTTCGGCACAGATCTCCACGCCAACGTCGTCACCGCCGCTATCCTCCTCTGCCTCCTGACCCCTCTTCGGACTCCTCTCTGGCAGGTCAAAGTGCTTGATGCTCAACGAAGCCACTGTGGTGTTGAACACTAGGGAGCCCGGAAACAATGCGGCAATGCTCTGGGCCTGTGAGTCTAGCTGCAAGTGACCACGTGCCTCCCACGGGTTGTGAGGGCTTTGCTTCCAGATGAGGTCGGACCTCCAATCTGCAGGTCTCGCCTTTTGCTGTACCAGGGTTAGCGGCAACTCCGTCCGGCAGGCAATTTCTGCGATGCTTGTTTCGTGTTCCATCCATCGTTGTTCTACTTCCAGTTTTCGAAACCCCTTGTCGGGGTCTTGGTAGTAGAATTCGACGAGGCTGGCTATATGTTGCAGCTGGTTTTGGCTATATGGTTTTCGTCCAGAAATCCGCTGGTAGTCCACAGGCTTCAGAGAAGATGCCCAGCTCCAGCTGGGGATGTGTGGCACCTCGCCTCGTCTTGCGAGCGAGCCTACACAGCTCCACATCAGACTCTGGGTCAGGAATTTCTCTGGTAGTCCAAAAAGCAAACGCGTCCCCAGGGCGTCGCGTAGTACGTTTCCGACACCCATGAAAGCGTTGATAATGTCCGTGCCGAAGGAAAGCTGGCGTGAGCTGTAGCTCTCTATCCAGTCACGGTAGTCTTTTAGGGACGGCATCTCGGCGATGTAGAAGCCGACGTCACCTGAGAAACCCTTCCGCTCAACATTTCCGGGGGCTAAGTATTCACCTTGTGTCTTCGTAAGCTCAAGTTGATTATGGTCTGTTTCGGAATTCACTGTTGACTCGGTGGGTCGTACGAAGCCCGCGTTCCATGTAAGCTCTTCTTCTGCCGTTGTTACGGAGCACTCGAAAATGGCTTGGTGTTCGGTGATGAACAGCCGTCTTTTGGACAAAACGCGTTCTTGAAAAGTCCACCCCCGCTTGTTCCATAGTGAGCGGTCAACTTCTGCAGTCATGCCATTTGGCTTGACCCCGCGTCCCTCCACTTCGGGCTGTCGTGGTGTTCTTAGAACCGAAGAGAGAGGTAATCTCGGCCGTTTAGAGCACCCTGGCAACCCCTTTCCATATCGGTCATTCAGGGCCGCCACAATGGTGAAGGTCGCAGAACGGTATATTTTGTCCATGGCTCCGATTTGCGCCGGTTTCGTGACTGCGTCATCTTGTATGATACACAGTCGATCCACCCATAGATAAGATTCCCCTAGATCTCGGCACAGATATATTGCGTCCAAAACAATGTCCGGTATCGAACATGATGCCAGACTCCCAGGCTCTTCAAGAAGCGATAGATTGTTCTTCTCAAGCTGGATCTCTTTGGATCCGTCGCTGCTCGCTGACCACATGTAACTCAAAGCTACAAATGAGACGGCCGAGTCTGGTTCCATTACCTTCATATTGTGAGTATCGATTACCCTAAAGCCCTGAGGCATGTCATCTGTATTCATTAGAGCCAGCTCTTTGTTGTCTGGATGTAGTGTAATTTTCGAACATAGAACCGCTTACCTTTGTGATTATACTTGCCAACACATTTTTCTCCATGGCTGTTCTCGCAATCCCTGATCCATCCTCTCATGAGATCAAGGTCAATAAAACGGACCTCCCCGTCTGCTACCCCCCATAATTGTCCTTTGCCCCCTTCTACCTTAGAGTAATGTAGCAGGAGCGACGGGGTTATGGTACAGAGGGGCACATCTCGACGGGTGTCCTGCTGTTCATGGCTACCAGGGGAGTTCTCCCGTTGTGTCACCGATAGTTGCACCCAAACTCGACTAACAGTGTCTGACGACGAGTCAGACGTATCAAGTCTCTCGTAGAGAGGCTCTGGTTCAGGTACCTTTGTGTCGAAGTAAAAAGGGCCCAGTATACCAACGTCAAGTTTTGCCTTCTCTAGATTTTGTTGTTTACTGTTCTCCCAGGCGTTTATTCTAGAGATTATGAAATTGCAAATGAGGCATTCAAAGGTGTTTTCCACGAGGTGATTGTAAGACACGCTGTACTGCAACGGACTGCCGTATTCCTCGATACCAGTCCACTGGCTCCATTCTTGGCAGGAATTGCAGAGGAGACTATTTTGCGACTCTGTCGGGTTTTCCCGAGGCTCCATCTTGTTTTGAAAAGTGCGCAACGACGGTTGATGCAAGGCTTTGATTCGTGTAGACGCTAGTAGCCACTGCCAACGTGCTTAGACCCTTAAACGACATGAATTTTTCCGAGAGGAGTTCGGACCAAAGGACTTGGCAGTGAAAGATTCAAAGATAGTAGAATGTTTCTGGTCTCCGGAGGCTGAAATAAAGAGGGGGTTTATAAGGCTCCGGCTTTGGTGTTGCTGTACAAAGTGACGTGTCAGGGCTGTTCGCGCTTAGCATCAACCAGCACTTTGCTTCAGCCAACCAGAGAGCGTCAATATCATGGGCTGAAAATGTAGGATGACACACCATATGCGGACAGATGGCCCTACAAAAATTAGCCTGCTTTTGACAGCAGGCTTGTCTCTAACACAGGGATCGCCAGGAAGCTAGGATTTCTTAGTCGACTTTTAGAGTTGGTTTTTTAGGGTAGGTATCAAAACCTATAATCAAAGTCTAATAGGTTCGCTGGACGTTGGCAAAAGATGTTGGGCTTGCATTGTAGCATTCCAAGATCTGGTGTCCATTTCATAGTAAGAGAAAGGAGCACGCTAAATAGTATTACATTGTTGAACTGGCTTTTGAGACACAAATGACAAATAGCTAATATTGTCTGTCGTTGGTTTGAAGTATTGTGATAGGCAAACTAGTCATTCTTTACCTAAACAAAATGAATAATTAACATGCAGTTAAACATACAACCCTCGTGATCCGGGCTTTCCCAGTCCGTCGTTATACTACGTTTCTCTGTGTTCCTTCGTAAGTGGATGTTTCACCACTCTCCAGCGTACGATTCTCCCACTTTCAAAATATACCGTACCGCTTTTCGGTTTGATCCTTTAAAAATGATGAGCCTAATTTAAGACATCTTTAGAGTAGAAAGGTCCGTCAAAAAATCCGGAATTGTGATTTCGTTAATTCATAAATCAGAGGCTCTTAGACCTTAGGGTAGGGACCCGAGACCGACGAGCCGCGGCTTGAGTGAGGTACGTGTCTCTTGTCCTCCTCCACCACAACGGTGCGGGCCTGGCGGCCGCGGCGGAACTCGCTGACAGCAGCGATCAAGATCCACGAAACACCGAGGACCGCTGCGAGGACAGCGTAGGCGATCTTGAACTCCTTTGGGGAGTTGGAGATATACAGGCCCAAGCCGCCGTTGATAATACCCAGGGGAATCAACAGGCGGCCGATGAAAAGATGTAGGTAGGACCAAAGCTGGCGGCGACCGTATTTCTTGAACTGCACATGGTGGATGTATCCAAAGATGGGCTGGAAGAAGAAAATCGCTAGGAGTACAAGGCCGATGATCGGGTGGAAGTTGATCGTATTGATTTCAAACTGAAATATGAGTTAGTGAAAATAGAAATTAGAAAAAGAGGACGAATACTCACCAGACTTGTACCACCGAGTCTGACCATTTGAGTGAGCTGGATACCCAGAGCAGCGCCTGCAATATAAAGGATGAAGCCCGCCATCTGGATGAGAGCATGCACTATCCATCCAAAGCGGCCGGGGACAAGTCTCATGGCGATCGAACCGACGGGGAAAATGATAACGAAGGCAATCGTCGCCAAAACGCCGTGAATTCTCCGGATGTGCATCGCCTCCTGTATGTTGAAGCCGACAAAATTGTTGAAATTTCCTCCTCCAAACCCATTGCCATTTCCATTGCCATTGCCGAACCCGTTGCCATTTCCGTTTCCGTTTCCTGGGAATCCTGGGAATTGTTGGGCCATCGTCAAGGAGGCTGTTAGATATTTGTTAGTCGAAAAGCGCCATCAATATAGAGAATTGAATTGTGGAGAAAAATACCTAGAGCCGCCAGGCCGAATAATGTAAATGTCGTTGCACCCATGATGTGTTTCACTCCTTTTACTTTTTCTCTTTTCTAGAAAAACTTGGGGAATTTAGTCGTCGTTGATATCTGTAAATTTTACAGACAGCAAAAAAGCTCGGACTAAGAAAAAAAAAGAAGGCCGGAAAATGAATGGCGGTGTCTGTCATTTTTAAAAGGAGACTAAATCATGGCGCTGCTGCTGCTGCTGCTTGTCTTGTCTTGCATCGTATCTACGGAGCTGTGCTTGGGGATGTGCGGCACGGTCATGGAACAGCAACCGAGTGACCGACGTGGCCGACGAACCAATGGCTGACCCACCGATATTCAGACGATCTTGGCTGCACAAAACGCGCCCGATGGTGTCATTGGTGCCATGACAGGAACTCAATAGCAGACAGAGCAGGGTCACTCCAGCAGTTGATCCGAACTTGTTTCTCTTCATCTTTTGAAGGCGTGTTCGAGGCTCTCTGGGTGGGAGCACAGCCAAGCATGCGGGCTGTGGCTGAGCGATCTGAGAGTTCAAGCGTTCTGATGGCACGTCCTTGTATTACTGACAAGAAGGATTCAGGGCCGTGAGCACGTTGTGGTGTGTAATGGCTGAGGGGGAAAGGGTTTCAATTGATGATGGTGGGCAAAAGGCTGTTTCCTGATTCTTGCCAAGAGTGTTCGTCTTCGTTTCTTTTTTCCACCTGGCTGTGCGAAACATGACGTGTCTGCTGAGGCTCGAGTCAAGTTGATGTAATGGATGACCACCTCTGGTTGGTGAAGTCGTCGTGGAGGTCGTGCTTGAAACCCCGACTCCTGCAGCAGTCGGTGGAGCGAAACATAGATGATGGGCTTATGCTGCTGCTGCTTATGTTAGTCATCTTCCCGTCTATTCGACAGCAAGACTTTTATCGTCAAATGCTAGTGCTAGTAAGATTCACGTGGGAAGGTTGTGCTACGAATGGAGCGGTTCTGTCTGAACTGTCAAAAAATTCTGCTTTTTTTTTTTTTACTTCTTCTCCTGCACTTGGCTGCCCAGCCACAGACTTATTGCAGCTTACTTATGATGCATCGGATTCGTTAAGCTGGACGCTCGCCAGCTGGCTTTGCAGACCGCGCTTGCTAACCTGCATTGCCCGCTCAATCTCCCGCTCTTCCTCCCGTAGCCTGGCCTTTCCCATTTCTAGACTTCGCTGCTGTCGGCGCTTCTGTTCCGCAATCTTCTCTTCATGCTCTTGCAGCGCCTTTTCTCTCCGTTCTCTAGCCTCACGGGCCTTCCGCGTCGCCTCATCTTCTTCTTGGGTGGTATCGCCTTCTGGCGGCGGGCCCAGGGTCTGGATGTACGCCTCCACCAGAGGGTCCCTCACCTGCGGCGGCAGGGAAATGTATCTGATGTCAACCAGCAGCTGCGGCGGCAGGCGTGACAGATTCGTCTTGTTGTTCAGTGCAGAAAGTGGCAGTGACTTGAGAAGTGTGGCAAGGTCCGTTTTGAGTGTTGCTTGGGGCATCTTTAAACGGCTAATATGCTCCCGGTACCATTTCTCGCGGTCCTTGTCTTTGATGTAAGGGTCCGTCATTGCCGGCTCCTTCCGATATTTCCTCTTGAATTCTTGCCAGAAGAGCTTGGGTGAAGCTTTTTCCTGCAGTAGCGTCATGTAAGGTATCCGAGGATCCTTCTTCTCTGCCTTTGCACGAAGCTCTTTGATTTCTCTGATCTTGTCTTTGGACCATTCTTGCCAAACCTCCTTCCTTGCTTTCATCGTGTTGAGAATTGTGTATCTTGGATCGTCTATGACGTGCCCATCTTCGACAAGCTTCTCCCATGTATTGTAAGGGTTGATGTTGTAGTCGTCGAGAAGGTCTCTGAACAGTGCGACGGCATCTTCCTGTGAGAATTCCACCCCCTCTGCCCCTTCTGGCCATTCGTCCATGTTTCCGTCGTCATACTCGCCGGGGTCGAGTCCGTAAGCCTCACCCATTGCTTGGAGTTGGAAAGCAATATCAGCCTCGCTGAACTCGACCGGTGCGTCATCGGCCTGGTCTTCTGTGCGCTGACGCTTTGAATCGTGTCCCTCCTCGCCATCTTCTCCTTCACCCTCGTCTCCTTCACCCTCGTCATCTGTGACCTCCACTTCTTCGTACTCCGAACTGTCGTCATTGTCGCCTTGAGGCACTCCTTCACTGACCTCTCGAGGAGGCTTTGGCTCTGCTGTGGGACTCTTTGCACCAGCTGTTTCGGCGCTCTCAATTCCTGCCTTCTCGCGTATCCTAGCCTTGTCAAGCTCCAAGATTCCCGGCATGAGCTTCTCCGGAATGCGCCAGTAGCTTGTATTCTTGGCGGGGTTGTAGACAAATCGACGACCGTACTTGGTATGTACGAGAATCCAAGGCTCGTGACCGGGAATCGCGACTTTCGACTTGGGCTTGTCTAATGGTTCCGGGCGTGGCCGTCCTCCATCTCTACCACCTCTACCACCTCTCCCCCCATGTCCGAACCCCCCACGTTGAGAAGGGGGTGGCTGGTTTTGCGCATTGTGTTGCGCGAGGTATGCGTTCGCGACGTTTGGATCGGAAAGCTGAGGGATTGTCTGGTACTGGTAAAAGCTTGCCGATGCCGATGGTACTGGGGGTACTTGAGCAGCGGCGGCGTCCGGCGCGCTGGGTCTCGTGTATGTTGATTCCTTTGTTTCGGCGTTGTAATAGTACTTATGCCCCGTCGGCGCCGTGTGCTCTGTCCATCCCGGAAGGAGGGGAGCCTGCGCCGCGGCATTTGCAGACGGCTTGTATGTTGACCTGAGCATACTGTAATGCGCTGCGCAATTGTAGCGAAGGTGTTGGAGTTGGGCCTAGCAAAAGTAATGCATTGTTGATTTTTTGGAGGTTGACAGCTTCGCCATAGAACGAATCATTGTCGGGGAAACTTCGGCAAGCGATAAGATAAGATCTGTTAGCTCAGCTGCCGCCCATACCCCTGCCCTGCACCTTTGGAACCGTTGCAGCTTGTCCAGTGACCACATAGGCAGCTCTTGGGCCTTCCAATCAAACGCCACATACGCAGAGCAACCCCCCTTGAAGTTGACACCAGAGGGCGCATATGGCCTAGGGATTTGCTTGTTGATCAAGTGACTGTCTATAGTTGCTGGCGCTAGTTCGGAACCAAATACTGTCTATGTCGCCGTTGTGCTCTTGACATACCCAGCTGCTCGGCCAAGTCCTCCTGTTGCGACAAGTTCTCAGTTTCAATCTTCCGAGTAACGCCGTCGTCGATGTTCCACTGAGCATTCCGTGCAGTTCGCAGACGGTGACTGCTCAAAGATGGCACCTGGAGGTCGGGATGCTGGGTCCAGCGGCAACGCTGTTGGATCTGCATTCTCTAGGTTTTGGAAGGTGTGTTCGACTGAACATAAAGATACTTTCATCTTTCTAACAGAAGTGCTCAGCGAACTCATGCACCAGACTATCTTGGCTTTGCAATCCTTCTCGGTGGTTGGATTACGGTTCGTTTTTCACTCCGGGGTTTTTTGCATTCACGGCTTGTTGACTTGCTTGACGTAGATGCTTATCTTCATCGAGCCCTTCCACCGCATGTTCTTCATCAACGACCTTCGCATCTCGTATCCGCATGCGGAAGTCGAGCGTGTTCCCGTGTGTGAGTTTAGCCCGACCACCTAGGACGAAGACTTGGTACAACTGACACAAGTTTGTAGATATGAATTTTGTTTATGCTTTGTTCGTGCCGTTGGGTATCTTAATCATTTACAATCTTATGACTAAGGCTTCACCTCATAAGCATGAGGTTACATACCTGAGCCTGGCCATCTCCGTCATCATGACTACTTTCATAACAGACCTTGTCAAGAATGCAGTCGGCCGACCGAGACCCGATCTCTTGGCTCGTTGCAAGCCCGCTGCCGGCACAAAACCCAATGTTCTTGTCACCGTCGACGTCTGCACTGAAACGGCTCACCACCTCCTCCATGACGGCTGGCGGTCGTTCCCCTCCGGGCACTCGTCCTTTTCCTTCGCGGGACTGGGTTTCCTCAGCATCTTCCTCGCCGGCCAGCTACACATCTTCCGTCACAACAGCGGGGGCCGGGACCTGAGCAGGGCGCTGATCTGCCTAATTCCTCTATTGGGTGCTGGCTTGATCGCCATCAGTCGGTGCGAGGACTATAGACATGATGTTTATGATGTCTGCGTGGGATCTCTATTGGGTTGGGTGATTGCATATTGGAGCTATCGACGACACTGGCCGAAGCTAACGGCGAAGGAGTGTGATGAGCCCCATCCCTACCCGGGCTCTGATCCAAGGGCGGGCTGGAATCGTCTGCGAGATGAGGAGACTGGGGATTCGCGACTCGACGTAGGCTACGAGATGACCCAGCTAGACAGCCAGAGACGCTAATCATAAAAAGTAGGATCCTTAGTAGAGCTCGAATGATACAGCATACAGCAACAGCATCGAAACAGCAGCATCAGCCAGCATAGCCTGTCTATCCGCATTGTTTCTAACCATTCATTGCCTTGTTTGAATTGCCGTTGTTTTTGCTCTGCTTTGATTATTTCTTCTGCGTGTTTGCTGTACATGTCACATTGTTATTTTAACGAGACATCACTGGCCACATACTTCGGATCATGGCAGCGTTCTGTCTGGGTTTTTGGGGCATCAAATTCTATTGGTACATCAGGGTAAAGGGCAAACATCACGCCCTATCTATGTTTTGGTCCTCTTTCATGCCATTATTTGTCCTCCGTAGATTCATCCTTCGCCAAGTCGTGCTCCTTGAGCAGTGCCTTGATCTCCTCTGCTGTCCAGAGCCGGTGGTAGATCTTGCCGTCCTCAGTCTGGCCAACCGTGGCGAATTCAACTGCAATGAATAGTTAGCAAGTTTTTAAATAATAATGTCGAATACTGTTTGCGATTTAACTTACGCTTCTCGGCGCTCAACTTCGTTGAGTCCATGGTCTTGCTGAGAACCTTGACCGCCATACCGCATGCCTCCTTCAAGGTGCAGTCCTCCTTGTAGTCCTGCTTGAGCAAGCTCTCCGCGCTCGCTCGGTTAGCGCCAACAGCCGTCGCCTTCCATCCACCGTAGTTGCCTGAAGGGTTGCTCTGGTACAGCTGGAACTGTCTGCGGGGATCCCAGCCGGCGTAGATGAAGGAGACACCGAACGGTCTCAGACCACCGTGTTGTGTGTAGCCTTGCTTCAAATCACAGAGTCTCCGGACGAGCTGTTCGCAGGGAATATCTTCGTTGTAGGTGAGGAGGTATCTTTGGGCTGCCTGGCGGGCGTAGTTGATGAGAATGTTGGCATCGGCAGTCATACCGGCGACGGCAGCAAGCATATTGCTGGAAAGGAAGACATGTCAGCGACTGCATGGTTATAGCTCAGATGGTGAGACCCTACTCGTTGACGATGTACAGCTTCTCCGCCGATGTGTCTTGCTCCAGCAGCTTCGACGTCACCTTGCGCTCCGCAGCCAGAACGATGCCGTCCTTAGCGAGGATGCCAATGGCAGTACCGGCGTGGGAGATAGCCTCGAGTGCATATTCGACCTGGTAGAGACGACCCTCCGGCGAGAAGATGGTTGTCTAGAAGCGGATATGTGAGCTTGTTTCTTCAAATGGCCCATCTGCGGATATGGCAGAGCAAGGGAAGAGCGGGGAGGGGCCTTACGCGGGAATCGTAACGGCGAGACATGATGGGCGAGAAATCAAATCGTCATCAACTAGTTTCCAAGGGATTCTATTGCGGTGGAAGGAGACTCGGTGTGAGGCTGACGATACGGATCGATTTGCTGTGCGGCGGGATGATTGTTTGTCTCTTGCAGGGAAGGCTGTCACTTCAGGTGCAGCTTGAAGCTCCAGGCAATCGATGCACGCGTTAGCTCCTTGCGCCTTCCTGGCCAGCCTAAACCCCAGCTGAGGTAAGGAAGGTACAAAAAGCTGGTCCGAGCTTTTACCGGAAAGCTCATACGGCGTACACCGTACACCGAGCCTCACCTGCTCGGGACTTCTCACCTCGGCTGCTTACCGAGGGCGGCAGGCGGTCAACCTCAAACAACGAGGCAATAAGGCATCAACAATGACACACCCCCCGCCACTCTAGGTGCACGTTCCTACCCCGTTCCGCCTGCACCTCAAAGGCTCAACAGGCCCAAGCCAGTGGTTGCCCTCGCTTACATAAACAAAAATGAGCAAATGGGTGGAGGCGCTTCGGCATTTTCCCTCCAACCTCGCGCCGTTTTATCGTATCGCACTACCAGCCCACTCACATCACCTCCACCTTTGCGCAAGCTCCCTTCTGCTCTCCCACACAACCACAAAAAAGCGGCACGCGAACACCTCGACATCCACATTCAGTCTCTGTCTCGGCTGTCGCAAACTGTGTCGCGCAACTGCTACATCTCCTTCCTGTGCCCAAGATTCTTGTGAAGGACAACTGAGGAGGGAATCCGCGCGGTTGGCGCTCTTGTGAAGCAACAACCCTGTGGTATCGTGGCGCGTGGTGGATGGGTCACATATCTTAGTCCTTTTTTCGCTGTCGTAAAAAAACCAATGCATGCCTAAGAGAGAGAACACACCTACTTGTACCGACACCCAGAGTAGAGCCCAGTCCTTTCAAGCTATACGCTACACGCTACACCCTCGCGCCACTGCCTAGCAAAGGGAGCCAGTCGACCAGAGAGCTTCCCGCCTCCGACGCAACGAGACGAACATGTCTGGTAAGTTTCGCTGTCTCTGTCGCGCAGCCCCGCAGCCAACCTCACGCCTTTCTGCTTCTCCCAAAAACATTATACACTTTTTATTTTACTGCCGACCAGCAAATACTGACAGAAATGGTACGCGCAGGAGAACCAGAACCCCGCCGCTCCGTGCGCGCGACCAAGGGTCAACATACCAAGGCCTTCGACGACCAACCCATTGAGCCCCCCAAGAAACGAGGAAGGAAGAAGAAGCAAGAAGAAGAGCCCGAGGAGGAGATCATTCGTTGCGTCTGTGGCGCCACGGAACAGGATGGCGACTCAGAAGAGCCTTGGATCGCATGCGACAAGTGCACCGCGTGGCAGCACAATGTATGTATGGGCATGAGCGTCTTTACGGAAGACCTCCCTAAGAACTACTACTGCGAACAATGTGCTCCGCAAGACCACAAAGAACTCTTGGCCGCCATGGCTAAGGGGGAGCGTCCCTGGGAAGCCCGCCGGAAGGCCTACGAGGACGAACAGAACGAGAAGAAGAAGAAAAAGAAGAAGGGGGGCAGGGCTGGGAAGCGCGCCAGCGATCCGAAGGAAGAGTTGGCTCAAGACACGAGAAGTAATAAAGCCGAGGACTCGCCTGCTCCCTCTGAGACCAAAGAGAAGAAAGAGAAGAAGGAAGTCCCCTCTAAGGCGAACACCGGCAAGCGGAAGGTCCGAGAGGAGGAAAAGGATGCAAAGGTAGGTCGCAAAACATTCAAACCGTTACCTCGGTGCAGCGCTGACCTGATTGTTTTGCAGACACCAGCGCCAAAGATTCGCAAAGTTTCTGAGCCCGAGGTCGCCATTGTCAACTACACGGCACCGGAGGACTTGACTGCCAAGGTCACGGATCTCCCGGATGATCGCAAAGGCTCCGCCCAACTTCTGCAGAAAGCCCTCATCGGAATTCTGAGCGCTGCTGTCAAGGATAAGAGCATTACCTTGCCGAAGGATGTCACGGTTGCGGCGAAGGCTGAACGCCTTGCCTTGGAGATTGAACGTGCCGTTCATGATAGCCATCCCGACCGTAGCCATTATGCGGCACAGGCTAGAGCGCTGTACGCTAACATGAAGATCAACGCTGACTTGACGAAGCGCTTACTGAAGCGCACTCTGTCGCCGCCTATGCTGGCCACTATGAGTGCCGACGAGCTGGCCACCAAGGAGAGACAAGATGCCAACGCTCAGCTGAAGGCCATCTCTGAGAAGCAGTCTATTCTGATCACTGAAGACGGTCCCCGCGTTCGTAGGACACACAAGGGTGAGGAAATCGTCGAGAACGAATCATTCCAACAGGCCGATGAGGCACGGTCATTTATCAGGAGGCCCAGTGCACGTGAAGGACAGGGTGACATCAAGATGGACGGAGAGCCATACGAGAACTCCGTTGAGCTTCCAAGCCATGGCGGCCTACAAATTGATACCCATGGAGCTCGACACTCTCCTAAGCACCCTGACTTTGATATCAACAAGGTGTTCTCAAGCGTCAAGTCGCCCACCGGATCTCACCCTCGTCGCCCATCAGCACCGCTTCATGGGCCAGGCGTTGACCCTGATGTTGACAGGCTCCTCCAGGATGAGACTGACTCGCCGCCATATTCACCGACTGACGAGACGGACCCCGATGCGGTTTGGCGTGGTCATCTGGCCATGAGCTCGATTGCTGATTTCCCAGCAGTGGCCAAGTTTGTTGGCGGAGCAAATCTGTCGACCACGATAAACTTGCCCTGGACAAGCTTGATTCCCAGAAAATTGACGGTAGCCGGGCGTATTGACGAGCAAAAGGCTATAGAATACCTTTGTGGCCTACGCTATGCTGACCAGACTGATATCGTCGTCGTGGCAATTTCACCGGCTTCCGAAGCGTCTCGCGGCGAATTCCAGCAGCTTTTTGACTACTTCGTTGCCAAGAAGCGATACGCCGTCATTGGGGATAAGGGTGTAGGCAATGTGCGGGACACCTACCTTGTACCTGTTCCTCCGGGCGAAGGCAATGTGCCTGAGTTCATGCTCAACTTCTCGGACAATCTCGTACCGCAGAAGCGAACGGAGCCGATGCTCCTGGGCGTTTTTGTGTATCGAAACAGCTCTCGACAACCTCAGCCGGGCGGCGCAACCCAGTCGCCGGTTACCAATTCGCCAACGCCCACGCAGGGAGGATTCCCCTCAAGACATGCCTCGATATCTGGCCCTGCATTCTCGCCGACTGTTTCACAAGGGCCGTTCCCCCAGCCAACTCGCTCTCCGGCAGGCCACAACGGCCACCCGCCACAACAGCATCCTACCCAGGGCGCGCACCAGGCTGTTCCGCCAAACCAGGCCCCGACAGGCTACACTGCAGCCCGTGGCCCCGAGGCCGATCAAGAACGACGCCAACGGGAAGGTCAAGCGCTCGCTCACGAGGTTCTGGGCCCTTTGGTCAACAGCCGGACTATCCCATTCCTCATGCCTCACGCACATCAAATGACAAGGACAGAATGGGAAGTGATTAAGGGCATTTACGAAAGAGATCCCCGTGCCAGAGAGGATCTTCAATACCTGAGTCAATTGTTAGAAAAGCAGCAGCCTGTTGCGGGTAAACCTGGCGAGGCTCCTCCACCTGCAGCATCTCCAGGACTTGCCCCTTCAGTATAAAGTGAGCTGTCTTTTCCTAAGTCAAAAACGGCGAAGGCTGGAATTCCATGTAGCGACTGTCTTGTGGTATTCTTAGTACATATGTTATTTGTTCTTTTTTTTGTTCTTTTGTTTTGGGGGGGACTCTCATTTATTTGCGAAGGAATTCTTAGGTTGAGGGGGATGAGATACCACTCCCGGGGAGGGGGAGCTTGGCCATTGTGAGGCAAATGGGTTTTGTTATTGATGTTACCATCAAACTTTCCAGGCAGTACTAGAATCACAAATCGAGACAACTTTCACCCAAAATTTTAAGAGCGTCCCAATGAATCTGTGAAATATATCGCTATGCAAGACGCCCCGTGCCTAGCGAAGAGGTAGAGAAGAAGTGGTGCTTGGGTCCAAACCGCTTCAACTCTAAGCTGGGCTTTTTTCCTGCGAGCTAACCCGTAGCGAGTCTTTTTGCCATGCCATTGGCCGTTATAAAATATGGTTTGACCATGGCGGTGAAGGAAAAGTAACCGGCGTTGCGGAGTTTTCGAATTACTGCGAGAACATATTGGAAGCTTTCATTCTCCCTCTCTCCTCTCAGAGAACCCTGTTGAGGTTTCATCTCGGTCATCTCCAGCGCTGGGGAGGTTGCGAGTCAACAGCCCAGCCTGCCCATCCAGTGAGGACCCACTAAATCTCTAGAACGGTGGATCGTCAGTGGTTAGTAAGAGCGACAAGACGGGCTGACGGCTTGGGACAAGCCCAGCACAGCTCAACCCCCCTTGAGTGGCACGGTTGGGCCGCCTCCCACCTTACGACGTCTAACCCCGTTCTTTAGTGCCGCTTCACTGCCACTGGCTGGCTGGCTGGCTGTGCTGTGCTAGCAGTGGTCAACGTAAGTACTACGATTGTCAGCCACACACCAGAGGCGAGCTACCACTGACGGTGCTGTGAGCAGCTGTGAGCTGTTGTTCCCTTGAGCAAGGGGGGGGGATGGATTGCCAACATTTGCCCCACACCCCATGACGACAACTCCTGGAATTAGAAACACTGTGACCTTGGAGATTTCGAGCAACAAGCATTTTATTTAAGGCTGGCTGCGGCTGGGTCAGGAACCGCTTTTTTTCTCTTTTTGGGTTCCATTCTGGGAGGGTGAATGCACTGGGTGCCGTGCTTTTGAATTTCTACTTATTTATCCTCGTCTCACAAGCCTTCCATCTACCCTTTTTCAAATCTTCTCGTATTCCATCTCCAATTTCCCCCAGCTGAAGCTCATTGTTCATCAATTGACGGGCCTCGTTACCAGAATTGTGAGTTTACCGCCGTGACGTCACTTTACCCCCTTTTCATGTTTGAGTAGCCATGCTAATAGTGAGACAATACAGAACAAGCCAAAACTTACTTTCAACTCACCTCCTAATCACACACACATACACACACTCAACGCAATGGCTTGCGGATCAGCTTCTTCCGGCCTCGTCAACCGCAACGGCCCCGGCAGCGCCGCCACCTCCATCGTCGACAGCATCGTCAAGCCCGCTGAGGCGACCGGCGGAAAGACCAAGTGCATCGAGTGCGACGGTTACGAGTGCTGCTGCATCCCCATCCCTTGCACCGTCATGTAAGGGGGGTGGTTCGGCGCCTACTAGTCTGGAAATTTTGATGAAGGGGAAGGGTGAAGGGGGGTTTCAAGCGTGTTGGGGACGATTGTTTTGTTTGATAGTGATACCGCATCCAAGTATGCTTTCTTTGGCTGTTATTTCTATGCAGCCTGTTATGAATTCATGAATTGCCTTCTACGGCCTTCATTTATCGTCTATTCTTGCTAGATCATGACCGCTTCTTCGTGAAAATGGGTATCAATCCTTCCACGCCACCGTCTCTCTCTCTCTTTCTGTCTCTCTTTCAGAGATTACGAGTTTGAAAAATGCACCATCACATTTAAACTCGTCAGTTAAGCCGCTGGGCTATGTTTCTGTTTCGGGCCCCTCGCGCGCAAGGCGGCGCCTCGTGTTTGTGCTGCGAGACTGGGATAGTATTTGTTGAGGCTGAGGCTGAGGCTGAGGCTCGAAAGCACCCATTGGTATCATGCCATCAGTCGCATCATCTCTTCTCTAGAGAAATAACGCATCTGCGTCACTCCAGACCTCTTGTTCCCGTGCCGTCCCAAACGTCTTGACTTCCTTCTGGGTTAGCTCGCCGTCGGTGGTAGAGCTGGTTGCTTCGGGAATTTTGGGAGTATCAAGGCTTCCCAGGCCCTCAAGCACTCGCTTCGCCTTGTCCACCTGGGCTCTAATGGCGGCTGTCTCCGCTCTCGTGCGGTCGAGGTTGGATTGCATGAGCGCAATGGCCGATTCTCGGGCCTGGTGGGGTCTGTATTCATTCAAGACATGATGGAAGTTGATAAAGAGCGTACGAAGGTCCTCGATTTTGGCAGCGGCCTGTCAGGGGTTAGCATTCAGTCTGCAGAGGCTCAGGAACATGCTTACATCGTCTGGCACCACGGCCATGACACTGACAAGTTCCAGGAAGTTTAGTAGCAAAGACTTGGCCATCTTTTTAAGCTCGAATGCACGGTCGAGATGTTTGCCATCCTTCTCGTCAGAATGCTCCGGCACGAGGCGCTTGATTTCGCCTTCTTCCAGTGACGGAAGTTTGTCATCAAGCTACACATGGCGTCAGCTAAACGAACAACTCCTCAGCCGTCAATGCCTAGAAACACGTACGGTATAATTGCCTCCCAGAACCTTCCAAGTTCCTGCAGCTGGCTCGGCTGGAGGCTGGAGGTTCATGAGCTCCTGAGGAATATTCGGTAGGCGAGCCGGCAAGTCTTTGACATTGACGCCATCCTTCTCAGCCTGAGCCTTTCGCAGCTCTTCAATACGGGCTATATTATTGGTCGTGAATTGGCGCCAGAATGGTGGAGGATTCGGGAATGTCGAGGCCAGCGCATTCTGCGATGGCTCCTCTGAATTATCGGCCATTGTTGAAGGCGTGTGGCAGGTCTGGGTTGGTCGACAAGAAGCGGGGAATGAATTCAGCCCGGCGGAGCTGTCATCGTCTCGCTCTCACGCGTTCGAGGTGTATCACAGACTAGGGGTCTGTCTCTGCCTTGAAGGGAGAGGAATAGTCGGTGGTGTGATTCAGGGCGGGCAATAAGTCGTACAGATTCAGCAAAGAAGGAACGCGGCCTAGACAGAGAGACAGAGATCGATCTTCAGGCCAGTAGGCGCCCGAGCGCCGGGGTAGCATCGGCCTGGTCAAGTCTTTCAATCTGCTGGTTTATGCCGTATCAGGACTAGCGGCAGGTGTCCCACCTGGCACCTGCACCTTGTCACCTCCACGTTCCCAGCAGAGTTACGCTACGTTCCTCTGGCGATAATTAGCTTGTCAAATGACGATTTTGTCTCCTTTCAATTCTTCAGCAAAACAAGCCATTGGTGGCAGCTCCAACACTCTGCGACCTTACAATATTGCTCTACGCATCGAAGCGTCGGAAAGAAACATCCTCGCTTACGATGGCCGACGTACGTGCTCTTCTACGTCAGCAACGCGCCGCCCGACGAATCGAGCATCCCCATGCAGCTTATTCGGATGCGGGCAAGCTCCTCTGCACCCTCTGCCATGAGGCTATCAAATCCGAATCGCTCTGGGAGGGCCATCTAAGGGGACCAAGTCACACAGCGAAGCTCAAGACCGCACCGCAAGCTGCGCCGGCTGGTACGAATGGTTCGGTAACCGCGGAGGCCGCGCCTTCAAACAAGCGGAAGCACGACTCAGACGAGGATATGGCAGAGGATGACGATATGGCTGAAGCTATACGGAAAAAGAGGAGCAGGACTAACATAGGCACTCCTGCCCGTTTGTCTGCTGGGGAGGCGGACCGGGATCTCAAAGATGTGACACTTACGCCGCCGTCGTTGACTCGTCGCACGTCGACTACACCCGTCCAAGGCGTCGAGATTCAAATTCCTTCGCGGCCTGCCACGCCTGCTTATAAAGACGGCACATCTTCGAATTCCACACCCCTAGCTCATCCCGTTGGACCTTCGCCGCTGATACCTCGGGAAGCTTCACCCACACTTGCGAGGGGAAAGGCACCTGTGCAGCAGAACGGTACTGCTGCGCAATCTGGCGCAGCCGGCCAAGTGGACGAGGACGAATGGGCAGCCTTTGAAGCGGATATTGCGGCTACCACGGTTCCCATCTCAGAAGACGCGGTGATTTCGGCCCCAGCCATGACGGCGGAGGAGCACGCCGCGGCTGCAAAGAGAGAAGAAGAAGAGCGGGAGAAGCGTCGACTGGCTGCGGATAAGGATCTCGAGGACGAGAAGGAGGAGGCTACGCGCGCGCTTGAGGAAGAATTCGAGGATATGGAGGAGCTTGAAGCTAGGGTTCGAAGATTGAAGGAGAAACGTGAGGCCCTGAGGCATCAAGGAGATGCTGGCACCGGAGCGGTTACCTCTGCCGGCAAACCTTCTGAGGCACCTGGAAAGGAGAACGTGGAAACGAATGCGGAAGACGAAGAAGAAGATGAGGATGAGGATGAGGACGAGGATGACTTCATGGGATTCAGGTATCGTTCATGACACTTGAATCCCGTGTTGTTAACCCGTAAATCAAATCACAGCCGCTGGCTGTCTTTTAAGCGAGTTTGGGGCGTCTTTATGTTGTATAACTATTGTAAATTACTTTCGTTTCATATTCATAAATAGAAATGGACGCTTCCACATGCTGTTACAACCAGTTCCAAATTTCAATGTTCATCATCTTGCATGTGTTTTAGTACCGTAGCCGGGGCCTAATTCAATGCAGAAAAAACATACAGGATGGCTATAATCTATACTCTGCGGTGTAGGCAAGACTGAGATCTCGGATGGGTAAAGTTCGAGTTTGGCTTATGGGTGAGATTTTTAGCTGAAGGATGATATGCATTATGATGTAAAAATCTATGACTAGCTATTAATTCCTTAATGACCCTCTCATGTGAGGCAAGTAAGCAGCCGGCCCTAACAACCCTCCCGTGCAAATATTACTTATGATAAGATCAAGCAACTTCACTTAGTATTCGGCCAGTGCGGTTGGCGCGCGGGGAACGTGCACCGGGCCTGTCGAGCTCACTGGTGAAGAGCCGCCTTGGTAGACGGTCGCCGTGATGGTGTTGTAGACGGTGACAAACGCAACAGAGACAGAACACATCGAGTTAGTCGGGTGTACATCCACCGTCTCTGTGACGGTCACGGGAGGTTCGTGTGGCGTGGTCGGGTTGGGCTTGGAACCGCCATCACCACTGCTACTGCTGAAAGTAGGCTTTTCGGTGTGCTGGGGAGGTTCGTCGCTGCTGTGTCCTGATGATTGGACAGGCTTTCCACCACCATCTCCAGAGGGACGTGTGGGTTTGCTACCCGCAGTGGTAATTGCTGTAGCAGACCTAGTTTGGGTGATGGTGGTGGGATCAGCCGGTGTCTTGGTGGCTTCGTCATCAGTGCTCGACGGTTTCGTCTCAGAGCTGGTGTCTGATGTACTGGTTTGTGTGTGTTCGCCATCCGAGGGAGACTCTGTCTTGGTCGTGACTGTGCCGCCAGGGCCCTCACTAATGGTCTCAGTGTGAGTAACCGTTACTGTGACGGCTGGATGGTCTCTGCTAGTGTAGACTGTCTCGGTCACCGGGCCATGAGTGAGGGTTACGGTGAGCGTTCGGGACACTGTGATGGTGTCTCTGGTCACCGGATCTTCTGTTTTGACAGTCTCGGTCTTGGTTGTCGTTGCTGTGACTGTGTTGGTTATGGTGGTTGTGGGACCCTCTGACGCTGGCAAACAGGGGCAGGTGTTTGGGTTGGGAGGAGTGCGTGCTCTCAAGTTGTCCGGCCTGGCACGACCGATCGTGGCGAAAGAGAGGATAGGTAAAACCAGCAAGCTGCTGCGGCGCACCATTTTGAAGGGGTTGAAACAAGATGCACAACGATTTGGTTTATAGATGCTCGGTCTTATATAATGATGACTGGTGATGGAGCCTTGCTTCGTGGTCTGCTTGAGATGAATGGAACAGTTGGTTCTCACCAGACGACATTTAGCCAACAGGAGAAAGCACCTTATATGTTCTCCATTGTGACTGGGCAATGCTAAGACGCCATGTTCACGAGGGTCGTGGTCAGCCTTCAGACCTTACGCTTCAAGGAATGAAGATATCCTCTATCGTGCCCTAGCGCTCGACGAACAACAATAGAGCTCGCCATGGCTTCCAGAAAACAGGAAACGAGCCTCAGAGATGAGCGAAATAGGGATGCGAAAAATGCGCAGCAATTTTTCTCTCTTCTTGAGTCGTCACCCACTTGGGCGTGAACGAGGCGGCGACTGGGGGCGAAGCAAGGGCTTCACAAAATCAATAGTCTGCAAGGTCAAAACGTCTAAAGGGATCAGGGAGAAACCAATGTTGCAAAAAAGCCTTGTAACCAGAACGTCGGTATTGGCATTCACATTTCTAGGAAAACTTCAGCTTCAGCTACAACACTCACACTGATAAGATAACTTCCTTGAGGCGAACACTGGGGACAACTACGATGGCGACAACGACCAACAGTGCAATATTGATGGGCCGATGCAATGGTTCAGTGGAGATGCCATTGCAGCGTCTTGCAAGCATCGCGGAGCCCGACAGAGTACGTACCAATGATGTTCGGCAATTGTCCGCTACAGAGCCAGGTGAGAACCAGTTCGGGATGGTTGCAAGGTCCAGGTTCCAAAGGTTCTGCCGGGTTTCTATCCCGCAGTTTGGAATCGTCCCAAATACTGCAAACTCGATGGAGCTCGGCGCTGGCCGTCCCGTCCCGCTGTGGGGGCTCATCATACGGGGGCTCTGATTCTCCGAGCCGCAAGTTGACCGCCTACCGAAACCGGACGTCATTCCATCGTCGCAATCTTGCGCTTTCTGCCAAAAGCATCATAATCAAAACACACGCCATCAACTAGAAGCCGAGCCTAGCGCCAGCCCATCGTTTCGCAGTACGAGACGTCGTTGCAGCACAGCTTCGTCCATTCGTTTTATTCCATTCATCTTTCCGAAAGGTCCGCCTTCTCCCCCATAACGCGGGGACCGCATTATTCGCGCACACCAAAGCAGCGCTCGACGACGAGGGGCTGCCGAATTTCTCGATCACGATGGGCGTTTGTGCGTCATGCCTCGGGCGGGGGAACAAGGACACCTATGACGAAGTGGGTAGCTTCGGCAATCGCCCACTTGCAACGTAGCATGCAGCGGCTAACCATCGCTTTCCCCCCTTCAGGACGAAGAATCTCGACTCCTAGACGACGACCCGAACAACGTGCACTATGGAAGCTTTGGAGAGCAAAGCGTAAACGGCCAGGAGGACCCAATGGAGGTGCAGCGGGAAACTGAGGCTCTGCAGCGAGTCGTGGCGAAGACGTCCGAGTACGTACTGCACTTCCCGACCCGAGCTCCAGGACGGCGGGCTTACCTTCATGTCCCTCCCGGGAATGCTAACATCGGTCTTCCTAGCAACATGGTCGATATCTTTGAGATTGCCCCGCAGGATCACGCACATCGGCCTGCGCCGACTACATTTGCGTATGCAGGGCAGGAAGCCCGCATCGTACGGTACCAGCACCTGTTGTCGAAACTGGCTTCCAAGGATGAGGCCCCGGCAGGTGTCCAAGTGGATTGGCTTCCCCAGGAAGATGACACGATCGAGATGCAACGCGGCGGCCCAACGGTCAAGGCCGAGTCTGACAAGCCCCTTGTTGGGACATTTGCAGATGCAGCGGCGGCGATGGCATGACAGGCCCAGCCATGAATCATTCCCATGTCCCCCTTTTTTTTTTTTTTTTTTTCTCCTATCCGAGCCCACAGTCAAAACGGCTACAATTTTCCTTGTTCTTTCTTCACTCTCAATGTATTGCTACTATGATTCGTATTGGTCGAAGCAAATGGTCTGGGTCCTGTCGGTATTACGGCAATATGGGACGGACAGCTTGGAGTGACGACATTTTTTTCATCCTTTGCTGTTTTTACCCCCTCGATACCCCCCTCTGGATGCAGGCTATGCACACCCAAACTCTCACACTTTTAAACCCACTCATACACATAAGCACCCACATTCTCTCACATATCGTTTTCTCTCAAATATGTCAATCCCCTGCACTTGGTCTACCACCCCTGTACAAAACGCTTGGGCAACAACGAGGTTATGAGGAAAGGTGGACACGATGGGCCCAAAGAACCATGAATTAATCAATGAAATTCCCTCCATCCCACTTTGGCGGCCCCCTGGTTCACACCATGGCGGGCCAATGAATGCGTCTCGAAGATTCTTCAGTGGCCAGGCCAGGGGTTGTCTAACCCATTGAAATATGGCCACGTGCACCTCCGGCTGATGTTTACCTTTCTTAGTGTGGACCCTTTAGCAAGGGATGCTGCATCCTAGTGTGCCCATGGTGTCGTTATTACGATTTCCACCAGCTCTCGGTGCCAGAGAGCACATCACTCTTGGGGGTTGAAGGAGGAAAGTATTTGGAGGCTCATATGTTGACTCTGATGCCCGCCATTCAGGGTTGTGCGGGAGTCTGTGCGGTTCCCGTGTCTCATTGGCGGAGAAGGACAAGGAAATGGTGCCTATAACTGAAGTGGGATGGACGACCTGAAGGAGGAGGAGGGGTTGCTGCGGCCAGATGGGGCGGCCTCCCAGTCCCAGTTCATCAAGCCCGATACAACCCACCACCCTCTTTCGCCCGTCTCTGTCTCCGTTCCCCTACGCTAGGCCCTTCTGTTCTGCTCCTCCCGCTCCCCCCTCCACTTTGGTCTTGGGTCAGATGACAGGCACGCCTGTCATTATTTCTTTCAGGGTATTCAAGCCGCAAAAGGGGGGGTAAAGAAGGCCCTGGGGCTCGTCTAGTGCCGGGGCCGCTCACCACGCCTGCTTCTTACTGTAACACGTGAGAGACGATGACGTTCTCCTGAACACTAACAAGCCCGTCTTGCTCCATTAAAAAGGAGGGGGAAGAGCGAAGCCACAGCAGACGCGCCAAAAGAGAGTAAAAAAAAAAAAAAGCCTGTATGAGGCCGTCGAACCGCTCTTTTTTTCTGGCGTGTTTGCTGGCCCTATGCCTTGGCCAGATCGACGAAAGACCATCAGATGTCCCTCGCCTCCAGCCATGGGCCGTGCCGCTCTCATTCGTCAGCAGAGACCGCTTTCTGCAACGCTTGCTTGCCTGATGAGCACGCCAAAACCTGCTGATGGGCAGCTGTGCAGGAAAAAGTGGGAGGACTTTTTTTTTCTTCCCTTCCCTTTCCCTTTGATCCCCATCAGTCCGCACACTGAAGCAAGACCGTCTCGGCGCTTTGGTGTCATTCGACTCTCATGTCTGTGTAGCTTTTAGCTCTGTACCCTTTTTTGGTCAGGGCTTGCGAGAAAGAATGGATTTTCCCCCCCTCCTCGGCAGAGCAAGAAAGAGGGGCAGCACTCGGAACCAGGGAGATGAGGAGCAGGAGGAGTCTCAGGAGGAGCAAGAGAAGTATCCGTTTCTGCTAAGAGGGGGCCCTGCTCTTGTCCCTGTCGTCATCTAAGCGGCGGGCCGGCTTTGCGACGAAATAACACACGAGCGAGTGCCTTCCTCTCGCTCGCTCGCACGCGCACACAAAGCCCACAGAACACACGCGCGCACAAATTAACCATACAGAATAATCCCTCCTGATGATCCAAAGTAATACAATAGTTTCCGTCCCAGATTTTTACCTCTCTCGAATTTGAAAGGACCGTCCCGAGCGTAACCACACCAGGAGACTAGGGGAAAGGGGAAGGGGAGAGAATAAAAAAAAAAAAAAATAACAAAAATGATAAAATAGTGAAAAATCCAACGAATGAACAGCCGTAACGTGGTTCAACTTGGAAAACCCGCCAAAGCTAGGGTTACCAGGAAAACTTCCTCTCCAGTCCCGCATTGTCAGAGTCCGTCCTCTTTTTCCCCTTCTTCTTTACTCCGGCATTCGATCCTACGGTCCCCTTGGCCGTCATTTCCATTTACTTTGTCGTTTCTCATCCTTCATATCAGGTTTGGAGGGCCACTGATTATGACAACATTAGCAGAGGTCCTTCCAGACTTGGTCTTACCCCTGAGCAACTTTTTTTTAAACACTGCCCCTCATCTCACATGGGGGGGGGGGGGGGTAAAAAGGTACAAAAGCACAATTATAAAAAATTAAGAGAGAGAAAGAGAGGAGTATAAGGAAAACGGTAAAGAAAAACAAAAAGAGGGAAAATAATAATAATAGATGAAACGGATTTCATGTCAACTTACCCATTGCTGGAGAACCCTCCCCTCACTATATCGACCTAGCGGCCACAAAAAAAAAAAAAAAAACCGATAATTCATAGTGTATTCACCCTGTTCCAATGCGATGTCTCCATCTCGTTGATCTGGCGCTCGACCTCCCGCATCTCGATGGACGTCCGTTCGATAGTCGCTTTTCGGTTCCCCTCGCGGTACCACCGTTCAATGTCCCTGCGCATCTTGTCGAGCCGGCGATGCTTCTTGTCCATGTCGTAGCACAGCTTGCACCTGTCAGGGTCCTGGATCGTGTCGAAGACCAACTTCAGCCCGCACGTCTCGCCTGTCCGGTATTCCTTGTTGCACTGCTGTTTGAACTGACCCCATCTCCAATATCCGCAGGACCAACGAGTTTGATAAAAGTAGCACATCTTTCTGTTGTTTCCTTTTTCTTTTCTCTCTCTCTCTCGTTCTCTCTCTCTCTTTTTCTTTTCTTTTTTTTTTTCTTCTCTTCTTTCTTCTCTCCCTGTTTCGGGTCCCGGTTTGTTCGTCGATTCGACCCCCCTTTTTCTTGGTCTTGTCTCCGTTTCGTACGTTCCGTTTGGTTGTTTTATTAAAATTTCGTTTCTTTGGTACCGTTAATTCTCCTTGCGGGCCGGTCCGTCTGCCTAGCTTGCTGGACCAGGGAAACTAGCTCTTCGATGCAAGTGGTGGAGAACGTTATGGAGGAGTCAAAGGTAAGGAGGAGTAAAGGAGGAGGAGAAGCAGCAAGTAACCAAGAGGAGTAGAAGTGGTTCGTTCGGGGGTCTCGGGTACGATATGAAGTCACTGATGCCGGGACTGAAGCAAGATCAAAGGTTTGTTAGCCATCTTCTTATTTATCTTTTTTTTTTCCCCCTTCTCCCCTTCCCTTTTTTTTTTTTTTTTTTTTGTCCCATTCTTTGCACGCGCCCCCCCCCCTCTTCGTGGTCCCCTACAATATGCAATGCCATACGGATACAGTGATGCCTTTCGACAATTGTGTCCAATGATGGACCCTCCTTTTCAGGGGTACATTTTTTATACTTATTTTTTTTTTCTCGGCTGTCTAGGGACCGAATGGAGGGCGGGATGGACAAAAAAAAAGGTGACAAAGAAACAGGAAAAAAAAAAAAAAAAAAAAGTAAAAACTGGGCGGGGGAGGGGGTGTGTAGAGAAGAATTTTGGTGAAAGTTGACTGGACTGACTGACAGGATGTTTGGTGGTATTATTGAGAGATGGCCGCAGAAAAAAGCAGCACTGGCAGGGACAGCAGCCAGCAGGAGTGGCAGCAGTACCAGACCGTGGTGGTGGCAGCAAGTGGCAGCAGCCAGCAAACCCGTTTCGGCAGAGGCAAAGAGTTTCGTTCGCAACCGCGATCGAGACGTCTCTTTTTGGTGTTTGGCGCAAATACGGTTGGGCAGCAGCAGCCAGCGGCAGCTTTTTTTTTTTTTTTTTTTTCCTTTACTGGACCGTCGAGGGGTGTGTGTGAATAAGGGGCGTGTGGTAGCAGTATTTTGGTACTCGCTCAAGGTAAGGGTGGTTTCGTTTCTCCTCGTTTCTGTGTTTTCTTGTCGTTCTGGACAGCTTCGTTTTGATATCTTTTTCGTCTTCAGGCTTTGTGGTGTTGTTGTCTCGAGAACGGTCTTTGTCGCCGTTTCGTTTTTGCTTGCTTCTGTAGCTTCTTGTCCACAATGTCGCTTCCTCATCCTGACTGGAGGGGGAATCAAGGCTAACTTATACTTTGTAAAAAGAGGTCATGGTCGTTCATTGGGGACCCGCACGATGTGTTGTCACAACCGGCTTGCACGCAGATGTCCAACCTATCCCATCCATACATGCCTCCATACACGCACACTACACCACACTACACTCGACACTACATACCTACATACGCACTTACGCACATACATACCTACATGATGCACATCCCACGGAGCATGTCCACATGCTGTTCGATTGTTCTTGTTCGAGACGTGGGAACCAAACAGGCCCAGTTCTTTCTTTCCCCTCCATTTTTATCAGTCTGCCAGCCAACGAGACGACTCTATCCGCGATCCGCTTGCCTCTTCTCGTCCATCCCGCGAATTACAAATTCTAGAAAGACCAAAAAGGAAGGATGTACATGATATTGCATTGGGCAACTGGCAACTTCTCCCGGCTCCGCTCCGGCTGGATGTCCGCAGACGTGATGATGTTCGACCCTGCAGATACAAAGCACAAATATCGGACGACAAGAATTGCCAACAACTATCCCCTCACCAGGCTAGCCTCCTTTCACTCTTCTAAATCGATGTTCATCGGGCGCCAGCTGCTTGCCACGTCGATTGTAGATTCGAACACCTTCAGCCAGGGGGGGTTCATGTTCCTCAATATTTCCCCACCGTCAGGGGCCATCGTGGGGGGGAGTACACTGCCATGGCGGGAATACGTGTTCATGAGATGGTGCAAGGATCCGCGGGTAACAGGAAGACATGCCCGTCTGAGATTATGGAACAAAGAAAAGTTATGTCCAAGATGTAAACCTGCCTGTGGGTGGCCATGGATAAAAGGGGTTAGGAGGGAAAAGGCCATGCTGTGTGCCTGTCAAATTCAGGTACGCATTAACACGAATGGTGGGTGACTGAGATGTGTCTTCCCCTTGTCTTGTTGTTCATTGGGCGTGTATATCCCATGCCCGAGGCCGTGACCCCTGACTCGTCTCCGTCCGGCTAAGCTGCATGGGCAATTCATCATGTATCGTTCATTCCTTTTGCCCTTCAGTTCAGGTTCCATTTTTATTTTATTATTATTATTTTATTATTTTTATTTCTCTCCGTCCCAATCTTTATGGGGAACTATGCAAGGCAAGGCACAAGCAAGGCGGACGGAATCGCTCCACTACTTACGAACATATGTGTGCGTACTGCAGAAGTCTTGCAGCTCAGACTCCCAGGAACAACCCTGGAAATGGGGAAGGAAGTGCGCGACGTTCCCGCTGCGACCCAGTCGAGTGACAGGGCTAGACTAGTCTCCCGCTTTTAAGCAAGGCTTGCTTGCGTGCGGCCGCTGTGGGGTTGCCTTTCCATTACAGCCTTTGTCATGGTTCATGCCACAGGAGACAACTGTCAGCCCGAAGTGGGTGTTGAGCGGCGGTGGGGACGGAGGAGGGTGTTCGACCGTTACTCCCAGGGGCAATGGCCTTGGCGAGAGAAGGTTGAGGCCCGGCAGGAACCGTCTTATTCTTGTATGTTGGTTTGTGGTTATTAATTCTCCACCTGGTGTACAGATGAAAACCAGTCACAAACTGAATCCAAAGGAGCGAAATCGAAAGAAACAAAGAGTGTAATGCTAACGAACGTTATCTGCCTTAACAAATAGAAACGTCATATTGAGAAGCTCTATTAGGCTGCAAGGATGGCATGTCTCTCGCCACCTTTCACCGAGACGTCAACTTCGGCTAACTTGAGCCTAATTAAGACTGGGATTTACTTCGACTAGGTACGGGAATCGTCATGAACCTTGAAAAGACCACCCCGGCAGGCATTTGGGCATGGACGGGCAGAATAGCCACCTTAAATGAAGCCAGCACAACATGCAGCCAACACCGATCTCAACAGGCCAGGTACTTGAGCCCGTACCCCCAGGGCCAGACTGCCAGAGCCGGAAGCCGTTTCTGGGTCCCACATTGACAAATGATTGAGAGGTCTGACCATCCATACTAGATGCATCATGTACTTGCCTGGATGTGGACGCTCCTCTTGCCTCGCCTCACCGGGGATGGCCCCCCTTTCTGAATGGGTTGATATCGTTTTCACCACCACGCGGACTTCTGCGCATCCAAATAAACCGCTTAAGGAACTAGGGAAATACCGCAGCTCGCCCCCCTCACATGAATCTTTGCGCTTATCCCGATAAGGGCGACTCATCTACCTCACTCGTTCACCGGCCCGGCCTTGGGTTACGGTGGGCGAAGGAGTCGAGAACGATCCTGGCAACACCCTTTGGGCGCTGGTCGCGGCCCTGGGCAGGGCAACGTGGCAACCGGCCGCTGGCCATGGGCCGAATGTTCCACACTGCATTGCATTCGATTGGCATCGAAGCCCCGTCACGGAAGCGTATGTACCTGACTGAAGTCACGTCGACTGTATCTCTTGGACGAACCTCTTCATACACTCCCCTCTTGTTCTCGTACCTCCGTCTGGTTTGCCGATCAAGCATGCGGGATCGGGAGCTCTCATCTAACTATCTGCCCTTTACCCGTTCTTCCCCAGTGCTCGCATGATGACTTTCGAGCTCCACCGGGCAATGCTTTCCGGCGGCATCCTATTGACCAGGCTGCACAGTCACCACCGCAGCTTGCATATCGACGAGCAGACGATCCCATTGGGGCAACACAGCGCCCCCTCCCCACGTTGACAAAAGTATATGAAAAAAAAAGTGTACTTGGACGGCAGATCTACGACCGCCATCAGCGACCATGGCCGGGCTTTGGTCGTCAGGCAAGACCTTGCATGACACTGGCCTGTCAAGGTCTGGGTGCATAAACTATGTGGCTTGCTGAATGACAGGCCGAGGGCACGTCAGGCTCCGGCTCCGGAGAGCTAGCTAACGCAGGCCGAGATGGGGGTTTGCTCTAATCCTTTAACAACCCTACCTTAGCATGTGGGATGGCATGAACGACAAACGGGCCAAGCGGTCCTGCGAACACCTCAATATCGGCTCGACCCTTGCGGCAGCTGTTGAGATTTTGTGAGTAGGGGATACCCTGCGCGAGCTATCGATGCGTTGTCAACTCATCGCTGTTTATGGAAATGCTTGCGTCTGCAGTCGCCAACCACTCATTGGCTCAAAGCCATAGATGCTGAGAGACGGAGAGGAGCGAAGGTTGAACTGGAGATTATCACCCTATTGTGGCTTGGGCGAGACTTCTGCCAGCGGGGTAAGAAAAAACGGTCTTTGAAGACAATGAGGGTAAGCATGGCCTGAAACAGCGGCCAAGTGTTGCTGAGGCCAACCGGTCCGCATCAGGGGCGGAGGTAGGCGTCACCAGCGTGGCCAACCGACATTCAGCCAGACTTGAGCTGTCTCACCTCGGCTTGAACATGATGAACAAACGGGCTGTCCCGTTTTGTTGACAGTAAGACTTCGAGAAGGCTCGTATGAAGGAGCAACAAAAGAAAATGTTCAAAGAAATGAAGTGAAGTGGCAGTTAAATTTCTTGCTGTACCCGCGCGCAAGGGCCCCTTTCCAGGAGAAGAAACACAATGCTACCACTTGGAAGCAATTCAGGGGCCTTTATGATAGGGCAGTGGAAGGGCTTTCTGCAGAATTAGAGCCTATCAGACTTTCCAGTGGCCCAGAAATCTTCCGCAGACCAATTCGAGTTCCTGGGATCCTTCGAATCATGTGCTGAAGAATCGATGCGCCTTTATCTCAAGCATAATTGGACGCACAACGCGAAAAGAGAAGACAATTAAAGCCAATGGCAGGCGCTAGAAAAGCACGTCAGTTAGCCACCGTGGAGGCCCTAGCTGAAAAGGCAATGAGTATCGAGTCGGGCACTGGCCCATCTAGAAGCGAGGGGGCAGACAGAAAAGAATTCGGACCAAGAGCCGCCAGTCCTACCAACGCAGGTTCGGTTGACAAAACCACTACATCAGCCCTGGTACCGTATCATCTAAACGAGCCAAACGGCATGGACATGAGAACGAGAACAGAAGGTCAATCGTCGTAAATGGTCGGTGAGGCGGAAAAATGTAACGCCAGGACGATGGCAAGGGTGATGACCGGGCAAGTGTGAAGAACGACGTTGGCCGAGGAAAACAAATGTGTTTCTGTTGCAGCCGCAAAGGGTGCTATAATGGAACATGATTGGCCGAGACGTAGCTGCGAGGCATTGGGCCGGAGAAATGGGCCGCACCACCACAACAAAGGTCGATAAAACTGACAACACGCCATGTGCTATGAGGGTTGACAGGGATGGCAGGGAGCCATAATCGCAATTGCGTTCGAAAAGCTGAACGGGTGTTGACAGAATCTGGTGTTCGTATACCTAGGAGGCAAATTCGGCCTCTCGCGTCGCTTAACCGCCCGATGTCGTATCCATTCGAATCTTCCATGCCGTGTGACAATGCGGTCCTTACATTTTTGGATGTTCTGATCATCCAGCTCATATTTGGGGGGCCGAGTAATGCGGGCCTGGAGTAATTGCAGCCTCATCTTCGAATAATGATGCAGCATGCGGGCTGCTGCCCTATCCCCTCTATCGTCTTCCGTTTTGGCTTCGGCAAAGACTGAATCCAGTTGGCGCAAAGGCTAGAGTTGGCGGGGGCGAGATGCAGACTCTGCGCTGTTCTAAGGTTGAACTGCGTGGAGTCGGCAAACATGGACAAGGCCGCCGCTGACGTTGCGCCATGGATGTAGGGCGATTGGAGCGGCCTCGAGAGGCAGCCGAGTGACGCATATCTGGCATTCTTGAACAACTGCAGGAACTTGGAAATTTGTCCTTCGCCACCAGGAAATGCCAACTTGGTTTGAAGATGGCGTAGGCGTGGACAAGAGACCCAGGCTAGGGCTCATCAGGCTGGACCAATGATCAGTGGATTGAAGCCCAAATGCGTGAGAGAGGATAGTACCACGGAAGCCGTGGATACCTTTCCGCAGAAAGTATCGTGTTTCGAGGTTGTCCGTCTCCAAATAGGCATCGGGTGTGATGAGGTGGTTGACGGCCCATTTTAGAGACCATGGCTTGTCCAAGTTGACGGCCACATCAACGCGTGTCAAGGGGTGGTGACTTGTAGGGTGATGGCAGGTGCAGTTCCCAGTTACCTGCAGAAGTGGGTATTCAAAAACTGATCGAAAATACTTCTCGGAGCATACTGGGTGGTCATTTCATGGCGAGAGGAAAACTGTGACATGGCGGCTGATGTTCATGGCCGCCGTTGACGAGTAATTGCAACTGGGAGTTGAAGTCGCGCTTTGTGATGAACCTAGGATCCACACCTTAGAAAGCGGGCCTATCGGAGGGATGTCTAAACTGACGCCCATGACTCCGGAGTGGACTTTTTAAAGCCACGCCATGTTTCGGAACGACAGAAGGAGGTCACCGGTCTTCTGCCCCAGGCGATGCTGCCATTGTTCTTGGAAGTGCTGTGGTCGTTGATGCCCCCTAAAAGAAGAACAACCGGGCCAATCAGTGCGCCGGTCCATTGTCCGAAGTAGCGTCAAAGTTCCCATCATCCGGACTATTGATAGAGATACACGAGTTGGTGGCACGGATGCACGCCCTATAACCTCGCAGGACGCTCTGGTATCAATACTATCTGGTATTGATATTACTATCAGTATCAATTTAATTGTAGAGCTGTAAAGAGCACATGTTGCTGAATAAGGAGCTGACAGCATTCTTAGACCCTACTTCAATTGAAATACTACCTAAGGGCATAAATGGTCCATGTAAATATTCGATGCGCCCGTTCAGTGACGTGCATTATACATAAATTGTTCCTAATTGCACATCAGCTCCACGCTTTATGCTGGAAAAGCCCCAATCCCCAGGTTCCTGGTGGATCCAAAGAGTACGTATCGATGCCCCACAGTGTTGGACACCACCGTTACCCCCAAAAAGACGCCATTCCGGTCTAGGTTGAGACGCACTGTAGACTCCCGCTCTGGCTCCCCTTATCCGCGCTCCTACCTGCGCCGAGTGACGCAGCCTGGAACGAAGGAGGCGCAAGCTGTAATGCACCTTACCCCATCCATCCCCGCGCCTCACCAAAGCACCTTCCATCATCACGTCTTTTAGGTCGACCGTCGTCAACGCTCGGGTGGAAGGCACCTGCGATCTTGGTAAAAAAAGAACAAAGTAAACAAAACAAACATCAATAGAGCTATGTGCTCCTTCCGCTTCTGATATCACCATTGACATCACCTTCTCTTGGCCCCAACCTCGATTTTTTGATGCAACAAACTTCCTGTCTTGCCTCTCTTTTGCCCTGTCCCTGTCGCGGGGGCTTTGCATTTTCCCCCTCTCATGAACAAACTTTTGGCCGGTTAGCCTCGCAAGACGCAAGTCGTGGGTGGCCTCTTCACCTTTGGCCCGCATCATTTCGACCTCAATTCGAACTCTTCCGCCCATCAGCCGCCAGTTTTCTCTATATCCACCCATCCAACGAGCCATTTTGAAGGTCGCAAATAGCTAAATGTTACCGAATTTGGTCGGGTCTCAGCTTGGCCAACGACTTTCTCACTGCCGCGCGCAAACGGGTGTTCCTCCTTGTTTCATCGGACCCGCGCGGCACTTCACGCCCCTCTTGATTGCCCGAAGGCTGGCGGGCTTTTCGTGTATGGCGCATCGCCTGATTTGCGCGACACATTCTTTGCCGCTCGGGGCTTTCGGTTTGCGCCTTCTCGCCTGTTGTTAACCGATTCGCGGCAACCTTTCGGCGCACGATCTGTTACCTAACCTTGTCGCCTGGTGAGGCTCTGAAAACAGCACACACAGCGGAGATTACCGGCCGCATTCTGACGCCTGTCGAGAGCCTTGTCACAACTACCGCCGACTTCCAAAGGCAAGAGGGCTATCTACGCCCTTCCAAACTGCCAACACTGCAGTTGCTGCCAACAAGTTTGACCTTAGTGATCCGTTTTTGACACATCCTCTTCCCGTTGTGACCATCTCGTCTTGCAAGCGACCGAGTCAGCCATGGACGCAATGCACGACGAGATGGCCCCCAACCAGCTCACCTGCCCGACCGGTCAACATGTTATATCGCATTCAAATCAACCCCCTCTCGCATCGATCGGACATCATGACCTTGGCGCTGCTCTTCGCATGCCGATCAACCCTATACCTTCGGCGGTCGCTGGTGCCCGACCATGTCCTCCACCAGACGGTGGAATATGTGACGAGGTGCCGCAGCAGACCCTCACGCCCACCTCATCCTCGGCTTACCTGATGTTTCGACGGCCCCGTTACCCCGCGGACGCCAACGTGTTCCTCTCAGACCTTCCCAACGAGCTTTTGCTTCATATCCTCGGCTACCTGGATGTGAATGATCTACTGTCCACTTCGAGGGTAGGCTTCCCCACGCATTGTATCAGTGACAATTTTTGACTCATTCCATCATTCCCTGACACTTCCCTCCCTCTCTTTCGCCCCAGTTTTGTTTCCGTGCCCCTGCTGCTCTGCTCTCCAGTCCGTTTAAGAACTTTGCTGATGACACAGACCAATCACCACCTTCGTCACCTATCTCTCTCGCCAATCCTGCACCATTATCGGCTCCGACACACACGTGCCATTCTGCCTCCTCTACTCGCCTCCCCTTCCCGCCCCTCTCTATCGGAGCTCATTTCCCGGTCCATTTTCCTGACCCATACTTCCGTCGTCTCCCGCCGTCTGGCCCGTTCCCTCGTGTCTATAAGGCTATCGCGCCGCCTCGCCTCTAGACCGTCAGCCGAGGCTCTTGTCGAGCGAGCCGTACTTCCACCCGAGTGCGTTCCTGGCATGAGCATGGTGCAAGTGGCGCCTGCCCTTGTTGCAAAGCGAAGAGCCATTGAAAAAGAGAAGGTAAAGGATGGTCTGAGGAACTGGGTCGAGGGCGTGTGGAAGGGTGAGGTGCGCCAGCGAGAAGAGGGCGTCAAGAAATGGGAGGAGATCAAGGGTGTCGGGAGAGTTTGGCGACTTCGGCGATTCTGGGAGCGGATTTCGAGGGGAGACGGTGCTGGCCTCCGGTAGGTTGCTATATGTGATGTCTTGTGTGAACGATTCGATTTTTGTATGACTTGGACTCGAGATTTTGGTACTTGGGCGTTGGGCTTCCACTCTGTGAGTGGTTTGGATGGCGCATGGTTTCGGCTCGGTATGGAAACGTGTAAACGATTGTATGTCTGATGATGGAACATGGCAACCTAGCTATCAAAGTGTATTATGTTACGTAGCTTTACGTTTTTTGAGGCTAACAAGAAACCGTATATTTGCAAAGCAAGAGCGTGATTCTTTGTCGGTCGAAAGGCAGTATCATGCCGAATCCAACATGTATGTTAAGGAGGTCAGTTGTATTAGGCTACTTTTAAGACTACTTTGTAACTGTGCTGTTGCGACCCATGTGTGCGTGCAAGCGTCAGTGGGGCCAAGACATTACTGTGAGCATTGTGTTCCGGAGAGCTTCTCGCAGCTTCGTTTAGGAAAAGAAAAACGTTACTCGCGGCGCAGACTTGGACTCCATGACCATTCCGGTAACTGTCTCTCTAGAAGATACGTGATATAGACAAGCCAGGCTAGTCTGGCACAGCCGTAGACCGCTCCTAGAACGAACAAGGCCCAGAAAAGCTTGCCTCGGGGCACCTTGTGTGGTTTCGTCTGTTGAGCCTCGACATCGGTGGCAGGTTTGGGTCCAGGTGGCTACAGGGGAACCGTCAGTGGGGATCCAGACATCAAGTGTCAGTGAGGAAGGTAGATTAACTACTTACGGGCCGGGCTGTTCGCGGGGGCGACGGTGCCGACTGACGTTTGCACTCGGGGCAACCCTCCTGACGAGAAGATGGCGGGAGGCACTAGGTTAAGGCAAGGTTTAGCACAAATTACTGAAGGGCCCGGCAGCAATACGGGTCAAGAAACACACCTCTTCACAGTAGACATGGCCGCAGTTGAGAGGTTGGCAGAAGGACGCGCGGCAAGCCCTGCATTGATGGTTGTGTTCTGCAGTATCTTTCGGTGCACCTGTATTTGTGGGCGACTGAGTGCCAGAGCGCGTAGACGCTGGAGGAGTGCCCGGCTCGGTTCTCTGCTCAGCGATTGTGGACAATTCTCCGCCGTTGCGGGTGTGGCCAGGAGTTCCGGGCTGTGCGATAGTGCTCATTGTGTCTCTTTTTGCAAACTTTGGGGGGTGGTTTTGGACGTTGTTGTTTTACAAGCTTTTGACAGGTTCGTTGGGCCTGCTGCGCAAAGGGGAACGCCAGCTGCAATATCGAGAATGAAGGATAGGGGACGCAAGATATCGAAAATTCTGTTTCCGCCGAAAGGGATAGTCGTGATTCTGTTTGTAGTGGCTTTTATGACGGATGCAAACGTTAATGACTAGTTGGTCTGTCTGGTTTGAGGGGGTTTGGTAGTGAGAGGCCAGAAGAAGTTCATTTTGATGCAGTCAAAGCCAGCGACAAAAGCAGTGACTCCTGAGCAATTGCTGCCTCCTGTCACTCGGGGAAATTATTCTGTTGCTTTGGAGGAGTTGAAGTGCCTTCCCAAGCAGCAAATGCGCTGAATGAATGTGGAAGGTGCCATGTTCGAAAGCAATCCCTGAGGTAGTTGCATAAGGGGGTTCCTCCCTGGACAAAATGATCTCTCCGTTTTGTTGTAAGGTACTTTGCTATTATTTGACCACTATTCCAATATGTTATCATCAAAAAGACAATTCCATGCTCTTCCTCATCATCTTCTTTGCTTGCATCGTGTCAAACGCCGAGTGTGCCCAGGAGATTTCAGCACTAGGGAGGTGCAAACCACGACAGCACCTTGATGAGCATCGACGGTTGAGCCTAAATTCGTTTTCCACCTTCAAACATACATTAAATTGCTATGAATAACATCTCTACCATCCAGGGATGATGACCAATGACTAAATTGCAGAGATTGCCGGTATTGCATGCCCCGGTTGGCAAAATTATGTTCCATGAATATTCACATTTCTCTATATGCTATTCCCTTGCGCACAATATTACCATTCAACGGTTTATTTTTACGGCCTGTGCCACTATGCTGCCCGCCGCCGCCCGCTCTCAGTGTTTTCCACCAAAGAATGTAACAGTACTCAAAGTTGGGTCACTATTATAAGCCCTAACGCAGCCGCCCAGATGAAGCCTCGGGCCCAGGATTTTGTCTACGTCCGATTAGCACGAGTTTCTGCGCAAATAAAGAACATCAGAAATACGACCAACAAATTTCGTAAAAGTGACCTTGCTTCAGGCACCTCAGTCGTCATAGGGGGGCTTATCTGTTTACTTACATCTTGAACCATGACTTCTAAATCGAGACATATGCTCGCTTGCTGATTTGGTCCACCGATATTTGGAGGAAGGTATGACTCAAACGAACCAAAGGAAGAAGTTGGGGAAGGAAGGGGATCAAGATGTGTCCTGTTACGGGGAAGAACGTACGGTCTGCCCTGTGAATCAGGGGGCGATGCGCTGGTCCTCAAGACCCGGCTCGTACGGATTAGCCTGTTTTGGGCCGTAGCACGGTGAAGTCTTTGCACAGCTCTCAACTGAGCCGAAAGTAAAATAGTGGCCGAGGTTCCTGCTGTGTTTGTACCCTGGGGTTCTTCGTCGTTGGCGCTCGACATCTCCTCGTCATTGGACCCTTCGCCATCTTCATCACTGTCGTATTGCTCGTCCTCCTTCGCATCCTCTGTGAACGTCGTGTCACTGCTCGCATTACCAAACTCGCTGCTGCTGTCATCAAGATCAGTATCGCACCCGTTGAGGCGCCAGAGGCATTTTGTCTCTCCGATACTTTTGCCAGCAGCCCGGGCTGCATCATCTTCGCCCTTTCTCCAGATAGCCCATGATCTAAGAGCTTTGAAGTTGTCTCTTATCTACAAAATTCGTCAGCCACTGCACGATGATTTCTTCGCACATTTAACCTCCTAGTGCCTACCATGATCGAGTGGCTAAGGCTAGGTTCCCGTTCAAGCCCGTCTTCGGAGCACCTTGCCGCACACCAGATCTCTTGGCGGCATACAGGGCATATGCCGTAGCCTACAGTTGAATTGCTGATTTGAGCCTGTCTCACGGCTGCAAAGTTGCCGCCGAGTAGTACCGCCGCGCAGTTCATGCAGTAGCTGTGCCCGCAGGTTGCAGTGTACATCTTCTCAAGCAGCCTGTAGCAGATCTGGCACATGCTGGCTTCCACCATTTGATCGAGGATCTCATGCGTGTCCACGAATCCGGCCTTGTGCTTCGCAACGTTCCTCTGCTTGTCTTGGATTGCTGCCATGTTGTCGGACGGCTGTGGCTTTTTTTCTTTCTTTTTGTCTTTCCGAAGCTGTCTTGGCTGCTGCTGGCCTCACTTTGTTTTCTCATCCGCCAAGAAATTACAAGGCGACAGGTGACTGTTTATAATTGCCGGAGAAGATGAATTATGGGTTTTTATCGGAGATCGCTCGAAAAGTCTGTGTTAGTGCCATGATTCTAGTTAGGTCGGCACGCATAGAGTTCACGATTCCCTAGGGACTGGACACTCTGACACACCCTACTGGGCCGGAAAACTACCTGAACTCACTTGTACATATCCATGCTGTGTAAGACCTAAGCCTGTCTTCCGGATTATGAAATCAAAAGTGCAAAGTTATTTTAAATCTCACCGGCTCAGGAACATAATACGATCAACGAGGAACATGATTGTGTGCGACTCAGGAGGTGAAAAGTCGTTAAGCCCCTTTCAGAGCAGCAGATAACTTGTATTCACCTCAATCAAGTTCCTTCAACCAGGTTGAAGTTTACTCTATCAGGGTGAAGACTCATTGTCAATTTGCAGTATCACAGAAAAGAACATGCCAAGCCTGGGTCGCTTTGTAGCATAGGTATTTGAAGTACTCCCAGAACACCAAACAGAGCTAAAAGGCTTCGCCAGGTCAACCGACCAAATACTTACGAAATGCTCAAATGGGACTGCTGGCAGCTTTCTTTTTCAAACATGGTGGAGCCCGCACTCAATGTGTGCTGGCTGCAAAAGTGAAAACCCCAGGAGAGTCTGTGTAACGCAAAACTCTGGTAGATGAATTTACGTCAAATTGAGTACCAGGAAATAGCATGAATTCAAATATTGATTTTTTTTTTTTCTCGCAAACACGAAGGAATCAAGAGCAAGAGCAAGAGCAAGAACAAGACATAATCCCACCCAAGCTATGCAACGCCGTGCAAACCATGCTAAATAACTAATTTTGTTTCATAAAATCAACAACACCGACTACCATATCCTCTTCGCAATCATTTCGTACCGGTAAACGCCGTTGTAATCGCCCTCGGGCGGCTTCTCCGTTTTTTGGACCCGCCCCTTGCCGCCTTTCAACCCCTCCTTTTCATCCGCGTGTATCCACCGCCGCCTGTCCTCCGTGACCTCGATGTGACCATAGCCGCCAACGCGCTTGCCCTTGGCATCGTAAACCTCGCGCTCCTCCTGGCCCGTCGCTACCATGTGCTCCTTGCGCTTCATATTCGCGTATCGATTGCGCGAGTACCGAAGCAGTACCATGCCCAACAAAAGCTTGATGATGAGCAAGACGAGGAAGGCAATAAAAAAGACGACAATCATGGTTACTGCAGCGATGACATCATCGCTATTCCACGACCACCATGACCGCGTCTTGACGTTGGAAGCTCCATACGGGTCGCCGTACACCGCCCGACCCAGAGCGTCACGGAGGAGGGTGTCGAGACGGTCAAGAGCGGCTACCATCACAGGCGAAGATGGTGTTGCGGACTCCACTGATAGAGACGTTTGTGTCGACTCAGGGATGGGGGTTGGAATGCGTGTGGAAAGAAACATGTGATATGTTTGAACTGACGCTCGGATGAAGAGACAAGACAGAGGGATGACGGCGAGACCTAGTCGTCGAGTTAACGACGGGGTAACAAAGGCCTAGGAATTCGTTAGTGTCTGCGATTAGTGGTTCTGGCGGGTTACCCACATTAGTGTAATAGTCTTTGCACAGGATGTCAAGGATACGGCTGTAGAATGTCGGCTTGATGTTGTTAAACTTGTTGACATAGGCATGCTTGATCGTGTCTACCAGCATCTCGCTGCCTATAACGATTAGGAACGGAGAAAGAACCTCGCCGGACCACACCCATGACGGAAGCACCGTGAAGCTGAATGGCAGAATAGAAGGGCTGTGAAGTGGCATGGAACCTCCGCCCATATCGCTACCACTATCAGATCCAGCGCCAGGCACCGAAAGACCACCGACTTCCACAATGTTACGCATGCCAATAATCAACAGCATGATCCAGAGCTGAAAACGCTCGACGATATCGGCACATGTAAGCTGAAACAGATTGTCCTTCTCAAAGCGCTTGAAAACTGTGCTCTTGATCTCGACAAACTGATTCGAGATCATCAAAGTCAAGAGTGCATTCGAGTATGAGTTGACAGCTACGTTCAGCGTAATGACCTGATAGTATAGAGAAACCGAATGGACGACGTTGTAGGCGAGAGCAAGGGCGAACATGCCCATAGGTAGAAGAATCTTTGAGCGACCAGAGCTGTTTCTGGACAACGTCTCCGAGCTGAATAAACACTCAAATATGTCCTGCCCGATGGCTGAAAGAAGACGATCGCCAACCTAAAGGTTCATGAGTATGGTGATGAACCTGAAAGTGTGACAGATTTGCTTACCTCGAGAACATTGTAAATGACATACAGTTTGATGCCATCTTGTGCCCGAATGAAGTGGTACATCCGGCTAGCATCTAACCTCATAAGAAACAGCGAGCTGCATAGAATAACGGCGCCTTGCAGCAGATCTGCCTTATGAAAGGAAGACAGATTGGATGGCATCGACTTCGTCCTCCTATGACGATGTTGCCGATGTCCGGGCACGTGAGCGGAATGGTGACCCGCAGAAGGAGTCACCCTATAACTGACTGTATGCCCGTTCCCATTCATCTTAACCTCTTGTTCAATCACATGGTTAACGTTGGGCTTCCCTTCCGCCTCGGCAAGCTTAGTTTCCGAATCGACACGGATTGAAGGGACTTCGTTGGGGGCTCTGGATTCTGCGGCGACGCTTGATGTACGCCTTTGTGCTGGTCGGCTTTGACTTCTGTCACGGCTAACAAGATGGTCAGGGTCTTTTTGTTGAGTGGACGACGACGCTTTTCTGGCCCTAGGACGCCGGGCTCTAGCCCAAACCCTGCCCAGCCCGTACCAAACGAAACCGATCATCCAGCGAGCCTCCTTCCCAGCAAGATATCCCCACCACTTCACCAACACACCCAAGGCGATGCAAAACCTTATTGGCAGAATGGTAAAGTTGTATAGCCAGGCATCAAGACATGCCAACGCACCAAAGTACAGGGTCCGCTCTAGAAAGGACGGCAACAGGAGGACGTTCTTCAGTCTTTCCCATTTGATAACGTACGACTCGTATGGGATATCATTAGTGTGAGAGTGATGTATGTACAGAGGGCTCGGTCGTTGCGCTGCCAATTCTAGCTGAAGGTGTGTTGGTATGGACATGGGGGGGAGGGGTATCGACGGAGGAAGAGGCGAGGGCGGGAAGGGGTCATTTCGCTGAGGCTTCAACTGCTGAGACGGTGGTGGTATCTGGATTTGCGGGGGCTTGTTTTGCGTATGCAGTTGAGGACTAACGGCGTTGAAGTGTGTGGCTGCCTCAATATTCAATGGAGGTGGCCTAGCAACAGTGTAGAACGAATTCCGGCGGGGTGAACTGGTTTGAGACTGGGACTGTCTTCGGTTTGTAGGCGGCGTAGAAAGTGTTCTTCCGGAGATCGGCCGACGCCATTCATCTGACTGTCGCGATCTACTCCCACCATCGGTCACGGGCCCGTTACGCCGTAGGGAGTCCGGCTGGCTAAGGATCGACTGTCGGATGGCTTGCAGCTGCTCAGCGATGGGGATGCGTGCTGACCTTTCCTGATCGCTGACGGCCTCGTCTGGGACAACGGCCACGGGCAATGCTTCGGGAGCCTGAAGTTGCTGTATTCCTGCCGCAGATAACCTCCTAACATTATCGTGGCTGTGATTCTTCTTCATGGATGCGGAACTGGATCCGGCCCTTGCTCTTGTCGTGTGCACCACGTCCTCCTTTTTATCAGCCTCCTTCTTCTCGACGGCCGTCGCAGGCTCTGATGTGGATGACGAGTTTGAAGACTCCTGGTGATCGGGTTTGCTGTGCGTCGAAGAGGCATCAGAGGATTGATCTTCATCGGAGTGACCGCCGGGTATCGTAGGGAGGGTGGAGGTCGGAGGGGCGCTCGCGGAAACATTGGGGAGAGGCGGGAGAGGAATGTGCGAAACTTTGATATCGCTTTTGGTGTTTACTGTGTCATCGTCGAAAGCTGAGCCCTCGGGAGGGAATGCAGGCATGGCCGGAAAGGCCTCGACCGGCTCGGGAGGCATGGTGGTGGAATTTCCAGAAGCTCCATTGTTATCGGCCCCTCGGTCCTCGTGCTGTTCACTCTCTGACATTCCCAAGCCCTTCACTTTCGTTCCTAATCGAGATGTATCGGCGCCATTCGCTTATGGGAGCGGGATTGCTTGAATCGCGGAACACACAAGGCTAGAGCTAAGATAGTTGGGCGAATGGGATAGGGCGAGGTATGGATTGACGGGTTTCGATAGGTGGTGCCGCCGAGAGGCTCAAGCGATTAGCCTTGCAGTTTGCAGTTCTTCGCAGGTCGCGAGTGGGGGAAGGGCTACCTGTGGCGGAAGATCTCTTAAGGGCGATTGGGTTGCTGAACAGGGAAACCCGTGCCACGGTTGGGAAAAGAACACTGTGGAGCCGCTACGGAGCACTTTGGATTTGAAAATGGCACCACGGCTTAGAGTGACGTAGCGCAGTACGGCACATGGACTTGCGCTGTGTTCAGCCCCTCTAGCCAAGGTGCTAGCGAGGCGGCAGTGTGAGTCAGCTCAGGGATGAACCTAAGTACTCCGTACTAATTTACAATGCTAGTAGCACATAGATAGATACTCCATACTGTGTCCGGAACAGTTTCGGTGAGCTCACCCGAGTGGGGCCAAGGTGAGAAGACCACTCACCGAGATGAGAACTAAAGGCACTGCGGCGGTTCTGGTTTGGCAGGAGGACCTGCTACAAGCAGGCGTACAGTCAACCTTACATAATTCAGGGTTCCAAGAGTGGGCATCGCGCCTGGTAGTTACAGAATACTGGATTTCACAATTGCCTAAATAGGTAACTGCAACAATCTTACAATGGAAATACAGATCCAAGGCAATTGGCGGAATTCCAATTTTCAAAGTACTGGCAACTTCCCAGCATCTCCCATTTTGTTTCCTTCTTTTTTTTTGTTTTCCTTTCTCCCTCGCCTGAGTCAGCAGTATAGAAAGAAATACTTCCGATAAATATCTTCCACTTTAGATCCATGACGGTCTCGATCCAAGACCCATTCATCATTTTGACATCTCCGTGACCTGAAAGTCTCCACCTTATGTCCGTTACTGCCGCTACTCAATGCCGCTTCGGGACCGTGTCGGTCAAGAGAAGCCCTTAGCCGTCTTCCTCTCTTCAAAGCGCTAGAAACCCGAGCTATGCGGAATCTTCGGCGAACTGCGGATACGGCGTCGAAGAAAAAACGCCGAAAGCCTTTGCCTTTTTACATCCGTGTGGCATCTTGTCTCATCTGGAGGGGTCCGTTATGACCGCCTCACAGAACTCAGCGCCAATTGTTGAGCTGCATACTTCATTGTGATGGATCGGATCGGATCTTGGCCCACCCAACTTCCCAGTCTGGTACCCAAGAAGACCAAAAAAGGACCCGTCCAAGAGGGGCCAAGTCACAATGAAGGTCTGCCTGCTTGGTAATACCTCATGCCTCACGTCAACGCCCGGCACTCTTGGTCCGTGGGGGCCCCTCCCCCCAGTTCAATGTCCAAACTCTTAAGCATGTCAATGCCCTTTTTCTCTTCGCAGCGCGCCCCATCTTCAGCTTGTTTCTACTCAAGATAATCACATCTCAACTTCACTATACACAATGGCTTCCAACCCCCCCGGACAATGCTGCACCGTCGGCGTCAAGCATGAGTACGTATAAAAACCTGGTCAAACAACACCCCGCCTGTCTGCCCCTCCCCCACTTTGGAAAGCTTGATTCCCTGGATGCTGTACCCAAGCTCCTAGTCCAGGCACTGCTATCTGTCGCGAACTCAATTTCTCCCCCACTCCGACTAATGGTCTTTGCTAACCAGCTCAATTGATGTAAAGGGGAACTCCTCAGGGCAAGAAGATCACAGTCGCCGGCAAGTATGAGGGCTACCTCGCTGAGGCTCCCGCCGACAAGGCGCACAAGAACACCGGTATCCTCTTCGTCGCAGATGTCTTCGGCATCTGGAACAACAGCCAGCTCCTGGCTGACCAGTTCGCCGCCAACGGCTACACCACCTTGATCGTTGATCTCTTCAATGGCGATCAATTGAATCTCCCCCTCCCCGAGGGCTTCGATATTATGAAGTGGTTTGCCGAGGGTAGCGACGGCCAGAACCCCCACACCAAGGAGGTCGTTGACCCCATCATTGTCGACTCCATCAAGTACTTCCAGCAAGAGCACAACATCACGAAGCTCGGTGCCGTCGGCTACTGCTTCGGTGCCAAGGTAAGCCTCTTGTTCCTGACTGAAAAATCTTTAGCGCAGCATAGCTAACGTCACCGCACTAGTACGTCATCCGCCACTACCAGGACGGCATCAAGGTCGGCTTCGTCGCTCACCCCAGCTTTGTCGAGGAGGATGAGCTCGCTGCCATCCCCGGTCCTCTCTCCATCGCCGCCGCCGAGACCGACAGCATCTTCCCTACCGAGAAGCGCCACAAGTCCGAGGAAATTCTGCAGAAGACGGGCCAGCCGTATCAGATCAACCTTTACTCTGGTGTCGTTCACGGCTTCGCTGTCCGCTGCGACACCAGCAAGAAGGTTGAGAAGTATGCCAAGGAGCAGGCCTTCTACCAGGCAATCGCCTGGTTTGATGAGCACCTTTTGTGACTCAATGACGAAGAAGTGAGAGAAGAGCCTAAGCTGTGAATAACTTCCAGCCGTGTTCTTATGGAAAAGGCGTTGATGAATGAATATACCAAATTTTATGAGCTATTTTCTTTGAATTATTCGCGTACTAATGTGATGTGCCAACTTGCAGCTTTGAATCGGTTTCCATGGTCAAGGTGAATCAATTCGATCTCGCCCAGTAGTTTTTGATGAAGTCGGCACATCTCTCGGCCACCATATAAATTGGCGCCGCTGTGTGGGCAGACGTGTTACTCGGGAACACACTCGCATCGGCGATTCTCAAATTCGTGAATCCGTGGACCCTCAAATCTTGCCCGACGACACCACCGTCTTCCACCGGCGCCATACGACAGGTCGAAGTCGGATGATAAAAGTTGCGCATTCGTTTCTTAATGTACGCGTCAATCTCTTCGTCCGAAACATCTGTCCAGCTGCCTTTCACAGTCCCTGTCGTTGCCCCCGGGGCAAGGTGCCAGACGCAGTTGAATGGGTAGTCCGTCTTTCGTAACGCTTCGACGTAGTTCATGGCAAACCGGGCCCCTTTGCGCGCCACCGCCCAGTCGCGCGGGTCTGTGATGTACTGGTAATGGTATTTCGGCAGGGCAAGAGGGTCGGAGGATGCGAGTTCGATTCGGCCTTCCGAGAACGGCTGTACTAAGGCTACTTGAAAGCCGCAGTATCCTTTGCCCGCCTGGTAATCAAACGCCGCGTTGAAGAACAGAAGTTCGAGATCCGGTAGGTTCTCTGGAAGAGCGGCATCTTCCCTGTCGTGATTTTCCCCAAAGGCGTTTCCCTGCGATTTCACAGTCATTGTTGCCTCGTCAATGTTCTTACTTTGGATCCAAGCACATAATCTACCCCCCGAAGTTGATAGAATTCCCGTTTTGGTTACCAAGTAAACGAGGAAAAGCCAGATCGCGGTGAAGGGGTTCAACATGCGGAGGTAGGAATCGATGAGGCGGACTTCGAAGGTGATGGCGAACGCGACATGGTCGTGAAGGTTTGCGCCGACGCCCGGCAAGTCCTGTACGCAGTTGATCTTGTGGTCTTTGAGTTTCTCCCTTGGACCAATTCCGCTAAAACTTGTAAGTGAGTTGAGCCTAAAATGATAATGTATGGAACCTACTCACCTCAGCATGAGAAGTTGAGGGGTGAAGAGCGTGCCGCAGCAAATGATGACCTCCCTGTTTGCTTGAACGAGACACTCTTTCCCCGCTTTCTGATTGAGGTGATCCAGAAGGTAAACGCCAGTTACTCGCGTGCCATCTTGGCTCAGTTGGAGCCTAGTAGCTACAGCGCCTCCGCAAATAGTCAATCTCTCTTTGCGCTCAAGTGCAAGCGACTTGGGCAGATATGCTGCGTAGGATGAGTGGCGGTACCCGGATTTGTCAATCATGTGCTCAACAGTGAAAAGACCTTCTGACGGAGCTTTCGGGTTGTTTGCATCATGGCGCACAGGCAGATTGAGATGACTTGCCGCCAGCTCGATGCTGTGTCTTAGATCAGTTACAACCATACAATAACGGAGAGGGGCTTCATACTAATTATCAACAGACGCCACAGCAGGGTCTTGTCTGAGGTGGATTGGCCCTAAAAAGCAACCGCCATTAGTACGCCTAGGAGGTCAAAAATAGAAGATGAATGACAGGAACCCACCAGAATGGCCTCGATAAGGAGCTTCTGCCTGACTATGGGCGTTCTCCAGCTTCTTGAAGTACGGTTCACATTTCTCGAAACTCCACTCATCATTACCGAGTGCTGCCCACTTGTTGTAATTGCCAGGGGAACCACGTGTGTACATCAGCCCATTGATGTTCGACGCTCCACCGAGAGATTGAGATGTGAAAATCCTAGCTTTGATTCCATCCCACCGATCATCTGTTTCCGACCAGAGTGTGTCAATGTTGGAGCCCTGGTTCTCTCTAGCGCCGCCGACGATAGGGATACTACTGATCCAATCGTCCTGGATCTTTCCCTTGGAAATAAGGAGGACGCTGACATTAAGATCTTCGCTGAGTCGAGATGCTAGAGCGCATGCTGCTGTTCCACCTAGGTACTTAGGGTTAGCCAGGACAGACCTGCTGTCGATTGTCATGCTCACCCCCAACTATAACATAATCGAAGCTCTTGCGGTCAACATCCACGACACGCCGCTCTGGATACGAATGACTAAATGGCCAAAACATGGCGACAGTGTATGAACAGAATGCTGCATGTGGAACAAGTCGAGAAATGCAGTGCTTGTCTGCCTGTCTTATAAAAGACAAACACCAAATGAGGTATCACGCTATCCCTCTACGGTAGCTGAGTAAAGGCGGTAAGCGGTATATTAAGCGCTTACGGCTTGGTCTTGGAAATACCGGATCTCACCTAGTGTTGAAGCATGTTGTCTGGGCATCATGACAAAGGAGGCATTTATACGTATCATATGCTCGATTATTAATAAAGAGAAACCAACTCAGATCTTGAGGGCGAAACACCACCAATCACCGTAACTACAGGTTGATTGTCTACCTTGTCAGCGAGCAAAAATGCCGTTATGATAAGTCATGTGATTCTTTACTTGACACTCAAAACTCTGGATTAATGTGACACATCAGGTCTGTCCATTATGATGGAGAAGGGCGCGTGAGATTCAAAAGTCTATAACACCAGTCTCATGAAGGCAGTCACACTGGCTGGAGTGACATTTAGCAGGAGCCTGTGGTATGGGGCGTGGGTCAATTACGCGATAAGGATTGATAAGAAATGTGCCAACGATCGGTTAGGAAAGCTTAACAGTTGGGCTCCAGCGGGCAAACTCATACTGGAACGCTATGGCCTGGCCTTCACTGCCTCCTATCCCACAAGTTGCCGGCCCGTGGATTGCACTGACGTTTGGTTCGTACGGCGGGCCGCTCCTAGTTCTGTTTGGCTTTTGGCACATTCGAAAAAGAGTACTTGCACTGCCACTTTCCCCCACCCAAAATCGGGGGACTTTTAACGTCCATCATCACCAGCGCCAATCTTCCACGTCAACATACATGCAGCACTGCAATAATCATGGCGCGGTGCCTCCAAATGCAGCTGCCTACTACTGTTCCACAACCCCATCACGCAACACTGCAAAATAGCGCCATACAAGCCACGAGCTAGTGACCGATAGGGCTACTGAGCAAGACAAGGGGACCATGCAACGGCAGGGGGCTCGATGGGGCGTCCCTCTTTGGAGAATGGAGATGGCTGGGCTCACAGGCTGACTGCTGACAGAATGAGCACCACTGGACAGCACAAAATCGCGGCAATCGATGGCCCTTTGCTGGACTGTTGGGTAGCTGGCAGCAGCTGGAAGTCAGCCCATCCGCCATCCATCCAACGGAGTCCAACCCGTCCGTCCCTTTCCCTACCATTGCAGCGGCTGTGCCGCCATCGCGCGCTAGCTCGTCGTGCAGCCTCGTCTCCTCTGCTCTGCTGCAGCTCTTTCCTAACTTCGACACACCTGACACTCCCAGGTCTCCTCCTGGGTCGCCGTCTGGCAGTCGAATAAAAACAAAACTGATCAAAAGTGTCATGAGGGTCGGCTCCCTCACACCGTCTATGGCCTCATCGACCGTACCTCTCTACGAACCCGATCTTTGACCGCGAGCGATTCAATCCCCGAAAGTATACACTCAATTGCAGTTTTCCAATCGATATTGTCATCAAGAGGAGAGCGGCAAACTGCGGCATAACTCGACGTCCCCGTCCAAGCCTAAGCCTAGACGCCAACCATGACGACGGGCATGAGCGAGGAGCAGTTCAACCGAACTCTCCAGGCGATTAACGACAACGTCAATGACGATGACAACGAACTCTACGTGGCTATTGCCGCGCTGGTCATCTCACTGATTGCGCTTCTCGCCTCTATTCTTCAAGTTGCTCAACAATACTACGCTTCCGCCGCTGGCTACTCCAGCTGCGACGAAAAGGCAATAGGGAAATGGGCAGCATGGAGGAAACGGCAGCTTAGGCCCTATGAGTTTCGTTTTGAAGTTCAGTTCGAAGCTCCCGTCATATTCCTGTGCCCGCCCAAAAACGACAAAGGTCCTGTCAAGAACACGCCCATCTACTGCATCGATGGCAGCAGGGAAAGCTTGGACAATACCAAGTCGGATTTGCAGACAGAAATGCAGATGAAAGACCAGAACAAGTCTGACAAGGAAATACACAAGCAATCGGTGCACACGGCCGACAATGAGCTTGCCTCTTGGGTCACACTTCTTTCTGCTCTACAACAAATGGAACATGACTCCCGGGCCTGGCAGAAAAGCAAATACGAAGAAAAGACAAAACCGACGCAACCACCAAGAGCCTCTACCCAAAATACCCCCCAGGAAAACATCGACCAAGTACTTGATGAGGTGAAGGAGCACTATACCCTGGCAGTGGCTGTACAGAGGAAGCTCAGGAGCTGGGACACGATGCCATCGAATGTCAAGAAACCTTATGCCACCACGACATGGTGTCATATCGTCGAAATGCTAGCCTTGCTCGGCGTCTACTGGGTTGAGTTTGACAGGACCAACGACAGATACCGTGGGGAAGGCAATGGCTATACCGTGACGGGAACCAAAGTTAACGACCTCGGCATAATGTTTACGTTCCAAGTCCATGGGCGCAATCGCTTCGAGGCCAATCGGATCATCCCGATAGACGAGGTTAAGGAACTCTGCTTCGGTTTTGTCCCGACCATATACCGTTCCAAATCTGATGGACGACGGTTGAAGTTTCCCAACGAAGAGTCCAGAGATCTGTCGACGCTGAACTTTGCCAGCATGGACGAGATTGGAGAAGCGCTTGTTTTGATCGGCTGCAACACGAACACTGTGAACTATTTTACGGCAAAATCCAAGACAGCCAGGGTCATTCATTTGTTCCCTAGTAAGTTCGGCTACCCCCCACAGACGTCAAGCGAGTCAGTATTCTTGTGTCTAACCGCTTTCTTGCAGTCGCTTTTGAGATCATTGGGATGCTGGGACGGACTCTCCACATTGAGAAGAGTGCATTCCGCCAGCTTCCCAACCCTACTCTCTTCCGCTGGGACAAGAAGAACTTCTCGCTAAACAAGCTGCTCGATGCGTACTCTTTCCAATTGAGAAGGCAGTTTGGATTTTCAAAGACTCCCAGCAGCGTAATCAAGGTTATTTGGAGGCATATAGTGCACTTGCAAAGCGAGATTGAAAAACTGCCTCCCACTTCTGAACGGGGCAACTGGCTGAGTTTGCCGCTTATGGATGCATTGCACGCGTCTCTCGACGATATGGATGAGGTTCTCACGGCCAAGAAGAAGGAACGACCACCAATCAAGAAGACGTACACGACGAAATCCAACCTCGCCACCATGGTCTCGGAGAAACCCGCACCGCCACCACAGCCGGAGGCAGCTCCTAAAGAACAACCAGGCGAGGCCAGGCGACGAGAACTGGTCCAAGATGTGCTGCGCAGTCACATCCAGGCGGTCCTATCTGGGTTCAATGAGAAGCCCACCAAGCCTGCCCAGGAAGCTTCCAGCGGAAACCAGCCTGTGGGAACCAGGACAAAATCCCGTTTCGAAGCGATGGATGCCGCGCCTCCAGAGCTGAGGCAAGACAAACTTATGGAAGTGTACTTCAAGGTTGTCCGGCGCAAGGTCAAGAACCAAGCGCAGAAGTTAACATATGCGGACCGGCGAGCCGATGAACCGCAGACGCCTCGAGGACCAGCCCCGGCACCTACCGGCTTTGGCCTGAGGCCTAGGCGGACAGGCCTGAGTGTGCGGACGGCGTTGACGGAAGAGTCAGACGAAGAATCAGAGGAAGGATCGATTATGGAGGAGGAGCTGCTTGATATCGCGGACGATGGGGCACACATCAACATGCTGGATCCGAAACTAGAGGTTACGCACGAGGATATCTGGTGCACCCTGGTGTTCCGGATGATTTGCTGGCTCATGCTCCACGATTTCCACAAGAATGATGTACAGGAGGTGTCGAAGAGCGAGCTGTTAGGTAGTCGACTCCCGGTTTACATCGCCTAGTCGACCGGCGCCGTGGTAATGTTTGGTTGCATCCAAAGGAACAGGAATACTCTATGAGTTGGGATGAAGTTGGCATGATGAAGCAAACACTGAAGATTATGGGGCATTTTTCTTCTTCCTTTTCTTTTCCTCCCCTTCTAACCCTTGGTTTGCATAAAGCGAGTTTACCGGGAAAAGGGGCATGATGATCACCCAACAACCAAAACTGCATGATAGATTTTTGTGTTTAAGATTATTCACGAATGATGATTTCTTATGACTACTTTGAGCTAAATTTCCGCTGTCGGTTGACAATACGTGGACAATGAACAATGCATGGAAACAATCAAATGGACACGGCGCATTCGACGGGCCGGCCAGATGAGACTGGAACGGGACGGTCGGTCTAGATCATCGGGGTTCACCATTGCGTATTACGGCCGTGTCAATGTCCCAGATTCCAGAGTGCGACCGGAAGAAGGGGAGGCCCAGGGGGCCGGGGGAGGGGGGAAACGATCTAGTGAGGGAACCCGGCGTATGGGTCCCGGGGGGGGGGGGGGGAGGAAGCTGGGAACGGATGGCCGATTGAGATATGCGGGGCCCCCGTCACTTTGTTCGTCACCGAGGAACTGACGAAGCTAATGGGGTTTTTTTGTTGTGCACTGCGCTGGAAGGATGGTAGTTTGCAATATTTCCCCCCATTTCTTGGTTTTTTTTCTTCTTGTTCTTTTCGGAGTGCTCCGGTCCTCAGAGGTTCGGTTCTACATTCCCCCCCTCCTCTACTCTAGCGAGCGGCGCGGAAAAAGGGGCCGCTAGGCTTGATCGGGGCGGGCGGCGGTAAGCATGAGTGTAGTAGGAGTAGGAGGTGGGAGAGGTTCAGAGAGGGGGAAAGGGGAGGAGGCCCCCCGGGGGCTAGCAGAGTGAGGTGCGTGCTGACCGGGTGCTGGAGTACATATAGAGAGGGCAGTGTACCGGTCGTCGCCCCCCCCCCCCCCCCCGTGAGAGGGAGCCTGGGTGGAGATGTGGGTGGCAGGCCTCGCCGGCCCGTCACGTGGGCTGACGGCCGCCACCACTGGTCTTAGCCAGCCTCCACAGCCCTCTAGCCAGTTAGTTAGTTCTTCCAACCAACAACACCACTTTTCCCATTCTGAGCGTTCTGTGCTGGTTTTCGCCCACAGGAGATGTACCGTGTTATGGGTTCGGAGCAGGCGAGAGTGGCCAAGGAAAAGGAGCGAGGAGGCGGAGAGCGTGGCTGAAGGAGGGGAAAGAAATAAAAACAAAAACCTGCTTACGAAGGAAGCTCAAAGACCGAGGTAGTGTAGGCTTTTATTTTTGTGTTTTTTTGTATTGCTGCAAACAGGGAAAAGATGAGCAGATGTTTGTTGCTACTAATTTATGATGAAAGGTGGATGTACGAGGGGTTACTTCGCTTGTAAGAGGGCATTTCCCCATTCCCCCTTCCCCCTTCCTCTGTTTTGATGTGTGTGATGTGATGGGAAGTGTGTGCGATGCGTATCGGGTCTGGGGACTGATACGGTCAAGACACGGTGCCGCGACAGAGACCGGCCCCGTCAATGTCACGCACTGGAAACTTGTCAACTCATCTGATAGTCGCTGGTTCATTGGGTATGGGATTTGGGAATATTGTCTTGAGTCGACATGAACGCAACAATTAAAAAGAAATCAGTACCCAAATAAATGATCATCATTGTAGTGCACTCACTATGCGTCTGGTCTGCAATGGAAGGACGAATGCAGACAGTAGTGCCGATGGTTCGACGAAAAGACTGACAAAACCTAGGTTTCTTTTGGCGTGCAGAAAATGATCTATTCTTGTCATTTAGACGCCCCAAGGTGTGATGCCGTCCAATGACCCTGCAGCGCCCGCCCGCCCGCCGCCGCCGTCGCCTGCGCGGCGCAACGCGCGCATCTGTGCGGGTTCAGGCTTAATGGTGTCTGTCCTTCGCCTTGTACCTTTGGAGAGTGCACGTGCGGTCATTGGGGACAGTATGTGTGTATATGTGTGTGTAGGTGCATATGTATTGGCATCAAATATCGTCATGTCTTGGGCCTTTTACTGTCTATCCGCAGGTGGGTTGTTACAGCTGAGAGGAGGTAAGGCGTTGGTGGCGTCAGCCGCCATGTTCTTGTTCTTCCCGCGCAACGGATGTCTTGGGCAGAAGTTGAGATGATGGGACGTGTTTTTTTCCCCTTCCTGTTCTTTTTGCACAGACTGGAAGGAAAACAGTCTATGGACTTGTTCGGATACGGGATGCATCAAAGATGTGTATGTGGTCATGTACGATTCCAGTCAAGGGGTTATATGATGAAGGGAATGCATTTTTTCTCCCCTCAGAAATCCATGGGTGGGAAACGCGTTGGACGCGATCGCTTTTACCATGAGGTCAGAGACAAATCGATCCAGCACGTACCATCCTTCTCTTGGTTTCGATGCCGTTTCCCCCCCTCCTCCAAGGCGAGAAGAGAGGTAGATGGTTACGCCAGCTACGGTGTGTGTCAAAAAAAGAAGAAGCGGTTGAGCCGGTCTCGATGCGAGAGTCGATGGACTGGTAAGACTGAATGGGAAATGGGGTATAGCGGGCCGAGGGGCTGGGCTGGTTTTGTCATGGGTCCCCCTTCATGCTTGTGCTCTTGTGAATTAGCTGGCCTCGGCGAAGAGTGACGACGAACAAGGGGGACAATTGGGAGACCCCTGGAGGCCTTTGGAATGGAGCTGTTGATGGGTTCGTGATGCGTGTCTGAGCTGACTGGGCTGTCCCTACTAAGAATTAGAAAAAAAAAAAAAAGGAGAGAAGGGGGCCGGCGGTGTACAGGAGTAGTGTATGGAGCAGCACCTACACAGACTGGTAATAGTACGCAAATGATGATATGGAAAATTCCAGGCTCGCTGGATCCGTGGACATGGAGCGAGACAAAGCCTGGCGGATCAGCGTCACCGGGTCGGTCTGTGGACAGGCCAGTCCAGAAAAGCCACGGCGGGCAGAGACATACTGACGACAAGTAAAGGCAATGGGTGTAAGCTCACAAGTAGAGGAGAAAAAAGCGAAGCCAGACAGGCCACCCGCGTTCCAGGTCCAGGAGTCCACGCGAGCAGAATGCCTGGAGCTTTCCACTACTACGTAGTGCGCGGTACGTGGTAGGACTGGACGGGGGATGGTGTCTGTTTTGGGTGTAGGTATCTCAGAGGCATGAAACACTAGCAGAGATACTCACATATCTATCAGGGGCGGCAGCCCCGCTGTGTAAGACCCACAAGGGAGGCTAGCCAATGGGTGCGGCATTGTGGTCACGGAGATGGAAGGGGACACAGAACGCTGCTGGCTTGGAGAGGGTAAGAAGGCGGAAGCGAAAAAGGGCAGGGACGTCGTGGTGACGAACGAACCGGGACGGAAAGAAAGCACAGACATTCAGGCCTCTGTTCGTTCCATCACACTTTGTTACTTTGGTGGAGGATCCACTCCCGTGGTACTATGTCGATGGGACCCACTTGGCTGGGGACAGCAGGCAGGCAGGCAGGCAGGCACTCAAAAAAGAAAAAAAAAAAAAAAAAAAAACCATGAAGCCAGGAGGTGACAGGGACTCTTGGAGAGAGAAGGAAGGAACGATGGCAGGACCGGGACTGGGGGGTTCCAAGAGGACGCAGGCGCGGATCTGAAGATTCGGCAGGCCAGGGATTTTTTTGATTGCGACAGGAACCGGGGGGAAGCACATGCTCCCAAGTATATCCGAAATGCTTCCATTAACTAAGCTAGGTATTCTGGATGGCTACACTTTGTCCCAAGACAGAAGCGAGGAAGCATCGATTGACAAGACGTGCACAATAGAACTAACGTGACTCGAAGGTTCAAGTCCAGATACTTTCACTGTCAGCAGCCAAGTAGTATTATTAGCGGCAAGCGCATTGCTGTCTGTAGTGGTACGTGTACTGTAGCCGCAACACAATCGAATACATCCAACTGTGGCTCCCAGTGACACTCATCACCTTCGTCGCCTAGAGCGAGTGGAGACTTTCATCAGTCAAAGACTGATGTAATGTATAATCTACGCACTTTTTGGCTGTTGATATACTTTGAGCTTGGGCCACAGCCGCCTCCTCTCCACCTCCACCGACGCCATCTTGCTTGTTTTTTTATTTTATTTTTATTTTTATTTTTTCTCGAAAGAGAGTGAGTGTATCTTGTATCTTTTGTATGTCAGTTCACTGCTCTGCTTGCTTTGCCTGCCTGCCAGCCTGATCTACCCACCGTGTCTCCCATCCCCATGTCGCTCCACCAAATGTGATTGTGATTCAGTCCCTGCTAAGCCAAATGTCCCATGCGCAGCGCCTCCCTCACTCACTCAGTGCTCCGTCACACCCCCATTCCGCCCATTACCCTTTTTCACTGCACTCGGCACTCTAGCTCTCATTCTCACACACACACAAGGCATCGACGTGCACTGCACGCTGCCGGGTACATAGTAAGGCCACACGAGACCGGAGGACGCCGGCCCAAACAGGAAAAGGAGACACCAAACCGCCTCGACACACCATTCCCCCATTTTACTATACAGACAAAAAAAAAAAAATGACCCCAAAAATACCTTCCATTCTTCATTCCCTCAACCTGACATTCCTCCGTCCCCGGCACTTTTGATTTTTGACACTCGAGACCCGACTGAACCTGGACCCTAAAAGTCGTGTCTCTCCTCCCGTTACATGTCCCGGCTGCGCTGCCGTCTTTCGCGTCTTCGACCGCCGCCTGTCTTACTCTTTAACCCTAACGAGGGACCCCTTACTCATTGTCTACTGAGCCGCTGGATTTACTGACCTGCCCCGTCCATGTTGCGGTGTAGTAGAGTGGTGTGGCAGCAATAATTGCACTGCTTCTCTGCTGCGTATATGTCGTCTGCCCACCGCTACCATACGGGCGATCCCATTTGCAGCAACAGTATAGCACTACCACTATTGCGGAGCACAACAACTAACAACTACAACAACTACTCCTCCCCCTAAGGCACTACACACTACGGCCACCACCATTCGTTATCCACCGCCCCCGGCCCGGTTACAGCGCTCCAGGTGCACGCACTCTCTTCTTCTGGACACTCTGGACCCATCAAAGGTGCCTCGTGCTTGCCTCGCCTTCTTCCACCATAATTCAGGGAAGGAGGCCAGAACGGGGATTAAAAAAGAAAAAAACGATTTCTCCACCTCCACAACAAGGTACCTCTGCCCTCCCGTCTTCCGTACCCAGGACCCGTACTTTGCCTTGCGCAGTATTCGTCCCCCCCGTGGTGCCTTGGCCCGTAATCCCGCCCGCCACCTTTGAAATCCCAACTTGGAACCAACCAACCAACCCTCACCAAACCACCTCCAAACTAAACTCGTCCCGCGGCTGCCCTGAATCGAAACCTTTCGTCCCTCTCTCTCCCCTCTCTCACTCTCTCGACCGCCATCATCCGCCTCTGCATCTCTCTCCCTCTTCAACCTCCCCTCCCCCCCCTTTTTCACCAACCAACGCCCTGCAGCCCTATCGCCCATCATGACGCCCTCGCCGGGTCCTCAGTCAAACGCTGTAGAGGTTCGCCGGCCTCGCTCGAGCCAGACCGTCTCCTTCTCCGTCGACGAGAAGAACAACTCGACTCACGGCACCGACTCCACGAGTCTACAGTACCAGGTCTCTGAATGCATCGAGACTACCACTACCACCACAACTACCACTACCAAACGCACCTTCCCCCCAGTCTACCTGCGCGAGGTTCGCCCACTGCACGAACTCGACTCCAAAGAGTACCCTCTCGCTTCGAAGCCTTTGCCTCCCGAGCTCGCCAACTTCTCCTTCAGCGTCACCGGTTCTTCCTCCGATGCCATGACCGACGAACTCTTCGCGCCCAAAATGGTATTTTTCTTTCCCACTCTACACCCCATTTGCCCCCTTTTGTCCCTGTTGCGGATGCTGACATTTGTTGTGTCTGTAGCGCAAAACACCCCTCGCAATCGACAGGCAACCTGCAGGTCTCCTCAAGGAAGATGAGTCGACCCAAGAGTCTCCGAGACGCATCTCAAAATCTCCCTCGGATGCCCATCAAAGAAGATCGCGCCGCTCGACCGCTCGGGACGTATCGCCCTCTTCCCACAACGCGTCTCCTATTGCCCTGTCGAGGACTACTAGGGCCCCGAGGTCAGCAGGCCTCTCCTTTACCGAGGACGCCTCACAAAGACTACGACGCCACATTTCCAGAGGCAAACAGACAGGGTGCCTGGCAACACCAGACACATCGGAGGTAGTTGGTAGTAGCAGTTCCGAACGAGTCGCCCGACCTCGCTCTCTTCAAATCACCCGCGCCAGCAATACTCCCGAGTCTGGCCCTAGCCAAGCGAATCAGCACGAGGCACCAAGCCCCATAGGCAGCGATGCACTCACTGTGTTCAGTAGCAACGTAGCGACGCCTCCCATCACCGATGCCGATGCCGAGCCCTTTGTCGACACCGACGAGTCCCTGCAACAGTCTATCCGAGCGGTCGGCCACCGCCCTTCGATCGATGCCGTGGCTGCGCAGGATGCGAGCCTGCCTAGTCCGAGACTTTCACCCACCCTCGCCGCTGCACAACTTAATTCGAGAGATTCCGAAGATGAAGAGGAGGACTCGACGCAGAGCAGTGCCTTGGCCAGAAGAAATGTCAGCTTTCGGGATCACTCCTGGCTGCAAGAGTCGCAGACAACTGAGGAGGGCGGCTACACCTCTGATTTGTCCATGGTTGCCGATGACAGCACATCCCAGCTCGACAACCTTGACGCCCACACCGCCATGCTTGATGCACGCACCATGATGGAGAAGTTCGACGCGATGCCCATCGAGATGAAGAGTTTCATAATGTACAACTTCCTTCGCCGATGCCCCAGAAAGACGCTGCGTCTCGTTTCTGACGTTGTCACCCCGGCACTGAAGTGCGACTTCTTCAAACAGCTCCCTCTCGAGTTGAGCTTCCACGTGCTATCCTTCCTCGACCATCGCGATCTCTGCCGTGCCGCTCAGGTTTCCAAGCACTGGCGTAACATCGTCGACACGAACGAGACTGGCTGGAAGGAGCTGTTCGACCGGGATGGGTTCACTCTTCCGCCTGGCGAACTCAACAAGGCCATCATGCAAGGCTGGGGCTGGCAGGATCCCGTTGGTGTTATGGGTGCCGAAGTCGACCTTAGTCGCACGAGTCGGTTGAACTCGGCAGACAGCGAGCTGACAAAGGCTGTTGTCAAGCCGGATCCTACAGTCAAGCTCCGTAGCTCCAAGCGCAAGCGGGGCATGAACATCCCCGGCGCTGATCGCTCGAAGCGAAGGGTTAGCGGCCAGGAGGCTGCCCGGAACGAAGCTATGCAGATGGAAGTCAAGCAGCACAAGTCTGAGGGACCGCTTTCGGCTGCTAATGCCGCTGCGGCTGCCGTGCCCAACCCGCAGCTGGGCATGCCTAGTCTGCAAAAGCTGCACTTGTTCAAGTCGCTCTACCGCCGCCATTACATGATCCGCCAGAGTTGGACAAGTGGCAAGGTTAAGCCTGGACACGTTGCTTTCGCTGCCCACCCCAGACATGTCATTACCTGCCTGCAGTTTGATGAAGACAAAATCATCACCGGCAGCGATGATACCCTTATCCACGTTTACGACACAAAGACGGGCAAACTGCGAAAGAAGCTCGAGGGACATGAGGGCGGTGTATGGGCGCTACAGTACGAGGGCAACATGTTGGTTTCCGGATCCACCGATCGATCTGTCCGTGTTTGGGACATTGAGAAGGGTCTTTGTACCCAGGTTTTTTACGGCCACACAAGTACTGTGCGCTGTCTGCAAATTCTGATGCCCACCGAGACAGGAAAGACGCATGATGGCAAGGCCATTATGGCACCCCAGAAGCCGCTGATCATTACTGGATCCCGCGATAGCCAACTTCGTGTTTGGCGCTTGCCAGAGGTTGGTTCGCGACGATACATCCAGACTGGCCCTCCGGCAAACGACGCCGACTGTCCGTACTTCATTCGGACGCTTTCGGGCCATACACACTCGGTCCGCGCCATTTCTGCCCACGGCGACACCCTCGTCAGCGGAAGCTATGACAGCACAGTTAGAGTCTGGCGTATCAGCACCGGCGAGTCTCTTCACGTTCTTCACGGCCACTCTCAGAAGGTGTACAGCGTCGTCCTAGATCACGAACGCAACCGCTGCATCTCTGGTTCCATGGACTCGCTTGTCAAGATTTGGGATCTCAACACTGGCGCGTGTCTGCATACCCTCGAGGGCCACAGTCTGCTGGTTGGCCTTCTTGACTTGCGCGACGAGCGACTGGTGTCAGCCGCCGCTGACAGTACCTTGCGTATCTGGGACCCCGAGAACGGCAAATGTAAGAATGTCTTGACTGCTCACACAGGCGCCATTACATGCTTCCAGCACGATGGGCGCAAGGTCATCTCCGGCAGCGAGAAGACTGTCAAGATGTGGGATATTCGCACCGGCGAGTGCGTACAGGACCTGTTGACAGACCTCAGTGGAGTCTGGCAGGTCAAGTTTGACGAGCGACGCTGCGTGGCTGCTGTCCAGCGAGACAGCCTGACATATGTCGAGGTAAGCATGTTTCCCAACCCAAAGATCTGAGCCATTTTTTTACTAACTAATGCCCTCCAGATTCTCGACTTTGGCGCTGTACGTGACGGCAAGCCACCTGAGGAGCTCGGCGAGCGAAAGCTTCTCAACGAGCCAGAAGTCCGAGCACTTCTGGCAGAAGATCTGTAACGAGCAACGAGGGAGTTATATGAAAACGGCACAACAGGAGTTTTTCACGAAACATCACATAACGACGAAAGGAAACCACAGCATTATTCGAAAGGACAAGCCACATTGGAGGTATAATGACATTGGTAGGAAGGGATTTGGATGGGAGACATCCATCATTAGGTTCGCGGCGTTTTTATGGCCTCGGATGGGATATGAAAAGAAAAAAAAGTGGGCGTTAACTCGTTTTTTTCCGCGCAGAGCGCATATACCACGTCTTTTGTATGGCTTAATGTAAATATTGGGCGAACAGGCAGTCGGGCGATGGGAACATGTTCACGGTGCACGTTGTGTCGTGGTGGTTTGCTTTTCCCACCCAAGATAAAAAGAGGACTGGGGGGGGGTTGTTTGTGTCTTACGGGGGGAGTATGTAGAGACTGGTCGTCGCACATACAATTTTTCTTGATTTTACTGATGTGATGACTGTGCAGCAATGACTTGTGTGTTATGTTGATTCATTGTGATAAGTGAATATATAACGAAGACGGTGTTTGAAGTACTTTTATTGAATCCGTTGGCACAACGCCTTGCTCATTGTTGACGTGACGCAGGAGCTGAGACAAAAGAGTTGTGAAGTAGAACACTACTCCCAGATAACTTTCCTCTGGGACCCTTCAGCCACTTGAGTGAACATGATGTTGTGATGAGTTAGCTGTAGAGGTTTAACTCTTCGTCTTATGTGATTCCCGTGTCCTGTGCTATGGCTACCCGCTAATCGTGTCCCTTTTTCAGTTGGGATCGTCAAGGGTTTAGACGACTACCTACCTCTGTGAGACGCAGCCCAGGCTTACGAGGCTCGTCGTTGAAGTCGAGGACTGTTATGTAGTACTCTGCATAGACTATGTCGCTAGTTCCAATGATGAAAATGGCCTATCATTAGTAGCAAATCTAGTTTCTGACAATTCCCACAATCCCACAAAGCCACAACGAAACAATAGGCTTCCTCGAAGTCTTCGTACCTACGTCAACAAGCGGTAAGTTGACATGCCATTAACTACCAGGTACCTGCACCTCAGCATGGCCATCCCTCAGTAACTACTATAACCTTCTGAGCATTATGATGGCAGCACATAATCTACGAGTGCTGTTAAGCTGTCTGGTCCAATTTTTGTTGGTTGAGTGAAGGTGGGCTCCCTTGAGCAGATAGAACCCGTCACGGCCATTCGCCGAGTATCAAGCCCATGGTATTTCTATTCTTTTGCGAAGGTTTGGTTTCCTTTTACCGGCAGATGGTATGTCAAGGTTGAGGTCTACCATTACCTGACGCAAACTCACGGCCATTTCCATCGTATGGCATAAGAAGTAGAAGCAAGACCAGGGGGCATAGAGAACGAAACTGCGAAACTCGTGGTTGTACGAATAGTTATGGTCAGATTCCTGATTGTTACGAAGACAAGAGCTGCCAATTTTTTATTTATTTTTTAACCTCATGCTTGTTCCGTTCTCAGAAGCTCAACAGCCACATTCCTCAATCACCAAATCAGCTTGTGAATCCCCCATCAACCGAGACGAGAGCCCCAGTCTGGAAACTGGCTTCGTCACTCAGCAAAAACACAATGACGTTGGCTACCTCTTCAGGCTCGGCCAACCGATTTAGAGGAGTGCCCTTGACAAAATCTTGCATAGCCTCTTTCTTCCCAGACAAATCCAGCAATGGAGTCCTGGTCACTCCGGGGCATACCGAGTTGATCCTGATACCCTTCGGAGCGTACTCCTTCGCAGCCGCCCTCGTCATGCCGTTGACGCCGTGTTTCGCAGCAGTGTAAAGGCTGCTACCTGGTATCCCTCGTATACCCGCCCCCGAGCTCACGTTGACGATGCTCGCGCCCGCGTCCATGTTGTTCAATTCCGCTCTCATGCAGTTGAAGACGCCGCGCAGGTTGAGGTTCATCGTCGCATCGAACTGGGAGTCTGTCTTTTCCGCCAGGAGTCCGTAGCCGTCGCCCTTGCCTGCGACGTTCGCTGCGCCATGGAGTTGGCCAAATTCGTTGACGACACGAGCTATCCAGCCGTCAACCTCGGCCGAGTTGACGACGTCGACTGCGTCTGTCAAGATTTTTTGGAGCGGGTGGTTAGCGCTTTGTTCCAATTTTTCCCGCAGATTACGGAGACCTTCGGCATCGATGTCCGCGACGGCTACCGAAGCCCCTCGTGACCAGAGTAATTTGACTGTTGCCGCGCCGATGCCGCTAGCGCCGCCTGCTACCGCGAAGCACTTTAATTTAAAATTCATCCTAGGATGTCGTTAAACTTCGATGTGTGGATGTGGGGTTGTAGGAGAGAGAAGCAGTGGTGGAAAACCCAAGACATTTATAAACTCCAACACCCAAAGAGAAATCAACCAACGACGGGGTGCGGTGTGGAAGCTGGGGCAGCCGGCAGCTTAAGACCCTCATCTACCGTAGACTACTTGCCGATTGGACACTTGAGTGGGTAGGTACTTACTGTAAGGTTTGCATATACTGATGAGCGAGCAATGTTCAAGCACTGATAAGCTCAACTGTTGTCAGTCGCCCGCTGACCGCCGCTCCTCTGCTCTTGAGACTCCCTGATACGTTCCTGGTCAACAGTCTGAAGCTACTTTGTCACAAGGTGAGAGGGCACCGGCAATTCAAATTCAGACAAAATGGGGCAAAACCTACGTTCTCACAGGCTACAAAGACGTTTGGATTGAACTTGTCTTTTTTCATAGATGCTCATTTACATCGCGGTCAACATCACAGCTTGTACAATCATATCTTTGTACCATTTACGTCTAGGAGATTAACCCAAGGGCCCGATTCTTGACGTACTGTATTCACCGACTGCTTGTTGATGCCATTGACTCGTCTCTATCAAGTTTTTGCGTCATTCTTCACTAAACTGGGTAAAATTCTTCACTAAGAACAAAGATTCTCTTCGAAATGCGCTTGTATGACTATCGTCTAAACATGAATTCGAGACGTGCTGTGTATTGTGACTTTTTACCCAAGTAGAAGAAGCAGTTTGAGTGGCTATTGTTGTCTGCATGTCTACATTGTAACATTGGCCGGCCAAATGCCGGAATATGCACCAACTTTCACCATTGCTTAATCTAATCTTACACCTATGCATTACCCCGTCTGGCTTATCTCTCTTCTAATTTTACGCTTACTGCACAGCCCCGAAGAGAAATCAAACCAAGGACGTTATCATCATGGATCCCGTAAAATCATACTAAGGATATCATTTTCAGATATTCCGTTGGATTTCGGAAACTAAGCGTATCATGAATTCCGTTTCTACGGCTTGATGTAGCCTAGCTTTAATAGACAAATGCGGGACAGATCTGACAGCCAAACTCTAATTAGGGTTGGTAGTTTGAAAGACCGACGAACATTACTCGTATCTCGTATTTCGCATCCACGGTGTATACAGAATCGCGAAGAGCGAGCCACACGCAGACTAGCTTGCCATCCTTGACTACAGTCTTGAATAGGTGTGTATGCGGCTGCAACGTGTTTTCCTAACGTATAATCCTTGTCCATTCTCTACACGTATTGAACTCCTTTCGTTCCTTTTTTACTGTTTTGACCCAAGAGGGTGATCTTTTACGATTTATTCAAGAAACAGTCTGATCGTAGCTACCTACCGATCGACGCTCTGTAATGCCTGATAATTTTGGTTAACCAGGGGCCTTGAGTCTTGCTGCCTGAAGAAGCGATGGGGATCCGTGTCCGTACAGTCCGCGAGTCACCCATCTTGTGGCGAGGTATTCAACGGCATGCTCAAGTGCGACGGTCGGTGGCACCACAAAGGACGTTTGTTTTGTGAAGATGGAAACAATTTTCCTGCTTTGTGCGGTTCCAAAGCACTAGTGTGTTACAACATAGCCAGACTAGAAAATGAGCGAGACGTAGCATCTCATTTTGAGGACCAATCGATCAGCAATTTGAGGAGGCGAAGAACATCAGCCCCTTTGAGAGGCGGAGTATGTCGTGTATTATCATGGATGACTGGAGTGTCCGGCAATCCGCATTATTGCAAATATTGCGACGTGAGCAGTCTGGTATGCCCCAGCTGGTTGCTACGTAAGTGCCTGTAGGCCTGTTAGGAAGGCTAGTATCGCCGTGCTGTTCTAGACGGCTTTCAAGCTTGCATTCTAAGTGGGAGGCCACCAAATACTATTAAGTGGAGTATAGTCGCTGGCATCGGAACCGGATCAAGCATGGGCAACCTACGAGCGGCCGTGAGCGACCGAAAGGGAGTCCAGATGTCTCAACCTCGGCCAAGGTTGTTGGCAGTGAACCCTCTGAACAGATGCACCACAAAAGCACCTTACATGGAAAGCGGTGACCCTGATTATTGTACCCCGTTAGTTTAGCCTTTCCGCCGTTGCCGCAACGGGTGCTGAGATCCTTGGTTGGAAATGCCAGGATGCGTCATATTGTGACCCAACTTGAGGTGCCACAGCCGAGCTGACAGTAATTTATGAGTGTACTTTTTGTTCTCTCACTTCACCTAACAACGAAAAAGCAAGTCCTAATCTCTATAAATCTCTTTGCATCAGACTTTCTATCCTCTAACGCAGTCATGACTGGGAAGTGGAGTCAAGTTTCTACCCAGGCCAGTCCTTGTACATTTCCCAACAAAAAGGAAGTCGGTATTGGTGATATCCAAGAGCCGTTCCCAAAGCATTCGCTACATTGCAACTGCCACGGCCAGTCACATAACGTTGTTATCAGGTCAAATGAAGAGAGGTTCAACTCCTCGGAGATGGAGAAAATCATCGTCGGCAACCCGGAGGTGAAAACTGCCCTGATCGTGAACACTCCGAACTTCAAACCCGTTTTGATCATCGAGCCATTCACGGCGGTCCAGACTAGAAAGGAAATGGTCAGTCTGATTGACCGCATTATGCCACAAGTTGCCAAGGCGAACGAGGCTACCAGTAAGCAAATACGAAAGAGACTCTCTCTCTGATGACTGTTGGCAATTATATATGTGCGTTGGAGCGTGCGCTGACATTGACTGTACGATAGCGACATACGGCCGAATTGCAACCCATTTGATTACGGTGTCCACGCAAGACAAGCCGTTTGTCAGGGCGGAGAATGGAGTACTGAATAAACCCGCTACTATCACTCTTTACACCGATGAGATTGAAGACCTCTACGTGAACACGAAAGAAACTCCGCTCCATAGGGTGCCACGTATCGACGTCAGCTCCCAAACCGCACTGAGCAGATCAATCGCGAAGATCCTCCGCGGAAATTTCAATGTGCCTTACTTGAATTCTGACGCTGACTTCCTCGCCTCTGGAATGGGTCCTCTGCAAATAATAGCGGCCGCTCGTTTTATTACATCTTGTGTCCGCGCCACGAACAAGCATTACAGTGGAATTTCTATCAGGGCTCGCGACTTGTATAGCCACCCGAGCTCGTACAGGCTTGCCGGTCACATTCTCCAAGCTGCTGCCAACAACAAAGATGATGACGACGCAGGCATCAGCAGCCAGGACTACAAGACAATGGATTATCTGTATAAGAAAATGACAGAAAACCTAGTTGTAGCCAAGCCCGGCCGTGTCGAACCAGCCAAGGAACAGCAAACGGTCATCCTTACTGGGTCAACCGGCAATATGGGATGCTACCTACTGGACGAAATGGTGCGAAATCCTTACATCAAGAGCATCATTTGCTTCAACAGGTCGAACGACGGCGGCGTCGAGAAGCAGGCGAAGGCGATGGAGAAACGCGGTTTATCTCATCCAACTGAGAGCGGCAAAGTCGAGTTCTTCCGTACAAATCTTGCGCAGCACAACATGGGCCTTTCCGAGGACATTCTGGCCCGATTGCTCAAGGAGACTGATCGAATCGTCCACAATGCATGGGCAGTGAATTTCAATATGCCCCTCGAGGCTTTCGAACCACATGTTAAGGGGGTGCGAAATCTTGCAGATTTTGCTGCTGCTGCGGATAAACGTGTTGCTATGGTGTTCGTGTCTACGATTGGCGTAACCGCCAAGTGGGATCGAAGCCGAGGCCCTGTGCCCGAGATATCCTTGCGTGATTTTAGCATGGCGGCACCAGGATATGGACAGAGCAAGTTGGTGTCCAGTATGGTTCTCGAGGACGCAGTCAAGGCTGGAGACTTCCCTCTCGCCATAATCAGGGTTGGTCAAATCGCCGGACCTCTCGGTAATAAGGGTGTTTGGAGCCGGCATGAATGGTTTCCCTCCGTCATTGCAAGTAGTCTTGTGCTCAAAGCACTACCCAAGCACCTGGCAGGGTGGGAAAATCGAACTTCATGGCTTCCGGTGGAGTCAATGTCAAAGATGATACTTGACATTGGTGGTCTTACGGAAGCGTCAAGAGATTATCATGAGGGATATTTCCACGGCTGTAACCCTTCGGTCACACAGTTCGATAAGTTGGCCCCTGTGATCCAGAACTACTATGGAAAAGATCGCCTGCCGGAGCTTGTTAGCTTCAAAGAATGGGTTGAACGGCTGGAGAAGAGTCGTACCACAGAGGGTGCGCCTGGTGCCGATCGCAACCCTGCTTTGAAGCTCGTGGACTTCTTGCGAAATGTTGCGTCGAGTGGCGAGGACGAATCGAAAACTAGAACTCACGATGTTCAAAGAGCCATCTCTTGCAGCCCGTCTTTACGATCGGCAATGCCTGTTACCCCTGAGTTGATGATCCACTGGTGCAAGCAATGGAGATTTGAAGGTCTTTCAGCCCGTGCTAGTCATCTGTAGATGTAAACAAAACCAATTCTATTGCCCAAACTTCGATAGTACATTTATGCATACTCTAGAGTGTCAAGATGCTGAGTTGTATCAATGAAATTTTCACTATGAAGCCGTAAGATTGGAGCCGTTGTGCTAAGTGAATGAAGCGGAGTGTCAAATCAGCTAGTCAGGAGCGGACCCAAGAATAGCCTGTAAGCCACAATAACTTACAGGATGTCTTCACATCAGCAACGCCTTCTAAAAGTTTGAGAATGTAGGTAAGAATCTTCTAATTTTAGCGAAAATGGCGAATATAGGGGTGTCTATAGCAGGCTACTCTAGCTTATGGATGTCACTGTCACATTGACAACCGCTTATCTGCGCGGACCAAAAAAAGTAAGACATGGCCTTTGTAGGTCCATCACGGAGGATTGAATGACCCCCCATACATTTACGCATCAAATACCTACGGTTGAAGAACCCAAAGGCTCTTTAAAGAGGTTATCGGGACAGGTTACACCTCAAGACACGCTACAATATTTCCTGGGCGCCTGCTGGCTGCCCCAATCTCCCTCAAAATATTCCTCATCAGTCCCTAGCCTTCACTTATCCCGTATGTCCCATCTCCAAATTACTTGTGTGATAGGGGGCACCTTCGGAAACAATAATGGTGCAACTTCCTCTTACTTAACACCCGAATTCTACCTCGGTTACTAAGCCAGAGCGTGTTCGACGTTAAAAACTCGCTCCTTGCTAGATTCAGTGTCAAGGATATCTGCCAGAGCATTCTCTGAATGAATATGGGCGTGTGCAACTTTGCGAATATTCCACTGCGGATAGGTCTTGAAGAAGTCATCCATCTGCTCCAAAGTTCGACCGGCCTGTGCATATTCTTTAGATTAACTTATCCATGTCAGCGATGAAGGAGCAAACTTACCGTTTCAGGAAAGCAAAGCCAGAGAAAGGGTATACCCGCAAGTGTCACAGCCATCCAAATCAAGTAAAATGCCCTACATGAAAATGATTAGATCACGGGTAGTTCAATAATCGATCACAATCTTACCATCCTAAAGACTCGAATCCGGTAGGCGCGACCATTACTGTCAAGAAGTTGGTAGACCAATGACAGAAACAATTAGCAGCTGACGATTTGTTTCTCATTCTCAGAGAACCAATTTCACTGCTGTAGAGCCAACACATGGAGTTCCACCTGTTGTGCAAGTTAAAACAAAGCATTCATCTTGATAAACAGCAGAGGGGTACAAAGCTCACCCTACACCAAAGGAAAACTGGAACAACAAAACAAACGCAGCACCGGCCCAACCTGTTGCGAAGGCCTTTGAAGGGGTATAATGCCCAATTGCACCCATGCAGGCGATCATTCCCATACATAGAGCGCAGAGCCACGACCCAAGCATCATCGTCTTCCGGCGACCCATACGCTCGATATAGAAGACTGGGAGAATGGAACCGACAAGGAAACAAACGGCGCCTACACAACTCATGATGTAGGACATTTCTGCGTCCAGACCTACTTGAGAGAAAATGACAGGTGCGTAGTAAATTACAACATTGATTCCTGTAGCCTGGTGGAGGAAGCCGGTAGTTCCAGCAACGACGAGTCGCCTAAAGTTCTGAAGCTCACCCCCAGAAAATGACTGTGCTGTATGTCAGAAAAAAATTTGCACAGATAGGATGTGGCATTTGACCTCTTTCCACGAGGATTCGACTTCCGCTTCATAGGAAGCCTTTCGAATGATATTGTTCGCCGCCTCTTGAATGAAGGGAGAAGTAGCAGTGGCTCCTCCACCATGTAGTCGGGCTAGCACTGGAGCAACTTCATCTCGTCTGCCGACCGCAGCAAGCCACCGAGGACTTTCAACGGTCAATGGCATGAGAATAAAGACGAAAGGGGGGAACACCATTTGTACTGCTCTCCGACGTCAGCATAAATAATTTTCAAACTTAACAGGGTGGTCCACCGACAGCCAAGAGGGATTCGCCACTGCGCTTCTGTTCCATTCAACTCTGGCCTGCTAAAAACGAATCCAAGATTTGTAAAGTTTGATAGAGAGATACCCTGATGAAACTTTAGCCTAGAAAGTTCCCAAGTTTTAAGTCTTTGAGAGTAGCCATGACTTTCATGAATCTTACCGTAATGACAATCGTGATCTCAACAACAAGCAGAATGCCCCTTTTCGTGGCTTCAACGCACTCGGAGATATAAATCGGAACGGTAACAGAAATGCAACCGACACCAACACCTGCAACAATACGGCCAACTGCAGCTCCCTTTAGTACCTATGGCATGAAATTGAGGGTATTCGAATACCGTCGTACCAATATATTGGCTTCGAGAAAAAGCCGAAGTCTGAAGGGCAGCCCCAATCATGACAACAATGCACGAGTATATTATGGCCCGTCGTCGACCGGTAATGTCACCCCACATGAACGCTGCAGCCGCACCGAGTAGGCATCCAATCTACAGACAGTTAGTCATATATTCCGAAGGCTTTTATTCGTGGCGTTACCAACGTCATAGGAGGCAACCATAAACCCAAGCAGGCCGGCGGATGGATAACCGAACCTTTTCTTGAACGAATCAAGGCCAACCAAGCCACCCATTACACCTTGATCACTTATAGCAGTCAGCTGAGGAATGATAGATGAAGGGGGAGTGATCTTACTATCCAAACAATAGGAACGCAAATCCTGCTGTTAAAAGCACGGCGGCTCGCAGTGGTCTACCGGTAAGTTCTTTCATGATTCTTCGGGGACAATTGATATGGATTGTAAAATGAATGAGTCGAGAATTACTGAACAGATGAAGTTTCAGCGTGCAGATGAATATATACTCAGACTGAAAGTCAGAGATTGTACAGGGTTCCTGGCAACAGTGTCCTCCTCTACCGTCATGCGCCTTTACCAGTAACAACATGGATATAAGAGTATAATACCATAGTGTATGAGAAAGTGCGGAGAAAATCTGGGGAGACTCATGGAGGTTGTGGCCAAATTGGTGGAGCATCTGTTTCATTGGAATCTTTCGGTATGAACCGCGCCTCCAATTCCTTCTTCGTGGAAGTAGGCCAATATACATCCGAATCTTTCGATTCTAAGCACCAATACGTTTTAGGTAGTGCTTTCCCTCTTGAATTGAGCGCGTAAAAGTGATTATTTGGGAAAGTTGGGCGACACGTACGCCCAGCGTGTCCTCAGCAATGAATTTTCCGATTTCCCGATGATGTACGCCTCACTAGCTCTCGCGCCTCTGGCCATTGTACCTCAAGGTTTATCCATACATTTTAGCGCAATTTAGCGTATGATAATGGTAGAATACCCAGGGAAAGAAAAACAGGATTGTATGCCCCCCATTGGTGTTCCCTTGGTGTTCTAGCTAGTGGTTGCTTTGACATAGTGACAGACAGAGAATGGCGAAGGCAGCGCAATCTTGTAGACGAGCACACGCCCCCAGTTTTCTGGGCCTTGATATCACACGCAAAATACTTCGGAAAATCGTGGAAATTTTGGACCGCGTCCTGTTGAATGATCACTTCCCTGTTTCCCCAATGATCATAGGCATGGTCATGGGCACACTCAAGTGGTTAGACCTTCCAAGAGCGGCTGTAGTGACGGCTAGTTACGACATGCAGCTATCTCACTGACCTTCTTCTTTCTTTCTTAGCAACTTGGAAAGGCGGGGAAAAAACAAAATAAGAAGACCTTGTTGCATATTCCTGATTTCGTCACTATTATGTGTTACTTCTACAAAATACTAGTCGCGTTGGTCTAGGTCTTTTTCTGTTGGGAATACTCGGTTAGGATTCCTTTCAGAACTTTCTGGAGGAGCCTACATCATATTGAATTAGACCAGCTGAGGTGTTTCCCAAGGAATTGGAAGCTGAATGTTGCGAATCTCAGTATCTAGAAGCCTGTACAACTATCTGGTCGTCAATCTACAACTTTCGCAGTGAGCAGCAACCGCTGCCACCCCACAAGTCTCTGAAAACCGGGTTGATGACTAGGGTACAGGTTTCGGTCAGGTGGAACTATTTTGTGCCTGTGCGTGTTCGTTCTGTACATCCCGAATAGAACTTGCCAAATTGGGTAATTGTAAACGCATACCTGAAGCCCTTGGTGGACTATTTTATGAGTCTTAAGTTGCCCCGTTATGGCCTGACATGAATCACTGAAAACCCTACATGATTTTCATTTGGCACTGCTTCAGACGAGAGTCATTGAACGCCGTCACTTCAGTTCCTCACATCAGCTGCTAAGCGTCTGCTGATACTCGCTATACACCATCCAACATGACGAAACTTGACATCAAGCCCTTCAAGGTTGACATACCAAAGCACGAGATCGACCGTCTGAAAGCCAAGCTAAGCGACACCAGACTTCCAGGACGGAGCATCGTGCCCAACGCTGGAGATAAATACGGTACGTGGAATCTTTTCATGCTTATGGTCTTCTTGCTCACATCTTAATAGGCCCTACATACGAATGGGCTAGCCATCTATACGAGCAATGGACAAATGAATACGACTGGTACGAAGTTCAGCGAGAAATAAACGAGTTCCCACACTACACGGCCGACATCGAAGACCTTCAGATCCACTTCCTTCACGCTCGTGCTGAGAGAAAAGATGCTATACCTCTGTTGCTCGTCCACGGATGGCCCGGATCTTTCTGGGAGTTCAGCCAAGTATGGCGGCCGCTGTCACACCCAGAAGACCCTGAGGCTCCGGCTTTCGATGTTGTGGTACCTAGCATGCCCGGGTTCTGTTGGAGCTCATGGCCTCCAAGAGCGGGCTGGACGCTGCAAGATAATGCCCGAGTCTTTGACACCCTGATGAAAGGACTCGGGTACGATAAGTACATGGTCCAGTGTGGTGATTGGGGCCACTTTGTCGGGCGCGAGCTAGGCTCCAAATACACTGATTCGTGCAAACTGCTTCATTGCAACTTCGCCCCGAGCCCGTTGCCCCCAAACGTCGAGTACACCGAAAGAGAAAAGGCAGTACAAGCCCGCGTTGATGACTGGGTTGAGAACCATATTGGATATGCAGTTTGCATGCGCACTCGCGTAAGTCCCATACAGTGCTCCTTCCCCCACGGTCGTTTTGTCGGCTTTCGTTAGTGCGTGAGTACATGAAGCTGATGAAGTCCTCGGATGTGAAGCCACACACCATTGGTATCGCTTTACACGACAACCCAATGGGCATATTGATGTGGGTCGGCGAGAAGTACAACGAGGCGGCAGACCCCCACAAGCAGAAGGATCCGTTCTGGACCAAGGCGATTCTGACGACAGCAACCTTGTACTATCTAACGGGCTGCATCATGCCCTCTATGCTGACCTATTACGAAAACGTGCGTCACCACAAGTTTGCAGACTTTGCCATGCAACCTGAAAACCGAATCACCGTTCCATTTGGCTACACTTCTTTCTTTTGGGATACGGAACCGTCATCCAAGAGAGCCGTTGAGCGGACTGGAAATCTTGTGTTCTACAGAGGTAAATATTAGTTCCCAGTGTGTAATCAGCAACTAATTGAAATCCAGAACGTGACAATGGCGGGCACTTCGCCGCCCTCGAGCACCCAGCTGGTATACGCCAAGACGTGAGGGACCTTGCGAAACAGCAATGGACATGGAATTAATCCTGCCTTTTGTGAAGGCTCTTTTTCTTCCACAAGTTGCTGATTTAGTCTGTCTTTGAATTGGTTCCACAGCAGAAATTTCGACATGGAGTTCAATTGTTGCACTAGCCGGACCACCGGGTTGAAGAGGTTCCGTCGCCGGCAAGCCTGCCGGCAGCCAGGCAGACAGGTTTAAGTTCCGCAATCACTTCAACCATCACTTCTGCTGGAACCTCTTTTTAGATAACACATGCAAGAACAGACATCAAATTTCCCCTTAGCCACTTTGTTGGTATCTCTGTGGCCCCAACACAAATGTCATCCAAGTTACTGTAGAAGTCTACGACAGGGTATTCTAAATGATGAATGACGTTATGATCAATGAAAACTGCCTTGCGGCGCAGTAAAGTAAAACACGAGATGTCCTCTGGAGACACGTGTAGGGGTTCTATACGCTTCTTTTTAATCATTACCTGAACCACATAAGGTGAGAGAGCCTAGTGACTCTTCATAAACGTCGTTAGTGCAGTAGTTCTGTGCACTTCAAGGCATGCTGAATTAGCCTCCAGATGCCTGCTGGCTGCGCCTCCCCTCATCCTCATCTAGACTCCAAGTATCCTTTTCACCCCATCGCATCAAAGCCGCTGCTGTGAAAGGCACATTCAGAAGCAAGGTTAGTTGTAGGATTCTGCATTGGTAATCAACCGAACCTTACCCAATGAACCGCAACATTTTCAATGTTGAAAATCTGCTCCTTGCTAGGCTCGATGCCAAGGACACCCGCCGGAGGATTCTCTGAAGACACATTCATAGGGCTTAGTCAAATCTGCTAGGACAGGGTAAATTTTGTCACGAAACCCGAAAAATGCTGCTAGTGTCGAATCCCGACGCATTGGCTGGTCCTATCAGATCCACCTGTATTGACAAGGACTACTCCGTACTCGTACCTGGTTTCAACTGATCTTTTGTAAAGACAGGTAGGAAAGTGGGGAAAGTACAGCATGCATCTCAAAGACAAAAAACGCGATCTTGTGCGGCCGTCCTGCTGAACGCTACCAGACCCAAATTTTACCAAGGGCAGGATAACGCTAACTAGGTCCATTAGACCAAAACAACGACTTAAGAGATGTATTTGCCTACATGGTAATCGAACATTCTGGCACCACTTTGTTATTTTTCTCTTTGAGTAAAAACGGGTCTGCCCGGGGTATTTGAGGCATTGGCAAGAATAGTTTAGTAGCCCTTGAAGAAATGATAAAGTCTATTTTAGTGGAATTACTTTGGCCATCGGCCAGTTGAGTTGGAACCTAGGTTGTCGCAAAACTTTTGCCGTTTTGATTCGTCAGGGTAAGACATTACGAGTAAATTAGGCACCAGTCTGCGCATAGCCATTCTTCATATCTAAGTATGGTGGAGCCTTTTGAGGCGTAGCCCCGAAGTTTTGTCTTTAATTTGATGTCCGGTGGCCAGGGGTAAGGATTCGAGCTGTCTCGGCGTCTGCTATTACACAGCGGCAAATGTACACGAGGTCAGTCTGTCCCTGCCCCTCACATAAAATATGCTTCTCAAAGCCATTGCCGCAAGCAGAAAACTTAGGGAGACACAGCTGCTGAATACCAGTCGAGTTTGATTGCCTGATCGTATTGCAACTATGTCTATGAAGGGCCATTACTTGAATGTGCATATCCCATCGACATGCTAAACTGGATGGATGGCCTGATCATTTCGCCTCATTGCGGGTTGAAGATAGAATCTCGAGGAGTCTCGCCGAAGGCCAGCAAAGTTGCATAGAAACACTGTAGCTCAAAAGAACATTGGAACCCGTAGATATGATTGTTGTCAACGCCCTCAGGTCCAAAGCCGGTTTGTTTTTACGGTGCAAAGCACCTGTAAATGTCACGGGAAGTGCAGCTTGGATCGTTGATTCGTTGGATGATCATGGCTCGTCCGAGAACGTACAGCGCTAGGACCGATATCCGAGGGAACAAAGTCAGAAAATCTTATTAGACCACTGACTCTACCGACGTCGGAAGAGTTCTTATGAAACTCCATCGAATGCGCAATACGCTTAACAGTCAAACGCCTTTAACCCAGCAAATCTACATGATTGGTTCACGGTGAAGGTCTGGAGGAACCTAGATGTTCTTGACTTGGGCACTAATTACGGTATCCTAGGTAAGGAAACGAATAATCAGTGAGGCTTGTTATCTCCTTTCGTTATGCCCACTTCGGTAGCGGGCTATCTGTTATGCCCGTCCCCGACAATTGCTAGTCCACTTTGTCCCCCATTAAGACCGCATCGTCCTGTCCCCTTACAACCCTCGTCTACCCCCCATTCTGTTTCGGTAAATCGATTTTGGCCGCCCCGCGATCAAACTGCAAGCGATATCTGCGGTCAACTACAGTGAGTAAATGGTTATCCCTCGGTCGGCATGCTAGCTGAATGCCCGAGACTGGGTCACTCATTTCTCTCAAGATGACAACAACGAGCGCTGGCCTCGTCCCACTCGGCAATCCCCAGGTCCCGGCCCTCCGGCCAAGCCTCTCATCCGCAGCAAGGGATGATGAGAATATGCCAACACTGACCTACACCGAAGAAGCCGACGTTACAACGGACATTCAAAGTCCCACGGCGCAGCCATCCTACCTCCAGTCCGGACATTTCGACTCCTGGTCTGACAGGTCGGCGTCTACCAACAAGAAAGCACGGTCATGCCTACCTTGCAACAAGCGCAAGGTTCGTTGTGATAAGAAAAGTCCATGTTCGTTGTGCATTCGATGTAACAGGACGTGTGTTTATCCGCCTCCAGGCCAGCCTATCCGCCGCCCAAGAAAGACAACCATAGCGGATGTGGCATCTCGGCTATCCCACCTTGAAAGGTCCGTTGTCGCCAAAACCACGAGGCATGACATTCCGACGCAATTGCCACCCACGGAAAATGTGTCGCCTTCTGGTGACCCACTAACTGAAGCCTGTAATCTTTCCGGAAGACATCGGTCGATGACGCGGCCTGCTTCAGTCAATGGTCTGGATGGCGATCACGGTGGCCAAGGCTTTTTGATACACAGAGGCTCATCCACTCAATACTTCAATGATGTGTTACTATCTACAGTTGTTGAAGGCGACCAAGATGTCAAGTCGGCCCTTTCTGCTTCCCACAACAAACCGATATCGCCCCCGGTCTCATCCCCTTTTGACCCCATGGGACTACTCTCCACCGCGTCCTCTACTATCCCTCTGACCGCGTTCCAGCCATCCAAGAAAGTAGCGATGAAGCTATGGAAAGCTTACAATGAGAAGGTTGAGAGTCTTGCGGGTAACAAGCTACTTCACGTGCCCTCGGACGAAGTAATAATCTTCACGGCAATTAATGATCCATCCAAATCAACCACAGATGACTTGATGCTCTGTTTTGCAATTTACTGCTCGGCTGCAACTGCACTTTGCGAGGACGAGGTCGAAAAGGTCTTGGAAGAGTCCCGGGAAACAAGTTTCATGAAATTCAAGACGGGTTTAGAGCAGAGTCTTACACGTGGTGGATTTCTCGGTAACCCTTCATTCCGGGCACTCCAGGCTCTGGCAATCTACTTGGTACGGATTTCTATGTGTTGGTTTGGCTCTTCTTCATAGTATTCATATGTTTTCCCCGGTCACAGGCTAACTATTGGTCAGGCTACCCTTCGGGTCTACAATCCTGGCAAAAGCATATGGATTCTTCATGGTATCGTCATCCGCGCCGCCCAATCCATCGGTCTCCATCGCGATGGCGAACGCCTTGGCCTAACCCCATATCAGGCTGAAATGCGCCGCCGTCTCTGGTGGTACTTAGTGACCCGAGATTGGCGCGCCTCTGAAGACTACGGACTTGAAAATGCCAACGCTTACCTCTCCAACTCCGTGAACCTACCTCTCAATATAGACGATGTCGACCTTCACCCTGATATGACCGAACTTCCCTCCCCAAAGCGAACTTGGACAGCAATGACAATGCCTCTAATATTTATCGACATAAGTATGGCCATACAACAGTTGTCCGCCCTCGCGGCCGGTGCTACTTCTTCAAACGACGTAACTCACGTCAAGATCATGTCCGATGTACGTGCCAAGGTCGAATCCAGGTTGGAACAGTGTAACTCTGTAATCCCTCGTCACCGCCTGACTATCATGTTCGCCCGCTTTATGCTCTGCAAGCTTGATCTTATAACCCGACTACGATGGGCTATGCTTAGCGCCGGCTCGAGCTCAGATACTGTAACCGATGGCATTTTTACTGATTCCTTTCTCCTTGATGCTGTCAAGATCCTGGAACAAGCTGTAAAGTTCGGTGACGACGAACTCCTCAAGCCTTATCTGTGGAGTGCCCACACCTATACGCAATATCAAGTCACTCTCTACGTACTATGGCACCTCTGTTTGCGTCCCAACGCCACTTACGCCGACAGGGCTTGGGTTGCTGTCGAAGGGATCTATCTTATACAAATGAAGATTGTGGAGGGGCGAGGCGCATTTGAACCGAGGTTGACCGCTGTGAATGCCCTGAGAGACAAGGCTAGAAGATTGCGTGAGCAGCGAGCAAAGTTACATGCGATTACTTCAACATCACTCCACAATGTGGACGAGGGTGACTCTGCCGGCGTGGGCGACACTAGCGGTGGAAATGTGGCGTTGAGCGATACCGGAGGGCAACCCGGGGGCATTTCATCAAACCTAGCAACGGGCGCCTTGGGTAACATGATGTTCGACGGAGCTTTTTTCAGCGAAATACCGAGTGATTTGGCCAACTTAACGCCTTGGTATCATAACCTGCAACAGAGTTTGAATGCAAACGGCTTGTTTTAACAGTCATTCGCGATGTACACTTTGAATTTTTTTCAAGATTCATACACAAGATGCTTGGTCTTAGATTCACCACAGCAATCGTAACATTGTTCCTTTAGAGTATACCCTAACTTAGACGCAAGTAGTTCGTCCGAGGCCATTCCTTTGAATAAGAATTCATTTTCACAACATTGAGGGACAGACGATTAAGTCCACAATCGCTTTGATACACTTTTCAGATTATCAAATGTCACATGCCTTCGCTCTCTGGTTGTTGAATCTGGTTAGATTGGCAAATATCCCTCCACTTCAATGATATCATGACTCTCCACCAGCCAGACGGAAACAAATTCCTTTAATAAACTTGTGCTGTGCCATGCATTTATTATCAAGAGCCGTTAGTAACTAGCCACTGAAAATGGAGGCTAGCTACTATCTAGCCCTTAATAGCCCTCAAGTAGTAGTCTATAATGTTCCGAAAGTTTTATCGTTTTTCTGTTCATCAGCTGATGGATATGCGTCATGTTACACAAGCAATCTGTGATATTGGACATGGTGACAAACGAATAACGTGGGTTTGATAAGCATGTTCTTGGTATTCACAAAGCTGATCTATCATTCAAAGAATACCATCATATGGTATCTATACCTAAGGGCAACCTGGATGTTCCGCTCCACCAAGCAAACATCTTCTGCCAGTTGACGAGGTTGGATCAGCTAGGTAGGAATGTTAGTGAGGGTTCATCAGTCAAGACCTTCAACACCTGGATCTTAGGATTTAATATTGCTAAAGTTGCTGAAAATAAACAATTTCAAAATGTGGAGATGTTCAAAACAATAAAGAGAAGAAAAAAAAAAGGCTCACTTTGGCAGTATAGGATTCTCTTTGAATTTCCAATACAACCTCTATCGCAGTCACAACATCCAATAGATTTGCATTCGCCTTCAGGCCTTGATTAGTCCCAAGTCAAGGTGGACATGGAAGTCAGGTTGGTTACCGTTAAGACCAATTCCGTTTGCTAAGACCCAAAGCCCTGCTAGCGCAAAGATTGGAGAAAGAGAAACCATGGCTTAAAGAGTGTAGGCAGATTGTTCCTGTATAAAGAGAGAGCTTGTTTTGCCAGCCAATTGTCTGTGAGCTGGTCCCCTTATTTATACATGTAGAACCTCATTGGCAAAAAAACAAAACAGCAATGACGCCGTAGCCCCTATTTTGGTAACGAGTCATGCGATGGTTCTTATACTTTTGCAGATCTTCTTGTTTCGTATGTACATGTAGTCCATCCGTAAGACTTTTAGCGCGTTTATTTACGGGATAAATCAGGGCCGTCTAGTCCGTTTCTCCTCCTGTCTGAGCATGTCATTCTTGGCGACTCCATAAGACGGCAAGCCGGTCCTGTGACAAACTTTAATAAGCAAGACGGTCCACAATCGGTCGCTTCAACAGCGATGTAGGGGGTCAATTCACCCCGCCCGCCCCGAGAGAAACAGGATCTCGAAGATTGCAGATTTCCTGTCCTTCTGCCCGTGGCTCTGGCGTCAAGACTCCCATTCAAGGCAAGGTGCGATGCTAATATGTGACAAATGCCTGCCCTCGAGGAGGACCGTGCTATTATCCAAGGTAGACCATTGTTATCTTGCATTATAGTAACACATTTGGGAGACGCTATGTAGCAGCTCGGCCGTATGGGCCCGTAGCGCGGCCGTTATGGCAGACATGAAGGAGGATTGGTTAGGTCTATGTGCTATCCAGCAGCTAGCAGGGATTTACAAGATAGAGGGATCTAGTGTAGACGCAGGTGACATAGATCGGCAAAACTCTAATCGAGCCAACTTGTACTACAGATGCAAACTGTTAGGCAGTCGTGGCATTGTTAGAATATAGTTTGAATTCTACACAGGTAACACCCATGGGGAATACCAACTTAAAGTTGCGAGAGAATCACTAATTTTCGGGTACGGTTGTTCAACCGAACCCCGCCCCGACTTTATGTGGAACATACGTGGACTGAATCCCGTATGAAGTTTATGCCATGACTGAGTATCTTAGTGAAGGGAATAAAGATGACTTGCAGTCCGGGACGGGCCATAATTGCCTTCCGGTGCAAGCGACAGCGATTAGTCTATGATACATTCAAGCTCGTACAATGGTCATTTGCCAAAGGTTTGCCCCGCCGCACCGGCTGCGCCGCTTGTACAGGCCATGGTCGGCAACAAGCTCCTCGCAAACGACAGGCGGACAACGCATGTTGCTGAACCGTAGTTACTATGAAACTTATGTATTCTATCTTTATACATTGCTTAGTTGATGCTATTGAGACTTTACTTGACATTGGCCTATAGTCGTATTGATGTATACACACCAACGAAATTTCTGGACCTGGATGCAGCCGGAACTAAGACGACTAATTCTTGGTCTACACCTTCACACAGCAAAAGGACTTGCGCATTCACCGGTTTCACGAGGTAGGGGCGGTATTATAATATCGCCCGGCCCGGCTTCGAGCCAACGAACCATGTTTATTCCTAACAACCCACAGACAGGGTTGCAGATGCCTCCAATTCCGCCGGAACTTGCAGAAGTCATATTTAAAGTCAACTCCCAGCCGGTCCTAACCACTTCTTTATTATACCTTACGCTAAACCTTGCCTCGAAGATTGTTCACAATGAAGTTCCTTTTTCCGCTCATTCTATTTACAGGTGCACTGTCTCAAACCTGCCGAACGATAGCTCATTGCTCGAACCACGCCTAATGTAACCTGAAAGATATAACATAACCTCATCACACCCTGGTTCAATACCAACGTATTCTAGGCAAAAAGCTTTTGCGATCGAAACGTAACAATTGACCGCTATAAAGCATGTGTTCCGGTACATCTTAGCAAACATATGTCCTTGTTCAACAATCGATATTTACATTCTTTAGGGGCAATATTGTGCCAACCCCCGGTGCACGGACACTGTGATCCATCTGGTGTTTGCAAGCCAAGTTCTTCAACTCCGTTGTATTTGCCATGCCATACTAACTGTACACAGTCATGTACTTGTCAATGCGTAAGTTTCAAGTTTACGATGCGGACTTCTTTTGTCATAAGATTTGCTTATATCTTTCTTCTTTTAAAATGTATAAAATGAGAAGATGTACTTTTATCTGGGAAAGGCTAAGCTAATTAGCCTATCACGAATAGGAATGTTAGCTTGCAATGTTAAGCACCTACCAGGCAGTAGTTAGCAGCCTCCCACTCTTATAAGAATCTCCCATGTGGACTCCAATGCTATTCATCTTGCTGTGCCCATGTCTGAGCAGGCTATAAAGCAACATCTTATCAGTCACCAATATAACCAGTTCAATCAGTTCTTGAATTTAAGTTGAAAAAGTACACGTTTTATTCAGGTACGCTCGCAATTACTATGCATGGTGGGATATCTCTGGCAAACAGAACAAAAACAAAATCAAGCGCTGGGTGGTTGTTGAGTCAACTTAGACCATCTCCTACTCGCCCTGTTAATAAACGGGCTGCCCAACCCCGTCGGCGTCCTTATCGCGTTCTCCTGGCGCTGCTTTACATCTCCCTCGAGCCCGAACCCGTACGTCTCGGACCCTCCACTATGGACGTCCGTCGGCACAAGACCGTACCCGACCCTCGCTCCAGCGACGGGCCGGTGGTCGCTACCGGGCACCGTGTTGCCCCAGGGCAGCTTCTCTAGTCCCGGCCCACGAGTCGCCGCGACGATGCTGCTGAAGCGCGTGTTGCGCACCAATCCCTCCTCCCAGACGGCCGCCACACCGAATGCGACGCCGACGATGGCCAGAACGATGGCCACCGTGTATACTGCCCAGAGGTCCGACGCGTGGTACTTGTACCTGTTGTCGGTGCGCTCGCGCGTGCACGGGTACCGGAAATCCCCGCCAACCTTGGTACCTGTGACTTGCGAGGGATCGCTGGCCCAGACGACGGCGAGGAAGCGCGGGTTGCTGAACATGGAGAGGATTATGTCCTCGTAGAACGACTGCACCTGGAACATGAGGTCTTTGACGCCGAGGTAGCTGTGCTGGTCGATCAGGCGCGTCTGGATCGCCTTGGTGTTCGCGTTCTTGTTAGGCTCGTGGATTGTGCCGTTGACGAAAGCGCGAAGACGTGAGCCGATGGAGTGGTATGCCATGAGACGGCGGTAGCGCTGCACGTCGGTCGGGAGGATGTAGTTTGACTCGGGCGTCGCGGTGGTGTTGTCCATTGTGCCGTCGTTGGCGTCCACGCCCGGGAGGAAGCGCGTGTCGACGACAGGAGAGATGAACTTGCGGTCTTTTACGGTTGTGGTTTGCACGAGGTTGGTGTAGTTGAAGAGCACCTCGTATTCTGTCTCATAGTGCTCGCACGCGAACATTTTCGGCGTGAAGGCCGTGTCCCAACCTGGGGCGGATGAGTTGTCCGGCTGCGGGACGGACGGGTCGTCGACCTGCGCGTAGCCGAACCAGAGCACGGGCTCCGTGCGGAGCGCGCCGAAGTTTCGGGGAAACGGCGGCTGCCGGAGCGGGACGCCGGCATCGCTCGTGTCGTTGAGTTGCGGGTTCGAATACTCGCCCAGTGACGAGTGGCTGATGTAAGTGTAGTTGCCCTTGGGCGCAAGCATATCCATTGGGAATGGGGCGGTTGCGCCGTTGAGATCTTTTGGGGTCGCTCCGACACCACTAGCGAGCTCCTGGCACTTGTAACCGGGCCCTGTGAATTTGATGGTAAAAGTACAGTTCCACCCGGGGCTGCAGATCTCAGCACCTGCGTTCGCCCGCTCGAGGGGCTTCTTCTGGAATACGGCGGAGGTGGCGATCTCGTCGAATTGGATGCTATGCGCGGTCCAATAGTCGAAGAAGTGCTCGGCGGACTGGTTGAAGCTGGTGGTGTTCCACATGGACACGGAAAGCTCGTACAGGTTGTTAATCTTTTGCCCCGTGCGGAAGTCGTTCGTCTCTTCGTGGGTGAAGTTGAGGGTGCGGACGGACGGGCACGTCGTGTTTTCGCGCTTCGTCATGGGCTGCACGGCGAGGGTGTCGGAGGTGAGAATGACGACGAGCGGCGTGCACCACACGTACAGCGCGAGAACCATGGCGATGCGCGCCTGCTTGAAGACTTCAAAATTGAAAATGGCAGACATATCTTCTGCGGCGGCGAAGAGCGAGTCGACGGCAGCCAGCGTGAGCACCTTGCGACGCACCGTCATCCACACGCGCTGACGAAAGGCGAGGATCACAGCCGACGCCAAGCTCGCCTTGCTGAGGAACGAGAGTGCCGCGCCGTACCGCAGCATGCGCAGCTGGTTATTCGCCTCGGTGCCGTTGAGACCAGCATAGAAGAAGTGGTGGCCCAGGGCGAACGCGATTCCCGCGAAGAGGAAAAAGTACATGTTCCAAGACGGGTGCCAGTACCTGTCGTAGAAGGCGATATGGCCCGGCGGGTGATATGTATATGATTGTTGCCGGTTTGTCAACGGCGGGCGCCATTGGGGAGATAGAAGCGCGGAGTGCGAATCGATGCGCACTTGCTTTTTCGGCGGGAGACCGCCGGTGCCAGGCGTACTGAGGCCGGAATGTGAGGGTGTGTAGTTGGCATAGTTGCCGTACTCATATGATTCCATCTGAAGCGGCGCCGGCCGCGGTCGTGTTTGCTCGCCGCCATACTCACCAGCGGCCTGGGGCGGGAAATATGCTGCCGCGCCGGCTGCTCGTTCTGAGAAAGACGGTTGAGGGCCTGCGATAGATGGTATTGGTGGACTTCGTCCGTAGACGCCAAATGGGGCGCCGATGGGTGCCGGTGTCGTCGGCCCTGAGCTGTTGACGGGTTTTCGGGGTAGTTGGCGCGCTGGGTGCCATTCTGTCGACGATGTCATCTGAATATCGGGGATATCGGGAGAATCTTGCCGCAGGCCAAGGCCATGGCTTTGATGTTGACCTTCCATTGTCTATTGACTATGGGGGGAGAGGGAATTATAGGATTAAGTGGGCAGTATGCGCCTTGAGAAGGAGGATGTATGGGGCACCGGCATCAATCGGTGCTAGACAGCGCAGTAGGATGTCGCTGACGCCGCGAATGGCACTGAAGTAAGGATGTCGTGAGACGAAGAGGATCGCAATTGGCGGCGGGAAGGATGCGAGAGAGACAGAAGGAGTTAGGAAAGACGGGCCGCTATTATGACATCTCAAGCGAGCTACAGACCCTCGAGGATTAAAGATATAGGACGAGGTATTCAAGTTCCGACACCTTGGGAAGCCAAGACTTGAACGAGCAATGATCAGAGAGAAGAAGGAGGGAAGGAAGGAGAAAAAAAAGGAACTAATAAGACAACACTCGCGTGCTTCCTCCCGCCAACAGGGCTGAGGGTTGAGGGCTGGGGTGGGAGGGAGCAAAATACGACCAACATCACTTGCCGGAGACGGAAGGGGTGGGTGTACATGGTGTGGTGTCAGTCTGCATGTCCTCCTCCTCCTCATATTCCGGTGGACATCATACGCCTCGCTTTGTTATGAAATGGGCTGGGGGCTCGTGGCTTGAGCAGGTACAGTCCATGCTGTCCGTCTAGTATACATTTGTCTACGAGGCCGTGTTCTCGGGGCTGCCGCTAGCATCTGCAGCATGCAGCTAGCTCAGCTGGGCGTGACGGCGCAGGACTGGCGGCGCAGGACTGGCGGCGCTGGTGACCAGAGCTCCGGGTTGGCTGGGGAGGTTTTTTTTTTTTTTTTTTTTGATGATGATGACGGGCAACATGTGGCGTAGTAGCTGGGATGCACCATGAGAAATTCGAGGATGCCCTGTCTGCTTGTGATGGGTCGAGACCCCATGGGTGCCCAGCATCCAGGTACAATTCCTGCTGCCTTCAGTCGTGATCGCAGCAGCCTTGAACAGTGGAGCATTCATCAGCGTTTATCTCATCGGGACTGGGGTAGAAACCGAGTTGCAGAGAGGGATTATTACTTTGTACATGAGTTTTTGTAGTTCCGTGGAGCCCCGGCAGCAAAGGAGGAGTGAGATTGGACAGACGGTTAGGGCTGTATGGATGCAATGCAGGGTTTAAGATGAGGTGAGATGACGGAAAAAGAAGCTGGGGGTGGAGGACACTGAGACACGGTGGGGGCTGTGAGACCTGAGACTTGAGAATTACTGCACAGTAAGCCACTGCAAAAAGCCTTCTTTACATATACCTGCGATTTCTGCACTGCAACACCGATTTCTGTCATCATGACCAAGAGGAACAGAGTGTGACGTTGAAGGATTTCCTTTCAAATGCATTTTGTTGGCATCTGGACATAAGATGCGTCTTGGACTCTGAGTTTGAGAAGGCGTACGCTATTACACTAGCCTGACAACCAACACAGTAGGTCACTAACAAAATCAGAGACATGCTTCATATGAATTGTCCAACATACATAAAATATTATGTACATTTGCTTGATTTAGAAACATGATTTTGGCCCCTCAAGTATCAAAGTTTCCCAGCGAAAGACACCCCGGACTTCAATAATGCCTTGACCTCATCAGCTGCCCTCGACCCAGCCAACAGAGCCCCCTCCATGTACCCCTTGAACTCGTAGCTGGTTTCTCCGCCAGCAAAGTGAACATTTTTGAATGGCGTACGGAAATGGGCACCGTAACTAGATAGAAGGCCAGGTCCCATGCATGACGTTGGCGCCCCGCCGATGTAGTCCTCCTTGGTCCATTCCATCTCGTTAACCTCAACCACTTCGTAGGCCAAGTGGCCATACTCCGGCCCGACAAGACGATTGAGGTGATCAATGACTGACTGCCGCCTTTGAAGCGCATTCAGCTTATGCCACTCTTCAGCTACAGGCCCTACAACGAAGACCGCGAGGGAGTAGTGGGGAGTTTTCAGGTCAGATATATCCCACGAGAAGCAGATAGGGCCTACTGAGCTGATGAACTTCCCGACAAGACCGATCTCTCTCCACCAGGGCTTGGCGTAAGTCAAAACCACTTTAGCGTAAACTCCCGGCAACGTCTGAGAAACAAGAGCTGCCTTGGGGAATGGCAATGGCGGCATGAAGTCGATATATCCATATGTGTTAGTTGGATTAGCCATGATGACCTTCTTGGCTTGTACGGCCTCGCCGTGGCCAGTTGTGACGATGACATGGTCGTCGTATTGATGGATGTTCTTCACCGGGCTTTCAAGAAGAATAGATCCGGGTGTCATCTCCGCGGCTAGACCATGAGCAATGGCAGAGGTTCCTGTTCAGTTCGTTAACGTCGGTGCAACTCACAGATGGGGAAAAGGAGACGCTAGGAAGTGAGAACATACCTTCCCGAATTTTCAGATTCTGCAACCCCTTCGGCCCATCGGAGGAGACGCTCTCCCACCCCCCGGCAGACTTGAGGTAATCCAGCGCATAGTGGGCACCGATGAGACCAGCAGGCCGGCCGAAGCTGACTAGCAAGATAGAGTTCACGAAAAGTCTAGCCATGTTGCTGAGTCCTCTGAGCGTCATCCACTCCTCCATGGAAACATCGAGTTCTTTCGGCCAGCAAGAGGGATCGCGAATATTAATCGTAGCACCGTCAACTTCGGTCGCTGCTTGCTCCAAAGCTTGCAGTATTGTTTCGTCGGTTCCCTGTATCAAAAAAACGTATTAACACTCCATGGCAACCGTCTAGGGCGAAGGTGGGAAAGGCAGCGAAACAAACTAACCTGGCCGATTCCATCAGGAGCTGTCCGAATTGTGGTTCCGTCTGGAAGCTCAATGATAGCCTCTCCAGATAAGCACTGCTCAACAAGCTCTAAACCAAACTTTTTAGCAAGGCCGTATATCTTTGTTTGAGTTGTCTTGTTGATCCAAGTAGCTCCCAGTTCGATGTGTCCCGGCCCACTGGAGAGCTGATGCGTGTGGCTCCGCCCTCCGATTCGGTGGCGAGCTTCGAAAACAAGTGTCGTAAAGCCAGCGGCCTGAAGGTCATTCGCGGCCATGAGGCCCGAAAATCCGGCCCCGACTATGACGACATCGACTTTCCGGAGCGGGATCGGGTATGTCACAGCGGCATTTCCCGGCTGCCATGGCCGGCTGAGACCTGGCACCGCTGCCGAGACTTGAATCTCGAACTTGAGGCCCGGATACGCCAGTGAACCGACCGGTATGAGCATGGAGGCGGGTCGAACGGCGGCGTCACCGTGGACGAGGAGCTTTGCAATGTGAGGCTGCATTTCGGCGGCCTTCTCCGGCGACCAGTCGACGGCGTACATGTTGATTTGCACCAAATGCTGCCGAGAAATCCCCGCCGCTTTCATTGCTTCAAGCAGATTCTCGACTGCGAGCTTCACTTGGTCACTGAACTTCTCCGGCAGAGAGCCGTCGGGCTTCTTCCCTATGATGCCGGCCGTCCAAGCGAGTCGGCTGGGCCGGCTCGCGACGACTACGTGGGAGTCAAAGCCACCATCATAAGCGAGCGGCGCGTTGAGATGAGTCGTCGAGGGCTTTTGGTCACGATATGCGGCCATGATTTGACAAAGTATAGGTAGTTTATTGAGGATATAAGGTGCTGTTAATTCAACAGGCGCTAGTCCGTGTGTTTACAAGGCAGCTAGAAGATGCACTCCCTATCTGTTTAACCTTGAATTGAAGAACACACTGAGACTTGTTATATATCCTCGAGGGCAAGCATATGCTACAAGATAACCATTTTAAGTTCTGCAGATGGTTTGAAGCCGAGTTCCAGCCTGGTGACGGGCTCTCGCCCTCGGAACCCGAGAGGGTAGGGTCTTGGGGTGTTAGTGCTTAGTATGCCCGATACGGAAAGAATTGGCTGATTTCTTTACCGGGGGATGCGATTATGGTCAACATGCGCCAATTGGTATTCATGCGGTTCAATTTGATTCAAAAAGGATTAATCATCTTTACATGCTGGATGGCTATCCTAGCGCAGCCGAGTACATTGCCCGCTTTTGCATCTTGGTAACGTATTTTCTGCGTCTGTGGACTTTTTGGAAACTGGGAAACACATTTCCACACATGTTGAGAGAAGGGCAAAGGACCTCTGCAAAGGCCGTCGTCTGTGCGGCCTGCTGCTATGACGACGCGCATTTGAACCTAAATACTACCGTTGTCATCATAAGCAGGGTGCACGGTACGAGTACAACTTACCCGTAAAAGCCTCGCTCGCATTGTTGAATTGCGATACCACGAACCAAGTATTTGCCACCCGGATGCCCGCGGGCACGCAAAGCCCGCACCGGGTTTCCCCCACGACGACCCAACCTCGCCATCCCCGCCGACCTCCCGACGGAACACACCCGGGACACCTGCGCGATGGCAATCATTCTCAAGGCGATATATTCTACAGAAGATACTTGCAAAGTGCAGATGGCTGAGTTCTAGCATTTCAAAAGAGGCGGCAGCTGGGCATAGCATCTTCAAGGGCTCGAATTTAGTTGCACGATCGAGTTGAAATTATCAAATATCCTCTTCTAAGAATTGGTAGCGTTGGTGGGAGCACCCTGACGGCGATATTGCCTTGCCCACAAGGTTGGAGCGAACACTGACATCGTCTTAGCGTACCTGCGCTGGCGGTCTAGTAGGCAACATGAGATATCCACAATTCGTGCGGCTGAGGGGTCTAGACTCTTGCTCGCTCTGGTTATGGAAACAATGGGGAGGCAGGTGGATAAAGTAAGGTTGAGACTAAAATCTAACCTGATCCGACGCCGTGGCTGTCAGGGGCGTTGGGGGGAATAGAAGAAAGGAAACAGGGAGTAAAGTTCTCCGTAATGAGAGAGCCGATTTGACTCGGATCAAGGAGACATTTGGCTGAGACCGCCAAGTCTAAATGTCGGAGGCTCGGTGCGTTGCTGACGAAAAACACTGGCGATAGTTTCAATCAGAATAAGAAAATACAAGTATTATCCGCGTGGTGTGGCTTGCATGGTTGTCAGGGTCGTGGTAAGTTGGTGAAGAGGGGGTGAGAGAGGGGAGGGGGCGTGAGAGCGGCAGCGGTGCTGACATGCATCAATCCCTCTCCCTGCTCTCCCTTCGTAATTTGATGCCAATTAAGACCCTCCGATCTCGTCCCGTTCTCCTTTGATGAACGAACGACTCGTGTCCCCCACTACTCGCTCGGCTGAGACCCGGGCTTGGTGCGGTTGGCCGCGCGTTTTAACCACTCAAAACGTCTTCCTTCTCAGATTCAGCCCTACGCCGCTTCTTCATCTCGGCGATGCCCATCCTCTATACGTTCCCCTAGCTTTAAAAACACTGCCACCCCGTCCGACGCAGGCTGACAAGTTGACTGCACCAGTGTCGGAAGGATTATTCTATTTTTCCCTGGGTTCGGAAACACGCCGGATCATGGCCAGTGATCTCATCGTATTCGCTGCAGCAGGCTCTGATGACGTTTGATGAAGATGAGAAACGGATAAGTCTTATGTATACTGCGATAGTATCTATCGATATGGGATCGAGATGCGACCGCTCCAGATGATGTAACAATAACTTGTAAGTACGTTGATCCCTCCTATGATGATATGTCCTCATAACATGATGAAAAGAAAAAAGAAATCAAGAAGAAAAAAAAAAAACCAGAAAGAAAATTTGTACGAGGGTGTATTTCTTACAACCCCTTCGTCAGTTTCATACCCATTATAATCCCAACTCCGTCCAGGCTGGGCAGCCGCCCAAGCCGAATGCATCGTTCCCCGTCTTGTATCATCGTTTTCTTCGTCCTTTATCTGTCGTCTACATCATGGTTCATGTCTTTCTTTAAAACACGAGAGCAGAGACTCTCTCTTCTCTGTCCTTGTGCTCCTTCTCCTTCTTCTTGAACAACGACTTGAGCATGTTGTTCTTCTTGGGTCGCGTCGCCAATTCAATGACCTCGTCGTCCTTCTCGCTCCTGGCGTCCTCGATGGTGAGCATCGACACCCGACCAGTCCGCTTCGACGCCGAGCTGCGGTGGCTGCGATGGCTGCTGGCAATACTCTCAGCGTCGCCCCGCTCAGATCTGGAATCGCCGCGTTCGGATCGGGAATCACCCCGTTCGGACCTGGAGACGGTGCTCCTGCGTTCGGGGGCCTCCGACTCGCGCACGCTGGCGCTGCTGCGGTGCGACTTGTGTGAGTGAGACGAGTGGTGCGACCTTTCCGTCCTCGAGCTGCGGTGCGTCTTGGAGCTGCGAGTCGTGCGGAAGCTCCTCTCGGTGCGGGTGTCCGGGTCGCCGCGGATGGACCGTGCGGCCTCGGGGCTGATGAGCTCCATGTCGACGCTCTCATCCTCGCCCATGGGCGCGATGCCACGGCGCCATGTCTCGATGGAGCTGAGCTCCTCCTCCAGCCGTTCGTCGAGAACAACTGCTTCGTCATAGCCGACGCTGCCCTCCCGCGGTTGTTGTTGCATGTACGGATCGTATTGATCGTAATGGTCGTATGCATACTCAATGGGCTGCGGCGCGGGTTGCGCCTCCATCGCGATGGCGTTGGCCATAATAGCCTCTCTCTGGGCCTTGGCCTCCTTGATCTGCTTCACAATCTTCCATCCGCCGAACATGACGACAGTCATACCAAGGGTTGCGCCCGCAGCGATGAGAAACTGGGGCGAGGCGAGGAGCGCAAAGACGGCGGGGGAGCCACCCTTGATGACGGACAGGAAGGCGGGCGACATGCCCTTCAGCAGCGTCGACAGCTCGGCGAGAGTCAGGGCAACGGCGGCGGCGGCATCGGGGTTTCCTTGCAGGTGGGCGATGGTGGCTGTAGCTGAATGCTGGACGCACTTCGCTTCTTCAAGCAGTCCTTCGACCCTGGCGACCAAAGTTCTGGCCTGGTCCTCCTTGGGATCCAAATCGTGGCGGTCCTGCAAATCTGGAGGGATGTTGCCATATGCCAGGTCCATGTCGATTTCCTTCTTCTTCTTGGCGGCGACCGTTGGTACGACAGGTGACGACATTGTTCGGGGAATATTAGAGCCGCGGAGGGTGGCGGAATCGGCGAGACTGTCACTACATGTCGGCACTGTAGTGTAGTGTTGCATGGTTGGGCGACTCAGAGCCATATCGCGGGGAGCGGTTTCGGCGTAGGGAGAGCGGTATACAACAGGGGGAGCCCTCGAGGGAGTGACGCTCGATACTTCGGAATGAGTCTTGAGGTTGTTCTCGGTCAGGGCCGGTCTTGAGCGGGGATAGTACTCCTGCTCGCGATCGGGGTAGTGAGACTGCCGAGAGCGGTGACTCCTGCGGGAGCTGGCAACGGAGTGTCCATCATCGTAGGAATAGCGGCGCTCGAAGGCCTCGGGAGGCAAATCGCGAGAGGTATCGAAGGTTTGTGCGCGCTTAAGCTCACGGTCGGCCTTGATGGAGGCCTTCTTCTCCTGGTAGGAGGCTTTGGCTTCTTTAAAGATGCCAGCGAGTTGTTTGCCCTGTAAAAAACAAAAAAACGACAAGTCAGCTTTGGGATGTCTCTAATCATTTTTTCCTAGGTTTGTCAAGTAGTAGTGCTTGTGCATATTGCAGGTCGAATGTTGCAAAGATGCGGCCGATAAATCGGCGGGACATGGAATTTTGAGGGGCGGGTGGGGGTAGAATGCAACGGGTGTGAGCCAGACTTACGGTACTTATAATCTTGCCCGAGTTGTTAATGATGGTGACCGTTTGAGTGAGGGCCATGATGGGGTCGAGGTTCACTTGTCCGGTGACAAACCGAACAAATGCGATATGTGTTGTGGGTGTGTGTGAGGTTGAGAGATGTGTAGACGTGTGTGAGGTGCACTCACACAGGCGGCGGGTGACCTGAGTGGTGTTGTTTGGTGTTTGGCGGTGGTGGTACTAGCCGATTTTTGAAGCTTTCAGTCGATTAAGTGAGTTGAGTGACGACAGGGAACCCCAGGTTGGGAGGCTGGTACAGAGGGAGCCCAGTCCACCGCTAAAAGTGTCTTGAATGGTGGTTAATAGTGGCACCTGGAAACACTCGGGGCACTTAACCCAGCAAGTATGCTTCTGGGCGCTGTCCGGGAGCAGGGTTTCTTATCCGGCAACGATGCGGTGAGGGAAAGGAGGCCCCTAAAACAACTCCACCGGCAGAGTTGGAAGGGAAGCGAGCGGAAGCGAGTACCGACTTGGGTGACAGGGGGAGCGGAACGGAGATGGCCTGTGGGAGGGACGGGCTTTTTAAGTGTCTCCACCAGCGATCAGGAAGCTAGAGCCGTGGCCAAAGTGGACGACGCGATGCGGACGCGGGATGGCCGTCGGGGAACGGTGAGTCGGGATCTGTAAGGGCAGTGGAGATGGAAGGAGGTTGGATATGGAGATGGGAGGGTTGTATATGACACCGATGTCTAGAAAAAGGGGCTGATGACGGAATAACGGTGTATGCGCAGATGCAAGATGTTGTATGAGGGTATCGCAAGGTGCGTGGATGCAGCCCCCGGCCGATGTGGATGGAGATGTGTTGGTTGAGATGGGAGCAAAATAGCGGGGAGAAGGCGGGAAGACGGGCAAAGCAAAAATAAAAATAATTTATTTTTCTTTGAATAAGTCAAAATTAAATAAAAACAAGACCACCAGAATATGGCAAGTGCAACACAAAACACAGAGACGTAGAGAAGGAAGAGGAGGAGGAGGAGGAGGAAGGACAGAGGCGGGTCTCAGAAATGGAAAGCAAGGAGAGGGGATGTTTTCGAGGTGAAATATCCGACAAGTACTAGAATTTATCACCAGTCAGAGCGCTTTCCTCTACTATCCAATGCCCAACCAGGCGCTAAATCCTTGAGTTGAATTTTGAGGATTAAATTTTAGGAAACTAGGGAATGAGAGCGAGAAAAAAAAAAAAAAGGTACAAGCCAATGGAGCAATCACAGTAGGATAATTGCTGTCGCGCGTTGTATTTGCAACCGCGGCTGCAGTCGCCTTCCTTCCCTATCCCCCCCTCGTCCCTCTTTCTCTAACCACCCACCTACTATTAGTACATAGTACTTACCACCCCTCCTTCCCTCCTTAACCCCCCCGTCACAGTTGCAGCTACCCAGTCAGTCACGTCTCCTTCCCCCTCCACCATCCCACCTCCCCTGACCATTCTGACGGGCGACAAAGTCCAGCCCAGATCCAGCGCATTCAAGAACAGGGCGAATCCCAGTGATTGGCCCAGATGGAAACGAGCGACGCCCCTTAACAGTTTTGGGCCTCGTTGCAGTTGTGGCCACCGCCAAACATGTCCCAAGACGGGAAGCAAGACCACCTCACTCGACATTTCCACTCGCCATTTTCACTCTTTCTTACCCTGCGCCGACCCACTTTTCGCTCTGAGTCTGACCTTTTTTTCTCCATCCGCCCTGCCCTTTCTCTCTCTCCATCTTTCTCACCTTACTAAGGAGTATCCGTAAAGCAAGTGCATTCTACTGCTACTATGTAATTACCTGTGTTCTCTTCTACTCCATAGTCCACTATGTACATAGTGATTACTATTTCTTCCTGGTCCTGATCCTAGTTTATCCTGTCTCCCGGCTTCTTCCCGCTCATCCCGATCACATTCTCCACTAAAATCCATCCTCCCATGATCCCGTCTCTTCGTTCTTTAATTTTCACCACGCATTTTCCAGCCCTCCTCACCGCATCCCAACATCCATCAGCCGGCCAGGGGTGGCTTTGCTGCCCACACCACGCACACCACCTACGCACATGGCCTTAGATAGTATTCGCCAGTTTCTGCCGGTTAACGCTTGGCTTGTTAATCCCCGAGGAATTCCTGATCATCATGCTTTTTTTTACCGTGCTGCCGTCGTCGTGTTGCCCTCTCTTCCTGCTGCATGACGCATCACGCACGATGAGGTCGTACAGCTTTCTCTTGAAAGCGGCCCAGTCCTCAGGTACTGTCAGCCATTGCAACCCATCACCCAACTCTGTGTTTCCCTTGACGTCGCCAGTCCTGTCCGACGCCGACAGCTCGGCCTGGAACCTTTAGCCGTCAACCGTCGTCATCGTAGACCGACTCTAGCTTCAATTAGGATGACACCGTCGTCGACGTTGTCAATTGCGGGGCCGGGAGAACGCCTCCGATGCTTGTCTCGGCACAGTCTCACTCGCTGGCTCTATTCTCACTCACCACTATAATTTCCGTCTCACTCATCAAAACACCTCATACGCTCACACACACACTTTCTCTCTCAAATCACCTCACCCGCCTCTCTATAGTCCCGGGCATACGGGATCACATAAAACGAAATCACCGCCATTTATTCACCTATCATCATCAGCTACCAACCTGCCCTCCACCGCAACCCTTCCCATTGGGTTCAACCTGCCCCTGTCAATCCGCACCCTCATCGAATCCCACCAGCTGGAGCCGCCGATCCTGCCACACCATCATCGGGCACTCCCACCATCTCCATTGGGCTGCCATGCACCCGCGACACACCACTCCCAAACTTGACAGCTTCATCCGGAAACTCCTGTTTGCTCGTCCTGACAGCAGCTGAGAGCGTGACACGACAGCAGGTGGCAAGTGTCAATCCGCGGGCCCTAGCGTACAGTCCAACTCAAATCCGCCTGTCACTTGGCTCAAGCCTCTAGTCTCCATCTTCCTTCACTTACCCGCCCCTAGAAGCCTCCGTCTGCTGCTGGGACCACCAGCCGTTTCCTTTTTTGTATTTCTTCAAAAGGTCTCCGCCGGAGGCTTCTCGCGCGTCGTGATAAATCTCGGCTCTCTCGGCAACCGCCTCACGATCTTTGGGCCCATGTGGCCAAGACGAAGAGTTCCTCATTTTGATGTCAACATACACCAACTCCTCCTCTATCTGTCGCACGGTTGGTCCGTAATCTGTGCGTTTACCCGCCGAGCAGCCAACCACCCATTACTGTGGCTTGCCTCATACTGCTGGACTGGGTCCCGTGACTCGCGTCGTAAGATGCATCGTGAGAGGCTCTGTTCGCTGCGCCTTCGTCCCGCTTCCATCTGCCATTTCCAATAATATCTCAGGCGCCAATGCCGCGTCTTTCGACATTGACATGCTTGGGTCTCTAACTTTCCATGCCATTCTGAAAGAAGACGCTTCGCTTGTTGGGCTATATCCACGCTGTCATAACGATGTCTGTTGTAGCGCGTGAGCGCCAGGAACACCTCTGTGGTCTACCCCGGTGATTATGCTGGGCGTAGACAGTTGGGCAATGTAACCGTATTCCACATGAGTTGTTCACCCACCAATCTCTGCTGACAAACCTGCGACTCCCACGCCCGTGCTGGCCGCCGAGCGATCGGGTGGAACCCAATGTCTACTCCGGGGTGTTCTGCCGGCCACCATCGCTACGGCCCGAAGCCTAAGCTTAGCGGAAGAACTTTTGTCAACGTCCTCCGTTCGTTGTGTTAGCATAATATGTCAATGGCACCCAGTAAGTCGGCCCGGTAGTACAGTTTGAACAACTAGATTTTACACCCAAACCCAAAGTACGCTATGTTCTACAGATAATGTCATAATAATACACATCTTCAGCCGCCAGCGGGCCTTTTCTTCGTTTTTTATTTATCATCAGGATACTGATCTGCATACTCAGTCTTCCCCTCCAGAATTGCGTCGGCGTTGAGTCGCACGCTCCACCTGATCATGTCACTCATACTCGTCTCCCTGAAACCATCACCGTGGTTTCCGATATCGCTCATGGAGCTGAGAGGCCCGGCTGGTCTGTAATGGTGGAAAAGCGCCGGTTGCGTCGCGATGCAGTTATGCGGCTTCCGTCCCTTGGCGCCCTCGCAGAAGAATCTCAACAGAATGTCGTAGGCGTCGCTCACGTCCTTTAGCGCTACTTCATGCAGCAACTTCCTCGCGCCTCGCTGGCTTACGGCATAGCCCAGCGTACAGACGCCCTCCTGCGCGTGGTGCACTGCCCGCGTGTGCTCCGGGTACTTCTCCTTCAGCGTGAACGGGATGTTGAACGTCCAGAGGTTCTTCTTGGGCGCGACGGTGACGTCGTTTGTGTGGATGATGCGAGCCTTGGGGACGTTCTTGTTGTCGTGGAACGGAAAGTGCATGCCGCAGTGGCCGACCCAGAGCAGGTCCCAGTCGTCGCCGTACGGTGAAGTCGTCGGCGGGACTGTTGCCGGGAGGTGGTCGAAGGGGATGTCCGGGACGGTCCCGGGAATCTCGCCGGTAGGGTTCTTGTACGTGGGGTCCGCGTACGAAAGAGGGGTCCCCACGAGAGGCTGGATGAGCGCATGAGTCGAGAGAGCAAAATCGTGCAGTTGGCCTCTGATTCTAACGTCCCAATCGACGTCGTCTTCAAGAATCAGGGCCGAAGACAAGTTCCTACGGACAATCCTACGCGAAGTTTTGCCATTTAGCTCACGGTTGACCCTGTCGAAATTCGACGAGTTCGGCTTGGCTTACTCTGAAAGGGCGTTCATGTGCCCGCGCCAGCACCCGATAGCGCCGTTACTTAGTCGGTCATGCTCAGTCGTCTTCGGAATCGCCTTGTCCGATACGCTGTCGCCGGCGACGCTGTCAATAAACTCGATGTCTATGTTACTGAGAGAAGACTGGAGAATCATGTTATCCCGGCGATCTGTCCGCGACGGCAGACTGACAACCAGGATTTTCTCAAACTAAAAGCCGTATGGACCGTTAGCAACATACTGAAATGCCAGAGAGGTGAGGACACTCACGCCCAATGTGCTGTTGTCAATATTGCTCATCAAGTCTGAAAAGGGGGCAGATTTCCGCCGCTCCCGAATATCGCCAAGGAATGGGTTATGCAAAATCAAGACCAAAGTTATGAAGACTGCACCAATGATGCATAAGTCCCTTTTGGACGTCGGTCTGATGGGTAGAAACGCCATCTTTGCTCCTTGAGGTGGAACTCGGAACAGCAATGGTGAAGGAATAGAAATGCTGAAAGATTGCGCCGCGGCTCAAGCGACCGCTGGGAGACCCTTCTTAAAAAAGAGGACAAGCACAGCTAGTTCTGTTCTGGGTGCATGTGGTGGGCGGTTAATCAAATCTCAAGTGGGCATGTAATATGGGGCTTGGCGAATCCGCCACCAACAGAGATTTTGTAGACGTCGGTTTATTGGCAGTTGTTCAGGGACGGATTGATGGTTTCCCGCCTTGCCCAGCCGCTGCCTGAATAAATATACTTCAGGAGAGTTACAGGCAGGCAAGGGCTAGCGTATCAGCGTAAGGGGTTCAGCAAATTGCCCACCTGGTTAACAGGCCTTAAAGGGTAGATGTCCGAATTATCGCTGGAAAAACAACGTAAACGGCATGTGTGTTGGTGCAAGGCAAGTGAAGCTGCATACGAAGGCGCGACTACAAGGGTTGTGATTGGGTCGTGTTTAACACCCTGGTCGACATCCCTGCTCAGCAACCAGATCTCGCGTTTGCTCTGACTATCGTCTCTGTTTAAACGTGCGTCGGCTGGAACCATCGCGCAATGTGGTTACATTCCGTTTAGAGAGGGAGAGCGAAAGAGATAGTCTTTGTTGTCTCTTCAATATGCTGCATCGAATCTAAGATAGCTCCTCTTGCATTCAGAGGGGTTGACAGCCATGTACAGAGTAACAGAGTATCCGTATCTCGCCGAGTCAGTAAAGTAGAGTATGCTCAGGTCTCCAGCCTTCCACACCAACAGGAAATTGCAAACTCGAAGTTGGCGTGTGTGGTTGGCCCATTCACGCAGGGGTCGAGTGTCCATCGCCAACTTGCTACCAACAAGTGGGTCTACGATCCAAGCTGTTGGGGGGCCATAGCAAAGACCGCCCATCGGCTCTAACAAGAATAATAAGAGAGGAGTTGCCAGAGTACACTTCGCCCCTTCCCACTTGCAGACTGGCAAGTCATCACTCCCACCATGTGGCTCCTAGCCGTCCTTCTTCTCGCCATCGTTCCTTCAGTGACTTCCCAGTTCTTCAGCCCAACCCAGAGGAGGGAGGTTTGGAGGATTGGGGAGACGAGGAAGATTGGGTACAATACCAAGTTCACAAACTACAGCATTGCTCTCTGGCAGCAGGCACTGGCAGGGGGATCAGCAAACATAGGACCGGTTGTCGTTGGTATGTGCCTTGGATACACTTTGTCTCGAAGCAATACAAACCACTAACACCTCCTTTCAGAAGTTGTCAATGGCCCGAAGAGAGAGTTCGACTGGGAGGTTCGAACCAACAATCTAGATCTGGGTGCCTCAAACGTCTTCTTTTTCTGGTTGTTCGAAGGCATTACTACCAACCAAGGCGACACCAAGTTTCTGTCCATGTCTTCAGCCTTCTTCAACATCACCGACGAGCCTGCACCTATCGAAACCACTACTTCAACAACAGCGGCATCCACCACGACACAAGCGGCAAAGTCGATCTTGTCCGAGACTTCGACGTCAACTCAGTCCTCCCAGACCACAACTGCGGCTGAGTCAGGCTCCAGCGAGACGGCAAGAGCAGGAGGTTCTACTAACAACGGTCCGGCAACGTCAGAAAGCAACGGTTCTGGGTCGTCAGGTGGGCTTCCAGTTGGAGCTCAGATTGGAATCGGTGTCGGTGTCGGCGTTGTTGCCACTACGTGCGTTGTCTGTGGTATCTTATGGTTCAGATACTTGAAGCGGCAGCAGAAGGCACTTACCGAGCTGCAAGAAAGGGCTTTCACTCAACAGCCCCCAGCTTATCCGTATGAAATGGGTGCTATTCACAGGCCCGCGGCACCACCACCACAACAACAACAACAACAAGACGATAACGGGTACTTTGTCAACAAGAGGCCCGTAGAGATGTACTAGCGGAAGGCCTAGCGAGATTCGATTTAACCCTGGGTAATCTATCCAGTAACTAGTTATATTCGGCGCTGTAACCATAATTATGGGGTTGGGATTGATTACGATATCACGAAATTCCTGTATGTAATGGCATAGAAGTAGTGTCCCGTTGTAAGCTTTGAATACGAAAATGTTTAAAGAGGCGGAGAACTTGTGTCTCGAGACAGTTGAAAAATGGCATGAAGACGTGGTGAATTCTCTACTAACCCAGCACAGGCCCCACGGCATATGAACGCTGAACAACTGTTGCTCAACGAATACTTACCGATAATTAACAGTCAAAAGTAACTATCACCTGGTTCTGCTATGTATTTTCGAAACTTTCTATTTCACAATTTATGTTCTTGATGGATGTGGAAAATATCGCATCAAAAAGCACAGCAGCTTTAGTGTTGTCTGCAGGTACACCTTTGTGTGTGTATTCCTGGTTAGTTTGGTGATGATCGGTTATTTTGTCTTTATCTCCGAGCAGCCGTTTGTCCGCCAAATGTCTGCTGACAAACCCGAGATTCTCTATGCTGCCGTATGCGGTTAGCCTCTTGGCTCACGGACTTTAGCAACATGTATTACTAACATGCTGACGTTCGTTGTTCTATTTCAGCTCCTTGCAATGTAACCGATGATATCGCGTATTCGAGTCAGGAGTACAATCACGGCAGACCTTTTGGAAAGATTGGGCCTAGCTGTAAGATGATTTAGGGCCTCAAGCAACTGTAATATGGACTTTGACACTACCACGGAGCTCCTGGACTTTACTTTGGTCCAGGATGTTCCATCAGTGACATTTTGCAACATTTGCGACAAACCATTCAGCCAAGGTACGTCGTCCACGGACAGCTAGTACCTAAGACTAATCATCAGTGTAGAGAGTTCTCTGAAAAGGCATCTCTCCTATTGCCGACGGGCTCGTAATCGCCCTCGCCTCAGGCCAAAGCCCTGCAATGAATGCAAGGCAGCCAAAAGTAAATGTGGCCTTCAGGATCGATGTGACCGCTGCGTCAAAAAGGGCCTCGCCTGCACTTATCCCCTTACCACCAGTTCGAGACACGCTGAAGCCGTGAACGCGCTTGCTTCAGTGTCTTCCCCACCACATGGCGCAGCACGAATCGCCCAACATCATACTTCCCTCCAATTACCACGGCAACACGGAACTGAGGAACAGTACTCCGGCAATGTATTCTCCCAACTATGGGATAATTCCAAACGCCCCTTGTTCGAAAATGCCCTCGATTTTTCTGGATCCAACGGCATAAACATGGATCCGAATTTCCTTCTCACAGGTAGGATTCACGAAATAACCGTGCCAGGGGCGATGAATGACTGCCTTATATCGTCAACCAGCCAGCTTTCATTCCCTTTGAGCCAACTTGGAACCTCAAACCCCGCCGCTGAAAGCCTAGCTCCCGTCATTAGGCAGGCGATCGCCTCGTATCCCCTGATGATGCTGCGGAGAACAACCTTTCCGCCCTTCATACACCCTCATCGTGATAAAAGTCGCCTACCTGAGCCCTTGGCCAACTGCATGGGAATCGCAGCGCTGTTTGCGTCGAGGAATAATGATACCCGGCCTTTTCTGTGGAAGTCAATCTGGGAGGAACAAGAACGGTGCCTTCGCGAAGTAAATCCACGAGTGACTTTTGTTTGCTACAGTGTCCTAATGGTTACTTGCAGATGCCAAATTGGTCAAAATACGAAATATTTGCTGCAATGCAAGCCGAAATCATCTATATTATGATGCGCGTGGTGGATGGCTGTGCGCGGACCCCTCAGCATCGAGAGTATAACATGAACATGCTGTTTGCATACAAGGTCTAAGCCTTTAGAATCATGTGTTGAGTTCGAGCTGACGTTTGGAACAGGCCTTTTGGAACCAGTTGTTGGCGATTGGTGTGGCAACCTGCGGCGTAGACCGTGCCAATGGTGAAATTGACTGGGAAGACTGGGTTATGGAGGAGTCACTCACGAGGTTAGTAGATTGATTCTGCAGAAAATGCTTACTAATAACTTCATGCAGGATAGCGTGCGTGTGGTTTATTGTTGCACAAATAAGTTGCGTCAAGGTCGGCATTGACTGCAGTGTTTTGGAGGTCTGGGACACCCTTCGACTTCCGTGTCACAAAGCACAATGGGCCGCTACCACACTTGAAGATTGGAAGGAGGAAACTGATGCGCTTCAATATCTGCACAGCCGCGGCAAGCCGCCTACGAATTTCGCGGAGCTATACCAACTGAGCCGAGGAACGAATGGAATGGCCGGGTCGGATAGACTTGACTCTTGGAACGCTGGAGTAGACAACATTGGGGTTCTATTGAATGTGGTCGTCAACATGTTGTAATATGTTTGTCATTGTTACTTGATAATTCCTAACTACACCTGACAAGCTTCCCTTCCAATCGTGCTCGAATATGCGCGCACTGCAAGAAATAATGGAATTACCATAGCTCCATTACCAAGGGATGCTACCGTCTTTGTTAGAGAAGGTTCCGGTAGGGCCTCCCGGGGCTGAGGTTGCAAGCTCGACAATTCTTTGGGCCCCAACATCGACCGATGTACCTCCCTCCATGTAACCGTTCATCCTGGTCTTAACAAGACCTGGGCACACAGCGTTCGAAACACCACCGTAGGGCTTCAGAATGCGGGCGTAGTTGATCGCAAGCATATTGACAGCCGCCTTACTGGCATCGTAAGCCTTGTAGTCGGAGTGGTAAAATGGGGTACTGTCATCGCCTGAGACTTCAAGCGAACCCATCGTCGAAGAAACGAAGATAACGCGTGGATGATCGCTCTTTTGAAGGAGCGGAAGAGCAGCCTCGGTCAAAGCGGCTGTTCCAAAGACATTTGTGTTAAAGGTTTTGGAGAAGAGTTCGCGAGTAGAGGAGATTTGTCCGTCGAGGAGAACGCCGGCGTTGTTGACGAGAACATCCAGCTTTCCATGGGCTTTTGTGATTTCGTCGATAGCCTTTGCAATGGATTCATCAGAGCTGATGTCCAGCTGAACGGCAGAAACAGAGTGCCCTTCTTGCTTGAGGGTGTCTGCGACCTTGTTGCCAGAATCGAGGCTGCGGGATCCGATAATGACATGGAAATCGGGGGTCTTGGCCAGCTGGCGAACAGCGGCCTCGCCGATACCAGTGTTTCCGCCTGTGACAAGAGCAACAACCATTTTGACTAAAAGTTTTATTGAAGGTAGGTGTAAAGAAGTGGTGATGACGGTAGTTCAAGATGTGTTTGATGTGTTTGGGATGCTCTATTGCCAACAGGCGCTCCCGAGTCCTTTTATCTCTTTTTTTGACCCTCAATTTGACTGTAAGAAACGTCTTGTCATTTTGCCACAATGCTTCTGATTACAAATGGAAGAAACTGAATATGCAATTGTAGGCCAAATTCGCCGTGGAAACTGCGTTTCTATTACAGTGCCGGCGAAGTTAGTACGAATAAGTGGGGTAAATCCCGGGCCACGGCCACTTTCGCCGGTACTAAATTGCTTGCGCGGCGGTCAGACGCAATGAATTGCCGGTCGACCTCCGCGGAACTCAGATTAAATAATCAACTAAAGAACACAGGCAATACTTGTAAATTTGGTTGCTATGAGCCAAAGCTTTGGTATTTCTAAGAGGACACATCCTTTAGAGGTCTTGTGCTTTGTGTCCAAGAAAACTACGAGTTTTGCGGACATGTGACCCCAAGTGCCAATTTATCATAGGCGCTCAACCAACATCTGACGATGGATAGCCTGGCTGGCTGGTCATACATCATTCGGCGGCGATATGTCTCGATAATTTTGTACACTTAATTAATCTGAATTCGAGTATGTTTTCGTCTTTCACTTCATAAATACTAGTACCTTCTTGATTAAAGCGCTAAAAGATGACAGATGTATGTGTGAGATTTCTGCAGGTTTACAGATTGGCCCCTAAGAAGTTTCGCCAAATACGCACCTCCCACATGTCCTTCCTGAGTTTTCAAACCTCTAGAAAACGGTCAACGTTACCTACGGAAAGGTGTGGAGAGTGTTCACAACAAAACTCGTGTAAGGCAAATTACCGCGTTAGGTGCTGGAACCTGCCTTTTGAGGAGACCAAATTGGCCCAACTGTTTTGGGCTTAGCCAGCCGACAACACTCATGACTGCACAATATCGAATAAGGTTTAGACTAAGGAAGCTGTCGAGAATGCTGAACATGCTGGTGTTTTTATTTGCAGACTCACATGCCTTATCTTTTTGAGCGATCTTAAAGCGGGGTATGTCAAGAGATATCGCTAGGGCTTGAATCACAGATTATTTGTATACACTCATTCTCGGTAACCATATCTACACTGTCCAACTCAGTGCTTCGCATCTAATCGTGACGTTGCCGGAAAAGTCATTTCAAAGAACGAGCCATCTATCAGCCACTCAAATCAAGGAAACAATCAGGGAGCTGCTGACATGATAACTCACTACAGTGGACCACGATTCGGCTTGCCAGAGCGTATTAAAGGCGTTCCACTGCCAGCGATCCAAATTATAGCCCTTCTAGTTCTTGTTAATGCTATAGTGTGGGCGGCTTGCGCTGTCGTGTTGCACTTTAATCCTTCCCTGATCGGTACTGCTGCCCTGTCCTACACACTGGGACTGCGACACGCCCTCGACGCCGACCACATCGCAGCCATCGATCTTATGACGCGCCGGCTGATTGCTTCAGGCCAGCAGCCCGTCACCGTTGGCACATTCTTTAGCCTTGGTCACTCCACCATTGTCATTATCACTTGCATTGTGGTTGCCGCGACATCAGGCGCTCTGCGTGACCGCTTTGATAACTTCTCCCACGTCGGCGGCATTATTGGCACCAGTGTTAGTGCTGCATTCCTTCTTCTTCTGTGCATAGGCAACGGCTGGGTTCTATACCGTCTGGTGGTGCGGCTGCGGCAGGTCTTGCGCCCCTCCGAACCGCACCTAGCCAGAGAGGATGGTGAAGGCGAAGATGCTTTTGCAGCGCATAATTTGCAGCTAGAAGGCGCTGGCTTCATGGCGAATCTGCTCCGGAAAGTGTTCCGGATTATCGACCGCCCGTGGAAGATGTACCCATTAGGGATACTGTTTGGCTTAGGATTCGACACGTAAGTAGACAATCCGACTTTATACCAGGTGCAGCGGCATCAAAAAGGGAAGCTAAAGCAAGAAACAGGAGTTCAGAGATAGCAATAATCGGCATTGCTAGCATCCAGGGAGCACGAAATACGAGCTTATGGGTGATACTCATCTTCCCACTATTATTCACAGGTATTTACCCCTTTGAGCGCTAGATTAGGAGCAGGCTATTTAAAAGGGAGCTTTTGCTAACACCGGTCACTATAGCTGGAATGTGTCTCCTTGATACTACGGACGGCGCGCTTATGATGGCGCTTTATACTAATAAGGCTTTTGCCCGGGACACTGTGGCAATCTTATATTATTCCATCGTTCTCACAGGCATCACAGTAGTCGTGTCTGCATTCATTGGAATCATCCAGATTCTCTCGTTGGTGCAAAATGTGGCCGAGCCGAGTGGTAACTTTTGGGACGGTGTCAGTGCTATCAGCGACAATTACGATGTGATTGGCGGTAGCATCTGCGGCCTGTTTCTGATCGTTGGCATTGCTTCTGTCGTCATCTACCGTCCCTGGCGACGTCGTGTAGAACGCCGTCGAGCCCAACAGTTCCCTTCGTCCAACTCGCAAGACGTTGCCATTCCAACTGGACGGTTGTGTTCTACTCCGGCACAGGAAACGGAGCCTGAAATACCGGAATTGCTTCGACTTGACTCAAAGTGAAGGCAACTTTGGTTCAGTCGGATGGAAGGTCCTTTTTGGGGGGTAGAGGCTATTTGGGGGTGTACTAATGATTCTCGTGTTTAATTTGCAAGCTCTGGTCGCTTGTGCGAAGCTACATATGGAAGATTGTAGGCATTTGTTTCTGTTCTAATCATTAATTTGTGTTCGTATGACACCCTTGAAGTGCTGCAATCACTCAGCTTTGTCCCATACCCGACCGATGCTTTTGGTATGCGAGTTAGGGAAAAGTTGGCCCCCGGATTCAGAGAAAAGTGGTCAAAGGGCTTCTGTGGTCACTTGGCCCATGGACGACGCTATCTCCATTACGTTGCCGCTCAGTCCTTCTCCTCGGGCAACCCGGCGGGCTTCTGCAAGTTTTTGACGGTCTTGGTCTCAGTTTCGATAGCCCCGAAGGCCAACCTTCATGGCCGAGAGGCCCTCAGTAACGCACATCGTGCTGTGCCGACCCTCCCACAGGGGGTAGATGCCGACGGCGATGACGTTGCAGAACAGCCAGATAATGCCGACGGCGACCGAGCCAGTAAAGAAGAGCTTGGGAAAGACGCAGGCAAAGCCGTATATGGGCATGGGTTGAGCATTGGAAAGTCCGGGGTGTGTACCAGATCCTCTGGTGGTGCCTTTCGATCTATTCCCATGTGACTGTCACATTTGAAGGTCTCGTCCATGTATTGTCTTGCCGGCGACCCTCTGATGCAAGCCATGAAGAACAGGTAAATGATAAGATAAGCTACAAGAGGCGAAGAGCATCGCTTTTGCTTATGAGACTGGCCGACGGCATGAGGACTTTTGCTCTCAAGAAAACCATCATGTTGTAGTCATTCGCGGGTGTGGCCGCCGGCAATGCGCGCAATTCGTCTGACTGTGTGACTGCCCCAGACCCGCCGGCCCCACAATGAATGAGCACGGCTTTGCGCCGCCGGCCAACACGGGGCACACCCTGGAGGAATGGGGTCTGAAAGCCCTGCAGCACCGTGAGGCGCGAAGAAGCGCGCAGCCATCGTATCGCCCAATGAGACTGCCCTAGGCCTTATCTGCATCTAGGTAGGGTAGATACGGAAACTTCATGCCGACTTCAATGTCTATCATAGTATGCGCCGAAATGGGGGGACTCATTCATTAACTAACAAAGACGAAAACTGATATGTATTAAGATCTTTGGAGCGCTGGACCCCTTGGCAACTTCGAGCTCTTGTATATGTAGGAGAGCTGGTCAGCTAGGTTTCCCCCTAGGCCGGTGCAAAGCAGGATCACAAATCGGACCGCAAGAAAGTCTACAAGACAATCCCTGATTAATTTCATTATCATTTGTTAAGACCTATATTTCTACAAGGTTTGCAACCTTCTCAGGTAGACAGACTAGCAGTTGCAGTTTTGACTACGCAGTGCCACCTTCAACTGCCATGGAAGGTTAGTACAATTGATTCCTTTGCAACTAAACCTCACTAACACGAAGTGACAGAGGTCCGAACGGCGATCCCGGTGGAGAGAATCCCCGAGTTCCCATTGACGATTCCCGAATGGGTGACATCACAATCTTCGAGTGATGGCCTCTCCCGCCTCTTGACTCTTGTTGATTTCATCAAAGCGTCCGGCTCCAACGCCTGGATTTACGTGGCGACACACACACAAATCACCTCCCAATGGAGCCAGTTAATGGAACTGCAGACTAGAGGGTGCTCATTACCGCTGTTTGGCGTGCCCTTTGCCGCCAAAGATAATATTGATGTCGCTGGGTGGCCCACAACGGCCGCTTGCCCAGCGTATGCGGCCTTCCGAGGCGCAGTCGCCGAAGATGCACCCGTCATTGCGCGCCTCAGGGCCGCGGGCGCCATTGTAGTCGGGAAAACAAACTTGGATCAGTTCGCTACAGGACTGGTGGGCACGCGCAGCCCTTTCGGCGCCGTCTCCAACGCCTTCGACCCGGCACGGGTCAGCGGTGGCTCCAGCTCGGGCAGCGGCGTCGTCGTCAGCAAGGGAATCGTCCCGTTCTCGCTCGGTACTGACACTGCTGGCTCAGGTCGTGTCCCTGCCGGCCTGAACAACATCGTCGGCCTTAAACCTACACGCGGTGCGCTGAGTGCCAGGGGCGTTGTGCCCGCGTGCCGCACGCTCGACTGTGTGTCCATCTTCGCACTCACCGTCGACGATGCCGCTACAGTCCTCCGCGCCGCAGAGGGTTACGATTTTGAAGATTCTTACTCGCGAGAACGCCCTGCAGAATTATCACTTAGCAAGCCAGTTGGATTCGGAAATAAAGCCCCTCGAGTCGCCATCTGCCAGAGCCCAAACTGGTTCGGCAGAGAACACCAGTCTGAGGCATATGAAGCGACACTCCAGGTAGCTCAAAACCTGGGGTGGAATCTTGAGCCAGTAGACTTTTCAGATCTTTTCAAGCTTGCTAGCTTCTTATATGAAGGCCCATGGGTCGGTGAGCGATATGCCGCAATCCGGGAGTTTATCCAGACTCATGGCGAGGACATGGATCCTGTGGTACACGGTATCATTAAGAAAGCGGAGAATTTCACCTCAGTGGATCTGTTCGAGAACGAATATCTACGCCAGGATCTTACTCGCAAGATCACAAGCCAGTTCGCCGATTACGATGCCCTGTTGGTTCCCACTACGCCAACCTTCCCTACGATGGAAGATTTAAAGCGTGAACCTGTGCGGGAAAATTCAATTCTAGGAACTTATACCAACTTCGTTAACTTCCTCGATTGGTCTGCAGTTGCGATACCTTCCGGATTTCGCGCGGATGGCCTGCCTTTTGGCATCACGCTTATTTCAGATAAGTGGGAGGAGCCCAAGCTGCTGGATTTCAGTCGAAGGATTCTCTCCATATCTGAGAGACCGCTAGGGGCCACCTACAAAATTTATAGAGAACCTCAACCGGAAGAAACCAGCAGCAGTGCGGCCAATGATGACACAATCTCTATAGCAGTTGTTGGAGCACATCTCCGAGGATTTCCCCTCAACAAGGATTTGGTCTCCAGAGGCGGAACCTTTGTGAGCACGACCAGAACCGCACCGAAATATCAGTTGTTTGCTCTTGCTTCCACCTCGTCGCCGATTCAGAAACCTGGTTTGAGGCGAACCGAGGATGCTGTCTTGGGCACGGCTATAGAAGTCGAGGTCTGGAGCCTTCCGCAGTCGCAGTTTGCCAGCTTCATTCAGACTGTGAAGTCGCCGCTCGGGATCGGCTCTTTGGAGCTAGAGTCTGGCGATTGGGCACATGGCTTCGTATGTGAGCCATACGGTATTGATGGTGCTGTCGATATCAGCCACTTCGGAGGCTGGCGTGGCTACACCAGCAGTTGCGCGTCGGCCAAAGACACGCCGCCGCCCACACCTCCGGTGCAACCGGAGCCCACAAATTCCCAACATTTGAATACTGAGAAGGATGTAACCACGTTTCCAAAACCAAACATCAAGCGAGTGTTGGTCGCCAACCGTGGCGAAATCGCCGTACGGCTCATCAAGACCCTGCACAGAATGGGCATTGAGTCTGTTGCCATCTACTCAGCTGATGATGCTTCCGCGGCCCACGTCAAGCAGGCGACGGTCGCCGTCCTTCTGGCGGGCAACAGCGTATCTGAGACGTACCTCAACGGTACCCAAATTCTGAAGCTAGCTGTCCAGGAGAATGCGGACGCGGTGATACCAGGATACGGCTTCCTTGCCGAGAACGCAGACTTCGCCAAGGCTGTTGAGGAGGAAGGATTGGTCTGGATAGGACCCACGCCGGCTCAGATGCGCGACCTGGGCATGAAGCACCGCGCTAGAGACATAGCTATGGAGGCCGGGGTGCCCGTCGTACCTGGAAGCGCTCTACTGGCGAGCGTCGAAGACACGGTCTCTGAAGCGAACCGTATCGGTTATCCAGTCATGCTAAAGAGCACGGCCGGTGGCGGCGGAATTGGACTGCGCATGTGCGAAGACGAGGCATCGCTCGTCGAGGGCTTCGACGCAGTGCAGCGCCTTGCAAAGGCCAGTTTTGGAGACGGAGCTGTCTTTCTCGAGCGCTTTGTGCAAAAGGCGCGGCATATCGAGGTCCAGGTCCTGGGAGATGGCCAAGGCAACGTCGTTTCTATTGGAGAGCGCGACTGCTCCCTGCAGAGGCGCAACCAGAAGGTCATCGAGGAGTCTCCAGCAGTGTTTGTCCCTGAGCACGTTCGCGAGAACATGTGGAAAGCTGCCGTGTCGCTGACTTCTGCGGTCAAGTACAGAAATGTGGGCACGGTCGAGTTCATATTTGACGTTGATAAAGAAGAGTTCTTCTTCTTGGAAGTCAACACACGCCTGCAAGTCGAGCATCCCGTGACAGAAGAAGTCTCAGGGTTGGACCTTGTGGAGTGCATGCTCAATGTAGCAAAGGGTGTCACGAAGTTGCCTGAATGCCGGATTAAAGGAGTTGCTATCGAGGCACGAATATATGCAGAGTGCCCTTTGCAGAACTTTCGTCCCTCTCCTGGGCGACTCTTGGATGTTGAGTTCCCTAGCAACATCAGGGTCGACACTTGGATAAAACCAAACACCGAACTATCGCCGTTCTATGATCCCTTAATTGCGAAAATCATAGCCGTGGCCGACACTAGAGAAGATGCAGTTTCCAAGATGCTCGAAGCCTTGCGAGCGACTATTATTACCGGGGTAGAGACCAATATCGAATATCTCACTCAAATCGTCAGCTCCAGAATGTTCAGCGATGGAAGCTTCCACACAAAGTCACTCGATGACTTTGTAGTAGAGAGCCAGGCCATTGAGATTTTAGAACCAGGAGCCTCGACGACAGTTCAGGATTATCCAGGCCGTGTGGGCTTCTGGCATATCGGAGTTCCTCCCTCAGGCCCCATGGATAACTATTCACTGAGGCTTGCCAACCGACTCTTGGGCAACCTTGGAGACGCTGCGGCGTTGGAATGCACTGCCCAAGGGCCTTCCATGCGCTTCCATTCCGATGCGGTAATTGCCGTAGCTGGAGCACCGGTCGACCTGCATATCGACGGACAGCCGGCAGATGCTCAAAAAGCGGTTTCGGTTAGGGCCGGGCAAAAACTCACCATCGGAACTATGAAAAACGGCTATCGCTGCTATTTGGCCATCCAAGGCGGATTTAACGTGCCGGAAGTGTTTGGCAGCAAGTCGACGTTTACTCTTGGCAAACTTGGTGGACACAATGGTCGGGCTCTTCAAGCTGGAGACATCCTGCGCTTCATTGGCCATGAAGGCGGAACCTTCAAATCTGAACTACCATATGAAGGCTTGACTGCCCCAGCTATTCCCCTTCCCACTCCTGAAGAGCCAGTCTGGAAACTGGCTGTAGTCCCTGGCCCGCACGGAAGTCCAGACTATTTCACTCCGGATAGCTTTTCTGATCTCTTCACGAGTGAGTGGACCACGCATTACAACAGCAATCGGCTGGGAATTCGTCTCACGGGACCCAATCCGGACTGGGCACGGGCGACCGGTGGTGAAGCAGGTCTACACCCATCCAACATTCACGACAACCCATACCCTATCGGAGGTGTTAGTTTCACCGGCGATGAGGCGGTGGTGTTGACATTCGATGGGCCGAGCCTAGGCGGGTTTGTGGTATTTGCCACAGTGATCAAAGCAGACCTTTGGAAACTTGGCCAATTGCGGCCCGGTGATCGCATCATGTTTTACCCCGTTACGGTTGACGAGGCTCTAAAGATGAACTCTTTACTTGATTCATCCATCGAAAAGCTAACCGCTTTAACGGTGTCGGATCCCTTCAACGAATCACCCGTCACTGATGTTCTCCCTCTCGTACCCAGCATATATCAGTTCGGTAACAAGGATTTCCAATTCAGTGCCCGACAGGCTGGAGACTGCGCGATGCTTCTCGAGTTTGGGAATTATGACGGCTTCAACCTCCGGCAGACAATTCGCATCGCCGATTTCATAGCACGCCACAAAACCCAGCCGATTCCAGGAGTTCAGGAGTTAACATCAGGAGTGAAAACATTGTTGGTCAACTATGCGTCAGACGTACAGCCATCTGTTATCCTTTCAGCCCTCACAGAACATGCCCAGGCTACATCTACCGATCTTTCACATAATTATCCATCTCGCAAGGTCCGCCTCCCGATTGCGTTCGATGACACAGTAAGCAAGGCTGCAGTCGCAAGATATGCCGCCACACTCCGTGCCTCGGCTCCATATCTTCCCAGCAACGTCGAATTTCTACAGAAACTCAACTTTCAAGACGGCGACGGTGATGTGGAAACGGTGATGAACTCGGCTACCTTTCTTGTCCTCGGCTTAGGCGACGTGTATCTAGGCTCACCATGCGCCATACCATTGGACCCGCGGCATAGATTGTTCGGAACGAAGTACAATCCTCCCCGTTCATTCACTCCGCTCGGATCCGTAGGCATCGGCGGCCAATACCTATGTATATATGCGGCGGACTCACCAGGTGGCTACCAGATTGTGGGCCGAACGATACCTATTTGGTCCAACGATAAAAACCGGCAAGTAAGTGAGTCGAATGAAGACCGAAGAACCCTACCTTGGCTCTTTGAATTGCTCGATCAGATCAGTTTCTATCCCGTCAGCGAAGAACAACTCGATGCTGCCATTGCTACTGGACAGACCGAGAAGCTGGTTATACTAGAAGAAGGGGCACTGAGTGTCACTGAATACGAGAAGTGGCTCGCGGAAAACCACCTTGACATCGAGGCAGTGGTTAAAGCTCGCGGAGAGACGATGCGTCAAGCAGATGTACACAAGGAGCTGCTCCAGCCGTACAAACCACCCAATGTTGCAACACGGACAGTTGATGAGACAGATATCGCCGAAGAAGACGGAGAAAGAGTGAAGGCACAGATTCCCGGGAGGTGTTTCAAGACTGAAGTTGTGGAAGGTGACTTTGTCGAGGAAGGAAGTACATTGGTAAGTCATCTTGCACCTCCTCTGTCACTAAGCAGCCCACAAGCTTGTGATAGATTTTCTGACGAAATGCTATGCAGATTTGGATTGAATCAAACAAGATGGAAATCAAAATCCCATCCCCGTTTAAAGGAGTTTGCTCTAAAGTTTTGGTCAAGGAAGGAGATCTACTTGGCCCACATGATGATGTAGTCCTCATCAAGCGAGCATAGTACCATTTTTGGCCGCTCTCACGGAAAATCGTACACATAATAAGATACCAACCCCGTGTAAAGAGAACCTCTGTAAGCTAGACCCTGGTTGTTAACGTCCCACACCCACTTCTGGGCACCCCCCACATTTGGGCACCCCATTTACACCAAAAACGCCGTTTTTCGAAATTCTATATTAAACTAACTACTATACTTACTAAGAAAAGAAAATATATATAAACTATGTTAAGTATAATTATAGCCATCTAATTTTTTATAAAGGTTTAAATATAATAATAGTTATAATATAGAAGTTTAAAACTAAAAGCTTTAAAATGTTAGTAGATACTAGTAACTTACTAGTATTCCTTAACATTAGAAAAATATATTTTCGCTCATATATACTTATTTAAAAAATCTAGGAAATTAATATTTATACTTATTAAAAGTATATAATTATATCTAAAAGAGATTTAAAAGTATTACTTTAGTAAATATAGTATAATTAAGGGTTAAAATTCTATAATAGAAACTTTTCTTAAGGGAAATTTTAAAATATTATTCTAAGCTTAAAGAATTTTTTACTAAGTATAAGAATATATAAATCTACTATATCTTACTTAAAAATTCTAATCATATTAGTTAAATATCTCTACCTATTTTATATATTAAGATATAGGCTAGGTAAATTAGTATTATAAATGTTAAACCTTGAATTTATAATACTTATTATCAATAATACTAGTATATAGCTACTTAAGTATTATAATTAAGTCTTAATCTATTTAACATATATTTATTCTCTTTAATAAGTAAAGTATTTAGTTTAATATAGAATTTCGAAAAACGGCGTTTTTGGTGTAAATGGGGTGCCCAAATGTGGGGGGTGCCCAGAAGTGGGTGTGGGACGTTAGTGTTACGACCCGTTGGACATGGTCGCCAACACGACCCCGCCTGGATCCCGGCGGCTAACGCAGGGCATATGTAACCCAGCCGGACAGGTGTAACCAGGGATCCTCGGAACGGAAGAACTATGGACAAGTCACGTGGCCTCGGGGATAACGCGGGGTAAGGACAACCCGGGCTGGATATGTTGGATATGTCAGATATCCAACCGATCCCCGGATATGTTGGATATGTCAAATATCCAACATAGCCAAGATAAGGAGGACCGTTCAGGACTTGTATATAGGATGGACTCGAGCCGGGCTCGAGGACAGACTTCCATAGCTCTTCAGCAATCAACTTTGTGATTACCCTAACCGGTACTTTCAGCTATACCTAAGTGACGACTACTCTACGACTCTTGTTGAGGCCTTGACTGATCACCAAGACCTTTGAAGATCTACGATCTATTCGACCAGGACCACGGAACGACTGTTACTACTCTCAATCCCTGGCTTACTGTTAACACAAACCCACTGTCAGTTAGCTAGCCGTAACACTTTGATTGCTCCTGTTCAGTAAGTCACCTTTTGAGAACTACTAAACAGTATAGACAAGATGTCTTCTCGCGCTTCTGCCAAATCACCTACTCCAGGATCCTCATCCTCTTCGCGCAACCAGCCTCAGAGCCTCGCGCAGGAGCCTGCTAACACTAAGGACTTCGACATGCCGGACCTCAAGTACGACTCCGATGGAGATAGCTCTTTCACCAAGGAAAGCTACGATAAGCTCCGACGCATAATCTAGAAACAAGAAGCCGAGACAAAAGACATGCAGAAAATCGTCAACGAAAACCGACAAGTAATAGAAAACCTTAACAAGCAACTCCAGCATGCTAGACAGGCCTATAAGAAGCTAGAAGAAGACATCAAGGGGGATGCCAACCTCCGGAAGATCTAGGAACTCCAGGGGGAAATCACCACCCTCCGGGCCGCCGCTAATATCGTCACCACGCCCGTCCACGGAGGACGACAAAAGCTTAAGCTCAGTGCGCCTGTCACCTACGACGGAACCCCCGGGACCCTTAAAAGATTCCTGATTTAGGTTAAAAATTACTAGAACTTTCACTATAGAGATTTTACTAACGAAACCGAAAAAGTAGTACACGCAGCTACCTACCTCCGAGGAAAGGCCCTCAAGTGGTTTAAACCAATCTAGGAAGAATACCTTAAATGCGAGACCCTCGACGAGTGTACCACCGAGACCCGCGACATCTACGCCAATTTTAAAGGATTCGAGGATGCGCTCAGGTCACTCTTCTAAGACCCCGACGAAAAGCGACAAGCCGAACGAGATCTAGCATAACTTAAGCAGACTAAGTCTGCTAAAGACTACTCCGCTAATTTCTAATAACTTAGCGTTCAACTCGACCTTACCGAGGAAACCAAGATCTTTATGTTCTATCAAGGACTAAAGGACGAAGTCAAGGACGAGATCATCAAGATTGATCGACCTGACGACTTTCTCTAGTACGCCGAACTCGCTATCAAAATCGACAACCGGCTTTTCGAACGACGAAAGGAAAGAGGCGAAAAACGATAAAACCCTAACTCAGGACGCAAGTACCAGTGGCAGCCTCAGCACCAGTTCAACAACCAGCGAAACGACAATAGACCCCGCAACAACTAGAACAACCCCCGACAAAGTACTGCCTATAGTCACTATAGTAGACTAATAGACCTTAGTGCTATATAGAGAAACGATAAAAAGAACGACAGTTGGAAGAAAGACAGACAGTGCTATAACTGCTAGAAGATTAGACACCTAGCATACGAATACAGGTTACCTAAGAAGGAACGCTTCCAACCGGTACTAGAGAAACGACAAGCGAGTATCACTACGAAGACGATCCCTCATAAACAACTTAATTAGACTACCTGCTTCGATGACAACTGCCATATCTACTCTAGCAGTAAGGAACATGCAGGATGGTACCCTTAGAAACCTTAAGAACGATCTGGTTACGACACTACCAACGTACCTAAACAGACCCTCGCTGCGGGATATAGAAGCAACAGCAAAATCGAGCGCAAGACAATCGAACGGCTCGACAGTATAAACGACAACAAGGAATTAGAACAAGACAATCAGCGAAGGCTAAGCCTCCTCTACGCAGGACGACAAGCCCACCTGCAGCGGATTCAACAGGACTTACAAAACCCTATGTGGCAACGACAACTCGGTGCGCTGGACGCACACATCGAACGACGACAACATGCACAAGGAGATCCCGCACGGATCCGCCAGATCAACCAAGAACTAGAAGAACAGGTCGAATCAGAAACGACCAAGAACACCCCCAACGACTCGGAAACACCTCGCGATGTTGCCTGCTAACATGCCTAACTGGAAGTCGCCTTTGAAGTCGCTTCAGTCGACGACACTAGCTCTAGAGAGGACTCTGACGAAGAAATACAGTGGTATTACTGCTACCAAGACTAGTGCCGAGTCTACTATATCAAGAAAGACGAAGCATGGAAGAAATAGCAAGAAAACGACGAACAAGGAACGGACGAGCAGTCAAAAAACTAGACTTGCCTACCGAAGACAAGGGACAACGACAGGCAGTCTAGACAAGGTCCCTATATAGCGTAACGACGCCTACGACATAACGACACGAGCATGTACAAGTCTAAATACAGCTTAACGGAAGAACAGCTACCGCCATGATCGACAGCGGAGCCTAAGGAAACTTTATATCACCAAGAACGGTGAATGAAAGAAAGATAACCTAGAAAAGAAAAGCAGCCGAAGACTGCTACGAACTTAGCACCGTTGAAGGAGAATAAGTCCAGTACGGCGGAGGACGTATTGCTATGGAGACAGCGCAACTCCCTTTGCAGATCCATGGCCGGAATGAGCGACTGAACTTCGATATTACGGAGATAGGAGACAAGTACGATGTCATCCTTGGAAGACCATGGTTATACGACAGTAACCCACGGATAGATTGGAGAACAGGCCAACTCCATTAGGACCAGGATTCAGTCACTGAGAAGCAACCACGGAACGGTGCCTCAAACGAACCTCTCAAGACTCCTGAAGCGAAGAGATTTCTAGCATACCTACGGATCAAGGATGCAAACGCCAGGACGTTATCAGCAACAGACATCGGCAAGGAAGACCGACTTCTGTCTATCCCAGAAGAATACCGGCAATACCAGAAGCTATTCGCCGAAGAACTCGAGACCGGACTCCCGGAACACAGCAACTACGACCACGAGATACCCCTTAAGGAAGGGAAGGAGCCAAAGCTAGAAGCAATCTACGGACTCAACTAGAAAGAAATGGAAGCACTCGACGCTTACCTCGAAGAAAATCTATAGAAGGGATACATCAGACCCTCCACATCACCAGCAGGATACCCAATCCTGTTCGTACCAAAAAAGAACGGCAAACTACGACTCTGCGTCGACTACCGGAAACTCAACGACATTACGATCAAGAACTGCTACCCACTACCGCTCATCTCCGAATTACGAGATCTACTGCACGGAGCCCAGTGGTTTACAGCACTCGACCTAAAAGGAGCCTATAACCTGATCCGGATGAAATCAGGTGAAGAATGGAAGACAGCGTTTCGAACACGCCGAGGACATTACGAGTACCTTGTGATGCCCTTCGGACTTACCAACGCACCCGCGACATTCCAGACGATGATCAACCACGTCTTACGAGAATACCTCGATATGTTCGTCGTAGTTTATCTCGACGACATCCTAATCTTCTCCAAGACTCTGGAAGACTACAAAAAGCACGTACATCAAGTGCTACGGAAACTACAAGACGCCAAACTCCTAGTGGAACTAGAAAAAAGCAAATTCCACACCCAAGAAGTCGAATTCCTAGGCTTTACGATAGCCCCTGGAATCCTCAAGATGTCTAAAGACAAAGTCGCAGCAGTACGAGACTGGCCAACACCACAAAACGTCAAGGATGTGCAATCCTTCATCGGATATGTGAACTATTACCGACGATTCCTAGAAGGATACTTAGACAAAAACGACCCCCTCACGAGACTTTCGAAGAAAGATATCCCATGGCAATAGGAAAAGGAACAAGACCAAGCTTTTAACGAGATCAAACGACAAGTCACATCGGAACCAATACTTGTTATACTAAACCCCGAGAAACCATTCGAAGTCGAGACCGACTCCTCAGACTACGCTATAGGAGGACAACTAGGCTAACGAGACGACGAAGGACGACTATACCCTTACGCCTTCTTCTCACGCAAGTTACACGGCCCAGAACTCAACTACCAGATACACGACAAGGAACTTATAGCAATTATCAAGGCATTCAAAGAATGGAGACCGCAACTCTCAGGAACCAAGTACGAGGTCAAAGTATACACCGACCACAAGAATCTCGCACACTTCACCACATCGAAAGATCTCAACAAACGACAAATTCGATAGTCCGAATTCTTATCAGAATTCAATTTCAGAATCGTCTACCGGAAAGGCAAAGAGAACGGCAGGGCCGACGCCCTCAGCCGAAGACCGGACCATAAGGTCCAGGTACCTAAGGAAACCCGAGTTATCCTCAAAACAGACAAAAACGGAGACCTTGTGCCAGCAGCCAGACTCTTAATGATGGCCAGAAGAGACAGTACCAGCACGCCTGGAAGGATGTCTCCTGAAGCCATTAGGGAGATACACTCCGCACCCGCACACGGTCACCAAGGCGTAACTAAGACATAGAAACGCATCCGCCAACACTACGACAAAACAGCTACACGACAAGAAGTATCTTTAGCGATTAAGGACTGTAAGGTTTATGCGAAAAGCAAACCTAGCCGATATCAGCCTTATGGAAAGATACAGCCGCTCCCAGTGCCGCAAACCGCATAGGAATCCATCTCGCTGGACTTCGTCACTAAGTTACCTAAGTCCCGTGAACCGATGACCAACGTCCACTACGACAGTATCCTCGTCATCGTCGACAGACTCACAAAGTATTCGTACTTCATCCCGTACATGGAGTCAAGCACTGCAGAAGACCTCGCCTACAAGTTTCTGCAGGTGATCGTAAGCCAACACGGAATACCGAAGGAAATCGTATCCGACAGAGACAAGCTGTTCACTTCCAAGTTTTGGAGATCCCTGATCTCGCAGCTAGGATCTAACCACAAGATGTCCACCGCTTTCCATCCGCAAACCGATGGCCAGACAGAACGAATCAATCAGATCATAGAAACCTACCTACGCTGCTACGTCAACTATTAGCAAAACAACTAGGTCCAACTACTACCTATAGCCCAGTTCGCTTACAACAGCGCAGTAGGAGAAAGTACAAAAGAATCACTATTCTACTTAAACTACGGATTTAACCCGACAGCCTATAGACAACCCCGACAAGGCCTAACAGCTCTAAAAGCTGTGGCAGATATTAACAAACTCAAGGAAATCCAACGAGATCTTCCCAGAGACCTTGAATTTGTGCGCGAACGCATGCGTAAATACGCTGACAAGACAAGAGTTAAGGGACCAACTCTGAAGGAGGGGGATAGTGTATACCTTCTCCGCCGCAATATCAAAACAAAACGACCAAGCGATAAGTTGGACTTCAAGAAACTTGGACCCTTTGAAATTACGAAGAAGGTATCCAACGTCAACTTTAAACTCGCACTACCCGACAGCATGAAGTGTCATCCAGTCTTTCACATTTCACTTCTCGAATCAGCACCAAAGGGATCGTACACTACGGACTATATCGAAGTAGATCCCGAACAAGAATACGAAGTCGAACGGATAATCGATTACATCGAAGAACAAAAAAGTATCCGCTACCTTGTCAAGTGGAAAGGATACGGACACGAAGACAACACATGGGAACCACCTCAGAGCCTCGAAAACGCACAGGAAGAACTCGGACGTTACTAGAGATAGCAAGAACAAGAACAACAAAGACAAGCACTAGTACGAATCGAGAAATAAACGCCAAAAAATCAATTTCGACTACGACAACCACAACCCATCATCCGTCCACCACGATCAAACAAGCCACGGGATAAACACCCTCTTATTCGTTTAGGAACCCCAGAGCCACCTAAAGGAACCCACTAAGGGCCTCTAACACCCCTAGGAGACGCTTCAGGAGTACTCCGCCTCTCAACAACCGACCCTGAATCCAACAAACCAAACTCAGCCAACAAGGATGGCGACAAAGCGACATCCGGGTACAGGGTATCCCAATCCGCTGTGAACTCTACCGGCAGACGAGGCGAATCAGCCGAAGGACGAACCGGTTCTACCCGACGCTGCTCTGCCTCTGCCTCCTCTCTCTCAACACGCTCTAACTCCTCCACACTGTCGATACCACGGCGCACCGCGCGCATCATCTTTTCAAACCACATCTTTTTCTGCTTTCGAAGACGCTCTACTTTGGCGTCCAGAGCACGACGCTCCTCTTCTGCCTTCTCCAAAGCATCCTCAAGCTTCTGATGCTGATCACCAATCCGACGAAGTTGCTGGGCACTGAGACCCTGAAGGTCGCAGTAAGACTTGCCGCTACGAACGCATTCGGCGCATCGAGAGGAATCAGAAAGAGAAGCTTCGCACGACGAAAAACCCTTTACCTCACAGGAGGAACAAACAGGCATGACGGTACGATTGCCCAAGATAAGACTCAAGAGGGAATCGCGCTGCTTTGTCTTTTCCGCACGAGAATCGAACGATCGAACGACCTTTCGTTTTTTGACGCGACCTGACATGATGTGAGCATCATTAAAGGAAGCAAGTTGGGCGCCCTCCTACCTGAGGGTAGACGACCTACTTAAGCTGGTCTTGAGGACAAGACCCTTGGAGAGGAGACCTGATGTTACGACCCGTTGGACATGGTCGCCAACACGACCCCGCCTGGATCCCGGCGGCTAACGCAGGGCATATGTAACCCAGCCGGACAGGTGTAACCAGGGATCCTCGGAACGGAAGAACTATGGACAAGTCACGTGGCCTCGGGGATAACGCGGGGTAAGGACAACCCGGGCTGGATATGTTGGATATGTCAGATATCCAACCGATCCCCGGATATGTTGGATATGTCAAATATCCAACCGATCCCCGGATATGTTGGATATGTCAAATATCCAACATAGCCAAGATAAGGAGGACCGTTCAGGACTTGTATATAGGATGGACTCGAGCCGGGCTCGAGGACAGACTTCCATAGCTCTTCAGCAATCAACTTTGTGATTACCCTAACCGGTACTTTCAGCTATACCTAAGTGACGACTACTCTACGACTCTTGTTGAGGCCTTGACTGATCACCAAGACCTTTGAAGATCTACGATCTATTCGACCAGGACCACGGAACGACTGTTACTACTCTCAATCCCTGGCTTACTGTTAACACAAACCCACTGTCAGTTAGCTGGCCGTAACACTTAGGGCAAAGGCCTAATTAAAGGTCCTCCATCGTAGCCATTAGGTTTCTGATGTCAATTGGCATTTACACATAGGCGCTTATAACGAGATAATGATACACCTGTTCACCAAGATACGTAAACATTGGCGGATGCGTTACATAATTGGTTGCTAATACACAAGGCGTAAAGCGTAATCGCTCCAGGAAATCTTGTCGTGTCACCATGGAGGAGAGAGGTAGGCAATGCTTGGGAATACTAGTGGTCTCTCCTGGAGACATAGTACGTAGGAAGATAGGGTTAATTATTTATTATGGTACTACGAATGTTTTGTGAAAGCCCAAAAGTCCGGACTGACAGACAGTTCCATCTAAAGATGCCATAATTAGCTGTTCACCAGAGCGTTATTTGGGTCAATTTACCGCACTAATTTTCATCTGAATGCATCTCAGTGCTGTTTTGAACCTGCTCAGCCCAGGCCGGGCTGCCTGTGGTATAGACTTAAAGTAGCAGTTACGAAGGCTCGTTCGATTAAACCACGCCCTTGATGTAAAAGAAAGGAGGTTTTCAGCTCACCTTCCTGGTTATGTAAATATGTATTGCAAATGAAAATGTATGGATCGCATCAATATTGAAGATACTTGGTTTTTTGGCCGAGAAGTCCGTGAAGAGAGGGCATAAGGTCGCATGGGAGTACGCGGAGTTTATTTTAATGCATTCCGAAATAAATTCTCGAACGATAGAAACATGGGAGTTGTTGGAAACCTCAATTTTCTGATTGGGGCTTTTTGCTAGCAATCCGATTTACCACTATGGTTATTTTGAAAGGACGAACCGACCGTCAAATGCAAAAGAATAAGATCACCAAAGGGTCCGATGCCAATTTGTCACACGTCCGTGTCTATAGTGCCAGTTTGGTTACATTCCAAAGACACCAGCGAAAAAATGCAACGTAAGCAGACATGGCACGGATGCTCAGAAGAGCTGTGGAAAATTGCTCTTTCCTATCGATCCAAATGAATGTGAACAGATATCCTAGGCTGATGTTGCTTTAGACATTGGCACGACCGTAACCCGACCCTCTCATGACCAACAGGTACTCATCTGCGGTTCACTAAAAGGACCCACCACGGATTGAAGACACTTTCTCATCTGCTTCAACCAAGCGATGTAGATCACCAACAGTGCATGGTTTGTTCTCCATCCATGTCGATGTCGACCATTGTCTTGCCCCTTAAGACAAAAGTTGTTTAGCCTGAAGATCGGCGTTTTCTGCATAATTCTCCGGAAAGCTTACCAGAGCCCAAGATAGTTATAATGTCTCTTTTCCTTCGGAATGGTGTATGTAACAATGGGCCTGAGGATCATACATCCATCCGAGCCATGTTCAAACTACAAGAGACTGTTCCATCTGAATACTGGCCAGACGGGTGACTTTTCAGGCTACGCGATTTCTGATGAAGCCACCCTCGCGATGCCTAAGTAGTTGATGCTAAACCGCGTTGTCTGTTTTGGACGCTTACTCTTCAGCAGAGTCTGGAAATATTGACAAATCATCATTGCCACCGATGGTGCGACAGGTATTGATGCACCGCAAGTTATGTGAGACGTTTACGCAAAGCCCGTGGCTATTCTCAAGTATGAAGGTTAGAGATGTGGATTCAGTTTTAGGCACAGGCCTTTCCGTGGTAAGTGAATTTGTCAGGCAAATCAGATGAACTGGCTTTTTTAGTGACACAGTTGAGTGGCATCCTCATCAAGGTCAGTGCGATACACTTAGCTGTTACTTCAGCCTAGCTGAGCCTCCGCTTCGATCCCGCCGGGTTAGGACCTAGATGTTGATGGGGCGCACAGACGGAGGGGGTCTCTGAAAACTTCTTTGTAGCCTCCGGTCAAACGAATTGCGAGACGTTTAGAAGACACAGTGAATGTATTTGAGAATATCAAGTCCACGTGTGCGGCGTGCAATACCTCGGCTTGAAGCGAGCTGACGTTCGGTTCTCATTGACCATGATTTCCAACTGCATGCATGCAGAAACAAGACTTGCGGATCTATAAATGCCAAGCGCTCCCTATCGGCTTTGGTCGTTCTCTGAATACATATTTGGATCAATCAAACGAATCTTAGAATTGATCAGAAGGACCCTCTTACGAGACTCTAGATCAGTAATATCATTACTATGCGTGGATTCGCCGTCGTCGCTTCCGCCCTGTGCGTGAGCTACGTCTCCGCACAAGGAGCCGTTTGTTTCGACGACTTGGACTGTCTGCTTTCTGTATGGCTCTGATTAAATCTCCTACTGGAAGAAATGAAATTACTGACCTATTACATCAGGGTGGACAAAATGCCAAGTGCACGAGGGCACAGCAAGGAGCAATCACCGGGTACGTCAAGACTCCCCTGGCTCTGCACTAGCCGGCATCTGTATATGTCACTTAGATCTTGACGACACATACTAATTCGCTTATAGAACGTGTTCAGGTGGACAAGCTGCCGCTGCACCAGCAGCAGGAGCGGCCAAGGGCAAGGGCACGAACACGGCTGCAGCAGATCCTATCGGCGCGCTTCTTGGTGGACTCACAGGGGCCAAAGCCAAAGGCAAGACTGCTGGTGCTGCTGCTCCAGCGAAGGGGAAGACCACGCCTGCTCTCGGCGCTAGACAAGCTGCCGCCGCTCCGGCTGCATCAGCTGCACCTGCTGCGGACCCGATCGGTGCAGTTCTAGGAACAGCTGCCGGCGTGCTCAAGGGCAAGGGAGGCCAGCCAGCTGGTGCTGCAGCCCCAGCCGGCGCACAAGCCGCTGATCCTATTGGCGCAGTTCTTGGAACGGCGGGCGGTCTTTTGAAGGGCAAAGGCCAACCAGCCAATGCCGCAGCGCCAGCCGGTAATGCGGCCGCTAACCCTCTTAATGATGTCCTCGGTGCTGCCGCCGGTGTCCTTAAGAAGAAGGGAGCGGCTACCCCTGCTGCTGCTGCTCCTGCTGCCGGGGCCGCCTCTCCTAAGCCTAAGCCTGCACCAGCTGCACCTGCCGCCCCTGCCGGATCAAAGCCGGCTGCTGCCCCTGCGGCCCCGGCTGCTGGTAAGCCGGCTCCACCTCCACCCGCAGCCGCTGCCCCTCCCGCCGCCCCCGCAGCTGGCAAGCCCGCTCCTGCCGCCCCTGCAGCCGGTAAGCCCGCTCCGGCAGCCCCGGCAGCCGGCATACCCGCTCCTCCACCCGCCGCTGCTCCCGCTGCTCCTGCTGGCGGAAAACCTGCTGCTGCTCCTCCTGCCGCCCCACCTGCTGCTGCTCCGGCAGCCCCGGCAGCTGGCAAACCTGCTCCTCCTGCCGCCGCTGCCCCTCCTGCTCCTGCTGGGGGAAAGCCTGCTGCTGCTCCCGCAGCGCCTCCTGCATCACCTCCAGCTGCGGCACCTGCAGGGAAACTTATGCGCGTTCGTTTTTAAACGGTTGCAATCAATTTTTGCTTGTTATTCTCATGTTATTCCCGGCGATATCGGCCGCTTGAACGCACTGGTGTGAAGAAGCAGCAATTTGGAGTCGGTGTTGACTATTTGAACTTTGTTACATCAAATCTATATTCATACTACAATTTTTTAAACAAACAATGTCTTCAAAACTAGAGTTATGTAACGGTAATGTCTTAAGTAGATTATTTTCCAGGTATCTTCGTCAAGACGCCATTTCGCTTCGTGTCTGAATCCGTCCTGCAATCATACTGATGAGGGAGGAAAATAAAGCTTCACATATTGGTATGAAGAGTGCTGCCATCTCATCTTAACGAACTGTTTTCCTAACACTCTCAAACTGAACACAGTTTCGACATTCTTCAAATTTTCGTTCGTAGAAATGGAGTGTGAATGTGACTTTGTGGTTATTTTGTAGGAACATTGGCGCCTGTGGAAGCGGAATTCCTATACGAAAAGCCTATCATAGCATGGGTCATGACACATCTGAGCTGCCTACATATCAACTTACATCACCGTGAAGTCTTTACTTAATAGGAGTTGTGGTGTCATTAAGTCGTAGCTCGAGCGTAACACTGGCGATGCGTTACTGATATTGACGTCATCAATCTTGCAGCCCACACGCACATATATCTGTTGTGCGGTATACGTATTTTCATCAAAAGCATTGAAAAGAAAGGAAGACTACAATTATTCGACTCTGGTTCAAACATTGGATATAAGGACTGCGAAATTTTCAAATATGACGCTCCGTACGATTGCTCTTTTTGGAGCAAACGGTCAAGTCGGCGATTCCATTCTCCGGGGGCTGCTTGCCGAAGACGACCACCAATTCAAGATCCATGCTTTTATTCCTAAGGGGTTTGAGTTGCAGCATGGACAGTCACATTCAAAGGTTTTCATTCATGAGTTTGATCTTGAGACCTTGAGCAAAGACAAACTTGCAACCGAACTAAAAGATGTCGATGCTGTAATTAGCGCTTTGAACGGAAAAGCTCTCGATGCACAGCCAACGATCCAAGATGCAGCGGCAGCCGCGGGCGTAGCGAGGTTTTATCCTAGCGAATTTGGCATGCACAATGTCTATCGAAAGCCAGATGATCCTTGGGGATACGTACATCCGGTCAGTATTGCTCAGGACTTTCACCAACTGCACCACTAACGTGTATGATAGTTGTGGGATAGCAAACAACAGTGAGAAACCTAATCGGCTTCGATGCAGGCCATCGGTACTAAGATGTTTTTTCTAGGTCTATTGACAAAGCAATTTTCCATCCAGCTGTGTTAGAAGGGAAAATGACTTACACCGTAGTTGGTGCTGGAGACTTCTACAATCAGGACAGGGAGAAGGTATGGTGCCCGTGGACGCAGCGTGACGTGGAAAAATACGACCTTCACATAATTGGCGACCCCGACGCTAAGGCGGATTTTACACATCTCGACGACTTTGGCAAATACATTGTCGCCACGCTGGTCAATTCTGGAAAATCCAAAAACCAATTTTTGAATTTCACGAGTGACACTATCTCGTACAACAAAATTGCTGAGCTACTAGAGAAGTATAGCGGAAAGAAGGTCAACAAAAACGTCATGTCGCAGGATGAAATGCACGAGATTATCAAAAGTCCATCAAAGGCGCCCGAAGAGATGACCGAGAGCGCCTTCCCGGTAGACTTTTGGTTTCTGGTAAAGGGTCTGCAAGGCCAGGGAAGCTTTCGCCGCCCGCCAGGCCAAATCCATAATCATCTCTTTACTTACATAAAGCCCACCACGTTCGAAAGCTATTTAAAAGAACGTTTTGTTAGAGAGAAAACTGTCTGAACTATTAAAGTTAGCTCATAATTAGACGGTCAAACAGAAACCCCTTAATATGGGTTGAAAATAAAATCATCAAAAAAGGTATTAGACATCATGCCATTTTTGAATGCGTATGTCACAGGTTGCACAGAGATTCACATTCCAAATGTGAATATAATTGTTTACGTGGGTAATGACATTAAAGCCGAGGTGCTAGTCTCTAGAAAACCGCTGTGAGGCTGACCGAAGTCTTGCTGTTTATTCTTCTCAGTTACAGCTTCCGAATTCATTTTGGCTGTATTTTAATTCAGTGTGAGCTTTAAAGCTACAAAATGGCATGTAAAAGGTTTAGAGTCTTACCATCCAGTATCACAGTGAGCCGGCGAACTGCCGCAGAAACCTCCGGACGAACAGCAATTGCCGTACGCGGTGCCCGTGCAGTTGAATCCATTTGTACCGCCGCAGGTGCCGTCTGGGGAAGGATCTCCTGGGCCTGGCGGGGGAGGAGAAGTGGAGTCGCATTCGCCGAAACCTTCTTGGCTATTGAGGTGTTAGTTTAAACGATGAGATTTAGACGTGCGTGGTTGTCCTTGACTTACCAGCCATCGCCGCAGAAAGCGCTTGAGTAACCACACAAGCCGTCTTTAGAGCAGCAGGCACCCCACGCGGGTGTACACACCCAGCCAGGAGTTCCGCTGCCACATGTGCCATCCTCTGAGAGGATGCCTGTTTGCCATGGCGGTACGGCATCAACTGTACTGCTCTGAGCTAGAACCCCTGAGAGAAAGAGCCCAAGCCCGAAGAGTGTCTTGGCTGTGTGCATGATGGCGGCTTATGATTGGGTTAATAGTCTTGAGGAGTTGTCGACGGATGTGCCTTGGCCAAGATTCGCTGCTCAGTTCATGGCGTTACCTGCTAGTTATATGTATGCGTTGGCAACACTTGGCATACTTCTCTTGAACGTCGAGTTCTAGCGCCTGCGCAGATCTTTCGTCCGGGCCCCTGAGTTCGCTTTACGTCTGTCATAGAAGCTCCATCAAGACTTTTCCGGCTCGGTCCGTCCAGCGGGCACCAAAGGATTCGTTTGCATACTGCCACCTGAATCGTTCTTGACCGCCGTACATCCCCACTTGACAAACATGCGTGTATGAAACCAGAAGGCCGCAGTACTTTGAAGGAGCCGAATATATCGGGAAACCCGGACTTCCCATGCTGGCTCCAGTATAAGTAGTGGGATGCGACAGATGATGTTAAATACGAAGAGTTTCTCTAAACTACAATTGGCTAGGTCGGACTCTATACAACCTTTCGCCCCTCCCGATAATTACCCGCTGCTAGTAGGTAATTTAAACTTCACATGGGCTCTGCACAATAGGCATCCGATGTGCCGCTAGCCCTACCGATGGTATCTGGGTGCCTAGATTTATAGTACTGGGGCACTGGGCGGGTCTCTTGAACAGTGATCAACTCTTTCATCCTGGTGCCTGGCTGTGGCGGGAGTTCTGTAAATCTCGAAACCTCCATAGCTTCACCTCATTTTGGTTGCAAGACTCTCATTCTTTCTCATATTATTGAATCGCTAGACATCCGAGAATGATATAAGTCACATTACCCCAGAAACGCAATTCTGCATGCATCTTCTGATTAAGGATCGGCCCGACTTGTGGTGCCCTGCATCGAACGACAATTAGAAAGAAAAGTACCGGAGTAGCTGCCATAAGTTGTCGAGAGTTCCAAATTCTATGGCGAAAGGGGCCGAGGCAAAGAAGACACGGAGTCTGGATGATCCACTGAGACCAACTTAGTGACATTACTGTAGCATGGGGGTGGGATATAAGCTTGCCATGGGATGGGGCCTAGTTGCATCTTAATGGTTCATGGTAATTACCGCGGACCTTAATGCTCTGTTCCACTTCTGCACAACAATCAGGCGACATTATTGGTCATTGTGTAATGAACTGGAATGACAAGGAAAAATTAAGACCAGGCAACCGATTGCTAGAAGCAAGGGACGGGACTTGAGACTCAAAGAGGTCCTGTTTTGCCGAGTCTAGAGGTGGCGAAGGATCTTTGCCATAAGTTCGAGTAAGTTTACTAGGTATTGAATCCTGCAACCCAGATAGTCGGTGTGGCAATATTCTTGGCTGTTCTTTACAAGAGCCCCGAAAGGCCCCGGTTTAGGACCTTGATAATTACAAAAGCTGATCAATTAAAATATACCGCATGTAATGCACTTCTCAACCAGATATTGCATAACATCGGTAAGTGGCCGAAGCCGGATTAAGGGCAGACAAGCTGTACTTCCAGTGTCCTCTGTTGGTCTTAACATATGATCGAGGGCCAATCTGGAGCACTGATTATTACTATCAGTCCGAAGTGAGTTGTAACCGTTCGCACTAGGAGTTGTGACACTTTACGACACCGGTGACAAACGTGATCGTAGAGTGGCAACGTCTTAGCCAATATCATCACGCAATCTTATATATGGTCGCCGGTGCTTCAACGTCGTAGTGTCTTGTCCAGGACCGCACCAGAAGGGAAACGGATCATTAAATTCGACAATTTAGCATTTACGTTGCGTCAACTCCAGGAGCCAGCAGGACCCTTTGGGCCATTGTTGGTCTTCTTCTGTTTTGTGCCTCATCTCCTCTTTCTACTCAGTTCAGCCACTCTCCATACCATCCACTTCAGCAGCGTCATTTTGCTAAAAATAAGTTGGCCACTCCCAGGATAACGCTTTTATGCCCTCTAAACGGGAGGCTGACTATCTTCGAGCTTTTAATTGGCAGGCCGCGACGTGCACAACATGCTTGCAAAGTGTGACAGCCTCTTGCGTGGCGATGATGGGTTTTGCATCGACGGCAACTGCTGCAGTAAGAACAACAGGTACGGACTTTTGAGCGGATGGCTCTCTTTCGCAGTGTAACGCGACGACCATGTGCAGAGAGTACATTAGGAGAGCTATCATGCGGTATGGCATGATGGTATATTACTCGGCAACTGGTTAGTGCGGCCTAAATAGCGTAACGTTGCTATTACTTGATACCTTGCCCTCTCTACCATTGAAGCACTCAAACGACGGAAGCGTGTTACCACAACGGCGACACTCTTCATAACACCTTATTATGCCAGGCCGGCTACGACTCATACGTCATTACTTGTACCCCATCTTGTGCAGAGAAATGCGATACTTCTAACGGACGTACCGCAGGCTACTAACTATCAATAATGGAATGTTCGTGACCAAGCTTGTAACAAATGTCACCCTCTCACCTCAATGCAACTGGATACACTCACCTGTCCTACTCATTTACATCCATCGATCTGTACCGCTATAGATCACCACTGCGGGTCCGACAACCTTGCCATAACGAGGGAATTCACCTGAAATATTTTTGATTTAGTCGAACTGTAACACTACAACAGCTTGTACGGCTTGATTAATAGTATGCCAGCGCCGGTTGGCAAGTGGAGCGATGTCTGCTCAACCAAGAAGCACTGCGCCGCCTTTATCAGTTCCTCCCAGGACCATATGAATGAATACGGTTTTCAGCGTGTGATTCTTGACTGGGAGTATCCAGGGGCACTGGAACATGGCGGCCGCAAGCTGGTCGACACGCACAACCAGACCCGCCTGTGCGAGAAATGTGCGCGGCATATGGTACAGCATACGATCTTAGTTTGACGCTTGCGCCAAATTACTAGTACTTTGGCTGGTTTCATGGCCATGTCATGAAACCCTATTTTGATAGCTTTGGCTTCATGGCGGACGACTCACAGGATACAGGTGTCAAAAGTTGAGACAAGTTGGTGAGCGGGCAGGCAGATATACACGATATTTACAACAACACAGTGCCTCTCTGGTTCGAAGGTTTGGACCCCCGCAACGCCAGATTTATGCTTGTCATGTATGGTTGTAATTACACGTTGGCGGACCCCAGTTGTAATGATCTACAATGTCTATTTGCAAGCCTGGGCAAGCCAGCTCTTTGTACCAACTTCGGGTATGGAAACTTCTTTCCTTACTTAGGAATTGCTGACACTTAACTCTTCTTGCTAGAGATGTTAATATACTGTTCGAAACGAAGCAGTTCATCAAAAAGCATAAGCTAACACCAAAATACTTGACTGACTCTATGACGAAGCAGATTACCTCGGATGACCAGTAGATTGGCTGTAAAGATGCACAAGCCTTTGCTGCTAATAAGAAATCCCGCTAAGAGCAGTCGTTACAGAGGAATCATGGTCCGGAGTATTAACCTCCAGGTATCTGGCTTTGAATCCCTGAGGACAATTTTGAGGTTTTCAACTTATTGCCCGAGTTTTACTCCGGTACACTCGTTCAGTGTACACCACCACGGCTCCGAAGCCCCTCGATGTTAAAACCTTTGTAGCGCCGGCGTCTGCCCCGACGACTACTCTCGGGGATATCCATCAGGCGCTGAGTGATGGTGACGTGGTAGAATTCGAGACTCTTCCTCTAGTTGTTGCTACTATGCTTACCCAGCGCGTTAGAGCAGCGTCAACTCCAGCGACTTGGACATGCTCTCTGCACGTCTCTTAACCGGCGCCCCAAATTTTCTCCTGCGCGCTACACCATACTTTCTTTTTTTTTCTTTTTTAGGAAGCCTTCTAATATTCTTAGCCTTTGTATAGCTACATCTTTTACGCCTTGTCCTAATCGTCCTCTGTACACCTCTATTGGGGTTTCAAATGTTCAACAGGTACAAGCCCCACATACACTTCTAGCAGGATCTTTCACTAAAGTTCCCAGCTTTTGCCAGCTCAACATCAAGTATGTTACATCTGAGCAATATTGAGACACCACCTGTGAGTAAGCATATCTCGCCATTAAGAAAATGATAGGTACACTTTTCTGGGTAGCTGGGGCATTTCATTGGACTTCGCATTTGAAACCCCGGAAGGAATGTTCTATTCTATCCCTTATCTTTCTAACACCAGCCCTACCCTAAAAGAACAAAAAGCTTGCAGCCCGGATAGTAAGACCAAGAAGCATAACGGAGCTTGTTGTAAAAAGAGAAAATCTTCCATATGGCTCATTAACCAAGTTGTGAAACAGGCTGTGAATAACTCTCATTCCGGTATAGCCCCAAGCAAGGCGATAGGTGTAGTCGTGGTTGTCACCAAGAAGGGTTAAGACAATGGCAATAGCATAGAAAACTTGTGGTTGCTCATGCAAGTTATTGTAGTTGTCAGCAATGCGATGGACCTCAACAGGTATTTTGGTATGCTTTTCCTCCTTCACCGTCTTCTCGTCGAAGCTGACCTTGTACTTATGGAGGGCGGGAATTCGGGTTGCATACATCCATGTCTGACATTATGTTAGTAATATGGAACAGCTAGGTGTCTGAGGAAACTGAATTTACCTCCTGTACAAATGTCCATCCTGCCAGTGCGACGAGTGGCTTAAGGAGTTGAGCGTGATCGAGGCCAATTTGAGAATACATCGTGATGGGAAGATGGCGAAGAATGGGAAACGTGGCTGGGTTGGAATTGTTTGCGGCAAGATAAGACTGTTATGGGAGTTCCTGAGTCTCTCTTATAGAAGAAATGTTAGCGGAGATTCTTTATAAGCAAATAATGTCAGAATAGACCCTTACAAATCTTTAGAACGCCGATCTATCCGCCGTGTGCCAGGCTTATAAGCTAGATTTGTACTCTTTTTACCTCGAAGATCCACAACTAAGTACCCCTTACTAATCATCTCATAACTTTCGGCATAAAACTAGCTCTCAATTTCAACTTTTCACAGCTTTATCAGTGTTATGTAAATGACTTCATGATTTTGTTAAGCTAATAGGGAGTTGAAAGGAAGAAAATCAGCGTAGGATTGTTTCGCTTATTATTTCAAGATCTGTGAGAAGCTTATTTCTCATCAATATTATTAGCCGTAAGAATATACTTCTAACCTTATCTTCTACGTCATAATGCATTATTTTAGCTATAAATCGATCAGGTCGACGGTGAGTCCGAAGGGTCCCTGCTTAAGAGTTCTGTAGCTTCAATGTAACCCCGCTGTCATATTCTTGGCGTTGAAATTGAGCTGGGCCAGAACGCCTAAAACGTTTGCTAACTGCTAGACATGCCATAGGTAATCAACGTTCTTTTTGCAAAGCCAGCCGTGGGCGAGTATTGGGTTTGATTGTAACTATATGTAACGGGAAAACACTATGAGTGGGAGGTTAATATGTAAGCAGGAAGTATCTCGTCTTGCCGCCAGTCCAATCAATTCCTTCCAAGGCTTTCACCAAGCATCATCGGACACAAGGTTGGTCATACCTCGTGAGTCTGCATTGGTCCGAGATCCAGGGCCCGCCCCTTGCAGCGGGTAAGCATTATGGACCTTCGGACTTACCGGTCATATGCCGCATTGTCAGCGATCAACGTTTCCACAATTTGAGCGCTCGCATTTAAGGCTCCTTAAATGCGTGGTCTAACCCTAATATGCAGATCTGACTTGCTTTACATGCTGACTTTTCCAGATCCGGGGCGGCGAGTAGTACGTACATAATAGATGTAACTCTTCATTGAAGACTCGGCTTTTACCAGGTCTAGAAAGCCCGTACGCCGGCCAGAGGATTATTCAGCTGTACATCTCTACGAGAAAGGGTCTGAAGTAAACAGTGCCATCCCTACACCTCGACTTGTAGAATAGCCTCTGCTCCCCCTATCTTGACCACAAAAGTCCCCCATAGCATTGGGGTAATTTACGATAACCATCACGCTATCGCATCAAAGATAAGCTAGTAAAGTAGACCTACGCAAATTCTGCTGCGGCACAAATCAGCGCTCGTTCAGCAACCAGTCACCTACTTCAACATGGCAGTCCTTCCTCAAAAGCTTGACATTCTATATGTAGTAGATTCTGTGATCCGCAAGTGCCTTGCGCAGCCCAGAAGCTACCAACAAGCCCACCGCGAGAGATTCTTAAATTAGTCTTCCGCTGCTGGCGCGCATTGACTGACTATGGTAATGTCCAATTTCGTTGATGGCCTGCTTAGAACTTCACCCGTAGCCCGTAAGCCAGCCACAGGCGCGAGTCCCTCTTTCTCACCCCTGTTTACATCAAATACGGCTGTTTCTGGTTAGACGCGAAGCATTCCTCTCAAATGAGATTAACATAACCCCTTTCCTATGTTTACCTCCTACATCTTTTGCATTGGTATGTCAGACCTTTCGTAAAGATGGTAGATCTGCTAACATTTAAACATCAAGTACTCACGAGGCAAGATATCTTACGACTTACTTCTTCGATTGTTAGTGACGCAAGTTCTGGCACCGCAAAATACACATATGCTAGTGCAATCACGCACCAGAATGCGAAAAAGACAAAACCGCCCCCTGCAGCGAGACGTTAAGAACCGAAATGAACTTAAAATCCAATATTCACAATACCTACAGTTATCGGTTTGTTTGAGAAGGGAAGGGATCGCATAGGTCATCGAAAAGTGAAAGAGCCAATGGAAGACTTGAGCTACCGCAGTACCGAATGATCGAATATGGTTCGGCCACACCTCGCTACCCAAAACATAGGGAAGCGTAAGAAGACCTTTCCAAGTACATAAGCGAAGGAAACAGTATATCATAGGGTTGGGTACAGGTTCTTACCTGATGTATAACCAAATGCCTGGATGAACATAAATGCCAAAGCTCCGTTGGCGGCTAACGGCGTACTTCTACCATCTTGTTGCAACTTGGTGTATACAGAGAGATATATGTTGGCACTCAACTGAATAGATATGCCTAGCAGTAGGGATCCACGGCGTCCCACCACATCGATCAAAAAGAATGAAACTGTTGAAAAATGGTCAGTTCGTGGTGCTTCAAGATCTGTGAAAAGGGTGCACACCAATCAAGCTAAAGAAGAATTTTGACATTCCGTAAAGGCCGTTAAGCAAAAGTCCATGCGTGGAGCTCTCATAAGCCCCAACGATTTTTAGGATAGGTATGAAATAGTTAGTAAAAGAGTTGCCACCGGACAGTTGCGGGAGCGCATAAAGAACTAGGACTTGTTGTAACCGGCGTAAATTCGCCTTTGTGGTAAAAGTCTCCCGAACGATCACCCCAATACTATGGAACGAAGATAAGGAATGGTTATTGAGTTCTGTCTCTCCACGCAGAGACTCTACGATCTCACGCATTTCATCTTCGACCCGGGGGTGGTCCTCTGGCAGCCGGCGAAGTCGAACTAAGGCGGCTTTTGCGTCGTCATGACGGTCGGCCTGAGAAAGAAGGTGCAGACGCATTAGAATTATTCATAGTGTGAGAGAACTAGTTTGTACCAATATCAGCCAGCGCGGAGATTCAGGAATGAAAAAGCTGGCGACTACCAATGTAGACATGAAAATGATGGGGGCGCAGTAAGCAATTTGATACTGGAGGCGGCTGGCTGCAACATGCAGTTGGATGCCATAGATGCAAAAGTTTGAAGTCATAAGGCCCAAGCCCTACAAGACGTCAGTGAGATACTTGAGGAAGCAAACAACGGCCTGTTGCCCACCTGGCAAACGGTGTACCATGCTCCCAGCAGACCCCGTATTTCCGGAGGTGCAATCTCAATGCTGATAACTCAAAGCAGATTAGATACTAGCTTCCTCAAATCCTTCACAAAGAGTCCTACATCGACATGGGGCTAGAGACACTCAAGGCCCCGATGCCTATACCCGCGATAATTCTGGAGGCGTACAGCCCGGTTACAGTGCGCGAACTAACAAGGGTTATGTAACCGGAGATCCAAACGGCGGTATAGCATCGATATGCCCAACGTCGTCCAACACGATCGTTCAGAAAGAAACTAAGGCCCGCCCCGATCGCATCTCCGATATATACCAGAGCTACAAAACTTCGAACGGATTCAGCGTTGGAGCCTGACTTGATAGAAAATTGGTCGCTGAAACCTTTCAAAGAAGGAACGGATGCACCGGCGCCTTGGTCCCATGCTACAGACAAAATTCTTATTACTAACACTAACGCTGTTAAGGATTATTGGAAAACTTACTAAGAACGATGCCCGCTGAGGCGTAAATCAAAGCTGATATAAGCAAAACTGGACTGAGGATAACGTTGCGAGGCGCTGAGCGAATTGCCCTGCCGTACGTTATGAGCGAGGTGTTGGCGAAAAACTGTTGCAAACCCATATTGCTTAACACAGCCATGAGCATTGATACAGGCCCAGGAGAAATGAGCAAGGATTTAAACCATGATTGTTTCCCCAGAAAGCTCGGCAATACCGAATCCCTAGCGAAGCTTTAGACGTAGAGTTACCTAAACACTATTGGGTTTCAAGTTTTTTCTTGGGGGTTATTCTAGCAGGTCGGGTTGAGAATGTGGGGTAAAAAACGCTATTGGTTTACTATGACTAGGTTACCTCCATGCATAGGGAGAACAGCCCGTCTGAAACAAGCTAGTCAGCATCGTGAAATCTAGTTTACACGGCAGCATCCATGGTGCTTCCACGGTGCTTAGGATCATTACCAAGTCATCTCAATAGGCTAGAAGTTACTGGATAATGTATACGACACATATCACTAGAGCCTTGATTTCAGGCTTGGCGATGAGCGAAAACATGTCCCATATTCTTTCAAAGGCAACCCTCGGTCATTGACCGCAGGATGAACTGGTGGACCGAATTTACACGTTAAGATTCAGCACTAGGAATTCTTTCCAACTTGGTTCTCCCAGATTGTCCCTTTAGCAATCTCAGATGGTGCCCACTTGTAGTCTTCAGCTACTCACAAGACACGTCAGTAATTTACTCTCCGAAAGCAGAAAATGGGATCATCACTTACGCTGGGCAAACTTAAGCTTGGACATTTCTCGCGGTCCATTCTCTCCTTCCTCTATCCCATTAGCAGCTTTGCCTTTTTCAGCAGTCCGCCATTTCCAAATGGGTGTGAACACGTTAGGTGTCCGTTCTAATTGCTTTTTAACATATTTGCCAAGAATGGGCAAGAATTTGAAGCCATGTCCCGAGCCACCTGTACAGATAAACAGGGTATCTGAGTATCCAGGAACGTAATCAATCACGAACTCATTGTCAATACTGTCGGTGTACCAGCATAGCCGACTGTCTGTAAATCCGATATCGGTGAGCTCGGGAAAGAGTTCTCCAATAACGTTCTTCATACGCTCAAGTCCATAGGACGGCACGGTATAAATCGGATTGGGGCTCCATCTGGTACGAGGCGTTGAAATACGGAGGCCCGGATTCAAAGGATGCTCTTCGAAGTTGGTAAACTTGCGAGCGCGGAAGCCAAACTTGAGCCTACCCTCAGAGGTAATGGGAAATCCGCCACCTTCGTAGCCGCCGTTGCTGTCACCCTGAATGAAGCGCCAAACGGGAAAGTTATTTGGGTGGAACCTGTTGCGAAGGTCTTGGCGGTCAGGGGGGATATCAACAAACATCAGAGTCCCCATAGTCGCTTCAACACTGCGATGAGCTTCAGGAATGACCGAGGCGGTCCAAGAGCCGCAAGCCACAATGACGACATCTGCGCAGTGAGTTAGGCCATCGCGCGTTTTAATGCCCTTTACGCGCTTTTGGGAGGATGATTGTTCAATAACCAGGGTTTCCAAATAGCCCTGAGGAGCACCCAAAACAAATTTTACGCCTTCTTTCTTGCACAAATACTGAGCATAGACGCAGGACTATGACTAAATCAGCCTTGAACAAACATCTCGTACAAGACAACGACTTACCTTGTCTGCAATTGTGAACCCAGCTTCTGTGTCGAGAAACCCACTCACGTTGCCATTCCTGACGCGATCAAAAAGATGAAACTTGCTATGCCATTGTAGACCTCGTTTTGAAATTCGCTCTTCGTCAATAGCGTCATTCTGTAGTAGCAACTATCAGTCATCCTGAAAAGATTATAATGCTGCACTGTGGGCATACCACAACTTACTTTAACATACATGTACTCGCGAAATGAAGGCTGAGATTCTTGTGTTACAGCCAAATCAGTCGCGTACCGCGGATGCAAATGGGCTGTATCAGCAAGTCGAAAAACGCCACAGCGAACTAAAAGTTCATCACTGGGCGCTAATGGCGGTGGCAAGTCAGACTGTTTGCTCTTTCTAATTTGCTCGTTCCATTTAAGCCAGATGTCACGTGCTTCCACAGCAAGGTTTTGCGAGCTGCGAGTACAACCAAATCAGTTAGTCGGTTGAGTTCATGCATAAGTTCATTTTGCGCGTAAGAGCTCACTGAGTTTTGTTTTCATATGTAGTCCGAAAGATCTTATTTATGTCGCAGGACGCGCCGTCACAACCTTCATTCGCCGGATTGTAGACTGTTTTCTCATACGCGCATTTGTCAAAGACAGTAACGCTCTTATAACCCCCTCTAACGAGGTGTAAAGCTGTGCTAAGCCCGAAAACCCCTGCGCCTGTAGCAACAATCAATTAGTTTTGTAAGTTCATCAGTTGTGAAGGATTAAATACGTTGACTGACCGACGATGATTATTTGGGAGTCGTGAGTTGTCATGGTGATTCAATGTGCGACGATAGTGTTAGTGACACAAGAAGTCGACAATGGTTTGGTTTTAAAAACGTTATAGGCAGCTAGATATCAGTTTAACTCCAAATCATTGTAGTTCCTAGCAAGGGGCAGCCGGAAGTACCGATGAATCGGGCGTTCCGGAAGTCTAATGTGGATTCTAGTCTACCCCGCTTTTTGTCCCTCACGGAAGACGCGTCCACCATTTTTAGAGCCACGGGTCTTCCTAGCAAGAAGCAGGTCTTTGTAGTTTCTAAAGACACGGGGCGGAATTTGACGATCGGAAGAGTACCCGAGCATCCTCAGACAGTCCCGGATTTACAACACAATGAAAAGACAGTACGAAGTGGCCCGTTATAGGAGATGCACTAATGCTTGTAAGTGACCATGACGATGCCGCATGAGGCGCATTCGCGAAGGTGTACGGTTAGATAACATTTCTTCTCAGGTCGACGTTGCAAGCGGATGAAGTTGAGGTGCTCTTATGCTGTAGCCAGTGGGCGAATGTTCGTTGAATGATAGCACTCTTGCTTACCCTAGCTCTGCTGATCATGATCACAGCCGATGCGTTGCTTGCTCTAAATCTGGTTCAGGTAAGCTGTTTCTCCTATTAGGATTATCTGCTTTCAACTTGTGTCTTATGAATATCACGTTAACGCTTGAAATAAACAAGAATGTCAGTTTGAATCATATCCCGACGGGGATTTACGACATCAAGCGTAATAAAACCCCCCAGCCGACAACACAATGGTATGTTCCGTTAATAGGTGTGCATCTCTGCAGGTATATCGCAACGCTTGAAGCTCGAGTTCGAGCACTGGAACAAAGCTTGCGTGCCACGCAGTCAGATTCGACCCAGCTACAGGAATGTTCTCATGGACAACCAGAGTCAACAGCAACAACCTTACATGCGACCACATTTAAAGCGAAACCCTCAGATTCCTCAGTGACGACCATTAGCTCACCAATTGCAGCATCAACTACGTCTACGACTACGATTACGATATCTACAACCAGTCCTGGAGCACTAAAGCGGCCAAAATCCCCAGTCCTGGAAAGCGAATCAGGAGTGACATCAAGCTTTTTCTTGCAGATTGGGCGTCCAAGCATAGCCAATAGAGTTGATCCTCCAGATTGTGAGAAGGCAGACAGATTAATTGAAACAGCCTACGTATACGTCCAGGCGCGGTACTGCATTGTCGATTGGGTCTGTGTGCGAGAATGGCATCGGCAGCGTGCTCTCATTCTTGCAAGCAACCAAGACAGTGATGTCGCCCTGCAGACTGGGGCTTTCTTTCTCTGGATGATATATGCAATTGCTACGCGCTTGGCTTCAAGTGAGAACGCGGAAGACGACTGCTCTGAAGCATATTTTGGGCGCGCCTGTACACATCTGCCTGTTGTTTTGGCCTCGCAGGACATTACCACTGTGCAGGCATTGCTCTGCATGATCCAGTACAGCTTCCGAGCATCTAACGGACCGTCTCTTTGGGGTGTTGTACGCACGGTCATTGGTCTTTGTGTCAAACTGAGATATCATCGGTCGCTAAACAAACTGAAGTACAGTCGGGATATGACCCCTTATACGATTGAGCTTCGCAAGCGATTTTGGTGGTGTGCTTACTGTTTTGACCGGTATGTTAGACTAGGCCTTACATTGAGAAGATGCTAACCAGCCTCAAGATGCGTATGTATGCTTGCGAAACTACCATTCAGTATTCGAGATGTCGACATTGATGTAGAAGAGCCCGTAAACATTGATGAGGCCTGTACGGACTCGCATGTAATTTACGAGTTACAGAGGAAGCAGTCCGAAGGTATCGACAACGGCCAGCATATTACAGTGTTGACGACAGTATGGCTCGCAAAACCATTGCCTGCTACCTGATGGCTAACAACTGAGTAGATGAGTGCTGCAATACACCATTTACACGTGTACCGCATCCGGTCTACTATAACGTACGTATCATATCTGACCACTATAGATTGTGCGTTCATTTTACTAAAAGAAGCCAAAACGAAACAGAACTCGTTTCACCGGACCGGGTGCTGAAGTGCCACTATATGCCGATGTTTTAGCCTTCCTCTCCGAGCTTGAAGAATGGAAACATCGGGCACCCATGCCAGACAAATCGACTTCAATTCCTTGCCAGTCTCCTGGACGTATACAAGCGACATATCTACAAGCAGTCCTTGTTTTAATCCGGCCCATTTTACTACAGAGCGTAATTGACCCACTGCTTCTCACCACTTGCGCACAATTTGCTGCCGATGCCTGCGACGTATGTCTTTCCCCACCTAAGCCCAACACCCCTCGGCGCTGACATGTGGCTTTTCTCTATTCAGAGCAGTCGAAGCCTAAGTTTGAGTATCGAAACACGCCCATGCCGCATCACGGCCTTTCATACCTTTTTCTGTGGCATCACGCTGTTGCAGTGCCTAACAGTTGAACCGACAGTATTGTCCCGCAGGCGCATGCACCAAGCCATTTCCTCTTGCCTGAGCTCACTCTCTGTCTATACTCGAACCATTCCCGCTATAGCATCCTTTTTATATCTCTTTGAAGAGCTATCGAACCGTTTGGTTGGTGAGGAGAACACCAACCTACGTCCAAACCCCGTCTTACGGGAGCTTCTGAATAAAGTCGTTTCTAGCGACCCGTCCGAGACACTAGAGTATGACTTATTATTCCAACTAGTGACTTTTGAGAGCTAAAATACTTCAGGCTATTGCAGGTGCTGCCCCCAGGCGATGATAAGGCGGCGGAAAACAGCGACGGTAACAATAAGCGGCAAAGGGATATTTCACGTCCTCCTACTTTCCCTCCTCAAGAGTCCCCGCTGGCTTTTCAATTGCCCCGTGCGTACAATTCAACTACGCCCGAAAGTACCCTCCTGAACTATGAATTTCTTGACCAAGCTTTCACCAGCGACACACTGCTAGACGCAATATCTATAGGACTCGCTGATTCCGACGCAAGCCATTTGTCTAGAGAGGGATTCTTAGCAGGATAACGAGGTCCTCTCGACCCGTGACGTTTAGTTGTTACACCTCCCTTGTAAACAAATCAAAGTCAAAATTACGGTTTTGGAATGTGGTATCTTCGGTCGATTGAGATGCCCGAGCGTACTTCAAGAGATCAACAAGATGTAGCAACATCCATCCGCGAACCTTACGGCATAGGTATCCCGACATTCTCCGATCAGACCAAAAGCTTCATGAACTGTCTTGCTATGACTATTCGCGGACTAATTGGTACAACGATGATGACGTACCTGGGCTACGTTGATCCTACTTTGAAGAATGCCCAATAGTCTCATTGGGGGTCTAATTTGGCGATTTTGGAAAGCATCAAGACCACGAGGGATCCAAGAGGCATTTTTGGTAACCCACAGAGTGTTCGGCCAATGAACTGAATGGAGATTAGCAGCAAAGCATGAAATCGTGGATAAGAACTTCCAAGCCTAAAGGAATACGGTTGCTCTGTAACAATAATTGAAGGCAACACATTTGTTCGGTTACTTCTTTTAACTCCAAGTAGTCTAAAATTCGATCTTTTAGTGTCAGCTGTCGGATGACTCTGCACGGCCCAAATAGCCGAACAGGTCTACGATCGGTGGTATAGCATGGTGCCATACTATTAGTTTGGGCTGCAAGTTGGTTGTTGATTCTATCGCTTTCTAGCTGTTGCCAAGAGCTATCCATCTGTTATTAGATCTAAAATCTAAGCGATTCAAGGTTGATCTCCTCCTTGCGCCGCCGAACCATAACCTGCAGTTTGTTACTAATGCTCATGCTTACCCCATTGACCACTGGCTTTGTTGGGGTTCCTGGCACTAGCTTCCAGTCATATTTAAGCAGGAGATGACACAAAGCCAGCTTAACCTCATTAGAAGCAAAGAATCGACCTGGGCAGGCGAAGTGGCCATGACCGAATACCAAATGATCCGCACTTGTCGAAACTAATTGCGCCTTATTTTCGTTACCAGGCTCTTCCCGCATACTCTTAAAGCGATATATATCAAAATTTTCAGGATTTTCGTGGATAGCTGGATTCATCACGTTGCTACCATCGATGGCTATTCGTTCTCCCTTGTAGATAGTGACTCCTTCTGGGAGTTGAGTGTCTTTCGTAGCATATCGTCGCATCATAACTTTATTGTAAATAACGTTAGATAATTACTCGGATGATTAATCCATATGATGTTGGTAATTTTGACTTACGCAATCCATTGGGTTTTAGCCTTTGGGCTTCTTTCACAGCGCTGTCGAGTAGCTTCATCTTGTATAGCGCACTTTTTGTCCAGCCTTCAGCACGCAGAACCTCAATGATTTCCTTCCGCAGGGGTTCAATATAAATCGGATTCATTGCCAACATGCGTAGCGTCTGCGAAAGCAAGTCCGTTGTTGTGTGAATTGCAGCAAAAGACAATGTTAGTTGCAGCTTGGCAGGATCATACGAGTTGTGGCCAATTTCGCTCTCTGCCCAATCAATTGCGTCATTTGAAGACGTAACTGGTTTACCGGAAGCTCGGGCCTGCTCCGTTACCTTTCGACGCTGCTCGACAATGGGGGTAATGAGCTGCCGAGCGTGTGCAATTGCTACACGCAGTCGTCTACAGTCCGGATCCCACATGTTGACGATTGGCCGTAGTAACCTGGGAAGCATTTGGAGCTTCAATGCGGCCTTCATGGCTAAAATTGTATACTCTTTGGTAAGCCAGAGCCACTCGTCGTTTCTACAGATCTCATCGCCCAGAAATACCCTGGAAGATAGACGGGCAACCAAGTCTAATATCGAATCTTTAAGAGGATATTCCTGCCATTCTTCATTATGGTTATTAGCCTAGTCTCTAACTTTGGTGGTAAGAGACCTACCAGATGAATTGCCGAAAATTAAGTCAGTTGCAAACGTTGCCTCTGTCGACAGGGGCTGGGTGACCGTGTCTATTGATATGGATTAGATAAGAAAGAAATGCTGGAAATTCCGCTTTTACTTAGTTGTTTGGTGAGTTGTTTGCGCACTACGGTTTGCAAAATCTGGGACTTGTCATTGAGGAAGCCAAATGGCTCAAATCCCGGGAGATAGCCGTGGAAGTCCTATAAACCGTTAGTAAAATTTCTATTTCTTGGTATAGAGAAACTCCAAGCGTTCTAGAATCTGGAATATCTGTCTTATTCTTATACCTCGTTAATGCAGGTGCGGAAATCAAGCCCAAGCTCATTCCGAATAAAATTACCGAAGCGAGAGGGAAGGACAATAAATTCACCCTGCTCAGTGAGCATTCGAAACGGCTTTTCGGTGTGTTGAGATCGACTTTGTGAAAAAATGGCCATGCCGTTTTTTAGAAATTCGAAGTATTTAACGGCACGAGGCTGAAACCATGTAGGAGGGTTTACCAAAGGAAAAGAGTTTCTCTTTGAGGTCCCAAACCTGGATGCAACAATCGCCGCAATAATAAGTGTTACGATCACGACGATGTGATCAGAAGCAAAAGAAGATCCTTTCCGCCATTGTAACAAGGCGTACATTGATAGAAATGAGGATGATATCATCTTTAGCGTCCAGAGAAGTGGCTTATGGAGTGAATAGAAAGAGTGCTAAGGAGTTTGAAACGATAGATTTTGTGTTGCTGAACTACCTGACTTAAACAAATGCTGTTGAGGGTATCACGAGCTACTTATACTCGGTTTGCTCTTCTGTCCTCCTTGGTACTAAAAAGTTCTTTGCCAGGCCCGTTATCTTGCAAGACTACATTGGTCACCGCCAGTGAATGTGGCTTGCCCAACTGATCTCCAAAAAGCTTTGAGATCAATGATACTGTTCACACAGGCTGGATAGGGCGGCAGTGCATTTCGCTTTGGCGGTCTCGCATTCGTATTGACGGACGGATGTTTAAGTGCCAAATCCGCTCTCCAAGTCCAAACCACGTTCAATTGCCACACGTAGCAGCATTCCTATGGCCCTTGCATCTTATTCGTCTACAGTAAGCCTAACCCCTTAAGTTCAGCCTGCAGCTTGGAATAAGAGGGCCAGCAACGTCCAAACCACTTAACACTCAAGGTTGGATATTTCTACGTGGCGAAGCAAGATGGTTTCGCTTAGGTTTATTGTATTCTCCGCAAGTACGGGACGCGAGCTTGGCAAGTCTGTGAAAACGGAGTTAGGCAGTTTTTCGTCTTCAATCCCGGCGCACCGAGTCAGTGTTAACCGCAAATCATTACCACCAAAATCCTCCTTCGGAGTCCAGAGAATTCCGAAGTAATAGTTATATGGAGAAATGAGGTTCTCATCCTGGAATTTATCTAAGGATTAGTTCTGTAGGCTCAATAAGCTACGCAGGGGTCTGTAACGACTAGCCAAACTGCACCTGGCATGTTTACATCACTGCCTCAGCACTCGGGCTGATGAAAAACCTTGCTTGGCACATGAATTTGTCCGTCAGCCCCGTCAGCACTGCATGAATTCGTACTTAACAACATGCTGCAGCATGGTTTGAGAATAACCTGAAGGTGATAATCAGACAAAACCTAACCTCAACAACATATACAATCGACACTCAGAGTTTATGAAAAGACGACCTACAGCAATTCAAGATAACAACAATGGCAAAGTGCAAAGATCATCCTCTAGACGTGCCTAGTATGTATCGGGCAGCGCTTAAGCCTCGCTTACATGTTCACTCATAGTCGCTGATTTGTATTACTTTCCTAGTTATCGAGGAACCCATAAACCATACTCTTCGCGTCCATGGTCTCCTTATAACCCTCTCTTCCGTCTACACCTTGATTGCATGTCTGTTTTCTGGATACCTCATTTTCCGTCATGCAACAAATTACACGGTTCCTACACAGCAGAAACAGTTAAGTCGCATATCATCTTTCAGGCTAAAAGAGCGCTAGTTTGCTGACTGCGGGGAACAATTCTAGAATCATTCGCATCCTTTTGATGGTTCCGATTTACTCCATTGCGTGCCTCTTAAGTATCCCCTTTTACGAACAGCATGTATACATCGCCAGCATTTACGAATTTTACGAATCGCTTGTCATCGCCGCCTTCTTCGCCCTACTATGTCAATATTTACACGTTGATGAAAACATACTCCGGCGTGTTTTTACATTTATAGAGCCGAAGCCGTGGATACATCCATTACGATTTTTGGTTGTCCACATCGGCCGCAATAAGAAAGGTCGAACTGTCGATGGTTTGAGGTTCTTCAATGTTTGTGCATACCAGATACTATTGATCTGAGAATATGCGCTGTGTTCTAACATGCTACTATTAGATCATTTGGATCGGCGTTTTTCAGTTCTGTGCCATCAAGTTTCTTGGGTCACTAGCCAAGTGCATTACAGAAGCTACGGACACGTACTGTGAAGATTCTAACGACGCCAGCCACGCAAAGATATGGGTAAATATGCCAAATTTCAAGCCAAAAGGTGTAGGTAAATTGGAATTTTCTGACTGACTGACATACAAAGATCATGGTCATCGAAATGCTATCGCTGGTAACGGCAATGCTCTGTCTCCTCCAGTTCTACCATCAGACCAAAGCCGAAATCATTCATCAAACGCCACTACTCAAGTTTTTAGCGATTAAACTTGTTGTTTTTCTGTTCTATGTGCAGACGGTAGGCAATAGCACTTAAATGGCCGGGAATACGCCACAGCTAACGACTGGGAAGTTTATATTTGGTTTCTTGACAAAGGAGGAAGGCGCAATCCAGCCGACGACAAAAATCTCGTATCCTTCTTGGTCGGTCGGGATACCAAACACCATTTTATGCTTCGAAATGGCAGCAGTTTCAATCTTGCACCTTTGGGCTTATCCATACAAAGGTTATGAGCCGTCAAAATCCAACGTTGTGACTAGCGCCGCCAGCGCAGCAGCATTCAGCAATCAGCACCTCACAGGCCGAGTTTTAGCCGATCGCGTCCTCGTACCCGACCAAACCTATGTCGAATCTATTCGCGATAACGCTTCTGCTCTTGCAGGATCACACGAAGCACATGCAAACATACTAGGGGGCGGAAGGTTATCTAAGCAAGGAGGGAGATGGGGGTTACGTGCGCTTGTTGATGTTTTGAACATCTCTGACATTGTTCGGAGCGTAATGAAAGGCTTCCGCTGGCTTTTATCGCGACGAAAATATGAGGATACAGATGAAAACAGTGGCAGGATAGAGCTTTTAAAAACGGCAAATCTCTCTGATGCTTTGACTCTCGTAGAGCGTGGAGCGATGCTCTAGCATCTGACAGCCTGCAGCCTGCCAGCCTAAACATGCTCTAGTCACCACTAAGATTTCCTTTGGCTAGGTTCGCAAAAAGCTGTTGCTTATTAGTTACCCAGAGCATTTTATCAGTTTGAATTTAGTTCCATTCTCAAGATGATATATACTCATCTTGATGACAGGCAATGCGGTCGTAACGAGATAAAGAGCATTGCATCACTTTGGTCATTACATCTAACTATCTCTTCACGCACCGATTCATGTATCTCGCAAGTTAAGAGCATTACAGCAGTACAATCAGTACCACCTCTTCTTGCATCATCATTAAATGACGTACATGGTAGACAATAGTATTCTTACCATGTCTGGTTCTCTGGCGGCTGATGTAACCTGCATGATATTACACCAAGGTCTAAATAGTTGGTTTTGGTACTGATCTAGATTATGCCTCGTATTGATTTGATATAAGCTCGGGTTGCTACAAAAAATGACAGAAGAGCAGAGGATTACTACACGTCTTAATGAGGCAGGTCATTTCGAATCGTTACATGCCATTGTGCTACTTAAATATCTCCATAATGGAGACTTTTCTTAATTTCTGGGACGGGGCAGAACTAGGTCCAGCCTGATCACTTGCTGCCACACTCCTCATATGTAGTGCCCCTCAAAGAGCTGCAAATGCGACCAAGAAAATTTTGAGCTTTTTGTCTATTGCGAGAGAAAAAAATAGTTCTCGCGACTAGGTTTTAACCCACTCACATATCAAAACAAGCTCGAGGCAAACCCACTCTTGCGGGCTGTGTTTGCTGTTAGTGCCGAATGTAGTTAAAATCTTGCGTTACTGTACGCACGGGACACATCATCCTAGTAGGAAATGTGTCGTAATGGCCATATAGCCCACAGTAACCAACCGGTGACTGTGGGTCTACTTTTACCACCACAAAATGTAAGCTCAAGATTAGGCCTGTGCTCTAATTACTGTAACATTGTGCTTGCTACGTACTCTTGCGGACTCTTCGGCCCCTCTAATTCTAACAACAATATGAAACAGGTGCGTAAGCGATCAATCTATGTAATATCACTTTAGTCGTACATCAAAACGATGGAATTTAACGACTAGATACTTGAAAGTTTGAACACCAACCCGTTCGCAAATCGTGCGGCAATCTACACCTTTTCATTTTCCTTAGTCAGGGACCCAGCGACTAAAAGCCGGTCGAAATACTATATTACAGCTACGGATAAATAGAATTCGGCTACTTATTTGCCTCCTATCCCATTGACTGCGGCCTGGCAAGAGGTGCAAAGCTTGCCGGTTATCAGCCAATCACACACATTTACTGTAAATTTCTATTCGAATACCGGACATTGTGCTATTAGAATTTAAGAATTATGGGGCTTTCCAATGGGCTTGTTGGTGAGTGTTGCCAGTCCGCATTCGATGGGATAGATACTCCTAAAACTGATGGGGGGTTTTTTTTTTCCCCTTTGGATGGTAAAACCACAAGACTCTTGGCGGATTGGTAAAAGGGGGCCATCAAATATAACCGCACGCGGATAAAAGAACTGCCTTTTTCGAGTTTCGCTGCCTTGTCTAGCAGACGTTTGTGTTACAGGCTATGCCCGGTTGATAGCTATACCATTATCACTTCTCAAGTACAGCCAAACAATAAGTAGACGACCTATTGTTACGTGTTCTTTTGCGCTTAGCTCAATTGGCAGCACCTCTGTTTTTATAAGTGCTAAAGGCTGGTGTGCGGCTGCCACTGCAACCCAGTAAGCGGGGTCTGACCCTTCGCAGTTTGAATGACATTTGTAAGAGTATTCAGTGGTAGTAGTTGACTTGCTTCTCATTCCACATAGGCTTGTTGATGTTCTATCGAGGCCCAGTTAGCTGCCAATATCAAGTCTCCATTTTATACCCTCCATTGCCACCTCATATGGAGAATACATGACTTTACGTTGTTCACCTTGTGTCTCTAACTGCATTCTTGTAGCTGTGAGATCCATAGGTACACATCGCATAGTCAGAATCTGCAGGCACATTGAGTACTTTTTTGCAAGATCATTTGGTTGGCTAGAGAAGGTCTCGGCTATCCCCTGAGTGGCTAGTCCTCTTAATGGTGATGTACCTATAGCCAACCGAGCCTCATTGGAATATGTTGTATTCTCAATCCCCACTCTATTATTGACCATTTCGCTAAACAGCCCCTTGAATGCACTTCCTACCAGTCCTCGAGAAGGCTATCTGGGTGCGCTCGGTGGAGCAGGGGCTGTTGTTTGTATATGTATGAAGCAGACCAAGCTAGACCATACAAACATAGTAAACATCGTTTTGATTATGAAGAAGTTAATAGAAACTGGAACGCTATCGATGCATTACCTATGCGTAGAATTGGATTCTTGTGAGCGAGATATCTTTCTAAGAGATAATTTCTTGAAAAAGAAGAACTGTACAAGTTCGCAATTCATTTCACCAAAGCACCTACCCCTACTTAAAATGGTGATAGCTTGAAAAAACACGAGGAGGCTTTCGTAGAAGACGAAACTCACTCGCCACTTTCAATCAACTCGTCACCAACGACATTGTCATTGTTATGAATCATACTAGCCTAATACTTCTTTCCAAAGGGTTTGGGACCGCAGATGTCTGTGCGAAGACTGTAGAGAAGACGTGTTTTCGCGGAGACCTTAATTTCGCCTTCATTGATAACTGTCTCTGTCCTCACTTATACGGTGGCCAAACATCCTGTCGACCGTAATGTCTAGCTGAGATCTATCATAGATTGAGATGCGAACCCCAAATACTTATGACAAGTTGGTAGGTTCTATAATTCACTCTAATCCTACAACTTGTAATGGATTGCATGGTCTAAATTGCAAAGGTTGATAAGTTATATCTATTTTCTGGTTGAATTTTATTGCTTCCCTTGGTTTTCTGTGCCCTAAATACTCTCCTTGCATAGAATTAACCATCATTATGGCTATACTAAGGCTAGTTCTCAAGTGTTGGCTTAAAAAATGTCGTCTTCTAGAACATATATGTCCTTTTTGTTACGGCCAGCTATCTGACAGTAGGGTTCTGCTAACAGAAGGTGCAGTAAGAGACTAACACTGGTTCGTAGGGGTCGTTCTGGTAGATCGTAGGGTTAGGGTAAGGTGATCAGTCTTACACTATAGTAACGAGGTTCTTAGTATTCACAATACTGAGAGGTAAGCTGAAAGTCATTCGAGGATGAATCACAAGTTGATTGCTGAAGAACTATCTAGAGGGCTTGAGCAGATGCTCAAGTCCTGGTCTATATACAAGTCCCGTTTCCCAATGTCTTGGAGAGTCTATAGAGTCGCTCGTCGACTCTATCGACTCTCTTCTGATTGGTCCTTTACAGGAGTCTACAGAGTCGCTCGTCGACTCTGTCGACTCTGTCCTGATTGGTCGATTGTCACGTGACTTGTAACGTAGTTCTTCCTTGCCGAGAGGTTTACCCTTGTTCCCGTGATCCTACGTACATATGTCCTGTCGTAGCCGCCCGACCCAGTGGGTCTGTTAAGTGCATCTGACGGGTCGTAACACTTTTCGATAGTTGATTTCGTGAGTTTCTAGCTACTACTTGCAGTCGGAAATGACTCTAGATTGGTAACTCGTAATTGAAGTAGCATTGATTTTTGACATGGCTTACTTTGACTTGTGCGTGTTGACCATTTCGCTGTGCTGCGTCGACACAATGTAGGGCACGCGGGTCGGCTATCGCTCTAAAATAAACCCGTTTAGAAATTCTCGCCGATGGAACTTTGCTTCAACGAAACAAAACTCTGCATTCTCACACTCTAAATCGTAAGTTAATTGGCTCGTCCCTGCAAGAAGTAGGCTTCCAGGTTTAGCATGCTTGTCTTGGCGTCAGCCAAGTTACATTTTTGACTTTGAGCCACCTAATACAAGCTGGAGACATCCATGTTTTAGGGTTTTGGCGTCACCAAGACGCTTTCCTTGCCTAGGAAATACCATGTTTGTCAAACTCAGCAGCTCGCCTGGTAAAATCTACTGTCCTAATATATTAAATGGTCAAGCCCTTTTTTCACTATAGATCGTACCCTTTTCCACACACCATGCAGCAATACAACCATAACTTGGAATCTCGACAGGATCCCAGATGAACTCAACTTCGTCAGCCGACTGCTGGGGAGAATTACCAGCGTGATGTTACGCCTTATCTGCTACGAAGTAGTTGACTCCTAGTCATGCCAACTTACCTTGCATCGGTAGCGGGTACGCAATGCAAGTCCAGCCAGGAGGAGGGAGTGCCACCCAGCAAAACAATACGACGACTGGAGGGCCAAATGATATTCTTCACACCGTCAATTTGGTATCGCAAATTCTGGCCATGACGTTCGTCAGTCTATTCATGGCATTGCGCTTGTTTACGAAGATTTTTATCGGTCCTCCTTTCCACACAGAAGATTGTATGCCAAATCCATCTCCGAATACATATATAAAGATGTCTCATTCGTAATATATTAGGGATGGCTTTGATAGCTTGGGTGCGCACCCGAGAAAAGCCTAGACATCTTGAAGATATTGACTTGTCACCAGATCCTCTCCCTTGGATACAGTGTTACGGGATTTATGAGTAAGTAATCATGCAGAATGAAAAAAGCATATGCGCTGATATTTTCCACGCAAGTGGGCCATTTCGGCGGAGGATTTCATGTTTCCGATATCTCAAAGGAACAATTTAAAAGCTTCAAGAAGGTAATTTTGTCACTCCAGTAGCGAAGCTCAAAAGTCGCTTTCAATTAACTTCCCCCTTGGGTGTATATGCTATTACCCTTGTGTACAGTCCCGCTTCTTACTTTACAAAGCTTGCGCTCCTTTGGATCATCATTAGAGTCTTCCAGCTACACAAGAGGACAGTATTCGGGACATATACGGTAATTGTCTTTCTAACAGCCTATACAATTCCTATTCTTTTCCTCAAGGGGTTTGTATGCCGACCACTCGCCGGATTTTGGGATCCAACGGTCAAAACTTCTTGCTACAACCAGCGAGCCATCTTTGTAGCTGATACCGGTGTTAGTGCAGTCACCGATATGGCTGTGCTTTGCTTACCAATACCCGTTGCCGCAACTCTTCGAATGTCGTGGAAAAAACGTTTGAAGGTAATCGCTATGCTTAGCTCTGGTGGCGTTGCTACTGCAGCTAGCATTATACGACTAGTCCTGGTTATCAAGTTGCAGAATTCAAATGATGAATCGGTGGACCTTATACGATTCAATCTTCTCGGGTAAATACACTTTACTCCTTTCTGTCGTGCCTGAAAGTATCTCCAAAAGCTGACAGAACTGATAGAACAGCAGAAGTGAGCATAGGTCTTATTTGCGCATGTCTCCCGGCAATTAACATCCTCTTCCTTCGTGTTCTCGAACGCTCGCCTAACTCAAGTCGCAATACTGTTGGCAGTAGCAGAATAATCGAACTGAAGTTCCTCAGAGGGAGCAGGCTCAGAACTCAGCATGTCACCACTGAGGAAGTCGTGCCTGAAACCAATCCTGGCAATTTGCCGGGGAATGCGCCTCAGCCTTAAGAGTTGAAACAACAGACAAATGAAGGAAACAGAAAAATACTCTTCTTAAAAGGATGTTAAAATTTTCCTTCGGATTTCCTACAACTTGCTGGCCCGATACAAGGGCTGAAACTACAACTGGGAATTTTTTCCGTATGCGATTGTTCTCACCTTGTAAAAGTTTCTGGAGCAGCTTGAAAGGAAGCTCGTATGTTCTTAGCAGAACGAGGTCCTATTACGGATGAATTGCATTTGGTTGACTTGCTTCTCGATAGGATCTCTGATTTGATGCTATTGAAGCAATAGCTTATGGTGAAAATCAGATGTTTTGGCTCCTTGCGGTCGTGCGATGACCGACTACGGCACGAGCATGATTGATTGATTGATTGATTGATTCCTACACGGTTATGAAGCCGCTCTTATGCTAGCAGCTATGCCCGGAAAGCGGGGTTTGGCAGACAGCCGAAGCATCGACGATAAACCGCGACGCCCCACTTCGCCCTGTTGTTGGATCAGGACCAGCTGTCCCCAAGCTCCCACTATGCTATCTATTCTTGTGTGTTTATGCCCTCTGTTGAAGATTGTTGTCCTCCTGCCTGCTCTCTCGCTTGGTGTTGCCTTCTAGAATCCTTCTTTCGCGTCCTCCTACTTCGGTTCTGTTGGTGCTAGGCACCATGTCTGGTTCTGTATACCTATAGTCTCCCCCCAGCCCTCAGCTTCGTCTCTTTATCTTGTCCGCATCCTCTCAGACTCGCATGTGCTATATCTCAGTTGAATCTGTAAATCTTTTTGTTGCCTCATGCTGGGTTCCTATGTGGCTCTATGTTTCCATCTTTCGACCACCACCTCCATCCACCGCCTGGAGTCGGACTCAATCCGCAAAACACAATGCTCCAACCGCTTCGATTCGTCCGATTACTAAGTATGAGAGCTCGTACACAGATTCCGCAGACATTGTCATACGTTGAAGGGGCGACAATCCTTCTTCGCGGAGGGGGCGACAGGGGACCAATCTGTCTGCAAACTGTAGTATTTTGTGGCATCGATCGTAGCATGCCTGGTGTCTGGTGCTTTCTCTATGCAGGAGGTGATACCGTTCTGTCGGGCTTGTCGTCGTTGTTGTCGCGGGACGTTGCAAACTTTGTCGGGGGTGATAGGCGACCCATAACCTATCGGTGGCTGTGGTGTTGATGTTTGTTTGGGCTTGGTCGTTGTGCTCACGTGATAGCCCGTGACTCAACCGCGGTGGTGTCGATGGTGTTGTCTATTGACGTGTCATACTTTGTGGCTTGCTCTCGAATTTTTCGTGGTCAGAGCCCGCCCGCGGCCACGAGCAGGCTCTTTGGGAGCAGAATCAATGCCGAGGATGACATTATGCCCAAAGTGACCTCTGAGAGCGCGAGCGGGCGTGGTTTGATCAATTTGATGCTGTTTTCAAAAATTTCGTTCTCGCTGTTGTTGATGTTTTTACGGCACGAGCAGCATCAACTAGGAACAAAACGAGCGAGCGGAGGGGGGGACACGTGACTACAGTTGCCGATGCGAGGTCATCACGTGACTGCGCGACCGAGGCGTGGCAGAGTGGGTCCTTTGGTCTGGATGCATCACGACAGGCCATAAACTGGCAAAACTGGCTTTGGCGGCACTTTTTGACACCTCAAAACCCTTCGATTCTTCGAACCGAACTGGTTCTCTGGCTGGATTAGGTGTCCCAACACCTCTGTGCTCGGCTAGCATGAATTATGGGGCCTCCGGATAAGCGACGCATCAATACGAGGTCTTCTACTTCGGGACTCGTGTCTTTGGTTAAAAACAAGGCCGAAGCCCTTTTGAGCACGATATGAGATATTTAATTGGTTAAAACAGACACCTGCATACTGTCAACCGAAATATTACGATGAGGACCACATGTTCCAGGCAGCCGTATTGTAATTGATCCTATTCGTGGGATATGTGCCTACGGATATGTGCCCCTGGAATAATTTTAATTTAAGCAATGTCTGTGTACTAATAAGAGGATCCCTTGTAGCAAAGGTCAGTGCCGCTCTTTCTAATCACACAACTCACGGTCGTCGGTGAAAGCCAGCACCAATCAACTGAGATGGTTCCGAAGCCTATCATGTTGATTTTACTTTCTTGTTTGGGTTCCCTGCTTGCGTCCGCCTCCGCGCAGCAGATGCTAGTATCCAACTCGCTCAACACCTGCCAAGACGACTCAAGTTTTACGGCCAGTCGCTTCAAGTTTGTTTTCACACCAAACAACGGATCCGCTTCCATTGATATTGCCGCCCTATCCACCTATCAAGGCAATATTGTCTTTGATGCGTCTATCTCTGTCTATGGATACAACATCTTCCAGAAGACAATAGATCCTTGCGATGAAAGCCTTAAGGAGAAAGCTGGGCTCTGTCCTATGAATACTGGAAAGATTGGATTTCCCTTCCAAATCCCTGTTCCCAAGGAAGTCGTGAGCCAGATACCTTCAATCGCGTACAACATCCCAGACTTGGATGCTACCGTGCGGGTCTATTTGAACAAGAGCGGGACGACTGATAGTGTCGCCTGTATCCAAACAAACATCTCAAACGGGAAGACCGTCGATCTAATTGGGGTCAAGTGGGCTGCAGCTGCTATCGTTATTCTCGGCCTCCTCGCTTCCGCCCTTGTTTCTGGGCTCGGCCACTCAAACACAGCTGCCCACGTTGCTACATATACAGTCTCACTCCTCGGATACTTTCAAGCCCAAGCTATCATAGGCCTAACCGGTGTTCGTCTGCCTCCCATTGTCCAGGCATGGACCCAAGATCTTCAGTGGTCTATGGGCATTATCCGCGTCCAGTTTATGCAGGACATCTTCACTTGGTACCAGCGGGCTACCGGCGGAACCCCTGCCAGAATACTAGACTCTCTTGCAAGTGTCTCGGTGCAGGTTCAAAAAAGATCTACAGAAATCGGTAGCGTTCTCAATGGCGTTGCCAGACGCTCCGAGAGTCCTTCGTCAGTGGGAAGCTACGTCGTCTTCGGAATTCAACGAGTTGCATTTCGTGCGAAGATCGAGTCAACGAACGTTTTCATGACTAGCCTCACCTTCTGTTGCATCTCGATCGTATTCACTGCACTATGTGTTGCTGCATCTAAAGGCTTTTGCGAATTAGCGATCCGTTCTCATTGGGTAAAGAACGATAAGTTTCTCGAATTCCGCAATGGCTGGTTGGTTATTCTCAAAGGCCTGCTCTACCGCATAACTCTTCTGAGCTTTCCACCACTGACAGTTTTCTGTTTGTGGGAGTTTACTCGAATCGACTCCCCCGCTGAGGTTGTCCTTGCTGTGTTCTTCTTTTTTGGCGCAGCTCTTACATTATTGGCGGCGGCGTTCAAAATCATTCTCATTGCCCGCCGGTCTATTGCGCTACACCGAAACCCGGCCTACATGCTCTTTTCCAACCCCCAGATTCTCAACAAATTAGGTTTTCTATATGTGCAATTTCGTGGGTCAGCTTATTATTTCGTATTGCCCGCCATTGGCTATATCATCATCAAGGGTGCATTTATCAGCTTTTCGCAAACGAACAATGCGGTTCAGACCATAGCATTGGTCATTATTGAGTTTGCAGCCTTAATCGCAGCTAGTGTCATGCGGCCTTGGATGGATAAAAGCACTAATATTTTTAACATTTCTATTTTTGTCATGAACGTTCTCAACTCTCTTATGCTCCTCATTTTTACGAATATCTTTGGCACACCAGCTTCTGTTATTGGTGTTGTAGGTGTTGTTTTCTTTGTTGGGAATGCGGTCTTCTCTTTGATCTTGTTGCTGTTCGTTGTCATCTCTAGCACTATTATTTTCTTTCGCAAGAATCCGGATGCTCGGTACAAAATAATGGCCGATGATCGACATTCTTTTATGAAGTCACAGGTTCAAACCAAGGCAGAGCTAGATTCTCTTGCGATTGCAGCACGTGGCGAAAAGCAAGACCACAGCTCTGCAAGCCTGCCCTCTGCGTCAGACCTAGATGCACAGCCCTCACGGGATTTAGTTCCATTTGACGGTCATGGTCCCTCAAGTTGTGCCAGTCCTATGCGATCGACAAGCAGTCATTCGCAGCACAAAGTTCTAAGTCATTCAGGAGGAAGATTATGAAACATAATAGGTAAGTTTTTATGTGATTTCTAAACGCCGGCCTACTTGGAATTGAAGTATTTCCTGGCAAGGAAGGTGATGTCCATTAAGCCAATGACCCTGACATAATCTTGTTACTTAGAGTCAAACACCAGATTGCTTCCACAAGCAAGCAAACAACACAAGCACAGCTTTGTCCGCCTAAGTAAGAGAAACACCTTTTGTGTTGGTGTTGCGTTTCATGTTGCTGGAACATCAACCTCAAGATGTCAATGGGTTGTCGCTTGTATGCTCTTGTATTAGCCCCCAGTACAAAGGGTGGGCGGCGGATTAAACGTTTTTCGTACCACATTACCTCAGATAAAGACATGGAGCTTTTGAAGTTCGTAATTAGAGAGTTCATGAAGTATTTAAATAGAATACATAATAAACAAAATCCAAGCAAGTATAATCATGGCGGAAAGCAGGGAAATCCCTACTGCGGTAAAGATCTTCGAAGATTTTCGACCAACAGGATCTTTAAGCCTTCCTTCCTTTTCAATTCTGATGCGCCTCTTTTCGCTCATGGTAAGAATGCCAGAGAGGTATCTATAATTCAGCCGTTAGCAGGTTAACAATAGTTTGACACTTTAGTGTAGTTTCTTCTCACTTCCTGTCGAGGACGCCATAAAACAGACCGAGACAGAACTCAAGGCCCTTCACAGCTACGAAAAATGCAATCACACGCTCGTATGTGCCTTCAGGGGTGATATCTTGGAGTCGGCCGGCAATCATGTCAACAACCACACTTCCGCTGTTGTTAAGAACCTTCCAAATGCCAAACACCAGACCAAGTTCCACTTGGTCTGGCACGATTAGAGGAATCGATGCCAAGAAAGGTAGTGCATTCATTGTTGATGCCAAGGAGGCGATGACCATTGCGCCTAATGCATTTGTCTGGGTGTACCCAATGAGACAGTACACCAAGATCCAAATAGCTGACGTCAGACTCACAAATAACATCCTGTGGCCGAAGGTGTCAAAATAGATGCCAAGTAATGGCGCGCAAACGACAGGAATAACTTGTTGTACAGCTGATGTGTAACCAGCAAGCTGGGCTGTGGACCCTCGGGTCTGAGAGATTATGTCGGCGTTGAGGCCATTGAAACCACCAACAACACCGGCCTGCAGAATTTGGGTGCAGGCAATAAGCCAGAAGAAACGCGGAACGCTGACTAGAGCGTTCAAGTTGGGAAGTGCGCCGGTCCAGCATGTACTCTTCGTGGCCACATTTTCTGCATGCGGGTGTTTTCTAGACGTTGCCTTCTCTCTTGCTAGCTGTTGACCCGTTGGCATGTGCGTCCATTGTGGACGACCTTTGGCCCACCAGACGTAGAAGATGTTTTGCAACAAATTTACGAAGCAAACTAGAGCAGGAACCCATAGTGCCCAACCCCAAAAAGCGGCAGCGTCCCGCATTGGAACAGCAGTAGCCCTGGCAATGAGTACAATTAACTTTCCTGAAAGCCAAGGGTAACTATTAGCGTATTTCCGTCTCATGTTCCCGAATGTGATGTTTCGAACGTACCAACTGCTAAGTCAAGCCCGTATACAAGTCCAAGGCCTCTATGTTGGAACCAATGCGCAAGGATCTTTTCCACTGATCAGCTCTAAGTCCAAAAGAAAAGCTTTCCTGTCACCAGAACCTACCTTTGATGTGCACGTCTCAATTACAGTGCTGCCAAATCCCATGATGACTCGACCAGCCACTACAAGAGCGAATGAGTTGTTGTTTGAGCCAGACGCTGAAACTACCGCCCCAACTAATATCACAACAGAGCAAGCCATCGAGCCCCTAAGCAAGTCAAAACATTTCTAAACTGTATAAGGACGAAAAAAAAGAAAAAAAAAAAGGGATGGTTTTACCATTCAACGCCGTAATGATCGAGTCCATATCCACCCACTATGGGAAGGATTGTATTAACCAGTGACGTGGCGGAGGAGATGGCTCCGTACTATGAGAATCGATTAGGGTCTCTCAACCTACATTGGGTGTTTTATAGGCCTCATGCTGACCTGGGAGTTATTGATGCTTAGCTGTTTTATCATCGTGCTCTTCAGCGGACCGAGTGTATTTTCGGAGAACGATGAGCCCCAGGAGAGGGCAACGCCGCTTATGAGAGCGATGAGTTTCCAGGTCAACGGGAAATCCTTTTTTTCTTTATGCTCTTCACTTGAGTTATTCGTAACGTCCATCACGTGCTTCTCGTCAATGTCGGTTTGTCGCGGTGTGACAACGCTCTCCGCGGCGGGCGCAGGCCGATCCATGGGGGTTTCGATAGCCATAAGAATGAAAGGTAAAAATTTCAGTAACAAGTCATAAGTAAGTATAAACGGATTGAAAGAAGCGGTTATAGCTCCCAAAAATATGTTGAAACAATGGGTTTTTATCAATCAGCTCTTTGGCTGTTGCATCAGATCAGATAAGCCCATCAGACCAAAACTGCAACACAGGTTCCACCTGCGTCCACAGAGACTGCGTGGCTGCATATGATAGTTTAGGGGCCCATAATCAAGGGTAGGGACACCCTTGCAGGCAGGGTGGACATGCCAAGATCATTGAGATCGCTTCAGTGTTATTCTTGGTCCCCGTTATGTTCATTTTCGCTGCTGTGGATCTGAAAATTGGAGGGTTAGGACACGGATATTCACTTGGCACTATTGCATAGGAGGTATAGAGTGGAACTTTTATTCTTCAGTTTTGCGTGATTTCTTATCGAATCATCCACATGACGCTAAAAATATTCGCAATGGACATCGATCATGAAATCTCGTTTGCTCTGCCAAGTTTCCGCTGAGTCTCTCACGCCATTGACCAGCGACTCAGGTCCGCATGCCGCCACAAGGAGTCGTTGACCACTCTTTGCTGTCCTAACACCCTCCCCGATGACCACTTCGATATTCAGCCTCGTATGGTTGATGCTCAAGTTATGGCCGGTAATATCGCCAACTGTTTCCGGCGGCATTTCGTTCGTCTTGTTAATGGCCCGATACGTGAGGATATCTACCGATGATAATAGCCCATGCTCAATGCCAGTCTGGTCTTCAGTTCCAACAGAAGCAAGCTCAGTAGTATCAAGGCTACCCAAATCACTTTGGCCCGTAACGTGAAGCGAAATGTTGACATTCGACGAACTTGGCCATTTTGTTGAGGTGTTCGTGGAACCAGAGAATTTGCTCTGTGATGGCGTCAAAACATGTCGCTGAGGACTTTGTCGCAGGGGTTGACTTACCCTTGCGCTTCATTGCCCAAACAAACTCGACATCTGGAAATTCAGATGAATCAAACGAATTCAAAAGGCGATTCATTAGACCAAAAGTGAACGCAGCTCCGCTTCCTCCAGCAATTAGGATCAATTTGTCGTACTTTTCTGCTTTCGGACATGATCCATATGGTCCGTCAAATGAAGCCCAGGAGGTATGTCGGTGATGCTGTGCTGCGAAGCTGCTAACCGCTTTGGTGAAACCTTGGTACGGCTTCATCACGAGCTCCAAGCCAGAAGGCCCGTTACTAACGATTGTGAAAGGGTGTGTCTCAAAAAGTCGAATCTTTGGAACCCAAAGAAAACAATGGGACCCTGGTAGAGCGACCTCAGCATCCGATTTTCGGAGAAGAATCCGTACGCCCCCGCCTGGAAGCGCATAGAATGTGGCATAGTTGTTAACAGAGTTAGAAGCCATCCTTAGACCTCGAATGATGCGATCCGACAGCCACATTCCAGTAATGAATAACATGACCACGTTGAGCTTCTTTGCCCAATCTGGTCTGTGAAGAGCTGTTAAAATAACAGCTGCAGTAAAACCGGCGACGTGGCTCAAGTAGAAAAACTCGTACCCGACTTTTCTCAAAGTTCCCATAAGCAAGACTAACATGGCAAACCCAGCTCCAATGCCATCCAAATTCTCCTCCTTCAGCAGAGTCACCCAACGACCCTGGCGGCCGAAGTGTACTGTTTACAAAATTGCATGAAGAATAACCAAGAAAACGGCCGTATATCCTACAATGCGATGCAGAATATTAAGCTGGATATGGCTCCATGATGTAATCAGAGCCATCGGAGTGTTCCTTAGACCGAAAAAGGTACACAACGCCATATTAGCAGCAGCCATCCTAAGAGGTATTAGTTAGAGTGTGAACCCTACACAATGTAACTCAAAAAGAATTAACTACCATCCGAATCGTGAAGCCCAGTGGTTTACTTGATTGAGAGCTAGAATGGTTGAGGAGAGAGCGACGTTGCCCAAGAGGTAAAACTGGTAAATGGCAAGTACTACCAAGAGTCCGAACGTTGGCCGCCCAAACCAACCAAACTCTGCACGTCTGGTCGAATACCTGTAATTGTTCAGTATCTCAAGAATAAATTGGACCTCGTTTGTACTTACTGGAAGATATCAAGATAGATCTGCCTGCCACAGCCCCTCAAGCTCTGGCAGGTCCTCGGACTGGGTTTGCGGCAAACTTCACGTAACCAGCGGGCTGCGATGACCAGCAGTATGATACTAAAAAGAAACGCGGCGTATATTTTCAGAGCCTTCTCATTGCAGAGCTGCTTTAAGCTTGGATCCTTAGTAGTATACACCATCTTTACGGTCGCGGTGCTGAGAAACGTGTAGCGTCGAAACTGAAACTGCAGACCAGGTTGAGATCTGCCCTGATTGATAAGATAACTGGTATACACTGATTGATAAGATTATGCTAGAATCGGATTCAAAGCAACTCAACAAGAAGCTAACGACATCGCAAAAAGCACGGTAGAGTGGAACTTCCAGATGTGGATACCCTAGTAGGGGTATCGACATGGGTAGATCTTTCACAGTGAATAATGGACCCTGGCCGTAATCCCAGTCGTCAGGGATAAGCCCCACCAAAGATTTCTCGCGGTGAAATTTGGGGACTTTCGTGTTGCGAACTGCCAAGTCTTGTATCGGGACAAAGTCAGTCAACACCGCCAATGGTGGGCTACCACCAAGCAGCTGTAGAGATCTGGCTAAGCATTTTACTCTTGATATTTGTGATAGCGAGGTTTCAATATGATTTAATTTCCATCGATGGACTGGATTCTGTCCAAACTAAATGGAGTACTTTGGGCAAAGCAGATTTTGTGCTCAATTGCTTGCCGAGGCAATTGTACCTTACATTTGGCCTAGTAGTTACATGATATCAGACTCCTCTTCTCACTGACTCCTACAGGGTCTTGCAGCAATTGATGCGACATCTCTCTGTCTAACGTGGGATTTTACTCGATACTGGATCAATTGTACATGTTCACATCATCAATCCACCAAAGAACAACCCAATTGATGACTGCAAGAACACCCAGAAGCCATAGCGGTAAACCAACAAATTCATGGCCCAGGCCCCAGCCGAGCATCACGCCGCCCATCGTCGGCCCCATGATACGTGCTGCGCTCGAGATACTAGACGCCAAACCATGCACTGTCCCAAGTAGACTCGGGCTCGGCGCACAATCATTGACGAGCATCATAGTCGCCGGGTTGACAAATGTCCTGGCTAATACATGCATCGTCAGAACCACCGACAAACCCTAAGCCAACGTCAGAAGGCAACAGAACGAGGTAAGGTAAGGCAAAGTATGCGGCGATGCTGAGTGGCAAGAACACGCGGTACGAGCCTCTGACGCCGAAAATGTTAATAAGTCTGGGGTAGACAAGTAGCTGGAGTGGCAATCCAATCATGCCAATAGTCGTGTTGGCCAGGCCAATTTTCTTACTGGAGAGGCCAAGGCCACCACTGAATCTAAACGGTAAATGGGCGCTATTATTATCGGCCCTGGGAGTGGGCAGAAGACTGAACAAGATCGAGTTGAAGGCTGAAACATGCAGAGACTGGAGGAAGCGCTGTAGCATGTTCAGACAGACAGCTCTAGTAAAAACCTTCCGGAATGGAACTCTTGTTCTTTCTTTAAGAATGATGGGGGTTGCTTCCGCCTCCTCGTCCAGAAACGGACCAATTGGTACTGCGGGAGCCTGGCTAGGTAGTTGGTCGTATTGGTGGTCCGGCGACCAAAGCTTCAGAACTTTTTGTGTCATATGCTTGCCGAATTTGCGTCCGATATCTGATTTATGTCGTAGTTGGGGGTGAGTCTCATCTAATCCAACTATAATACTCAACGCTGCCGTGGCCAATATGACAGCACATAGTAAGTTTGGGGGGGCGAATGGGAAGGTTTGAAGCCATCGAACGCCATCGGCGCCGCCAAAAAAGGTGCCTGGTCCAAAAGTGCCCGGCAGCGTATGGACGGGGTCAGCTAGAAAACCACTCAGAAGTGGCCCTATGATGACACCGACATTGAAGCACATCGGCAGGAGAAGAAAGGCTCGAGATTGGTGTCTGTGATCATGTTAGATACACGTTCTAATCTCATTCCAAGTGGGATAATTCGACATACCGTTTATTGACAACAATTTCAGAAACCATTGTGCGAAGCACACCAACATTCCCGTTAAGGGCTCCAGCACAAAATCGAAAGAAGAATGCGGCCGCTAGAGACCGTGAGAAGCCCATCCCCAAAGCAGACATCGCTGAGCCAGTGAGCCCAATCAACAAAACCCGTTTGCGGCCCAGTTGAGGGTTGTCTGCAGCATGACCCCACCAGATGGATGTGATGCACTGCGCAGCTGCAAAAACAGCAGTAAGGTAACCAGCTTGCTTTGGAATCTCGGAAGGATCGAGGTCCGGATTGAACCATTGTAATTGGAAGAAAAGATATGATGTCAAAGAACGCTCACTCAATGGCTCTGCTAACCGGGCAAAGACAATGACGGCAAGTCGCCCTTTGTTGGGCAAAGAAGCCCAAGAACTCGCATGAGATTCCTTCGAAACTGTTGTACTTTGATAGTCTTGAAGAAGTGGAGTCTGTTCGGAGGACTTGGATGCTGGTGGGCGCTTGTCGGGCCTAGCAACTGCAAAGGACCATGGGCGGCGCATGGCTGGTATCTATCAGCAAATTCCAGCATGCGTCGTATGGAAGTATTTTGATGAATGAAAAGATTCTGTAAGAAGAGAATCGTGAAGAAATTCAGTCTGGCGGTCTGCTACGGTAAAACTGTGGTCTATGTTAAGCTAAACCTATTTTCTTTTGTCTCCATTGGACTCCAGGTAGCTCACAGGGTCCTTGAAGTTTGAAAGTCCAACAAGTGGGTAAATTATGTGAGGTCCTTGGTGCCAATCACCAGCCCTGCTATTGTACATTGCTATCCGTACAGTGCAAAGTGACCCGAAGTGGGGAGAGGTGTGATCGGAAGTTGACAACTCCGAGTAAGACCGAGAATAAGAGGTGGAGTTCAAAATTCGCAAATTGGTCTGCAATCTGGTGAGATGCATTTGCGCCTCTTATGCCCCAAGTTTGATTCTCAACCCATGTGCAATGGCTACTCTGGCTACTACTGCATGCACCTGCCGGTCGGTTGAAATCTTGGACCAGGAGTTTGACGAGGCCCAAGCTAGGACTCTGATCCCTGCCTTGAATTCTCACTTAGGACATCTGCGCCGTCTTCTTGCAAAGTCCAAGGCACTCTCCCATGCTGTACAATACCATATCACACCACGCCATCAGAGAACAATCAAAGCATTATCTGTTGGTTCGGTTGATCTCCAACCTATTAATGAGTTGCAACAGCAATTTGGAGAGAAACTTGGTGAGTTTTGGACCGTGTCTGCTAAAAATGTCAACGCCGAACTGCGTAGGCGGCTCGCCTGCGTCGTAGTATTTCTCAGCTCGAAGTTAGATACGCAGGCGATAGTGCCTCCGCAACTCGCTTATCTATTTCCCGGTAAACACTGCTACTCAGACATTCGAAATTCTGGCAGAAAGTACATTCAAATTGCGCAAAAATTGCGCGACCTTGGGGCCATTCTTTGGCTTCCACTAGAAATCCCTCCTTCAACGTAAGACGAACTACCCGGCCAACGATCCCACGAAGTGCTTACACTGCGAAGATACGAAAGATACATAAGTCTAGACGATGAAGATATTTTCAGTCACTTAATTTCACTTGCTCCACATCTTGAACAGTATACGGGGTTCGTTAAGCGACTGATCCTACACCAATTACGCGGTAAGAGCAACGTGTGTCACGCCATTCATAAAGATTGTTAACTTTTGGGTCAAGAAACCACGTTATTACCCTCATACTACAATCTAGTTGTCGATTATGCAGATCTCATTGGGGGCTCAGACCAGCTTCTGCTCCTACTTCACGTCCTCGGGGGAAAGGCTATTCCTGAAATGTTGCTGACCAACGTTTCTTTTCCGCAACGGAGATGGAACAAGGAAGGGGAGGTGGAAAATGTCAGCATTTACGAAATCGGCCTCCCCAATGAACTTGTCAAACTCTTATTAGACCCCGCAGCTCTTTCACGCGCGAGAACAAGTCCCTACATCATAAAAGAAACTCTGGATGACGCCACATCGACCCTGTCCTTGTGTCCTGGGTTATCTTCGAGATTGACTCGCGTTTTACTCCCTCGAACTATAAACGAATATGGAATCACGGCAGTCAAGCTATTGTGCTTTGTTTGCCAACCATGCTACGAGGGCAACATAGACTGGTATGATGTGATTAGCTCTCGAAACTTGTCAAACAGCGCTTACACAACACACAGGTCCCCCTCACAGAAAGAATACATTTGGCCAATCATAGAGAAAGCTATAACAACGTACAAGGTCCCGACAGCGCTCAGAGAACAGGTTCTAGAGGTTACTCTGTTCTTCGCCGAAAGGGACTGGGTTGGCATTCGTCACGCTGCAGTCAACCGTGCTCAAGCGCTTCTGCGCAAATCGATGCCATACTATCTTCTTGCTTCAGTTGTGCTATTTCGTAGCACTTTATACCGCATAGACGGAGAGTTCGCTAAGTCAGAGGCACATGTACGCGAGTTTATGTGGCGAGGTCCGCATCCCAGCACTCGCCGGGACCATGCGCTGCAAGGACGTCTACACATTTCTCAAGTGGAGAATAAGATTAGATGTTTCGATAATAATGTGCCCTCGTTAATGTACGAATGGACGTCAAAGTCGCCGATATCAACCTTGGAGCTTGAGGTAACTTTCAGGCTTCAGAGTACTGTGGCCCGCTTTTTTCAATCTGTTGGCGATTTCAGTGCGGCAAAGGCTTCCTTGGAACAAATTTTGTCCCTTAACCAAGCGAAACCTATCCGTGGTAACACACGCCGAGTTTTAGCTGGGAGGCTTGCTGATTTATACTGCGAGATGGAGGAGTATGGTAAGGCTATGGAGATGCTCCAGTCTGAATTTCACAGTATAGACAAAGCCGCACGTGCACGACGTCCCTTCAGACGGCTCTTACTTGCGTCTGTTGATGCCAGTATTGGAATGCAAAGGTTCAATGCCGCGGGGCAAGCTCTAGAAGAACTCAAATACGCCGAGCCTCTCGGATTGGATAACCTGCACGACCAGCAACTACACATGCGTGCATTCATCTCCAAGGCCCGTATGGCTCACGTCGAAGCCGATCTTGACAAGGCTGTGCTACTTTGGAAAGTTGCGCTTCACGAGGTTCAGCGCATGCACACTCTGGGGTCAGGGTACGGCTTCACTGCCGCATTAATACAGCTTTCTTTGGCTCACGCCCAGCTTGCCACTGGTGACCATATTAACGGCGCGAGGTCGTGGGCTGCTGGGTCGGAAATACTAAGAAGCCAAATTTGCGAGTTTTGGCTCCCGGTTGTACCTACTGCCTGGCTACAAAGAATAGTTAGGGATGTTCACGAGTCTCATGGATGGTTCTTGCGTATGATGCTACCAGGCTCGAAGTCTGACATTGTGTTACCTTAAACTTGCTGATGAATTAAAATTTCCCTCTCTCCTCCCAATGAACATCTCAAAAAGGTTTACTGCACAACAAAAGTCTAAATTATCAGGACTGGGAAGGAAGAAGCGTTTCCTGTCCACTGATGATTTATTATAATCGATGTACGCGAAAATGATTACATGATGCCGGATGGTGTAACCTTTACCACGTAACATTAAAGCATATAACTTTGTAATTAGTCGGGTCTGGCTTCACCGTTAGAAATGTAGCTTAATTACCCCCCTAAGAATAATGACATGCGCAGAGACTCTTAAGCAGCACCTTAGGTCGTAACCAAGTTGGTTCTACTTGCTATACAGTAACACTTAGAATAAGAGCACAATAAGTCAACCCGAAATGAATTATTTTCCGGTGGGATGCCGATGCAACTTAGAATGCGATAAGTTCATAAAGTTGTGCGGCAGTTGCTTCAATCAAATAGGTGATATACCGAAGCATTGATGTGTTGACATATCTTGTTACAGATCATCATAGGCCCAGTTAACTTTGGCCTATTTGAAATTGATGGGATAGTGGAGAGTTGCTCAAGTCTCCCTATGAGTTTGACATGCATGCGTCTGGAAAAATCAACGGCTAATAGGGTGATTACAGAGAGCAGACATCATCGGCAACTTAAATTGTCATCTAGGTCAACCAAATAGAACTGTGCTTTGCCCTTGTATGTATTTATAGTTCTGCTCTGGATGCCACCTGAGGCTATTGCCCTGTCTGGATAACCAGATCCAATGATATCCGAGCTTTAGAAGCAGCTAGTTAATTTCATTGTTTTCACCTGCCACGTGTATGTAAAATTCCACGTGTGACATCTGACTGTACACAATTCTGCAGTTTCAAGAGTTTGACAGTTGAATTCTAAGCTTTGCAGCGGCTCTAGATGTTTCTCGAACCTTTGACCGGTCTAACTCTTGATTTCTGTTTTGAAACCCAACCTTGCCAACTTTACGTAGTATCTCTGTAACATTGTGGATATTTGTTCGAGTCAGGGTTGTCATTAACTCCATTAAATACTATGGGAAGCGAGATAAAGGGGGAGGCACTATTGCCAGCACGAGTCATTGCCAGCTCGAGAGTCAAGTAAAGCAGTGCGACTCCGACCTTGCTTGAGTCAACAGTCAAAGATGATGGCTTTAATATTCATCCGTTCCCCCCTTTCTCCTTGCGGAACACTTCCGCTGTTGTTTGTTCCCCTTCAGAAGCACAGCCAAGTCAAATCAGTTTGACAATCTTTTGGGGATGCTGACTTCCCAAACGCGGTCGCAAGATGACCTCTTACATCAAAATGGCTGTTTTGCCAGACGTTAGAGGATACCTGATTGTGAACTCAATAGTAGTAAGCTTGACGGTTGTGGTCGTTGCGCTGAGAGTTGCATCTCGGATACTGGCCGGAGCAAAACTAGGCTGGGATGATTATTTTACTATACTGGCCGTACCCCAAGGTATTGCCATGTTAGTTTTACAGGGACTATGTGAGTCAAAAGCTACAATTCGGATCAGTTACAGAGAAATTCTAAATTTCAAGCTTAGGGACCTCCGCCGGTCTTGGATACGAGTTTACAGAAATTGGTGACAACTGGGCTTTTGTGGACTCGGTTAGTTTTCTTTCACATGACCCCAGCTAGAAGACTTTAGTATTCAAATCACTAACAAATAAGCATTCAAGCTTTTCCTTCCTTTCGAAACCATTTTCGGAGTTGTAAGCTTGACAACCAAACTCGGCGTATTATTTTTCTACTTTCGAGTTTTCACCAGCCGCCCCATGCAGCATGCGACTAGATTGACCTTTGCAATTGTCATCATATGGGGTATTGGGAACATCCTTCAAACCATACTTGTCTGTCATATCACAGATGGGAAGTGGCATGCTACAAATCCTGACATCTGTCGGGAGCACGAAGCCAGCATCCTTTCCACCGGCTTGTTTAACTGCATTGCCAACACATTGATTATGCTTGTGCCACTATACACGATCTGGACACTGAAAAAAGTCGGCATCTCAACCCGATGGGGTCTCAGCGCAGTCTTTTTGTTGAATCTCATGTGCGTACTCTCTGTTCAGGGATCAGGCCTGGAAGCTGGATCTTGAGATCAACAAGCTAATTATCTTCCAGCGCTATTATTGCTTCTGTTGTAAGGATTGCCATGATGATGGACGTCCATAGTCTATCACAGGTTATGAAGAATTTGGCAATAACGACTTTTCTTACGGTTTTGGAGACACATTTGACTATTTTGTGCAACAGTCTTCCAATGCTTTTGCCATTATGGGCCTTCTGGAGACATCGACGATTTGATACTGACGAATATGTATCAAGACTCGGTGGCAACAGCCAATCGTGCAAGCATGAGCATCTGGTAGAAGACCTCACTAATGGCATACCGCTTGAAACTATGTATGGAAAAAGTGTCTCACATTTCACCACAACAGTGGGGCGGGGTACTTCAAGAAGGAATTCGGATAATGACCAGGACTCTGACAGTTTATCGCAAACGGAGTCTACCAGGAGGCTTCCCAGTAATGCACAAGCTATTACAGTAGAAACAAAATGGTCAATAAAGGAGGAAACAACCAAATAGTCGGAATATCCAAGTTGAACGATATCAACGAAGATCCAAATTACCCTCCGTGTGATTCTTACAAAATTGGGATAATTATTAACGAAGAAGCTATTTCGTATCAACTTAGGGTTTCTTTCCCATGTTTTATTTTGCTCTAACTTGAAAAGGTGTATAGAAATGATGCTTAGCCTAACACTGCAGCCAGTTTTACCATTCCAAGGCTTCCACAAGTCAAGACTTTTTAATTCTTGTTAACTTTTGAGCTCGCATATCTATGAATAGTTAGTACATTTTCTAGTAAAAAGAGCTTTTTGTAGCGCAATCTCAAGAAGGGCTTTTCAAAAGTCCCTTAACTTTGAATAAAACGCACGAATTCTAGTCTCGGGACCCAATGATGTTATTGATGCTACACCAGGGTGGCGAATATCTTACTGAACCAAGCTGGTTACTTCACTTACACCAAGAGGGATTTCCCACGAAGTTTCACGAACTTCGGTATATTGATTTCTCTCGCCGTTCTCCACGTTTCTAGGATATTAATGTCCAAGTCCCTGTTACCTTTAGTTCGATTCGATGACGCAGTTGTTGTGCAAAATAAGGTAGATCCACAATCATAGCATATCTGTTGCGATAGTTGGAATACGGAGCCGTGTGGCACTTCCAGCCACACGCCCGCCAGGCTGAGAGGCCCAAGCCTCCCAGACCCACGTGACAGGCCAAGGGGGAATATCCCCACCTTCTAGTCAACAACACCACTTTCAACAATCATGAACCATCGATTAGAACCAATTTACTGTTATTTGTTATTGACGAACGGAATTCCGTTTCACCCCCTGTTTCACCCCCTGTGAAACCTACACTGATCAGTGGTAAACCTCACAGTTGCCATTAATTTGGTTAACTTCACAATTACCACTCTGCTACGGACAAACCGCAGATCAGCAAGGTCAACACCAGAAGAGACGACTTCTTGAACTGGATACCCAAGCCCAGGTAAAAGTAGGGATTTCGTGCTAACGAGAGAAGAAGCGAGAGTAACTGGGATCTACGGAAACCAGCAGAAGAAAGCTTCTTTTCCTCGAATCTACCAGCAATCCGATTATTCGAGTAACCTAGGGACTGCTACGCTCACCCTGGGCGGGATAAGGTTAATCGCAGCCAATTATCGCTGGCAAGAGCGTTCCATCACGCGTTTTCAATCACCAGAAGAAGAGACCTACCGAATCGACGGTCTTCCAACCTCTTCACGCCACAAGGGCGAAGATTCACGAATCCCACAAGGGACAACAACTTCCCCAACTACAACTATCCCCCACGCGCGGTGCCAATCACGAGGCGCCCGCTAGTTTCTCAATAAATCCCCAGACGAGGTGCCAACCGCGAGGCGCCTGCCACAAGAGACCTCCCTACCAGAAGAAGAACACGCCGAAAGGCGAGCGGAGACTACCGGCGGTAATCCGCCTATACAGCTATACGTATACGCCTCCGAGGCTGCGGCTTAGGAGAAACGCACGTGGTTGTGGGCGTCATAAGGCCAACTGTCCGCTAGATTCTAAACTTCCCAACAGTGAGGAGCGAAGCCCGAAGCGAGAAAGAGAGATTCACGAGAGAATCTACGAAGTAATCCTTTTATACTGTCAGAATGGAGCGAAATTCACGAGAAGGATCGCCCGCGAGCGGCGTCACTGCCAAAAGCCAATCAACAGTCCCCATCCCACAGAGAATCGAAAGTATGATCGATCCAGCAGTATGGGGCAACTGGGCAATCGACCTTACAAACGCTAGCCCACAGCAACTGGGTTCCTATATGGGTTTCCTACTTGAGACCTATGAGAAGAGGAATCTCACGGGCCTCGAGCTATGGAACGAAGTTTCTCCCGATTTCGCCGACTGGTCAGAAGAAGACTTCCAGAACGTACCTCCCCCAATCCTACGATTCTTCAGAGACCATTTAATCGGTAACGGCGTCTACGTCGAAATGGATGGCAAGAAAATCTCGAAAAACGTGGCATTAGCCCTCAAAAAGGAAGAATTCCACTACTGGTCACCCCAAGAACTCGAACAAGGCGTCAAGAGATATCGCAACCTGAAGGCTCTGATAAAAGACCCCGAATTCCACGAAGAGATCACGAGACCGGCAACAGTAGCCAACAGCACAGGAGGAAGAGTCGAACCAACCCTACAGCCACCTCCTCCACAAGAACAACAACAGTGGCAACTACCGTACCGACCGCCACATCCCACGGTCTCTCCGTTAACAGACTTCCAACCATACGAGTCAACAGACCGTATCGGAAAGCAATTAACAGAATTCGCGAAACTGTACCCCGACGATATGAAATACAGCGGCGATATGTACGATGTACTCGAAAAGAAGATGCCAGTATTCGTGGATCACTGTAGAATGCTGGGAATTCACACCTCCCAATACAACAGGGCACTTCCCCTAATACTGAAAGGAATAGCCAAAACCTACTTCTACGCCTCGATTAAAGTGATCAACCCACAGCCCAACTTCGAGACCATGATCAACCAATTGAAATCACACTTCGAGACTAGGGAAAGGCAACAAGCGTACGTTACGCAGTGGAATACAACTACTCTTCCCCAAATCATTCGCGATAACCCTGGAAAGACCAAATCGGAGTGTTTTGACATACTATGTGACAAATTAAGCAAGATTCAGCCCGGTTTGCCACAACAGGATCACAACGACCGATCCCTCCATACCCAACTTCTACACGCTTGTAGAGATATTCCAGAGTGTGCAATGGCGTTATTTGTACCGGCTGAGACGTACGAGGGACTTCGCAGCCAATTAATCTCGTCGATCGAGACAGCTACCCGTCTCAACCAACAACAATTCAACACAGTAGCCAACCCACCAGAGCAGTACTGGACCGACAGAACTTTCAACGGTCGAGGGCGTTATTCACGATACAGTCGTTCATCACGAAGTCGATCATCACGAGGAAGAAGCCGTGACAGACCCCTATTACCGCCAACGCCTAAGAAGTGCTACGTGTGTGGAAAACCTAACTGCTGGTCAACCAAACACACCACAGAAGAGAGACGAAAAGCGTACGAGAAGTTCAAAACCACCCAATATGCCCAGGATACGTCACTTCCAGCATATGGCCAATTTCTCGTCCAATACGAGGGTTTCGACGGGTTAGACCTACAACCTACCGCCGAAGACCCCCAGCAATACTACCACGTAACCGAACAAACCAGTGAAAGTGACGAAGAGGAAGAGACCGGCAGCGACAGTCAATTCCAGGTCACCGCCTATTTCACTACAACAGCAATTGACGGCAACAGGATCGCCACGATCCTAGCAGACCAGTCAACCCGCCATGCTATTACGAAAGAAGACCTCTTCCGCAACCAACCAGAACCGAAAGAGCTACCTTCGCAATTCACACTCGAGGGACGCTACTCTGCCCAGAACTTCCAAGGGATCATGCCCGACTCGGGCGCAGCAGGATTCTCAACCGCTGGCCACCCACAATTCGTGGCCCTACAACAAATTTACGAAGGAATTACGTTAAACACTGAGGCGGCTGGCGGCGTTACAGTGAAATTCGGCGATGGGATACCACTGGAGTCTATAGGGACTACCAAAGTGCCAACGCCGTTTGGAAGCGTCAAATTTCACGTTATTGAGACTAACACTCCCTTCCTTATGTGCCTAGGAGATATGGACCGATTGAAGGTCTACTTTAACAACGTTACGAATACCCTCATCCAAGGAAATAAGGTCGTACCTATTATTCGCAAATGGGGCCACCCATGGTTATTACTCGATAAGGAGAAACCACTCGCCTGGAACCACCTCACAGACGCTGAATTGCGACGGGTTCACCGTCGCTTCGGACACCCATCTGTTCAACGATTACACAAGGTGCTCCAGAGGGCCGGCCACCCAGTTGAAATTACGGCAATTGAGCAACTATCGAAAGTCTGCCATCGATGCCAAATGCACGCACCAGCGCCATCACGGTTCAAATTCACGTTACGAGACGATTACGAATTCAACTACGAGGTTATCGCCGACGTGATGTACCTTGAGGGTAACAGACCGGTCCTCCACGTCGTCGATACCGCCACGGCGTTCAACGCCGCCCGGTTCCTTGAGGACATTTCTGCGAAAGCCACTTGGGAAGCCCTACGCCTCTGCTGGATAGATGTGTATCAGGGACCCCCAGACTGGCTAGTTACCGACGCTGGAACAAACTTCCGCTCAACAGAATTCCGAAACGCGGCGAGAGGAATGGCAATTGAAATCAAGGAAATTCCCATAGAAGCCCACAACAGTATTGGGAAAGTTGAACGATACCATACACCTCTAAGGAGGGCGTACGAAATCATCAGAGCAGAAGACCCAACAATTACGCCAGAATCAGCACTTCAAACAGCAGTCAAAGCAGTCAACGATACTGCTGGCCCGAACGGAATAGTGCCAACACTCTTGGTATTCGGCTCGTACCCACGAATTACCGACGATTCGCCGCCATCTCCCGAAGTCACAAGGCGGGCGAAAGCGATTAAGAAGGCGACGAGCGAAGTACGCGAACTTCACGCAAGGCGACAGGTGGCAGAAGCTATCGCCACCCGCAATGGCCCTGATACAGGGCCAATTGTTAATTTACCGCTACGGTCGCAAGTACGAGTATGGCGCGAAAAGAAGGGCTGGACCGGACCGTTTACTTTAGCAGCCATAAACGGCGAAACCTGTACTGTCGATACGCCACGTGGTCCGAAGACCTTCCGGTCTACCGTAGTCAAACCATACTACGAAGATCCCGATCAACCACCTAATTCCATCGCCGCGCCAGAAGAAGAAGAACCCGAAGCTGAGATACCGCAGCAGGAAGTAGTACGCGACGAAATTATCGTCGCCGGCGGAGGCAGTGAACCGGACGAACCGCAAGAGGCACCGGAGCCACCGAGAAGACGCCCGGGCAGACCCCGGAAGAGACCACTGCCAATCGCCCACTTCACAGAGGAATTCAACGATGACCCGGATTATCAACAAATATTCCTATCGATTAAGGAGCAAGCAGACGAAGAATTAGCAATCAAACTACGACGAGAAGGTGTTATTACTACACCAGGCGAACCGTTCGAACAGTCAACTAAACAAGAGACCAACAGCCTCATCGCTAGAGGAGTGTTCAAATTCACCCAGTTCAATAAGAGAAGGCACCAGAACGTACGAATCTTCCGATCTCGTATCGTCAACGAAGTCAAGGGTAAAACAACCGAACCCTACGAGAAATCGAGACTTGTAATACAGGGTTACGCCGACGATGGCAAGAAGGCTATATTGACCCAATCGCCAACGATTCAGCGGGCGAGTCAACGGCTAATTCTGTCAATTACCCCGTCACTCCTACGAGAAGGGAAACAACTATGGCTTCGAGATATCACACAAGCCTACGTTCAATCCTCCACAAGGCTCAATCGTACTATTCTCGCCTACCCACCGAAGCAAATTCAAGACCAGTACCCAAAAGGGACCATTATGGAGGTTGTGAAGCCTCTGTACGGAATCGCAGAAGCTGGAACCCACTGGTAGGCAACGTATCACAAGCATCACAGAGAGAATCTCCAGATGGTTACTTCTTCGTACGATCCATGCCTATTGATCTCATCTACCGAAAATCCACACTTTGGCTGTATCGGCATGCAAACCGACGATACCCTCGGTTTGTCAGACAAGGCGTTCTCACAATTAGAAGACGAACAGTTAGAAAAAGCGGCTTTTACGGCAAAAGCGAAGAATATCCTCACAATTGACGAACCCCTCCAATTCAACGGAGGGATAATCGCGCTGTCAACCGACAATTCGATCAATTTGAGACAAAAGGGACAAGCCAAGAAGTTACGATGTATTGAGACTACTAAACCCAACCCAAAACAGCAATATGTCGAACAACGCGCCAGAGGGGCGTACATCGCGTCAATTTGCCAACCCGAGGCCTGTTTCGATTTATCCACTGCTGCCCAACACCAAGACCCCTCGCCAGAAGCGATAAAAGCACTGAATCAACGGATTCGATGGCAAATAGAATCGCCTAACCGAGGAATAACGTTTATCCCACTCGACCTTACAACAGCCAAGCTATTCGTTTTCGTTGACGGGTCGTTCGCTAATAACCACGACCTCTCCTCCCAATTAGGGTTTCTGATCATCCTAGCCAACGACACTTCCTCTGACAGCAACAACGGAGAATTCACGATTCACGGTAACCTCGTTCATTACAGCTCTACGAAGAGTAAACGAGTCACCCGCAGCGTATTAGCGTCAGAGATCTACGGGATGGTCGCTGGCGTCGATATGGCCTACGCCCTCGCCACAACCCTGGCGACAATCACTGACCACCTCAACCTACCAACGATTCAGACAGTTGTCTGTACCGATTCTTATTCGCTGTACGAGTGTCTCGTGAAGCTGGGCACTACCAAAGAAAAGCGACTCATGATCGATATCATGGCGTTGAGACAATCGTACGAAAGACGAGAACTACAAGAAATTCGTTGGATTAACGGCGAAGACAACCCTGCTGATGCCCTCACGAAGAGCAAACCAAATCGAGCCCTCGAGAGATTCGTTGATAGCAACACGATAACGATACGTATGGAGGGATGGGTAACAAGACCGTAACTACGGGAGAAAGTAGGGATAGGAGGCCGAATTGACGAGGAGACGGAACTGTATAGGGACAACGTATTCCAACCGCTTCAACACCATAAAAAGAGAGTTTCCAGTGTTGCGATAGTTGGAATACGGAGCCGTGTGGCACTTCCAGCCACACGCCCGCCAGGCTGAGAGGCCCAAGCCTCCCAGACCCACGTGACAGGCCAAGGGGGAATATCCCCACCTTCTAGTCAACAACACCACTTTCAACTATCATCATGAACCATCGATTAGAACCAATTTACTGTTATTTGTTATTGACGAACGGAATTCCGTTTCACCCCCTGTTTCACCCCCTGTGAAACCTACAATATCTGTTAGAACAGAGGGGGCATAACTATCAATACAGCGTACAACTCGTTAATAGATGAAATAGAAACATGAAAAACAATTCGGAGATGCACCAGCACGCTCTCAGAAGGCATTTTCAAAGACATAAACCCCCTAACACGTTTCGGCGCTGATGAGGTTCAGACAAGTAAAAATGTTGAGTTGCTTAAACTTTGAGGGTACTGACACACTAACCCTGTACCTTAGGCCGTTGGCTTGAGATTCGTGTCTCCTGCTGCGTCGAATCGGAATGGACGGTAACTTTTTAAAGTTACCCCTGTCATCTTAATATCCCCTCCATGTCGGAAGACGGTTGCGAAGTGCGCCAAGGCTAACTGGTGGGGAATACCGCCTCAAGCAGTTGTGCGGTCACAGGTAACCAACCAAGCAATAAAGAGGATTGCGATGCCTAACAACAGTACACCGTAACAACAATAATGAGTGATCCTATGGTTCAAGGACCTTTTCGTAAGGCCTCCAGTCCCAGCCTCTAGAGTATTATATAGCGGTCTATTACAGGCTATTCCATAGTGCTCTACCTGGTATTGATCGGCGCTGTGTCAGGTTTGTATCAACCAGGAAGAATATTGAGTCAGACTCTAACGACCCAGGCAAAACTCAAAAGAAGTATCCGTACTCCATTGCTTCAGGAGTTCCACTTACGGCAACTATTTAGGATGCGTATTTCCCACAATTTTTCGAAATCGTTCGAATAGAGTCAGCGACATTTGCACACTCCCTAAACAACATTTCAGCACCTCTCTTTTTCTTACCATCCTTCATTTAAAGATCAACACATTCAATACTTGAACCTCTTCTCCTTAGACAATTACTACAACATTACACTATGCAGTTTTCTACTATCATCTTCGCTCTTTTTGCAAGCGTAGCTTTTGCTAGTCCTGCTGCTATCGAAGCTCGCCAGAGCACGATTGTAAGCATTTGTAAATCTGTTTTCAATATAGACACGATAGCTAACCCTTTGCTGCAGTGCAATGAATGCCGCAAAGAATGCTTTTTCATCCCCGGAAGCGAAGCTAATTTCAAGAAATGCTTGGATAGATGCAATAAAGACATTGGATGCAACCTCACCCCATAAGCATCGCCAGCCACATATGGGCTTGTACTGTGAAAGACAAGAAGCAACGGCTGAAAAGCAACAGTAGACATGTCCAAAATGTGTATAGCTGTGCTCCAGACTGGGGTTCATGTTACTGGAGGACTTTGAATACATATCATTTTGCAATGTTCCTATTGCTTCGATTTCTTCCTTATTTTGCTCGTTAAACTTTACTGTCATGGATGCCCAGATTCACTTCTGCATTGTCAAGCTTTACATTGTAATTTGTCAGGCAGTTGAGGCTTACTAGCAGCTTATCGCTCTGGAAAGGAATCTAGAACCGCTAGCCCATTTGCAAAGCACACTATGTGATTGGATAGTCGGTAGACGATGGCCGTTTCGCAAAATGCCTGAGGCCTTGTTAAGCATATCGCATGCAGAGAGTGGAGCTCATGCAGATACAGCGTACTGTAATTACTGCTTCCTCGCGGTTTGGACTTGGTTTAGATTTCGGCAGGACTTATTAGCAAGTCTTGGACCTGAGCTTCGACCCAGCCTTTAGACTTGATTTTGCATCTGTGTGGGGACGACCCACATGCTGCACTACTATGTATGTACACAAGGCATCCTAGTCGCGTCGCTTTCCATCTTTTCAGCCGGTCGCAGGTGTCCATGTCTCATGACCACACGTTGGACAACTTAACAACCCGAAGGCGCGTCCGTGCCACCACACCTCCGAGCCGCAACCTATCGAACAATTAACAGACGCGAAGCAATCATCTATTGAGCTGAGTACCGTACGGAGTGAAGGAGTCAACAATACACAAACTTAGGGGTAGATTGTACTATCATTCGAATCTGCCTCCTCTACGCTTTCCCACACGTGTCTCTTTATCCTTTGAGCGGACCGTTGTAATTCCTGCCGTTGCTGCATCGGTGCCCTACCGGTGAACCTCCGGCCCCGAGCCCCGGTTTCCTTCTCGTAGTGCCCGCGTCTCTGACATCATCTTCAACCTGCACAACTTAGAATAGGCATATTTGATCAAATGTGGGGTTCTTGAACATCGCAACAGAAAATTCAAGAATTATAAAAATCATCGTGAAATAGAATTCACGAACTTTGCCGCAGAGCACTTCCGCTTGTCTGAAACACGAGTTTGCCATTTTCGCCGGGGCAGGAAATGCCCGTCTTATTACGAGCAAGATTTTACCGCGCACCGCTATTTATTTGACACAAATACAATTCTGCGTAGCTTATTAGAACATCTGTATTATCTAGCGTAACAAATGAAGCTAGAAAAAAACCTGGACCCTGTATTCTCCTTAGAGGAGAATTTTGACTGTCGACGCCTGAAATTAGAGCAGAACTACTCGTTGATTAAGAACCCTTTCTTTCGATATGAAACCGTGAAAGAAATCACGATTCTAGGCATCCTGTGTAGAAGAGATATCTGCGTTCACGTCAACTCAACGTATGGCGCATTCTTTAAAGGGACGGGAGACTTGACGAAGTAGACCTGCAATTATGCTGGTAGTGTTGTGGTTTAAGTACTTCATTTCAGTGTCTTGGAGATGCATAAGTACAAAAGCCCGTTGCTCAGAACAAGTTGACGTATATCGGCTGCGTCGCTCCACTGTATGTGCTAAAGTTTAGTACTATTTTAATTTCAGAAGAACTGATCAATTCACACTTAGAGCGCTATATTCTAAGGAGTAAACAGTTTGCCTTCGTCCGCGCACATGCTCCAATCTTGCTGGAATTGTACCAAGGTGTGGTAGTTTTTCGAATTCATACGTCCAGCTTTTTGGCTACTTTGAGCCGTATGCTCATTCACACAATGTCTCCTTTAATGGTCAGGCTTTTTTTTTTCTTCTTTTTTTTTTCTTTTTTTTTTTTTTTTTTTTTTGAGTAGTTGACCTTCGATACCAATCAAACCAAAACAACATAGTTATGCAAAATAAGTAAACCATCTCAAATTGATTATATTGTGTCCCGTTATATTTCTTCCATTGCTAAAGTAATAGACCGGTAAATAACCTCTTGCTTGGTTCACCAGTGAGTACCCTCCCTCCAACCATCATCTACCACAACACTGAAATCATTCTGACAAAGTTTGTCCATATCTAAGCCCTTACGGACTAGCCATTTTCCACCAAGGTGGAATGGCATTCCTGCCTGTTGGACCCTGTTTGGAATCGTCGAGAGAGCCTGTTGAACTATCTCCGATTGCAACCATCTATCGATTTCTGTGAGAGTTGCTGCCATGGTCTCCGGCTTTACCTCGCAGTCGCAAAAAGGCAGCTTGACTCGATCAAGTGTACCTGACATGCTCTCCAGTGCTATCTGTAAACCCTCGCAGCCCTCGGGCTCAGCAAAATGGACACCCACTTCAGACATGTAGTCATTCTGCCTGAGACGCACCACAGGTATACAAAGATACAAATTTGCAAGACGAGGAAAACGCCAGCAGAGTAGGCGGAGTGCGGAAGCCCACCAGCTCTTGTCTTGCTCGTAATAGTCATTAGAACCCCGGCTTCCTCCATGGAACACTGACCACGGCACTGCGAGATGCTCTATGCGCTTGCAGTCTTCCTCATTTGCAATGTCTGTCCATTGTTCGTCCTCATGAAAAAGAGGATCCAAGTCTGGTAGGAAAACCGTGTCAGAGGTGAAATTAAACCAGAAAAGTCGGGGGCGGTTGTCCTCGGCGCTGATTCTGAGTTCGGTAAATCTCCCAAGGCTCAATGCTACTTGACGAGACAATTGGCACACATAAAGCATGACAGGGCGGGCTGTCTGCACTGCTGCTGCGGGATAGGCTAGGATGCGTGTATGTGAAGCTGAGATATTGGGCGGTGTGGCGACTACGTCATTTGTTTCCTCGTCCTCTCGCGAGTCTTCCTCATCACTGATTATGGAAATGATTTTCTCTGCGCTGTCCGCTCCATCCTTGTTATAATCGTGCTGGTCTTGGACCAAGCCTTCAAGGACTTGCGGTTTGATGGAGTAGGCAGCAAAAGATTCCCATATCACTAACTGAACCTCTTTCGGGAACATTGAAAACTGAGGGAATGATGATAACATGACGGACGAAGTGGCGTTGGGTTACACTCCGGACCGCAGTTGTTATTAGTGGAGGGTTTGGGCTGCAGACAGTAAGCACTGTTTGGGGGGCGAGTGCTTTTTATACCTTGGTTTAAGGTAGAACACAGTCCCGCCGTATACTACTATGTAAATTTTGACCCAGCAAGGTACAAACCCCGCATACCAGCCCTATGCGTTTGTTACATCACCTCCCTTCGAAGGAATTGCCAGAAAAAATATGGATACTGCTATTGGTAGCCCAGAAAATTTGGGGGGCAGTTTTTACGAATGCAAGGCATGCAGCAGCTTTGCCAAAGTTTTCTCGGTCAGTACTGCGTAAATGATTACAGATTGCAAAAATTTGTTCGCCCAAAGATTGTTCCATCAAGATTTCAACGTTTTCACAGGCAATAAGTACAGGTCCAAACATGTTAATCCATCAAATTCTACCATGACCGTACAATGAATAAACTTCATGTGTTCTGTCCTTTACGTGTCTTGAATCTCTCAACATTGCTTCATAGTCGCTAGTGCAGTGCCTGACCCTGCCATGATTGCCCAGTGTCCTTTGTTTACCCTCCGGGTATTGTGAGAAATTCTGATTGAATCGACCTCTTTTATTGTTTCAATATCAGGTTCTAGAAATAATGAACGACTTCGGGATGATCATTATCACTTACTCGTTGGGTTAATGGCTTTAGTCTTTGCATAGTCAATGCAATCTGAATACTGTTTGCCTCCAATTGTCTTGGTCGTCATAACTGCAGTGATGCCTTGTCTAGACAGTTCGGTTTTGAAGAATAATCCCCACTGTCTAGACCGAAGCTTTTGTACGATCCCGACAGCCCTCTGTGCTTCGTCCAAAACGGTGGTCTGTGGAGCGGTGAGCGGTCTCGTTGCAATATCGTTTTTAATGTGGTCGGCGACCATTTCGAATATTTTGGACTGTGTTGGTCTATGCTGAGTGCCTGAAACGATCCGAAGTCTCTCATAGTCTTCAGTAGAACGAGTCAACCCTGCGTTGTTCAGAGCGTTTGCCATTTGATCGACCGAACCCAACGGAATGTTCGGCTTGGTTGCCCGGTTATTAATGAACTGAATGAATTCATTGAAGTCACAAGTATTTCCGATCCCTGATCCCTTGCAACCACTGGCGATATGCCTTGTTGGACCTTGGTTGGTGAGGACTTCAAGCTCATACGCCTTCCAGAAGAAGACACGTTCATAACCACCATACAGGTCTCGCGCCAGCGCCGGGGTCAAAATAAAGACGAGGAAGTAGACAAAATGCATGTTGGCCAAAAGAGATTGATTGAGTTGAGGAAGGAGAGGTCTACCAGTGTAAAAGACGTGCCATGTAGGGGTTTTTTACCTCTTTTAGTTACGTTGTCACAGGCGATATCTGTCAACCGGGTATGGAACTGTAGACATTGTCCTTCGTACTTGATCAGCTCCTAACGAGCCAAAAGATTTATGTCCTAATTGAGCATGGAATCCATCTTGTTGCTTTTATTGTCCTCATGACCCCTTAGTGGAAGGATCAATCAAACGTAAGGGGGCCTCTAGACGAATTAAAATGTAATGAAGGCATTGTGCCCAGACTCTATGATACTTGATCGGCATTTTGGCCCCCAAAAAGGCAATTGGGAGTCAATGAAGGCGACTTTTCATTCTAAGGTTTCATTGAAATAGCGATATTGTAACGTTGTCTAAGTCAGCCTTACGGGCATGCTCGTCAGCTTACATCCTAAAGTCAAAACACCATTATTGTCGTAATTTAACGAATAGATGCAAGACAGGTTTCGCTATGTAGACTACAAAAAAAAAAAAAAAAAAAAAAAGAAAGTTGATCGCCACGGTCGCATGACGTTAATTCGCAAGTCCCTTGCGGCAATCAATTAGGCTGCCTTCGCCCGGCTAGTGCCTGGATCTCGATCACAACTAAGATCATCCTCTCTTTTCTAGTTGTACAGAAAATGGAGACAAAAACTGGTGAGCAGAAGTACACTTATCACTTAATCTTAAGCCACATATAAACATTCGCAGCTGGAGATTTGGCTTACATGCCTTTGCTATCCTTTCAACCGAACACGAGCCTGAAGTATTCACGAACACTCTGAAGCATGCATCTCAAAACTCTCGCATCAGTCAGTCTTGTTGGCACTGTTAGTGCATCCTCAATTGTTTTATCCGACCCTTATCGAGCATGTCCCATCTCATGTGAGGATGCACCAATACAAGAGCAATGGACTCTTTGGGAATCAGTCGATCGCCTCAAATACTGCCCTTTTCCCATTTTGTTCGACACCAATCTCCACGCATCCCTCAATGGTTCCGAGGGACAAAGCCCCATTCGGGCTTGCCATATAGGAGACATTACGGCCAATGATACCCGTATGGCAGAACAAGCCTCGGGAGCTCTCTTAAAAACCGTCAGCCAAGACACTCTACCATCTGCAAAGTGCCCTAGTGAACCAAAAGCCAGCACTGCGGTAGCACAAACCGCGCTGTTGGAATCTGGGGATAAGGCGAACAAAGTTTCTTTTATTGCGGAGGCAGTTCTAAGCTATGTTCGAAAGTCACACGATTGCGCTAGGCCAACAATCATCTTTGGCCATGACCACGGGGTCGTCGTAGGGGCGTATGTTGGCCATATGATTACTGGAGAATCTGCGGCTGCAGGTCTCAAAATCCAAAACGAACACATTATACAAGTTTGTGGAGGTGACAGAAACTCCGCAAACACTATGGGCATAGCTACCAACACTGATGGCGACTTCACCGGCGTTCAAAATGCCCTCAAAGGCTGGAATGAGGCTGAGTGCGTTCCTGTCGTCGCTAGAACGGACAAAGAAAGAAAGATTGAACTCTCCGTCTATACAGAAAACACCGAGACAACCTTGCGTGCTCGCTTAACAAGCCTGCTTTCTCTTGGACGGAGAGCGGACTGCAGAACAATTCAAGTCAATTCAGGAGACGGCTGTGGGAGCCTCGCCAAGCGCTGCGGCATCTCTGGTCCCAACTTCGAAAAGTACAACAAAAAGACGAATCTCTGCAGTACTTTGCAGGTAGGGCAGCATGTTTGCTGCTCCAGCGGCTCACTGCCTAACCTCGTTCCAAAGCCGCAACCTAACGGCATATGCGCAAACATTCGGGTTGGCAACGGCGATTTCTGTGCGAAAATTGCGGCCGCACATCAGCTCACGGTCAAGCAAGTAGAGAATTTCAACTTGAAGAAAAGTACGTTAGTATCGCTCTGAGTATGTTTCTCTTTGGTACAAAGTTAACAATCTATGAATCAGCTTGGGGTTGGGGTGGATGTGACGCTCTTCAACCGGGGATGAAAATATGCCTCAGCTCCGGAGACGCTCCTCTACCTGCACCAGTCTCCAATGCCATGTGCGGTCCAACAAAGCCAGGAACAACACATCCTGGGGCAGGCAAAAACATCTCGATGCTCAATCCATGTCCGTTGAACGTGTGTTGTAATGTCTGGGGAAATTGCGGCCTAGATTCCAACTTTTGCAACATCCACCCGGCTAAAACTGGAAACCCTGGTACATCGGCTCCAAAGAAAAACAGCTGCATTTCAAACTGTGGCATGGACATAACCAACAACAAAACTGCACCCGAGAAGCACCGAAGTGTTGGCTACTTTGAAGGCTGGAATTACAACCGTCCTTGTCTTCATATGGATGCCGACAAAGTGGATCCAGGCAATTACGGCACCATCCATTTTTCATTTGCAGAGATCTCAACCAGCTTCGACGTAGTGATACCTAAAAGCGTTACCAAACAGTTTGAAATCTTTTCGAAAATGAAGACCGATCAACACAAGGTCCTTGCCTTTGGTGGCTGGGATTTCAGTACTCTGCCTGGAACCTTTCAAATTTTCAGAGACGCCGTCAAACCGGGGAATCGAGAAAAGTTCGCAACAAACTGCGTGAATTTTCTTAAGAAGCATAATCTTGATGGCCTCGATTTTGACTGGGAATATCCTGGTGCACCTGATATCCCCGGTATTCCACCGGGAGGTAGTGACGAGGGGCCCAATTACCTTGAGTTCTTGAAGCTTGTTAGGGCCAAATTGGCTTCTGGAAAGACGCTATCTATTGCGGCGCCGTCGTCGTATTGGTACCTGAAACAATTCCCCATCAAGGAGATGGCGCCTTATCTGGACTACATAGTCTACATGACCTATGACCTGCATGGTAAGTCACACAACTCTTTTTTGCCTTTTCTTTATCCATGCGGCATGCTAACAAGTGAAACCAGGCCAATGGGATTACGACAACAAATGGGCAAGCCCTGGATGTCCTGAGGGCAACTGTTTACGGTCCCACGTCAACCTGACCGAGACGATGCTGTCTCTCGCCATTGTCACAAAGGCCGGGGTTCCGGCACACAAAATATTAGTTGGCGTTAGCAGCTACGGGCGTTCCTTCAAGATGACAGACCCGAAATGCCACGGACCTAACTGTCATTTCGTTGGCGAGCTGTCTGCTGCAAAGAAAGGCGCCTGCACAGATACAGCTGGGTATATTGCAAATGCAGAAATCCTCAGCATTGTAGAGGATGGGCGATCCACCTGGGCCGAGTCACACCTTGACAACAAAGAAATGACTGATTACGTCGTCTATGACGATGGCGAGTGGGTAGCCTTTATGCTTCATCTCAACAAGTGGTTTCGCCAAGGCCTTTATTACGACCTCAACTTCGGAGGCATATCTGACTGGGCTGTGGACTTGCAAACCTTAGGGGAGGGTTCTTTCGGGGGCGGAGATGAGAACGACGACGAAAATATTGAGGCAAATTGCCCCGAAACCTTCGATTCTCTAGAAGCCATCGAAGAAGCAAAAGACGACATGGCTTTCCACTGCAAACACGTGTACACGTTACGCGTGTTGGAAAAAATGTTGAAAAGCTCCTTTGACTCATACGACAAACTCATCGAGGACGGCTACGATAAGAAATACAACCTCTACAAAGACGCTATAAAGAAAATGGCACCTGACACCTTGGTTGGATTTCTCAAAGACCGCAGCAATGATTTCTTCAACTGTGATGTGAGGGAACAAATCTATTGTTGCGACTGGTGTAAGTCACGATTCACAGATAAGGAGTGTCGTTACTGTGACAAAAACTGCAATGGATACAAAGACGAAGTCAAGCAGGTCAGAGAACGGTGCCCCTCAGATACATCTCTGGTAGGAACTTTGCCACCTTTGGAGCCGGGATACCACACTTATGCTGTAACATGGTTCCTCAAGTCGGGTAAAAAGGATGAATTCCTCGCCGCAGCACTCGCTGATGCAGGGCTACCATCTGACTGGATAGGTATGTCAAAGGACAAACAGCAACCAGTGGTATGTGCAGGCACCTGGGAGTGTGAGTGCGGGTCCGTTCCACTGGATGAATGCGAACATACGGGTTATTGGTATGACGCGCCCTATATTGCGCGGACAGATGACGACGGCGTTTCGAACCCAAAGGACTTCGTCGCAGATGCGATGAAGAACTTCACCAAGCTCGGCGCAGATCTCAAATCCGTTGCCGATGATATTGAGGCGTTTCTTCACATGGAAGACTCTCAACCTGGGGAGATTGTTGAAGCAGCCGCCCTGCCCATTCTTATGATGGACGAAGCCATTCAAAACATGAAGAAAGTGGAGGAGATTGGCGAGGAGATAGAGAAGGACAAGGAAAAAGAGTTCCTTACATGGTTCTTAACGTCCATATTGATGCTTGTACCGGTGGTCGGCCAGACTCTTGGTACGGTTGCTAGACTTGCAACAATTGGAAGAGCAATTGCCATGCTCGGGGAGGCCGGTGGAATCGCCTACGACGTGGCCAGCATTGTGGATGATCCTGACAACGCCCCCATGGCCGTTTTTGGGTTGATTCTGGGCGTTGGTGCGCTCAGAGACTCAGCTAAAGTAATCAAAGCGTCATCAGCGGCAAGAGGCATGTCGGCAAACGATTTGGGCAAGCTTGGAGGAAAGGTAGAAACAAGGATGACAACAATCAGCAGCGTCATTGGGCGCTCTTGCAGTCGGTGAGAAGGGTTGTGATTCGATAATCCCAGGCAACAGTTTAAATGGATTCTATTCAGGATAGTCAGATCAATTGGTGAAAATACATACTTGCTCTCTCTGTAACAGTTGGGTGTACTCTCAACTTGCCCTGTGGAATAGAGGTTAAAAACCACACGCAGAGTAGATGAACGCTACAAAAACGGAAGGCCAGTGCCAAAAGCCTAATCATCGTTCAAATTCTATCTTAGTCAGTGTAATGTGCCCAATTGTTCGAATAAAAACCTTACAAATGGTATTCATTTGTGGTAATATTTTGTATACTATTTCTTTAGCTTTTGAGTTTTGTCAACGCACAAATAACGCCCCTGGGTTCTATAGGATACTTGACCTTTCTTATAGCTTTTTCGTTTAATGCGATTCACTAGGCATCTATCACAGACTATCGCCACAAGTCAACCTTCAGCTTACTATGGTAAATTTGAGTTCTTCTCTCCGTCAAGGTACTCCATCATAGGAAGTAAAGGTAATTTCACTTGCATGATTGTTTTTCCTCGAGGGACGGGACATTTGACTTCCACTCCAAAGTTATATCTTCATAATATAGTCAAGTAATCAAAGAGTAATTACATTTCAACCAGTTATCGCTGATTGTGCTGGTTCCACAAACCACAGCTTCAGCCCAGAAAGGGCAGTTCTCAATACACTGAGAAACTCAGAGGTTCTTGTTCAGGCTATTCTCATGCATACAGTAGTACGCTTACTGGTACTGAGCGCGGTAGCTGTCCCAGTAAGAGTGGATACGAGCCTCCTGGCCATCGGTGAAGTGGGTGAAGCAGGCACTAGATTGTTATCAGCATAAGAACTTCAAGCACGATTGGCAGTCAAGAGTCACTTACTCATCGGAGTAGTCCATGTAGTTGGTGACAGGGTCGGTTCCAGCAAGGGTGGGGCAGGTGTCACGGCCAATCTGGCAGTCATAAGCCTCCTCAGACTCGAAAGGAGTGTCAGAAACGTAGTCGCCGTTGCCTCCGCACTGGTAACCCTGGAAAGTGTGGTAAACTGATAGCCGTATTAGCTTGAATTCAATTGTTGGTTACTAAATATTTCATATCACTTACGTCCGAGCCAGTGGCCAATCTCGTGAGTAGCGGTGTGGCCGAGGTTGTACTTGGTCAAGCTACCTCCAGGGACGGAAGTGGAGCGAATGACAACACCGTCATAGTAGAAAGCAGAAGAGCCGGTGGTGACGGTCTGGGGGAAGTAGGCGTATCCAAGGTAGGGGGTGCCAGGGAGGAAGTAGACGTTCAGATCAGCGTAAGTGCCCTTGCGGAGCGATCGCTTCATGGTCAACTCAGCCCTATCAGCAGCCCAGTTGGTGTTCACGGTCCAGTCAGCACCAGCCTGGGCGAACTGCACGTCGTGGGGGGCAAAAGCCGTGTTCAGGACAGCGAGTTGGCGGTCAAGGGTAGCCTGGGTAAGGTACCCGCCGCTGACGGAGTTGGATGAAGCAATGACGTGCCAGTAGACGTTGACGTTGATGGGGGCAAGGCGAGTGGCATTGCCATCGACACGAGCATTCTCTTCCTTAAGCTGGAAGCGCTGAGCAACCTCGATTTGCTCCTCGGAAGGAGAAGGGGTACCGCAAGAACGCTGGGCAACAACCCCGGAAGCGGCTGCAAGGGCCGAGAGAATGAGAGTCTTGAACTGCATCTTGAGGAGAGGACCGGACACCTGACTAGAGAGAACCTTGACTGTGAAGAGTGGGATGGGAATGAGAGCAAGACACCTTGATGGCTGATGTTTTTAGGAGTTTATATAACTATCGTCATCCTGTTGTCGTCCTCACATGTTCGCGGACATACGACGGCATTCAGCGCAACTGGATTTTCAACCTTCCTCAAACGGAACAGACCGAAAGCCTGCATCTAACAACGGACTACTTCGCGGCATACAAACTGGATCAAGTGCAGCTGTTGTCATAGCGAGTGCGATAATAAGTGGTTCCAATGGGTTTGTGCCAGGGAGTTGATTCATGCTTAAGCATATTTCACCTGCTTAGTTTGTTAGGTCGTACGCGCTTGAATTGACGACACCCGCCAAAACCTTTACGTGATTAGTCGCTTGGTCGGCTTCTCGTGAGTTGCCAAGAGAAATCACGGCTTTTGAAATGGTTTGGGAAATGCCAAGACGGTGACCATGGCCAAGTCTGGCACTATTGCCTGGCTCTAGTTCGTATCCCCTACAGTCTTCAGATTAACAAAATAATACCTCGTTATCGACTTGCCTAATACGCAAATCGGGGCCCATTTATTGGCCAGCATCACGCACAACTCAGTTCACTCGCGCGTATTACTGATCCCACCTAAATTCTTGGCTTTTGGTGTTCAGAGTGTCTGCGTGATAGGGATTGGCCCAAATAGAGCTGGTTTCCAAGAGTGTTAGGCATAGCCGATCACCGAAATGCTACCTTCCTTACTTCGTAATACAATCCTTGTTCTGCTAACAAATCAGAGAGAGTCGTCTTCAAGTCCCCCACTAACCCAACCCACATCCCGAGTCAAGGAAAAAGCCGCACGCATCTAGGAAGGTATCTCACCATTATCCCTGTCCATTTTCCCCACATTTCCAGGGATCATCATCATCTACCGCTTTCCCGCTGCCGCCCTCATGCAATCTTATCTCTGGCGGCGGATAACGCAAAATGAACGCAGCCTCTTGTCGGCCGGCGCCGCGGAGTACTTCAAACATTCATTTGATGCATCTTCCCACCTTTTTGCTCTTCCACGGAAAAACAATGAAAAAACTATGTTGTGCCATGACTGTTCTGCATAATTGTGGTGTGATTCTCAGTGATAGGCGCCTGCATCCCGACTAACGTAGAACGTAGTGTGGTGAGGCCTATAAGTTTCTCTTCAACTTGCCATAGATTGGATTGAGGAATATACGTTACAACCAACGATCCATAATAATGACTCGATTCGGTTATGAAAGATAGAAATGGCTATGAATATATAGCTGTTACATCGAATCAAGTCATGGAAATTCTCACAGCGGTTAAACTGGAATTGGAAAAATTGCAAGAACCACCTTCAAGAAGAAATGCATGGGGACAAATTTGGAAACTAGTATGCCTCATTCCGAAGCAGCTTTTTTAGTAATAGTCCCTCCTTATTTGGCATGCTCCAAGACTCGCTGGGAACGCAGGGGCTGCATTGTCGGTGGCTGAGGAACTTAAGGGAGGTTTGGCGCGACCAAATATGAACATTAGTGCGATCTTTCTCCCGATACCATTTAAGTGTTTGGCAGCTGCATTGTAGTAATAATCAACCTTCTGGAGTTCTAAACTCCAATTGATATGGTACCTACCCCAGTGGGTTTTCGGACGTAGGATTGTAACTTTGGGAGAGTGTCATTATTATATGGCCCGTCAAGTTCAGACACGTTGGTCAGCTGAGGGTATGAAATCCCATGCCCAAATATATGCGGCTATGTATCGCGTCGTCCTCCATCAGCCTCAAGCACTTCCATCACTGCGCGCAGATCTTTTTCCTTAGAGCTTGGACGAGGGGACCGCCGAAGTAACCTACCCAGTATTTGTTACCTTCTCGAGGAAACATTTGGCACCATCAAATTCATAAACTTCGGCTTGTGAAGTCACACCAGTGCTCAAAGCTCAGTCAATGATTGACGTAATGAAATAGTTCACACGCTGTTTTCTCTATAACACACTCGTTTTACATGCATCAGAGGTCACGGGCGGTCGTTCTCGTGATGTGGAAGCACTTCAGAGTTTCAAGGTCTACTTCAGTTACTAGATTAATGAAATTCGGGAAGATTGGGCACCGGTACATTCATTTTTTACTATTGAGACCAATTGGTACAAGTAATCATTTGATTCTGAATCATTGTCTCTCAGAAAGAATGAAGCCACACGCAATTTGTCTCAACCTGGAACACATCATCCGCAGTATTGGATGATTATAACCTGCGGGGGTGCTTTCCCTACATAGTATTCAAATCGAACAAATTCTTTTTGTCTTTGGGTTTCAGAACTTCCTTTTCATCGTCATGGCATCAGCAGCGTCATATTACCGATGGATTCTTTTTTTCCTGCTAGCTGTGCTTTGGATACTCTTTGCGTCGCAGAAGTCGTACATAAGAGAAAACAAAAATCTTTCTACTCAAGCTTCCGCCACAGCAACATACCACGACGATGCTGATGTCATCTTTCCCTCGAATTCAATATCCACAGAAACTGCATTTCCACCGTTGACCTCTTCGAGCGATATATCCGCATTGATCCCGGATCCGCCCACGTCAGCATCTTCACAAGATGACACGGAAACAATTTCAACCCATAAACCTCGGGTCTTAATTGTTTTTTCATATACCGAGTCTGACAGGGCACGGGAGAACCTGAAGTATTTTATCAAACATGGCCTACATTTAGCAGCCGATTTTCTCTTCATTTTCAATGGCCAAACAGATGCTGCAATTGAGGTCCCCTTGCAGGAAAATATTCGAATTGTAAAAAGAGAGAAGACATGTTTCGACTTGGGTAGTACAGGAGAGATTATTAGGGCGGATGACCTATGGAACGTTTATGATCGTTTCATAATCATGAACGCCAGTCTGCGAGGCCCCTTCTTACCTTATTGGAGCGACAGCTGTTGGTCTGATAGGCTGTTGGCTAAGATCACAGATACAGTCAAGGTACGTGTCAGTCTTATGATGTGATTCCACGTCTAGGAGTCTTCGACATACAGCTCATAGGGCACTGCAAATGATACAGCACTCATTGGAGCCAACAATAAGCTAACGCAAAGTATTTGAAAGCTTGTTGGGATCACCGCAAAATGCTGGCCCAGCTTTCATATTCCGTCGGTAATATGGGCTACAGACAAAGTAGGAATGGCATTCCTACTTGATTTCACTATAGGACGCACAACATCGGTCTTTGGCGGTCTTGAAGATCCAGTTGGGCTAAGCGGATGTTACAAAAGCCTTAAACAGGCGGCGCATGCAGAGGTTGGAGCCACTTCTGTCATATTAGAGGCAGGATATAGTGTCGATGTTCTGATGTCATCTTTCCATAAAGACTTCGACAGCGAAGCGTACTGCGACTCGGCGGCTGCTGGAGTTTTGGACCCGTTCCGAGAGGGTAGCTACCTTGGCGTCGGACTTCACCCTTACGAAACCATGTTTCTTAGAACGAGTCGTGGCGCAGACTCTCCATCTGAGGAAACTTTGTCTTCTTTGATGGGAGATATGGCGTACTCTAGTTATCAAAGTTGTAAAAGGTGATCAGGTATATTAGACTAGAACATGTCTGGGCATTCTCTGCTTCTTGTCCGATTCTAGTTGAGTGAGACTACATTCATTCAAATGTACGAAAGAGATGTACTAATAATAAAGAATAACTGTTATTGATTTATAAAAGAGTAATAGAATGGTACATTCAGCAAAACCAAGAATGACACAAAGCTATAAACGTCTCGTTTTGTTCCAAAACCCCTTTCCAAAGTCACAGACCGCTCTTCATAGCGAAAGCTCTATCATCTTGGCAGGAGAATCCAGAGACCGCCGTCGTGGGGGAGCGTCAAGTAAAGATGAAGAGCCGCAAAGGCCCTGCGAAGCAGACCAATCGCTGTCGATGCAGAGTGCCCACCAACGAACCGTGATCGAGCAGGGGTATTTATCATCTCCACCATCTTGGCCAAGGTACAACTTGTAGTGGCGGCCGTCAGTCTTACTTGAGACATAATCGACAGTCGATAGTCCGTTCTCCCAAGCGGCGATCTTGTTACCGTTACCACAGTCAAACTCGCCTTCAGCCTCCTTCTCGAGGCAGTCGGGCGAGTTAATGGTCAGGCACTTGACAGATACGGAACACACAGATTTTCCATCTTCATAGATGTCCAGCGACACTTCGATATTGATCGGGTGCATCTTGATGTGTACGAACGCTTGCACGCAAGATACCCTCTCAGTGAAAGCGCAGGCACCTACTGCGCACACGTTGACTACCGTGCAGCCACCGTTTTCGGGACCGCCGCAGCCAGAGGCCGAGCTCTGCCTGACTCCAAGAAGCTGCGAACGCGCTACCAACCCTGTGCTATTGTTCATGCTCGTATCGTCTTCTTCCACTGCGGCTGGGGCCGGCGCAGAGTTAATGTTGCTATCATCCTCAGCATTGGAATCGTGCACTTTCTCTGGAGCTGCCGAGTCTTCCGCTTGTTGGCGTTGGGAGTCACGGTTGGCCGGGGTAGGCAAGGTGGGCGCCTCGGTCACCATCGCCTCTACTTCTGCTGGGGCAGTGGGCGCGCCAGTTTCCCTCCCTTGGATTGCACATTGCGGTACCGTTGTGGGTTTGAGGCAAATGGGGTAGTCAGACGGGCACAACGGCGTTCCTTTGGTCGGCCACGCCGGGCAAGGAGGGGCCGAGGCCACGCAGATCTTACCATCGATGCACACTTCCCGCCCTCCACTGCCGTTGCAGATCTTGGTCGTCGTGTAGGAGCCACAGCCTGGTCCAGTATATGCGGCATCATCACCAACGCCTGGCAATGTCGGTAATCCAGACAGCGTTGGGATAACTTCAGCGGTGGTGGGCGAACCCTGTCCTCCACCTGCACCACCCCATGGCCTGGTGCCGCCCAGTGGGTTCCGGTTCCAGCCCCAGGTGGTGATGGTGGTTCCTGAGAACACCGTCGTTCCCTGCGTGTGGCTGACACCAGCTGGCAATGGGTCGTGCACGTCCTGCAGTTCTGCGTCATAGGTAGGCCTGTAATATCGAACCGGAAAGCTCTTATCAGCAATCTAGACTTTGAGTAAAGAAATAGAATCAAGTACTACTACTTACGCTGGACAGTTTCCACCCGTCGTGGTCGTTGTCACCGGCCTGGCTGAGCATTCGCTGACCAGAGAGGTTGAAAGGGCTGCGGAACGAAAGAGAAGGAAGATTGATTAGCCGCCATGCTCCTAGTCTCGACGTGTTTTGGGGTTTTGACTTACTTGTGCACGAAGTCGTTCGCTGAGCGTCGCAAGAAACCCAGACGTCGGTGACGGTTCTCGTGGTGCACTCCTCTTCATCTTCCTCATCTGGATCGTTTGGATCACCACCACCACCGCCGCCGCCGCCGCCTCCACCACCACCGTTGGGGCACCCTGGGCCGACGCAGTTGCTGTTGGGTGTATTGCACCTAGGGCCAATGCAGCCGCAAATTCCTATACACACACCTCCACCGCCGCCACCACCGCCGCCGCCGCCGCCACAATTGACCTTGCAGGGACTTCCACAGTGATCGCCGGCCTTGCAAGTCGGCTTGGGGGGGCCTCGGCGGCCAGTGATGGATGAAGGACGGCCCGGAGGAGGAGGTGGAGGAGGAATAGGGGTGTCACTATCCGGATCGACCGTGGGCCAAGGCCCAGGCGAGTATGTCCATGTTTCCAGTGGCGCTGAGTCTCTAGTCCTGGTGAGTGTGACGGCAGGGAAAACTACACTCGAGGTTAGGCCAACAATGATTTCGTCGTCGTCGCCATTGTCGTTGTTGTCGCCTTCTACCCATATGACATTCCACACCTCGATAAAGGTCGTTGTGACTGGAGGGATCGTAATCACGGTGCTGGTCGTCACACTGGTTGTATCCCAGCTGTCGATGTAGGTAACTGTGACGGGCGGTCGAGAGATGGTCGTAGGCGAGCCGAGCGAGAATGGTGGCATGATAAGTGTACACGGTGGGTAGCAAAACGCGGTCGGGTTCGCGTCGTTGTAGACCTCGGGTCCGATGTACACAGGTCCAGAGCCACCGCCGTTCGACGGCTGCCCGGAGCAAGCACCGCTCTGGCATCCAGTTCCGCAATGAGCCTCAGTGTCGCCGCAGTAGCCCGACGATGAGCAGCAGCTGCCTTGTGGCCAGAGGCCGCAGAAAGAGTTGTGGTGGCCAGCGCCGCAGGTTCCGTCGGTCGTCTCCTGTCCTACGAGACACTTTCCGCTCTGGCAACCAGAACCGCAGTGCGCTTCGCTGCCTCCGCAGTAGCCCGCCACGGAGCAGCAGTCGCCATATGTGCTGCCCTCGCACTTGGTACCGCCAAAGCCAGTACCACATCTTCCGTCGGTGGAGATGGGAGCGCTGTCGGAGTCGCCAGTACCCGAGTTGAAATCTACAGACCAGGCCATGGTACCACCGAAGCAGAGGTTGTTGGCAAATTTCCGCTTCATCTCGTGCGTTTCCTCATCGTCGTAACCGATCCATTGGTCATCCCAGACGAGCTCCTTCATCATAGACTGGGTGTTGAGGCGCGGCGTCAAGTTCTTTTCTTTAATGAGTTTCTTGATCTCAGTGAGCGACATGACTCCCTCTGAGTTGGTGCACTCAGCAGGCTTGCTGGGCCCGGCAAAAGGGCATCCGAGCTCATTGCAACTGGGGTCTGCCAAGTTGAAATATTAGTAAAAAATTCAATCGGCAACGAACAGCGAGAAATGAAAGTGATGGCTCAAAATACCTGACAGAGTGTATCCTCGTCCGTACCAGGCGAGGCCAAAGTTGAGTTTGCTCGGGTTCAAGCCGGCGTACCACAGAGGCAGGGTGTTCTATAAAGCCCGAAATCATGGCGTATTAGTTGCGTCCCGTAAAACAATACTTCTCATCTAGACAAGCCTGAAGCCAACAACAGTTACTTACTGTGAACGATTAGCAAAATAGTCACCACTACGCAGTTGGGCTTGTGTTATGCTTACCATTGTAGATCTCCCGCACATCCGCCTGGCCGCGCACCAGGGAACCTAGAGCTTCGACGTCGGAATCCCAGAATCCATGCAAATCGTAAGCCATAAAGCCGAAGAAGTCGACATATGGTTCCATAGCCGCTGCGTCAAAGTATCGAAGATACCAGTAGTCCGGAGCAAGGGTAAGACTGATGCCGTATCGGGTTCCGTACGCCTCTCTCATCTCCTTGAGGAGTTTGGTAAAGTTGTCCGTGTCGGCCTTTCTTCCGCCCCGGACTTCGGCTACGGGATACTCCCAGTCGAGGTCAACTCCGGTAAAGCCGTATTTGTCCATGAATTCGGCTGTGGACTGGATGAAGGCTGCTCGGTTCTCAGCAGTAGAAACCATGTCGCTCCAGGTTGTGTGTGTCGCCCTTGTCGCTGAATGTGTAACCGCCAACAGCAATCCAGGTCTCGGTGTCGAGAGCCGTGAAAGCCTCCATGAGCGGGATGTCGGCAGCGTCCCAGGGGCGGATCCTGAATGTATTGGGGTCGATTGAAGCAAATGAGAAGAAGAGATGAGTGTAGTCCTCGGCCTTAATGTGCTTGGGCTCGATACGGTTGCACAGACGATCTCGACTGTTAGAAGCCAGATAGTATCCTACTGTTCGTCCCATTGTCGAACCAGAGCCCTCGCCGCACGTGTTGGGCCGGATGATCTCGCATGAGCCAAATTCTTCCTGGCATGGTGTGAATTTGTTTGGACCGATGCAATGAACCTCAGATGTTCCACACCATCCACCTAACGCAAGGTTTTATGTTTAGTAAAGGTGCAAATTACTTGGTACGGATCTCAGAAACTCACCCCAACTACAGCATAGGTTCATGCCACACTTAGTGTTTCCACCGTCGGAGAAGTTGCCACACATAGCCACGGCGTCACAGTTACTGGTGCAACCATCACCGCAAAAGTCTGGACCGTAGCCGCAAACTCCCGCAGGACCGCAACAACTATGTTCACAGTTAGACTTCTTTCTCTGTGCCAAGTACAGAGGAGTGTGATGATCTTACCTGTGGTCGGGGCAGGGTCCATTTTTGCATAGAAGACCACCATTCTCGTCCTCCTCGCGCTGCCTCTTTCCAAAGAAGTTACCAAAGGGATTCGGTGAGTCCCGGGCGCCAATCTGGCTTGTTGTGTATAATGGCAGAGTGTCAAGAATGGGAACAGGAGGTGAGCGCTCCGGAGACTGGTGGGTGATTCCTGGGGACGATGCCGCCGCCAGAGCGCCCTGGACGGCGACAAGAGCGAACCCAAGAAAATGCACTTTCGATTTAAGACGTGCCATTTTCAGATCTCTGCTGAGTGCCCATGGAGGAAGACGGCTTGTGGCAGGACCATGCGTCTATATAAGATGTAGGCTGCAAATTTACACCACCTTTCCACTCATGCGCAAGGGTCTATCTAGTCTCTGATTTCCGTTATGCCTTCATGTTTTCCCTCTCTCCCGCTCCCGCCTCCTCTTCTTTTTTCTTTTTCCTCTTTCGTGCTATCCCGCCGATCGCGAACCTGGCAGTCCACTTCAGGCCGCCAACATGCAGCACAGGGTTTAGTCCGAGCTTGTGGACCGGAAAACCGGACCCGATCCATCTTGTACCGGCTCTCCCTCAAGTCCGGAAGTAGCAATGGATTGCCAAGACCCTTAGGGCTGTATTTGATCCCCAGGAACAGACCTGGTATTGGCTCGTTCGCACTAGGTAAATGAGGCGTCCCGCATCCATGCTTTCGAATCATGGACCGCTTCCGAGTCTGTGGGTCGCCAAGTTTATCTAATTACCAGCAGTGCCGGCCTTGCGGCGGCGGCCGTTGCCGTTGGTCTCCGAGAGGCTTACCCGACAGGGCTTAGCCTTACAACCCCCGAGCTTTTCCGGCCAATCATTCAACGCGGCAATGTTATATGACGTGGAGTAAATCATCTAGGCATCTACTTCCTTGCAAACCCTGTTCGTCTCATTGCGAACTCTCTCCACTGGCAGACAAAGCTAAAAAATCCTTCGACTCTTTTATGTATGCTACATGTATAAGTACTCTTTTAGTTTACAAGCATTCTTCCGAGGTACTGTAGCATCAGAGGTATTTTACTAGCGCGATAGCGTATGTTTAGTACCTAAATTATCATTACCCCTTTTCTCTCGACACACAGCTGGAAGGAAGACTACTAACTGCTTCCATCGACCATGAAAACAAAATTTTCACAAGACATGTTTGGCCGACTTCCCGAAGAGCTTCAGCTCCAGATAATCAAGCTCTCGCCGGACCTTTCGTCGCTATGGAGCCTCGCCCAGGCTTCGTCCACCGTGGGCGGAGTGCTAGACAGATCTCCGCTTGAGATTGTGGAGGCAGTTCTAGAACTAACTGTTCCTCTGCAGACTCGCCGCCTGATGCGCGCTGTTCTCCGGGGTCGAGCCTTATGCTTTCCAGCATCCTTATCCGAGGCTCGAAGGATAGCCACTATTGACTCGACTGCTGCAACTGACGGAACTCCACCACTTGACTCGGATCAAGTCCGCGTGGTGCGCTCCTTCCTTGCCACCGCCGAAAATATTCATGCATGGTCTCATGCCTGCCTTGATCATCTAATTAAAAGATCTATGGAGCTTCGGCCCTCCACCCTCGTCCGTCTTGGGACCGGCCAAAGTTGCCAGGAAACATTCCAGAGGGCCGAAAGCCATGATGATCACCTTCCGCGCCACACCGGTCCACCTTCATGGGTGGAGGAGCAGCGGATGACGAAGGCCTTCTGGCGATTACAGTTCTTCATTGAACTTCAGAGGGCCGGCGAAAGCGGTCATCTAGGCGCACACTGGCCTGGGCAGGATGTCGACATGCTGTTGACGAGCACTTTGGGGGAGTTTTACGAGGTATTCGACTTTGAGCGGCAGCAGATCTTAACCGCCTATGACTTTTTTCTCACAATCACCTCCCGGCCTGGTACCATGCAGATCAGTCTTCGAGACAATGCTCATGGACTGCCGACAATACTTCAGACTGAGGGGACAATTTCAAATCTCATGGGCCCATGTGCTGAGCAGCCCTCTTTCGGATTTGGGGAGGACACCTTCCATCAGGGACCAGAGCACCTCGACACTACACCTATGTCTTATCATTTTCAAGACATAATGTCCGGCCATGACCCTAAGGGATCGCCTCTGATGGGAATTCCCTTCGAACCTTATCGAAAGTTTGGATTTGCAATCTGGGATAACAAGCGTATGATCGACCTGGGTTTGCGAGACCCGAAGTCAAAATCAATCTTCAAAAACCGCACATTCTACTACTTCAGATGGCGCAGTATCCTGACTGAAGAAGAACTTGCACTAGGACAGTCACAATGAAGATTGACATCAGGGTTTTCGACTATTGAGGTTCCAGCATCCATCAACAGACAAAGACATGCAATCGATATAAGCAATAGCCCAGAAATATGACCTTTCTAGGCAACAGGGTATGATTCTTGGGTGGCGTAAGACCCCTCAAGCGGTTGACAGTGGCAAGACAGGGTTTGCGCCTTAGTGGAGAATGTTTAAATAGCTTGAATCGACCCCCCTAGATGGGTTTCTGTAGCATCAACTATCGAATGGAGTCTACCTCGTGACTCTGTTGCTGCTGAAAATTCTCTGTGCCTAGAGTGCGGTTGTAAATGTCAAACGTTTGTGACGCAAAAGTAGTAATTGAGTGTCGCATCCTTCTCCCCGAACAGAACCTTGTAATAAGTCAGAAGCACATCAAACACCAAATAGCGTATATCGAGATCTTGCGGGAAGGACGGATGTGCATGCATGCTTCCTGAGTCCGACATAGTGGGCCACATATGGAGCTAGTGCAGATTGTAAGATTTTAGTCTTCTGCCTAGTTATGGATCCGCGTGGTGGGAACAGGTGCCGTAAACGGAACAGCGACCGGTCCTCCCGTAACACTAATTAGCCTGCGGTTCATGTCTAACCCTTGATCCCTGTGGGTGTTTACATGGATCGCTTGCAATCCATCAACAGCCAAGGGCCTAGCACAATCAGAAGAAATCTCGGTACCCATGCAGGGCCTGTTTAGCACCACCATGATTTCCAAGCCCACGGCCCAGCGGCTACCAACCGTTCTGTTTCCAAGCATACCTTATATAAATGCCTGGGCCGAGGCCGCATGCCACCGTGTAGTTCTCGATCTTGGTGGTTTCATTCCTCATCTTCTGCTTGCACCCATTCGCCATGGTTTCTCTTGGCATACTCGATGGCCAGAGGCCGACGGCCGGCACGAGGAGACGAGGTTCCCGATATCGTCTCTTCGCCGTTGTCTTGGGTGTGTCTCTTGCAGTGTTTGCTGGATCCTATGTCTCTCATAGTACCCATGATCAGCAGCTTTCAACCCTGCAGAAACGAAGTATACTCGACGAGCCTCTCGGTCTTAACGACTCCTACGTTTCTCTGTCCCAAGAACTGGTGTCTCGCGCAGTCACTCCGGAGGCATGGGAAAAATCAGTAAGAACTGGAAAGAGGTCAGTAGACGCATTACAAGGAGGTTCATACTGTTGTATCCCCTTCAAACCCCTTTCTTCTTGGTTTGCCCTTCTATCTTGTTTATTTCAAACCAGAATCAAACTGACCAAATTGTTGTAGTAAGCGAATAGATCCAAACCCCTATACTGCAAATTTCCTAATGTTACTTCACGCGAATGTTGCTCGTCATCTCTGACTACGACGGCATTGCTGCCTCAAGCGCGTGTTATTATACTGACTTGAAATACGGCAGCTCTTTGGTGCATGATGAATTCACAAAACGTGCAGCCTGGTACTGTGACAAAGGATGAACTTGAGAAGACTGGATGGGAGGAAGATGATGAGATCTCTGATGAAGAAGCGCATGAGTGGCGCAAATCATTGGAAACGGCCGACGGGAAAATGAACGTTGACAACGAGTTTCCCCGGGCCTGGTATCACTCAAACCCATGGAAAGATGACCAAGGCAGGACTAGAAGAGTACGTATCTGCAGCTACAATGAGCAGACATTGACTAATCTACTTTTGGTGGGACTTTTAGGCCACCACAGGTTCCATGGGTAACATTGTCAACGCCAAGGACGGGTACATCATCGCCGGTGTAAATTTTGCGCCATGGGACGTTAAACCGAAAGATATGGAGGCCTGGGAGCTCCCTAGTACCAAATGGACCGACATCGTTGCGGTGCAATGGAGCATGTATGCCTCCGGCAGCAGCCTACAGCGCATATATCGCTCGTCCATAGTATTTGAGCGCACAAAGGACCTAATTGAAGGAGCCTTGAACAAGGTCGGGAAAGGTCCGCTGGATAAACTACCTAAATGGCCCGGTGTTGACTACACGCCGAAGGGGAATTTGAACAAGACGCCGTACCAAGCCGAGACGGAGGGGTTCTTCGGTTTGCTTGGTAGTCCCCATGGCGCCGGGGCTGCCTATTTGCTAATCCAGTATCGAGCAATCTTTGGAAAGAAGAGGATTACTAAAATTAAGGTCTGGAGTGGTCCTTTAGCCCCGAACATGATCCTCTACGTTGAGGATGTGTAGTATTAGCTACATGTATACTCTAGTCTATTACTACTATTACTAAACTATCTCTACTTATAGTAGGCTTTATATTACTCTTGTATAGATTGTCACGGTATTTTAGCTTTGATTTTAAGCCCTTCAGGCAAAGCTTTAAAATAACCTTGAAGTGGTTTAAACTTAAAATATAAAATTAACTCTTAGTCGTATTTATTAGGCTACGAATCCTTTTAGCTAATAAATTAAAGAAACCTCATAATGATGAACCTTCCTTTCCTTGTTTTCCCTCTGATCTAAAGGAAATTGGTATATATAGTATTCTCTTCAGTAAACCTAAATCTCAAATACTTTAGGAGCCAGAGCAATAAGTTCACCTGGTCTTCAATACTATTTTTATAGAATGTAATATTTTGATTAAATAAAAGATATTACTCACGCATCTTAGCAGAATTTATTGTAGCAGCATCAGATAATTCCATCCTGCATGCCAGCAGTGGTTGAACAACAAAACACAGCCACATCCATCTTTCGCCTTAAAGGTCTTCTGAACAGGAAATACACATTTAATGTATGTGTTCGCATCCTGGGTGCTGTTTTTGGGTAACCCAGACACCCCGTTTTTGGTACCCCAAGACACCCGCTCTAAGTGCTACTTAGACTAGAAAAATGTACTGGCTAAGGGATTATGTACTAAGACGAAGCACCGTGATTGGGCCGCGAAATACAACTCCCTTAAGCAAGCACATCGTAATACCACAACAAGAGGATTATCGATTCCGCAACGAAGTTGGTATGGACATGAACAAGGCAACCCCCACAGCCCTATCGAAAAGTTGTGTTTTGGATACCACAACGATACGTCCTGCTCACAAGGCTTCACATCCATGGTCATCGAGGCACTTCTTCGCATGCGGGGTTCTTTTTTTGTCATATTGTAAGCATTGTGTTATGGCAGAGATTTTGACTTCAGTTAACCATCATGCCGCTTAACGAGCATTGTTTTGAGATTGGTCTGGTTTGTGGACCGTATAGGTCTGCGCCAATCGCCGAAAGATTTCGGGATGGCAAACAACGTAGGGCCTATTCCTTGTCATTCTTATAATGACTGCTGGAGACCACGGCCTATAAATGACGCTCTCGACATAGGCTGTGTGGGCATTGAAGCTGATGTCTGGCTTTATAGTTCTGACCTACTGGTCGGTCACACGAAATGGTCACTTCGTCGAGGGAATACCTTCAAAAGACTTTATGTTGATTCTCTCGTTCGTTTACTGTCTCAACGTAAATTGGACCGAGAGAACTCTACACACCTTTCCCATAATAGCATATACAAGACAAACACCGACCAGACAGTGGTGCTGCTCGTAGATTTGAAGACAAATGGACTTGACGCTTGGCCGGAAGTAGTACGGCAGCTGGAACCACTGCGTCAGAGAGACTGGTTAAGCAAGTTTGTTGACAGCCAGTTTCACTATGGGCCTATCACCGTTGTCAGAACTAGCAACACAGCCTTCGAAATGGTCGTGGAGAACTCGACCTACAAAGACATAATCCTTGACGCGCCACTTACCAAAATGGATGATGAAGCCTTCAACCCAACCAGCTCCTCCTATGCCAGTGCATCATTCAAAAAAGCCATTGGTACAGTTTGGTTCGGTGGCCTTTCAAAAGCACGAACAACAGAGCTGAAAAAGCAAGCCAAGAAAGCATATTCCCATGTCTTGGAGACTCGATATTCAAATCTCCCAGAGTGGCTGATAATAACCAGAAACACGGTTTGGAACCTGCTCCTCAGGGAGGGTGTCGACATTCTCAATGTGGATAGCCTTAAAGGCGCTGAACTGGAGTGGGAGTTGATGAAGTGGCTAATTCTCACAGCCAATGCGTCAGCAATGCTTTAGTTCACGAGCTGTATGTTTGATGTTTAACAATGAGGTCATTGCTCCGGTCCTCAAAACACTCATAGTACCGCAGCTAGCCCACTAGACCCTAGGTGTCCGTTCAATGAAATGTACTTACTTTTCTACGTCACGGTCATGTCGAAAATTGAACCTGTACCTCTAATTCATATTTCGTGTGAGGCCCAAGGCAGTAAATTTACTGCTACTTCATTTTCCGTAATCTTACAGGGTCTTAACTAGTTTTGTGAGATGTACTTTAATCTAGAATTTCGATAAACTTAACTATCTACTAAAAATTTGATTTGATTTAGCTTAACTACCTAACTAAGAAATAAGTCAAGGTATTACGAATCTTAGATATATAATTGTTACGAGCAGGTCAGGGCAACCAACTGTGGCACAAAGCAAAAGCTTCGGTAATGATGACTCCGGCATCATTATCCCCTGTTCTGCACTATATAGCTACGCCGGCCAGGCACCAACTGGTTAGGCCGTAACACCATGTCTCCCCTCTAAGAGGCATGTCCCTATGCCGAGGACCAATCGGACATATCGCGGGTATAAGCAGGGAAACTCCAGGCTAGTAGGGAACCAATCTACATAATTGCCTGCCCACGGTCGGGCGTCACAGGGACCAGGGAGGACTGGCGACGTATGGGATTTGAACCCATAACCCTCTACGCGGGGTGGAGTCATCATTGTGTTACGAGCAGGTCAGGGCAACCAACTGTGGCACAAAGCAAAAGCTTCGGTAATGATGACTCCGGCATCATTATCCTCTGTTCTGCACTATATAGCTACGCCGGCTAGGCACCAACTGGTTAGGCCGTAACAATAATATATAGTAGTAACTAGATATAGTACTCAGGTGTAGCTATACATAGCGTTTAAGAGTACCTACTTATAGCGTATAGAAGTAGCTAGATATAGCGTATAAATATAGCTAAGTAGGTATATAGCGCTTAATAATAGCTTAGTATCAGTTAAGGTAAATAGGGTTAGAGTTAAGAAAAAGTAATTCTATAGATTATATATTTTACTATTATATTTTTATTAAATACTTTTAAAATAAAAACTACTTTATTCTATATTATCCTTTCTTTTATAATGTTCTTTTTCCTTTTCCTTACTTAATTTATTAACTCTAGATTTAATATCACGTGGTATATCACGTGACTATTATGTAATAAGATAGACTTTCTTATTTTATAATTTTATATACTTACTACTTTTTTCTAGTATTTATTTTTTAAAGAAGAATTACTTTAATTTTCTCTAGTTTCTGCGTTCTCTTAATAATATAATACTTTTTATTATTTCTTTCAAGACTATATGGTCTTGAAAGATTACTATCTATAACGTACATGATAAGCGAGTGAGACAGACAAGCGAGTGAGACAGTAAACCGCGACCGTCGCACCTTGACGCGACCGGCACCTTTTCCTCTACAATAAATCATGGAATCAGCTAGTATTGAAAGAAGGTTACAAATTGCCCTTCAAGCAATGAGAAATGACCCAAAACTTAGTGCTCGGGCCGCAGGTGCACTCTATACAGTCAGTCACGCAACATTAAGCCGGCGACTAAAGGGAATAGTCTCACGACGCGACAGCATGCCTAATTCACGGAATTTATCAGATTTAGAAGAGAAGACAATAGTTGAGTATATTCTCGACCTAGATGCGCGATCATTTCCTCCCCGGCTGAGTGGTGTGGAAGAAATGGCCAATCGACTTCTCGCAGAGCGCGACGCGCCTCCAGTTGGGAAGCGCTGGGCTTCTAATTTCGTCAAGCGACAACCACAGCTTAGGACGCGTTTCTTTCGCAAGTATGACTATAAGAGAGCTCAATGCGAAGATCCAGAGGTGATTCGTGGCTGGTTTTCGCTTGTGAAGAATACAATTGCGAAGTATGGTATTGCTGATGCTGATATCTACAACTTTGATGAGACCGGCTTTATGATGGGCGTTATTGCTTCTGGAATGGTTGTTACAAGTGCTGAAAGGCGTTCAAATACGAAGATGACACAGCCTGGCAATAGGGAATGGGTTACAGTTATCCAGGCTATTAATTCCCAAGGGGAGAGCATCCCGCCATACATCATCGTTGCAGGCCAGTATCACCTCTCAAGCTGGTATACAGAAACCTCTCTTCCGGGCGATTGGGCTATTGCAACGTCTGAAAATGGATGGACAACAAACGAGAGAGGTATTGACTGGATCAGACACTTCGACATTTATACAAAACCACGTACGTCTGGGAAATATCGCCTCCTCGTTGTTGATGGTCATGAAAGTCACCACTCCGCAGCCTTCGAGCTCTTTTGTCAAGAAAACAACATTATTACACTGTGCATGCCGGCTCACTCGTCTCATCTACTTCAACCCTTAGATGTTGGTTGTTTTCAGCCGTTAAAGAATGCCTACGGTCGGCAAATTGAGAATAAGATGCGGCGAGGCACAACCCATATCTCGAAGGAAGATTTCTTTGCAGCATTTCACGAAGCTTTTAAGCAGTCTTTTACGAGGAAAAATATCCAGGGAGGTTTCCGAGGAGCTGGACTTGTCCCTTTGAATGCAGAAAGTGTTCTCTCAAAGCTGGATGTAAAGTTCCGAACGCCAACGCCTGAGGAGGGGGTCCCTCAGACACCAGACCCTTGGATCTCTAGGACGCCGAGCAACCCAAGCGAAGCAAGATCACAGTCTACTTTTATTAAGAGTCGAATCTCACGCCACCGAAGCAGCTCTCCAGCATCAATTTATAGTGCTGTGAGTAAGCTAGCCAGAGGGACAGAAGGACTAGGGCATCGGGTAGCATTACTAGAGTCAGAGGTTCAAATCCTTCGAGAGGAGAATGCAATATTAAGTCGGCGTCGAAGGGCTAAGAAAACACGTCTACAGAAAGGAGGAAGTCTTACTATATCTACTGGAGAGGATATACAGTCGCAAAGAGAGGCAGACACGCAACTACAAGAGGAAACGCGACGGAGTAGTGGTCGCAAAGTGAGGTCTGAGACGACTCATCGTCGGTGTGGCGTATGCGGGAATACAGGCCACAACGCGAGAACATGTCAATTTATTAAGGAAACATCCGAAGAACAGGAATCCGAGTAGTATTAATCAATCTAAGATTTCTTATTATAGATTTCGATATTATTATCGCGAAGGTCTGGTTTACTGTCTCACTCGCTTGTCTGTCTCACTCGCTTATCATGTACGTTATAGGAATGAATGTTTCGGGCGCCGTTGCATCTAACTACCACCCCCACTAAATCTTTCGGCCGCCACTGGCGACCCAAACATCTAACTACCACCCCAAATCTTTCGGCCGCCACTGGCGACCCAAACATCCAACTACCACCCCCACTAAATCTTTCGGCCGCCACTGGCGACCCAAACATCTAACTACCACCCCAAATCTTTCGGCCGCCACTGGCGACCCAAACATCCAACTACCACCCCCACTAAATCTTTCGGCCGCCACTGGCGACCCAAACATCTAACTACCACCCCCACTAAATCTTTCGGCCGCCACTAGCGACCCAAACATCCAACTACTACCCCAACTAAATCTTTTAGCCGCCACTAGCGACCTAAAGAAATAGTTTGATCCCTATGTGTTATCCTCCCTATCCAGACTATATACAAAATCAATCAAAGGTAGCTCTAGAATATCCTTCTTCAGTCTCCCATCTTTTATCATTCTCAAGGCTTTTGTAACCTCAATAGTACCATCAGCCAAAAATCCTTTAACAATACTCTTCTCAGCTGCCTTACAGATAGTATATACCTATAGCATTTGAGATACGAGCAAATCGAAAACAGCCTTAATCCTTTCTCTCCTTGGAACCTTGCTGTTCCCGTCAATGTTCCCACCGCCAAAACGCTTCCACCAAGAGCTAATAGTACTTGGTATAAACACCAGAACTCCTATTCCTAGCCTTTCCACCAGAACTCCAATAATAGTATAGTCGTAAATCATATCCTTCAATCTCTTCTCCTTTGTAAAACCAAGACCTCGAGCAAGATACATAGCAACCCCAGTATCTACACCTTGTCCCTAGCGTAGCCGAATGCCTTGATCTCCAAGGAAAGCCTTCATTTCTAAAGCCTTCTGCATGTCTCCTTGGTAGAGTCGTCTAACAGTCTGCCACTGGTCCCAAACTTCGAACTGCTTTGCGTACAAATGTAGCTTGGCAGCCGCTGCCTGCAAACCAAGACTCTCCCCGTCAACCCGACCCCAGGCCTCCGCAAACCTAGCAAGCTCTTCCGCATTATGCTGTCGCAGGTCGCTTGCCAGTTGCTTTGTCTGAAATCGCCGTTCAACTGCAGGCTTGCCAGTAGAGTAGTTACACTCCACCAACAAGTCATACAACTGATCTTTGATCTTACCCCCAAACATACGGCAAAATAATAACTCTCCAATTTGGTAACAGTCTTCTTCCCTAAGGCGTGGACTTGATGGGTCAATCAGTCCTATACCAGCAGAAGTAAACCTATTCCACTGGTCTTGCATCTCATTCCTTATTGTCGAAGAATTTTTCTCGTTGATCTGTCTTTTGAGACCTTCAAGAGTCCGGGGTGCCTTCTTCAGTTTCACGCCCGCTGCACATTGCTGTTGAGGTTCTGTCTCACCAGAACCAACTCGGGATGGTAATATCTTTCTCCTGTCGGCTGCGACCAGCTCCGTCTCTTTCGATTGAATATTGCTTGTTCTGTGCGAGTCGCCATCTATGATTGCCCCGGCACTGGCGGTGATGTCGTCGGATCCATGAAGAAATGGCTGCTCACTTCTTTGTTGCTCTTCACTTTCCTGTTCGGTCGTATGCTTTGTTGTGCTTATTAGGTCGTTGGTCGACCCAGACGAATCACGATTTCTTAAGGTCTTCTCAACCTCCTCACCTAAATCACTAAGTATTAGTAATTAAAGCCTTATATGCAAAAGCAGAACTTACTGATTATAGACCAGTCATAATCTAAACAAAGAAGAATATTAGCTATAGCTGCTATACTTATAATATAAGTTGTAATATGTGTTTTTTGTTTAGCGATACTGAGGCTCTTATACTCCCTAATCAACGCTGGTAAGGGCATTCGGGGAACTTGACGGAATGTTGATTTTTGCTGAGAAGATGGGTTGCTACTACCGTGTCTGCTTTGCCGTGGGGATTGCGGTAATAATGCCTTGCCCTCCTGGACTTGCCCCTGCCGTGGAGTGGACTCAACAATGTCGTTGAAGTAGACCCTTTTGCGTTTATGCATCTCGGATGCTACTTAAATAGATTCTTTCTAACTGACGGAAGAAAGTTTTTATATGAAGGAGATTGTGCGTTTATTTATCCTTAGCGATGGATTAATACCCGCACTCTCCTACCCTAGCCCATGCCTTCTTCCACCCCTCAACCCTAGCTCATACGCCCCCTAGTAATGCAACTACAAGGCATAGCCAGACACGCTAGGCCATCATACACTAGTCATAAGTTTTCTTTCCCTGATATTCAATGCATGCATAAATCAAGGAAATCTGCCCTTGAAAGATTCTAACCTTCCCTATTTTCTTGTAATGCTATACAACCCCGTCTGCCACGCAGCCTTCAACCTCCTGCCTTATCTTGCTCGCTGTCCAGATGTTTCTCATCCCGATTGGAATCTCCTATCCAATCTTCCTCGCCGTATCGTTGTGATGAAGCATATAGTACCTTTCCTTCAAGCCTACAATATCTAGAGGCAAATATTTCGCGCCAGGCTTCTGACCTTGATAACATACACCGGTGCATAAGATGCATCTTGTGTTCGTCTGGTGATCTTTGCTCTTGACGAGGCTGCCATTCTCGCCTGGAAATGGGAATGCGGAGTGCTGTGAAAAGAAGAGTGCCTTATGCTGTTCTTCAAACGATTCGGGCGTAATAGGAGCGTCTCGACGACTGTGAAGTCTGATCTGGCGGCTGATTGTGTCGCTCATACTCTTATACCAGCTCCTCCAATTTTCGTTCTTGAAAGTTGATCCTGGATCCTTCCTCGATTTCCCCCTTTCCGGGTCACTAGGCATATCGGCCCAAGTAAACTTCCAGAAAAGGCTCAAATCCCTATATTTCGTCCTGTTATTTCCAGAGATCGCGAGCTCTAGGCCGCACCCTTCCGTAAAGCGCCGAAGGCTATCGAAGGTAAAGGGTACATGGTCTCCCTCAATCTCCTGCATCATCAGGCTAGATAATGTCTTACCATAGCAGATACGCTTCAAGGCGTACTTGCGGTACTCGCGCAGGATGAGATAACTACTCAGACGGCAGATCATCTTCACTCTCCCCTTGTGTTTCCATTCCGCCTCAAGAAGCTCTCGCAGCATTGCAAACAAGGCACCCGGGCTATCCTCGATCTCGTCATATGCCCGCTTCCCAGTAGAGATCTTAAAGCCAGGAATATCCAAACCAGACGTCAAATCCTCGTGGATTTTAAAGTCCCCCCAGTCAACAAGGTTGTCAGGTAAAAACCCAAAGCCGTAGTTTTCCATAGTTGTCGCTATTCCCAGACCCCTCTTCTTTGGCTTACCGTTTTGTAAAGTTAGGGGCGGTTGGCCGATTCCAGTTGCGTTGTCAAGGACATACTGAAATCTCGGGTTCATAGGATTAACAAAGGTCTTTAATAATGTTGCTATAACGGCATATAGTAATACCGCCCTAGGTACTGCCGACCTAATGTTTCGTGTTGACGCCGAAATGAGATCAAGAACGAGCACGTAGGTTGAAGCTACAGCTCGGATAAAGCTCTAGTAGGTCTCGGAAGGAATGCAGTAGAAAGCACTACAGCAAGAGTTCTTCGCCCTTCTGCCTCCATGATGTCTTTTGAAGAATTCTGACCGTGACGGCTTACTAAAGTCAAGTTCTTGCATCTATGCATCGTCAGCCTCCCCAATAAGCCTAGCTAACTGGGAGCTGCATCGCTACTCTCCTCGCCAATAGGAATGGGTCTTCTCCGCTTGCTGTGTTCTTCTTCTAATGAACTCGTTTGAATGGCGAAGCCCGGCGTCGACCATTGCCCGAGCGGCTCTCGGGCTAGCTGCTTTCCTCAGTATCTTGCTAAGGCTATCATCATCGAAGCCACCTTGCATAAGATAAGAGAAACCATAAGGCTTCTGTCCAGGGCTAAGGAGGATCTCTTTACCAACAGTATAGCTCTAGTAGTAGTATAACCCTTGTCGTAATAGATCGCCAGTAGGTTCAGCCGTTATACTGCAAGTGTCCCTCAGATGATTAACATGGAACTCGTGATGTAAACCCCCCTGAACGCGCTGATCCGATAGGGTAGGAAGTTTTGACTCGTTAGTGCCAGAGAGAGTCCACTCGATGTTAAGCCCGTAGAGGAAGCGGAGGGTATTGAGTTGACAACATCGTCGTGCAAGGAGAACATATGCCCCTGGAGACTTTCGGCTTGGTGCCCACTCAGCTGCTAAATCAATCAGTTGAGGGTAGTTAGCATCTAGGGCGGTTTGATCCAACTCCTCAACAACTTGGGACTGTTTGCTCCAGAAATCATCAACACATATAGTCGCCGAGAGAGAACCTCCATACTTCAGTTTTGTATTCTTCTGATCGAGTACAAAGAACAAGCCTTGGTAGAAGCCTTCTTGCTTCGTGCTAAGATCATGTATCCTTTGCTATAGTAGTATAGCAAGTTGGTGAAAATGGTTGTTAGTAATGTTGAAGCTGTAGGCTGGTAGACGTCTGTCATGCCCTGCGTCATCCGAGCCTTTGGAAAACCTAGCAATTTCTACCGCATCTGCAAAACTTGCTGGCATATGCCCTCGCTCTGACGTAGCGCAGACCTCATGTAGGCAAGGGATCATGACATCATTAAAGAAGGAACCATACTCATCGTCCCTCAACTGCGTATGACCAGACTGTGTACTTTGGCGATCCTGAACTTCTTCAAATAGTTGGGGGAAGAAGAGGTAGATTGGCTGGTCTTGTGTTTCTCCGAAGAATATATGTGGTATGGTATGTAGTGAAACCAACTTCTGTTGACCGTCGACCATGACATGACGCTTGATATGGACGGTTGATCGGATGAACCTGCCTCGCTGTGGGACCGGCGTGTATTTAATCGGATGTTTAAAGTCGGCAATGCAGGGAATGACATGAATAAAGCTATCGATGTCAAACCTCGTTCGTGAAAGTTCGACGCTACCCTGGTGGTCATCGTCTAGGTTGATGCAGCGATGGTTGTTGTCTCTGTCTACGCCGCATACTAGTCTCTTCAAATCGACTTTAGGAATCAAGTTGGCCAAAGATCTAAGCCCGTATAATGCCATGTCAATCGGGGCTTGTCGCATCAATCCCAGGACTTTGGAACACTTTTGTCGGCTGATTATACTGTTCGTAGCCGCCGTATAGCTAGACAAGCCTTGTGCTCTCGCGTCAACGTCCTGATGAGATAGCCGACTGTTGTGAGAGGGACATGCAATAAGCCCAAGTCGAATAATGCATATAATCCGACGAGCTAGGCGTTTCTGTTCATCGAGACTATCGTCACAGACCCAATCCAGCACCGTACTACGGTCGATATTAAAGTCTAAACCACCATACTCAACAGACGGCGCGATGGTCGAGACATTACCGATACTCCCTTCAGAGGAACTGTCGCTGTCGTCATTATCTAACGCGTCTGGCTGAGTAGCTGCCAGGCGGTCTTCGTCGGCTAACTGCGAAGCAGTGTCGCCATCTTCAGCTCCAGAGCCTCTGCTTTCGAAGTCGTCGCTTTCGAACCCGTATCCTGAAGTGCCATCTCTCATAGCAGCAAAACCCGCTAGTATCGCCTGGCTATCTAACCGTGCCATGGTTTTGTTCAAAGTGTAATAATAATCCCGTCTTTTAAAATAGATGTTAATCCCAAGGACGAAGAAAGATATAGTTCATATCTTGGAGTTTGATCTCACCAAAACTAAACAATTCCTAACACTAAGTATCTCTAACCCTAAACGATCCCTCGTTAGCTGTTCCCTCAAACAGTCCAGTCCTCCTACGTCAAAACCCTCCCCATACCTAGTGCCCTTCAACCACAGGCTTCAACCGCGTCGCCGAACAAACCACACAAGATGGATCAAGGCCCCTTACATCGGACAAAGTACCACCGACTACCAAAGGCATCTACCCCCTAGTCCTAGTCGAGGTTGTATTACCTTCAACCAGCCACCCCTACATATATCCACCTAGAGACGGTGTTGTTACCTTTTTAATTAAAATTTCATTGCGCTATCCTGTATCCCTGGGCCCCTCGTGACACGAGAAATTTTCAAGGGCATATTTCCTTGAAATAATTAATACCTCAAATCCACCTTGTGCGATTCGAACTTTTAATAATCAACAAATCCTACATTAGGTTCCATTTTACTCCACGGACATGGTTTGCTATTCGCCCGTTCGACCATGGACTGGCACCATCCCTACACTGGGAAACTTCCATGACTCATGAGGGTTTTGTTCGAATATTCGTAGGCGCACATTCAGGGGTCAATCGTGATGTGTATTGTGCTTCTTCTTTTCCTAAGACCTGTCCGTATCCCTTACGCGCCTTCTTCCGGCGTGTTCCCTGTGACTAAGCGCACCTAGCGCGGTCCTCGGCCAAACATTCCTCCTAGCGCCTTCCTGGCATCCTAGGCGCTCTGCGTGTGCATCGCTTCCAGCGCCCCTGGCCTACCACCCTTTTTGACACACCCCTTTAGCCTTCGCGGCTCGAGACCTCGGTCCTAGGGCGCTCCTGCGCGCTTCATACGCAGCAGCGGAGGCTACCCTTAGGGGTGGCAGGCCAACCGACTTCTTCCTTATTCCTCTCCTCCTTCAAAGATCCCTCCGCTCCATGCGGTCTCTGCGAGAGGGTCCCTCTCTTCGCGTAGTGGTTCCGTCTCCTTCTTCACCAAGTTGAGCTGTTTTATAAAGTCTTCAAACGGTTGCCTTGCGAGGCTCTTCGTGAGTCCGTCCGCAACAAGGTCTTTCGTTGGTGTGTGGACGACGTTGATGGTGCCGTTCTCAACCTCCTGTCTCAACCAGTGGTTGTGTATATCAACGTGACGAAGCCTCGTCTTTAGAGTCACGAGTTCCTCAGTTACTATTCGAATCGTCTGGAGGTTGTCGCACTGGATCGTTATTCCGCCGCTTGGAATCGTCGTATTAAGAGCACTCAACAGACGGCTAACGAATATAGCTTCGCGTGCTGCTTGTGAGAGGGCGAGAAGCTCTGCTTCTGTCGTTGATGTTGTGACTGTGTCTTGTTTGTTCGCTCTCCATCCGATCAATCCTCCAGCAAGCCGTAGTGCGTACGCCTGAGAGCTCTTTCGATCTAGCGAGTTATCTGCGAAGCTGGCGTCTGATGCGACTTCGAAACTCTTGTTGTTGCCATCGTACTCGAGACTAAGGAAGCAGGTGTCCAAGATGTACTGCAATACTCGATCTGCAGCGCGATGATGCTTCTGAGAGGGATTCTGGTTAAACCTCGCCAGACGGCTTGCAGCAAAGGCGATATCGGGGCGCGTCATCACCGCCAAGTATAGGATCGATCCAATCTTTCGTTGGTATGCCGTTATTTCGCTCTTTGAGGCGTGCTCCTCGGCGGGCAGTAGCTCCTCGTTCGTCATAGGTGTCGTAAATCGAGTGTTCTTCCTCTGTGATCCTTTATGTGTGCCTTGACCAATCAACCGTGCGATCTTCTGTGCGTATGCTGCCTGAGATAGCCAGATTTTCTTCTTGGCTCGGTCGCGCGTGACCTCGATTCCTAGAAACCAGTGAAGAGGGTCTCCGCCTTCCAGGTGGTACTTCTCTTTGAGCCCGTTAATGAGGCGCTCAGCAGCGTTTCTACACTCAGGGGGAAACGCGAGAACACAGTCGTCGACATAGAAGAAGAAGAGCACGCGTCCCTTCCGCCAGCAGCAATTCTCGCCTGCGACGCGTTCCATCCCCATTGCTTTCAGACCGTTCTCTAGATGCCGTTGCCACAGTAGAGGGGACCTGCGAAGGCCGTATAGAGCCTTCTTCAGCCGCAGGACCTTCCCCTGCTGCTCATGGCCCGGTGGAAACTCCATATATACTGTCTCGTCGATCGGAGCGTGGACAAAGGCATTAACTGCGTCGTACTACAGTAAGGTAAGATCTTGCTGGGCCGCGGTGGCAATAAGGGTTCGGAACGATTGTCCAGCGAGGGTCGCAGCGTATGTATCCTTGAAAGCGTTTTTAGCCTGTTGATCTCCTCGAACAACGATCCTTGCCTTGAGTTTCTAGAGTGCTCCCTTCTCGTCCGTTTTATAGACGTATACCCACCGGCAACCCAGGATCTGGTGCCCGGCGGCTTCTCTACGGTCCACGACGACGTATGTATCCATCTCATCGTGGCTCGCGAGGTGCTTCTCTTCCGCTTCTCGGAATCCCCTCTCGTAGGGGTGGCCGTATAGATCGGCATGTTTCTGAGGCACTGGGGGTAGTACGCCTGCTTGGCTTTTTCGCTGGGGCAGAGGACGGTCCTCTCCCGGAACGCTAGAGGCCACGGTCTCAACCGCGGGCCCCCCGTCACCTGACACGGGCCTACCGTTGTGGGAGCTTAGCCCAGAGGGAAGGTCTTCCTTTACCCTCGAATCAACGTAGTTTCTTCCCTGACGGAGGTCGAAGGCACGCTCACACCCAGGGTTTCTAAGACTCCTCCTGGGCCCAGGGGCAGGGTTCATACCATTACCACGTCCGGCTACGGTGAGACCTTCGAGTCTGTTGTTCCAACATACTACCGCTTCCAGGCTGGTATCGGCGTTCTTCGCCTTTTGCTTCATCTTCACTCGTTTTCTACCCGTTCTGGTGCCGCCGAGGAAAGCGGCTTGCCAGGAGGTACGCGGAGTGGTAATTGGAAACTCTTCGTGGATCGATTCGCGTGCATGAACCGCCTCAGGAGCGATCGAAGCACGTCTCTTCCTCCACCCCTTCACTCCGAGTGCCTCCTCAAGGCCTGCGAAGAACGAGGTGGGTAGCGTCCGCGGTGGTGTATTGAGTTCGAATCGTGACTCCACGTACTTAGGCGACGGCGGTGCGGTGTATTCTTGTGCCTCTTCGTCTTCAATGTACTGGACTTCATCGACTTCTTCGTCTGCGGTGTGTGCGTACTCTGGAGATGTTATCCCTGTGGGCGAGACCTCTAGTCGCGCGAGAAGAGCGTTGAGCTCGTTCACGTCGAGGTCTTTAAGGTCATCCCGCAGCTCGTTGATATCTCCATTAAAGAACTCGGTTTCCCTGAACACAACGTCTCGCGTTGTGATAACGCGGGCAGTAAGCGGATTCCACACGCGGTAGGAGTTGCTAGTACTGTACCCAATGAGGTAGCCTATCCATCCTCTCGGTTGAAGCTTTCTCGACTTATTCCTGCCCAGCTGTGCGTCTGTTGTGAGCGCATACACTTTGCAGCCGTACGCTCGAAGGTGGGCTTGATGAGGCTTCCCGAGATCTAGGCCGCGAAACTGATTATGGAACCGTTCGAAGGGCGTTTTCCAGCCGTGGCCGCTGACGGCGTCCTGTTGTATAAATACGTCGCGGCGGCAACGATTTCGGGCCACAGCATCTCAGGGAACTTGCCTGCCTCGCGAAGGGTCCTAGCCTTCTCCTTGATAACTGCTGCGATTCGCTCGGCGCCTCCGTTCTGGGCCTGCGTATTGGGCGCAGAGGGTTCGAGGACCACCCCTTGAGATTGAAGGTGAGTGGCGACTTGCTGATGAATCGTTGCAACCTCGCGGTCACATTCGAAGACTTTGACCTGTATATTATATTGCGTCTTCATCATGGCCATGAAGAGATCGAATACCTCGAGGAGCGTCTCTATTGTACGGTCCTTAAGGTAGTAGTCCCACGAGTATCCTGTTAGTCGGTCAGAGAGTATTACCGTAGACATATAGCCTCCGTATCCTTGAGGGCTAATCGAGTGAAAGTCGAACGCCACTCTTGATCCTGGTTTTGCCCACGCTATAGACTCGCGTGGGGCACGTCGAACAATTCGTCTTGTCTTCCCTTTTCCACACGCTAAGCAGTCAGGCAGCTTGTTGCGTAGGTCACCCATGATCTTCACGCCTCGAGAGGCGTTGACGAGGTGCTCCAGCACCCCCTCGCCCGGGTGACCCAGTCTCTGGTGCCATCTGAACGGTCTTCCTGCGAGTCTTTTGCGCGGTGTAAACGATGTGTGGCGCTGCTTCGCCTGCGTGACGAATCCTGCTTTGGTATTGTCCTCGATAACCTGTTGTCCATGGAGATCGTGAAGGTAGCAGACGAGTGTCCCATCCGCTCTTCGTACGCAATTCTGGCCTGGGCGGTTATCCCACCACATCCCTCGTTGCCGTAGAAGGCGGTAGGAGACTAGATTCGTTGCGAATTCTTCGCAGTAAGCGACGTTGTATAAGCGGAGTCTTACCTTCTTCCCCCGCTCAGCGTCAGCCGTTATATCCACGTTTCCATACCCTAGGATTGGGACTTGTGAGGCTCCTGCCCATAGGTAATCCCCTGGTTCAGCTGCTCTAAAACCTGAGAATCGAGCCCGGTTGTTGAACACGTGTAGCGATGATCCTGAGTCGTATATCGCAGAGTTGTGTAAGGGGTACTCAGTCCGGATCATGAACGCAGAACGGTCACTCGTATACTGCTTCCTCCACGATGCGTTGGCTGACCCCATACACCGACCATACAGTCAGGTCTGCTTCGCTTCCTTCTCGCGTTGTTCACGGATCTTCTTCACGCGGTCCGCGAGGTCGTCATCGGCCTTGAGACGCTCGGTGACCTTCTTCATGATGTCGTTGCTGGGCCTCCATCCTTCATACGCTTCCTCTGGGAAGCAGTAGAAGCAGTTGGCAAGTAGGTGTCGTGGCAGATCACATCCGTGACACGTTGGCATCTCGTTTTGGGTCCGCGAATCGGCGGCCCTATGTCGCTTCTTGGTTGTACTCCGAGGCATGGTCTCCTTGGGTCCTTCTCTTGTTGTGGCAAAGGCACCTCTTGAGGCTCTTGGTCCTGTCGATAGGGTATCTGCGTGGATTCGTATATATCGTCGTACTTCCGCAGAGATCTCGCTGATCGAGGGGTTGTCCGACTCGTGGAACTTCGCCTCGAACGTGGCGTGGAACGCAGAAATAGCGGTCTTCGCAATGACCTTTAGGAAGTCCTCGCTCCACTCGCTGAAGTCCCTTGTCTAGGCAAGGTTGACCTCTTGTCCCTTCAACATTGCGGCCTCCCATTGCTCGAGCCAGTTCTCGATCTCGGCCTTCGTGGGTAGCCGCTTGCTTGACGGTCTTCTCGTACTCCTCACGCGCGGCGCTCTTTTGTTCATTGTTCGAGATCGAGGCCACGCCCTTCAGCTTGACCATCCAGGCTTGGAGGGTCTCCGTAGGTTTACAGCACGCATTGACGTACTTCTCGGCTGCTGTCGATAGGACCCAGTTGCGGAGCTCTCGTAGAGCAGCCGCTTCACGCTCGTAGATACGGATATCATGGTTGTAGTCGCTCCGGAGCTGTACATACTCCTCACGGTCCTCCTTGACAAGGTCTTGGAGGCTTCTAGCCGTCTCGTTCGATCGAACTTCTTCGATATCTGGTGTCTGTGACACCTCGATGATTGATCCGCGGGTATGTCGCGGTATACCTTTCTTCTTGTAGTCGGAGAAGGCCGGAGGCTCCGGCTTCGGCATCCGCTTCTCGGGGTTTTCGGCGCCGGGATCCACTTGCTCCCAGACGTCCAAGTCGGTGGCTTTACCCTGGAAAACCTTATACCAGGTTGGCCATTGACTGGGGTTGTTGAGGACAATGGATTCCATCTTTGCTTATGTCGTTATTGATTCGGGCTTATCGCGTGGGTTTTGAGGGACGTAAACGGGGTGTTCGTGTGTTTTGCAGTTGATCGGATCTTCGAATAGCTTCGTTTTGCCTGTAGGTAGGCCAATTAGTAGGTAATCAGACTGTTAATTATTCGAATATTCGTAGGCGCACATTCAGGGGTCAATCGTGATGTGTATTGTGCTTCTTCTTTTCCTAAGACCTGTCCGTATCCCTTACGCGCCTTCTTCCGGCGTGTTCCCTGTGACTAAGCGCACCTAGCGCGGTCCTCGGCCAAACATTCCTCCTAGCGCCTTCCTGGCATCCTAGGCGCTCTGCGTGTGCATCGCTTCCAGCGCCCCTGGCCTACCACCCTTTTTGACAGGTTTCAACTGTACCTCTCCTTGAAACCCCATGAGCAGATTGATAGATTGTCCGTGCATTTTTTTCTTCTCTCGTATTTAGCTCTATTTCGGGGTAACCAGGCCACTCAGTCGGATGGGGGGAAGGGGGCTTGGGCGTCTAAGAACCAATCAAGGAGAGATTCCACATTATTGTTTCCCAAAAATCACAAGCGGCCTACATATCAGGAGACTCGTAATGCTTGGAGGTCGCTTTTCTATAGTGTATCGGCTGTCTGCTAATTTCCGACAGTTGCCGGTATATAAGGTAACCATCACAGGGGTTATTCTCTCCCGTTCCTCATGTCACCTAAACCAAACCTAACCTTTGATAAATCAATACAAAGCACTTGATCTATCCTCCCTTTGTATCTAATACTAAATAAGCACGATATCCCTGTTATGATTATCCTGTATATATGAACAATACACCCTGAATGGAAAGTTTGTCCTAGATAGACACACACCATAGTTAATAATAACATGGAAAGCTTTTTCATAGTCATAATAGCAAGCTTTTTGTCAATAGTATAAAAGCATGCAGAATATAAGCTATAGTATGTAGTCTTCGTTATCAAAGCAAGCAGTCGAGCACATGAGACGTATCGCAGACAAACCGTATCCAAATCAAATATCGCAGCAGTTAAATTCAAACTAATCAGTAACTTAATAGCGGATTGTTTAGTATGCCATGTATGAAAGCGACGCTGCCGCTGACGTGACATTATGCAATGTACACAAATCGGTTTTGCCAATGGTAGTTCAGTTCTTAGACAGCAACAGCCGCGCTTTGGTGGCTTTGCCATTGTTATTATTGTTTGGCAAGCACGCAGGAGTACAAACAACACGAGATCAATAGATAAATATCACCTTCAGTAAGTGAGCCGTTTTCGTCGTTTTTAGTTAGTCGGCTAGCGTAAAAAAAAAAAAAAAAAAAAAAAAAAAAAAAAAAAACTTAGGCCCAGCACCTGCCACTGTCTCCTTACCAAACCAATCTCATCCAGACTTCCGTCTCGCAATCCTACCTGGCAGCATCGAACTATTTCACTATATCACACATCACGAACCACGACCAAATCAATAACCCTTCTACACTACTACCCACCACAAAAAACCTGCTATCATACATCTCGTCAGCAAGATGTGTCCTAATGAGCGCCCCTGGTCCCAGAGCGAGGAAGATCAGCCTCCCATGGATGAAAACACCAACGAAGCCGACACGTTCGATGATCCTACCGAGTCCGAGATTGCGGCAGACACTGCCGAACAAGACGCATTTGTAAGCATTACCCGAATCTCGATAGCAATCCCTCAGATGACTAATGCGAAGATGTGTTCCCAGAATGCCTTCGTTAACACTATCGCCGAACTCCTTAGCCTCGGTTTCAGCAACCAACAAATTATGCGCGTGTTTGCCGAATGTAAGTCTCCTTAGCTGCGAACTACAAGATATATATATGTTAACCTTCTAAACCAGCGCTTGAAAACGCGAAAGAAATGCGTAACGATAAGGATAAAGATGATAGCGGATCTGTATCTCTTTGAGTCAAGCAACAAGGGTAGGATGGCTTAGTCAAGTCAAATCGGGAGGTGCTTGGCCAGTAACATGATGAGATATGGGCACCTTCGTACGATAACTCATGGCACCCTGCTAGACTATACGTCTGTAGCTACGTACCAATACAAACCGACGTGACCGTGTCAATCTCGCCAGCTGTGACTGCATGACTAGAACGCGTGGAGGTGTCCGTATTTGTAGGCGTCAAGGGCATTACGCCAATTTTTTACCTACATGAATATAAGGCCGTCTTAAAAGTCGTACGTACTCGAGCAAAATAATGACAGGGAGCTCGTCTGTATCCTGTGATTTCATTCGGAAAAACACTCGAGGTCCTCTGCAACGCAAATGTTTCAAGACCATATGGTCTACAAATCCAGTGCCGCTCTCTAGCCCGACTTCATAGAATATTTTAATTTTTGTGTACCATATGGTGACTAAATAACAGAACCAACCCTTCTCTTCAGAACTTAAGGCCCACTTTCCCCCTCATCGTTCGACGCCTCATTACATTCACCTCTCCTAGCTTCCGGGGATACAAAGTCCATTAAAGGCAGCCTTATAACATCCTCTCGAGTCTTTCCATTGCGTATTTCATATACCGCCCGTGTCATCTCAATCGACTTACTGCTAATTACGTTATTAACGATGCTTATTTCAGCCGCGTCGCAAAGCAACTTAAGAGTCGGTATCCTGCTAGCTATGAATTGGCAGGCGACTTCAAGCTTAAGTTTTTTCGGACCCAGCTTCCCTCCACTCCTGAATTTCTTATACCAAGTGTCAAGCCCCTTTGGCAGAAATGCGAGGATGCCTCGCCCAAACGCGTCCACTAGCATGCCGATTGCCGTAAATCGGTAGATAGTGTCACCGAATTTGATATTGCCTGGAAGCTCTAGTTCCCTCGAAAAGAAATCCGCGAGACAGCTTTCCAGCGTTTTACCTTGCTTTGTTTCGAGGTTTTGAGTTTTGAGAAACTCCACCAGCTAGAGTCGTTTGGGACTGGTAACCTGGCCCAACTCCTTCAGCTCGTGCCACCGCTTCCACAGGTCGTATTGCCTCCAGTAGCCGTGCAGGCGGCCCTCCGACGTGCCGGCGCTACTGACTGTATGAGTTACTTCTCCCCAGCTGCGGACGAACGAAGCCAACTCGTCTACGCCCGAATGTTGAAGTTTCTCCGCTAGCTTGTCAACCCGACATATTGCGCGATTGAGTCTATAAGCGCCAGCAGCATCATACTCCCTGATTAGGTAATAAAGTCGGCTTTCCACATCGTTCCCAAAAATCCGGTGGAACAGGAGGTCTCCAATCGAGTAATAATCTTCCTCTTGAAAAACGACATCGGTTCTGTTACTGAGCTCCTCCCTGAGCCGGAACATTGCATCCAGGTAGCTAGATTTACGTGCCGTGTCTAGCTTACCACCCCCAGCTAATCGTTCCTGCAGGCCATCTAAGGTTTTTGGTATCCGTCTTGCCGCCTCCCGCCTACGCGTGACCTTCCTCCTTGCTAACGTCGTATCCTCCTCGCCCGAGGAGAGCCCGGACATCCCATGTTCGTCTTCCAACGGCTGTCGAACCGTGGGTCGAAAGCTGGTGAGCTCCGCACCGCTCGCCGGAGTTGTACTATAACCTCGACTGCCTGTAGACTCTTCTTCTTGGGACGGCTGTAGGCATCCCGAGTCTTCTTTACCCTTCTTCATTATAGAATCTGGGAGGCGCCGGCGTCGTTTCGCAGGTAGCTCCGTCGAGGCGTCTCTACTTCGACTACGTTGCAGACCAGAAGCGGCCGCTGTACTGTCGTCCTCGTTCGGTCGCGGCGCCCTCTTCGTGTTATAGCTCGATATCGTCGTAATATCTTCTTCTTGAATTCCTGGTAAGTTAAGATCATATCGCGCCGGCGTCGCACGTACTTAGCAGGTCTAAATCCACGCCACTCTCACATATCTCCACCAAGTTTAAGAGCAGATGGACTACGCCATCCTTTAGAAACGCAGACTCTTCGCGCAGCCTCGGGTTAGAGTTAAGCTTGTCCAGCCACTCGCCAAGGCCTACGTCATTTTCGACCGAGACCGAGTATTGAGGCTGGTGCGACGGATGGACCATGTGAGGCAAGGAGGTCCTGCCGTAGCTAACAGACGTCGCGCTTTACACGTGTCGATAGTATATTCTTTCTTATTGCTACGGTGCTAGGCTTTGCCGCGAGACTGCGTTTGTTGTTGTTGATAATCGATAATATGCGACGTGGCTAGGGCAGTTTGATGAACAAATGGGCTTGAAAGATGGAACAGCAAAGTTTATTATAGACACGGAAGAACAATAGAACACGCCCCTCCTAGCTTTCTACCGCCCGTCCCCCCCCCTTTCCCCTCCTGTAGGACCCCCCTCCTACTACCTAAGACCCTCCAAACTTCTTAGACCCACTACAACACCCCTATCCCTGTCAAACACGTCCGACCATATAGTAGCACAGGACTCCGACATACGCCCAAGCTCACAATTATCCGGGTTTTTTTTTTTTTTTTATTAACCCATACATATTACCTTGCTACCTAAAGTTGTGATGTCTCTTACTTAGAGACGAAATCTATAATACTATACATTATCTAGCTATATAAAGGTATACCTGCTTAGTATTACAATACTAGCCTATCCCTATGCCCTTATATTTTCATACTCTTTATACTTAGGACCCAGAGGCAACCAGGTACTAAAAGAATATAATAGCACAAGGCATTATAATCTCTTTTGAAATAACACCTTCCCAAGACCCTAACGTATAGATCAAACAGTACCTAGAGCACGTACGTATTATTTATTCTCTATTCTTACTATGTTTAATTACTTATAACGAACTCTATAATTACGTGAGATTAATTTTGTAGATTGAGATACTTACGCTTAAGATACTTCAAACCAGGGAGAACAAGAGCTACCTATCATCCTATATCCTCCCTACCATCCAAAACCTCCAACGAGTTATCACCTCTAGTCTTCTCCCAGACAAAGAAGATATTCAACCTACTAAACAACCACCACTACGCAAAAGTCTCAGGTCACAAACAACAGTATCCTCTCAACCTACCGTTGCCTACTCAGCTACATACGCGCGCCGGCCAACAAAGCGGAGACGTAGCCCATCCAAAGACACCAGACACAGTAGTTCTGTCTCAGGCAGCAGTAGTATCGCTAATGATAACCGTATTCCAACTATTAATCCCCAGCCATTAGATCATGCCAGCGTAGGAACCCCTGAAACAACAGGTTCCCCAAAGCATACCGGTGACAAATTACATGACCCTCCACAGTCAATCGCGTATGGGGAGCAGCCCGAAATACCACTCACCGATTGCTTCAAGCCTCCTATCGTCCTAGCCAAAACGGTCACAGCTCAGCCCGAAACGCAACTCACGAAGAGGATCATTAGTCTTTTCCAGAACGATAACTCGGATAACTCAACTCTCTTGCGACACGCCGAGCAGTTCACAAAAGTCATTCTATCTAAGTCCTTCATCGCGAGAAAACAATCAAAGGAGACGACTATCCGACTAGAGCCTAGAGAAGCGTTCCAAATATCGCTGGTTTTCTTCGGGAGCTTCTTCCTAAATACAAGAGAGACGCTCTTCCAGCTTGTAATAGAGTCTGATGCTCTACGAAACTCAGCTACTACTCGACGCGCGGCGTTCTCAAAGACTACCCCCGAGATAGTACGGCAGCTAGGCGAATCCCTTGCCGAGACAAACTTCGGCCACGAATACCCATTCCATCAAGCGGTTTTGAGCAAGTCCCGCCTCGTAGACTTCAGAGAGACGTAGGAAATGGTCAAAGCCCTTGTTGCGGCGGATTCTAACAGCGAGGTAAAGTCCTAGATCGATACGCAGTATCAGGCAATAAGGTCTGCCCAGGGCTCGTCACAAATCACACACGGCCGGGGACAGGGGAAGAACATATCGAAGGCCAAGTCGGTTATTACCAACTACTTTTCTATCACTACTACGACCTTTAAACAGGCATTAAGGGACTCTGAGATGCCCTAGATCCTCTGCTCTCACTAGGGTAAGGGAGCTCTAGTATTCTTCCCACGTCATTCGTCCAAGTAAGATTTTCTCCAACCAGATTACAGCCACGTAAACCTCGGTGTTAACCCCCACACAAAGCTTCCGCTCGCAGATCCCATATCAGTCCATCATACCCCAGCTAATCGAGGGCATCTCGGAGATCGGACCAGCTGCGTCAGTCATGTTTCGTACCATCACCGAGCAGTTTAGCCAGGCAGTTGAACGCGCCACCTCCCTCCTCACGAACAGCCCGCACGAAGCCAAACCCCCGAGCCCCGCGGCAGAGACCGCCAACCTAACCGTGGATAAGCTGCATTCATATCCCCTTGGTCTAGTATAGGAATAGTTCAAGGTCAGGTACGGCAGCAAGATTGACCCCCGCGCCACTAAGCGGCATATCGCGAGCCCACATAACCATAGCATCACGGAAGCTTCCACACGCCTGCAAGGAACGGCATCTAATACGCACGCTTCCGAGGAAACCAGAGCTTCATTACAAAACCACTAGAACTTATCGCTAAGTAACAACGGGTCCCCGTCGCCGACCCCCGTAATACACCCACAAACGCTATATAGGGACATCGCAAGTCCTACATAGGCAGGGTTAGTAGAAAGTCCCGGATACGTAGATAGTCATAATACAAGTTAGGGTTTCACCATCAGCCTAGAGTCAGAACTGCCTATTGCCAGACAATCTCACCAAATACTAGCCCCGCTGGATTTCAAGGAAAAGTTTGCTTCAAAAACCAAGCAGCTACGGAGCCAAACTACCTATTGCCTAGTGCCTAGACCGGCGCAACACGTAATCCTTATTCCACGCCGACGTTAGGTTACACCGTCTCATTATTTACCTTTCACACTCTAAGCAACCCACAACCTTTAAGACTTCTTCCCTTAGCCAACTATACCACAGCAACCTAGCTATTCATTCCTATCACAAACCCTTTTCTCTCTCCATTACCACACCAGACTATCCTATTACCAACACCTACCAGAATTAACCATCCATATCCTAGCCCGCGTTAATCAAACATCCGAAAAAAAAAGAAAATGTCTAACGCAGACGAGACCGAACCAAACAAGCTCGTCTTCGAGCACCGCGACCGATAGATCAACGAGATGCTAGAGGAGGTAATCAGCAGAACCGGATGCCTACAGGGTTCTAATGCTAACCAAAGCTCGTCTAGGTCCACATCGTTCTAGCCAAGAAGACTCGAGGCCGTAGCAGGGAAGAAGTCATCGAAGCACTCCAGTCGCTAAGTAGCTACAGCAACAAGATCGGCCACGCAATAAACTCCCAGCGCGATGCCCCCCGTGACAACGCTGTCCCCGGCCCATTCAACCATATAGGCTTCATCGCCACCAGGGGTGCCACCGCCGGCTGCGATGCTAATGTTCTAACTGCCATAGGCTATTGGTTTCATTCCGCCCTTTCGATATAGCCCGTCACCGTTACCGCAAACCAGGAACCTCGTCTTGTCTATCTCGACAAGGACACTCGTATTAAGCTCTGCTCTCTATTCTTCGACCGCTTCATAAACAACGCCACCGACAACATTATCGAACTCGTTTCTACCTCGGCCTACTCTCATGCCCAGCAACCGGCCCCCCAGGACATTTACAACACTTCGGACGGAATCCCCGACGTGATCCGCAACATCGCACGCGCGTTCATCGAGATCTTTACCATCAACAGACAGAGCACATCTGTAGCCTTCCTCGGGAACCTGCGGTCTATTAAACTTCACCGCCTATTTAAAGATATCGAATCGATAATAACCTCCTTATCCGAGAATAAAGTCAAGGAGTACGTCAATAGCAACTTTAGTCCTCGCGAGGAGGGACAGAACAACAAAACCGCTATCATTACCATGCTTGCAAAAGATCTTCATCGCAGCTTCAGCGATATTGAAACGCTCGTTAACCACGCAGGATTCGCCCACGCGCTCTACACCGCATGGGGTCGCGGGGCGCTAATGTTCCTGCCCAGCACTAAGATCATGTAAGAGCCCCTTCAATACATCATGGATTTATATGGTTTGCTAACGTGAAGTAGCTTGTATAATAACATCTACTGCAATAGCGCTCTCCTAGATGTGATGAGGTTGCTCAGCGCAATTGAAGGGACCGAAATTTTTGCAAAGCTCGCTAAACGCATGGAGGAGGATATCATCAAGCCGTTCATGAGTTGCCGCCTTATGGGTTTTCGCGCCACGAAGCGAGCCAGCGGGTCAGTAGAGGAACTAATCGAAAAGGTCAAGCACTTAGATCCCGAGACGGAGTCCGGCGAGGACTTTGACATACAGGTCACGGATGTTAGTAATTACTAAAACTGAGGCTCTCTGCATTATTAATAGCAAGAAACTAGGAATCCGGCCAGGAGGTATAAATCAGATAGATTTAAAAGACGCGGCAAAACAGAGACAGCTTTAGTTACTAACTAATGCAAGATACTCACTTTTGCACAATTTAGGCGGGCGACTTGCGTATTAACCGTAATACCGTAATGCTTATAATCTCAAACCACTAGACATAGACGTTCACCCGGTCGCGCCTCCTTTCGTGATCGCGTCACGAGCGAAGACCATGTCCCAAGCCGACGAAACATAAACAAGACCCTAATAGGTAGACGTCGCGCTGCGTAAAATACATTGTCTATCCAAAATAGAAAGCCGCAATACGTCGTATGTCGCATCTAATTCCTCGAGACACATAACGCGCGATAATATTTTCCACACCACCTAGTCTTCAAATATCAAGACGAGCGCCGACGCGCAGAGACTCGAACAAAACAAACACCACCCAGAACACGCAGCCCAACTCACTCTGCTTCAGCCAAAAATTTCCTTAAACGTTAATCCCGCCCGCCCCCAGGCAGACACCACACTCCAACTTCGTTCACCTTCGCCCCCAGTACTCCGAAAAATAAGGGAAAGAAAATTCACCTACCCCGACCCATTTCACTTTTTCACACAGAAAACACCAGACCTTCCTTACATCCCATCCCTCGTCAAATCCCATCTCAATTATTCTTCCACCACCTCAACTCGCCTCACGATCAAACTCAACATTGCACGACGACCCTCACGCAGACGAATATCATAAGTAACGCTACACCCGCCCGAATCATCAATCAACTCGATGATGACATTTAGAAGAACCGCCTTGCGATCCAGAGCCTTCTTCGTCTCCGCGACCATTACCAGGGCGGAGGTGTGAATACTGCCATCGATGAGATGAAAGTAAATACTATCCCCGCCACGGCAGCCAATTCCTCCTTTAGCGTTACATGCTAATCTCAGAAGAACGCTCTCGCCGACATCTTCTTCCAGATGCTCCAAGAGGAGAATCTCGGCCATCAGGAGTGTTGGTATGTCGCTCAGACGGGTATGTTCTCCAATGCCCCCACCCATGCGACCGGGTTTGCTAATCCTTGCGCATACAGCCCTGCGTTGCGCTATCGCGAGGGCGCAGCAGACTCCGATTATCATCTCGGACGATGAAACGAGCGAAGGCGAGTCCAGCGCCGCCGAGCAGGATTCAGAGGCCGCCGCCCCCGAGGGAAACAACAACAACGCCGGCGCGAACACCGCTCGTCCTGCGATCGTGACTCGCCAGGGTCGGTTGTCCTTCGACTCTTCCGTCACCGTGGAGTGTCACCGCATCCGTGAGCCAAGAACCCGAGAGATGCCTATCCAGTTGCATATGCTAACAAGATAGTAGTCACGCGCGCCGAGGTCGCCAAGCGCAACGTCTCCAACTCCAACTAGCAGACAGCGTAGTGCGATTCGAGTAGCGGGAGTCTAATAGCGATAAATAGATCGCCTCTTTGCATAATCCCGGATTCGCTAGACCTACTACAGATATCAAGGGCACTGGAAAAGTTGTATTGCAATTAGGAAAGCTTTAGAACAATGTGCGCATTGGATGTATGGGAGGCATGCCAGACATGAACGCTGTTTATTAGATAATCCCCTTTCCTCTAGAGAGGTAAATACAATGCAACGCATACGATAATATCGAGGCGTATAGCTCTCGAGCAAGATTTACATGGTTAATTTTAATTCCCATCCCGGCCAGTCCGGACATGCGACCAGTGGACTACTTTTGTAAATTTGAAGAACGTGGAGGAGGAGGGGCACGTCTCATAGAATAGTCCGTGCACTTTCAACACCACATGTCCTTCAAATCGGCTGTCGCCTAATTCGATCTTTTATAAAATCCTAAGAAGGATCACGTGAGTATACGAAGCGGATCAGAAAGGAAAAAAAAATGGAAAAAGTTAACGAAAAGTGGGAAGACACTAAGATATCCAATCGTGATTCATCATAGATGTAAGGAACGAGATTTAGGCGGAGAGCGAAGAGTCCGCAAGTAACCACATTCGGAAAGAGCACCCTTGTAAGACCTGGAGCTTCCCCACGCGACCCGGGCTCACGGTCGGCACTATTGAGTAAGACATTTGCCGACCCCGGAACTTTAAGCTGACTTCAGCCCGTCTCGTTCAACGTTTCGCCGGCGAGTGTTCAAATTTATGGCCAATCGCAGATAATTTTGGCGAGGTTTCAAGGACATATTCTCTTGAAAAAAAAAAAATCCAATGCAGATTCCCTCGGGAAGTTGCTCTAGATCAGACAGAATCGGCCAAACGCATGTCGCATGTCGCAAGATTGTGTCTTCCGCCACAAAGTACCACAAGTAGTAGGCGTGGCCCGCCCCGGTAGGGTCAGGTTAGGGTTAAAAAAACGGGGTTAAAGAAATTTGTTTTAAAGGAAGTAAGTAAGTTTAAGTAAGTAAGTAAGTAAGTAAGTTAAGTAAGTAAGTAAGTAAGGTAGGTTTTTTAGAGAGAGATTAGGCTAGGCTAGGCTATGGCTATGGCTATGGCTAAAGGTAAGGTAATGTGAGATAAGGAAATGTAAGATAAGGTAAGGTAGGTAGGTATAGGTATTATACAAGGTAAAGGTAGGGTTATGGGGCCTAGGTAGGTGGAAAAGGCAGGGGATCAAGTCAGGATAATAAAGCAAGGATAATAAAGAGAAACAGGATAAGGAAAGAGAGGGGAGAGAAAGGGACAGATTAGGGGCCAAGAGACAGAATCAAAGGGCGAAGGAAAGAAGATATATAGGGCAATAGGGAGATAAAGATAAGGTTGAGAAGATAGAGGAAGGTAGGAAGGAGTTGTAGGTAGGCATAGATGATAAAGAAGAGGTAGAGAAATAGAGGATATAAGAAGAGGTGAAGGGGAGTAAATTTAGAATAGGATTAGAGAAGAGAAAGAGGATAATAAGAAGGAACAGGATGGTGAGGAGGAAAAGAAGGATAAGGGAGGAACAGGATGGTGAGGAGGAATAGAAGGATAAGGGAGGAACAGGATGGTGAGGAGGAAAAGAAGGATAAGGAGGAACAGGATGGTGAGGAGGAAAAGAAGGATAAGGGAGGAACAGGATGATAAGGAGATAAAGAGAAAGAAAAAGATAAAGAGGAGGAACAGGATAGTATAGGGAAGAGAGAAGGAACAGAGAAAGAAGGGGAGAGAGAAGGAAGATAAGGAGGGGAAAGAGGATAACAAAGAGGAGGGAAGGTAAGGGTAGGAAGTATAGAAGGTTTAAGCAGAAGAGAGTAACAAGGTAGAGGCGGGAGAGTTAAGATAAAGATAGAGTACGGGAGAGCAGGATAGGATATTATTAAAGGCAAAAGGTTAGGGACAGGGCGACGGGAAAAGGTTAGGGACAGGATGACAGCAAAAGGGTTAGGGACAGGGAGGCAGCAAAGGGTTAGGGACAGGATCCCAGGAAAAGGTTAGGGGCAGAGAGGCAGCAGCAGATCAGATCAGGGTTACGAGAGGCAAGAACATAGACAGGGAGAAGGGAGAGACGACAGATCAGAGTTAGGGAAAGGAAAGGGTAATAAGGAGGTCAGGAAGAGTTAAAGGGAAATTAAGATTAGAAGGGGAGAAGGGAGGAGGATAAGGGTTAGGGGGATTAATTTATAGGTTGGTTTAGAAGAGCGTCAAGGTAAGATAAGAATAATATGGCCAGACAGG